CGATCAGGTGAGCTTTGCGGGCTTGAAGAGGAGCTTGACTGTTCTATCGCAGCGAGGGAACCTTGCACCGGTGGCAATGAGCTGCTTGCGCCTTGTCCGTAGTGTAAGTACCCAAAGTGCTTGGAATTTGTTCGCAGCATGGATGATCTATGCTGCTGGGATAATGACCTTGCCAAGGATGGTTGGATGGAAGAGCTTGCACCGGATGATGGAACGAGCTTCTTTGCCAAGTCCTTGGATCACATTGGAGTTCGTTCACGGGCCTGATTGAAGGACTGCTGCCAGCGGGTCCGGCGACCACTGGTTTATGAGGCTCTACATTCTTGCCAAAGAGCCTGAGGTATTTTTTGGGCGGCTCCGGCTGTAAAGCTTCCTTTTCCTTTCTTGGCGGGTGTTGAAGAGTGTGGCTTGGCAGAAGTCCAGCTGCAATGACGAAGATCAGCCACAGGAACCTCATGTTGGCTGTCGATGTGGACGGGTTCGAAGAGAAGCCAAAAATTTGGCTTAGGAACTGCGTTTATACCCAACTTCCATATCGAGATGAAAACGTTTGAGAGGTCTTGAAGCCCCGGCAAAGCCTTGCAGAGGGCGTCACGAGTGTTTCTTGCACCTATTGCTCTTACATGATGCCCCCTATCCACTCCCTTTCCCCGAACAAGCCATTTGCTCCTCACCAAATGTCGCAATCTCCAGCTGTAATAGCCATGGGGCAAAGCCAGCTTGCAAAATGCGTTGTCAATTTTGATCAACTAATAATCACTTCCTTGATAGACGCTCTTTTCATTCTTCGAGTAACAATTTTTGCTCTTTTTCGCCTTCTGAAGATTCTGTGGCAGCAGCGGGGGCCGGAGTCACCTCAGTACTCAGGGTTGACTTGGGCAAGCTATATTGTCCGGATTCGTAGTCTTCGCTGAGGCTCGATCTCTTCGTAAGAAAGCGAGCAACGCTCAATCTCTTCGTCGGAAAACATTTGCTCGCGTACTTACTTAACTCCGTCGACGACTGCGGACACGCCAAGGGGCCCAAACTTCCAACTTGGTCACACATCGTTGTCATCATTTTCAGTTCACAGAAGGGGAAACGGAAAACAAGAAGGAGAAAGATGAGAAAATAGGAGAAACGTGGTCCAGGAGCAGAAGGGCTACGAGGCGGTGCCTTCATCTTCCTCTTGGTTGTTGTCATCAGAGAATGAACGGTACACGGTCGCTCCAGTGTCGTCAGGAGGGATGAAGCGATCGCTGATAACATATCTGATGTCGGGAGCTCGTGGCGTATCTGGCTGATCTGCTCCTTCGGATTCCAGCATAATTTGCTCCAGATAACTAGGTGGAAGGTCCTTTTTAGCTCGAACGTTGACTTCGAAAAGCAAGCGGAGTTTCGCATTCCTGTTGTTGCCCTTGTACGCCGGAGTCGTTGTCAACCACCTGATAAGACCGGTTTGGGCTTTCTCGAGGACTTTATGTGAAGCTTCCGAATAGGAGGGATCAAAATCTTTCAGACCCTGGCCTCTTTCTTCGATTATCATTTCCAGCTGCCTTTTCATCGCCCGATTGAAAGTCGACCTCCACGTCACAATCCATTCGGGACTTGGGAGGGGCACATGTATTTGTCCTTGGTCGGTGTTTTCCTTCATTCCTAAGCGCATGGTACCATATCGACCTCTGGACGCCTGCGCAAAGGCCCTGGCTGCTTCCTTATCAATTTTTCGTTCTTTTTTCCATCTGTCAACATCGGCTTCTAGCAGAAGTAGATTATTACTCGTTGCTCGGATGCCCAATGTTGCGTACTTTGCCTCGTCCCCGCTCTTTCTCTCTTTCCATGCCCTAGTAGCAGCCTGACTCCTGGCTCCGCGGTGCTTTGTCTTCATGTTTTGCCGGATTTGTGGCTGCTGACGAACAGCGCGACGAGCGTCGAGCATAAAGGTGGGATTCCCAGGAGCACGATCAGGCGAATGTTGTTGGCCCGAGAAGGGGCTTGATAGCACATTTGGCCACGGCCAAGGTGGAGATGGGCTCGGTGGACGCAATGACCTGCCTGAGCCTTGCTCATAGTGAAAATTCCGTAGGCTGCTCGGGTATGGATGGCAGGGTGGCAGATGTATGCCGCTTGAACCATGCTCGGACCAGGAGGAACCGATTGGATATCCTTGCCAAGTGCTCGGATCACATGCGAATTCGTTCACGGGTCCGGGCGAAGGACTGTCGCCTGCGGATCCGGCGCCAACTGGTTCATGAGGGACTACGTTCTTGCCAAAGAGCCTGAATCCCTTCTCTGTGCCGGGGGGTCTCGGCGGATTTTGGAACGTGCGGCTTGGTAGAAGTCCAGCTGCAACGACAAAGAGCAGCCACTTGAATCTCATATTGGCTGTGATGTGAATGGTTGCGAGAAGTAGAGAAACCTGGTCTGACGAGTGCGTATATATGTATCATTTCTACATCTAGAAAAAAGATGCTTGAGACTCTTGAAGCCCCGGCACAGCCTCGCAAAGCAAAGGGCGTCACGAGTATGACCTGTTGCTTGAAGAAGATGTGCTTTGTCCATTCCTTCTCTCTAAACAAGCCTCAGCCCCTCTCGCCCCGAATAGTTCAATTCCCTTCAAAAGTATAGCATCACTGTTCTCTCGCCAATTGCCAATTCCAGCATCAGTGAAGCACGTACACCGAAACTTGCTCTCTACGAGCCCACAACGCACTTTGCAAGCTTGCTCTACCTGAAGGCTATCTTGTGTAATATTGTGCATTTGTTCCTAGATCAGGTCCTCGCATGTCGCGCAATCTTCTTCAATTCCCGCAGACCACTTCCTAGCTAGCTCCGATGTCACGACCATGCGCAAGTTTCGCACGCACTGCATCTAGCGGACAGGGAACAGAGGACACGAGCGACCATGCTTCTTCTCGCTCGCTATGGCCATTGTAGCTCTGGCCTACAAACATTAAATTCGAGATAGAGGATTCGAGAAGCAAGCACGTAGATCTAGAAACAAAAGAGAGAGAAGATACTAACTTAGAAGTAAGAAAGAGCTATCTGCATTGGGACCGCGCTACGAGGTTCATCTTCACCCATGTCTGGCTGCGTCTTCTTGCTCTATGCGTGGAGGCTTCGTCCATGACACCGTCGGGGCCGACCGGGAGAATCGATGGACGGGCAAACCACGATTATCACTTGGTGGAATGAAGCGATCGTTTTTTATAAAAGTGATATCCGGAGCTTGTGTTGTATCTTGCTCATGTTCATCCAGTGATTCCGGGTTCAGTATGCGGAGAAAAGACTCTGGAAAGTTCTTGTTAGCCAGCTTGTTGGCTTTGCGAAGCCCGCGGAGCTTCTCGTTTCTGTCATCATTTTTTGTCATCATTTTTGAACTCCGGAAGTGTCGTCCACCACTTGATTTGCCCCCCTTGAGCAACCTGGAGAACTGCGTCACTCTTTGCTTGAAATTCAGGATCAAATTTTTTCAGATCCCAAAGATTTTTTTGGAACAATGCCTTCACCTGCAATTTCATGTGGGTATTGAAAAGCTTTCTCATCTTCATGTCCCATATTGGACTTGGCAGGGGCGTTTCAAATAGTCCTTGGTCGGTGTCTCTTATCATCCCTAAGCGCATGGTACCGAATTGTCCTTGGGACGCGCCCAGAAATCGCGCGACAACTACCGGTTCTTGGTGCTTTTTTAACTTCCACTCGCGGACTTCGGCTCGTAGCAGTGTCACACGATCGCGATTTGCTTGTTGATATTCATCTGTGTACTTTGTTCCATCGTTTTGCCCACTCGTGTCGCATGTTTGAGCAGATCTGATGCTCTGGTTAGGTTCCAATATCTTTTTCTCGGGACCATGTGGCCGTGGACGAGCAGCCTGACGAGCGTCTCGCATAAATGTGGAACTCCCAGGAGCACGAATAGGTCTACTTTGCAAGCTCGAGGAGGGGCTTGACGATTCTACCGCAGCCAGGAATTTTTTAGCCGGCGGCAATGAACTGCTTGCGTCTCGCTCATGGCGTGAGTACTTTAAGGTGCTCGGAATTTCTTTGCAGTATGGATCGTGACCCTGTAAGGGATGGTTCAATGGAAGACCTCTCCAAGGGTGGTTGAGCGGATGACCTTGCCAAGTCTTCGGATGACACGAAAAGTCGCTCACGGGCCTTGCTGAGGAAGCGCTGCCGGTAGGTGCTGCTGTCACTTGTTCATCAGGGATTATGTCTTTGCCAAAGAGCCTGAACCCTCTCTTGGGCTCCGTGCCATCGGGTCCTGGTGGGGCTTGTAACGTGTGGCTCGCCAGAAGTACCACTCCAGTGAAGAAGAGAAGACACGCGAATCTCATGCTCGCTATGCTGTTGTCAGTGATTGCAAGGTCCTGCGAAACTTGGACACACACCTGCGTACAGTTTATATACCACTTCTGCTTCGAATCCTGCCTCGAGACGCGTAAAATCCAAGTGAGCCCCGGGGCAGCCTCGCAAAGGGCGTCACGGGTTTTTGCCAGACCCGTTGCTCTAGAATGATGCCCCTTGTCCGCCTCTCCCCGACTAGCCCATTTGCCCATTTATATGCGTCTCTGCCCTCGTGAAATACCACACAAGTGACGCCTTACGCCTAGAAATCCAAGCTCTTGATCACTATTGACAACGCACTTTGCAAGCTGGCTTTGCCAAAGGCCATCACAGCTGGATATTCCGACTTTTTCGGTTGTTTCGAACTTTTGCGAGGAAGATGGACACCCGAGCGAACAGGGCTATCAGAATATGTTCTGCGACGAATAGAAGAGGAAAATACAGGGGCTCGTATATAGAGGCATGCGTCGCGCTACGACGCCTGGCTTATCGCTGGAGTCTGTGCTCGAGGGCGCGCTTGAGCGCCTGCTGCGCAGCGCAGCAGGCGGTGGCGTGCTCCGGACGTCCGGCACGGCAAGTAGGACCCGAGAAACAGAGCCTAGTAAACAGGGAGAGCGATTACACACAGGCGTGGGAAATAAACAAGGGCGAGCGAAATAGGTAGTGAACTACGGGGCGTCGTGGACGCCCCAGGCCCTGACATTGTATGCCGACGCGTCTCGCGCTCGGACCGTTGCGACGCCTACTTTGATACTTACTTTATAGTCGCTCTTTTCATTCTTATTGAGAAACAACTTTTGCCCTTTTCGTCGTCTGATTGGTCAAGAGCGTCGACGACTTTCGCGATCGCCGCGGCAGCGGGGTCCGGAGACACCTTTAGAACTTCAGGGCAAGTTGTTCAAGCTATGTCGTCCCTAGTTGAGGTCTGTGCTGACGCTCAACCTCTTTATTGGAAACGATCAGCTCAGACGACGTACTTCCTCAGCTCTGTCAACCACTGCGATTCCGTCAAGCGTCCAAAAGCTCTCCTTCACACATTGTTGTCGTCATTTCGCAGTACAGAAGAGCACAATGAGAAACAATAAGTGAAACGACGAAGAAAAAGGAGAAATGAATCTTACATTCACGTTACGAGGCTCCGCCATCAGCTTTGCTCATGTCTTTGGCAGTGCCTTGATGACCCTCTCGTCCTCTCAATTTCGCCCTTTGTCTTCGGACGGCGCCTATAAGTTTCTTGAAACCCACGGAAGCGAGCTGCTCTCTAAACCGTTCAGTTTGGCGACGTTTCTCTCCTCTAACCTCGGCTGGAATCCACGTTACAGGAAATGAGAAGCCTTCGTGCGTGAAATTTTCGTCCAAATCGCCAGAATTACCCTAATTTAGTGTGCGGTAGACTTTCACTCCAAGATTCGGATCGGGGGGGATGAAGCGATCGCTTATAATAACCTTTATGACCAGGACTTGGGCCACATGTGGCTGATTTGCAGCCTGTAGAGCCGAACTTTTCTTTCTGATCCTGTCTGAGAGGTGAACCTTGGCTTGTGGGTTCATTTGAAAAAGCTGTCCGAGTTTCTGGTTCCTGTCTTCGCAGTTATACAACGGAATCGTCGACAACCATCGATCTTGCCCAAGCTGAGCATATAAAAGAACGGTATTCTTTTTTTTTCCACGCATGGAGAAATCAAAGTCTTTCATGGACTCCAAGCCCGGCCACTGTGTCGCAACCACTTCTTTCAGGTGACTCATCGTATGGTGATTAAAGAACGACCTCCAATTCTTTGGCCACGCGGGATCTGGGAGGGGGACTTGGTATTGTCCTGCGTCGGTTCTTGTCTTCATTCCTACCCGCATGGTACCCCATTTACCATTGGACGCCTCCTGAAACAAATTGATAGTCTTCGATCCGCCGTACTTTTCCAAATTCCACTTGCTGACATCTGCTTGTAGCAAGGGCAGGTCTTTCCCGCTTGTTTCGATTCCATGTTTGGCATATTTTGCTGCCTCATCCTCCCTCCTGTTTATCCATCCTCCCCTGCTAAGATTTTCGCTTCCACGATTTTCTATCGTCTCTTCTTGCTGATCCAACGGCGGTGAACGAGCAGCCCGACGAGCGTCACGCATAAAAGCGGAACTCCCTGGAGCACTATGAGGCGAACCTTGCGAGCTCGAGGAGCTTAACAACATGATCGGCGAAGGTGAAGTGAGTTGTTTTGCAGAGGAGAAGTTTTCAGCTGGTGGGCGCAGAATATTGCTTGGGCCTTGTTCGTCGTGTGAGTGCTTCAAGCTGCTTGAAGCTTGGTCGCAGTGGAGACGATCTATGCTAGTTGGACCATGACATTGCCAGGGGTGATTGAATGGGAGGTTTCGCCAGGGGTGGTTTAGTGGGAGTTCTTGCCAGGGGCGATCAAATGGAATGCCTTGCCAAGTCCTCGGATCACTTGAAAAGTCGGTCACAGGGCTGGCTGAAGAATTGCTGTCCGTAGGTGCGACGACAACCTGTTCATCATCAGGGACCACATCCTTGCCAAAGAGCCTGAACCCTCTCTTGGGCTCTGTGCTATCGGGTCCTGGTGGGGCTTGAAACGTGCGGTTTGGCAGAAGTACCGCTCCGAAGAAGAAGAGGAGACACACGGATCTCATGCTTGCTTTGTCGTTGTCAGTGGTGGCGAAGAGTGCGAAAGATGGCTTGACAAGTTCGTATATATATCCCAACGGCCTTGACTACCGCCTCGAGACACTTGAAGCTCTTGGAGCCCCGGCGTAGTTTTGCGAAGGGCGTCGCGAGTACAGTACAGTACAGTATATTGTTTGAGCCGTTGTTTTAGAAAGATGCCCCACTTACTCTCCCCAAATTAGCCAAGTGCCCCTCTCTCCCCGAAATTTTTTTTGACCCTCGGAAATATGTGTCTCTGCTCTCGCCAGGTTCCACGCTAGTGAGGCTGTACACGGAGGATGTCAAGCTCTTGTTATTATTGACAACGCACTTTGCAAGCTTGCTTTAGCTAATTTGGCGGTCATGGCAAACGTCATCCACCCCAGAATCAGACCCACGCAGTCATCGTAATTGCTGCCGGATATGTCTTGATCCTCCATAGAGCGCTTGCTGGTTGGCTCCGTTGCTTCGACCACGAGCGAGTTTTGAATGCACTACTTCTAGCAAGTACGGAGTACAGTACAGGAGCGACCACGCTTGTCCTCTCGGTGATAACTACAGCTCTAGCCATTCCATTTTCGTCAACGTCAATTCAGGAAAGCTTTAGCAGGACGTGAATCTAAACTAAGAGGGAAAAAAGACACAAGCTACAGAAGGTAGAAATGCAGCTACCGCTTTCGCAAATAAAAGAAGTAACCTCGTCGCGTTTGGGATATACTAAAATTTGAGCACTCTTTCCCCTACTTCTGACCGTGAACTCCAAGCTGGAAAGCTGAGACCTGACGCGGGTGTTCTTGCTACTGTCAATGCCCATCACAAAGAGAAAAGATAATTTGAAAAAGACGAGAGGAAGAGCAAGTGAAGTAAGAAGACAGGACAGTAAAAGCAGCTTTCTATGCCATTGCTGCATTTGCATCAGGTGCATGCTACGAGGCGTCGCCGTCAATTCTACTCGAGACTCGACGTTGTTGCGCCTCAAATTTTTCGACTGCCTTCTTTCCGGCGTTTCCGATGGCTCTTCTCTCGGCATCTCTCGCGCTTTTCAACCCCTTTTTGAGATTCTCAAAATCGCCTCCTTCATATTCCCCCTTCGCTTTAAGTCTGTTTATTAGCTCTCGAGTCTTGCGACTTCTTGTCTCCCGCGATTCACCCTTAATGTAAGGAAACGAGAGCCCTTTGTACTTAAAGTTGTCGTCCAAGCTGTAAACCTTGTGCCGTGGGGGCACTCGGTAGACTTTTTCCCCATTGTTGGGAAAGGGGGGGATGAAGCGGTCGCTCTGGATTATCTTCGAAGCGCAAGGCGCACCACGTTGATCCGCGCTGTCGGGCTGTACATCTTCAGAATGGCATTGTGGTAGCTTGTCTTTCACGGCAACCCCAAGTTGCTCCTCTTTGTTCTCGGCTTGGCTTCCGACAGTCGTGCCTAACCATTGCACTTGCTTAGCCTGAACCGCTTCGTGGATATGTTTTTTATTGCGATAATAGTCGGGGTCAATTTCTTGTAGCTGGCGTTCATCCGTTTTGACCTGACAGAGAAAGGCCTCTCCCGCGCGTTTAAGGAAAAGCCTCTTCAAATTCGTACTCCATCCGGGATGTGGGAGGGGGAGGTCATAGAGTCCTTGTTCGGTCTTGCTCTGCATTCCCAAGCGCATAGTGCCATATCGACCGAAAGACGCCTGCTCGAAGAATTTAAACGCCTCCTGAGCGTCGCGCCCTTTGCACTCTGGCACTTCCCACTTCCCAGTATTCAATGGTATCATCGTCAAGCGGTCGCGGGTAGCTTCTCTTCTCTCTGTCACATGTTCTTTTGTCCTTTTTGCCTCGTTGTCAGCCTGACCTTCCCTTTCATGAATTCTCTTCCTTGAGCCCGGCTGTTTCAAAGGCTGTAGATGAGCGACCTGACGAGCATCATGCATGAAGCTAGACTGCTCAGGAGCGGCTAAAGACGTGTACTTCGCAGCGAGAGAGCCTGCGGCAGGTGGTCGCAGTGTACTGCTTGAGCTTTGCTCGTGGCGTGGGTACTCCATGCTGCTTGGGATTTGCTTGTTGCGCGGGTGCTCCAGGCTGCTTGGGGATTGCTCGCAGCGTGAATGGCTTATGCCGCTTGCATCATGATCTTTCCAAGAGTGATCGATTAGAAGCCCTTGCCGAGTCCTCGGATCACACTGGAATTCGCTCGCGTGCCTGGCTGAAGGAACGGTGCCGCTAGCGTGTGCGGCTTCAGCTTGTTGATAAACGTCCACGTCCGTGCCAAAGAGTCTGAGGTGCTTCTTTGGCTGCTCGAGCTGCGAAGCTCCCTCTCCCCTTCCTGGTGGGTGTTGAAGAGTGTGGCTCGGCATAAATCCAGCTCCAATGAAGAAAAGGAGGAACACGATTCTCATGTTCGCAATGTCGATGTCGATGTTAGCAAAAATAGGGAAAATTGGCCTGACCAGTCCGTATATTATACTACCCTTTTGGCCTTGACTACAGCCTCGATATGTTTGAGACAAGTTTAGCCCCGGCGCAGCCTCGCAAAGGATATCGCCTTCAAAGTCGTGTTTGACCGGTTGCTCTGAAGAAACGCCTTTGTGTCCACTCTCTTTCCAAACAAGCCATCTGCCCCTTTCTCTCCGAACGATTCAATTGCCACTCTACATGTGCGCTATACTGAGGCAAGTGAGCAAAAAATAAAATTTCAAGCTATTGAGCACTCTTGATAAATGCACTTTGCAAGTTTGCTTAGCCCAAAAGCTACGATGTGAGGAAGCTGTCACCTGAGCGAGAGGCGCTAAAAGAAGGTATTCTCAGTTGAGGAGAAAAGAGAAGGGAGAGGGAAAGGGGCTCGTCAGTAAGGGCCAGCTGGCGATGGCGTGCTCCGGACGTCCGGCATGGCGAATAGTACCCGAGAGACAGGGCCTAGTAAACAGGCGAACGAGTAATCACAGGCGGACGAAATAAACAAAGGCGAGCGATAAGAAACGAGGAAACAAATAACAGCAGGGGTAATTAGGCGTCTAGGACGCTCCAAGGCCCTGACACAACGCGTCATGGCAGATGTCGTCGTTCCCAGACCAGACGGATGCAATCAATGTCACTTCTGCGTGGTCTGTCTTGACCTCATAGACCACTTCCTGGCTAGCTCCAATGTCCCAACCATACGCGATCCTTGCACACGCTGCACGTATCGAATCGGGAGCATCTATGTGATTCTGTTTATCTACCATTAAAGTATATTCAGGACGGCGTGAATCTTCAGTCTCGCAGGAACAAATCTCGAAACGATACAAAATATAGAAGAGAGGAATGCCTGCATCAGAGGCATGTCACGAGGCGTTGTCGTCAAATATCGACCGCGACTTCGCCTCTTTCGACTCCGCCTTCTTCGACTTTACCTTTTTCTCCTTGGACCGCTTTTCTTGGGCCGGCTTCTTTTCGACAGCTCCTTCAGTTCTTCGCTCAGCCCTTCTTGCATTATGCAGGTATTTCATGAACCGATCGAACTTCTTTGGATTGAAGTTATTGCACCTTTGAAGATTTTTCTTGAGCTCGAGAGTCTTGGCAAGTCTTGCCTTCTTCGATTCACCGTTTACGAAAGGATGCGAGAACCCTTCGTACTCGAAATTCTCGCCCACAGTGCCGAAATCATATTTGGAATTGGTGCGATAGACGCGTGCTCCAGTATTTTGAGGAGGAGGGATGAACCGATCGCTCTCGATGATGCTCAAAAGTGAGAGCGCACCTTGCTGGTCCGTACTCTTGGACTTCATTTTCTCAGAAGATTGTTCTGGTGGGACGCCTTCCGTGAAGTCTCCATTTCGATCCTCTCCGGCCTCGCCTCGGTATTCCTGGGTTGTCATCAACCATTTTCTTTGTATATCCCGAGCCTTTTGGCGGACTCCGTTGGACCATTTACCATACTGATTGTCAATTTTCATCAGGTCAAGTCCATCTTTTTCGACCCGCTCGCGTAGTTGGCTTAGGGCACGATCATTGAAGATTTTTCTCGACTCCTCGGTCCATTCGGGATGGGGGAGAGGAACTTCGTAGAGTCCTTGTCGGACGCTTTTGTTGGCTCCGATGCGCACGGTGCCGTATTGGCCGGAGGACGCTTGCTTAAATAGTGTAATCAGCTCCTGACCGTTGGGCCTTTTCAGCTTCAAATCTTCGAAATTCAACATTGTCATCTTCAGACCATCGCGGGTGGCTTCCTTTCTCTCCATCTCATCTTGACATGTCCCTTCTGCCTCCATTTCGGCCTTACGTTTCTTCTTGTAAGTTCTCTTCTTCGATTTTTGTTGTTTCAGGGGCTGTAGAGGAGCGACCCGACGAGCATCAAGCATGAAGCTAGATTGCTCAGGAAGGACGGAAGACGTCTGTTTCGCAACGTGAGAGCCTGAGGCGGGTGGACGCATCGAACTGCTTGTGCCTTGCTCGCGGCGCGGGTCCTCCAATGTGCTCGAGGATTGATAGCGGTGTGAATGGCCTAAGCCGCTTACCCCATAACCATTCCAGGAATGATCGGGCGAAAGCCCTTGCCGAGTCCTCGGATCACATTGGAATTCGCTCACGGGCCTGGCTGAAGAAATTATGTCGCCACTGTGTGTGGCTTCAAGTGGTTGATCAACGTATACGTCCGTGCCAAAGAGTCTGAGGTGTTTCTTGGGTTGCTCGGGTGGCAAAGCTTCCTTTCCCTTTGTTTGTGGATGTTGAAAAGTGTGGCTAGGCAGCAGTCCAGCTCCCAGGAAAAGGAGGCACACAAATTTCATGTTGGCAGTGTCGATGTCGGTGTCTGCGAAAAGTAGGGAAAGTTGGCCTGACAAGTGCATTTATACCACATCTGCTCTGACTACCACTCGATACATTTGAGACTTACAGCCCCGGCGCAGCCTCGCAAAGGACGTCACGATGAGAGTAGTATTTATCCGGTTGCTTTGTAAAAACGCCCTTGTATTCACTCTTTTTCCAAACAAGCCATCTGGCCCCTCTCTCCCCGAACGGCTCACTTTTCACTCTCCAAATATGCGTCACTCTGCTCTCGTTCAGTACAGCACTACTGAGGCAAATACGCCAAAAATGTCAAGCCCTTGATCACTATTGACTACGCACTTTACAAATCTGCTTTGCCCAAAGGCCAACATGTGAGGGAGCTATCCCCCTGTGCGAAAAGGGGCTCAGATAATGTTTTCTGCGACGAGCAGAAAAGAGAGAGTACAGGAAAGGGGGCTCGCTATATAGTTCAGGCGTCACAGAGCGACGCCTGGCCTATCTGGGGACATGGTGCATAGGTGCGCCAAAGCCTGCGTGATGGGCGTGCTGGAGCTTGTCGCGCTGTGCAGCGCTCGATTGCGAGCTTCGGACATCCGGTACGGTGCATAAGGCCCGAAGAATAGAGCCCAGTAAACAAGGCGAACGAGATAAACAAGTACGAGCAAAAAAAGGAGTAAACAGGGAACAGCAGGGGGACCTGGGCGTCCAGGACGCGCCACGGCCCTGACACAACTGTGCCATGGCAGATATTTCCGTCCCTAGGACAGACCCTCGCTGTCACTGTCACTGCTGCGTGGTCTTTCTTGATCCCCTCATAGATCAGTTCCTGGCTAGCTCCGATGTCCCACCCAAGCGCAATTCTTGCACACGCTGCACCTAGTGGAGCGGGAGCATAGTAAACGAGCGACTATGCTAGTCCTCTCTATTACATTCGCAGCTCTGACAGTCTATCATCAGTGTAAATACCAGGACGGCGTGAAGTCCAGCTCGGACGAGCAAAATAGGAAAAAGAACGAATATAAGAAGACACAAGATACAGAAGAGAGGAATGTCTGCATCAGAGGCATGTTACGAGGTGTTCTCGTCAATCTTTACACGCGACTTGGCCCTTTTCTCCTTCTTCTTGACCGATCTTGCTTTGCCCGCCAATCTTCTCTCAGCTTTTGGTTCAGCCCTTCTTGCGTTATCGAAGTCCTTTCTGAGCTGCTTGTGATCATTTTGATCGAAGGTTCCGTTCATTTGAAGGTTTTTTTAAAAGCAAAAGAGTCTTGTTCCTTCTTGCCTCCGTCGTTTCGCCCTTTACGAAGGGATGTGAGATCCTTTGAACTCGAACTTTTTGCCTACAACATCAGACTGTGAGGGTGTGCGGTAGACTTTCGCTCCAGGATTCGGAGAAGGAGGGATGAAGCGATCGCTTTGCATGATGTCTGAAGCTGAGGGCGCACCTTGCTGGTCTTTACTCTTGAGCTTCTTATATTTAGATTGGTATTCTGGCGAGGCGTCTTTGCTGAGCTTTGCGATTTTTTCCTGGTCGTCCTTGCTTTGAATCTCCTCAGCGGTCATGAACCATCTTAATTGCTCGGAAATGACCTCTTCACGAACTTTTGTGGGGCATCTACCGTATGAGGAGTCTATATCCTTCATCTTGCGATTGTCCGTTTTGAGCTGTTCGTAAAGCATCTTTCCCGCACGTTCAAGAAAAAGCTTTTTCAGTTCCATGTTCCACATGGGACGTGGCAGGGGAAGATCATAGAGCCCTTGTTCCGTCTTGCTCTTGATCCCGATGCGCAAGGTACCGTACTAACCAGAGGCCGCTTGCTCGAAGAACTCGACTAAATTCCGCCTACCTCCGTACTTTCGCACGAGTTCCCTTTCAAACTTCCATTGTGCAATGTCCAACGATATCATCATCAACCTGTTGCGGGTGGCTTCTTCCCTCACTAGATCATCTAGCACGTTCTCGGCTTCCACTTCCTTAAAAGGTCTCATCCTCGATCCTTGCTGTCTCAGGGGCTGTGGAGGAGCAACCCGACTAGCACCAGGCATGAAGCTAGACTGCTCTTGAGCAGCCGAAGACGTGTATTTCGCAACGAGAGTGCCTTTGGCGCGCGGACCCATTGATCTGCTTGTGCCTTGCTCGTGGGGCAGGTACTCCAGTCTTCTCGAGGACTGCTCGCAGTGTGAATGGCCTATGCCGCTTGCACTATGACCTTTCCAGGATTGATCGGACGAAAGCCCTTGCCAAGTCCTCGGATCACATTGAAGTTCGCTCACGGGCCTCGTCGAAGTGATGCCGCTTGCGCGTGGGGCTTCAAGTGGATGATCAACGTATACGTTCGTGCCAAAGAGCCTGAGGTGCTTCTTGGGCTGCTCGGGTGGCAAAGCTTCCTTTCCATTTCTTTTTGGATGTTGAAAAGTGTGGCTAGGCAGAAGCCCGGCTCCCAGGAAAAGGAGACTCACCAATCTCATGTTTGCAGTGTCGAAGTCAACGTTTGCGAAGAGTAGGGAAAAGGTTGGCCTGACAAGTGCATTTATACCATTTCTGCTCTGACCGCCACTCGATACATTTGAGACTTACAGCCCCGGCGCAGCCTCGCAAAGGGCGTCGTAGGTAATGTTGAATGAGTTGCTTTGAAAAAATGCCCGCTGTGTCCACTCTCTTTCCTCAAACAAGCCATTTGCCCCTCTCTCCCCGAGCAATTCCTTCGCCCCTCTCTGCTCTCGTCAACAAGAGCAAAAGTGAGGCATGTACTTCTAGAACATCAGGCTCTTGATCACTCTTGCCAACGCACTTTGCGAGCCCGCGTGATCTTTGCCGATTCCCAATGAAACATTTCCTGGCTAGCTCCGATGCCTCGACCCCGCACGGATTTCGCGATCTGCCTCTGGCGGATTGGGAGCTCACTACACAAGCAACCAAGCTCGTTCTCGCTATAGCCACTACAGCTCTGAACATCTAAATTTGAATTCATCAGAAGGGACTCGATAAGAGGACATCTTGGCTGTACCGCAGCAACAGGAGAGATGATTAAAACGAATGAAAGAGGTGCTGCATAAGGAGCATGTTATGAGGCATTGCCGTTGTTTTGACTTGCCGTAGCAGCTGTCTTTTCGTCACTTGTCTTTTCGTCAAATTTCGGTTCGTCAGCTATCTTTCCGTCAGCTGCCTTCTCTCCAGCTGCCTTCTCTTCAGCTGCTTGGATTTTGCTTGCTCCCGACCTTGCCCTTCGGAGCTGAGCTTGTCTCCTTCGCACCCTTTCCGTCAGCATTGCATAGTCGAGCGCTTCAAACTTATTTCTCTCCTCGAGCTCTTTTCTCAATTGACGAGTTTTCTTCCTTTTCGTGTTCCTGTCTTCACCATCGACAAATGGCAATGAAACTCCACGGTGCTTGAAGTTCTCGTCCAAAGGAGCGAGGTCGGCTTCTGGCAAGGAGCGGTAGACAGGTGTTCCTTTATTAGGAAAAGGGGGGGATGAAGCGATCGCTTTTCAGAATCTCGGGAGCTGATGATTCTCGTTGCGATGTGCCCTCTTCACGGAGACCAGAGGAACTTGCCGTGAGAGTTTCCTGATTCTCACTCTTCGGCTTCAACTTGGCCTGTGCCCACTTATAAGGTCGAAACCAGGTCACTGCTCTTTTGTTTTCCTTGATGATGGTCTGGATTGTCTCGTCATTAGAGTCCAGAGACGACAACATCCACTTCACTTGTATACGATGAGTCGAAGCTTTGATAACTGTGCCTTGGAGCGCAAAATCGGGATCGATCTCCGTCATTTTCCGGCCATCCTGCTTTAATCGCTCCTTCAATCTCTCCTTAGCTTGTAAAGTAAAAGACTGTCTCCAGGGCTTTTCCCATGCTGGATTCGCGAGGGGCAGCTCATAAAGTCCTTGGTTGTTTTCTTTGTTGATCCCAATGCGCATGGTACCATACTGACCTTCAGACGCCCTTTGGAATGCTGTGATGGTCTCTGGCGCAACGGGTGTAGATTCAAGCCACTTGTCGAGTCTCAATTGAATTAATTGGAGGTTTTCACGGCTTGCTAATTGCCCGTTCTCTTTGACCAGCGCTTCTGCAACGCGCGTCAGTTTCTGTGGCCTGCTCACCGCCGTGGCTTTCTTTTTGTAAGGTCTCTTCCCTGATCTTTGCTGTTTCAGTGGCTGTGGAAGAGGGACCCGACGAGCATCATGCATGAAGCTAGACTGCTCAGGAGCGGCCGAAGACGTATATTTGGCAGCGAGAGAGCCTGCGGCGGGTGGTAGTAGTGCGCTACTTGAACCTTGCTCGTAGTGTATGGCCTTCAACTGGCTCGGGATTCGCTCGCGGTAGGGATGAAGTATGTTACTGGAGTCCTGCCCGTACGGCTGGGTAGACTGCACCCCTCTAGCAGTCCCAAATGGGAGCCCAGGGTCGCTTACCGTCTTCTCGGACGACGCGCTGCCATTGTACGTGCTTTCGACCGGTTTACTGGGTTCGATATCCTGTCCGAAGAGCCTAATGCGTTTCTCGGGCCGGTAGTCATCGTTTCCTGGCGATGGATTTTGATAACTGTGGCTTGACAGCAACACAGCTGCAATGAGGGAGAGGAGACAGGTGGGCCTCATGCTTCTCATGTAGTTGTCAATGCTCGAGGTCTTGCACGAAGTCTGACTGACAGCGTACAGTACAGCACAGTACAGTACATCTACCACTACAACTGCTCCTGATATACGCCTAAAAGAGCCCGGTAGCGCCTTTCATAGAGCGCCATGTACATGTCTCCTACTCAGGAGGCGTCATGAAAGTGTCTGTTGCCTTTTTCTCTCCGGCAACATGCCCTTTGCCCTTACTGTCTCCCCGAAGGAGCGCCTTTGACCAACGCCTTTCTTTAAAAGATGCCTCTTGCCCCATGCAAGCCCCGGTGGGCTCGCAGAGGAGGACCAACAAAACATCACGTGCTTTGCACGAACACGTGACTTTGTCGTTTCCATCACTTCTCCAACTTGGACGAGGAGATGTCGAGAAGGAGCATCGCCAAAGTGTGTGTGCCAGGCCCGTCGATGCTGGTCCGCAATCTCTTCCTCTCAGTCGCCCGGCAGGCTCGACAGCAGGTCACGTCCAAGGTCTATGTGCCGGCATTCGGTGCAGTGGCGTCCTCTTCACGCCTCGTCCTCCCTCACCAATCATTTAGCACATCGGGACCCAGGCGTCAGGACCGCACACTGGAAGAGAAGAGAGACGCAGCAGCAACGGCAGGAGGGCACTCATCCGAGGAGACAAAAGTGAGCGAGCTCTGGAATTCTGTAATTGATGCGATCGATTCGGATTACCGCAAGAGCGAGCGGCCAAAGAGCGAGCACAAGAGAGGTAGTCCAGAAGCCAGGGCGGCCGAGCGCGAGGCGCGCTTCGAACAGAAATGGCAGAACCGGGTCGTCTTTGGCGCCAACCTGCCGGGAGGAACACCAAGCGCTGGGAGAACCGTCGAAGTGAGCAGCGACCACGGCAGGCATGGCTCGGCAACCGAAGGGGAGGATGTGGCCAGGGCGTATGCGATGATGATGGGCACCCTCCGCCGCAATAACATCCGAAGAGAGCTCAACTTGACGCAACGATATGAGAAGCCAAATCAGGAGAGGAGGAGGAAACGGAGTGAGCGTCACCGGAGAAGGTTTGCCGATCTCGTGCGGAAGAAGGTTCAGCTGGTGAGTGTGTCACAGTCAGTCCACGTCTGCCCTGCTTCCTCCTGACATCCTTCAAACGACCCAGGTCATGGAGCTCAAGGCTCGCGGCGCTTAGAAGACTGTATTAAGACCGTATGCAATGCATTGAAGATGATCGATAGCATCGCCGTGATCTGATCGGAACAGCCACGATAGTGGTCGCGGGCCATGTCAGTTCTTTGCGCCTCTCTTGTGTGCAGCAGAAGAAAACCAGAAAAGGCTGAAATCGAGGGCCTGCGAGAGATGCCCGCGTGTCTGTTGCCCCAGACAAGTAGGGTCCCAATTTATTAGTTCAGATTCCACACACAAAAAGAGAGAGAGATAACATTCAACACACAACCTGCTCTTGGAACGCAGACGTCGCTCAGCGCAGGGGCCGAGGACACACGGGGTTCGATGGCGTCAAACACAGCACAGGCCGCCCAAGGTGGTAGCGGGGTTGGTGGCGGCGTGCGCAGCAGTGACATTGGCAGCGGCAGCGGCAGCGGCAGCGGCAGCGGCAGTGGTACCAGTGTTGGTGGCTGCCGGTACGCGTTCGTGACGCTTCTTACGACGGACGAATATCTTCCCGGAGCACTCGTCCTGGCCCACTCCCTTCGGCGCGCCCACAATGTCGCCCTCCAACCGCCTGGCACGTTGACGCCTACGGATATTGCCAATCTCGGCGCAGGCGGGCTCTCTGCTTCACCATCACAGACCTCATCGTCCAGTGTGGAGCTCGTGTGCCTTGTGACACCGAGCACTGTGAGCGTTCGTAGCATTCGGGCCCTCGTTCGGGCCTTTGACAAGGTCGTCGGCGTCGAGCCGCTGTCTTTCTCTGGCCTTGCAGCGACCTCTGTGCGAGGTCAGCGAGACAGAAGCAGAGCGAGGGAGATTCGCGAAAACAGCCAAAGGAAACTGGCCCTTTTGGGTAAGAGATTCCCCCAAGATTCTCAATTGTCTGCCACTCACCATCTTGCTCTTGCTCTTGCTCTCTCCCTTGGGCTGTCTAGGTCGGCCTGATCTCGATGGAAAGACGCTCACCAAACTGCACGCCTGGCGTCTGACGGGCTACGACAAGGTTGTCTTCCTCGATGCCGACATGCTCATCCTCCGACCCATCGCCCACCTCTTCAGCCTCACAGCCTCGTTGAGCGCATCGCCCGATATTGGGTGGCCCGATGCCTTCAATTCTGGCCTCTTGGTCCTGACTCCCAGCCTTGCCACATTTGCTGATATGCGTGCCTATGCCGTCGAGCGCGGCAGCTGGGACGGTGCCGATCAGGGCTTCCTCAATGACTACTATGGAGGCGAACTGGCGACCGGCGACGAATCGAGGGGCGGCGGGTGGCACCGACTCCCCTTTCGCTACAACGTCACTCCCAATGCGGGCTACGAGTACGTCTACCCCAGCCACTCTCCTCCAGTCCTTGTAGGAAGAGATCCTCTGACCCTTGCACACTTTTCTGAGCTAGGTTCGCACCTGCGTACGAACGCTATGGTCCTGGCATCATGGCCGCGCACTTCATCGGCCAGCACAAGCCGTGGAATCGGCCTTCACCTTCCCGCTATTCCTCATCAGCGGCGAGCAGAGCAAGGGTCGCCGACTATGACGCCCTGCTGGCTAGGTGGCACGATGCTTATGAGGAATATTACCCCGCCATTGCAGCTGCACGCAGCGGTGGCACCGCCGATGTTGTCTTCACCGAACGAGGCGCTGAAGTAGTGGAGCGTCCTTTCGTGGTCCCTACTTACCGCGCGGTGTGGGATGCCGAGACGGGCATTGAGCATCGGAGACCACACCCCAGGACCCGAGGCGTTCGCAACCGCACACACAGCTCGGCCATGCGCGTTGCTGGCCAAGTCGAAGACCTTAAAAAGATGTTTTCCCCAGATGTCGTTGCGGCGAGCGCTGCGGCCGACGTGGACGTGCACGTTCCAGGCGAAGGCATATATATCAGCCTGCCCCTCGACGGGCGCACCAGCCTCATGCCACTCGATCTCGGCAGCGAAGAGAGCGGCGATGAAGGCGACTCTGCCGCTACTACCCCACGGCAATCAATGTCGTCGGCTTCACGTTCTGGTCAGTCTGTTCCGCACGGCTACGAGTCCCATCGAGAAGGTGTACCGCCAACTTCGATAGAGATCCCTGCCTCAGCCACACAGGCGCAATCGAAAGAAGTCCACGACTGGTCTCCGCCAAAAGTTAGCTGGGACCCAGCTAAGGAGCCTCCGCCGACGGGCCAGGGTTTCTCTGAATACCAGATGCGGAACCCCCCAGATACCTTTTACGTCAATGCTTGGGACGTGCCAGCCCATGAGCAGCCCCAGGGCAAAGCAGCCTTTTTCCCTGCACAATTCTTCACCGGCACGTCGCTGATGAGTGAGAGCAGCAGGCAAAGGGCACTCGCGAAGCTGCAGCGCGAGCACTTTTTCGACAACCTTGGAAGCGAGAGACCCGATCCCAGCAGAGTCAAAGCCGTGTTCCCGTGGGAAGAAGGACATACACAGCAGCAAAAGCCGACTTCTTCTTCGTCTACGCACCAGCGAGATCGAGGCCAACCCAAGCCGCGCCGAATGTTCCCAGACGAGGATCCACCTAGCGTCGTTCCTGGAAGCGTCGGTCTTAATGCGAGCTTGGAGCGCGGAAGCGGCTCTCCCTCATATGAGGTGGAAGAGCCGAGTTTGGATTACCAGACGGCGACATATCCATCGTATGGTCCCCCGACGAGCTTGAACAAGGCACTCCCAGCCAACTTGAGCTATGCTAATGCCTGGGATCAGGTCAAGGGTATCAATGACTACGTGCGACGTGTAAAGGGCTTGGCACCTTCCTCGTCCAAAGCTGGTGCTGTTGAAGGGCAAGGGGCTGCACCCCAAGGGGCAAGCTCAAAGCATCGCTCGAGCACCTTTGACGGCGGTTTCGGAAGAGCAGTCGGTAATCCTGGTGGAGTGGCAACCGACGACGGAGGCCGGGGCGAACAGAACAGCGCCGATCAGAGTGGCGATGGCGACGACGAGAGCTCGTCGGACGACGATGATGGCGATGATGACGAGGGAGGAGAAAGCTGGCCTCGGGAGAAACCTGGAAAGGGATATCAGAAGCGCGTTGAAAGCAGCAAAAGCGGAGAGACGTTTGTCTGGCCAAAGAGCCCGAGACAACACGGATCTCCAGCCCTGTATGGCGGTGGCGGCAGCGGTGGCGGCTCTGCGTCTGGAGGCTTTGGAAGCGGTGGGGCAGCTGGAGGATCTTCTGCGGCCATGTACATGGCGAGATCGAGAAGTTCGTCGGGCGCGGGCTCCTCATCGCACCTTGGCGCCTCCTCCCGACACTATTCGCGGGCCGAACAGCCGGCCGACTATGACGCGATCCTTGCCAGCTCACCTAGGAGACTGCACTACAACGGCCTTTACGGCTCTTCTCCAGGAAGTGGTGTTGGGGCTGGGTCTTCTCACTTCATCCAGCAGCAGCAGCAACGCATCCCGAGCGGGACACACGACGGAGGAAACATCATGAGGCCGGGCAGCGGATCGAGCAGTCCAACGGCCATCATTGGCGGCAACGACACGACATTTACGAGAAGCGAACTGGCGCAGATGGCCAGGGCTCATGCTCACGCGCAGGGCTCCACCAGCCATCTGTCTTCCTCAGGAAGCGGCGGCCACCCACCGAGAAGGTCGAGGAGAGGACCACACTACTAGTAATGTTGAGCATCCTGCGTTGGACAGAAGAGCGCCTTCTGCTTTCACCCCACCCCGTTTGCATGTATCTTGGATGGAACTTAATTGCCCATTCAAATTTTGTGGATACGAGGGAGGAAGTGAGAAGTGAAGGTCAGGAAGAGAGAACAAGAAGGAAGGAGAGGAAGTGAGGAGGTGAGAAAGTGATTAGAGAGACCGAAGAGTCTATCAGGGTTTCGCTGAATCGTCGGAGGTCTTGGTCTCGGGAAAGGGAAGCAAGCTGGTGGGCTTGGCCGCTTTTTCCAATATCTCCTTAGGAATGTCAGGCTTCAGTCCTTGGGGACCCAGGTACGGCGGATCGGAAAGGACCATGGAAGGGAAGTGGGGAATCCAACTCGTGGATCCTGAGCTCCCGACATCCCCTTCTTTTGACGTTGTGGATTTCATGTTGTCCCGGAGCCTCCGGTATTCTTCTTCGAAGGCGGACAAGTTCATATCTTGCTTTTGCGTTTCCTCCGGTAGAGGTTGGTTGATGTCGATAGAGAAACGTTTAAGACCTCTTTCTTCCCCGTCCTTCGGAGGCATACCGTTTGTGTGGTAGATTTTATACTCTTCCGCCTTGACATATGCAAAGGGGTTATGGTTGTAAGTTGCGTTCTTTATGTCGTGGAGGAGGCGGCGGTAGTTCTCTTTGTCTGCTTTCATCCAGCCTGTGACTGCGTATTTGCTTATTCCGAGGAGCAAAGAGAGATTCGCCCTCAACATTGAGATATCAGGACTTTTTGGGCTTGATTCCGTACGAACGAAAAAGGAAGGTGTCGGCTGGCCGAGGGTCCAGCCAGTGGCAGTCAAAGGAGAGTCACAAGACGACAAAGAACAACCTTCAGCGGTACGCAGGACGCCCATTTCATACAAGTGACGATTACGTTCCGCCTCCCTCCACTCACGGTCCAGCTCGTCCATATAGACTTTGCCAAGCTTCTTATCTTCGTCCTTGTCCCCAGATGAAGTTGGTGGTGCCTCCCCAGAGAGAAGTCCGAACCCGTTCATGTGTAAGATGCGCGCTAGTCTGCCTGGTGCCTTCGTCCGCATGCGTAAGAGTGTTGAGTAAGAGATCGGCTCCTTGGTGTCAGATAGGCCTCCAGTGGCAACTCCGGCGAGGATATGACGGATACTGCACCCTAGACCTCTAACCGCATTGTCTGATCTGCGCCTCTTAGGCAACTTTTCCTCTGGCTGTGAAGAAGATGGATCCGCTTGTGTTTTGCGCTTTGACGTCGATGGCGATGGTGAATACAGATTGTCTTCTGACGGATCTGCTTCTGACGGAGCTTTGAGCCTTGCTTGCGCCTCCCTTAGAATGTTCGCATGCCTCTCCTCCCTGTATTCGCGTCTCTTCTTTCCGCCTAACTCGTAGTATTGCCCAATCATTTCGCGTGGAATGTAGTCTTTCGGGACCTTTGTGAAAGATTTCTCCGTCGCAGCTACATAGAACTTTTTGTAGGCTTCAGGGTCAGCATCTTTCCAGCCTTCCAGCGTAGGACGGAAGACTTCGAGCAAGATGCACAAAATCTCTTCTTCGGCATGCCTTCCACTTCCGATTCTTCTGACAAGATCCTTGAGACCCTTCCACTCCAGCAATGTAGGCTTGCCGCGTTCGTCGAGGTACTTTTTGTAGCGAGCTTCGAGCCCTTCCGAACTGAGAGCCTCCCTTTTGTATTCCGCGAGGACTTCATCTACGTATTCCCTGGCATTGTGTCCATCGTCGTCCTTCTGCAGATTTTCTTTGGCAGTAGCTTCATCAACATCTTTAGGGCGCTCACCGCATGCGAGCATGACCAAGGCCAGCTTTTTGGGTTTCGGTAGCCTTCTTAAATATGCCCAATGTATCTTCTTGCCATTTCCAAGCTCCTGAACTGCGGCTTTGCATTTTTCGTCCTCAACATTCTCGATCTTCTCCCGGACGAACGAAGTGTACGAGCCAACTTTTTCGCCTGCATGGCTTCTCTTTCCCGAGCTTCCGCTTGGTTGGTAATATGGAAATTTGTATATGAATACGGCCTGCTTAGACTTGTCAGGAGGCGGTCCCTGGTCAGTGGTAACACTTGAGGGAGCTGAGGAAGGGCGAAGGACAGAAGTGGACGACGAAGCGATGTTGTCAAATGCTCTCTTTCCAAGGCCTTTGCGATCTCCTGCTGCGTTTGGACTAGCAACGACGCTTTGCGCAGCTTCATGGAGAGTGTTCGAGGAGATCGAAGAAGGTGGTGGCGAAGGTGGCAAAAACTTCGAGGAGATAGTTGGCAGCGACGAGTCGGTGGCGCGGCCCGGGTTGGCATTCCCCTTTGCTGCATCAACGAAAAAGACAGCAAGGATTGATGCTCCTAGGAGCAGAATGAGAAAAGATGCAGCACGACATGGACTACGCACCATGACCGATGCGTCTTCGTGAAACAAGTAGAAGTGTGAGACGTAAAGTAGATGGGGAAAGACAAGAGAAGGAGCGAGTCTACTAAAATGCCTGTGGCGCACTCTCATTTATAGCCCCTGCTTCGGTACTCTTACGTGTGCATGTGTACGTTGGTGTGTGCATGTTAGACTCGGTGTCTCTTGCCGTGATGAGTAGTAACAACAGCAATGCACTGCCTTGGCCCCGAGAGCACGCAATATGGGAAAGGCGCGCTTACGCGCAAACGCCGTCGGGCCTTTACAGGAGCCTTTAGTCTAGTTGCCCATTCAAATCTGTGGATATGAGGGAGGAAGAGAGAACAAGAAGTAAAGGAAGTGAGGAAGTGAGGAAGTGAGGAAGTGAGGAAGTGATATAGAGAGACCAAAGAGTCTATCAATTTTTCGCTGAATCGTCGGAGGTCTTGGTCTCGGGAAAAGGAAGCAAGCTGGTGGGCTTGGCCACTTTTTCCAATATCTCCTTAGGAATGTCAGGCTTCAATCCACGGGGACCCAGATACGGCGGATCGGAAAGGACCATGGAAGGGAAGTGGGGAGTCCATCTCGTGGATCCTGAGCTCCCGACATCCCTTTCTTTTGACGTTGTGGATTTCATGTTGTCCCGGAGCCTCCGGTATTCTTCTTCGAAGGCGGACAACTTTGTCCCTTTCTTTTCTTCTGGCGGGCTTTTATTAAGGTCGATGATCGGGACTTTGCGACCCCGACGTCCGCCCCTTTCCTTAGCTTGACCGAGAAAATGGTAGTGGTCGTACTCTTCCGGCTTGACATATGCGAAGGGGTTGTGGTTGTACCTCCCCTCCCTGATGTCGTCGAGGAGGCGTCGGTAGCTTTCTCCTTCCTTTTCCCTCCAGCCGAGGAATGCGTATTGGCTTATCCCGAGTAAGAAAGAAACGTTGACCTTCAGTGTTGTTGTAATCGGCCCTCTCTTGGCCTCTTCAGTTCGAACAAAGCTGGAAGCTTTCGGCTGACCGAGCATCCATCCTGTGGAAGTGGAAGTAGGATCACAAGATGACGACGAGGAACAACCTTCAATGGGAAGCAAGACGCCCAATCGATATAAGTGACGATTTCGTTCGGCCTCCCTCCATTCACGTGCTAGCACGTCCAAGTAGACGTTGGCAGATTCCTTTTCTTCTTTCTCGTTCTCTCTGTTTCCAGATGGAGTTACTGGTGGCACCCCAGAGAGAAGCCCGAGTCCTCTGTCATGGAAGTAGTGTGCAAGTCTGACTGGTGACTTTGTACGCAAATCTAAGAGTGCTGCAAACGTTTGCGGTTTACCGACATGTTTCCTTCGCCGGGCAAGCTCGGCAAGCATCTGACTGAAGCTGCCCGCACAGCTCTTTACCGCATTGTCTGGACTCGCTTCATCTGTCCGCTTTGGTCTCTTGGGCACTATTTCCTCCAATTCTGAAGATGCTGTGTCCGTTTCTCCTTTACGCTTCGACGTTGAAGGCACTAGTGATTCCAGATTTTCTTCTAGCAATTCCGACTCCGACATCTCTTCGGGCTCTGTTTGCGTCTTTCCTTCCATCTTCGCTCGCCACCTGGATCTGCTTTCCCTTGTCTGTCCCTTGCCGGCTATGTAGTATTGCCCAATCTTATCGCGGGGGATGTAGTCTCTCGTGTCCTGTATGAAAGAATTATGCCTCGCAGCATCATAAAATTCTTTGTAAGCTGTCTTTTCCGCTGCTTTCCAGCCTCTCATCGTAGGACGGAAGACTCCGAGCAAGTCGCACAAAACCCCTTCTTGATCATAATTAGAGAGCCCCAACCTTATAGTGAGCTCTTCGAGACCTTTGAATTCCACCATTGTAGGCTTGCCGCGTTCCTCTAAGTACTTGGCGTAGCGTTTTTCCAGCGATTCGGAAGAAAAGGCATCCGCTTCGTACTCTTTGAGAGCCTGCTGCACATAGTCCTTGGCGAAGCCTCCTGTTTTATCCGCCATTATCTTCTCTGGGGCCGCCGTATCATACCCTTCCGAATGTGAGCTGCATGCGAATATTATCAGGGCCAGCCTCTTAGGGGTCGCTCTCTTGACAGAATTCCAATTTTTCGGAACATTATCCCCGATTTCTTCTTTGCATTCCTTGTTTCCAGAATTCGCAACACTCAAGATTTTCTCCCGTATGAACATGCTGTACGACCCAATTCTTTCGCCTGCACGTTTTGTTCCTTTTTCATATTGTGCAATCTTGAGGACGGGCTTGAATAGTCCAGACTTGTCAGGAGGCGGTCTCTCGTCCGTGGGAACAACTGGGGGAGCTGAGGAAGGGCGAAGGACAGGAGAGGAGGACGAAGCGACGTCGTCCAATGCTCTCTTTCCAAGACTAGAGTGAGTCCCTGGAGCGTTCAAGCTGACAATGGCGTACTTCGAAGCTTCAAGGACAGTATTCAAAGAGATCGAAGAGGGTGGCGGCGAAGGTGGCAAAATTTTCGAAAAGGTGTTTGACAGCGAAGAGTCGGTGGCGCCTCCCAGATTGTCGTCTCCCTTCGCTGCAACAACGACAAAGACAGCAAGGATTGATGCTCCTAGGAGCAGAATGAGAAAAGACGCAGCTCGACATGGACTTCGCATCATGTATGGTGCGTCTTCGTGAAGGAAGGACGAGTGTGAGACGCAAAGCAGATGGGGGAAAGGAAAGAGGAGAACTGAGACTAGTCAAGTCTCTGCGCCACACGCTCACTTACAGCTCCTGCTTCAGTATCCTTGTGTCTGTGCATGCAAACTCGGTGTCTTTAGCCGCGATGAGTTGTAGCAAGTAGCAAAGCACAGCCTCGGCCCCGAGCACACGTAAGATGGATAAAGCGTACTTACGCGCAACCGCCGTCGGGCCTTTACAGGAGCCTTCAAAAACGTAAGAGTGATCAAATCGCTGAGCTGAACCCTGCAAAAATCACTCCGCTCCTTGAGCCTCTGGATTGAATCGACTTTGGCAACTACAAGTGGGAGAGACAAAACGATCGCTTTGTGTGCTTACGAGCAAGCGTGAAGATTACGAAGTCACGGTGACCAAATGTCGACGGACACTTGACGAGCGTCTTCGTCTTCCTTCCCGGAGTATCTTCTCGCAAGCGAACGGAAGAAAGTAGGAAATCAATTCGTCTCTAGGAAAGTGTGACAGAGAACAGGAAACGGAACGATAGGGACAGAACATCAATCAGCTGGCAACAGGAACATGCGAGCCTTTGGGTTCCGAAGGCCTGATCTTGGTCTCAGGATGGGGGAGCCATCTAGTAGGAACAGCCGAAGTGAAAGTGGGACGCTCTTCTATCTTGGGGGTCAACGTATCTGGGCCGAAGTATGGGGGATCGGTAAGAAGTAGAGAAGGAAGAGTCGGTGGTGGTAATGCAGAGATGTCGGTACCCTCTGAGAAAGGGATTCGTGACGACGCGATCCGCTGATTGAACCTCTGATACTCTTCTTCGAAATGAGTTAATGTCGCACCTGGTTCCTTGCTCGGCGGAGCCTGATTAAGATCGAAGGGGTTTTGTTCACCTGTTATAACTTCCCCGTTCTCTATACGTTTACCGTGCGCCTCATAGTCTAGGTATTTTCCTGGGTCCATGTACTCAAAAGGGTTGTGTGTGTACCTTCCTTCCTTTAGGTCCTTGATCAGTCTGCGGTACTTCGCTTTCGCGCCGCTCTTCCAACCTATGATTGCTAGCCGAGAGGTACCAAGAAGGGTAGCGAGCTTGAATGGTTCTGACAGCACCTCACCATCCCTCTCATTAGTCGGCCTGACCTTGACGTCGAATAGGTCCGGGCTGGGCTGACCTACGCTCCAACCGGTGGGAATCGGATCGTTGGTCGAAGGCCCCGTCGACAAAGCGGAGTTCATTGTAGGTCGTAAGATGCCCCATTTGAAGAGGTAACGGTTCCGTTGTCCTTCTTTCCACTCTCGAGCTACTTCGTCGAAATACGCTTTGCGCTCCTTCTCCTCTTTCGGTCCAGGCAATGCCGCCTTGGATAGTGGTCCCATTCCACAGTCGTGCAGTGGCTGCGCTAGTCTGGCTGCATCGGTGTAAGACCAATGTCGGATGGTGTTAATACTGACCTTCTGTCCTCTTTTCTCCAAACACTTGGCGAGTTCATTTAGCAGTTGGATAGAGCTTTCTGGCTCTCTACTCCGTGCCTTTTTCATCTTCTTACTCTTGCCTTCGTTGGTCTTGAGCCTACTGTATCTTCGTTTAGGCACTCGGATCTTTCGCTTCCTGCCCCTTGACGTTGTTGGCGCTTGTGCGTCTGAAGCTTCTGTCGAGTCTACTCTGTATTTTTTCTTCCTTCTTGCTTGCCTCTTTTGCGTTTGAATCCCTCGATATTTTCTTTCTGCTTCAAAATATTCTGTACTTCTTGCTCGCGTAAAGTAGTCTGCTACGTTCCCCGTGAAGGTGCCGTCCTTTAGACCTTTGAGGAAGCGCTGATAGTTGTCCTTTTCTAATTTTTTCCAGCCTTCATAGACAACAGGGATGACTTTAAGTTGGTCGCGATAGACTTGTTGGCGCTCTGGCGATGAGAATTTCTTCTTCGTTTTGTCAAGAAAGTCTTGCCAGCTCGTCACTTCCACCATCTCGGGTTCGCCGCGAAGTTCACGGTCCTCGTCGTAAAGCTTGTCAAGGTTTTTTGGGGAGAAGACTTCGTTCCTGTATTCCTCGTGGGCCGCGTCTATGAATTTCTTCGCCAGGCCCAACTTGACTTCAGCCTCTCCTGGGAGCACTTCGTCTTTCAGCTCGTCAACGTTTTCGACAAAGTTTTTAGGGAATACGCCGCACGTGAGAAGAGTGATTGCCAGTCCTCGATAGTCTCCGTGACAGTAGGCCTGACACAAGTCGCTGCTCGAGCGTTCTTGGACTTTATCTCGACACTCTTGGCTCGCATACTTTAACGGTTTGACAAGCTTGTCATTCAGAAAGCTATCCCTAGTGCCGAGCGAGCTGCTCACTCGTTGAGCCCGCCTCTCGGCGTGAGGAAACCAAGTGATAACGAAAGGTCGTTGCCACTCTTTGGTCCCAGCACGCTTCCTTGTAGCTTTTTTAGTAAGTCTCTTTTGGTTAGTGTCGGGTGGGAGCGAGGGAAGCCGGGCCGGATTAGGAGGATCTGGAGCGGACGACGAAGCAACGTCGTCGAGCGCCCTCTTCTCAAGATGTGAGTGAAAGTCTGTCTGGCCCTTCCTAGCCGCTGTGTCGTAGGTACTTTCAGCAGCGGTATTGAGAAAGCTCACAGAGGACGACTGCGACAAGGGCGAGTGCTTCTTTGGGAGAGGCGAAGACAAGCGGTCGGTGAGACCTCCAGGATCAGTCTCTGCCTCTGCAGCGACCATGCCAGAGATGGCAAATGTCGACATCGCCAGGAAAACGAGAATTATGTAGGGCGCAAGACGAGAAGAGCCTAGCATCCTGAATCGCTTGCAACTCCTTAGTGAAGGTTGTCAGAAGAGAGGAGAACGAAGATAAAGTGGCGGCTGGGGTGGCGTTCTCTAGTATTTATCTCTTCTCTGGACTCCAAAAACAAGTGCGAGCGCAAGCAGACCTCTTGCGAGTGCGAGCCACCGAGAATAATGGATAAGGAATTGAAGAAAATAAAAAGGGAACTGAAACCCCAAAGCATTTCGCTTCCCCCGAGCTCAAATATCTCGCGAAAGCACTTCCGACCGCCCCGGACAACAACAAGCTGACGTGTTTGGCCTCTACAGAGCTTTTTGAAGGCTTCCGGGCTATATCGTCCGTTTTGACCTCTCTCTATGACTTGACCGCATCCAACTCGCCTCATTCTCAATGCAAACGAGGGAGAGTGAGAAAAACACTCGTCATGTGCAAAGTGGAGCGTGGTCTAGGAAAGGCTACTGGTACGATGTGAGATGTAGCGAATTGCAATGGAGAGCCTTGGCCCCGAGCGCACGCAGCATGGAGATGGCGTACTTACGCGCAACCGCCTTCGGGCCTTTATCGCAGCCTTTGACTACGCAACGGTGATCGAGTTGATGAGCTGGACCTTGCGAGAGTCACCTCAAGTGAATCGCTTTTGGCCATTGTAAGTGATAGAGATGCTCATATATACGTACGGGCAAGCGTGACGCAACGAAGCTGAGGTGGCAAGATCTAAAAGCAAACTATATGCCACCCTTCATCATATACATCTTATATGAGAAATAGGAGGAAGTTGATTGGGCTTGAACATTGGAGAGGGAAAAAGAAGAATAAAGACAGGACATGAAAAATTTCAACTGGAAGCGAAAATCATGGAGTCTGTGGGTTTTGAGGCAATGACCATCGTTCTAGGACGGGGAAGAATCTCAGTGGGTGCCGCCGCAGCGTAAGAGGGACGCTCTTCAATCTTGGGAGACAGTGTGTCGGGACCAAAGTATGGCGGATCTGTAAGAAGAAGAGAGGGAAGAGTGGGTTGTAAAGCAGAGGTGCCCGGGCCGTCTGCGTTTGGTGTCGACGACGACGGGGTCCGCTGCTTAAGTCTCTCATACTCCTCCTCGAAATGACTCAACAGCGAATTTGGATCCTTTTCCTTCGGTGGGGGCTTGTTGTAATCCCAACCTCGCTCTTCCTTAAGGAACTTTTTCCCGTTGTCTTTTTCTTGTCCCATTGTCTCGTACTGCAAGTACTTTTCCGGGACCATGTAATCGAAGGGATTGTGCGTGTATATCCCGTCCCTCATGTCTTGCCGAAGTTTCTTGTAGCTCTCCTTTTCAGCCAATTTCCAGCCTACAATTGCTTGGCGAGAGGTACCGAGAAGGAGTGCCAGACTGACTTGTAAGGATGGCCTTTCGGCACTTCCCCTGTCCGTTGCCTTTCGCTGAAATGCTTCTGCATTCGGCTGGCCTATGCTCCATCCAGTAGGATTTGAAGTCGGAGTCGAAGAGCAAGACGATAAAGAACAGCCCGACGCAGGTCGCAAGACGCCCCATTTGAAAAGGAATCGATTCCGATGCGCCTCTCTCCAGTCGCGAACCACCTCTTTGACATACTCTTGGCATGCGATCTTATTGTCTGGGTCGGGAAGTGCCATCTCAGAAATCGGTCTCATATCGCACTTGTGCAGGCGTTTCGCAAAAATGGGGTCAAATCGATTGGCCAAGAGGAAGACACGGTTCAATTGCTCTTGCTTTCCCTTCGCTTCTGCACGCCGAACGTACTCTTCAGCCATTAGGAGGATACTTTTCCTGTATGGTCTCCCTGCTTCCTCTTTCTTCTTCTTCTCGTCCTTGTTCGCTGTGTCGGAGTGTTTGCCTTCCGGATCGGAAGGCGATGGCCTCTTTCGTTTTTTACCCTTTGATGTTTCTGGGGCTTCTGAGAATGAAGATTCTGTCGACTCTGCTTCTACCATTGCCTTCTTGCCTGCTTGCTTCTTTTCCTTCGCCTTCTCCTCGATCTCCTTCCTGATTGCTAGCCACCTTTCACAGTATCGACTTACTTCACTGCGCGAAAAATAGTCTGCTAGATTTCCTGTGAAGGTACCGTCTTTCAGATCATGACTGAATCTGTCATACGCCTTACTATCCATTGCTTTCCAGCCTTCGCAGACAGGACGGATAACTTGAAGAACGTCGCAACAGATTTTGTGGCGGTCTTTCGTATGAAGCTTCATCCTCGTCTTTTGTTCAAATTCCTTCAAGGACGTCACTTCCACCATCTCGTATTTGCCCCGAAGTTGTAGCTCCGTTTCGTAACGCTTTTGAAGATTCTCCGGCTGTATGATTTGCTCAATGTACTCTTCAAAAGCCTTGTCGACAAGATTCTTGGCCATGCTGGTCTTTGCCCTTTTCACTGTGAGATCATCTCCCTTGGCAAATTCCAAGTCTGTTTTGGTGATATGGACGAAATCTCGTGGAGCTATGCCGCAAGCGAGAAACATCAAGGCCAGCCTTGGGTAGTGCCCAACACTCTTGATCTGACGCAGAGTCTTATAGTTGAGCGTTCCGACTTCGCCTTTGCACGCGTCGCTTCCAGTTTTCGCTGCCTGTACGAGGACGTCTTCCATGAATGAGGTAAATTTGCCAAACTGCTTCATGCCTTTTGGTTTCTTTCTAATGGTTTGTCCAGGAACCCAAGGGAAAGAAAATTTGCGTCCGGGTGGTTCAACTCTTTCGGTAGTTGTCGAGTCAATCCCAATTGGAGATGAGGAGAGCAGAAAAGAAGAAACCGTGGGTCGTTGAGGGATAGCAGCGGACGACGAAGCTTCGTCTGCCAACGCTCTCCTCTCGTACCCTGTCTGATCGTTTTCCTTGCCTACCCTAGCTGCTGCGGCTCCGATGTTTTCGGCAGGGGCCGTCAAAAAACTCTGAGAAGAGGAATGCGACAAAGGTGAAAATTTCGTTGATGTAAACGACTCCGACCAGTCGTTCAGAGCACCGGATCCGGCCTCTGTCTCTGCAGCGGCCATCACGAAGACGGCAAAGATCGAAGCTGCCAAGAAAACGAGCATGCCAAAGGGCGCAAAGCGAGAGGGAAGTAGCATCCTGAGCCACTGGCATCTTCTCCGATGAAGAGACTGTGATGGTAGGGACAAAGACGCGAGATTATTGGGTAGCGTCCTCAACAATGTCTCTTTAGGACGCCAAACGCATGTGTGAGTGCGAGCAGGATCCCAAATTTGGAGTACGATACAAGATAAACAGAGGTATTTTTCCATGGGTGCCTCCAACTCGCCAGAGCACTTCCGACTGCCCCGGGTGCCTTAGAAGCAGACTTGCTTGGCCTTTACGTTTACGTAGCTCTTCGGCTGACGGCTTGTTCAGCCCGCTTGGGCTGAACAGAGAGGCAATTTGCCTCGACTTTTGACTTCATCGCACTCAAACCGCTTTGCACGCGCTGCAAAGAGAGAGGGGAAAGGAAAGGGGAACGATAACAATTGGAGGATCATGTGCAAGAACAAGCGTGATTGTGGCAATGGCTACCGGTAGAGGGCTGAATATTCTTCTTCTTTTTTATTTTTTTGACAGATAACCCCTAGAAAATTTGATCGCGTCATTCAAAGAATTATTTAGCCGCGCCACTCGAATCTGATTTCGCCCGTAGCCAACAACGGGTCGTCGTCGTCTTCGTCTTCCTCTAGGACATCGTCGCCCATGTTTTCCTCTTGTCTGCCCTCATTCTCATCGCCAAAGGAAGAGACATCGTCGTCGTCTTCCCCTTCGCCCTCGCCATCGTCGCTGTCGGGCTCGGCCGTGATGACGGGCCCAACCAGAGGACTCGTGGCGCGGACAGACGAGTCCGAATTGGCGCCGGGAGAGGCTGCACGGCGTCTCCAGCCGGCAGCCCAACTCGTCACACCCGATCCGTAGCTACTCGAGGGAGACGAGGCGCCCCCGGGGCTGCTCGGTCTGGAGTAGTTGCCGGCACCCCCTTGGCGATTGCCAGACTCCTCGTTCTGTAAGAGATCCGGCGTCGAGGAGCTTGGTGGCATCGTCTTTGCGTGCGTAGGCTGCTGGTGATGCTGATTAGGTTGACCATGCTGCTGCTGCTGCTGCTGCTGCTGCGACTGCGGCTGCTGCTGGGAAGTCTCCGGCACTGCGATGGTCTGAGCGCTGCTCCTTCTGCTCAGACCCAAGCTTCCAAGTCCGAATCTGCTCAGCCTGCTCGTCCTCGCCGTCTCGCCACCCTCCTCGTTGGAAGAGGCAGTAGTGGTCAGGACTGGCTCGGTACTCGCACTCTTCAAGCTTGCATTAGACTTGGCGCTCCGGATGCTTCTGCCCGACCTGGCGCTAAGCGCGGGTGACGCCGGCTGGGGCGGCGTGGGTGCCAGCTCCTCGTCCGGCGGCAGCTCAAAGTCCGTGGAGATGGAGGGTCTCCAGAAGTTGAAGTCGTTAAACTCAGGCTTGCCAGCTGTGCCTTTTGACGAACGGATCGTGATGGGCGGGAACATTTGATCGACCAGGTCGGTCATGTGGATGTAGCTCGACTTGTAGCCAGCCAGCTCCAGAAGCTCCATCTTGACCTCTCCATTAGAATCAATGGTGAAGATGCGTGACGAAGGCACGTTCACGGATCGATAACTGAGCGCATCGGTAATACGGTTGCCGAAGCCGGCGTAGAAAGGCGTAGCAGGCGCTTGGTGCGCCTGCTGCGTTGCTGCTCCATCGGCAGGGCTCTTGTCTCTCCCCGCGCCTGGACCGTTTGCCGCCTCGATCGAGCCCTTTTGCACGCCCGGCCACTCGCTGCCTGGCTGCGGTTGCGCTGTTCTGGGGTCCGCGCCAAACAGCCGCGCGATGTCGCGCAGACAAGCCATTTTAAAGACCTCGGGCTTGCGCAGAATCACTTCACGGTGCAACGAGGCCATGAGTCTGTCGGGCGACATGATGACGGGCCCATCTGGCATCTGGTAGTTGCCCTGCTTGATACCGCGGAGGTAGTCGCGAGTCGTGTCGGCCTGGCCGATGGCGCGCGAGGTGAGGTACATGATTCGGTAGCCGTTTCGCGCAATGTCCGTGTACAGCTTGGCCACGCCCATGTGTGTCCAGTCGCGGCCGATCATGGTGAAGACGTGGCCGAGGGCATCGGACTTTGTGATTGTGCCATCGATGTCCGACACGACAATGTGGTGGCTGCTTTCCCACAGGAAGATTCTTGCGGTGCACGTGGCCACGCCAGAGTAGGACGACGTGACAGAGAAAGTGATGGTGTTGGCGCCCTTGCGGAGGTTGAGCGACTTGAGCTGATCCGACGTCAGTCTCAGTGTCTTGGCATACATCTTCTGACTGCCCTTTGCTGCTGCTGTCGCTGCCTTCTGTAGATAGGGCCCTTCCTCGCTGCCCTTCTCGCCGCGCGGCTTTTCAGTGGTCAGGACAGAGTCAGTCTGAGAGCGGTCCATCAACCTTGGCGGCGGAGCCTTCTCCAGGTCGCCAGCCTCTCGACCGCTTCGATTCCACCATCGCCTCCAGACGCTCTCCCGGTGTCCTTCCCCACCTACGCCGTCGGCAGCCACAGCGGGGTCTACAGAGCCGTCCTTGGACATGGGCTCGTCCATGGCCTTTCGGTAGAGGGAGAGCGTCGCCAGCACTGCAGATGCGTTCTCCCACGTCAGGAAGCGCTCATGGTAGCGAACCACGAGACGCTCATCGTTTACGACGTCGGCATCATCGATGAATCGCTGGTAGCTGACCTTGTTCTCTTCAAAGTGGTAGTCTTCGATCGTCTGCCCTTCTTCCAAGCCAACATCGCAGAGGCTGAGCTCGAATGTATGCCGAGCATCTTGCAAGATGAGATGAAACTTGTATGCATCATCATCGTCGCATTTCAGCTCTCCTGTCGAGCTTTCGCTGCTTATGCTTGTCCGTGTCGCTGATGCCGGAGCACCCACGCTGCTGATCCTACGACTGGCGCTTCCCCACCGCCAGCCCATCTCGTCAGACATGCCGAGCGCAGCATCGTCGCGAACCATGAGCGATGTCTGGCCCTCCTGATCGCCATCATAGCGTCCGAATTCAGTGTCGTCGCTCGTCGCGCGCTGGTGGCCTCTCGTCTCCTGTGTATCTGGCAGCTCAGCCTCTGTGTCGCTGAGTGAAACGTCCTGAAAGTGCCTCCTTGACCGTGCCGAGCTTCGCTTGCCAGTCGGAGGACCGCCGACACCGGGCGTGGAGACGGTAGAGGCTGGGGTGTGATCGGAACGCAACGACCTGGCTAGCCGGACGAGATCTCTGCTGAGATCCAATTCGTCGCGGTGCATGGCCGAGTCAGCCTCTCCCAAGATGGCCGCCGGGTCCAAGAGGGTACCCGATCGGTTAGAGTCCACAGTCCTCCTCCTTGCCATCGGCGAGCTGCCTGCTGGCCCACCGACGCCCGCCTCTTCCTTGAGATGGCCTTGCTCAGCGTCGTCGTTGCTATGGAGGGAGCGGGCATCGCCATGGCTGCTCCTACGCATGCTCGAGTCCCGCCGAGGCAATCCCTCGTGACCGCGGTCAAAGTGATGGTGATGGCCATCATTCAGAATCTCATGATGCCCATTGCTGCCATTGCCGCCGTGCCGTCGACTGAGCGGCAGTTCGTCCGAGAAGCGATTGCCCTCGGCAAAGGCCAGATCCTCGCCATCGGCCGTCATCTTGTAGCCGTCCATGTCGAGCATATACTGCAGATCCTCCTTTCTACCCCCCTTGGCAGCCACCTCTTCATCGCCGACATGCTTGTCCTCGTCGGGAAGCCCACTGTCGTCGTTGTTGATGTCAAGGTGCTCCAGTCGGCCTCGCACAGTCCTAGCATCGACCTGGGCTGGCATGACCGTGCCCTTTCCCTCGATGCCGCTCTCTACGGGCATGAGCTTCCTGCCGCCGAGGAACTCAGCGTGCTCGGGCTGCGTCGTCGGTCTCGTCTCGCTGTTGGCACCCGTCGAAGTGGACCCAAAGGGAGCTGGGTAGGCCTCCTCGATTCGGTCGGCAATGATGGATGATTTGCGCCTCGACGATGATGCGACCGACGACGACGATTGGCTGCCCTTTCGCTCCCTCGACCGGCTCTTGATCTCCTCGAGCTTCTCGACGGTCTCGATTGTGTTCTCGGCGCGGTCGCGCATCTCCACCTCGAGGCGCTCCGTCTCATTGTCAGGTGGGTGCTCCTCGGCGTCGTCGGGCGGGTGGTCGTCCTCCTGCTGCTGCATGCGCATCTGGCCCTCGGCAGCCCTCTCTGGCTCGTACTGGTGAGCGTCCACGGGACTCTGGCTCGCCGTGCGGTCACCCTGAGCGACTTTGGCTCCAGCGACGCTCGTGTCGTTACCCCAGCCCTGCTTCTGCTCCCGCTCCGCCAGCTTGTCCAGCTTCTGCGTCCTTCCCAGCGAAGAGGGCACCACGGACCTTCCTGCCGCTCCGATGGCGCCGCTGGCCTTTGATGCTGCCGCACCCATCGAATCGAGAATCGAAGACGGCCCTGCAGCGGGGCCCGAGCCGCTGTGTCCAGACTCGTGGGGGTGTGAATGCGAGCCAGACGTCGGTGGTGGCGCAGGCGTCTGCGAATCGGATTGAGAAGCTGCGGCTGCCGCCGCCGCCGCCGCATCGGAAGACGTGTCGTTCTTGGAAGGCGACTGACTGCGGAGGCTGGGAGACGTGACTGCCGTATCGACTGAATACCGCGTCTGGGCCGAGCGTGCATCCATGTCGCTCTCGCTGAGCGAGACCGTGTCGGTGCCTGCCCTTGCCGAAGCGTTGGACTGCTTGTGCTGGTGCTGCTGCGACGACGACGACGACGAGTGGGCCGACGACGAGGCAGCGCCACCCAGGTCCAGCGGCGGCACATAGTCCTCTTCGATGAACTTTCTCGGTGCGGACACGGGGATGAGGTCGCCATCGCCTTCCTGCGGCTCGTCGCTCGGCTCGATGGCCGGGCTCGTCGTGGCGCTGAGGATGGGGCTCGTGACGAGATCGTCTGGGATACCCTGCCGCTGCTCGTCGTCGTCGAGCTCGAGGACAAAAAAGGCCTCGCCGGCCTCGCCGACCTTCATGGCAAACGGCAGAGGGTCGGGGGAGTTGTTGAGGTGGAGAGTGACCTTGCGCTCGGCGGGCCGCAGCACGCTCATCTTGCCAAAGCGGACGTGAAAGGGGGTGCTGGCGAGCTCGGTGGCCTGCACCTTTCGCGTGCCTCCCTCGCCATCGTCCTCGTCGCGCTCCACCTGCCGCTCGACGACAATGACATCGATGGCGCCGCTCAGCGTGGCCGGATTGATGCTGGGCGTGATGGTGTTGTACACCGACGACACAAGTCGGCCCACATACTGCATCCTCGCGTCGGTCTCCCGTGGGGGGGCGAGTCAGGCCAGTCCTGACTGTCGCCGACTCTCGTCTGTCGCCTAGCGTGTTCAGATAGATGGATGGAAAGAGAGAGAACACGCAAGAGAAAGAAGATGAAAAGGAGTAACCGAGAGTCGCAAAGAGGAGTGGGGTCCACCGATGCCGGCGTCGTCGTCTGAAAGAGCGCAAAAATTAAGAAAAGGCAGCAGCCACGTTCTGTTGTGGAGGGCCTGCCCTAATCCGACCTTTTTTTTTTTTGCCTGTGCGAGAGACGTAGGGTAGGTAGGACGGCTGATTTCCAGCTCTCTCCTGTTGCGGAGCAGTCGTGGAAGCTCTTGGGAGGGCGGCGGTGTTCTCAGAAAATATACCAGGTCAGGCTAGGGTGCCGATCCAAGTCGTCGAAGAGCAGGGCGTAGGCAGGAGGCGGCTCTTTTGTCCACCGGCGCGCCGCGGCCCAACCAGCGCCACAAAATAAAAGAAGGGCGCCTCTCTCTCTCTCTCCACTAGTTGCGTGGCTTTCGCGGTCCGCTGCTGAACAGCAACAGCAACAACAACAACAACAGCAGCAGCAGGAGGCACGCCGTTGCCGTCGCTGTCGCCGCCGCCCTTTCCCGCGATGGAGGCCGTTGCTCCCTTTCCGAACCTGCCAGAGGAGCTGGTCAAGTTCATCTTTGAGCTGGCCTGTCTGCAGGACGCAGAGCCTCATCGGCTTCGGGGACAGCAAGATAAAGGACAGCGACGATATCGATCACGGCGGCAGGCTGAGGCACAGAGGAGCCAGCTCGATGTCGAGACGACGATTGGGCTCATGTGCGTCTCACGCGCGACGTACAACCTCATTGCGCCCATCCTCTACCGGAGCGTGACCCTCGCTCGCCCCTCGCAGCTCCTCGCCTTTGCGCGAGGCCTGCTCGAGCGGCCCTCGCTCGGCACGCTCATACGCAATCTCTGGGTCGGCAGCCTCGATGGCATCCCGCGTTTCCCCGCCGTGAGCGAGAGCGCCTCCCTCTTTGCCGCTGCGGCCCACCACCGGCTGCAGGGCGGCGGCGGCGGCGGCGGCGGCGGCGACGGCGACGACGACGACGACGACGACGACGCAGAGGCGGCCAAATGGGTGCCCGACGGCAGCATGCTCGCCTACTTTGACGATGGCGCCGATTTCGCCAGCATGTACGTCTCGGGTGATCCCCAGCATGCCTCGGGCCTCCGACGCGCCGGCGGTCTGGCCGGCACGCCCGAGTTTGGTGTCGAGCGACGGAGCGCAGGGTACGATGCGTCGGGCAGCTGGATCGGCATCGACGAGTGGATGCTTCGCTGCGTCGAGCTGCAGTACGTCGTCGAGTTCCACTACGAGTGGATCCGGCTTGCCTCGCACTTGCACGCCGTGGGCACGGGCCTTGAAAAAGAGGACGAGGAGAAGGCACAGCGGGACCAGGAGGCGATGCGCGACGATCCACTCGACTGGGACGAGGCTGGCGCTGCGCCAACGCCGCTACCGTCCCAGCAGCCACAGGCAGCCCACCACCACGGCGGCACCATTTCCGCGTCGTCGTCCTCGGCAGAGTGGATGAACATGGCCAACTCCATGACGCTGAGCGAGGCAGAGTCGTTTCCCCAGGTGCTTGGCTTCTCCCACATCACCGACTTCTTCACGCTGCGCTCGGCAGGTCTCTCGCCCCGAGAGGCAGCCAGGCCGCTCCTGGCGACGCTCATCGAAGAGCTCGCAGGAAGCGACAGCGGCCTGACGCCCGAGTCGGCCACGCGCGTGGATCTGCTGGCGAGCGACGGGGAGACTGACCACTTTGGCCATCCGGCCCTCTTTGCCAGGTCGGGCGCCGTCGATCTCGTCTTTGGCCTCGGCGCCGCGGCGGGCGACAATGCGCCGCCGAATGCTATCCCAGCCGCGGCGGCAGCGCTGGCTGCCTTTGGCCAGGCCATCTACGAGGATGACGAAGACGACGATGATGATGATGACGACGACGACGAGGATCATAGAGGAGAGGCTGACGGCGGTCCCCGTGAAGCGCGAGAAGAGGAAGGAAGAGGACGAAGGGGAGCGTCGAGCAGAGCCACACTCGATGTGGCCGATCTGTTTGGACACGTCAGCTACGATGCTCGGACGCTGTACAAGAACGAGTCGACACGAGAGGGCGGTCCCTCGAATGGCGATGCGCATCCACGGCGAAAGCTCAGAGAGGCAGCAATGGCCCAGGCAATGGCTCAGAAGGCCGTCTCGCCCCTGCGGCCATCCTTGCCGACGTTGGGAAGCCTGCTGGCAAACATGCGCTCGGTCCTAGCCATGTGCCCGCGCATTCGGCTCCTCGGCCTCAATGGCTTTCTCGAGCGTGCCGTCGGAGGCGAACGCGAGACGGTGGGCCTGTCCGAGCTGTGGGTAGTCTCCCATTTTCTTCCATTATTTGCATTACCCTGCTGACGGCAGAGCCACAACAGACGGCACCTCTCCCTTGGCCCACCGCCACTGTTTTGGTCCTCTGCCCTCCGGCTGAACCAGGGCACGTTCTCCCACCTCCGGTCCATCCACATCTCTGGCTGCATGCTCTTTCGCTCCGAGGCGCGCGCCCTGGGCGGCTACGACGGGCAGCTCCCTCGATTGAGAGAGGTGGCCTGGACCCTGTGGCTGGCCCACCTCGAAGAGCACCCCGTCAACGTCGTCGAGGCCCTCTGCCACCTCCTGGGCGCCGTGCGGGACCCAGACGGCGGCGGCGGTCCCACGCGGAGGCGACGGCTGCGCAGCGTCACGGCCACGCTCAACCCCGAGGATGTCCGCAGGTTCCTCGCCAACCGCACCGTGCCAGACAGCCTCAAAGACGACGACAGGCTGGTGCTCGTCGAGTGCCCAAGCCAGGACCAGGACATGAATGTGGCAAGCGTGCGACACTGGTGGGAACGCAAGGCCGGCTTCCATTCTCCTTCCTCCTCTTCCTGAAGTATAGAAGCATTTGTAACAGTAGTCTAATATCCCCAATGCATTTGACGGTGCTAGTGTACAGTGCAGTGCAAGCTGAGAAGAGGTTTGGGTTCATGAGCCAAGGGCCTGACGGTAGAGATCGTCGCCCACGATGGACTGTAGCGCGGTTAGGTGGCGCCGCAGCCACGTCCGGACGCCCTCGGTCGTGGTGCCTGCGACCCGCACGACGAGCGAGTCGGCTTGCGCTTCGTCGAGCGCACTGCAGGACCACACGACATCGTCGACGACGGCCCTGGATCCGCGATTGACGCGCTGGCTGATGTGCGAAAAGTCAGCCAGGAGCTGGTCCCGCGTCGCGCGGCAGTCTGGCCCCACGAGGAGGAGCGTCGCAAAGCACGCGTACGGCCTGCAGCGCCGTGCAATGGCGTCGGTATCGCGGGGCGGCCGCTCGAGCAGGACAACGTCCCTGGCGAGGACTCGCCCGGCGACGCGCACCTCGTTGCGAGACATGTAGCGGTCAAACGCCCACTCCTCCTCCCTCTGCTCGTCCTGACTCTCTCTTGCTGCTCCTGCTCCTGCTCCTGCTCCTGCTCCTGCTCCTGCTCCTGCTCCTCCTTCTCCCCCTGCGCCGCCTCCATCGCGACGTGTGGACTGGTAGTGCGTCCGGCCAGGCGTGAACCAGTCGAGGAGGGCGAGCGACGACGTGGCGGCGCAGCGGAGATCGAAGCGCTGCGTCTGGTCGTACACGGCACGCTTGAAGCAAGTGACGGGGTCAGGCAGGACGACGAGCGTGGCGTGCCGCCGCACGAGGAGCCGAAACGTCTGGCTGGTGCCGCCGCCGCCGTCGATGCGGCCGCGCGAGAAGCGCTGCTTAAAGACCTTGGTGCTGCCCTGCGTCAGCAGGAGCAGCGTGCAGTGCGAGCCGACGTCAATGTCCAGCGAGACGGTGTCGCCCGAGACGAGCCCGCCGCCGTAGCCGACGACGTAGAGCGCAGCAATTGCCTTCCTCTGCGGCCGCGGTACCTTTCCGTCGGCTTCTTTGCGATGATCGGCGCTGGCACCGGCGACGCGGAGGGAGCGCGCAAGGGCGTTGCGCGACGAGGTCGAGGGCGACAGGAGCTTGAGCGGGAAAGTGGCCGTGAGATGCGTGAATACGCAGCTAGTCGGCGATGCGCCGGGCGCAGCGGCTCCCGCTCGTAGCACCGCGAGGCCATGGCCCTTGAAGCTGCCCTCGGTCGGCGAGGAGCCCGCCGTCGCCATGTCGCTTCTTAAGGACCAGCGCTATCTTTCGGAAGAACAAGAAGAAATTCCCTCTCACCTTCGCACGGACGCGCTCTAAAACTCAACTCCTCCTTACTCTTCTTCAACTTCGCCGCTTCATCGGGAAACCGCTACCGACGATGGCGGATAAGACTGCTCGCAGACCACTGACCTCGCGGCCCCTGGACTTCTTCTACGTCCTCTTCTTTGCCGTCCACCTCGTCGCATCGTGCCTCATCGACTCGCAAGTCTTTTTACCCGCCCACTTTGTCCCTGCGCCCCTCAGCGCGGTTCTCGACACGTTCCTGCGCGACACCAATGACCCGCTCATGCGCAGTGCCCTCGAGGGGCGGCGAGACAATGCGTGGTTCCTCGCCGCCCTTGTGGGCGAGATGGCCATCCAGCTGCCCATTTTTGCCCTCGGCATCGTTGCGCTGCTCAAGGGTGAGAGTCTTTTCCCCTTTGGCTCTCCTGTCTATACTCTGTGGCTCACTCTTAGTCAAATCACACCCCAGACGACAAGCGAATCTATCCCGTCCTGATCTTGTATGCTTCCGTAGGTGCGTAAGAGCCAGCCAGCGAAGACTCTCATCATCCGCCCAAGAAACCTTCAAAGAGTATGCTGACGACGAAGGACTGCACACCCAACCCAGCGGGCATCACCACGGCTCAGGTCCTCGCGACGTACTTTGTCGGCGACGAGCGCTTCCTCCTCACCTCGCACAACATCGTCGCCCTCCTTCAGGCCCACGCTCTTTGGGCCATCACACCGCCGATCCTGCTCGTCGACATGACAGCACGGTGCGTCGGCATCATTGGCGAGGCAACGAGACTTGCGAGCGAGCAGCAGCAGCAGCAGCAGCAGCCACGACAGCACAAGGCCAAAGACAGGAAGAAGCAGTGATTGCATGGATTCTCTTGATAGGAGAATAAGTGGTGGCTGGCTGCGTGAAGGTCTATTGTACAGTTGTGTAGATTGATAAAACAGTGGTGGTGGTGGTGGTGGTGGTGGTGGTGGTGGTGGTAGCCTATCGGCCTGGCAGTGAAGGGGAAGCGGGCGAGGAAGACACACTGAGCATCGTCTCGTAGACGACAAACATGATGGCTGCATTCTGGGTTAGAAAGAGAAAGCGTCAGCGAGGTGCGCGTGCTTCAGGTCGATCGCGTTGTTTAGCCTACTCACTGGGACGACGCGGAGCAGATGGGCGCTGAGGCCACCGTAGAGGGACGCAGCGCCCTCCTCCCGCCAGACGAGCTTGATCGTCTGCAGGAGGCCCGTGTACTTTCTTGCCTGCCCTGGTGGCGGCTCCTGCCTCAACCGGGTCCGCACCACCTCGTGCGGGTACGTGATGAGGCTGGCGACCATCTTTGCCGTGCCCGCCGCACCCACTGTGCCCATCCACTTTCTAAATCGGCTCACTTCCCGCTCCTCTGCCGCCGACGCTGAACCCCGCGCAAGCCCCTTGAGACGCTCGTAGAGGACCCACTGGATGGTGCCCTCTGCCACACCGAGGTAGCTCGCGCTCATGCCCTTGTACAGGCCCGCGATGCCCTCGGACTTGATGATTCGCAGCGTCATCTGCATCGAATTGGTGCTTGGCCTCTGCGGGGAGGGCGCCGCCTTGAAAAACACAGATGGGTTCGTCGCCCGCTTTGGTGCTCCGGCCAAGCTCGAAAAGGGCGCAGTCGCAGGTGTCGGTCTTGACGGAGGTCCAACAGTCCTGGCCTGCCCATCCCTGCGAACAGCAGCTTTGCGTCCAGCCTGGGCGGCCCTCTCAATGGCGTGGCTCTCGAGCTGCAAACGAGTCTTGACGACCCAGATTGGATTTGTGGCCGTCGCCGTCACGATGCCCGCCGTCGCGGCGGCGCAGAGGTGGACGACGGGCGTCTCCTTGCCGTCGTTGAAGTGGTCGGCGATGAGGAGCTTGCCGTTGCCGTAGGTGAAGAAGTTGATCGACCGTGCAGGAACGACTCCAACGAGCGTCGGTCCGAGACCTTTGAAGAGCGCCCTGGGTCCTTCCTTGACCGAGATGTCTCTGTGGCGATCGAGTCAGTCACCTTGTACGACGCAGAGTCTCTTTTGCAAGCTCACCTCAACAGCTGCCCAGTCTCGACAAAGTGATAGGCTAGTCGCCTCGCGTTTTGAAACATGCCGTTCTTGGCCGACGTCGAAGCGGCACCGCTCTTCGAAGCCGACTGAAAGATGTCCGACTGTAGTCTTGTCTTGACGACATCCAGCGGCGACGTGACGATAGCTCCGCACATGCCCCCAATCCTATCGTGGAAGCATCCATCCGTCAGCGGAAAAAGATCATCCTTGCTTGGGGATCTGGTCGGCACCACTCACCCTCCAGCGACAAAGTGCAACCACCCTTTTGGGGGAACAAGGGCTTTCTTCTTCTCATCCGTCGCGGCCCCTCTCCTCAGCTCTTCCACCCTCAAGTCGACCTCTGCGCCTGCATCGCCGCCTGGCCGCTCCGTACGCGCCTGGAGCTCACTGATCGAAAGCTTCTCGCGACGGGCGTCTGGCAGGAGGCCCAATGGCGAAGACGAAGAGGCGCCGTCTGACCTGGATGGGTACGCATTGGCCGATGGCAAGACGGAGAATGTCGTCTCTGTCTCGCCCTCGCCGGCAGAGGGCGTTCCCGGGTGCGGCATGTTGCGCTGGATGATGATCAGTCTCGATGAGAAGAAGGACTCGATCCTCGCACACTCAATCCATTTGTCTAACGTCCGAAAACGTCGGTCGCGCTTGAATCAGCAGGAAAGAACGAAAAATTAACCTCGGACGTGGGCACGTGTTTCGCAGATGGGGGAAGCGCGCGCTGGGTGGAGGGCACCACTGCCTCATCGCCTGCCACGCTTCGAGGGTTTTTGGCTAAGGGCGATACAGAAAGACCTCGTCAGTCAGCCCTGCAAAGAGCCATTGAAGCGGCGTGATGATGTTATAGGGGACTGGGCGGAGAATGGTAGCGCCTGATGCTGTGCGTACCTCTGTGGGCCTGCCTGATGACTGCTTTTGGCGTTGCAGTCTTACCGTATTCGTACATCGACAGCTTCGCATGCTGTTCTTTGGGAGAGAGTTTTGTGCGCCAAAATTCGGCCCAGGCCTACGCCTCTGCTGCCTATAAAAAGACTGTTGATAAAGTCTCTTGCCGAGAAGCTCAAGACGAGCATAACAGGTGAACATCTAATTCGCCCAGAGCTTCCGCTTTTTTTCGCGTTCAGCTCCGCGCTCCGACGAATACCGTGAGAGTCAGGGCAGGAAAGGATAAACCTCTCTGGGCCACTGTCTTGACAAATGCACAGCCTCGTCACTTGGCGCCGTGGGAAAGCGCTATCTCCTCTCAATCTCCTTTCTCTGACCATCGAGCTCTGAGGGTCAAAAGGGCTACCCCGTCTCATGAAATATATAAACCCCTCTCTCCCGGGCGGAAGTCTGAAAACCCTTACCCAGTTCTGCTTCTCAGCACTTGGCACAACGTATCCGCTGCTTTTTCTATCTCACCCGTGCACTTGTCGTCTAATTCCGACATAAGGACCGACTTAAGGACGATGCAAATAAGAATGCGTCTTCTCGCCTTCGCTGTCGCCGCCTCCGCACTCTTCCACATCCGTTCTACGCAGGCAGAGGAGCAGGAGCGATTTCCCCACGTACGCTACCACTATAAGGTGCTAACGAAAAGGATCAAAGATCCTATGCTCATCGTGGGCATCAAAGTTGGGGAGGCAGTGGCACACCAGCAAAAATTCAGCGATAAGGACTGGAACGAGGCTCGCGGTCTCTTCACCCACAGCATAGTCCAGGGCATGGGTTTACTAGACTTCAATCGCAAAGATTGGCCCGGAGCTTTATGTGTCATCGACGGTTCTGTCAAGTTCAGTTCGGATTCGTGCCGATCCGACAAGGTCGCCCTGGAATTTTTTCCGGTCGGCCACGACATGACCTCGGACAAGTGAGTCATGTCTGGACGCGGCTGCCAGGCTTGACTAGCTGACCATGCTGCGCGATAGATACGACTGCTACTACATGCGCGGTGGTGGCTGCACAGCACACATCGAAACAAAACCCGGCTATCAGAACCGTTGCGTCAGCAGACGTTTCGACCGCTGCACTTGGGTTGACAGTCATTATCGCTGTGATTAAAAGAAGCCTCTTCTCCAAATATCTCTCTATCTCTCGCAAAGTCTGGACATCATGACAAAGAGCGTGCTTCGTGATCCCCGAGCTGAGAAAAATGGATATGTGGGCCCGCACTGTACCCCGACCCAGGCCCATACAGAGGTCAGGAGAGCCGTTGGTATTTGTTCCGTTCCTGATGTGCTTCATACAGACTTGGCAAGTCAACATGGAATTTGCCCGGGCCGCTTTTTCGGGTTCAGCTTCGTGCTGAGACGCCTACCATGACCGTTGTCGGGAAAGAGCGCCCCCCTCGCCTGATCAATTACTCTTGCAGAATCACCGATCACTTGGCGACCAGTGGAGAGTTGCGGCTTTTTTCGCCTTCCGCTATCCCTAATTTGAGCTCTGCAGCCCAGAAGGGCTACCACCAGTCTCGATAAATACTCTCTCTCCTGAACACAAAACTTGGCCCGTTTCTCCTTCTCATTACCCTCATATCACTCAACCACTGCTTGTCCCATCACAGGCGTTAACTTCTCAATCCAACGCCGTGAGAAAGATCGCAAACGATTATGCGTCTCGTCGTCTTCGCTATTGCTATTGCCGTCGCACTCTTCGACTTCCGTCCTGTGCAGGCCCAGCGTCTCCACTACCACTACGATGTGCTTACTCAAAGGATTGCAGATCCAATGCTCATCACTGGCATAAAAGCCGGAGAGAAGTTGGTACACGAAGCAGATTTTCACGAGAGTGACTGGGACGCGGCTCGCGCTCTCTTCACTGACAGCATGGTCAGGGGCATGGACTCGCCGGACCGCGATCGTCACATGTGGCCCGGAGCTGCATGTGTCATCGATGGCTCGGTCTCGTTCAGTTCACGTAGTCGGTGCCAATCCGAAGTGGTCCAGGTGAAATTTTATCCGGCTGACCACAACCACGGCAATTGGAACGTGTGAGTGGAATGGCTGGACGCTGCTGCCAGATTTACAATGATGTGTCTGGGACACTACTGTCAGCTTGTAACGTTGTGTATGGCTAGCTGACCATGCTGCAAAACAGATACCACTGCTTCTACATGGGCGGTGGTGGTTGCACAGCACACATGAAAACAAAGAGCGGCCTTAAGAACCGTTGTGTTCTCACGAGCAGCAAAAATTGCTTTTGGGGTCACGACCATTACTACTGTCTATGAGAGAAGCCTCTCCACACATATCTGTACATCTTGGCGGGTCTCTACATCATGACAAGAAGCGTGCTTGTGCAGTTTAGATTCAAAAATAGATGTTGAAATACAAGTGATGGTAGAAGGGCGTAAAGTAAAGTAGGCATTAGCATCGAGCAGCTTTGCCATTTTTGGTACGTCTCAATTCTTCCTAGTGGATATCCGGCCAGCTTCAGAGAGCGCCCGCAGACAGCAAGCTCTGAACCATGTCGGCCTCGTGGCCTTCACCAACGGTGTAGCGCACCTCGCTACGCCGAAGACCGTTGAAGCCCGACGCTGCGCAAATGGTGTAGGCGCCCATGTTCTCGTAGACCAGCCAGTCGGACACTTTGAGGCCGCTGGGAAGATGCACCATGGGTCGCACGCAGTCGATCGAGTCGCACGTGGGACCCCAGACGCTGCACGCTTGCAAGTCGCTGACATCCTCACAGCCAGGCGCGTCAACTTCGGGCCGGTAGACGTACTTGCGGTCCAGGGTGAGTACCTTGGGGTGCACCTCCTGGTGGTCGAAGAGGATGCAGTTGAAGGCGCCGTACACGCCATCGTTTTGATAATACATAACCTCGGGCTTTTCTTCTGCTTCTCCAGCCGAGGTCTTCTTGACCGGCTCTTCGCCTGCTTCGTCGCTCTTGCCGTCACGGCGAGCGATGATGTTGGCCGCCAGTGCAAAGGCGCGCTGGACATAATAGCGTCCGGGCTCGCCAATGATGCGCAAGCCGTTCTGCTTGCCTTCGACGAGCTTTCCGCCGGGCGCGAAGTCCTGGTCGGGGAAGTAGTCGTCTATGGCCCGGCGCAAGACACTGGCGATGGGCTCGAAGTTGTCGTGGGCGTAGCCGCCGCCAACATCAAGAAAGTCGAACGTGTAGCCGTGCTCTCGGCCCATGTCGAACGCCTTTCGTGCCCGGCCAACGGCGTCTCGGAAGCTGTCGGGATCGTAGCAGCCGCTGCCAACGTGGAAACTGACGCCAACGACGTCAAGGTCCAGCTCCTTTGCCTTCGCCAGCAGGCGAGGCACATTGTCGAGCGGGGCGCCAAATTTGAGGCCGAGCTGGCAGACACTCTTGCTGTCGTCGGTGAGGATGCGGACGACGAGCTTGCACTTTGGGTGGAAGCGCTTCATCTTGTACAGCTCGTCGGCATTGTCAAAGGTGGTCAGGCCGACGTTGCGCGCGGCAGCATTGCGCACAAAGGAAGCAGCCTTGCAAGGGTTGGCGTAAATGATGCGCGAGGGTGAAATGCCGAGGTCGAGGACAGAGTTAATTTCGCCGTTGGAGGCGCAGTCGAAGCCGCATCCGAGAGCAGCCAGCAGACGCAGGACGTAGGGGTCGGGGTTGCATTTCACAGCTATTTGGCGCCAGAGTGAGCCAGGGAAACACGCGTACACCATCTTTATCCGCCAAACTCACCGTAAAAAGGCACGACGCGCGGAAGCTCCCTCATCCATCGAAGGTGCTGGCGGTAGACCTCAGAGAGGTCTGCGACGAAAAATGCATTTTCACCGTCGGCCGCACATCCGTCAATGTCAATCTGGGCAAGGCTCTCCTGGAGCTGCTGGCCGACGGAACCCGCGTAGATCGGGGCATGGTCGCCGATGGCCTCAACGACAGGCTTCGACGAGACAAAGTCGAAGGTGTCCCGAATGGCGGTATCAGCCGAGATGTCGTGGGCCTTGCTATTGCATAGTTCGGGAGAAGGGGGTGCCGTAGCAGGGGGCGAGATGTAGGTGTTGTTCATCGACGTAGACGCAATCTGCACAGGTAGCAGCAATTCTGGGCGGAGAAAGTTGGCACGATGCCCTCTGTCAGCTGGTTCGAGAACGAGGCAGGCCATAGCTGTGGCAGGGAGAGAGGGGGCGGGGTAGAGCAGAAAGTGGGTTGTCCTGGATGGCCTGGCATAGCAGCAGCAACCTCTTTTTATTCATTATCCTCTCCAGCGCCCGTCGCCCTTGCCCCCTCGCGTCTCCTCCGCCACGGTCATTTGGGGCGCAACTCACAAGGTTCGTAACAGGGTCGAGGGCGCTCCGTCGACAAATTCTATGTTTGCAAGTCACCGCCATTTGGTACGCAGAGTCGTCATCGGTAGGAGTTTATTGTCGAGTGGGCCAAGGGGGAAAAAGAGCAAAGCTCGAAGTCAGCCAAAGAACGGTGCGAGGATAATCTTGACCCGCAGCCCACGACCAAAACAGAAAAATAATAATGGGTCGAAACGCGCCGCCGCGCAATGAGTGAAACACCTCCATCCAGGCTTGGATGAGAGAGCCCTTCGCCCAAGGGACTCGAGAATTAATCAGAGACCAAATTGCATCTCGCAATCCGCTTCCTTGCCGACGGCGAATCCCTTTCCCATTCCCTTGGTGTAGCCGTGATGATCAAAGACCCTCGTGCAAATCTAATCTGGCTCTTCGCTCGGCAGTGGGCTGCAGAAACAAGAACCGTTGCTGGAGCCGTGGTGGGTCCAGGGTGAGACATGACACTCACGAGGGGTATTTAATCTATGCTTGTTTGCCAAAGGCAGGTCGCGTGATCGTTGCGAGACTTTTGGGTGGACGTGACACCACTGCACAAGAGCGGCTAGAGTCGAGGTATGCGAGCAGGGGGTGGGTCGCCAGCGAGCTAAGCGCCAGGCGGCCTGATGGAGGTAATCGAAAGTGGGAAAAAGGTTGTCCGATGCGACTATGACGCTTTTCTAGAATTATGGAGGCCTGTTGTTTGCCATTCTGATCAGTGTACTGCTCGGTGCGTCTCTCCTCTCCGACACCTTTCTCACCGAGTGTTTCCGGCAAGAAACGCCTTGGCGGCAGATTGGAGTCGGAGATCAACGATTGGCCTTGGAATTGTGGGCAAACTTCCTTGGAAGAGTCGGGATGATCTAAGTTTCGCGACCGTCCATTGAGAGACAGCGTGTTGCTAAGAGTAGAGAGACCAAAGTGTGCGAGGCTTTCAGTCGTGCTTGTCGTCCTCGTCGTTGTTGTTCGTTTCACCCTCTGGTCTCGCCTCCGTCATGAGGCGTTGGAAGATCGAAACTTTGAGTCGATCTTTCGGCCGAATGGTGGAGCGAAGGGAAAGTCGGACCGCAAAGAGCCACGTGTCTTTGTGATGGGATCCACATGGCGCACGCCTGCCCACTGCGGCGAGAGGGCGCGCCCAGCGTAAATGAATTGGCTGTATGGCCATCTAGGTTGCTTCTGCTCCACTCACATCGATCTCATTTTCCAGCCCTTTTCGAAAGAGTGAGTGCTCTCTGATTCTTGGTGGCGGTGGGCTACGCGGAAGGAGAGCGGCGACCTGGAGGGTGGTATGGGCGTAGAGCGGCCAGCAGAGAAGGCAGCGCAAGCCAAGGACGCGGTAGTAGGATCGTATTCTGACTGACAACTTCGACTTACTTCATCAGGCCAAGATGAGACTGAAGTGGAAGAAGAAGAGTGAGTTTTGTACCAGGCAATTGCAATGCTCTCGATTCATGATGCTGACTGCTTCTTGTCTCAGGGATGCGTCGCCTTCGTAGGAAGAGAAGAAAGATGAGACAGAGGTCGAAGTGATCTGGCTCGCGCCGTCGCGATCAGGACGAAGCCTAATGTGGACAAAGACTAGGCTCTCGAGCTAGCATCATCACTTCCTCTAGCGGGCGAAGGTGAGCACATCCTTCCTCGTTGTTCTTCCCATTCGCAACTTCTAACGCTTCGACGTCCTTCCGTCAGCTCAATGAACTCCCGCAAATCAATTCTCTGTGTCATCAACTCAAACAAACCTATCAACGTCGAACCTGAGGTCAACGTGGGTAGCAGCATCTAGGCAGTCGTTCCGAGGCGTGTCGTGTCGGTGTTGGGCGCTTTCATACGTGGTCTTTCATTATGCGGCCACCTCCCCGGCCGTTGAACTGTTTTCTACTCCCGTCTCCTCAGAATAAAAAGATCCTTCTAAGATCAAAGTGCATTCGTGTCGTGCTGCCATTCATAGTGAACAACGGGTCCCAGTGCCCACAAATCTGACAGCTCGGAGCAGCAGAGTCTCTGCTTCAAGGGTGGAGGATAGACGGCACCACCTGACCCTGATCAAAGACGTGATGAGTCCCCCGTCTTCACTTTCTGTGACACCGGCAACGTCGCCTCTCTTTCGCCAATCGCTTCACATCTAGTGACGTTCCTTGCTTAAGCTTGCATTCACTCTGTTTACTCCCAAAAACCCTGACTCAAGGTTGCGTACTTGGTCTGTCCTTTTGTTCTTCATCGCGGTCTTCTCGGACTGCGTGACACGTGACTTAGATGAACCCCGCAATGGGCAGCCTCCACTGGCGCCAGTCTGCCGAATATGTCGGCATAGGTTGGTTGCTTCTACTACTAGTTTTACCTCTGGGCTGGTCCCTTCTTCGCCTCCCCCTTCCAAGAGCGAGTCTCTTCTCTGTGTCTAGTCAACAGCCAGCTCCCGTTGCGGACTGAAGTAGTGGGATCTATCATGTCCTCGACCGCCGTGAATGCAGAGGGGCGGCCCGACACGGAGAATGGCGGCGGAGTCTCGATGGCGAGGAACCGCTCGACGTCGCACCAACGGGCCGGCCGCAGCTACTCGAGGGTCCGACAGACGCGCGTCACGTCCGTCTCGCCCAGCCCCACGCTCGTTGGAGGAGGAGGAGGATCGAGGACGGGGCGATCAACGAGTCGGGGCACATTTGTGGGCCGGTCCAGGACGCCTGTCGGAATGCGGGAGGTCGGCGAGGGCGAGAGGAGCGTGAGCGTGTCAGAGGAGAGGGAGATGCTCAAGGAAAAGGGAGCAAGCCGGTCTCGGTCTCGGTCCAAGTCCAAGCCAATCGCATTAGCAGGGCCGGAGCGGATCGCCAATCCCCGCGACATCGAGAGTGCAAAGCAACAACCGAAGGAAGAGGAGCCAACCCCTCTCGCCGTTCGCCTCTTGCCTCACCCTCTGCCGCACTTTCTCGGCTACCGTCGTCCCAAGCACCTCCTCTCGGAAAAGCAAAAGGCCGATGAGCCCTTTCCTCCCCTCCTTCCCTTTGTCCGCTGGCTACCGCGGCAGGCCGAGGCGCTCCTCTGGGCCTGGATCGGCGGCTTCGTCGGCATCGCCATCGTCGAGGTCATCTTTGCGCGGCCCTCGCACTTTTCCTCGTCAAAGGACCTGCCTCCGCATCCATGGCAGTCGCCCGTCATCATTGGCTCCTTTGGCGCCTCTTCGGTCCTTCTTTATGCCACCCCTGCCTCGCCGCTAGCCCAGCCACGCGCATTCGTCGGCGGCCAGACGCTCTCGGCGCTCACGGGTGTCATCATCACCAAGCTCGTCGCGCTCTCGCCGAACTACAACATCAATCTGACCGACCGGAGCAACTCGCTCGTCTGGCTCGCCGGTGCGCTCAGCGTCGGCTCAGCCCTGTGCGTGATGATGATGACGGGCACACTGCATCCGCCCGGCGGCGCCACGGCGCTCCTCTGCGCCACCAATAGCGACGTGGCGCGCCTCGGATGGAAGGTGATCCCCGTCGTGCTCCTCTCGTCCGTCCTCATGCTCCTTTGGGCGCTCCTGTGGATGAATCTGGGCCGGATGCGGTATCCGCACTCATCTTTCTGGGCACCCAGCCCGCCAAGCCCGCATGCTGGCAACACAAGCCAGTGGATCATCGACTGGGTGTCCCGCAAGAGGCACCCAAAGGCCGAGGAGGAAAAAGTCGCAAGCGAGACTCAGAAAACCACGACGACTCAATCGCCGACAGACACCGAGAAGGAGGTGCAGCCTGGCAAGCTCAAGGGCGTGACTGAATGGCACGACGAGTCGCCTTGGACGGCTTCCAATTCAACTCATGTCGACCGCGCACACGACCCCGAAGCATTCGTCGAGGAGGAAAGCGAAGGTCATGACGAGGAAGGGGACGAACGGACGGAGCGACCATCGAGATGGGAGACGGCAGCTGTGAAGCGCCTGTAGTTCCTTTTACAAGCATCATCATTGTGGACATTCATCCCAAATCCACTGTCAAGGGCAATGATACCCATAAGTCACAACTGCAATCACAGTTCTTGCATGAGGATATATGTTCCTTTCCTTTTTTTTGCATGATGATGATTCTCTCTACCCCTCTTTGATTGTGGCAAGTCTACATGTGCGCATGCGGGTCCTCCTCCTGCGGCGGCGGCTCCACCCGCACGGCATCGTCGATTCTGAGCAGGCTCGTGGCCGCCTCGAGGCTGCTCTTGAGGCTCCTGACCTTGCTCACCGTCGGCTCCAGCACGCCCGCACGGAGGTTGTCGCGAACCTGGCCGTTGAGGAGGTCCAGGCCGTAGAATCGCAGATTCTTTTTCGGGTCGTTTGCGCTCGCGCTCTGGGCTGCGTTGTGGTACGCCCGCAGCTTGGCCACGAGGTCGGTGCTGTCCTTTGCCGCATTGACGGCCAGCGTCTTGGGAATCACGAGGAGCGCCTGGGCAAACTCGGCAATGGCCAGCTGCTCGCGCGAGCCGAGCGTCGTGGCAAAGTTTTCGAGGTAGATGCTCAGGGCCGACTCGACTGCGCCGCCGCCGGGCACGACACTGCCGCTCTCGAGGGTGCGCTTGATGACGCTCAGCGAGTCGTGCAGCGACCGCTCCATCTCGTCGAGCATGTAGTCGTTGGCGCCTCGGAGCACAATCGACGAGGAGCTGACCGTCTTTGTGCCCCGGATCAGAATCAGCTCATCGTCCGAGATGCGCTCCTGGGCGACCTCGTCAGCGTGGCCCAGGCTGCTGGCCTCAAACGTCTCCTCGCCCTCGAGGTTGGCCAAGCTCGAGATGAGCTGGCCGCCCGTGGCCTTTGCGATCCTCCTCAGGTCCTCCTTGCGGCACCGCCGAACACCCATGGCGCCCGCCTCGACAAACTCCTTGAGGCAGAGGTCGTCGATGCCCTTCGTTGTCAGAATGACATTTGCGCCCGCGGCGAGAATCTTTCGCACGCGCTCCAGCACCATCTCGCTCTCCCTCGCCCGAATCTTCTCCAGCTGGTCTGGGTCGTCGATGGTAATGTGGACGCCCATGTGCATGCGCTGCTTGTGCAGGTTGATGTCCAGGCACGCAATCTTTGCGTTGCGGATCCGCGTCTTCATTGCCTGCGACGCCACGGTGCAGTTGAGCGCATAGCCATTGATGAAGAGGCTCTCGCGCGCCGACTTTCCATGGGCCTTGAGCACGTTGACGGCCTTGACGGGGTACTTGATCTCGCCCCTCGGGTTGATCGTCTTGACGGCCAGCATCGCATCGACGGCGAGCTGTGCGAAAAAGTCGTCGTCGCTGCCAATCACCTTGCTCGCCATGCTCGTCTTGGCCACATTGATCAGGCTCTCCTTGCCCAGGGTGTCGACCTTGGTGCTGAGCTGGTCCTGCATGTACTTGCACGCCTCGCGGCATGCCAGCCGGTAGCCCGTGATGATTGTCGTGGGGTGAATTTTGTTTCGGACGAGATCGTTGGCGCGCCGGAGCAGTTCAGCGGCAATGATGACAACCGATGTGGTGCCGTCGCCGACTTCCTTGTCTTGCTGTTGCGCCAGCTCAACGAGGATCCTACCTGCGGGTTGATCGACCTCCAGCAGCTGCAGAATCGTCGCGCCGTCATTGGAAATCGTCACGTCGCCAATGTCATCGACAAGCATCTTGTCCAGACCGACGGGTCCCAGGCTCGACTTGACAATGTTGGCAATCGACTGCGCCGCCAGCACGTTCTGGTCGCGAATCTCGGAGCCCGACATGCGTTCGCCTCCGATGAACAGGCCCGCATTGCGCGGGTCCTTGTGGAAGAGCTGCGCCATGGCTTGTAGATGTACGCAGTGGAATGGCAATGGGAAGCGCACAATTGAGGAAGACGACGGAAGAAAGAAGCGCGAGGCAGCGAGCGACACGTGATTCTTTTCCTCTCACAGATGAGCTTTATTTTTGGCCTCCCTGGAGCCGCTTGCCTCGGAAGATCAGTCAGACCAACACCGTCAAACGGACAAGATGGAGGAGCAACGCACGATCCTGGTGATCAACCCCAACTCAAGCGAGGTGAGAGAAGAGAGGCAAAGATGGGAGGGAGCCTGCACTTTGCAACAAAAGCTGAGCGAGAGAGAGCGCTTTTCTCTAGTCGATCACAAAAGCTCTTGAGGATGCACTGCGTCCCGTGTGCTCGCCAACGACGCGCCTCACCTTCCTGACGGGCCCGTCCGCCTCGCCGCCGTCGATCAATGATGCCGTCACGTCGATCCAGTCGGCCCAAGCTGTCTTCACCTCGGGCGCAGGCAGCGCCCGATCCTTCAGCGACGACACCGAGATCCGACGCGCGCACCGAGCCGTGCTCGTCTGCTGCTTCTCCAACCACCCGCTCGCGGGCATGATCCGCCAGGCCTGCCCGGGCGTGCCGGCGCTTCACATCCTCGACACGGCCGTCTCAGCCGCGCTGGCGTGCTCCAGCGGCGCGCCCTTTGGCATCCTCACCACGGGCCGCGCCATGGTGTCGGACATCGATCAGGGCGTGCTCCAGTACCTCGGCGGCGCCTCGACGCGCTACGCCGGCTGCGTGCCGACGGACCTCGGCGTGCTCGAGCTGCAGGACCGCGAGCCAAGCGTCAGAGAAAAGGTGCACCGTGTGATTCGTGAAAAAGCTGCGCTGCTTGCCCAGAGAAACGCTGGTGCCATCATCCTGGGATGTGCAGGTGAGTAGGAGCGAATGTCTTTCTGCTCTAAATGCTGCTGCGGTCTCATCCTCCCACTCAACGCTCTCAAGGCATGGCCGGCATGGAGGAGCTCGTGCGGTCAGGGGTCGCCGATGCGATCGGTCAGGAAGCTGCAAGCAAGGTCGCCATCATCGACGGTGCCAAGGCTGGCGTCCAGCTCCTCGATGGCCTGTCACGGTGCAACTTCTACGGAACCAGTCCTCGCACGAATGCATGATAATGAAGAGGAAGAATCTCAATCAATTCAGAAACCTCTCGGTTAGAAGGAAGAAGAGGAACTAAAACAAGGTAAAGAAACAAAGTGAAGACTCTTGACCGTTGGTCAGTCTCCTTTTGGGGGAGGGAAGAAGAACCCAGAAAGTTGAGAAACACAAAGAAAGTCGACGAGTAGGGAACCTGAGACTGGGAATAAAGAGAGGGAAAACGGAAAGGGAATGGGGCTGAAACGACATTACACACGACCAAGGGCCTTCTCACGCTCGTCCTCTGCGCGCTGACACCGGCTCTTCCACATCTCGACCTCGGCCTGGAGATCCTCGATGGTCTCGTGGAGGGTGCGAAGCTCTTCGGCCTTGCGGTGACGACTACGACGAGCAGCGAGAGTGTTGCTCAGACGCTTGGCGACGACGGGGTCCTTTTCGGCGGCCAACGCAGCCTCCTCGGCAGAGAAGGGGTCCTGGTTGCTCGCCTGCTGGTCGGCAGAAGTCTTGGACGCCTTGCGAGAAGTAGCCGAAGGAGTCTTGTAGTGACGAGGTTGGATGGGCGCATCCAGAGGAAGGAGGTCGGCGCCACGGTGACGGCGCTTGATTCCGCGCTGGGCCTCATCCACCGTTGAAGTGGTGTTCGACTTTGTCGACTCCAGAGAAGACTCGTTGCGAGGCTGGAAGAAGGGAGAAGGGGGAGAGGAAGAGATGGCAGCGGGCGAGGCCGTCATGGGCGTCGCGTCCTTGGTGGTATCATCGCCGGTGGCCGTCTGAGCGCGGGCAGCGTTGCTGAGGGCACGGAGAAGAACCGCAGTGGGGTCTTCAAACGAGTCCTGCAGGGGCTTGAAGGCCATCTGTGCGCGCTTGCCGCTGGTCGGCGAAGGTGCCGACTGCGGCTCCGACGAGGCAACGGAGCCAAAGAGGGGGAAGTCATTGGCGTCGACCGTCGCCTTGTCCGACTGGTCCAGCTGGTGCTGAGGGCGGTAGTCGCCAAAGAGGGGGATGCCGGCCAGTTCGGGGGCTTCACCCTCGTAGTTGTCTACCAGGAGCGGGCTGGGGTCGCACGAGTCGAGGTCAAAGGACAACGAGTTTGTGAGAGCGGGAGAGGGGTCGGTCCATTCTGGACTCGAGAAGAAGTCATCGTTGCCGATGTGCTGTTGACCGAAGGTAGAGTTGACCGAAGTTACTGCTGCTTCATCTTGGAAATCGAAGGCGGCGAGATCAGGAGCGACGGAGCGCTCCTGACCCGCAAACGAACGTCCCTTGTTGTTGCTCATCATGGCAAAAAAGGGCACTTGGTGCTGGTTGTTGTTGTTGTTGTTGTTGTTGTTGTTGTTGTGATTGAGATGGTCCAGGGCAGACGACATGGGCAAGCGGTAGGCGCTTGCGAACTGAGGGAGAAGCCATGTTGGCAGAGATAAAGGCCGAACCGGTTGGTTCGACAATGGTGGTGGTTGCGAGTTGGTAAAAGTTGAATTCGACGAGCGATTCGACCCAAAAGAGGTGGTCGAAGACTGGTAGAAGGAGACTAAAGATTGATAGTCTGGTCTACGAAAGAGTGCCTCGAGAGGCGGGCGTTTAAGCGAATTGAGACATTCCGGGTGGTGGTGGTGTTTGTCTCGGTTGTGCCAGTCGGGGATGTTAAGGGTCTTCTAGAGACCAGTGGGGTGCAAGATGGACAAAGTCGTAGAACAGCGTCTAGTTGCTTTGGTGTCGGAGGTGTCGCTATCCTACGAAGGGGGAGGGGGAAAGTGAGATGGTGGTTGCTTGGTTTGTGAGAAGAAAGAAAGATGGGGAACAGTCGCCTGTCTCAATTCTGCCCTTTTGTGCAATTTATTTCGACGGCGATGCAAAATCTGCCCTTGGCGCCACAGCAGTGTCCGGCAACACGGGATGTCGTCGCAGGAGAGGAACGGCCTTCCAATTACATTTTACATCGGGAATACAAGATTGATCTGAATTAGTCTAAATCTCGAGCCGTGTCGCGCTCCCCTGCTTGGGAACAAGCGAGCGACTAGTACTCCCCATCCTCTATCTAGCACTGCGAAAGAAGGGGGTGGAAGACTTCTTTTCCACGTCTGTCGACGGAGTAGACGCGCCAACGCACAATGGCAGTCGAGTTATCGAGAGATCGAGGGGATGCGCTTGGCGCGAGCAGTGATCACGGAGGCAGAGGCGCATGCTCTTGCCTGCAAGTGTGACTCGACAAGCCATTTAAAATCTTAAGCGCGGACGAATTCCTACGGCCGGACGCGCTCCTCTGCCCCTCTCACCCTTCGCATATCGGAATTCCGAGTCTTCTCTCTCTACGGTCAAATCGGGTGTAAGGTCCGATGGGAAAAAGAGATGTCTGGCTTGTCTTATCTTTGCAGTGGATGTGTAGGGCTCCTGAGCGCAAAGCTGAACAAGCCACTTCGAAAGTACCTGCCGGCAGTTTTATCGGTAAAAGTGTCGGGAAAATTGTCGGCACAGCTACTGCACAGCGTCACGATGGCTGGCCAGTAAAGAAAAGGCTTTACCTCAGTCAAGCGTGCCCTCGTGGCTGAGCAGAGTTCCCCGCATGTCAGGACAGTTCGCGTTCGGTGTCTTCTCCGAGTGGGGGCCTGCCCTTTCCCGTTGGCATCAAGCTACACAACCGATTCTTTCTCTATGAGATTGTGCAAAGTGCGTGTGGTATACCGTACGTGTATGTTGTGTATGCATGCCAAGTGCTATCTCGACCCGGACTCTTCCTTCTTCTTTTGCTCTTCCTCGTCGCTTCCCGAGACGCCCTCGTCGCCTTCCTGCTCCTCCTCTTCGCTCTCCGTCTTGATGACCTTGGGCGCACGGTCCTGAGCCTCTCTCTTGCGGACAATGTCAAGTGCCCGCTTGTTGTGCCCGCTAGACCCTTTGCCCTGCTCCCACTCGAGGTCGTAGTCCTCTGCGACGCGCTTGATGTGCTTGCGCAGCTCCTTGCACTCATCGATTAGATCCTCGTACCTCTCCAAATTGAAGCCCTTCTGGATGTACAGCTTCTGCTGCCGTCGAGTGGTCGTCTCGCTGAGCACTGCACGGTAAGAGACCTCTCGATTGTGGACCAGGAACCTAAGAGAGACGTCGTCTGTCAGCTCCTTGTTGTTTCTCAACTCAGTGCTTCTGACCATGATACTTACCATACGTAACCGCACATGAAGACGCCGAGGCCGGTGAGATAGGTGACCGGTTCCAACAAATCCCAGGAATATTCGGTGAAGAAAGTGCCGTAGGCGACGGCAATCCACCATGCGCCCAGGATGGCAGCACCGCCGAAAGCGAAGCGTCTTGTACCAACGCGAGCCAGCGCGTCGCACTCTCCCTTGAGCTTGACCATGCGTTCGATCTCGTACGTCTTAGCGTAGAGCGTGCTCCTCAGGTATCGCGTCCGGTCCTCAAACGAGGGCACCGAGACGAAGATGTTGCGCGGCTCAATGTCGGATGGAGATGACGACGTTCCCTTTGGATTGAGCCGAATGACAAACGAGCCGATCCGGGCGGCGTCTCGGAGAAAGTCACCAATCGATGTGGCCGGACTCCAGCGCTTCGAGTCGTAGCGGCGCGAGTGGAAGGATATGTCCTTTGCCACGACCTCGTCGCCAAAGCCTGGGCCTTCTGCTTCGATGAGGCTGGCGACGTACGACAGCGGCTGGCCAGAGTGGAGAAGGAAGACGACCGAGTGTGCGGGTGCCCTCGCGTCAAATTCCGACGCCGGGTCATCGGCAGGCTCCCCCATCTCTGGACCGTGGAGTCCCAGGCGCTTGCTCGGTTTGCTGCTGTCGGATGTCGCCTCTGTGGCCTTGCTGCCCTTTCTGGGCGAGGCTGCCTCTTCGCGAGAGATGGGGTCTACTTGAGAAACGCTCTGTCCCATGTCGGCGCGCTTCTCCCATGCTTCCGTCTCCTCCACTGAAGATTTTGCCGCTTCCTTTCTTGCCTCTTCGCGTTCTTGCGCCGCTCTCTTGGCTTGCTGCACCAGAGAGTAAGCCGAAGACGCTTTAGACGTCGGTGAGCTGGGGTCTGAGGAAGGCGGCTGCAGGGGCAGCGTCAGCTTGAAAAGCGAAGCCTTGGTGAACGCCAGATAACCGCGATCGTCGTTCTCGTCTTTGGTAGGCTCGCCATCCCCCTTGGCAAAGTCGGGGCTCGTGGTGCTGGGCACCGTTGACCTGACTCCATTTGCCTTTGTGACGCTCGGCTGTGTTGAGCTAGCTCGCGTCGACGGGAATCGCGGGAATTGCAGCTGCGAAGCAACTGGTGACCGCCGAATGGCCACAAAGGTCGTGACAGATGCTGAGCATGCAAGAGCTGACCGGCAACCTGTGGTGGCTGGTCGAGCCAGAAGGCTCAGCATCGTTGTTCAGGACGGGGGGAGAAAGGGGGCACCGTGTCCAATCTGACTGGTCCAACTCCCCGATGCCTCCACCTGTCGAGAGACCTGTTCTCGCTCGCGTGCTAAGAAACCGCGCGTCTTTGGCTCTACTGACAAGCTTTCGACCTTGGCCATCCTTCTCACCCTTTCGCCAGTCTCGGGGTCCTACAGTCGACTTGACAACGCTGTCAAAATGGACATGGTGAGCTAGTCCCTCTACGGAGAAGACTGCTCTAGACTGCTTGCTGAACTTACTTGCAGTTCGGTGGCCGCTTTGGCTTCGGTGGCCTGGGTGGCTTCATGGGCGGCGGCCTTGACGATCCGCGCTTCTCTACCCGACCCGAACACTACGATGAGTTCTTCAAGGCGTACAGCATGGCGATGCTGCCCGGCAAGGAGCGGCCGAACGTCAGCTATGGAGGAAAAAGTGGGTGGCAACGAATGTCTCGAAGAGGCGGGTCCGGGTGCTAACCTTCACTTGCCCTTCACGCAGTCATCTTGCCCACATCAGCCCTCGCACGATTGAGTGAGTGCTTGACAAAGATATTCCTTGACTACCCCAACAGAGTGCTGACTGGAGAGCTCCGTACCTTGACACACTATAGCCCAGATGGAAATTGAGAGTCCCTGGCTCTTCGAACTGCAGAACACCGGTGTCAACCTGGCCGACCAGAGGACGACACACGCCGGTGTCTTGGAGTTTATCGCCGAAGAGGGCCATGTTCACCTTCCAGCATGGGTGAGTGGTTATGACTGAACTGAACCCGGGAAAAAGCAATTGTACTGACGTTTAGTGCCAGATGATGAGAACACTAAACCTCAGTGAAGGTGATCCTATTCGGCTTCGAGGCAAGACGCTACCGAAGGGCAAGCTCGTCAAATTGGAGCCTCAAACGGTTGACTTCCTCGAGATCGCCGACCCAAAGGCAGTGTGAGTAAAGAGCTGCGCCGTTAAGAGCAATGGAATGGGGCTGACTGGGTGGGGGTCATCTGCAGTCTCGAATCGGCCTTTCGCAACTTCTCGACACTGACAAAGGGCGACATCGTCGAGTTCTCGTACAACTGCCTCACCTTTGAAGTTCTCATCATGGAGACGCAGCCAGAAGCAGAAGGGATCAGCATCATCGATACGGATCTCGAGGTGGACTTTGCGCCTCCGAAGGGATATGTCGAGCCAAAGCGAGAGCCAAGGCCGCCACCGCCGACGATGGCTAGCAAGCTGAACATCGACACGGAGCGGTACGACAGCATCAGTCCTAGCGGGACAAGCACACCGAAGAGCTCTGACGGCACTGTGGTAGGAGGAGGGGCCGGCGGGGCCGCAGCGAGCGCCGCAGAAGCAGCCGCAAGTGGACCTTTCAGGGGCGCAGGACAGAGCCTGAGCGGCAAGAAGCCAAAGGGAAAGGCCAACAAGGCCATTGAGTCCGTCGACAAGTACAGTATGATTCGAAAAACCGAGTGAGTGGTGCTGCATCTTGCCTTGACCTTACCTGCTGAAACATAGGCTAATCACTCTCAATCTTTCTCCCTTCAGCCAACCGAGAATCGTCACCAATGACACGCAGCTGGGCGAAAAGAAGGTGCCGGCAGCCTTGAATTTGCCCTTTGGCAAGCTTTTCTTCGGCTACGAAGTCATTCCGCTCGGTGGGAAGGAGGCGGCAGGGGGAGACCCAAAGGCACCGGCTGTGAGTTTCTCTCTGTCTTTGTCCATTCATTTGCAATTCAAGCTCACTGTGAACGGAAAGCAGGAATCGTTCTCGGGCTCGGGTAACACCCTTTCAGGCAGAACACCTCGGGCATCGACGAACGGTGGTGTCGCTGCATCATCAAGCAGCCCAGGTCAGACGTTAGGAGGGAGCGGCAGTGGAGAGGGCCAGCGCCTCGGCGGCAACAAGCCCAGCAACGGTCGAGACGACGACGTCATTGAAATCGACTCGGACTCGGACGAGCTGTAGAAGATTCTGTCCTCCCTCCCATTGTCCCCACCAGTGTCTTCCTCTCTCTTTCAAGTGTAATCTAGCACGAGCTCGCATTCTCCTGTCCAGCGTCCACCCTGTCTTCATCTGTTCAAACTTCGCTCTCGGTATCTTCCCGTCAGAAGGCCTCTCTTTCCGCTCCTTAGAGAGGTCTAAAACGGCGATGCTGATAAATCCGATTCTTCCATTTCGAGAATGTGAGTGAGTACGTGTGACAAAGATATGGGGCATTTGCTAGAAGAAGTTCAGAGGGGTGTGTGTGTGTGTGTGTGCATGTGAATTGAGAGTGTTTGTGTATGAGCGTGTAAGTATTTGTTTTTGATCTTTAGTTTCCAGCCCCAGACCTCCTCTCTCTTCGCCTCCGATCTCTCTCTGCGCCTCCTCCTGCGCCGCCGGCACCGAAACTGCCGCCCCCGGATGAGTGCCTTCCGCCGCGGCCACCCTGATCGCGCTCGCGGTCGTAGTCGTGTCCGCCTCGGCCATTGGAGCGCTCGCCGCCGCCGCGATAGTCTCGCTCCTTGTCTCTGCCCCGGGAGCCAGATCCAAAGATGGACAAGCCACCTTCGCCTGGCGGTGGTGCAGCCGCAGCCGAAGCAGCTGGAGTTGCGGGAGGTGTCTGAGCAGCAGCAGAGGGAGAAGGCGCTGATCTCGTACCACCCCCGCTTGACGAGGCTTGCCTTTCAGTGACTCCCGCTGGCTGTTGTGTCGAAGCGGAAGGCGACGAGGGTGGGCGATCGTCGCTGCTGCCGTCCCCAGGCCTCCACCACCCCTTGCGATCGCGACTGACTAATTTGTCTCGATTGATCTTAATCCGTTTTGACTCGGGTTCCTCGTCTCCACCGCCTGCACCACCTCCAGCATTCGGAGACTCGCGTTTCGGTCCGTCGCCAGACGGCTGGCGGGATTGCGACGGAGATGAGCGACGTGGTCCATCGTGCGCTGAGGGCCTTCGCTCCAGGGATGGCGGTGGGCCACTGGCGGATGTAGGCGGTTGTTCGGGTGACGCAGCGGAAAGACGATCGGCCAACGATCGCTTCTTCCCGGCAGCAACATTGTTGGAAGACGAGGTCGGACTTTGATCGAGCCCACGCGGCGCCGAGTCAGCAGTCGCTGCTTCTGTCGGTCCTTTATCCGCCGAAGCCGGTACAGAACGGTCAGAAGCTGGCCTCTCCCGCTCTCGCTCCTTCCCCCTCTCCCTTTCGCGCTGGATTTCGCGAGGAGAAGGACCTGCGAGATCCCGACTCGAGACTCGGTCACGATCGATTGCCCCTCGGGAGCTTGAAGAAGGTCCGGACGGAGTGCCTCTTGAGTCACGATCCACAGCAGGGCCCCGGGGAGGCTCAGTATTCCGAGGTGTCGAGTTTCCAGGCGCGGATGATTGGGTCGTCGCTGCGTCATCAGTCTTTCGCGATGATGACCGATTATCGAAAAGGTCGCTCGGTCTTCTCGACGTGCTGCCCTGAGGACGGTCGCGTGATGAACGTGGCCCACTCGGAGGTGCAGCCGCTGGCGGAGCTTCTTCGCGCGGCGATTGGGCAGGAGTCACGTCCTCTCGGTCGCGGCGCCGAGGTGCCGAGGCAATCTCCCGCTCTTTGGAGCGGTCAACATCCCGGTCTCGATCACGATCGCGGCGATCGCGGGTGCCGGTGGATCTATCACTACGATCACGATCACGGGTCCGCTCGCGATCCCGGTCACGGTCACGGTCACGGTCTCTGTGGCGATCACTACCAGAGTCCTTCTCGCGTCGATCGCGATCACGGTCACGGTCGCGATCGCGGTCTCTCCTGTCTGATCGTCGTCCTTGACTTGAATCCTCGCTCGACGCCCGACTGACAGCACGACTGCTACTGCCCCTCCTCGCTTCCACGTCGGGCGCCTCGATCACTCTGGGACTCTCTGGCTCTCGCGATCGCCTTGGCGAAGCTTGAGCAGAGCGGGATGCCGAAGTGACTCCTCCGTCAGTGGCTAAGTCCTTGTCTCGCAGACTGCTCGCCCTGCTTTCGCTCGCTCCACCGGCAGACGGCCTTGCGCGATCTCGTGTGGCTTGGGCACCAGGCGTGGAAGCAGGACTCTTTGGCGGATTCATACTATCCAGCACCGCCTGGCGAGCGGCGTGAATCGAAGGATTGGTTGCATCGCTGCTACTCCGCTGACTGCTGCCATTGACCTTGCTTGACTCTCGCTCAGCAGTACCTGGCTGTCGAGAAGGGCGAGACGGCAGCGAAGATGAAGACGTTCGAGAGGGAGTAGGTCGCACCGGCAGTGTCGAGCTCTGCGCTTTGGCAGGGGCAGCCTCCCCAGGCTCACGCTTGTCGCCATTGCTCGCTGGCGTCTGGGCCGCTCTCGTTGTGTCTTTCTTAGCTGCAGCTGCGGGAGCTGGCGTCGTCTTTTGCGATTCGCTTGATTGAGCTTGAGAGCCAGAGGCGGGGGCGGGCGGGCGAGCAGGTGGTTTCTTTCCAATCCATGACTTCTGCTGCTTCTTGAGAGTTGCCAGCAGACCTTGACCAAGGATCTTTAGATCTCCTCGCTGCTCCTCGTTCGTCATAGCTGTGACGCTCTCGAGCATCTCGTTTCCGTGCGCATCCCAGAGCGGGAATTGCACCGCGATTCTCGTCATGACGACAACGGCATTGCGGATCCTCATGTACTCGCGCGATCTCAAACATTCTCGCAGAGCTGTACGAAGGTGGTTGTGCCATCTCTGGAGCAACGTCCTGAACTGCTCGTGGCTCAGCAGGTCTTGCTCTGGAATCTTCTCGCCACCGTGTCTGTCGCCCCAACGAAGCTGGAAGCCCGGCAGGTCCTGGCCCTTGGCTTCCTTCTCGTATCGCTTCGCGTCCAAAAACCATGAATTGAGGTCGGTCAAGATGACCTGGAGGAACCGAGCCAGATTCCGTGCCTCATTCTCGGTCGAGCTGAAGATGAGAGGAGCCACTTGCTCGGTGAGAAGCTGTATTACATGGGTGTTGATCAGCGAAGCCCTTCAAGAGATAGATGCGAAAAGCCACTCACCTTGTCATACACCGTCAAGCTTGAGAAGTTGCGAGTGCCACAGGCGTGCATCAGCTTCACAAATCGGCCAGCAAAGATGGCGTCCGTCGACGACAAGAGCGCTCGGGGGACAAGACAGTGTTGCGTCAGTTGCTGGACGATCGTCAAACGCCGTGGCGTGTTGGGGAACCAGTGATCCTTCTCAACGTTAATGCGCTTCCTAGTGGCTTGATGGGCCAGCGTCTGCTGCTTCAGCTCGGCCTTGAGCTGTGCCATGAGATCTTGAGCTTGAATACGGAGCTTGTGGTTGACCTGCTTGCCTCTGCGCGCGTCCTCGGGATTGGCGTTGATGACAGCCTGTACTGCCTTCATTTCTTGGTCGTACCTTTCCGATGGAACCACAATGTCGGCCAGGCTCAGCTGCCAGAATGTGGCGTAGAAATGGACGCCCAGAAACTCTTTGACGTCCTCGTCGAGAACCTCCTCAGCCGCATCAAGGGCCTCTTCGAGCCCGGCTCTCCAGATGGGCCGTGCCTGGACGGAAGCCTCAACTGCCAAAGCTTCTTGTGGCTGCAGGGCGGTGGCGGCTTCCGTGGCTTCGCCATTGACCATCTCTACGTCGGATGACTGAGCACCGTGTGTCTCGTCCTCATTTCTCTTGGCATCATGACCTTCGCCTTCCTTGCCTTCCTCCGCTTCAGTCGCCTTCACGTCCTCCTCCGTCGCCTTTGCCTCTCCCTCCTTCCCGCTTGCCTCTTCTCCATTGGCACCCTTCGACTCGTCCTTTGCAGCTTCGTCCGCAGCACCTGCTTCTCCCATCTTCACATCGTCATCGGTCTTGACAGCAACTGACGGTGTCGGCTTATTCTTCGCCTTGCTGGCCAGGAGTTCCTTTCGTAGCCTTTCCTCGGTTTCTGCTGCGTCAATAGCACGCATCCGGTGAATCAGACGAGGGCGCGCGATATGGAAGCCAATGGCCGGCTCAACGCCAAACCTGCCGACAAGGTCTTTGAGGGTAGGCATGAGGCTTGCGTATGCACTAGGTTCGAGCTGGTTATGTAGGAACTCAATGTACTGGAAGAGGACCTCTTGACAGGTGTCGAAAAGGTTGCCGAGGTACTTGAGATGAGCCTCGCTCTCTGGAACAAGATGGACGCAAGCCTGACGTTGCTGAGCGATCAGGACCAAAAGAGGGATCGCCATCCTCGAGTCGAGCAATGCCGCCAGAAGGCGAGCACCGCTCCTGCGGAGATTCGCCCTTGCCGTGGTCGCCACCGCTGCATTGGCCACCATCATGGCCTCCATTCTGAGAAGCCGACCGCCCGTCAAGGCGGCAATCTGGGCATCGGACAAATTGGCCAACGGCTCGATGCCTGCCATCTTGAGGACGAGCTCGCGAATAATGACGAGGTCCTTCGAGTTGTTCTCCTTGAGCTGGTTGGCAATGTACTGCAGCACTGGAGAGCAGTCCATCATAGCATATCTTCGGTAGAGGGTGCCGGTGAAGGCAGCAAGACTCTTGAGCCACTGGCTGACGCTCGTACCGTCCTGCTTCGTCCTTTCCTTTTCAGGGTTGCACAGAGCGTCAATGAGGTTGAAACCAAAGACGTCGTACTCGAAGTGGGTCAAGTATTTGGCGGATTCCACGATGGGTGCAATGAGGTTGTCGTACGCCTGCACCTGGTTGAGAGCAACAGTGAAGAAGACAGTGGGGTTGGCATGGGAAGCCTTGGCCAACGCTCGACCCGACAGCTTCAGATTGTCACTGCTGATACGCTTAAGAATCCCCTTTGCTTCTTTCTCCGTCTCCGCCTGTCGAACACGGAGCTCAGGCCGCTTGTAGATCGAATACTTCCATTCGCCATACAGGGCATAGCGCTCGGTGTAAGGCAGTTGTCGAATGATAAGCCAGACCTCGGACACGAGACCGGAGTTGCCCGAGGTCATGGAGAGGGCTGGCAAGAGGAAAGACCGGACGACCTCGAGCCACGCCGTCTTGTCGTCTTCCCGCGCCGCGGAGCCGACTGCGATTCGCATCGCCGCCTTTCCCAACCGGCAAAGCTGCTGGAGCAGCACAGTGTCGCGGTGGAGTTGAGCTCCCAAGATCCGAAGCAGCGGTATAAAGTTGGAGAGAAGGTCGGCAATAGAGCAGCCCGGCAGCAGGCTCTGCCAGTGGGGATAGAAGTAGACGGGATGCCAGTGGGCGCTTGTAAGCGGCTCCGGAGCGATTTGCGTTACGACCGGCTGCGGTGGCGCAGCCTCAGCCAAGGCTTGCTTCTTTGGATCGTAGCGAAGTCGGGGGGCCGACAGCTGAGACAACGCAGCAATCTGCGTCGACAGAGAGACGGTGGCATACGCGGGGGCCAGTATGACCCGTAAAAGGCGGGAATAGAGATCCGCGACCTCGGGAAAGGCACCACCAAGCCAGGGATATCTTGCGAGGATGAAGAGTGCATGCTTGAGCTGACCAATGCCGAGGAGAGCTTTGAGTAGCCCGACGACCTGATTTGGCGGAACCTTTGCTGCTGCTGCCGCCTCCGCTGCTGCCTTTTCCTTTGCCGAAGAAGTGCCACCGCCCTGCGATGTTGTCTCCTCTTGGGTGAGAGGAGCGGCCATTGAGAGAGCATTGCCTCTTGCACTCATGACTTTGTCACTGAGGGCATTCTGGTACTGTTCCTGGAGCATCGACATGCCCTTTTCGTCAGGGGTCAGGTGCGTGTAGATGTCGGAGAAGCGCACGTAGCCCTCGCGGATCATGAGAGCTGTCATGAGGTAGAGCTCATCGGGTGTCTTTTCGTTCGTCTCCGTCTGGTAAAACCCAAATTTAAAGCCAAGAACCTGTGCGCAAGTGTGGTTGCCAAGGTCATCTGACAAGCTCATGTCGACAGGTCCGACGTGGGAGGAAGAGGAAGAGGAGCCATCGACCACTCCCTTTCCCTTTGCCCTCTCCTTGCCCCAGGGCGACGAGGCCAAAAGGGCAAGGAAAAAAGGCCAGTGACGGACGACATTGGTGGAGAAGATGTCGATGATGATGTCCAGCACTCGGTTTGGATCCAGATCAAAGTAGCCGATGAGCGCTGAAATGTCGTTCATGACCTTTCTCGCCCTTCGATTTCGCTCCTCTTCACCCTCACGCTCCACTACCTCGACCGACCCGGTCTGAGTCGTCACCGCAGCGATAGGGGGCCCCATGCCACCGATGAGCTCGCCTATGAGGCCCGAGTACCCCTCATTCTCCTCTCTGAGCAGGTTGAACTTTTGCTGCTTGTAGAGCGTGGCCGTGTTGATCCTTATCCCTCTGCGGTTGAAGGCCGTTTGGTCCTGCACCAAGCCTACTGCGTGCAAGAGCGGCACCTCAAGTCTCTCTGATACCAGCTCGCGCGAAAAAAAGTCATTTTTCTGTAGTCGACAGAGGTGTTTGAGTGAGTGACATGGACTGTGTCAGAGAGATCTTGGATCGGCTGGAGATGCTCACGAGAAGCTCTCGGACGACATCCGCGAGTCTTTGCTTTGCTGCATCGACCTGACCATCGAGGTTTGCGCCGTTGACTTGGTCGACAAGGTCGGGCGTCAGCGTTTTGACGTGATCAGTTGCTTCATCTTCGGCGAGAACAAGCTCTTTCCGGGCATCGATTTCTGCATCGACACTCCAGATCACATCGAGCACGGCGTCGACCAAGCCATGGTCTTTGGTCTCTTCAACGACGTGCTCAAAGATGCCTGAGAAGCTCTCAGTCGTAAGCTGTGGACGAAATGCCTGAGACGAGAATAACGCGTGAAGGAGCAGCGTCAGGGCCGGCACCGCCTTGGAGGACTGTGAGCTGCCCTGAGAGAGGGTTGCGCATGCTGCGTCGAATGCGCTGTGACTGTGATGGTTTCGGAGAAGGGAGAGGAGATGGGAAGCCACACGAGAAAGGAGCCGAGAGGAGAAGAGGATGATGAGCGTGCTGAAACGACAAAAGCAAGGAAGGCCTTGGATCGCATCGGACGATGTTGCCAAGTGATTCTCACAGCTGATCTCGGCCGTCGGATTCCCATGACTGCAGGCAGCTCGACACGAGCGAAGAAGCCTCGGCAGCTGACGTCGGCAGCTCAGCTTCCTCCATAGCCCTGTTCGTCCGCAGTCCTTCCGCCCACCGTTTCGTCCGTCGGGTCCGGACTGGCTGGTGTGGCAGGGGTCCCGTTTGCCAGTGAAGCTCGCCGTCGGTCGCGCTTCCACTTTTCGTCGAGAGATGGACGAGGCTGCCAAAGGTCCGAGTCACGTGCGCGTCTTCGAAGCCCACGAGGTCCGGTCACCTCTTCGCACAGGCCTCTTACGTGTAACGACGTGGCAGATGCCGGCCGTTTTAGAGCTTGTCGAAGCTAAAGAGACGAATGGAACTTTTGGAAGAGTCTCCTCGCGCTCGCTCCTTCCTTCCCAACTGACCATTCTGCAGCCACACCGCCCTTCCTTCTCATCGTTCCATCTTGCTTCCATCGTCTTCTCTCATTTTCTCTCTAGAAGATGAAGCCCCAAGCTGCTGCTGCTGCTCTCGGCATGATCCTGGCTGCCAGCCTGGTCAGTGCCGAGGAGGGCGAAAAGGCGCGCAAGGAGTTCATTGTAAGTTGGGCAGTGAAAGGAGCAGAGCGACATGTAACTGACTGAGCAATCCCTCGGTCTCTGATATAGCCTTCCGACATCAAGGCACCGTTCTTGGAGCAGTTCACGCCCGACTGGGAGTCGCGGTGGTCGCCCTCGTCGGCGACCAAGGAACAGCAAGGTGGCGAGGTCTTCTCCTACGTGGGCCAGTGGTCCGTCGAGGAGCCCACCGTCTTCCCCGGTCTGGCAGGCGACACGGGTCTCGTCGCGAAGACAAAGGCCGCTCAGCACGCCATCTCGGCGCAATTTGCCGAGGTCGTTGACCCCAGGGCGGCCGCCCTCGAGGGCAAGCCTTTGGTCATCCAGTACGAGGCCAAGCCCCAAAACGGTCTCACCTGTGGCGGTGCCTACCTCAAGCTCCTCACCGAGAGCCCAGAGGGTATTCAGGCAAAAGAATTTTCCGACAAGACCCCCTATACAATCATGTTTGGTGCTGACAAGGTGCGTAGTTCACCTGTCACCTCCCTCTATGCGTACTTCCTCCAGGCTAACCAGCTTCCTTCCAGTGCGGAGCCACCAACAAGGTCCACTTCATCTTCCGACACAAGAACCCGAAGACGGGCGAGCTGGAGGAGAAGCACCTCAAGTACCCTCCATACGCCAAGCTCGCAAAGGTGACGAGCCTCTACACGCTCCACGTCCACCCCAACAACACCTACGAGATCTTCATCAACCATGATTCGAAGAAGACGGGCAGCCTCCTCGAGGACTTTGACCCGCCCGTCAACCCGCCAAAGGAAATCGATGACCCCAAGGATAAGAAGCCTTCCGACTGGGTTGACGAGGCCCGCATCGTGGACGCCAAGGCCACCAAGCCCGAGGACTGGGACGAAGAGGTGAGCTGAGACCAATTGTGCCCTGAATGCGTAACGATGACCATCAAGTTGCTGACCTCTCCCTTCTTCTTGCACAGGCTCCCCTGGAGATCCCCGACGAGAGCACCGAGAAGCCCGAGGGCTGGCTCGACGACGAACCTTTGACCGTGCCCGACCCCGAGGCCGTCAAGCCCGAGGAGTGGGACGAGGAGGAGGACGGCGAGTGGGTGGCGCCCCTGGTTCCCAACCCCAAGTGCGATGAGGCACCCGGCTGCGGACCCTGGACCCGGCCCATGATCCGGAACCCAGCGTACAAGGGCAAGTGGATGGCTCCCATGATCGACAACCCGGCTTACAAGGGCCCCTGGGCACCCCGCAAGATTGCCAACCCCGACTACTACGAGGACGAGAACCCCAACCACTTTTCGCGCATTGCCGGCATCGGCTTCGAGCTCTGGACCATGGACGAGGACATTCTCTTCGACAACATCTACGTCGGCCACTCGATCGAAGACGCCCGCCAGCTCGCGAGGGAGCAATTCGACGAGAAGCTCGTCATTGAGCAGAACGGGGAGAAGGCCGAGGAGAAGAAGGCCGAGGCGGAGAGCGGCAAGTCGACCGATGACCTTGCTGGCATGGTCAACCGGTTGCGTGGCCAGGTCGAAGACTTTGCTGAGGCGGTCCGAAGGGACCCCATCGAGGCCATTAAGGCGCAGCCGCAAGTCGCTGGTCTCATCGCCACGGTCTTTGCTGGCCTCTTTGGCCTCGTCGGCATCATTGGCGCCGCCTTTGGTGGCTCTTCTTCGGCCAAGGCTGCCCCTTCGGCCAAGCCGGCAAAGAAGGTCGATGCGCCAAAGGCAAAGACGACGGCTGTTGCCGCAAAGGATGGCGAGGTCAAGAAGCGAAGCAAGGCCACCACTGCCCAGGACGCCGATGACGACGAGTAGGCCGCTGTCTCTCTCTCTTCTCTTTTCTTCCTTACCACAAAAAGAACCAGTGTACCTCTGCTTCCTTCCCATAGTCGAAGCCTAATCTTCCCCCCTTTTCTCCCATTTTGTGTTCATCCTTGCCCCTGATACATTCAAACAGATGAAGCAAGGAAAGAAGGAATAAAATTGAATAAATGGTGAATGCATGCATTGCCGTCCCGTCCGGCCGACCGGTCGTGCTCGCGGTGAGGGTATCTAGTCATTCCTTCCTGGCCTTTTCTCCCATCACTCGCCCCATCCGCCGTCTCCTCCGCCTGGCAGAAAGTCGCTGAGACTCCATCCGCCACCACCACCACCACCACCACCGCCGCCGAAGCTGTCTTCACCGGCGTGCGGCTGCTCAGGCTCGGCCCAGGGGTCCGCACCGTCTCCCCACACCTCTTCCTGTCCCTGTCCGAAGTCTTGCTCGCCGTACTGCTGCTGCTGCGGGGGCGGAGCAGCTGAAGACGAGGAAGAAGAAGGCGGAGGTGGTGAAGGTGAAGAAGCGCTGCCGCCGTCGTCCGGGGCCTGCCTGCTGCCGCCGCCAAGCATGCCATAACCGATGCCTGTCCCAATGGCAGGACCCCATCCCCCATCTGCGCCGGGCGCAGGCGTGGGCGCATGCACGCCGCTGCTGTCCTGCCGCGTCGGATAGTCACCCTGTGCGCCGTGGCCGGACTGTGGCTGGCCCTGTCCGCCTCCTTGCGCGCCACTGCCATCTTGACCCTGACCCTGTCCCTCACTTTGACCCTGACCTTGGCTGCCACTGCCACTGCCACTGCCCATCATCCAGAGCGGCATCATGCCTCCTCCATGGCCACCGATGCCGCCCTGGCTGTGCTGCGAAAAGTAGTCAACGTCGCAGCTGACGGCTGTCGCCAGCGCCACGGCGCGCTCGTCTAGCGTCAGGGCCCGTGCAGGACCGTGGCGCACGAGCTCCTTTGCGCCCTCCTCCATCTTCTCTTGCCCTTGCTGCCCTTCGATGGCGAGCGAGGGAGACGCTACGCCAGAAGGGTCAAAGGCGACGACGTACTGACCCGTATCGGTGAAGAGCTCCCGGCCAAAGCCGCGGAAATTTCGGCTGACTGCCCCCAGCGGCTCCCCATCAGTGTCGACCATGACAAAGTCCCATGCCCAAAGGCCGCCGTCGATGCTGGCAAACTGGACAGACTCGGTCTCCTCTTCCCCCTCTTTTTGTGCTGCCTCTTCAGCGAGGGAGCCGGATTGATGCTGACGAGGAGAACGGTAGACAAAGAGGTCGTACTTGCGCCGGTAGACCGTCAGTCGCTGCCGGACCTCGCCGACGAGCGTCTCGCTTCCCGTTTCTGGGTCGACAAGGGACACGCTCGTCTTGGAGGTAAGCCACTTGAACGCCCGCCGGATCACGAGCATCTCTTTTCCTTCTCCATCGAGGACGTGGGCCGTAAAGGGACGATGGTTCCGGAAGAATTGACGCTGCATAACGTTGCCCAGCCCCTGCTCCGTCTCGGCAATGTAACCCTTCGGCTCGCCCTCGGGCGATACAAGTGCGTAGCGATTGGCCAGTTCGAAGCCAAGGAATATGTTGAGCATCTCCATTTGGCGCGTCACCACCAGAGTCGGCTGGCTCAGCAGGGGCGTCAGACGAGCGACGGCGGCTTTGTCACCGTCGATGACGCCTTCGTGATCCGTTGGAATCACGATGCTCGTCGGTCTCGCCTGCTGTGGCGCTGTCGGAGAGCTGGAAAAGGACCGTTTCACGGGCGGCTGCAATGAAGCACCAGCGTATGGCGTGCTTGTGCATGTGTGTTGTGCGATGGAGGGACGGAGCGAGTGAGCAGCGACGAATGCGCCGCCGAGGAGAGCGCTGCGCCCTGCAGCCGGTCCGAGCGCGCCTCTCACGTCTCTCGCAGCAGCAAGAGCTCTTGTCCCTCTCGCTCCCCTAATCGTCATCGCCCTTGCTACCACCATCGCCGCACTTCTCGTCTCGATCGATTGACCGAGGGGGACAGCTGTGTGCAACGTTAGGCCAGCCCGGTCGGAAGAATCAACGGTGAGGAAGCTCTATGCAAGCCACCTGCGCGCAAAGTGGAGAAATTTACATCGCTCACGTGGTTATTCGGGCCTGGAGATCGCTATTCGGCCGTACGCCTCCTGGCAAGCGTAAGTAGCGCGCGCAGGTAGTAGTGGTAGTAGTAGTAGTAGTAGTAGTACCTAGTCTAGTAGCGGAAGGAGGAGTAAAAGCTGTATTACCAACGTCGGACTTTTCCCTCCATTTTTTTTCTTCCAGGGAGCGAGCAATAAGGGCCAGGGCTTGCGCAAGCTCGATTTCCTCGTTTTATCCCGAATCGGAGCTTTGGTAACTGCACTGCTCTTACAGACAGGGCGAAGAAAAGAAGAAGAAGAAGAAGAAGAAGGCGACGACCGACGACGATGGGGCTGCTGTCGCTGGGCACGCCACTGCCCTGGCCCGAGGCCAAGCCGCTCGCCGACCATGTTCGATATCACGGCATCAGCCAGTTTCTCAACCTCTGGGCCCAGATCAAGGACCGCCGAGGCGATAAGCTGCTCTGGGGCGACGAGATCGAGTACATTGTCGTCTCGTTTGATGACGAGAACCGCAATGCGCGCGTGTCGCTCCGCCAGGCCGAGATCCTCGATGTGCTGGCCAAGAGCCACCGCCAGACGGCCGACGAGGCCCCGGGCATCGCCAGCCAGGTGCCCACCTTCCACCCAGAGTACGGCCGCTTCATGCTCGAGAGCACGCCCGGCCAGCCGTACGGCGCGAGCCCGCGGGAGCTGCGCGCCGTCGAGGCCAACATGCGCCTCCGGCGGCGGATTGCGCGGAGCCACCTGCACCCGCACGAGCTGCCCATCACCCTGACCTCGTACCCGCGCCTGGGCTGCAACGACGTGCCTTTCACCGACCCGCATCTGGAGCCGCGGGGCGATGCGAGCCGGAGCATGTTCCTGCCCGACGAGGTCATCAACCCCCATGCGCGCTTCCCCACCCTCACGGCCAACATTCGCAAGCGGCGAGGCGCAAAGGTGGCCATCAACATGCCCGTCTTCCACGACGAAAACACGCCGAAGCCATTCTACGACCCAACGATACCCCACGACCGCAACCTGTTTCCCGAAGACAAGGAGGCGGGCGAGGGCGGTGCAGCGCTGCCGGACCACATCTACATGGACGCCATGGGCTTCGGCATGGGCTGCTGCTGCCTCCAGGTCACCTTCCAGGCCTGCTCCGTGCAGGAGGCCAGGACGGTGTACGACCAGCTGGTGCCCATTGGCCCGCTCATGCTCGCCCTCACGGCGGCGAGCCCCGCCTATCGTGGCTACCTTTCCGATGTTGACTGCCGGTGGAACGTCATCTCGGCCGCCGTCGACGATCGAACGCGCGAGGAAAAGGGGCTGGAGCCGTTGAAAGAGAGCAGAATGGTTATGCCAAAGAGCAGGTGCGTGCGCTGGCCTATACCATGCTTCTCATTCTGCAACAGCTGACATGGAGACTTTTCTTTGCCGTCGGAGCAGGTACGACTCGGTGGACAATTACATCTCTCTCGATGCGTTGAACCGGCCCGAGTACAACGACAACCCGCTCCCTGTCGACGAGGGCATCAAGGCCCGACTCGAGGCTGCGGGCATCGACTCGCTTCTCTCGTCGCACCTCGCCCATCTCTTCATCCGCGACCCCCTCGTCATCTTTTCCGAAATGGTGGACCAGGACGACGAAGTGAGCATGGACCACTTTGAGAATATCCAGTCGACAAACTGGCAAACGATGCGGTTCAAGCCGCCCCCGCCGGGTGGCCAGATTGGGTGGCGCGTCGAGTTTAGGAGCATGGAGGTGCAGGTGACCGACTTTGAGAATGCTGCATTCAGCGTCTTTATTGTCCTCTTGACCAGGGCCATCCTGAGCTTTGGCCTCAACTTTTACATTCCCATCAGCAAGGCGAGTTGTCTTGAAGAAGACGGAAAGGAAGCCAGTGGACGAAGCTGACCGTATGGCTGTATGTATGCGCTTACCTCAGGTCGATGAGAACATGAAGCGGGCGCACCACCGGGACGCCGTCCAGAAAGAGTCCTACTACTTTCGCAAGCAAGTCTACCGTACCAAGCCGCGGCACCACCAGAGGGAAGCCTCGGCTGCACGCACTCGATCGGCATCTGCCACGAGGGTCTCCTCGCGCGCGCCCTCCCCCGGTCCTGGTCCTGGCCCGTCGTCGTCTGTCCCGCCACACGCTCGGAGCGGCAACGGCGTCGTCGCTGCTGCTGCCGCCGTTAATGGCTCTACGCCTGCCTCGCCCTACCGCAGCCGAGCGGCCTCGCCAGAGCTAGGCCCCGTCGAGGAGGAGTACGAGGAGATGACGCTCGATGAGATTGTCAATGGTCGACGTCAGCCCTCGGCATCATCATCTGCACGAAGAGGGCAAGACGAGGAGGAGGAGCAAGGGGCAGGTGCCGGCGACTTTCCCGGCCTCGTCGGGCTCGTATACAACTACCTCGACTCGCTCAACATCGACGTCGAGACGCGCATCGAGATGGGCGCCTACCTCGACCTCGTTGCCGCCAGGGCCAGGGGTGAGCTCATGACGACGGCGACGTGGATCCGGCAGTACGTGAGGAGCCATCCCGAGTACAAGAAGGACTCGGTCGTGTCGCCCGGCATAAATTACGATGTGAGTCTCTTTTCTTTTTGCACGCATGCATACAAAGCCAGTACTGATCGGGACTCGTTGAATGAGCAGATGATAAAGAGGCTCGATGAGATCGAGCGGGGCGTCGTCGAGGCACCGGGCTTCCTTCCTGCAAATTATGCCAAGCGGCGGAGAGCATTTGGCGACAATGAGTAGCTGGTTGGTAGCTGGTAGTGATGGGCCACTGCGACACTGCGACTACTTCTACAGAAGCAGATGCACTCTCAGAAGACGGATCACATTCCCATGTCTATCTAGTACTACTACTACTATTGTCGGCATCCATTACAACTACTTCTGCTAATAATAGCGAACACATAGAGCAAAGAAGACCGTTCTCTACACGCTCAGCTCAGCCTTGGCGGCGTGCTTGATGACGTCGCTGTACGGCTGCAGGGCCGGCTCAACGTGCTTGGAGAGGAAGGAATCGACTTGCTGGGGCGCGCGGCCGATGAACGTCATGGGGTCCAGGAGCTTGTCCATGATGGCGTGCACCGGCTTGAAGTAGTCGTCGGCCATGATGCGCTTCACGAGGTCATTCTCGCCGCCCTCGACCTTGACGACGCGGGCGGCGTCGTGCGAGTGCACCCGGATCCGCTCGTGGCACTCCTGCCGGTCGCCGCCGAGGTGGACCATGGTCATGATGACGTTTTCCGTCGCCATAAATGGCAGCTCGGCGGCAATATGCCGCTGGATCTGGGCCGGGTAGACCACGAGGCCCTCGGTGATGTTTTGGAGAATGGTGAGAATGACATCGGCGGTGAGGAAGCCCTCGGGGATCGAAAGGCGCCGGTTGGCGCTGTCGTCGAGCGTGCGCTCCATCCACTGCCCGCCCGCCGTCTCGCGGGCGCTGTTGCCAATGTTGCCGAGCCAGCGGGCCAGGCCGCAGACGCGCTCGGAGCGCATCGGGTTGCGCTTGTATGCCATGGCCGACGACCCGATCTGGTCCTTTTCAAACGGCTCCTCGACCTCCTTGAGGTGGCAGAGGAGGCGGATGTCCGTCGCCATCTTGAGTGCCGAGGCCGAGAGCGAAACGAGGGAGTTGAGCACGTCGACGTCGACCTTGCGCGAGTACGTCTGTCCCGTGACGGGCATAGCCTCGTCGAAGCCGGCGAGCTTGGTCACCTTTTCGTCGAGGGCCTCGACGCGTTCGTGCTTGTCGGGAAAGGCGTCAAAGAGCTGAAGGAACGAGGCCTGGGTGCCCGTGGTGCCCTTTACGCCGCGGAAGGCGAGGTCGTCGCGGGCACGCTTGATGTTGCGCAGGTCCCAGAGGAAGTCCTGGATCCAGAGCGTGGCGCGCTTGCCCACCGTCGTCAGCTGGGCTGGCTGCATGTGGGTGAAGCCGAGCGTGGGCAGGGCGCGGTGCTCGTGCGCAAAGTCGCGCAGCCGCGCAATCACCGTGGCCAGCTTGGGCAGCAGCAGATCGAGGCCAGAGCGCAGAAAGATGAGGTCCGCATTGTCCGTCACGTAGCACGACGTGGCGCCCAGGTGGATCTTGCCCGCCGCCGCGGGGCACTTGCGGCCAAAGACGTGGACGTGGGCCATGACGTCGTGCCGCCGCCGCTTCTCCTCCTCGGCTGCCTGCTTCATCTGCTCAGCATCGAGCTCCAGGTTGGCCCGCATCTGCTCCAGGGCCTCGTCGGGAATGTCGATGCCGAGCTCCTTTTCGGCCTCGGCGAGGTAGAGCCAGAGCTTGCGCCAGGTCGAGAAGCGCGTCGCATTGGAAAAGAGGTGCGACATCTCCTTGGACGCATACCGGCCCGACAGGGGCGACTGCCACGCATCAAACGAGTGCTGCTGGGCCATGGTGAGATAGTCGTTGGTCGTCGGTCGAGATGGAAGAAGAAGATGATGATTGACGTCTCTGTGACTGACACCCTGTCGAAACCTCAAAGAGGAAGAAGAACGAACGGACGGAGCCCTTGTCAAAATTTGTCTCGGCCGATCAGGACCTTTTTGGGCGCGCCCGTGCTCGGTGACATATTTCGTTTATTCCCCATTAGCGCGATCTGGGCGCGTTCTTTCTCGATTCTCGATAGGGGCTAAACCCATGGAGGGGCGCAACTCCTAGGCGGAACAAACATCAGGACCGCTCCTAGGTCATCACTATCCGTCAGGGGGAGGACGAGGACGAAGAGACACACACCTACCAAATCGCCTATGATCTAGCTACTCGACGATCCATTGTACGACTACCACGACCCATTCACGACCTCACGACGAGCAGTAGCAGCAACAGCAGCACGGTACGACCCAACAAAGACACAGACAACAAACAACACAAAGATTTCCCCATAGAGTTCCCATCCATACCATGCCGCACCCGCAAAAGGTGCCTTCGCTCACCGAGCATCTCAGCCCTCGGGGCAGCATCGACGTGGAGGCAGACAAGCACCCGACGACACACGACAGCTGGCAGGCCATGCTCCGATACGACGCAGCCCGGCGGCGGGATTCCTCCACGTCCTATGGCGGTGTCGGCCAGCACGTCGTGGGCTCTCCCGAGGTCCTTTCGCCCCGCAGTGAGGAGGAGCACCCGCAGCAGCAGCAGAGCAGTTCCGTCATGATGCGAAAGATCTCCAAAGGACAAACGAGCCGCGCGAGCCTGCATCTGGGCGACGATCTGCCTCATATGCCCGAGCAGCTCCCTAGTGGCTTCATTTCCCCGCCGCCTGTCTCATCGCACTCGCCGCAACTAGCAGGAACAGGAGCAGGGGCGGGACCTGGTTCGCGGAGAGACTCGTTCATGAGCGCAGGAGAGGCGACGCTTCGATCAGCGCAAGCACCGAAAGTGAGCGGGAGCGCGCTAGACGACGCCGAAAAGACAGTGGACGACGATGTGTACACCTCGCCGCCAGCCCTGTACCGGCAGTACACGCCGCCCGCGCTCAAGGGCAGCAATGCCGTGCTCGTCGATCGGGAGTTGGAGAGGCTGAGGGACAAAAAGGCAAAGGAGATCAAGATGAAGTGGCGCATCATCACGGGCTGCCTCATGCTCTTGCTCTTTGGCTTCTCTGCCTACATCCTCATCGCATACATCCTCGCCTACCTCGCCCTCTCGCCCGCAAATTGGTTCCTCTCCGATGCACAGGACGGTACACAAACGAGTCCGGACCCGATGCTGAGATCGTTGGCGTTGGTCGGGGTGGCAGTACAGGCCCTCGCCGTCGCCGGCATCGTTCTGTCAGGATTCTACTTGCGCTTCTCGCGTCGACGGTCGTGCGGGACCTACACGGTCTGGATCATTGCCATTCTCAGCACCACGCTCAATGTTGCTCTCTCGGTGGCCAATCTGTCCCTCATCGCGCTCTGGCACAAAAAGTACTCAGATACGCCCGATGACCCCCTGGCAAAGACGCGCGACGTCTCGCAACGGTGCAACGGTGTATGGGACATGGACTTGCTCTGGTCCGCAGCAAAGGCCTCGCCCATTGCGAAACCAACCGACGACGGAGCTGCGGCGTCGGCGTGCACCCACGATGCTAGACGCACCCTACTCATGTTCATGATCGCCGGTGGACTCCGGCTCGGCATTCTTGTCTTTCTCTGCGCCGTGTGGATGGCCTGCCTCGCCAGGTACAACCGCTCTTTGGCCATCGTGGGCATCGTCGATCCCGACATGAAAGAGAGCGCAGAGATGCAGAAGCTGCTCATGGAAGAGGGTGGCTATTCCGGTCCTGATCACCCAGTGAGCACCGTCGGTCGCAGCGGGGGCAAACACGATGCGCTTCCTGCCATGCCTAGCGAGCCGCGCGATTCGCTGGTGGTGCCGGGCAGCTACGACTACGAATACGACGACGAGAGGGTCACGCATGCGTCGGATGCTCATCATCAACCCAAAACATACGGTGGTGGTGGCAGCGTCTATGACGACGAGACACTGAGAGGCTCCCAATCGCATTTCCACTCCTCCCAGTCACGGATGTCGCACGAGGCGCCGTCACTGCAGCAGTTTGCCTGGCAGCAGAACAAGGCCAGGGACCGTCACGACGAGGAAATCTACACGTACGGCAACATGCCACACCACCGACATGAGCGCAGCGGAAGCGCTGGCGCGTGGTCGCAAGGTATCCTTGACCGGCTGTGGACAGCCCTGTGGGGCGAATCGTCTCCCGAGACCCACGGACCCCAGCAGGAGCATATGGGAGATGAAAAGGGGACGCTGCTTGCTGCTCAGCAGCAGCAGCAGCAGCAGCAACATCAGCAGCACCAGCGAGAAGACAGCCGTCTGGGAGTAGGTGGTTGGTTCCGGAGAGAACCCTCGGACAGCAACTGGCGAATGCAAGGAAGCGAGACGGACGCGCGCGATTGGAAGTTGAGGGAAGACTCCTCGCTGGACATTCCCAACTACCAGCAGGAGGAGGCACACGCTTCTGCTCCGCCGCTCCCGCCCAAACAAGAGGAGGAACAGCGACACCAGAGGACAGCCTCGCAAGAGAAGAGGTCCCGAGAGGCTCGACACGCCGCGTCATCGAGCCAGCGCCACGCCAACGGTGCGGCTGAACCAGGGGGTCTGACGTCCGGAAGCAGGAGTAGGTCCAACTCGAGGGAGAGGGCAGAACGGAGGCGGCGCGACCAGCAGGACCGCATCGCCTTTCTGGCCTCGCTGGGCTACCAGTCCGGCGAAGGGGGCCAGACGACGCAGCAAGAGGCAAATGCGCCACAGCAGCGCGTCGGAGACGACCTGCCTCCGATGCCAATGGCCAGAGGCACCGCTCAGCGTGAAGAGACGTCGCTGCACAAGGCTGCAGATGGCGCTGGAGACGAAGACGACGACGAGGCCTTTTGGCGAGGGCCTGGCTCGTCTACCGCAGGCGAGAGCGATCGCAACCTGCTCCAGCCCGTGAACCAGCCGGTGTTCGTCCGGACCCTTGGCAAGCTCGTCCGCAAGCTCAGTGCAATCGAAAGCGTTGGAAGCGGCGAGGGCAGGAGGAGTGCGAGTGGAACAACATCCCAGCACCACCACAGCGGCAATCATGCCTCATCGTCCTCGTCGCACTACCGGAGCGGCAGCAGGGCGGGCCAGCGGAGCTTCGAGGGCGTCGCCATGGCAGGCAGGGAGATGGGCACCGTGAACGAGAATGACTGGTGATTCTCTCCTTCTTCTTCTCTTTGGCTCTTTAGCACCACTGTTCTGGACAATCACTTTCTGTGCTTTCTTTCCTCACGCTTATCCTACCTCACACATCCACACCTCTGGCAAATTAATCAACAGTGGCTTTCATTGTATGAAAGAGAAGAGGGGCAAGCGGCATGGAGCTACAGTAGTCTCCTGCGCGGCTGGAGGAGACAACCTAGTTGGGGAAGGAGGCCGAGCCCTGCGAGTATCCGGGCAGGGTGACGTTGTAGATAAAGACTTGCGTCGCTGCGTCTCCGTTTGTGACGGCGTAGGGGTCCGAGTAGTCCTGGAGGACGTACTTGCCCGTCTTTGGGTCCTGTGCCGCCTGGTGGCCGTTCTTTGTGATAAAGTCATTGTCCGACACGACAAAGAGGAGGAAGTTGTCGGCAGACGAGGAGGGCGCGACGGCGAGCGACTCGAGCTTGGACGCAATGAGCGTCTGGTCAAAGGCGCCGCCCGTCTGCAGGCCAAACTTGCCAATCTGCGCCGGGTCGACGAGGTCGACAAAGGAAGCATAGGGCGTGGGCGTGATGGAGGCGTCGAGCGTGCCACCGGGGCTGATGGGGTTGGCCGGCGCATCGTACTTTGTGCCGTGGATGTCGGTGGCGTTCTTTGTCGAGATGAGGTCCGCGTGCTTGTAGCTCGCGCCCGGGTCCGTGTCGCCGAAGCCGTTGCCGTCGCGGGCCAGGACGAGGAAGGTGGTCGAGTCGACAATGTGCAGCTCCGACGAGGCGCGCGTCTTGAGCTTCTTGGACTGCGGGAGCGGCACCACGTACTCGTGCACGAGGGGCGCAGAGGCGGGCACCTTGGAGACGTCAAAGGCCAGCAGCCGGCTGTACCGGTTCGTCGTCTTGTCCGAACCACCGTCCTGGATAGTGGCTGACTGGAGCAGGGCCCAGAGCGTGTTGGTCTTCCTGTCGAGCGTCAGCCCTTCAAAGCCCTGGTTGGCGGTGCGGCCCGTGGTCGGGTTGACCTCGGCCGTGAAGTTGTCGTTGCCCTTGGCATCCTTGGGCACGATGGCGTCCGGCGGCCGAATCGAGGTAAGGACGATGCCAGTCTGGCGCTCGAGGATGTGGATGTAGGGGCCGTACTCGTCCGAGACGAACTGGAGATGTCCATCGGCCGAGAAGGCAAAGCCCTCAGAGTCAAACGAGACGTGGTTGTCCGAGGGAGCCACGGGGAGCGGGGGCGTGGCAAAGGTGGCATTCTTGACCGCCGTGGGGTCCAGGCCAGTCGTGTAGTTGAGACCAGCGACGGCGTACCGGTAGAGCTGCGTCGACTCGTACTTGAAGGCAATGTTCTCCACCGTGGCGCTTCCCTTGGTCGGGTCAAACGTGAAGGTGAACGTCTGCGATCGAGCACGGTAGTCGGTCGTCGTCTGCGTGTTGTGGCCACGGTCCGGGTTGAGGCGGATCTTGCCGGTGTATGACGAGCCCTGGCTCTGGACAGACTCGAGGGCAATCGCGGAGCCCAGCCCGCCCAGCGTCTCGCCGTAGGAATCGACCGCGCTCGCATTGATGCGGCCGAAACCGACGAGGCCGTGGTTGACAAACGTCCTTCCGTCGAAGCTCACCGTGGTGTCGGCAGCGACGGTGCTGGCCGCGCCGATGACAATGGCACCGAGAAGAGACGAAAAGGTCTGAGACAGCTTCATTGTGGCAGGTTTGATGGGGCTCCATCACTCATAACTGGGCGGCCACAACCTTTTTATAACGCATTCTCGACGGAGCTTCTTCTTCTGAGCTCTTCTGATCCGGAATTTGAAAAGTCTCGCTCCAGAAGATGATCTTCCGAAGCTCTAACGTAACAGAACAACGCTAAAACGGCAGTGGAGGGCAGGGCACGGCCTCGCCTTGCTGCAACGTGCGCACGTTCCCTCAAGCCGATCTCCCGTCAGACCGTACCTGAACACTTGTGGCCCTGGGTCATGCATGCAGTGTGATGAATGGCCGAACAAGGCTCTTCCCGCCAAGCCTTTCAAACTCAAACGAGGCCGAGGAGCGTGGAGTGATGGAGAGCAGTCTTCCTGATCTCTCCAGTGGCTTTAATCTGTCAAATTCCGGAGTGAAGCGATGTCGGACACCGAGGCCTTGCAACAGCCCCCAAGAATGACTGCCTTCCAGCCCAAACCTCTCCCTGTAGCTTCTTGATCCTCGGGAGTTGACATTCGAAGAACGTCGTTGGCCACGTTTACCAATTGCGATGCCCATCCTCCACGATCGACATCGTTGTTCGACGGCCCGTTCGCAGCTGGCCTCCATTTTCTCGCTTGCCCATCCCAGACAAGACCCCCATCCGGATAGAGCTAAGGTACCCAGATGAGCCCACGCAGCACGCAATGGGGAGCAGTCAGGGGAAAAGGGTACTCACAAACAGGTACGGTTGCTTCCGGATCACACCTTGCTCTTGCAGCTTCGTGACAGCGTCTGTCAAGCTTTGCACGAGCGGTCGGATGTAGTATGGTTTTGTGCAGTTGATGCCGATGCCGTCCAGCGGCGCGCCTGCTTCGGACTCGTCTGGTTGCTTGCCCAAGGTGGCCGCGAGAAGGTCTGCGAAATGATCCTGCTGTCTCGCGTCCGTCTGAGCTAGCGGGGGATAGGGCAGCCTGGTCCCATCTGGAAAGACAAAGGAAGCGTAGACTATGACGCCCTCGCCCATCTTTGCTCGAATCTTTGACGTCGCCCTGCGAGCTGCAATGGCCTCGTCGAGGCGCGGAATCGTCTCGAATGCCACGACATCGACGGCTTCTGCCTGGGCTGAACCAAAGATTGTCTGCAGTCTCTGCAGGTGGAACTGCTCGAGGTCGAGCAACGACGGCGTAGGGCCACTCTTTGGAGATTGTTTCGTGGGAAGAAAGTAGTCGCCCGTATCTGTGCCATTGCGCACGACAAAAGATCCGTCAGGTCCCTTAATCGAGCTCAGAAATCACCGGGCAGTCAAAGCTCACACTCAGATCCATTGGCCAGCGCCGCACCAAACGGCCCAAGGCTGAGCCCCACGAGCGTCCTCTTTCGCCCCTGTCCACGCTCATCCTCGCTGCGAACCTGCGCGGCCAGCCCGACCGACTGGACGAGAAGCTCATCTGCCAGCTTGTCCGAGTAGCCCGCCAGCTCAAAGGCCAGCCTCGATGCCTGGTAGCTGCATGAGCGCGCCAGTCAGCGTCGTCTTGTCTCCGGTGTGGCTGCGAACTCACGTAGAAGTCAGGATGATGTCGGCGCCCGCCTTGATGAAATCGCGGTGCGTAGCCTTGATCAGCTCCTTCCCACTGGCTCTCTTTGTTGTCGCACCCGAGGAAGAAGTGGACGAGGGGCCGTCGCACCGCTCTTTGTTGTCGAGGAGCAGCGATGCAGACCAGAGCCTGCCCGACAGGTCCTGGCCGTATGCATCCTCGAGGTGCGTCGCAAAGCCGCCGTCGAGGATGGCAAGCCGCGCCTCTCGGATCGAAGCGATGTTCTCTGCCAGCCTGTCCATCGCTCTCGGACTCCCTTGCCCGCTTAGGCCTCGTCTGCGTCGGTCTTTGAGAAGAAGAAGCGAAGATCAATTGGACAGGAAAAGTTTATTTCTCGCTCCACCAAGGCACGCGACATGTTCAGGCACCTGTACTGTTCCGAAAGAGAGGTGGGACCTTCCGTTTGGCATTCATTCCTCGAGAAAGAAAGTGAAAGAGAGAGAGAGGAGAGAGGGAAGAGAGAGAAAGAAGAGAAAATAGTGCCATCAGTCGAGCCATGAAAGGGCGACAAAAAGAGCTGATGAGGAAAAGAAAGACAACAGACAACACAAATAACAACAGGTGATGAGAGAAGAAGATGACCGAGACGAGTAGGAAAGGGAAAAGGAAAAGAAGAACCCTGGTATGATGATGGCAGCACAGCGGGAGCACTTGTCGAAATCGAGAACGAAGAGGCCTGCTTTCGGAGTGTGGAGATGCGATTTGAAAAGGGCATGCGGCGGCGTCGATCGACATCGTGGAGAGATGAAGCAGCTGAAGCAGGGGTAAAAACGAAGAGAAGAGTCGATTACTTGGAATCGGCAAAGAGTGTCATCTTTCCACCGCTTGCCAGCCACTCCTTGAGGTCCTCGTCGTCGCTCAGCCGCATCATGCCGCTCGACCCGGGCTCGGGCTGTGCCTCCTTGTAACGAAGAATGGCCACATCGCTTCCCAGCCGTTCCTTGACCTTGTCCATCAACGCGGCAAAGGTGACATTCGGTGGGACGCGGATCGCAACCGTGTCGTCGGTGACTCGGTGGAAAATCTTGATCTTGACAAACGGGGGCTGGCCGGCACCGGCACCAGCACCCGAGGTTGCGGACGTGGGGAGCGGCGGCTGCGCATGCACTGACCCTGATCGTCCGTGGGACGAGGAGCCCCTCGAGTCCCTCGAATCGACCGTCGTCGCCGACGTGTTCCTCGTCATGTTCTGGTGCGGCTTGAGGTGGGCCGAGTGCGAGTTGGGCCCACTGCTTCGGCTGTCGGCGGCAGAGTGCTGCGAGCTTCGGCTGGCCGCTCCTCCTCCGTTTGGCCCCCCTTCGCCCATGCCAAGGCTGGCCATGCCCGAGCTTAGCTCGTCGCCCGTCGCTGACCGCGCAGAAGAGCCAACGGGCATGTCTTCGGAGTATTTGCTGTTTTGTTGCTCACCCTCGGTCAGTCCTGGACCCACGTCGCCATCAAAATAGTCGTTGCTCGAGGATACCCACCTTGTCCCGTTGCTTGCCAGAATTTCACTCGTGGTCGCACCAGATGCTTGAGCCTGCTGATTCCGGGGAGGTGAAGTAGTGCAGTGGTCGCCAGGCCGCGGCTCGAAGAAGAGTCTGACGAGCTCGGAGCGGAGAATGTACTCGGGCAGGGCACACAGCTCGGTGATGTACAGGTCCAGGTCCTGCCTTCTCTGCGACGTGATCAGGTCATCGACTTGCTCGAGCGGACCTGGCATCAGCGGCAGTATCCGTTCGCTCATCTGTCCATTGGCCAGCTGCTCCCGTCCTGCTTCCGCGGGAAAATGATCGAGAAGGGCAATTTGAAACTCGTAGAAGTCCTCATAGAGCCGGTAGAGGATCAGGTCCCTCTCCTCGCCCGCAGGTGCTGTGGGTGCGTCTGAATTCGCGCTCGATGATGGGCCTGCAATGTGGCCAGCCTGGATGCGGAACCAATAGTCGCCCTGCTCGTAGTGGAACGAGTCAACGTTGGCGCTGTGAACGATGCCAGTGGGCAGTTCCTGCCCAGGCGTGATGTCCGGGGGCATATTGTCCAGGCTTGGTTGACCGTCCTTTGGTGGGATGGGTGGCTGCTGCTGTTGCTGCTCATAGAACTGATTCGACGAGGACGACGAAGACGGGTCAAAGGGCGGCTGTTGCTGCTGCTGTTGTTGCTGTTGCTGCTGTTGGAAAGGCTGCTGCTGCTGTTGCCCCAACCCTTGGGGCTGCGCCTGGGCCCCGGGCTGAGCTTGGTTGCCCGCAAAGTCAAATCGGCCGAGGGGAATGGTGTTCTTCTTGTAATCTGCCGTCATCTTCTTCCACTCTTCCACCTTTGGCACGACGCCGCTGTCGATGAGCTCGTCGACGTTCTCGACGACTCTGCCTGTCGACAGGTCCTTGATCTCGATGAATGCGACGGGGATCAGGCCTGGCCCACCCAGTCTGCCAATCGGCTTAGCCACAAACCACTCGTAGTTGGACTGGGCAATGACGATGATCGATTCGCCCGCCTTTGCCTCGAGCTCGTCTGCACGTTCGGCCGCAAAGTCATACTTGACTGTCCCAAAGAGACCAGCGCCGCTCTTGGCCGGGCCCGGTTGCCCGGATGCAGCCGCCGACGTCCCAGCTGCCCCAGGCCCCATTCCCATCCCTGTCCCTGCCCCTGCTCCTGCTCCTGCCCCTGCCCCCTGTTGGATGCCTGCGCTTCCAGCTGGCGCCGGTCTTGATGACCTCGAGAGGATATCAAAGTAAGCAGCGGGCACAAGACCCCTCGCGTTCGTCACCGGGTTCGTCGCCTCGAGCCAGTCTGGATTGGAAGAGTTGTCGTCGGTGAGGACGTGGAAGAAGTCGCCCTTCACAAAGCTCAGCTCTTGAGGAGCTCTCGATCGATAGTCTCTGGTGGCACGGATGACTTTTTTGGGCGGCTGGATCGACACGGCGTTTCTCACGCCAGTAAACATCGATGGGGGCGCGCCCGTGCCTGTCGCAAAGCCCGAGGCAAACGACGAGGAGCCGCCGGCGCCCGGCCTGTTGCCTCCCGAATTGCGGTCCTTGTTGAGGGAGCGTCTGAAGTCCTTGAGTCCCTTCATTGTTTTTTGTCTATCTGGTTTCCTTTTTCCTTTTCCCCTTTATTGTTTTGGGTGGATCGCCACGTCGATTTGATGCGCTGTGTTTTCCCCTGCCCTCGTTTTCCTCGCGACGCCGAACCCTTGATGTTTGGGCCAGTGGCGTGTGTTTTTGGTCCTCTCCGCTTCAAGAGCCGCCACAGGGACGTGTCTCTGTAGCAAGGGAAGGAGGAATGAAATGCGAAGCCTCTTTGTCTGAAAGCTCCGTCTCGCGTCGGTGTTGCGGGCGGGGCGCAATTTAGACGTAACTGGCCAGATCTGATGTCGAGTTCTTGGCGCGTGTGCAGCGAGCAAGTTCGACAAGCTACGGTCTTCGCTGCTGTCGTTGCCGTCGTCGCCGAAGAAGCCCCGCGCACAATGCCAAGAGAGTAAGGCGTCCAGCAGGCGCTTTGATAACAGAGCGAGCTGTGCGAGTGTGCGCGCGTGATGCAAATTCAGCAAAGCGCTCACGTCCGAATTGCTAGGGCTGCGGGCAAGCGACACACAAAGACGACGAAAGAAGACGCGTAGCAGGCGGTAGTGACGGCGATGGCGGCCTTTTCTCCAAGGTCGACGGTCTCAAGAAAGAATAAGGAGAGATATGGCTGGGGCCTTTTCTCGTCGTCTGTCTGTCTCTTACGGCTTGATGGCAGCACAGCAGATGAAGCGCGGCGTGAGTCGAAAAGAGGAGGAGACTGTGCGTTGCGGGAAATCGAGTGAGATGTGAAGAGAGCGAGGGGGACAAGGGGGACCAGGAGCGGATCGCGTGCTTTGTTTTGTGCTGCGTCGCGCTCGGTGTCTCGCCGCTCGTGTTCCTGCTCCCTTAACTCTCCGAGCGAGGAATGCTGGGTGCGGATGGATGGGGGCCTGAGCTCGAGACGGCGTCGAGAAAGATCGACTCTCGAGGCGCGGGAGAACAGATGCCCCAATCGGCCGTGCTGGATGATGAAAGGGAAGAGTGGGAAGAGGAGGAGGAGGAAGAGAAGAAGCCGTCCCCTTTCTCCCACTAGTTTTATTTTTATTTTTTATTTTTTGCCGCTTGATAGAGCTCGAGTTAGTGAGCGAGGGTCAACAGAGGTGGAAAACACCTCGTCTTGCCGCGATCGCGCTTGGCTCGCTCTATCAGTCCATTATATTACAGAGCAGGTTCATTGCACCACCGAAAAGGTTGCGCGTCCTAATTTCAGAAATCTGGTTCAAATTCCAATAACCCAGAATTTAGGGATGGCCAGCAAGTCGGACATCCTGAAGCGCTGACGGACATGCAGATAGACGACGTGCTTCCAGTCCAACGGAGCCGACCAGTACATCAGAATCGATTGGGTGTGGTGCTTGTTTGTCAACTAAGGGCGTGATGTTGATTGATCAAGCTCCATTGCTCTGGATATGCGCTCCTGTGACGAGGCAAGGGCGCGTCAAATGTCTCAAGCCTGTGCTTGCTGCGACTTCTCGAAGGGCTCGTTGCTTGCTTGTCAAACCCGGAAGAAGATTGTTGCCTCAGCCTCCGAAATAGGCGACGAGAAAGAAATTCAATTGGGGACAGCACGAGATCAAGATCGAAATCAGACAAAAAGCCAGGAGACAGTCGGCCAGGAGAAAGAGGGTTGGGCAAAGGTGGGGACGCCGGCGAGGGAAGGGAGGGACGCATCCCAAGTACAGGCTAAGGGATCCAACAAGGGTCCTGCTCGTCGCCGACGGCGAAAGATCTTCCTTGGCATCATTTCCTGAATAGCGGTCGTCTTGTCTGACCGTCTGCCCTTCGAAGGGCGTGGTCTTGTGACGCCGGACTTACCTTCGGACCATTTCTACCTTTATGCCCTGGGTCACCCTCCCTCTTTTTTCGGAATAACTCATCTTCCGGAAATGTGCGAGAAGGACAGCGCACGCAGGGCAAACTCCCGACCGAATTTTCTCTTTGACATACGTGTCGTACCCTTTCAAATGAAGCGCTCCTTCTCAACGGACTTTGTCCGAATCGTGAGAACTGATGAAGTCTGCACACGGTAATGGACCGAGAAAAGAGAACGAAGATGACGGTGTAACAAGAGCCTTTTCAGGATTGCAAAGCAAGGAACCAGTCTGACTAGCACTAAAGAAAAGACACCTGCGCCACTGTCAAAGGGGGAGGAGAAGACAACCTGTGTATAGAGAGGGAAGAACTGGTCTGGCGAGGCTCGCACAGCGAGCCCGCTCAAAGCAAAAGACAGCAAAGGAATAACAGGGAGAAACACGAAGAAAAGAGGAGAGGAGAGAGGAAAGGGGAAAGGAGGCGCATGACCTTTAGCTGGAGTACATGCGGAACAGGGCGTTGGGCTCCTTGCCCGACAGGAGGCAGTTTTGCTGGGTGACGCCCTGCATCGACTGGAGAGCGGCGAACCAGGCGTAGCCCATGACGCGGTCGTTGGAGTCCATCCACTGCTTCGTCTCCGTCATGAAGCTCTTGACGTCCGAGGCGCTGGGCTGGTCGTTGCCGTTGAAGTTGGTGCAAGCCATCTCGGTGATCCAGACGTCCTTGTCAAAGGTGTCGATCCAGTTCTGGACGTACGTCTTGAACTTCTCGGCAGTGGTGTCGTAGAAGTGGAGCGAGATGGCGTCGAGGCTGTTGAACTGGTCGGCGCACTTGGACTTGAACTCCTTGTACCACTCGAGTCCGTCGGGAGCCGACGTCGTCGAGGGGCCCATGACGTACCAGCCCTTGTCGGCGAGGGGCTTGATGTTCTCGCGCATGAGCGAGCAGGCGTGCTCGGGGGTCATCTTGGCCTGGCCCTTTTGGTTGACCTCGTTCATGGCCATGACAGCCTTGTGCTTGTTCCACTTGCCGTTCTGGTCGTTGAGGACGCGCTTCTTGAAGTCGTCCAGGTTGGCGCCCGGGCCAGAGTCACCCCAGAGCATGGGGAAGAAGAGCGAGTCGGTTGGCGCGCTGTCCCACTTGGGCCAGGCACCCCACGAGTAGAACCAGGAGACGGTGCCAGACATGAAGGGCTCGATGTTGATACCGCCAGCGTTTGCCCAGCAAAGACCAGCTTTGCTCTTGTAGCCGCTGGGCTTCTTGCCCGAGCCCTGAGCGCCCGACGACGAAGATGACGACGAAGCAGACGACGATGCGGAAGATGACGACGAGGTGCCCGACGACTTGGCGGCTTTGGAGCCGGCGCTCTTGGTGGCGCTGCTGGCGCTGTTCTTCTTGGACTTGTGCTTCTTGTGCTTTGAGGAGCCGGCCTTGCAGCTCGTGCGCTTCTCGAGGTGGGCGCTACCGTGGTTGAGGGCGAGACCGCTGACGTCCTGAGGCGAGGCGGCCACAAGCGTGGAGCTGGCCACAAGGGCGGCAGCGACGAGGGACGAGGTGAGGAACTTCATGATGATGTTTGTAGTGGTGGTAAGTAACGTTGATGCGAAAGAGCGAAGAGAAATGAGTGAGTCAAGGCGACAACAACGAAAGACTGTGAGAGTATGCTGGTGTGCGTATGTTTAGTGCTGAGCGAGAGTGAGTTGAGCGCGCCGTTACAAGAGGGATGGAGATCGGGAGGAGAGGAGGTTGGAGGTCAAGAGACAGAAGCCGGTTCTGGTCAAGAGGTAGATCGAGGTCGGTGCTGGTAGAGGGGAAACAAAGGGACGAGAGGGAGGGGGATTCGACTAACAGGGGGGCCATATCGGTTGCGCCTTCGTTCCTTTCGAAACGATCGAATAAGGGATACCCAATTCAAAGAATATTCAATTTAGGCAAAAGAAGAGGATGGAGAGGGGCAGGAGACGACTCTTAGACCAAGCCAGGCCGAATTCTGCATGGGATTCTTGTATTAATGTTTGGTCGACCTCGTGTGCGCGACGATGCAAATGGGCTATTTTGAGGGACCATTCGGCAGAGGCGACATGCCTCAGGGCCTGAAATCGTGCCTAGCGTAGCTTTAGTTCCCTCACCCTCGCGTTAGCTGGTGCTTCCCGCCCGCGAATTTTTGAAGAGCGACGCGCCAAAAATGAAGACGGAAAAAGACAGAAAGGATCCCCATTATTTAATAATAAGCCCTTCATTATCCCTTTGAAGGGCGATCGGGACGCCTCGCTGCCAGCGAGGCTCGCTTTGCAAGCTGCGAGCTGTAGCTGCTGCTGCTATTTGCCGTTTTGTACAGATCTACGGCGAGGCGACCATCTTCGGAATGTTCGTTGGCTCTTCGGTCCCTTGATGATCTCCACGGACCGTAACAAACAATTCTTCATAAAAGCAGGCTTGCCGACGTCACCTTCCAATCTTTCTTGGACGATCCTTGGCGGTGCAAGCGAGGCACGGCGTATCGTCATCAACAAGAATCAAATTGTATCTTCTCAGAAAGAGGCTGACTGCTGCACACCCAGGACTATACGCATGCATTCAGAGCAAGTTTGCCAAGTGACTGATGAAGTGTGGATGCAGCACGTTTTCTAGCAAACGCAGGCAAGCGGCCTGAACATAAGCGATTGTTCTCTTGCCTCCCTCTGTCGTTTGGAGTTGGGGAATCGTCGCAGAGTCTCGGACGCTGCACAGTGCCGCTGTAGAGATGGTGGACATCGAAGGGGCGCAAGATGCCCGCGCTACTCTCCTCTATTCGCTTCCGAACTCTAACGAGGTCAAACGCCAGCAAAGCCTTCCAGATTGTAAAGGCCTGGCGGTCGTGCTTGTGCTTGTTTGCCTTGAGTAAGTTTGTTGTTGACAAAATGACCAAACATTTAGTCCGGTACAATGGTGTCGGCCAGGAAGAAGAGGCTGTAGGCAATGGTTAGTCATGGCTCAACGAAGAAGAAGCAAGGACCAGCTTACTAGTACATGGACTCGGAGAGGACGCCGGCTCGCACGCGAAGGAGCTGTTCGACGAACTTTCTCGCTCTCAGCGACTTGGGTGCAGCCCTGTTCAGGAGCTCGACGATCGAGTCGAATTTGAGATAGAGATCCGGACACCGCTGTTCTTGACCGAGGACCCTACACCAGTCGATCTGGCGGGCGATCAAGCGAGCGGCGACGGACCAGCAGACGTGGTTGTGCGGGTGGCACGATACCAGATCCACCGATGTCGAGAGCAAACCGTTGACCACTTCGACAATGTTATCGATGGCGTACAGCATCTGCTTGACTGAGCGAGGCAGCTGTGACTCGTCGAGTTGCGATGGCGGTGTCGAGTTGAAGTGCTCATGCAGGTAGAGGAGCGCCACGTTCGCGTTGCTATATGCCGATACAAGGCCAAAGGAGATCTCTTCGTCCAGCGATATGATCCTTGGAAACGTCGAGAGGAACGACGTGATGGCCCGGTCAAGCTCCCAGAAGCCAGAGGGACGCTCGAGGGCGTGACCAAGATGGATACGGTTGCGCGTCAAGAGTAGCTGAACTCGCTTGATCAACACGGCAGACTTCTCTCTGTGCATCAGCATCAAGAATCCTCGCAGACGGCGCGTGAATCTCACCTTGATTTCCAGTGTGAAGGCGTCTCGAGGACCCAAGATGAAGAGGCCTTCCTCGTCGAGCATCTGTCCACCTTGAGTCGACCCATCGCCGTGTCGTAAGATTGGCAGGCAAGTGAGGACCTGATCGTCGGACAGGTTCGCCTCCCACATGTGCACAGGTCCGCTGGTGTAGACATCGTTGATGTAGACGTACCAGAACACTTTGCGCCTCTCGTCCTCATCGGCTGTCGAGTGAACATGACCAAGGATGCCCGGAAGCATTCTGTGCGTTTCGGGATGGCCAAAAGGCAGAATCTTGTCCAGTCCGCACGGCGACAGAAAGCGGCACGTGTACGAGCTGTACAGAAGCATTTCTTTGAGCCGATTCATGCCCATCAGGGCGACACAGAGCAGGAGCACCGTCTGGCACCAGTCGAGGGGGTTGCGCGGGTAGACGATTACGGCACGCTCTGCATGCAGTCTGGCCCAAGCCATATGGAATTCGGCAAAGTCAAGGTGCCGGTCATCGGGTGCCTGTCTCGTCCTCAGGTCGCCAAGGCTGGGAAGTACGGCACCCGCATGCTTCTGACCCGTCTGACGAAAGTAAGGCGAGAGCGGAGCGGCTGCCGAGAGGATGGCGTGGATGAGACATTGGTGAGGTCGATCGAGGGAGTTGATAGGTAGCAGGAGCCCGTACATGAAAGATGGTTTGTGAATTGCGCCTCGCATGGGTGATCTCGCAAAGACTGCAGGTCATAGTCAGCAAAAGCGAGCGAGTCAACAGATGAAGTCCAAACACTAACACAGCTCGCACATGGTGACCACGACGCTTGGCTCGGGCAGCTCAAGGGGCCAGCCGGGCCAAATGAGCTCGAGGATTGGATCCGGTCGCCTAGCCACCTTTTCGGGCTCCCTTGTCAATTCACGTTGATTGTCCAAGACCGCGAGCGACGCCGAGGCCGAAGCCGTGAAACTGCGGGAATCAAAGGCAGGATGCGAGAAATTCCGAACAGGATACGACATCTTGACCGTCGTGGCGGCACTTTCCGCGCTGTTTCTGTTGTCACCGCCCAAGCTGTCGGCTAATGATACACGCTTTGCGTTCGCATTCTGATGGTGCGCAGCCTCCGACCGGGCAAGTCGAAGCTCCAGGTGCTTGATCCGCTCTCGCAGCTCCTCAATAATGAGATCCGGTGGATCTTGTGTTTGCTCTACATGCTTCCTTCGTCCCTCTGTATCACCTCTCGTCTCTGTCTCGCTCCTCTTTCGGCCGTACGCCACCTTTGGTTTCGCAGTGGGAGACAGGTCCTCTTCGTATGTACACAACAGGTTCTTTCGACTGCAGTGCAAACAGGGGTCACCTCGATCGCACCGTAATTTAGCCGCTCGGCAGTGGCCGCTAGCGTGAAAGTCAGCACTGCAAGGCGCAAAGGGCAGAAAGAAGAACAGTCTTGATCATTCACTCACCATGAGGAGGCCTTAGGACCCGGGCGAGCCTTGCCGTGGACCTCGCCCGTTGTCCCAGACATGCTGGTCGGGAGGATCGAAGCCGAATAGCTTCCTTCTCTCTCATGCATCCAATCAATCTAAAGTGGAGAGCTTATGTAAGCTACATTTATCTTCAGCGCGCCGGATGGTATGGTATCAGCCTCCTATTACGATGGCGACCGGGTGGATCGAATGTGTTCTGTACAATTACATATAGGGCACTTCCAGCCTAAGCCCTCTCGGCATGTGCTTCCATCTCCGCTATCTCCCGTTGAAGGCCATCTTTTCGTCGCTGGAGCTCTCCTAGGTTGCGCTTCAAGCTTGCCCCTTCCTCCCTAGTCTGTGATGACGGCAGACCTTGCCGTCTCCCTTCGGCTCCTGTCTTGGTTTGATGTTCTGGTTGATCTGCAGACCTTGGCTTGACGAGGTGAGGCGGAAGGTTGTGCGCCTTGGCAAGCTGTTCCAGACGTGCCGTCTGCTGCGAGACCTAGTAGCAAGAACCGTTAGTGAGGGCACAACGGCGGGCCAGTGCTGGGTGTCACGAGACTCACCTTGCTCTTGAGCAGTTTTGCCTCTCTCTCGTCCTTCTGCAATGCTTCCTCGGCCCTCAAGATGAGCTCCTTGAGCTGAGGCGCGATTTCGGCGCTCAGGTGGTCCCTCGCGGCGCGAATTTCGCCCTCTGCAACGAGGTCGAAGTGTCTCTTGGAGGCGAGAACCCTGGCAAAGCGCGCAAAGTCTCCCGTGGATTGCGACAGCGAGTCATTGGATGCCTCGAGCTGATGGAGAGGCCCGTCTACTAGTCAGCAGAAGTCCAAGCAACATGGGCCATCAATCAAACCAACCGTCGAGGCCGTCAGCTCAACGCTGGCTACGCAGGACGCTAAAGATGAGAACAGCTGCGAAGAGGGTGCATACGATCCGCCACCAATGCTCGCTGCTGCGCCCGGGTGCAGAGATGGTCGCGCCATGAGCGAAAGAGGTAGACGAGAGACAATCTGAGTTCGGCGTGAGTCCAGACGGAGACTCCAACACCAAGGACGCGTCTCGGGCCCAATTCAAATGGCTGGACGTCACGTGCATCGCAAGTGCCGTCAGAATTCCCGGCGCGCCCTCGTCGCCTCGACTTCCTTTCTACAGAACGACGACGGGGACGACGAAGAAGCACATCGCAATGGATCCCGACACCATTCTTTCACACGTCGCATTCACGACATCGGGGTCACTGGTGGACTGTGTCGACAGTGAGTTCTCCCTGGAGCAATAATGTCAGAGATATACTAACATTCAACCCCTTGGCTCTCCCTTGCCCTCCCTTACCTCCTTCCAGAAAAAGTCATCATCGTGCTTAGAGATGGAAAGAAGCTGATCGGGGTGCTTCGCTCGTACGATCAATTTGGTGAGTGGCGAGCTACACCGCCTGTCACTTGCCTGCACCACTGAACGCGATGGGAAACCCGGTAGCCAACCTGATCTTGCACGAAGCCATCGAGAGAGTCTTTGTCAACAACCGATATGCAGATATCCCGCAAGGCCTCCTTCTGGTCCGAGGAGAGAATGTGGTGCTGATGGGCGAAATCGTAGGTGTAGAGAAGCCTTGCTTTGAGATGTGTGCAGTCCCTGACATGTTGCTCCGTCCCATTAGGATCTCGACAAAGAGGACGAGGTGCCGCCGTCAATATGCATGCCCGTCCGGCCAGAAGTCATACCCCAGCTGGTCCAGGCCAGGAAGGTTGATCGGGAGGCAAAGGCGGCCATTGAGAAGAGAAAGGCAGAGATCCTGAGGACACAGCATGGCTTTTGCGAGGAGGGGCAGGAGGGTGACAGTTACTGAGTGCCATCAATCATTAATTACCCAACTCCTTCTTCCTCGCTCCGTCGTCCCTTCCCATCTCTACATTTTCCTTGGTTTCTACTGTGCTTGGTGGCCCTGGGCTCTGTGAAATGAGCCACATTGGTGCCCTGTGAGAGCGAGCAATGCAAGGTTGCATGCATCTCCGAGGGGACCAAGGTGGAGTGTGAGCCACGTGACGATTAATGGTGGTCTGAGCACGCTCGCGACGCACCTGCCAGCCGACATTGTCCCCCCCTCAACTTGGAAGCCCCTAGTCTTTTTCCTTGGCGAGAGACAGGCTCCTCGAACGAAAGCCCCCGGAGGAAAGACGCCGAGCTGTGGAAACGAGAGTGACGATGTCGTATCCGTACAAGGCGGTGGCGCTCAAGAAATACAAGTCGCCACATAAGGAGGTGAGCGAGACAGGGGCCATTGCGGAGGGAAGAGGAGAGGGGGAAGGAGGGCTGAACATGACGCATTCATTTGCCTTTTCTTTGCCCGCGTGCATGTAGGACCTGAGCTTTGCAAAGGGCGACGAGATCAGGGTCGTCGCTCTGGCTCCCAAGGATGACGACGATGACGATGACGACGACGATGACGATGACCAGTGGCTGGTCGGAGAGAGCCTAGACGGCTCCAAGACGGGCACCTTTCCAGCGAGCCACATTCAGAGACTACCGCAAGAGCAACAGAAAGAGGATGATGGAGCTGGCGTCACTGCAGCTGGGACTGGAACAGGTGCAGTGGCGACGACAGAGAACGAGTCGAGCCAGAAGGGGACGGAAGCCGAGCCGCGAGACGTTAAAGAAGACGCGCCTGTCGAGTCTGAGCCGGCTGCTCTTGTGTCTTCCGCTCCTTCTGCACCAGCAGCGTCTGCAGAAGCTGAGAGTGTGGCTGCTGCCACGTCGCCGGCGGACGAAGCGCCGACCTCGGCCGGCTTGCCAAAGGATGCCCCACAGCCCACCAGTCCCGGGGCCACCAAGGGCGATTCGAGCTCGGCAGCTGAAGCCGGCACCAAGGCAGGAGAAGTGCCGCCCGCTGCTGCTGCTGCTGCTGAGCCCCCAAAGAAGCCGTCGTCGCCACCGCTTGCACCAAAGCCCAGTGGACTGGCCGCCCGCATTGCGGCGTTCAACAAGCCGAGCGAGGCGCCGCCGCCGTTGCCAAAGGGCAAGCCCGGTGCTTGGAAGCGGCCTCCGCCTGCGCCTGGTGCGCCCAAGCCGGTGCTTCCTGGTGTGAGCCCGGCCCAGCAGGACCAGCAGCAGAAGAAGCCGCAAGCCGCACCCGCCGCTGCCGCTGCTTCAGCAGCGTCGGCAGGGTCAGCTTCCTCTCCGCCGCCGGCCTCGGCCTCGGCTGATGCAGCGGGAGAAGCGGCGACGACGGCGACGACGACGACGACGACGGAGCGAAGCACAAGCACCACCAATGCCGGCTTCAGCGCCGCCGATGCAAAGAGCAGCATTCAGCTCAGCCTCAAGGAGCGCATGGCGGCGCTCCAGAGGGGCGAGACGCAGGCCAGCGCGCCGGTGCCTGCTCCCAAGCCGGCGCCCAAGCGTATTGGTGCCGATCGGAGAACGGCTGCCATGGCTGGCCTGGGAGGCCCGACGTCGGGGGCGGCGACGACGACGACGGACCCCGAGTCAGAGCTGGCACCTGCAAAGTCAAGCGAAGAAAAGAGTGGGACAGTCGACGATGGGGCCGAGCGGCAGTCGCAAGATGCAGACATAGCAGTCCCAGGAGAGGCGCCCGCTGGCGAGGATGCTGAGACGGGTGAAGCGGTCAAAGGGGCTGATGTGGGCGACGAGGGAGAGCAGGCAACCGAAGACCAGCCAGACGAAGAAGAGAGCGAAAAGACAGAAGAGGAGAAAGAGGCAGAGAGACGAGCTGCAATTGCGAAGCGCATGGCAGCGCTCGGCGGGCGACGAATGGGAGGCGGGGGACCACCCATGTTTGGTGCGCCAGCTCCGGTGCCTGCGCCCAAGCCCAAGCCAAAGGAGAAAGAGGAGGAGCCAGCAGCAGCGGCAGCAGAAGAGACTAAGATTGAAGGGGTACAGCAAGAGCCGGTGCAGGAAAAGGAACCTGCAACAAAGGACGAGGCCGTTCAGCGAGCAGGCACAGAAGAGGAAGGCGCATCTGCGCCAAAGACACTCGCTGTCCCTCGCCGCGCAGCCCCACCGCGACGCAAGCGAAGCGCACAGCCCGTGGAGGAAGACAAGGAGAAGCAGACGTCGGTCGACTCTGGCTCGACGGGCGATGTGACCGTCTCGCCAGTTGCAGCGACCTCTGCTCCCCCTCAGAAAGACACCGAAGCCGTAAGCGATGCACCCATGACCGAAGAACCGGTTTCCGAGACGGTCCAAGAGGAAGATCACATCGGAGCGGCGCCTGCTGCCATTTCAGCAGACGAAGGCGAAAGAACAGAGGCTCGCACCGCCTCGCTTCTCATTCCTGGCGACAGGAACGGAGCCAGTGGGGAGCCCAGTCCAACGACACCAGCGTCCGAGATTGAAATGCGTGAGCAGGCGCGCCGCCTCGATGAGTTCGTGCAGAGCCAGCAAGACGATACCGACACGGAGCTGCCGACGCAGCTGCAGGAGAATCTCAAGCTTGCCGATGAAGATGAAGACGAAGACGAAGACGAAAACCGCGATGAAGTTACAACGGGTGCGGTGACTCATGGTGATACTGCCACTGCTGCTGCTGCTGCTGCTGCTGCTGCTGCGCGCGAGCCTGGGCATGGTGAGCCGACCAACGCGCGAATGCCACCGGTGCCTGTCGCCTCGCCGCCTCCTCCGAGCAGCGCGCCGCCGCGCCCGCCAAGCGCACGTCCTCCCGTCCCAAAGACGCCCTTGTCGCCTCCTCCCCTGGTCGCAGACGAAGAGGGAGCTCGGCAGTCGCCCGCCCCCACTAGGGCCCCACCTGTGCCGAGGGCGGCAAGCAGGCAAGGCTCGACGATCATGGAGCCTGTCGCTGCTCCCCCGGCAGTGCCCGCGGCTGCCACTCACGCAGCAGAAGACGAGGACAGCCGAGCGCTGCCTCCACAGCTCACCGCACCCAAGCCGCGCATGGCGGTGCCCGTAGACACCTCGGACGATGAGGCAGAGGACGACGATGAGGCCGCACCTGCTCCTGCCGAGGAGGGGCAGGCAGAGGAGGAATCAGAGGAGCAACAGGAGGCGCAGAGACGAGCGAGTCTCGCTCAGCGCATGGCCCGCATGGGCGGACAGCCCATCATGGGTGCGCCTATGCCGATTCGCAGGAAGCCAACCGTCGAGGAGTCCCGCTCAGTCGACGAGCGTGGGCCTGAAGCAAACGAAGACATTGCACTAGCAGCCGGCGGTGCAGCCAGAGTTGACGAGGAAGAGGCGCAGGGCGATGAGGATGAGGAGCCTGTGAGGGAGACAGCCCCACGGCTGGCGAGCCCTCCTCCAGTGCCCAAGAGTCCGCCCCCGGTGCCATCGGTCAGCCCGCCGCCTAGAGGAACGACGCCAGCATCACGCCACAGCATGCAAGCTGCCGACTCGATTGAGCGGCGCATGTCTTACCAGGCCGGCAGTGATGGGCCCGATGCCAGCCTCGGCCGTCGAGCGTCTCAGATTCGACCTCCGGTGCCCAGCGTGACTCACTCGCGAGACACCTCGGCTCAGCATGCAGCACCTGCTGAGGAGGAGACGGAAGAGGACGAGGAGCAGCCCGCGATCGTCCCTGACCGACGAGCAAGTATGAGCCCACCCCAGCTGCCCAGCAGCCCGCCACCTCGTGCGCCACCCTCGCGGCCACCGCCTCAGCGTGAGGCCGAAGCAGCACCTCCTGCTGAAGCAGTCGAGGAAGACGTGCGTGCGGTTCCTCCCAAGGCTACTAGCATCTCCCCATCAGCTTCCTCCACCATCCCACCTCCTCGATCGGCGGCAGCACCACCGTCAAGATCCTCTCGCGATCTCGACCTGATGCCCTCGACCAAGTGGTGGCGGCACGGTCTCCATCCCGTGCGTCTGCCTCCCACGCTTCAGCGCCCCGACGCTCTCGTCTCTGTTGACATCCGCGGTCTGCCTAGTGTGAGTGACCCCACCAAGAAAGACAAGGCATTGAGCGAACAGCAGCTGACCCTATGACAAACTCTGCCAGCAAAACAACGTGGCGCGCCATCTCATTACTGTCCAGCTCGTATTTGAGGATTACAGCTCGACGCTCGTGTACGTCGAGTTCCAGGACGACGACGGTGAAGAAGCGGCCACGAACGTGACCCAGCGCCATGCACCTCCCCCCGCACGGCCCTCGGCCGCCCAGCTGACGTCGTGGTCGACGCAGATTGGGGCTGGCCTCGCCTTGCAAGCCTCAGCAGCCGTCTCGGCCAAGTCGGCTGCGGCAGGCTCGTCCAAGGACTTTGTCGCCAATCTCGTCAAGGCCAATCCCCAGACGCTCGGTCCCGTTGGCTCGTCGTTTGGCGCCATCATCCTGGCCCAGGCCGGCAGCACGACGGTCGACCGCGGTGCCGATGAAGAGGTCCGGCCGGGCGATGTCGTTGCGCTTCACGGTGCCGATCTCAAGGGCAAAAGGGGCATCACAAACTACCACGCCACCTTTGGCACACCCCAGGAGCCCACCTTTGCCATCGTGGTCGAGTCCGAGAGCAAGAAGAGAAAGCTTCGCTGTGTCCTTCAGGGACCGGCCGGCAGTGCCGGCGGCTCCACGGGCTCGAGGCTGGCCTCAGCGGCAAAGGGACCCGAAGAGGTCAGCCTGCGCCTTGACGACGTCAAGGGTGGCCTCGTTCGAGTCTTTAGGGTTGCTCCCAGAGTCGGCTGGCTCGAAGATTGACTTGTTTAGGTCTTGTTAGCATTGTCTTCTTTTTTTTAACACTTCACTTCGCAAATGCCAATCTCAGGAAAAAAAAATTTCAGAGATTCAGTTTCTCTAGGAGCCGGCGTATATTTGTGGCAGGGCAGGAGGCGATGCAGAGGCGGCTGTGAGCGCACCACGGCAAAGTGGTAGTGTGGTGTTGGAAATTCGTACCGTACGAAAATAAGCCACAAATCTACCCCTTTTCCCGGGAGCTGCTTGCTGCAGAGGCGTCCTACGGAATCTCTCGAACTGCACCCCAAGAAGTCACCGCCGGGGCCCCGAGGACAGTCGACGTCAGAATTTGTCACGCTCGGCCGCTACATTCCGGGTTGGACGCACAGATCTGAAGGCCACAAAGGAGCTCGACGGGGACTACTTGTCAGCGTGCTCAATCACGCGACATGAACCCTAACCCTGACAAAGCCAGCGAGCAAAAGCCCTAGCTTGCTTTCACTAAACAGATCGAAAAGCGGGCACGGCCTGCACCAGTGATTACTTCTTGGCCGTGTTCTTCTCAATACTATTGCTTTGCGGTACGATGCATGGCTCGAAACTAAATGTGCGCGCATCCCCGCAAGGTCGTCTGGTCCCTAATGAGCGCGGCCAGGTCCCTCCTTGCCTAGCGCGATACTACTAGCTGTTCTTTGCTCGCCGATGCGAAGAGGCCACACACAGGGGCCCGTACGGCGCAAATCGAATCGAATGTCGGTCCAAAAAAGAAAAGAGAGGCGCGCATTGTTTTTTAAACTTTGCCACGTGCAATACGGGGAGGAAATAGCAAAATGGGGTGGCCCTGGAGCCGTCAAGTGGTCGTCATTAAGGCTTGATTCAACGCCTCGGCTTCCAGCTTTTTCTTTCTCCAAACGCACTCACACAGACATACACACACACTCTCTCTCTCTCTCTCTCGTTCTCACTCCATACAGCTCGCACCACACTACACGCGCGGTCCGGTCGCACAGGTAACAACGCTCGCTCGGTTCTATCTCTTTCTCTTCTACCCGCAGAAACGGCCTGACTTTTGGCCTCGATATATCGATTGTCCATATCCGGTCGTGGATCCTTTCTGCCCTGTGGCCTGTGAACGACGCCTCAACCAAGCTCTTTTTGTGCCGTACCTCGCCTTTTTTTTTTCGGCTTGAACTCGACTTCATCTGTGCCACCCCCTCTCTCCCTCACTCGGTGTCATTCATCCGTACCACACGTCGTCCTCGCTAAAGTAACGACGGGGTCGTGTGCAATCCAATGGAATCGTCGCAGCCTGCCCCTATTCGGCCCACCTCCACCAATGTACCCCACTCGCACGCCCACACCCGGTCCCTTTCGCCCACGGGCGGCGACGGTCACGGCTTTGACAGCATGCTAGACGAGGACGACAACGACGTCTTTTCCAACCCAGACACGGCCGAGCTCGAATCGTCGAGGAGTGACGCTACGGGCGCCACGAGCCCTGCCCCCAACTCGCCGGGTCCGAGCAGCCCCTCGAGCCGGGCAGGAATCGTCTACCACCCGTCGCACAACATGGCCGCGACGACGGCAGCGACCAATGTGCTCCCGCCGTCTTCAGACCACTTTGCGACGCTCAAGCAGACGAGCCATGACTCGACCCAGACGAGGCAGGGTGCGCCCATGCTTACTCTGGGCAGTCTTCCTCCTGCACGCTTCGAGCAGCCGGGACAGCCGCAGGGCCAGGCGCCAGTGCAGACGCCAAGAGCAACGACGACTACGACCACGGCCGCACCCAGGCCGCAGTTTGGCCGGACAGTCTCTGCATCGGGCCTCCCGCATCGCCTTGGCTCGCACACTGCTTCGACGATGGCCCCCTCTTCGTCGCCTCGCATCCATGGCCACAGCGCCTCGCACAGCGCCTCTCAGGTCAGTCTCTCGCTCAGCGGCCAACTTCCCTCTGCGCACGGGCTGCCGTCGGACCCCAAGGAGGCCATGACGATGTCCAAGCTCTTTGCCCATCCGCCGGCCCAGAGCCCAGCCGAGGAGCTGTCTGGTTTTCTCCTTGCTCCCCAAGGCGGCACCCACATGCGCTCTTCTTTCTCGGCAGCTGGCTCCAGCTCCACGGCCACGACGCCCCTCGTCGGACAGCACGGCCACCAGTTCAGCATGACTCCATCCTCGTCGCGCTTCCTCTCGCGGACGCGACCGTCGTCGCCGGACCGCCTTGCTGTCACGTCCTCACCATCCCGCTCTCGCAGCGTTGTGGGCGTCTCTGGCCTCCTCCCCGGGCTTCCAGGCTTCTCGCCACGGCCACCCACCGCCTCCGACGCAGACACGGCGATGGAGACGGGAAGCAGCATCTTTGAGCGCGACATTGAGCATCGCGACTCGCACCACGTCATGAGCAAGCAGGAGGCCGTCGACGTCGCCATTCCCAGTGTTCTTGACGACGCCGTCGAGGCCATCACTTCCGACGAGGCCGATCAGCTCGAGATTGTCGCACCGCATGCATCGCCGCCACCGCTCGCGCTGAGTGCGCAGGCCCTGTCTGCGCATAGCCATGTTCAGGCCACCCAGGCCTCATCGGCCAGCTCACCGATCAGCTCGCCATCGCCCCCGCTCTCGAGCGCAGGCGGCGTCGAACCACCACCGGGCTCCATGGCAGCACAGATTGCCGAGAGGCTCGCACCAAACAGTAGGACTACTACTACTACTGCTGCTGCTGCTGCTGCTGCCGCCGCCGCCGCCGCTGCCGGCGCTTCGAGCAATGACGAGCAGGCCGTGCACCGGATCCACCACCGTCGGCCCAATTCTGACGTCAGTATTAGCTCGAGCTCCTCGATGCGCTCCAGACCACAGCACTCGACGACGATTGGCGTCCAGCAGGTCTTGGACCAGAGCCCTAGCCCGCCGATGCAGCCCAATCGCATCGTGGGCACCTCGGTCTTCTCCTCGCCCTCCGCCGGTCTGACGGGCCACGCTCACACCAAGTCGACGTCCTCTTCGGTGGGACCTGGAGCGGCGCCCAAGTCAGGCTCAGGCTCCCACACCAACCTGGCCAGCCTCGGCGCTACTTCTGGCGCACCTGTGAGCCACTTGCCCAAGGCAGTTCTCCCTACGGCGACGCAGCTGCCATCGCTGCCCATGCCCAATCCGTTCCGACCCAGCTCGCCAGGCCTGGGGCCCCAGTCGATGTTCGGAAACGACCCTGCTGGCGTCTCGGCTGTCCCAAGCCTGAGCATGGACGGAGCGGTGATGCCGAGCAGCGAGAGCGCAACCAAGGATGCCAGTCTGGCTGGTCTGGCCGATGCCATTACAAGCCAACCGGCTAGCCGGACCGGCTCCTTTGCCGCGACGCACACAAAGGGACTTGGCCTCGATGACGGTGTCGGCCTCCAGCACCTGACGGCCTCGATTGCCGCCGCGTCCATCAACGAGCCGAGTCCGTACGGGACGCGAAGCCCCAGGAGCCCCCAGAGCTCCATGGCAGCCTCGCCCAAATCGCCTGCGAGCCCCCTGATCGAGCGCAAAAGTCGAGGCTCGATCGCCCAGCACAGCTCGCTGTCACCTTCGTCGGCTACCATGCCGTCGACGGCTGTGCCTGAAGCTGCTTACGACACGAGCAGCGTGAACGCCAGTCCTAGCCTGAGCAAGAAGAGGCTCAGCTTCTTCAGCTACGCTGACATCATTAACAAAACGCCTGCCGAGGTCATCGACTTTGACGCAGCCACTCGCGGTGCTGGTGCTCCACACCATGCCGCTGCAGCTGTCCCCATCGCGACAGAGTCGGCTGGCAGTGCATCAATCATGGCTCGAAGCCAGAGCGCGGGACCGCGCAGCCAATAAATCGCACAACACATACAAACGGGTATCTCTTGTAGCAACGGGTCATCATCATCTCTTCTCACCTTGTTCCATCTTCTCTGCTCTGCTTTCCTCCACCCCTCCATTTCTTCGATTGGGTCATCATTCACTTTAAAGACATATAGCTAGTCATGGATCTCTCTCTCTCTTTTGTCTTTCGCGGTCTCTCAAGAACAATTTCTTTTACAATGGCTTCCCTCGCTTCACGGTAGAATACCTACTCGCTGTCTTATATATTTCTTGTCTGTCTTTTCCTTTCCTCACTGACACCTAATTTCATTGTCATTGTTCCTTTCTCGGCCTGCTCCGACTGTCGTCTCCGTCAGCTTGAGAGGGGTCCGGCGCTTCTGAAAGAGACACGTTCTCTTCTCTGTCATGGTGGACTTGACCGCCGTCAAAAAAGTACACGTGACTCTTACCAAAAATTTGAGGTTCCCCCTCCTTCGACACGGGTCTGGCTTGCTCATTCGATCGTTTCCATTGTCGAAAAGAAGAAGCAGCAGCGGCTAGCCTCCTCTTGTTGGACCATCTACGAACGAAGCCGCCGTCGTAGCTCACACCAGCCAGAGTAGGAAAGGAGAGAGGGAGAGAATCAACACAGGGAGAGCCGAGAGGAGAGAGAGAGACGCAAAAGATGGCGCACGCCGACCGGACCAGAGACCCGTGCCCATGGGTCATTCTCAACGACAGCGGAGGCGCATTCAGCATGGGGGCCATCGGCGGGACGATCTGGCACGGCATCAAGGGCAGCCGGAATTCGCCGAGGGTGAGTACACATCCCAGTCGGATGTCGGGAAGCCGCGCCCATCAGGCGGAAAGGGGAAGCATTGTAATTTACTGACTGGCTCGGGCAACAGGGATCGAGGCTACCGGGCGCACTGGCAGCCATCAAGGCTAGAGCGCCTGTGCTGGGAGGCAACTTTGGCATCTGGGGTACCATGTTCTCGACGTTTGACTGCACCGTCAAGGGAGTCCGGCAGAAGGAGGACCACTGGAACTCGATCATTGCCGGCTTCTTCACCGGAGGAAGCTTGGCGATTCGATGTGAGTGCAGAGGTCGCTTCTCAGTCACTGCCGACTTGTTTGAGCTGACGACCTTTCTTCTATGATCGCTAAGCTGGTCCAAAGGGCGCGATTGGGTCGGGGATCATGTGTGGAATCTTGCTGGGCTGCTTCGAGGGTGAGTTCTGCTTCGGTGCTTGGACCGCCCGCCCAGAGCAAACGGCTGACTGGCTGCATCCTTTCTTCTGTCCACCCAACAGGGATGGGCGTGCTGATGCAGAGATTCATGGCCGAATCAAACAAGCCCGTCGCACCCATCATGTGAGTGCCCCCACTCTCTCTTTTTTTCTCATGCACATTGACGAAAGGAAGAGCTAACCTTCTTTTGTCTTCTCCTCGAAGTCCGGACGCACAAACGATGCCTGGTGGATCGGCCCCAGCCGTGGCGGCAGCATGATTCGGGGCGCGGGCAGCGGCAGGACACATGTATACTCTAGAAGATTTCGCAATCACCACTACTCTTTCCCGGCTCAGTTTCTTTCGTATCCTCTGCGCCAAGTTCGATTACAGACTGGTCAATCTGTGCTGACCCTAGAACCGGAGTGTGCAAGGTGCTGTGACGAAGAGATAGTGGAAGATATGAGCAACGCTGTTTCAATTGTGCTCCTAGAAAGCTATGTAGTGGCTGTCCAAACAGCGATGGAACATGATCTCGTAGCAAAAGCGAGTGATAGTTGATGTGGTGTCGACGGCCGATGGCGCTTTAGTAGTCAAAACGCGTCGCAAGCTGACTTTTTTCTCCGGTGAGGACCTTTCTTCCTTCGTGATTAGCAAAGATGTCGTCCTGGATACCCTTTTGGCCAAAGCGAGATTCGGACTCGCCGCAAGAGCCGCCGTCACAGCAGGCGCAGCCCCAAGCGTCTACTCCTGTTGCTGCTGCTGCGTCTGCTATTGTGCCTCCGCGTCCAATCTCCACCTTCGAGATGGCTTCTCCTACCGAACTTGTCACCGACGCCGACGCCGATACTGACGCCGGCCCCCTCTGGTCAATACCGGTCACAGGCTTTGCGCTCGGTTTCTGTGCCGGCATGTATCAGTCGGCCAACCGGGCCTCGCTAGTCTTCATGGCGGAGAATGCGCACCGGCGACCCGATACTGTCCAAGGATGGTACTTTTACAACAAGACAAAGGTCTGTTGCCCTTGCTTCTCCTGGAAGCTCTGAATGACTCAACTGACGCATGCGCTCCCTTGCCTTGGACACAGAACTACCGAGTGCTGCTCGCCGCTGTTGTAGGTGGGCTCCGGACTGGGGCAAGGGTGGGCGTGTGGACGTTGGCGTGGGTCGGGCTCGAGAGGGCGATGGGCGAGCTGAGAGCGAGGTATCTGGACACGTCGTTGAAGCTGTCAAAGGCCCAAGGTGACCTCGAGCTGCCGCTGGGAAGATGGCTGGATGGCGGAGTGGCAGGCCTCGGGATCGCGACGGGTGCTTCGATCCTCTGTGAGTTCGGTTCGCCCTCTTCGTCTCTGCAAAGGCTGAGGCTGACACGTTGTTGCAACAGATCGTCTCCCCGGCCCTTTGTCAAGGAGGGCGCTGGTGCTTGCGACAGCCACTGGCGCATCAGTAGGCGCTCTTCGAGACTTTCAGCAGCGTCTCGCGGCCAGACAAGAACAATGAAGCAGACAATAATGCACTTTCTTCCCGACTCATTTGTACTATTGCAGCAATCCCTCTCAATGCATTCAATCATTCAGACCTAAAGATCGAGCAGGAACGGAAGGAATGTACAACGGAACCTTGCGAGAGGGGTCATGGGAACGGCACGAAGGCGCGTCCCCCGCTGCTCTCTCCAGAGGAGAAAGAAGAAGTAGTCCCCTCACGCACCCAGCCCCATCGTCGTTTCCCCAGCTAGGAGGAAACTTGCTCGCCGACAAAGAGACGCTATGACGGCCTCGTACGGGTCATGGATAGGGCGCAGAGCATCAGATGCCCCGGCCCCATCTCGAAGATGTAGAGGTGCTTTTTGAGCGGTCGGGGTCTGTGTCTTTTGACACGAAGCGTTAAAGAAGAAGAAAAAACGCTTGTCCAGTCCGACAAAAAAAGGGCAGAAGCTCTGTTGCATCACGTGCAGCCATGCAACGGTTTCTCTGCAACAGCATCTGCTTTCATTCTTTCGACTGAAAGCCCAAACAATGGACGGGGTGTACAGAATCAAGAGAAGGGTGCAACAGATTATGTGTTTGTCTCGATTGTCTCGGGAGAGATAGGAAATTAAGCAGAAACCTCCTTGATGCTGGCCTGTGAGCATGAAGAAAAAAAATAAAAGGACATCAGTTATCGGAGGATTGGACCAGCCACCAAAAGCGACGATGTGCAACTCACATCGAGGGCACCGGGGTTCGCGCCGACGGTTTCCTTGATCTTCTTGCCGTCCTTGAAGAAGACAAAGGTAGGCATGGCCTTGATGCCGACCTCCTCGGCAATCTGGCCCTGCTCGTCGACATCGACCTTGTAGAACTCAATCTTGTCGGCATCGGCCGCGGCAGCGAGCTTCTCAAACATGGGCGAGATCATCTTGCAGGGTCCGCACCATGTAGCCCAGAAGTCGATGGCTGTCACCTTGTCCTGGGCGATCTATTGTGGTCATCAAAAGTCAGCACGGCCTGCACGTTTATTCAAAGCCAAGCAAGCAAGCACCCACGATCTTCTTGAAGTCGTCATAAGACGTGATGGCCTTGACCGACATGGCTGTGCGAGTTGATGAAAAGTAGCGAAGGTGTTGTGCGGAGGTGAATGCTGTGCGTCTGATCGAGTTGCTCAGCAGCGTAGTGGCCATATATCTTGGTTGTTGGAGAACAAGAAATGCAGGTCTCGTTCCGAGTGGAGAAAATCGCGAAGCCTTCCCTTAACCTCGGCTCTCTACAGCCAGCCCGGCGTTTACGCGTGCAGAAAAGACGTGCTCAGAAGCAATTTGCTATTGGCAGCTGTTGACGCGTGGTTTTTATCAGTATTCTTCAATGCTGACAACAGTACAAGTCGGAAGATTACCGTATTGTATAGGCTCTCCACGTGGCCTGAACAATCCTCCTAATTGAGGTTGATATTGCGCTCGGATCACACGGTGCCTATTCTACCGTCGACCTGCCACGGTGTGTTTTCTCCCGTCAACGAGCCACTGTACGAAAAAATAGATGAGGAGGCGGATGAATGTACGAGCAGGTATACGGCTCATCCCTTGACGGCCAGATTAGACCAGCCACGGATCGTCTTGCCGTACAGGAGCGCAACGACGGGAATAGCAATCTCGGCCAAGCTGATGAGGGCGAGAATGAGGACCGCATAGCGAGGCCCCAGGTTCTGGAACATTTTGTCGCCAAACAGGGGCAGGATTGCGGTAATGCAGGACCGGATGAGGGCTTCGGCCGCAAAGGCCGCGCCGGACTTGGGCCCGTAGGCGTCGACGGTGTAGCCAATCGTGACGAGGAGCACACCCATGACACTCATGCCGTAAAAGACGCTGGCAATGATTGAGACGATCCAGTGGACCGAATCGCTGTATGTCGTGAAGCCGAACCAGAAAAGGCTCACCGTCGCCAGCACCGACGAGCCGATGCCGAGGTAGGCGCGCAGCTCGGGTGGCCGTGCGCCCCTGCGGGCCATCACCATCTTGACGTAGAACTTGAGGTCGAGCGTAAAGCCGTACACGCCGCCGAGTGTGATACCCAGCCCAATGCCCAAGAATGCCAGACCGATCTGGAACGCGTTGAAGTTGTACCCGCTATTGGCATAGTAGAGGTCCTTGGGTCCGTAGACGATTGGGAAGGCCTCAAAGAAGAGGTAGAGGACGCCGAGCACCGTCGTCTGCCACAGACTGATGAAGATGACAATGGGCTCCGTAATGATCATCTTGCCCGCCGTCGTGGCAATGTACACGACTTTTTCGCCGAACTTTGGTGGCTCAAAGCCCAGGCGGACGTCCAGATGTGGGTACTGCTTGCGGATCAGGCGCGCCTTGCGCTGCAGCAGCACCGATCGATTCGTCTCCGGATAGACGAAGATGAAGAGGACAACCGAGATGACGCCAGCGATGATGGCAGAGTAAAAGACCCAGCGCCAGCCGGCCTTTTCCTGATTATCGTTGGTCACGTAGTTGGCAACCGCGCCTCCAATGAGGGCTGCAGAGAGAGGCTGTCAGCGAGGGGGGGTGTCCTCCGATTCTCTGTCACGCTGGGCACAATAGACTAGCCCGAGCAATGAGGTACTCACGGCCAATGGCGGGGCCCAGAAAGACACCGCAGCTGTAGATGACGATGCCCTTTGCCACGACGAGGCCCTGGGCCGCCTCGACAGCGTATGAGCCTCCGACGGCGAGTGTCGCTGTGCCGACGAGCCCGGCAAAAGCACGCGTGACCGTCAGCGTGGCCATGTTATTGGCCCTCGCCGCTCCGATATGCCAGATGACCCAGAGCGCACAGCTAGTGATGAAGATTGGTTTCTAGCCCAGTTTCCGTATGCACGGTGCCATTAGCAAGACAGTTGCTCTCAAAAAGTAGCGAAAAGAACGTAGACCAGGACACTCACCCGGCCATACAGATCCGCAAGGGGCACGAGGAAGAGAGTGCCCACACCCCAGACCATGACGTAGAAAACAAAGGGCAGGCGGCTCACTTGCTCGCCCGTGTGGAACTCTTCCTGGGCGTAGGGTGCCACATAGAGGTAGGCACTGGCATAGAGGGAGAGAATAAAGGCGTTGTAGGCAATGACGGCCATGCCGAGGTAGAAGCGCGCCGGTGGCATCTTTTGCGGGTCCTTGAACTGATCTGGAAAGTAGCCATCATCAAACGAGACTTCGACGTATTTCTTCTCCTGAACGCCGCCAGATTCAGGCTCGGTGCCTGGCTTGGCTATGGGCTCGTGCTGCTGCTGTTGTTGCTCCTCATCCTCGAGGGACTGCGCCCGCGTCGTCCCATTCATCTCGATGCTATTCTTTGCGTCGCTCATCCTCTCCATGGTGGTCGTCTCCAAGCTTGCTGATTGCAACACTGATCTAACACCTTCCGGGACTAGTTGAGAAGCGAAGCGACCGTGCGTTGCGTCAGACCGCGTGGAGCGTGCAGGAACGTCGTCTTGGTGCGGGAACGATTAGCCTAAAACGACAACTTTTTAGATTTCCAACTCCTTTCAGCCGATGGCGTGCGCCCGTGCCCAATTGTTCCTGCGATTCCATGTCCATCGAAAATCGAGGCTAGGCGCAGAAACAATTTGGATTCGGAGAAACATGGCGCCAAGGAGGAACAAGAGCAGCAACGACAGCAGCAGCAGTCGCACCGCCAAGGTCGATGCGGGGAAGAGCCTTGATGAAAGCGGGGGCAACAGCGCAGCGACGACAGCGACGACGACGACGACGGCCGATGCTGGTAAGACCAGCGGCGGGCCACGCCACTGGCTCATGAAGGCGGAGCCAGATTCGCGCCTGGAAAAGGGAGTCGATGTGGCCTTCAGCATCGACCACTTTGAGCGTGCAAAGGACCAGACGACGTCCTGGGACGGCGTGCGCAATCCCGAGGCGCGCTCGATGATGCGCGACCGAATGCGCATTGGCGACAAGGTCCTCTTCTACCACAGCAACTGCAAGTTGCCCGGCGTAGCGGGCCTCGCCACCATCGTCCGGCAGGGATACCCGGACCACACAGCATGGGACCCCAAGCACCCGTACTTTGACCCAAAAACGGACAAGGAGAGCCCCAAGTGGTTCATGGTTGACGTCAAGCTCGACCGGAGGCTCCCCAACCTCGTGCCCCTGGCGCTCCTGCAGCACCTCGCGGCGGCCAAGGCCGCAGAGCAGGACCTCGAGTATCTCGACAAGCAGGACATTGAGGCCATTTCAAAGATGCAACTCCTCAATCGTGGCAGACTGAGTGTTCAGGTGTGTGTCATTTCGTTATACCAAAGAGTGCTTTCATGGCAGACGCTCAGAGCTAAGCACTTGGATTACCTGTTGCAGTCAGTGGAGCAGAGGGCATATGAGGCCATCCTGCGCCTTGGCGACAAGGGAGGCTGGACTGACTGGCCCGGGAAGTGGAACCCGAAGGGAAAGACAAAGGAAGTCAAGAAGCGGCCAAGCGACTCCAAAGATGAAGATCAGAAAGGTCCGAGCAAAGGTGCGAAAGCCGAGAAGGACAAGGAAGCCGATGGATCTCGACGGAGCAAGAGGGCCAAGCGGTAATGAATCGTTGCTACGATCATCTGTACCATACATCCTATATACTACGACTACATCCACATTCAAGATTGGAGGCCTGGGCGCTCGGCGTGGCCGCATTGGCTGACTGAGTTGAGGAGGTGCTTCGGGCGAGCTGATGGATTCCATCGGAGAGGTCGAGCGTCAGCGAAGACCTCGACCCGGACCCGACGACGCCATTGAGCTCATAATCTGTTGACTCGTGACTTCTTGCTCCTCTTCATCGTGTTTGTTCCGTGTTCTCGAAAGATTCATTCTGTTGGAGACGCGAAAAACCAGCGCACGCACGACTTTTGTCGTATCACTGTACAGATCTGAGAAATATATAGGCCGTTCCACGTGGCCTCAGCAGCAAGAGCAGATAAAATTTTCACTTTGGACTCCGAAATCCGCTGGGCGGCAGGGTATAAGAAGGGGCGGAGTCGGGCATCCTCATCGTTTTCTCTAACGACCAACTTCACGGAATCATGTTATACAGTGATCTCCTGGTCTGGCCTGCTCTAAGCAGTTGCAACAATCACCCTCGACGATGAGGACACGCCGTCATCCTAGACAAGGACAAAGGGCCCAGTCGCCCAGGACGAACTTGCGCCCAACCGTTTTCAAGACCCTCCGCATGGAGCGGTCGACGGCGAGGCGAAGGATGGCGGTGCAGTTCTGAGAGGGCTCTGCTTGCACACGACTTTTCTTGTATTTAGTTCCTTCCCTTTCAATGGACCTTGTTTGCTTTCATTCTGTCCCGATGCCATTTGTGTGTCCTTGCTACCAGCGAACGAACGACCTGCCTCAGGAAATAGGAAAAAAAATTGACGAAGAAAGTTTTGGATCGAAAGAGAAAAAAAAAATTGAGTGAAGAAGAGGAAAGCATAAGCAAAGCGCCGTCTTTGTGACCTACTAGGTCTGCACTCAGACATTATTACCTGGAAACAACGCTCGAGGGAAGCAAAGGCTGGATTGAGGGAGGTAGTGAGCTCGAAGATGCATTCTTGAACAAAGATGAAGTGATAGTGTACAATTGATGATGTGGTTGTTTCGATGATGACGATATGTTTCAGGACCGGTCAGGACTTCTACTTGGAGATCTCGAGACGTAGCCGTTGCCCTGCCTGTCTGGACTTCGACTTGGAGACCTCGAAACATAGCCGTTACCCTCTCGATCTGGGCTTCGGCTCGGCGATCGCGAGACGTAGCCATTCGCTGGCGAGGCGCTCCTGCTGGGGCTTCGACTGACGAACCTTTCTTCGTCCGCATTCTCGTCCTCTTCTTGGGACGGGTAGTCATCGACGTTGCCCATGGCCATGCTCGCCGCTTTGTCGTCCTCGGCCATGCGCTCTTCCCTGAGCCTGCGCGCTCTCTCGACCCTTTCCTTTCGCTCGGCCAATTCGTGCTTTGCAGAATCGTCGCTCTCGGCTCCGCTCCCGTCTTCACCATTGCCCTTTGCAGCGTCAATCTTGCCGTGCAGGAGTGCGTCTTCGAGCTTGCTGATGCGCGGTGCCAGTCCTTCGGTCTCTTCGACCACGTCTCGCCTGGTCAGTCGGGGCAGGATGAGGTCGCATGCCCTCTCCTGCGTGAGCAGCTCATCGACGAAGTCGTCCATGTGCGAGAGGCGATAGGCCCCACTCATGTCTCGCCACCGAAGTTTCCTACTGTCGTTGAGCAGCGGCTCCAGCGTCTCGTACACGTCCACGGCTCGAAAGGTGAGGCGGACGTACATGGCGGCGAGCGCCCTGAGGTACTTGAACTCCTCTGCGGCGAGATATTCGAGAATGATCTCCCTCTCTGGCTGTAGCTGGAGCAGCTTGAGGACGAGGCAGAGAAAGGGAGACACCTTTTGGACGCCATACGTGCCTCCCACATAGTGGAGCTCCAGGGCCCGATCGATGAGTGTCTCAGCCGTCAGGGCGAAGCAGTGCTCCTTCCAGTAGAGCGAGTCGTAGATCCTCGCCCGGATGACCTTTTCGACGAGAAACTGCGGGTTGGTGCCGTGGATGTGCAGCGCACCGCGATGCGTCGTATTGGCCATGGCTGCTCGAGACCCTCGACCTGTCTCTTTCTCTGTCCTTGTGCTCTGCTCTGCCCTTGGATGGATGAAATGGATCGTAATCGGAATTCGGCAAAGCTATCTCTCAGACATAATTTCTCCAGGCCGCTGACAAAACTTGACGTGCGGCCCGCCGTACGCAATCGGAAAACGCAAAGAGAAAAGTAAAAAAGAAAAAAATAAAACAGATCGAGCCGTGAGCTGCTCTCCTTGTGCATGTAGATAATGACAGGTTACGGTCAATTGGTCTTCCCCACCATCTCTCGTCTTGCTGCTGCGAGTGTGATTGAAGAGGAAGAGGCGAGAAGAGAATGGTCAGGACAACGCTGTGGCACGGCACCTTGGCTCTCGTCCACGTCGCCGTGCTCCTCCCTCTGGCTGTTTACTGTGGAGTGCTCCTCCACCTCGTCTTTCCCTCGAGCGTCTGGGGCAGAATCGGCTTCGAGTCGCTGTCATGGCCTGTCCGTCGAGCCAGCAGCTGGGAATGGAGAGAGACAATAGCTGTCACCATTGTCGGTGGGTTGATTGGGGTGGAGATCCCACTTTGATACTGTTGACCAACACGTACATGTCTCTCTAGCCCACCTCTTCAGGGCAGCAGCGCATGCAGAGAAGATCCCCAGCTTTCCGCCCGCAGAGCGCATCATCCCGGATCTTTCCCGTTGGGCATTTGGCGTCCGCCACCAGGGCTGGCAGCTCCATACCGAAGTCGTCGTGCTCCCCTCTCTTCCGCTTGAAGGTCAAGTTGGGGCCACTTTGAGACCGCGAGAGAGCGCGGGCAAGCCGCCACTCGAGCGCGTGACGACTAGCGAGGCGCTACCCCTGTCTGCAAGACTTTCGTCAACGCTCCTGGGAGACGTGCGAGGGCTTGGAGTCGTGCGGCCCGAACCGAGCTCGGCCATCTGGCTCTGGAAAACGCAGGCAGCGCATGTCAAGCACGGCAAAATTGTCGCGGTGAAGCCAGATGCAAGGGAAGGTGGCCTAGGATGCGGCCCTGCTCGCCAGGGCGAAAAAGTCATACTCTACCTTGCCGGCTGCGGATATGCAAGCAATGGACCGTTGCTTGGGCCCATTGCCTGGAGTGAGTGGTCGATCATTTCACTGTAGCGATCGTTGAAGTCCGCGCTGACCGACGCCTTTCTCCTGCACTTCAGCCACCACGAGACAGCTGGGACTGAGGACACTCGCAGTCAGTGAGTAACGTCAGGTGCCGTAAGCTGGATTAACGGTGGTGCTAACTACGCGTCCTCAATAGACTACCGCAAGGCTTCCTCGCCCAGCGGTGCATTCCCCGCTGGTCTCCAAGACGCCCTTGCCGCCTACTGCTACCTCGTCGATCGACTCGGCTTCGAGGGCAAAAACGTGATCCTTCTCGGCGACAGTGCTGGTGCGGGTCTGTGCGTCTCACTGATCCTGTACCTCAGCATGCTCGCCCATGCCGGGCAGCAAGGCTTGGGAAGGCCAGGTAAGGTGCTCCTCTTTTCGCCATGGTGCGATTTCACCGTCCCTCGCGATATTCTGGAGCAGAGTGGTGAGAGTCGGTCATCCATTTTTCCTCTAGCTCGTTCTAGCATGCTGACGAGGAACCTACGCCAACCAGGCAAGCTCGATATCATAGATTTTGAGGGCATGCTCCTCGAGAGGCAAGCCTACCTGCAGCACCTCCCCAGCACGCTACCCGAGAACGATCGACAGGGGTGGGCCAAGAGGGCCTCTGATGAGACAAACGAGCTGGGTGCCTTTGCGCATCAGCTGACAAAGACCATCTCGATTCTTGGCGCCTCGCACCCGCTCATTAGCCCCGGCATGCCCAAGTCGATGAGCGCATACACCGAACGCGCCCTGCAGCTGCTTCAGTCGGGCGAAGATGAAGTCGGCTTCTTCATCTGTGCCGGGGGTGTCGATGTTCACGTCAACGAGGCTAGAAGCCTCGCCAACAATCTGGCCGACCTCAAGGGCGTACAAGTCGAGTACCTCGAAGGCCAGGATAAGATCTCGTCGTTTCCATTCGTCACCAGTAGTGTGGCCAATGCTACCGTTGATGAGAAAATACACGCCTTCCTTGCCGTTTCATAGCTGCGTCCCTTCATCGAGTTTTTTCTCTCTCCTTTCGTCTCTCTGCATCATGTACTTGTTCACTATAGAGTAAATCGTCTGCAATAATTTGTCGCAATACACACGCAACTAGACTAATATAAAGAAGAGGAGTTCAGGTTCATTGGCAGTGAGTGTGTGATAGACATCGTGTGAAGTATTGACATAGGTGTGACACAACTGAAACGTTGAGTGGAACGCAAACAGAGGATACACTAACAAGATACCTTCAGCCGTGATGGAACACAAGAAGCGATTTTCGTGTTCCTACGTTAGTACCTTGCCGAAGAGGGGCGTGGCAATGTCCTCGTCGTGGCCGGGGATAATCTTGGCGCCCATCGTCTTTTCCATACGGAGCAGCCTCTGGTTGCTGTTGAACCAGGCCTGATGGTCACGCGCGAGCCAGCCCTGAGGTACACCTTGCCAGATATTCTCCTTGACGTGACCGTGGCTGCACGTTCCAGTGTCAGTTGCCAGAAAGAGAGATTTGAGACTCCCATGTTGGGAGAAAACACTCACTCAGAGACGAAGATGTAAGTGCCCGAGTTGATGAGGTTAATCTGGAGGCCGCACAGGCCCGCCGTGTGGCCAGGCAGGTGGTGCAGCGTCAAGCCCTGGGCCAGGTCGGTGGTCCGCCTGCAACAGGAGAAGGAATCAGCCAATATACACCGAGATACACCTGGGATACCCACTCGTCAAACGTCTTCCAATTGTAGTCGGTTGTCATGTAGGTGGGCAGGTAGACGCCAGCGTCGGCACCCGTCGCGACCGAGTAGAAACCCGAGAGGAGCCTTGTGAGGGGGAGGGAAAAGGAAATGTCAGTCAACAAAAGTGACAAGGGGAAGGACCATGACAAGAAAGTAGTGTGGCTCACTCCTCTTTGTGGACCCAAATCGGAACGTCTGTGCCTTTGAACTTGTCAAGACCGCCGGCATGTGCAGAATGAATGCTAGTCAGTCAGGTGGCTTCTGTCAGAGACAGGTGATTAAACTCATGATCAAGATGCAGGTGTCCAATGATGACCATCTTGACGTCCTTGATGTTGTAGCCGACCTTGGCAATGGCAGTGTCGAGCTCATGTTCGGGCAAGTACTTGGAACGGTGAAAGACATCGTGTACAGCCGATGGCCAGACGTTGGGGTAGTCGTAACCACATCCGGTCTCGTACAGGATCAAGCCCTCGGAGGGGTGATCGATGAGGACCACGTACATGACGAGATCTCTGCGCTCGTGCTTGCTCGGGCCGTCGGGGTTCGAGTACGTCGATGTGTTGCCGCCTCGCAGGAAGAAGCCGGCATCTGCTTGTAGGTAGCCCACGCAGAGGACATGGGCCTTGGTGCCCGGTGGGCAACGATTGAGAACCTGAGGTAAGATCTGCAGAGGGGGCCACATGACACTACTAAGCAAGAGCAAAGACTAAAGGCAGATTGTTTCCATTCGGTACCCACCACACCGTCCTGAGTCTGGTGCTGGGAGAAGCTGTACTGGTCAGACATGGCGAAGCGAAGACGAGTGAAAGACGGTGTTGAGATGGACAGAGACCCACCGCACACGACACTGCCCCGCGCTCATCTTATAGATTAACCCTTTAGGCGGGCCCCGCTGTGGACAAGCAGTGGGTGGGGGATAGAATGTTGCAACACCCTTTCCAAACTTTTTTTTGGTGCGTCGGTGGCTCGTGCGAGTCTTCTGGTCATATGATCGAAGGGCTCTGCTAATGTGGCGGGCCCTCTTATGATTGTTGTCGCTCATTGGCGGCCGACAACCCCTCTCGAAGCCTCCGTAGTCCAAGGAGATGAGATCAGATCGGCTCAGGGTACCATCGAAATGGCAGAGGAGCGAGTCGCAGCGAGACCAAGCAAGCACGTGGCTGCAACAGACACTACTTCAAAGGTTCTAAAGCAGCATTGCGGCGGCAGCACATTGCCATGGTAAGAAGTAAAGCCCACAATTTGCCACATATAGACGGCATCTTGAAGCAGGCTGAGGTAGTTCGCCTCAATTTCCTCTGACTGCTTTCGCATCCTGTCTGATCTGCACGCCTCGGTCGATGGTGAATCATCGCAGCGATGATCGACCACACAGTCGCACACGCCAACAGATAGTGATTTTGTTGATACAAACGGACACGAGGTAGTAATTGGCTTGTGTCTTGGAATTTAAAATCGTAGCACTCTTTGTCTCGAGGTTACATTTTAAGCTACTGAGGTGGCTTTCGGAGAACAAGCCAGCGTGAAGCTAAGTCTTCTGGCTGGCCCAGTGCGCGCGTGTATGTGCATCGCCCTTCCTTCCTCTCGCCAGCCTCACGCCCACCAGATTCACTCACGATCCCAAACGCCCATTTCATCCTTGCGCCCTTCAAACCCTTTTAACACCTATTCATCGCCCAACGCCTCGGACCCGTGAAACGGCTGCCGGTTTTCTCCTCTGAGATCAGTGCTCTCATTTGGAAAGAAAAAAAAAAGGCAAAGGAAAGACAGGATCCTCCTCTTCGTCTTTGCAAGTGCATCTCTCCATTTACTTCGCCATCAGCATCCTCACGTCTGCGACAAGTGTCCCGCACCGGCAGGCTCCCAACGAGACGAGACACTAGATCTACTTTGAATCCCCAGCCCTCGTTCTTTCTCTCTCTCCTTTTCTCTCTCCCTCGCATCGTTCAAACGGAAACCAAGCAGGAAGATGCCTTCGTTCTTTAAAACGCTCCGCTCCAAATCTTCGCGCCGGTCCGATCTGTCGGCTCCCAGCATCACCTCGGACAGGGGTGATGATGCCTCCAACACCGACTTTGGTCCTCGCTCGCCCTCATCGACGACCTATGGCAGCGTCCGCGGCGGGAGCGAAAAGGCTAAGCATGCTCCATCGTCGTACAAAGGTGGCAAAGCAGCGACGCTGCCCGCATCGGTCACCTCGGCCTCGCTTCCCGCTCAAGGCAAGGACCAGAGCTTGATGGACGCCGTCAATGCCGTCAATCCGTCGACGCCAGCAGCCGACACGGTCACACCCTTTGTTCGTCCTAGCGACCTGTACGCGGGCAGAGGTGTTCAGTGGAACGCTGTCAAGCTTGCCGGCCCACCCACTACGCAGTCCACGGGCGGCGGAATGGACAAGGCAGAAGACATGCAGAGCTTCCTCAAAGCGTGAGTCGCGAGCTTATCTACCCTGTATGCGGAGGTGCTCATCAACCAAGGTCTTCCTCGAATTGAATAGGCGTCGTCAGTGGAAGCCCACGTTCATCACCGAGGAAATCTCCGACGCCTCTCCCGACTTCAAACCTCCCGAGGACCTGTCCAAGCTCACCTTTTCGGCTGCCGAGTTGCCCAAAAGCCAAGGTCTCAAGAGCCTCAAGGACCTCGAAGAGACGCATCGGCGAAAGCAGGAGCTTCTCAGCGAGCGCCCGCTCGGGTCGAGCCTCTGGGACGAGCCAGAGACTAGCCAGGCGGGATCCAAGCACGCCGCTGCGGCCTCCAGTAGCACTACCGATGGCAAGAACAGCGCCAAAAAGGCAGAACGAAAGGTCAGCAACCGGAGCACTTCGGGCAGCGGACGCAAGCTCTTTGGCGCAAGCTCTGGTTCAGTCCACAAGAAGCCCGTTCCTGTCAGAACATCGTCAACAGCCGCTGCAGCAGACTTCGAGGCATCCAACGGTCTTGCCGCTGGCAAGGACGGCCCAGGCATAAAAGCGCCGCCAGCGGCAGCAGCTGCAGCTTCTGTGGCGGCAGTGCCGGAAAGCGCTCCACTCGAGCGAAAAGCTGCAGAAGATAATCCAGGTATCAAGAACGATGCCACGAGTCCGTCGCTTGGAAGCAATGTGCGAGAGTCAATGGACACGAACCAGGAAGGCTATGCGACGCCCAAGGAAACGTCTGGGCCCCAATCCCAAGATGGTCATGCCACGGTGACGAATGGCAACGGAAACGCTCACAGCGACGTGGCGGCCGCAAAAGGGCTGAATGTCGACGTGACCCAGGCCCAGATAGGGAACCATGCTGGCGACCCAACGACCCCTAGAGCTTCGACGACCAATGCGGGTGTCTCAGAGACCGCGGAGGCGCTGGCAAGAAGCGACCTGGCTGCGACGACTCCGACTGCAGCTGCGACTCAGGCTTGAAGATGCAAGTCGTCTATCTAGGTCCTCGTCTACCTTCCCAGCCTTCGCTTTCTCTCGGACCTCGATATCGAGAGCCCGTCTCCCGTTTCGCCTTCTCTGTGCCTTTTTACTTTCCTTCCTTTTCTCCCTCCGGGTTGCTCCTCTCGAAAATCTCTTTCTCCTTTCCTTTTTCCTTTCCTATGGTCTCTTCTTCTCAAACGGACTCCAAGACAGAAGCTTCCGCCTCATTCTTCCCACTTTCCTTCCTCAGCCGGCCATTATGCCTAAGAAATTTCAGGTAGAGCTTGGAGCCCTGGTTGCTCCAGGGACCGACCGCGCAGCACACGTTTCCGAACTACCACACGCTCTTTCTCAAACACGTCCTTACCTCCATTTCGTCCATACGTCTCTCATTTCTCTCTCGCTCTTCCCGTTCTTTAATTCAAAGATATCCCTTTTCCACTTCTCCAGGTCCTTTGCACTGCGCCTAGCAGGTAACGTAGCTTGATCGTTCGTTTTAAAGATAGGTGGAATGAGTGAGAGAAGATGGGAACAAGTGGCGCTGCAAAGGGCGCGACAATGAGAGTGAGGGATTGGAAGGAGACACTATTACAGATGAGTGATGTTTTGTGGAGAGGTGGGTGGGCGCGCAAAGGACAGGCAGGCAGACAAAAGGCGGAGATTCCTCTTTTCCCGCTCACCCTTCTCTTCACTTTTTCCCCTTGTTCTTGTTTGCCCGTCTTCGAGCCGCGCGGTTCGTTCCTCCCTGTTGCCCATTCGGTTGGTTTGCATCGACGAGCGAAGGCCCGCCGTCACCTAGTTGCTGGCCTTTTGCCCCTTGCGCCTCCTCGTCCTCTGCCCCGTCATCATCGCCCAACGACGAAATGGTTTGATTGGAGGAAGAGGCTGCGCTGGCTTCTCTTCGCGACGTTGCAGCCTCGCCGTTGGTCTTGGCGGTGGCTGCCGATCCTTCCCTATTATCAGTCTGTTGAGGAGCAAGACGTGGGTCAGCTTTCAACGCTTCCTAACGATTTGGGGATCGTGCTCAATGGCATAGAAACAAGAGGAAATGAAAGTGTCTCGGTCACAGCGAGGCAGAGGAAAAAACACTCAGCATTACACACCATGTGCCAACTGCTTTTCGTTCCCTATTCCCCGTGGTATCTCCGGCTCACGATGCCATTTCACTTTAGGCCGAGCACGGGAGGGTCCGAAGAAGAGATGGGAGCAAAAAATGAAGAAAAAAACAGGGAGGAGAGAGAAGAGAGAGAGAGAGAGGAGATGAGGGGGAGAACGAGAGAGAGAAAAAAGCAAGCGAGAACTCACTTGATCGTCATCGGCCGCTTCCTCTACCGTGGTGGCTGCCTTGCCAGACCCTGCCGCTGCTTTTGCCGCCGCCGCTGTGCCGTTGGTCTGCGGGGCATTGACCTTCAACGGTGTATTCGAACCGGACGACCCTTGCTGCGGCGGAGTTCCGATCGTGATACTGGTCCCAGCGGGCGTGACGAGCGGTGGCAGGGGCACTCTGGATTGTGGCACGGGCTTGCCTGCATCGACAAGCTTCTTTGCTGTTGAAAGGACAAGTCGTCAGCATTCAGAAAGGACAAGCTTTCAGCAGTGTGAAGAGCCACACGCACTCTCTTCTGCCCTCTGTTTGTGAATGTCGTAGTAGACTTCTTTGTGCTTGAGGTGGGCTACCATCTCGCTTGCCGAGGGAAAGATCAGCTGGCCCCAGCCCTCCTTGAAGGTATTTGCCTCGCTGACCACGTCAAGAATCTCCGCTTCGAGCTCCTTTTCCGCCATGCCGAATCTTGCCATTGTCTCATCGCCGATTGAACCCTTTTGGAGCAAGACGGCGAGCGCCTGCTTGTCGTCTCTCATACGAATGATTCTTCGCACGTCGGTCATGGCTCGATTCAGCAACGCAGCCTTGAGCACCACCTCGGGAATCGTCGCCTGCTTCCCCTCGGTCCCATCGTTGCTGTTGGCAGCGGCTAATACCAGTGTCTGATAGACGTCTCTCTCTGGGTGTCCCTCCGGGAACCAGGAGGCATGTTCCTTCGCCAGCGCCCGCGCCGATCGCTTTCGGTAGACTCTGGAGAAGACGGAGAGCGAGACGACGAGGATGGTGATGTACCCGATCGGAACAAAGATCGAGAGCGCCATACTGTGAGGTTGCCTGTCGACGACGCCGTTCGCCCTTGGTCGTCTTCCTGACCCAAAAATGCTCAATCCAAAAGTCCTAAAAAATAAGTTGCAAGCGCGCGCGCCAGTTGCCTTTCCGTTGCATGGCAAATACGGTGACGAGGCGCCCTGACGCCAGCAAGAACCCTTCACCCGTCACGTGTGGGCGCGTTGTGTCCGTGGCTGGGCCACAGTGCCCTGACTTTGTGGCCCACTTCCCACTAACGGATTTTAAAAAAGCGGGCTAGATTACAAGCACTGCAGGCGCGAATTTAAAATACTAAACAGGAGCAAGAACATATCCAGCTCGTCCACCTATCGACCAGTCGAGAAGAGGTTCAAGCGCTGCACCACCCTCGTCGCAGACTATCGCGCTCGCTCATTCTTTCCTGCCCCGTCTCCGCTCTCTCCCATTCCTTTCGGTCTATTGTCGCGTCGAGTCGAGGCTCGTGGTCTGCGCTGCCAATCTCCCTCTTCCGTCTTGGTGCGCCGACCCCCTCGACGGTGCCAAGGAGAAGTGCAGGACGTGCGTCCGTCCGTCCCCGTGGTGCTGTCTCAAATCCGACACGCGACTGCCTCCTCTTTTCTTTGTCGACGGCTCTCATCGCGACGACCCGCAACATTTATCATAGAGGGGCTAGGGGCTTGACTAAGGCAGGACTCGGGAACCACAGGGCAAGGGTGTCCGTAAAGTCACAGACACGTACGTAAGGCGCGAACGGGATTGAGGGAGAGAGAAGAGAGTGGGAGTGGGAGAGAAAGAGAAAAGGGAACGCTCGCCCCGTCTCGACGCTCGGGTGTAGGAACGCGACAAGATGAAAGGTCTCAAGAAGGCCATGGTGAGTGTCAAAGCTCGAACTTTGCCTATCGCCAAAAGCCTCTCTTTGCTAATCTCCTCCTCGCATGCAGAACCTCTCGAGGTCCAAATCTACCGAAAACGGCGCTTCGAACCGCGGGACCAACGCTGGTAGCATTCCCGTCCCACCGCCGAAAGGTGGCTCGGTACCGTCGAATCCGGCTTACACCGGCTCGCTCAAGCATGCAAACAGCGCAGGCTCATCGCCGTCTTCATCAACCACTTCGCTCAACAGAAATCAATCAGCAGAGTCGGGTAGCTACGGGAGGTCGGGATCTAATCTCGGTCAACACCATTATTCAGCTGGCGGGCCAACGTCTTCGGGCTCGGCATCCACGGGAGAGCGGAGGGGTGGGTCGACGCTGCCGGACAAGACGTCGCCTGCTCCTCCAATCGTCGTCGTGTCGTCCGAGATGCCGCAAGACCCGATTCCTCACGCTCCTCATCCACACCCGGGCCAGCCCTCGTCGCCTCCGCCTCCCGGCGCGCAGGTCCCCTCACTAGGAATGGGGCCTGGAGGACTGACGACAACAGAGGGCGCGACACCGCCCAAGATCGGAACCCTTAACAGACTTCGACAGGGCGGCAGTGTTGCACAGGGCCCCAAAGATACCATCCCAATCACCAACAAGACACCGCCGAGAAAGCAGCGGAGCAGTCGGTTCCATGTCACGGAAAAGGTCGAGCTCGAGAAGCTGCCTAATTTCGGGGGTGAGTTCACAAAGACGAAAGGGTAGGATGCTGTGGCCCCAGGGTGCTGACCATTCACTGTTCTTGATACAACAGAGGTCGTGCCTGCCGACCGGCCCGAGCTTTTTGTGCGAAAGCTGAGGCAGTGCTCCGTCGTCTTCGACTTCAACGATGCGAGCCAGGAGCTCAAGGGCAAGCAGATCAAAGCGCAGACGCTCCACGAGATGCTCGATTATATCACCAGTCAACGAGGCGTCATTACCGAGCAGATCTATCCGGAGGTCGTCTCGATGGTGAGTGTTGATTCCTTCCAAGGCCTTGATGAAAGCAGGGCTGACCACAAGGCTATGCTTATAGTTCTCGTCGAACCTCTTCCGGTCCATTCCGCCTCAAGTCAATCCCACCGGCGACGCCTTTGATCCAGAGGAGGACGAACCAGTGCTCGAGTTGGCATGGCCTCATTTGCAGATCGTCTACGAATTCTTCCTTCGCTTCGTTGAGTCGCCAGATTTCAATACCAATGTCGCGAAGCGCTTCATCGATCAGCACTTTGTCCTTCAGCTCCTAGAGCTCTTCGACAGCGAAGACCCGAGGGAGCGCGACTTCCTCAAGACGACGCTGCACCGCATCTACGGCAAGTTCCTCAACTTGAGGGCCTTCATCCGCCGATCGATCAACAACGTCTTCTTCCAATTCATCTACGAGACAGAGAGACACAATGGCATCGCCGAGCTACTCGAGATCCTCGGTTCCATTATCAACGGCTTTGCCCTGCCGCTCAAGGAGGAGCACAAGACGTTCCTCACGCGAGTTCTAATCCCATTGCACAAAGTCAAGAGCCTGGCCCTCTACCACCCTCAGCTGGCGTACTGCGTCGTTCAATTCCTCGAAAAGGACAGCAGCCTGACGGAAGAGGTGCTTCTGGGGCTGCTTCGATACTGGCCCAAAGTCAACAGCCCGAAGGAGGTCATGTTCCTCAACGAAGTGGAAGAGATTCTCGACGTCATCGAGCCGGCCGAATTTGTCAAGATTGAGGTCCCTCTGTTCCAGCAATTGCAGCGGTGCATCAATTCGCAGCACTTCCAAGTCGCCGAGCGGGCCCTCTACTTCTGGAACAATGAATACATTGTCAATCTCATAGGTGACAATGTTCAGGTCATCTTGCCCATCGTCTTTGCGGCTCTCTACCAGAACTCCAAGAGCCACTGGAACAGGTGAGTTGGGCAATTCTGTGCTCTCTTTTTCACTCTCACAAATTGACTCTCTCCACCTCAGAACGATCCATGGCCTCGTCTACAACGCACTCAAACTCTTTATGGAGATCAACCCAAATCTCTTCGACATGTGCACGAACGACTTCAAACAGCAACGACAAATGTGGGTCTTTGGTAACGCTTGTGTCGATGATTTCCTTCGCTAATTCCTCATGACAATGTCCTCGCAGAGAACGACAGAAGCTCAAGGCGCGCGATGAAGCATGGAAGAGGTTGCGAGACTCAGCGCTGGCAAACAGTGCCAAGATTGGAGCGACGCCTCCAAAGAACCTGGCAGATGAGGAGCAGGCCCCAAGATCAAGCACTGCAGAGCTTTTGAGTCTTTCGGACAGCGACTCGGTTGGATCAATTGGTGATCTTGGGCCAGGGGACGACGGGGAGGAAAGTACGGCGAGAGGAGGGAGCTTTTTAGAAGCCATAAACCCAAGTGTCGGCAGCGGCCTGGGTGCCAATGGCGACAAATCGGCGGGGCAGGATTTTGAGGATGCGGGGGACGGACTGCCCGAGGCTGGCACCCAAGGTCCGTTGACCCCGCGAAACACTGACGACACGGTAGGTTGAGGGATAGAGACAAGATATAAGAAAATGGAAGGGATGGCTAAAGTGTAAGGATGGACAACAGAAGCGCTTTGTCTCCCTTAACAAGGAGCAAGCTACCAACGAGACATCGCCTCATGTCCGTAGGAAGTCGACAATCCCAATGGACCCCACCGTGCTCCAAGAACTCCAGCATCACAAGCCTCTCGAGGGGTGAGTCATTGCTGCCTCTGATCTCTTCATGGCCTCTTGACTGACGTCACGACACTCCTCGTAGAGTTGCACCCCCAAGAGCAGCAAAGTAGTCGTGAGAACTGGACGATAATTGCATGCCTCCGCTTCACTGTTCCTTCACATCTCCCCGTCGCCTCCCTTTGTTTCTTCTTCTCTTTCCCTCAGTAGCCTCTCTTACCTATTCCCACTTCCTTTCCCCTTTCTTTCTTTTCACGCCAAGTAACACACTCAGAGACACAATTTTTTCTCTTTCTCAGTCTTCTGTTGTTTAAGTCCCCATCTGTGAAAGTCGGTACTCGCCTATTGACATATCGACATTTGTATGCTGTTTCTTTTGATCATCGTGTCTGCCTCAGGCCTGTGAGGCTCAAAGGGAATCTAGCAGAGCACTACATATCCCGATGATCCGTCAACCCTTGATCCCCAAAATCAACAGGTCGTTTCGTCTTTTCCCTCCCCTTCTTTCTCCTGCGACACCGACTCGAAGTAGGAGCGATCCGCCTCGCTCTTCTCTTCCTTGAGCCTCTGCCGAATTTGACCAAATGTCAACGAAGGAAGAGAGGCCCCGTTGGCAAGGGACCTCGCAGTCTCTTCCTTTTCACCTCCGGCACCCTCGTTGTGGTTTGGCGAAAGGAATGCGACGGGAAGCTGAAGTGCTTCGAGGTAGTCCGGAGGAAGTGGGATGCTGTTAAGTTGATTGATCCAGCCTTTTGCTTCCCTCTTGACGAGCTCATCTTCGTCGTCTGGGTAAGCATTTGCTTTCCCCTCCGCTGCTGGAGCGTGTTGTTGCTGAGCGGCCTGAATAGTCGTGGCGCTTAGGTCGCCTTCCACTGAGCAGGCAGAAGATTGGCTATCTTTGCACTCGGAGGACGGGTCCTGTTTGCGCAAATGCTGCTCCTTCCAATGTCGTTCTTCCAGGAGCCTACCAAGTACCACTCTAAGCTGGCTGTTGAGCGCCCGCTCCAGTCCCCACATCCTCTCCAGCTGTCTCTTCTCTTCCGTCGTCGCTTCCATTTCCTCTCTGTGCTTCTGGACGATCTCGTCCCGTTCAGTTCGGGCAGAATCGAGCGTATGGCGTTGTAACGTCTCAAAGTCGACCTCTTTGGTGACGAGTGACTCTGAAAGCTGGCCGATCTGCACACGAAGCTGCTTGTTCTCGTCGAGCACATCATGGTGCTTCTGTTGCGAAGTCGAGAGACGTTGGCGCATTTCTGAGACCTCCTTCAACTATAGATATCCCGGTTCATCAGTCAATATTCTTTCGCATCACTTTTAACGCAAATGCAACGGGGAGTGGCAGAGCTCACCTTTTCGCGCCAGCCTTCATCGAGATCCAGGGCGAGACAGCGGACAACCTCGACGTCCTTTTCGGTGCGCAGAACATGTCGAGCGTGCGCAAAGCGGAGTGCCTCGCTCGCAAGCTTTCCTTCATCACCCACTAGGTACGAAATCGATTCATCCTTCTGCTGCTGCGACGCAGAAGAGGACGACGAGAGACGGGTAGCTGCGGACAGCGCTATGTCCCACATGCTCGCTTTTCGACGTGGTGGCGGTGGTACAGATTGGCGATTTGGCTTCGTAGACGGTGTTGGAGGCGGAGGTCCATCAGTGGTGGCGGCAGTGGCAGCCTGATGAGCAGATGACTGAGTTTCTTCCGCACCCTTCATGACGCAGTGCAGCATATTCTCGTCGTGCGTCGTTGCGCGTCGATGGGCCCCTCGATTTTGTGTTATTGCCGTAGGAGGAGGACCAAGAGGAGGAAGAGCTCGTTCTTTGCCCTTTGCTTGGCGATCGGGCTTTTCTTCGGATTGCTCCCCATCAGCCTGCGCAGACACCTTGATATCGCTGGTCGAAGAGCTGCTTCGCAGCATCGTCCATAGAGTTCGCCGGGATTTTGGACGTTGTGGACGTGGCGGGCGCTCAGGACGAGCCCTACCCTCGTCGACGCTTCCTTGAATGGAGTCAACATCGTCCGTGATCACCGTGCGATAATGCTGAGCATTTCCTGCCTGCATCAACTCCGCGCCGACGGAAGGGACCAACTTGACGTCATTTGCGGGTGCGGGAGGTGTCTCTCGGGTGAACGGCTGAGAAAGTGCAGGCTCAAACACTTCTGTGGAGACTTCTTCAGAAGTGGGTATGGTTGCCCTCGTACTCGAAGGTGCAATCGAGAAATTTTCCTTGACTGCTGTCGGCTCCATCATGGTAGGCACGACCTCAGTGGGAGAGTCGGACAAGCAGTGTTCGGGAGCAGCCTCGACGTGAAGCGAGCCATGATTCTTGGCAGCTACCTCCCCTGCGTCGAAAACGATGCCGTCGTCTGCAGTGCCCATCTCTGTCAGTTGCATATGTCCTTCGGGGTAGATCTTGGCCGTAGGAGGCGGAGGAAGCGGTGAAGGCGTGAGAGGGGACCGCGACGAGTTTGAGGAAAACGAAGACTTTGAGGGACCGATACCGTCAGGAAGAGTAGTCGCTATTTCAACGATCCCACATTCCGAGCGCTCGAGATCCTCCATCGTTGATTCTGCTTCAATTAGTGCTGCCATGGTGATGGAGGAGAGAGGGGACTGCTTAATCCTGCACAACGCTCTTATAAAAAGGCTCATGAGTACCCTTGCAACTGTGGGCGTCTTTTCAAAAGCGGGCGTCGAAGTGGTCTTCGAATCTCCTTTTCCTAAACTTCAGCTCTCGCAATTATCAGCTCAGCATTCGCTTAATTGGGAATCTGCTTGCTTCTAAATAGGAATGCTACGCCAAAGGAGCATTGCTCTTAATGACGCTGAAGATGGGCCAGATCGATATTGCAATGGACTATCTAATGACGACCTTTCTCGATGTTTGTTTTGCCCATGTCGCCGATCCACTTTTTCCAAAACGACTTGAATGTGGGCGGGTCCCTCCAGTCGCTCCAATTGTGATTCAGGAGCGCCCACGTATCATCCACGTCCTGGCCGCCCTCGCGCGCATAGTAGCTACCAGCAATGGACCACACTGCCCAGCCGACATTGTTTTCGACAGTAAAGTCCCTCAAGCAGTTGGTCAGCGTGTCGTTGTACAGCGTGGCGTCTTGGGCCTGCCCAAACTCCGTCAGCCACACGGGCGTCTTTCGTTTGGCTGGAGGACAATGGTATTCGGTGTCGCCGTCCGCCTCGTGGGAGGCGCATCCTTTGGGCGCGTCGATGCCCAGGGCGTTGAAGCCGTAGTTGTACAGCTGGGCCTGGATCGCCTCGCAGGTGCCCGTGTCTGCGTTCTCGCTCATGCTGTACAGGTGCAGCTCCAGCACCGCCTTGTTCTTCCAGTCGTGCTCGTCAATCCTGAAGTGCACGGGCTTCCGTCGCCTGCCGTCTCTGATCGCATCGAGTTTGTACGAAGGGGCTACGTTCAAATTGAGCTCCTGCGTGACGGCCGACAGGTCCTGGTCGTATTGCAGGCCCGAGAAGGTGATCAGCAGGTCCTTGTTGGCCTCATGGATCGCATCGGCACCCGCTGTCACGTTGCTTGCCCACGAGATCCAGCTGTACTCGACCTTTGTCTGGTCGGTGTCATTTTGAGGCCAGGCGGAGCGGAGCTCGTTACGGAGCGACATGGACGCAATGTTGGGGTGAGCCTTGGCCCAATTGGCCATGTACGCCAGTCCACGTCGCCACTTCTCCGCATCAAAGTAGCGATCGCCCCACCAGGCATTGCCGTCAAAGTGCGAGCAGCACCACTTCGCTTTTGATACGTGGTTGTCGGGGCTGTCACATAAGATGACTTAGTTCGTGCTGCCATGTCAAGCTCCTCTCACAGACTCACTGCATCATGATGCCGTTCTCAGCCTCGAGTTTCGCAAGGGTGTCCCAGACCTGCAACCTAGTCGTCTGCGCCGTCCAGTTGAGGTCCTTGTTGGCGTCGAGCATCTTTTGCAGGACCGCCGTGCCGTTCTCGGCGCCGAGCCCGTTCTTGAGTGCCGTCTCAATCGTGATGTCCGTGCCCCCATTCTCATAGATTTCGTCAATCATCTGGATGGCGTAGGTGTGCCGCACAAAGTTGAAGCCCGCCTTGCCGAGGCGCAAGATGATGGAGGACGCCGATGCGTATTGAAGGCCCTCGGGTATCATTGTCTCGCCCGACCCGGGCCAGTTGACGCCGACGATGGTGACGGTCTCGCCCCGTGTATTCTTGACGTGGGGGCCGTCGGTGCTCCATGGCGTGTAGGGCCATTTGGCATCACCCTTCGCTTGAAAGACAGTGGCGCCTAGGGCTACCGAAGGGACCACGGCCAAGGCGAGAGCCCATGCTAGGAGAACGAACTTGAGAGGAAGAATCATGCTTGTAGGCAAGTGAATGGCGTCTTCTTCGAGGAAGACAGCATCTCCTAAATAGTGTTCTACCTACTCCACCTCTACCCCACGTTCCTTCTTCTCTTTTCTCACATTCTTTTCGCGCGCTCGGCCCTGTCGACGGCGAGAATCCCGACATCGTAAAGGCAAGCTAAAAATAAGATTGCCGGCTTGGCTCTCATGAGATTACCGGCGTCGCTTGCGAGCTCTGCTGCGATGCGAGCCCCAGACTTAAGGTACAGAAGAGAGCTTGGGGGGAGGAGAAGCAGCTTGGGGCTTTTCAACATTGGTTGGGCTCATTTGCTGGATGAATTGCATCCACCAGCCCGTGAATGTGGTTTGGTTCCTCCACGCAGACCAGTCGTGGGTAAAGAGCCCCCACGTCTCGTCAAAGTCGGCCGTGTTCTGGCGCGTGTAGTAGCTGCCCACGGCGGCCCACATCGCCCAACCAATCTTGTGCTTGACGGTGAAGTCCCTCAGGCAAGTGTTGAGATGCAGGATGGGATCCGTCTGCTTTTGGCCGAATTCCGTCAGCCAGACGGGCGTCAGGCGCTTGGCGGGGTAGCATGCGACTTTTCCCGTCGGGTCCACCGTGCTGCTGGTGGGACCCGATGCACATCCGAGTGGCGGCGTGATGCCCAGCGCGTTGAACCCGTTGTTGTAGAGATTAGCCTCGATGATGTCGCATGGAGTCGTGATTCCCTTGTGGTCATACGAATGGAGCTCGAGCACGGCCTTCTCGTGCCAGGCATGGTCGTCGATGCGAAAGTAGACTGGCGGCGTGCCCGCCTTCTTCTGGTCGACGACGCTCAGGTCCAGCTCGCGCGTGATGGGAGCTAGTGTTAGGTCGTAGCTGAGCCCAGAGATGGTAATGAGCAGGTTGTTATTGGCGGTGTGGATTGCATTCGCGCCTGCGGTCACGTTGGACGCCCATGCCGTCCAGCTGTACTCGACGGCGGCTGTTGCGGGCTCGACGGGCCGCAGCTCGTTGCGGAGCGACATGGAGGCTACATTTGGGTGGTCGATTGCCCATCTAGCCATCTTGCTTAGCCCTCGGGTCCATCTAGCAATGTCAAAGTATCGGTCGCCGAAGAAGGCGTTTCCATCGGTATTAGAACAGCACCACATGGGCTTGGAGACGTGGTTGTCGAGGTGCATCATGATTCCATTGTCCCGTTCCAAGTTGGCAATGTCGCTCCAAATCTTCATCCTAGGAGTCTCTGCGGTCCATTGCGGGTTGTTCTTCAAGACTTGGGCTAGGACGTTGGTTCCCGCAGCGAGCCCGAGTCCATTCTTGAGCGCCCAAGCAAGCGTGACGTCTTTTCCCGGTACGGCTCCCTCCTCGATCTCGTCGATCATCTGCGTCGCATACGTGTGCCGCACAAAATTGAAGCCGGCCTGGGCCAGGCGCTCCACAATCGAACGGGCCGAGCTGTACTGGAGGCCCTCGGGCAGCATCGTCTCGCCCGCGCCCGGCCAGTTGGCGCCGACGATCGTCACGGTCTCGCCCCGCGCATTCTTCACTTGGGCTTTGTTGGTGCTCCAAGGCGTATAGGGCCACGCTCCTGGTCCAGAGACGCCTCTGACGGTGATAGCGCCGAGGCTTAGCAGCCAAACAACAGAGAGGAAGAGAGTGACAAGCTTGACAGGGTACATCTTTGAGACACTCTCTTGGCTCTCCCTCATATCTCAGCTACGCTCGTTTTAAGACTGGAGGCGATCCAAGAGATTGCCGGGATATCCCCTGGCAATGGAGGCCCGCCCACATCCGTGCTCCCGTTGACACTCACGCGCGCACGGGCGCAGTCGTACCTGCGGAGATTGCCGCCCGCCCGCTACAAGGAGTTGCGTGCACACGTCGCGGTTGCAGCACTGGATGGGTAGGGTATACAGACATTGCTAGCTTTCTAGTATACAGATGTTGAAGTGGGGAGTCTGGCTGAGAAATGAAGACGGCTACCACCGCCAATCGATGTCTCCCTTGACAGTGTTCCGAACGCCTTTGTAAGGCCGATAGGCCGAGTCTGCAGTTATGTCCAGTCCCGTCACTTTGAGCCCAGCGATGCTCGACAGTGGAACCGCGAAACGACTGGTCACAGCCGTCGACAGGCAGGGGTTTGTATCACTGCAGAATTGTCAGTAGGATGCACGATGAACAAGCAAATGAGTGGCGCCCTCTCACCTCGTCACCGTTCCTGTCAGGCTCAGAGGCCGCTGTCCCCGCGAAAACCTGGCAACAGACCAGCGTGCGACGCCTCTCTTGGGGTCATAGTGGAATGTGCCTGCACCTGCCTTGTCCTCGCTAGAGACGCCGCTGGTCGTCGTCTCAATGCTAGCGCTAGCATCGGTGACGCCAAAGATGACCTCGATGTTGTCGACAGCCTCCGCAACGGTGGCCATGAGAGTGATCTTGAACGTCGTCTGTTGCTTTTCTTCTTGTCTCCTCTCGCAATGCAGACGCAACGGCAGCTTCTTGTCCAGTGCACCGACCGAAGCTTCAATATTGGTTTCAACGAGGTCGAATTCACCGTCGGGCGGGACGAAACTCAGCACGCCCTCCTTCTTCCAACGCTTGATTCGGATACAGGGATGGAGCCTCGCCTCTCTCAGCATCGAGGGATTGTTGAGTCGCAACAGGAGGTCAGGTGTGCCATTGAGCTTGGCCTTTCCCTTGATGATCCCTCGAAGCTTGAGCGGGGCTAACGGACGGGCTTCGATTGGTTGTGTCGAAGAGACTGGCGACCTTGCGAAAGTCCCGCAAAGAGTCTCTTCAATGTCGATGTATAGCTCGTTGGTCGTGTAGCGAGACGCAGAGGTTGGCCGTCGCCACGGGATGGGCGAGACGAGCGGAGGTGGTGCCAGGGTAGAGCCCATTCTGCCAAGAAGTCGTCTTTGTCAGCACTGCCTCCAAGAAATACTCGAAACAGCATTGCATCTCCTCAGCAAGAGCATATATATCGAAAGGGTCTTCATCGAAAATCTCGGAAAGAACACAGCGAATTGGTTGTATGAAATCATCCCAGGAAGGAACCGCGGCTCATCACCGTTCACACTCACCCTGGCATGCCTGCGCTTCCCATCTTGCTGGCGACCTTGCTGACCCAGCTCGGCTCTCGGACAATGTCTCTCAGCGCGTTGAATTCTGTCGTGAGGGGCTGCCCACTCTCGTCAAGCATCTCCTCCATAACTTGGTAGACGGTGTCGAAATTGTCGCGGACCGCATCTTCCGTCAGCGGACTGCCAAGGTAGGACTGCAAGTTGGCGACGAGCGATGAGAGGAACGACAAGGGCAGCATCGGATCCACTTTGGGCAGAACGTAATTCAGACACGAATCAAATTTCTTAGCACCGCATGTTGCACTCACCATGCTTTGAAAAGGTGGCCACTAGCCGAAGCCCATTGTGTTCGACATGGCACGATGCTGAGTCGCCATCTCCCTCGCTAGCCTCGTATGCCACTCCATCGGCGAGGCTGGCGTCGTCGTCTCCTCGGCTTTCCCGCTCGCTAGCTTCGTCGTCTTCGGACACGACATCGCCAGCTCTAGGCACGCCCTCCGTCCACGAAATTGGCGCCTCGTCTTTGGTCGATGCAGATGACTCGAGTCGGGAAGAGAGCTGGTCGGCATGCAGGAGCGGGTAGTTGGGAAGCGGGTGCAAGAAGTTGGAATGCAAGATGGGTTGATGAGAGGCAGAAAGGATGATAATGCCCTCGATCGACCCCATCTCGGAGTGTCTAGTGGTGAAGAAGGAACAGGCTCACACAGCCAACAGTAATGTCGACGCGAAGAAAAGTATTCTCGGCCGACTGACATCCGTCGTCTCTCGACCACATCAAAATAGCACGCCTTTGGAGGCCGCATCGAGGGCCATCAACGTTCAATCACTCGAAGATGAACAATGATGTAGTGCCGGGGTTGGCCACAGGGACTATAAATACAATTTCAAGATGGTGGGGGCCAAACGGAGAGCATACGCTTCCTGCATGGCGACATGCTGGAGCAGCGCGTCTATCGAGCCTCAAATTGGAGCTGTTTGCCGGGTGGAGTGAGCATCAGTAGCCTGCTCTGCATCATCTTGTAGTGTAGGTGCTCTTCTCACCATGCGGTTGGTTCGCTTTTTGTACATGATGCGATGTCCACACTCGCGGCATCGGATCGGCTCCCTCGGCTTGATCTCGTTGATGGATGCGCACTCTGCAACATAGACAGCAATCAGCCCCCTGATCCAATCGATTAGACAGCCCTTACTTTCGCCTCCTTTACCGCCCAATCACTAGCTCTGGCCTATGAACAAGGACTTCTTTCCCAGCCCTCCCGTCGTCGTCACTGGTAGCAAGCTCGAGACAGAGGCTCACCTGCGCAGATGTACTCCATGGGTGGCTGAGCCCTGATGGGCGCGCCACCTCCGTAGGAACCGCCTTGTCCGCCTTGGTAGCTCATGTCGTGTGTCTCTGTTGCACGACCAGCCAGTCTCTACGACGTTGGATGAAGGAAGTCAACTAAGCGCCTCACGATGTCGACGAGAAGAGGAAGGGAAATTTTCGAGAGCTCTTTGCCACGTGCTTTTAAGAGTGCGCTACCGGTAATCCTTTGACATTTAGACGGCCAGCACAGAACGACACTCCTCGACTTTCTCACCCCTCGTCACTCTTCTCGCCCGCAACGACTGCACAGGGACCAAGAGACAGGACGCCATGTCAAACTTCTTTCGCTCAATGGGGCGGTCCTCAAGACCGAAGAAGTCGCCGACTATACCGTCGATGCCATTTGACGGGCAGCCGGGCGCCCTCGGCCAGTCCAACAAGCCCCTGTACATGTGCAACCCGTTTGTGAGGAGCGCCCTCATCAAGGGCAGCTTCAAGACCATCGTTGTGCTGCCCAAATTTGTCGACCAGAAGGAGTGGGTTGCTGTCAATCGTGAGTCAGACCTGTTGTTACTTTGGTTGTGTCACATTGCTCACGAAAAGTCTCCCTCCTCTCTCAAGTCTTCGACTTTTTCAACAATCTCAACCAATTCTACGGTGTCCTCACCGAATTCTGCACCATTCAGAACAACCCCACGATGTCGGCCGGAGCTGGGTGCGTCGCTCTCTATTCCTCAGTCTCTAACATCGACGCTGACTGCAGTGCCTTGTCATGGTTGCAGCCTTGATTACACATGGATCGACCAGAACCGAAAGCAGGTCAAATTGCCAGCGCCTCAATACATCGACTATGTCATGACCTGGGTCGGCGGCCTGCTGAGCGACGAAGCCACCTTCCCAACCAAGGCTTGTGAGTTTGCCTCGGATCACTCTGTCTCCTCACTTCGCTAATTCCGCTTCCCCGCTTATAGCTCGCGAATTCCCCCCGACGTTTCTGACCACGGCCAAGCATATCTACAAGCAGCTGCTCCGCGTCTTTGCCCACATCTACCACGCCCAATTCCCCTACTTGGTCCACCTGTGCTGCGAGGGCCACTTTAACAGCCTCTTCGCCCACTTCATCGCCTTTGGCACCGAGTTCGACCTCTTTAGCTTTGCAGACTTTCGCGGCCCGACCGGTTCGGGTCAACCCTACCCAGGCGTGTGCGACCTGATTGAGAAGTGGGTCGAGATGGGCATCCTCAGTCCCGACACGCTCAAGCGGTAGAGCCTTCTTCGTTCCCGCACTGGTCAACATCTCTTGGACTCTCGGTCTCGCTCTCTCAATTACTGTATTATTTGCCTCATTCTTCTTTCCCTTGACGACGATAAACCACACATGACGATGGATCTGCAAGTGAATGACAGTCATACGTGACGAATTCTCTTTCATTTTTTATTTTTTTTTTCTTTCCCCAAAATGTCCGGCCAAAATTTGTTTCTCCACCCTCGACCTCAACTTTCTTCGCTCCTCTATCTTCAAGAAGATCGTTGACATGCCATGCCGGTAGCTCAGAAAAGATCTGCTGATAATCACGACTCGACGCCGGCCAACACCGCCAAGGCCCCTAGAGCAAACCCCTCGGCGGACGGGGAGGGTGTGCACCTCGCTCCGAGACACCCGTTTGGCGTGTTGCCAGGCGGCAATGCCCTCTTTGCAACCAAGGCGATCCGGCGCTCCTCGCTCGGCCTCCTCGCGCTGCTGTCCGACAATGACATTCTAGCAATCTTCCAGCTCCTCGAGCCCAACGATCTGACCAAGCTGGGAGCAGTCAGCCGGGCGGTTCGAGCCTTTGCGCTGCACGAGCCCAACTGGAAGGAGGCGACGCTCGAATTGACCAAGGGCAGGCTTGCGTGCTGGCGCGGCAGCTGGAGGGCGACGTACATTGACCACGCAAAGGGCAAAGTGGGGATCGATGATGGCGTCGCTGCTATCGGTCCCACGATTGGGGACGCCAAGGGCCTCTTCTCCGATGCTCTCTACCTTCCGCTCCACATTGCTTCGCTTCCTCTGCATCCCTATACCCCAAGCGAAAGTGGACATCGCCGTCAGCCATACAACTTGATCCAGCGCGTCGACTCATCATCGCTCACGCCTGAGGAGTTCCAGGCCCGCTTCGCTCGACCGAGTGTTCCCTGCATTCTCTGCGACGCTGCAGGCGCCCAGGAAGTGCCTCCATGGACGCTGTCGGACCTCGTGCAAATGTACGGCAATCGACGGATCCGTGCCGAGGCTCTCTCGCTGCCGATGTGCGCATACAACGACTATGCGCAGTCCTGTGCGCATGCGCTGGACGATGGCGAGGATGTCCGGTGGGTGCCGGACGAGTCGCCGTTCTATCTCTTTGATCCGACACTGGCCAGGACGATGCATCGGGAGGGAAGGTTCCTGGTACCTCGACTTCTCCGGAGCGATGAGTCGCCGTCGGACGATGAGGAGAGCAAGCGCAGAAAGAGAGGAGAGATAAGGAAGGAGTGGGACCTCTTTTCACTCCTGCAGGACCGAAGACCAGATCACGTCTGGGTCATTGCTGGGCCCCAACGTAGCGGCAGTGGGTGGCACACGGACCCAAACTACACCTCGGCCTACAACACGGTCCTGTCTGGCCACAAGCTCTGGCTCCTCCTCCCACCGCACCTCACCCCACCGGGCATCTACATCACGCCAGACGGCGCCGACATTACGGCGCCCCTCAGCATCGGCGAGTGGCTCGACGGCTTCTGGAAGGAGTGCGTCAAGAAGCACGGCACGGGTGCCCAGGGCGATGGCCAGCTGCTCGTGGGTGTGTGCGCGCCGGGCGAGACGATGTTTGTGCCCGCCGGGTGGAAGCATCTCGTCGTCAACCTCGACGAGTCGGTGGCCTTTACGCAAAACTTTGTCAGCCCCGCTGAGCTGCCTGCCGTCCTCGACTTTCTCAAGAATCGGCCAGACCAGATTTCGGGCTTTCGCATCCGGCGCGCAGCAAAATCGTCATTGTCGTCGTCGTCGCCCTGCTGCGGGGAGGAGGAGGCTCAGGAGTCGGATCCGGAGCTGGACGAGCTGGACGACGGCGGCTTGCGCGAGAAGGGCAAGCTGTTTGAGACGTTTGTCAAGAGGCTGAGGGACTTCGATGAACGCTTGGCCAATGAGGGGTTAGCGTCGATGGAGAGGATCGAGAAAGAGCGGCGAGAGAGGCAAGGCAGCGGCACGGAGACGGTGGTGGGCAAGGTGGGCGCGACTGCCAAGAAGGATGCCGGTGGCTCCAGCACCTGGTGGGAGGAGCTGAAAAGGGGCGGCGAGAAGGGGGAACAGAGCACAGGCTTCTCGTTCTCGCTTGCGCCTGGTGATGGAGACGAAGACGGAGACGCGGCCTTGGGAGAGGTCCCATGGTAGAGACCGAGCATCATGTAACAGTAACAGTAGAAACACTCAAGAAGATTGCATTTGTGTACACGTTTGCCTGCGGTGCCGATGATAGTATATGATGCTGATGATACACATGAATAGTAAATGATGCAAAATTACAAGCCAGCCCTGGTCACTGCGTCCTGTAGAGCGGGACTCAGAGGCGCGAGGTATGCCAAAAGGCCCCTCGCCTGCGCCTGGCTGGATTGCGGCAGGCGAGCGTACGGACCGGTGATGGCACCCCTCGTCGGGTGGACAAAATGGAAAAAGGGAACAAGCGTCGATCGGAGCGTGTCTCCAACTGCTGGAAAGAGCGACATGCTCACGACGCAACGGAGCAGCTCCAACGTCTTTTCGCTCGAGATGACATTGCGTCCGCCAAGTTCCCACAGGTGTCGCGGCAGGTCCTTACCGAGCCATTCGACGAGGCGCGGGGACAAGGTCGAAGGAATACGGAAGCTGCTTGTGTAGCTCGGACGGGATGCCAGCAGAATCAGTCTGCCGATGAACTCGGTGGAAATATCCCTTGCCGGATCCGTTGCTTTAAGCAACGTCCAATGTCGGAGGAGGGCGTCAAGAAGTGGTTCTACGACGGCTGTGTCTGCACTTCGAGAGAGGAGCAGCCAAACAGTCGGAAGCAAGTTAGCGTAGGCTTCGCTTGAAAGGCTTCTCGCTGCCATCGTGGAAGCTGCCTCTCCGCCTCCTATCGTCGAGCTGTCATTCTGCGTCTGACCGGTGATGATGCTCGGGATGAATTGCGAGACTTCATGAAGCTGCCCCTGCAATTTCTTCTGCCCCTTTGTCGGCTGTTGCGCCTGCTGTTTCGTCTCGGCCATGGAGAGGAGCGCGACAAGCTCACAGTACGTCAAACTGAGATTGAGAAGCTGTTCGCGAGCCTCTACGCTCCAAGATGCCCCGTCGCAGAAGCTCGAGAGGCCTGCGAAGGGGAAGTAGGGTGTCATGTGGCCGACGAGACGGGACAAAGTTTCTCGGTCAGAATAGGACGTCGAGATGTTGCCGGATGCATCTCTGGCCTCTCGCGCCACGCCTCGCCAGAGCACCAGAGCAAGACCTGCTACTACACAGACGATCTGGGCGTGGGTGGACAGCTGCTGCTGTTGCTGTTGTGCGGAGAAGGATGCAGATGGTGGGAATGCCGTCGGTGCCGAGTCGAGGAAGTTCGTGATGAGAACAGGTGCCAAAGCCGTGAAGAGGTGCATGTATGGCGAGTTGCCATTCGCAGACCTGCCTTTTTCCAACTTCTCAAGTGTCTGCAGGATGGCGGTGGCCCCAGCCACAGACGTCGCAAGCTCCTCAGCATTCCAGCCCCTTCCCAGGGTGACGTCGAGATCGGCCAGTGATTCGCTAGCCAATTCGAGCGAGTCGTTGTCGGTGGCACCCTCCATCGTGCGCCTCCTATCAGGGCGCAGGCTGACTTTAAATGCGTCGAAGTCGGATCGCGAGGAGAATGCAGCTTCGAAACACCACGTTGGGCATTGGTCCGGTGTATCCGATACCGTGGACTTCAGGTTGCCTCGTTGTAGAAATTTGAGCAAGCTCTGTAGGATGACGAGGCGCGAGGCCGACGTCAAATCGGTTGAGATGATGGAAGCAGATGCTGGGCCCAGCTTTGCGCCTTGGTTCGCACCAATGGCACCGGAGAGGGATACGCCAAGCAACGTCATGTAGCACTGCAATATACGAGAGCCATGCTGAAAGGATGGGCTGGAAACGCTCGTAGTCGCTCCGTTCACTCCCGATGTTTGTGAAGAGGACGAACGACCATCTGAAGCTTGGCAAGCTGCTTGCCATCCTGAGGTAACATCGTCCCCGAGAGCGTCGCAAAGGAGGTCCAGTACTCGAACAGCATCCAGACGAACATCTGGAAAGATGTGTGACAGTGCTGTGGAGGTAAAAAGAAGCAGGGTCGAGGTGTATGGCCGAAGACGATTGCGAGAAAACTGAGGAAGATAGCTTGCAAGAAAAGCATGAAGAGCCTTGCGTACCCCTGCGTCGTCATCGGAGATGAGCCGAGCAGCATCCGGAATGACGGTCCCTAGCGATTTGGAGAGTAGAAATGGATAAGAAGCGAAAATCTCTCGAAGACCGTAGAGGGCGTCTGAGAGAGGTAGCAAGTCAGCCAGCCGGTCGCCCACTCCTCCGGGGCAGTCAATGCTAGCTCACCCTTTCTGGTCACAGCATTGTGATGGCGCGTCTGACTGATGAGGTCGTCCAAGGTCAGGTTCCTTTTCGTCGTAGGGGCCTTGCTCCTGTCCTTGTTGATGCTCTGCTGAGGGAGAGCAATGGATCTCGCTTTGTACGAAGTGTTGGTCGCATTGGTCGCTGCCTGCTTGCCCTTGCTAAGCTTCGCCTTCTTTTTCTGGACGAAGGAGGCTTTCAGCAGAGCAGCTTGAAAATGACAAGCTCGGTATAACAGCTTACCTCGAAGTCGCCCCCAAGTGTCGAGGCGGAAGACTTGGTCTTCTTCGCTTTGGCCATGACCTCGTTGGTTAGGGCTAAGTTGCGAAGCTTTGCTGCTTCTTCCAAAAAAAAGTTGGAAAAAATTCCCGCCAAATGCTTGAGAGCCTAACTTGGCCAGGGTGCTGTGGACGCACGTGGGATGCACAAGTGGAGGAATGATAACCCTCCCACCCTCCGACCGATGCGACTCGAGGTTGACGACGAAGGCAGTGGGTTCTCTTTCAATGGGACCTTCGCCAATCGCTTGGCGTCTCGCTCGCGCTGGGTTGGGTGCGCCCTCTGCGTACTGGGCACCCTCTACTCTTTTACGATGCCAAGCGAGGCTCGGCGCGAAAGCGGTCGCTGCAGGACCGTTGCAGAGCAGGATCCTGTCCCAGACGAGGTCGTTTGCCTCGATCGTTCCGCGAGAACGCCAGCACCATGGCAATAGCTCGAAGTCTCACAGAGTTTGGCCTTGGGCAGCATCTGGCGCGATTGTACTGGCGCTTTACTCAATCAACCTGCGTCCCGTCTCGGCTCAAGATTCCGGTTCAAAGGAAGAGGGCAGCAAGGGCGAGGAGGAAGAGGAGGACAAGCCCAAGTTCGCACCCTCCGTCGACGAGATCGAAGCTGAAGAACGACGGCGGAATCGCAATGCACTTGCCCGAGCATTCTTCAAGCTCGTCAGTGCCGTCCAAGACTACATTATTGAGCCAATCGGGACAACGGGCAGGTTCATCGTCCTCGTCTGCCTCTTTCTCCCCGTCATTCTCGCAATGCCCATGCTCCTCGTTGGCCGGAGGCGAGAAGGCGGCAGAAGACGAGGGCGAAGGCTAGCGAAGCAAGATGGTGGGGAGCGATGGGGTGCCATCTGGTGGTACGGCTTTCTGGTCAAGCAAATGGAAAGAGCTGGTCCGACCTTCATCAAGGTAAGCGGGGATAGATGAAGCCGGTCAATGCGCACCAGTCCCTGACATGATACATACACACACAGCTCGCACAATGGGCTGGGTCTCGTCAAGATCTGTTCCCGAAGGAGCTGTGCGACCTCTTGGGCAAACTCCACTCTAATGGTCGACCTCATTCGCTCAAATACACAAAGAAGGTCATCGAGAAGGTCTTTGGCAGGCCTTTTGACGAGATCTTCGAGCACTTCCCCGATGAGCCTCTAGGAATCGGCGCTGTTGCGCAAGTGTACAAGGCAATCTTGAAACCAGACCTTCTCCCACCGGCCTACCTCGAAAGCAAGCGACATCCTGGCAGAAGCAACCAGTTCACTCGTTCGCTCGCCCTCACCTACGATGAGGACCATCCACCACCACAAGTCCCGACGGCTTCCGTTGCCATCAAAGTCCTCCACCCGCGAGCGCGAAAAACCATTGCAAGGGACATCAAGATCATGACTTTCTTTGCCAAGCTCATCAACTTCATCCCTGGCGCCGAGTGGCTCTCGTTCCCAGAGGAGGTCGAGGTTTTCTCGCAGATGATGTTCAGCCAGCTCGATCTTCGCAACGAGGCTGCCAACCTGGATCGCTTCGAAAAGAACTTCGGGAAGAGGAGAAGCGCTGTTTCATTCCCCAGGCCTTTGCTCGAGTTCACCTCCAGGGAGATTCTCATCGAAGAGTTCGAGGAGGCTTTGCCTTTGAAGCACTTCCTCAACATGGGTGGCGCTGGGTTCGACAATCGCATTGCCAACCTGGGTTTGGATGCTTTCTTGAACATGCTTCTCCTCGACAACTTCACACACGCCGATCTGCATCCGGGCAACATCATGATTAAGTTCTACCGCCCCACGACCAAGTCTCTTCTTCGCGACCTCGTCACCCGTGTCATCTCCCGCTTCGACTCTGACTACGCGCCGGGGAGATCCAAAGCAGCTCCCACTGCCGACGACCAGGCGGAAGAAGACGTCGTGAAGAGGATGATGAAGCTCAGACACGACCAGGACGCCTGGCTCGATGAGCTGGATCGACTCGATGCGGCAGGTTACCAACCAGAGCTCGTTTTCCTCGACGCAGGTCTGACGGTGGAGTTGACGCCCGAGAATCGGCGAAATTTCCTCGATTTGTTCGGAGCCGTCGCCGAGTTCGATGGTGCGCTGGCCGGCCACCTCATGGTGGAGCGTTGCCGGACGCCGGACCTCGTCATTGACGAAGAGACGTTTGCACTGAGGATGCAGGACCTCGTGCTGAGCGTCAAGAGCAAGACGTTTAGCTTGGCAAAGATCAAGATTGGAGACGTCCTCTCCGAAGTCCTGTCGGCTGTCCGGTCGCACCACGTAAAGATGGAGGCGGACTTTGTCAACACAGTCATCTCCATTCTTTTGCTCGAGGGAATCGGGCGACAGCTCGATCCAAACATGGACCTTTTCAAGAGCGCGCTGCCCATCTTGAGAAACCTCGGACGGGAGTTGGCCAGACAAGAGGGAACCCGGACGCTTTCGAGGCAGCCGCATCAGGGAAGCGACGGCGCTCCGGGCGGAGGCGTCACGCCAATGATCAAGATCTGGTTCTGGTTGGAAGCCAGATCATGGCTTTTGAGCATGGCCGAGAAGCAGACGGTCGATGCCTTTGTCAGATACGATTGGCTTTCGCCGGCTGCGTGAGCGGCATTAGCTCCTTCGCTTATTCCTTTTCCTCTTGCTTCCCGTCTTCTTTTACTCACCCGACACCTGGACTCGCAATGACTGCAGCAATAGAAATCACAAAACTACATCGATCGTGAGATTGAAAGAAACATTCCGGTTGAAGTGCACAGAGCTGGTGTGGAGTGAGAGTACATCGAATGTGACAATGCTCAAGATGAAGAATTCGAAGATGTCGACGGATGTCGAAGATGGAGAGGCTTCCTTGGGAGCGGCGGTGGAGAGTCTTCTGCAGGAGAGTGGTTGCGGTTCAGACGGCGGGTCGTCTCAACAATGTTTCTCGCCCTCAAACTCTCCTCATCGATGGGGTGCGAAAGTGACGAAAGAGGTACTTTGGGCGAGACAGACGGGACGGCAGACGACGAGGCCGATGCATGCTTCCGAACCACTCGTGCAGGCACCGCAGCTAGTTGAGAGTGAGGCGGGGCCGAAGGAGAAGATGGCTTTGCCGCGTCAGAGGCGAACGGCCGCTTGAGACCCGATGCCATCACAGTCGCGGGAACCCTCTTCGGCGCCGTCATCAAAGTCGGAGCGGACGGGGCATAAGAAGGGTCGGACGCCGAGCTGCTGGCCGATGCCAGATGGGAGAGGTGCTGAGCAAGATGGGGCCTCCGTGGCGAGTTGCTGGCAGTGACGTTGCTACTCCCGCTTGGGCTCGAGCCTGCCCCTTCTTTCAGCAGCTGGGATGCATGGCCTGCAACGTTGTTCTCCGAAGCAGCTCGGCGGACAGTCCGATGGGCGTCTTTTGCGGCGGGGGTGAGGGGCGACTGTGCGGTGTTCTTGATCTGTGTCGCAATCTCCCTTGCCAATTCACGCACGAGGACTGCTGCGTCGTTCCGACTGAGGCTTTCGATGATCTGGAGCCAAAAAGGGAGGAGTGAAGTCAATCAGCACTAGAGTCTGTGAAGGTCATCCATGGTAGACGCACCTCCAAGAGCTTGTACTGCTCAATAAGTCCCTGCCGATCAGGGTGAACATCGCAAACGAGCTTGGTGATTCTGAGCAGGCTCAAGCGGACGACTGCCTTGGTGTGGCTCAAACGATCAATGAGTCTTCGAATAAAGGCCGATTGCCGTCCCAAAGCGAGTGTAACTCCAGTTGACAGCCTGAAAATCTTGGTGAACGGCTCCAGGAGATTCTCAAACGAATTGGCCTTGGAGGTGCTGAAGACAAAGAGAAGCGACGCAATCGATGAAGGTCGAAGCAGCACATCTTCGACACGGGCAGTGTCTTCTTGAAGCCAGACGAGGATCGCCTCGAGCGCTTGGGCTTGCCAGTAAGGATCCTCGAGGAGCTTGAGATAGAAGTCGAGGCCGCCCTGCTGATTGAGCATCTTGCGTGTGGACTTGCCGGCGTGGGCGAAGTCGCACAGGATCGGCAAAGCAAATTGCCTAAGCGGTGATGCTGTCCTGGCGATGCGAAGCAGCTGAGGAATCAGACCCGCCTGCGCCGCTTCCTCCTGCCTTGGCTTGTTCAGTCGGCACACTGCGCATGTATGAATTGAGGTCAGCAACAAACGCGATATCTCATCAGGTACAAGCAACTCACAGTTGTACATGGCGTTTAGGACCTGGTTCGACATCTCTGTGCCGTAGGGTCCGTCGTGATGCTGGCTGAGGATTCTGACGAGCGTCTCGATGGCATTGCAGTTCTGCAGCTCGTCGAGAATCGAAGGACTCATCGACAAGTTCTTGATGACTTTCAGCATCAACGTCAACGACGCTGGCTCGAGCTTCTGACATGCGTGGAGCATCCTCCGGAGCACTCCTCGGGTGGCCAGCTGCCTCTTGAGCCATGAGTCGGAGCCCGAATAGATGTGGAGCGTCTGAAGGATGTGTGCCTTCGCAGAGGCCGCATACTCGTCGCCGCTCTCGTCGTCGAGGACGCTGACCAGCGCGGTTGTCAGAGGCTCGAGGAGACCCTCTTGCGCCAGCATTCTGCAGAAGTCGTTTCGAGATGCCGGGCTCTGAAGCTCCAAGACGCTGTTGACGCACCCAACCCCCAACCAGACGAGATCGCGCTGCTCCCAGTAGTCCTCATCGATGAGTTCGACGAGCGTCTTGAGTCCTCGGCAGCTGAGCACGAACTGCAGCGTCAGACTCGACGTTGAGCACATGGCAAAGACGAAATGGGCCGCCTCGATGCGGACGTCGTGGGGAAACTTCTTTGACGTGAATTGCATCACGACGGGAATCGAGCCAATCAGGCAGAGATTTTCCTGCGCGACGGCATCCTGGTATATGATGACGTTGAGCAGACCAAGAAGTCGACTGATGACGTCGCGAATCTGGATTTCTTCCAGGAGCTGGATGATGGCCAAAGCTCCATGCGCAGAAAAGATTTGACTCTTCATGTCTGGCATGTCCGTCAAGATGGACTCGAGCTGCTCGCAGGCCTCGATGAGTTGATCCTCGGATGTCGTCGCTTGGAGCTCCTCGACGAGATCGTTGACTGATGCGCACATGCGCGCATGCTTGTCCCTCGCCACATTGGCCTCGAGATCGGCTTCCTGGGAAAAGTCATCTTCGAACTCGGCAAAGGGGTCTTCGTCGCTGTCGTCGTCGCCGAGCCAGGACCGCTTCGAGAGTCGAGTCGTGAGCTGCAGCGTCTGATTGGGAGAACTGGCGCCCATACCAGCTGCACTTCCGATGGCATCGCCAGCCCCCACTACGAGGTCGGAGTAATCGTCGCCCTCCCCTTCAGCCTCTGAATAGCTGCCCAAAGCTCGCCGAGTCTTCTTTTGAGTTTGCTTGTCCTGCCCTGTTTTCTTGAGATCCGCACCATTAACAGCGGTTGTCTTCGTCAGCGGCACTCTGGTGTTCTTGTTGTGGATAGTGGTGCTGCTGCTGCTGCCGCTGCTGCTGCTCGCCCCACCAGGTAAAGGTGAGGACGAAACAGTTTGCTTGTTGTCGCTAGCTCCGCGTTCCTTGGCAATTGTGCGAAGGTCTTTCGGGTGGAAAAGACGCCTGCCGATACTGTTCTGTTGTTTGAGCTTTTTGACTCGCTCATCAAGGTGCTGAAACTCTTCTTCGTCTTCGAAAAGATCGGAGTAGTCCTCCACCTCGCCCGCAGAGTCACTGAACGTCTCTTGGCCTGCTAAAGATGCTGACAAGGAGGAAGAGGCTGAAGCAGTAGTAAGAAGCTGTTCCTTTGGCTTGTCTTGCTGCGGCGCAGTGGTGGTGCCGACACTCGATTTTGACCCGTCCTTCGAAAGCGGCTTGACGACATTGACCTTCGCGGGCCGGATAGTCTGGAAATTGTCCTCAAATTCTCCGCTGCCGGTCTCCTTCTCGTCTTCATCTTGACTCGAAGCATTGGACCCGTTCAAGGTAGACTTCAAGGTGCTGGCCGCGAGCGAGAGCGGCGCAGAGTTTGGTGCTGCCGTATTCGTCGCCGTCGCAGTAGGCGTTCCTTTGTCAAATGCGGCGGCGATCTTCGTCGTGGTGATGTCCTCTTCAAAGTCATCATCCCAGTTGTCCGTCTGCTCTTCTGGCGTATTCAGCTGGTCAAGCTTCTTCTGCTGCTGGTCGAGCAGCGATACGACAGGCGCGGGCCGCGAGGTTGCCATCGATGTGTCAGCGTTCGCAGCTGCAGCCGCTGCTGCATGCGACGGTGCTGGGGGTGCAGGAGCGGCTGAGTGTGCGCCTTCGCCGGATCCGACGGAACCAGTCTCTGTGGTCTGATGACCAGCAGCTGCAGCATCGCTTACAACAGTCCTGCCGGCCACTCGTCCAGCGCGACGGCTTGCAGCAGCACCAGCAGGTGGGCCAGTGGGATTTACGTCGGCCTTCCTTGCTTCTCCCGGTAATCTCGACTGTACTTCCGCAGAGCCTCTCCCCGCTTGCACTCTCACTGGCTCTGCAGTAGTTCGTCAAAGAAGTGAGCACGATATACCTTGTGAAACCAGACGAAGTGCTTACCCTTGAGAGCCTCGTTCCACTGCTGGACGCTTTTGACGGCTTCATCGTAGCCCGTGCCCACTCGATCGCCCTTGTGAGCTGACCCTGTGCCAGCAGCACCCATACCGGCAGGCCGCATTTGCTCGAGCTGCTTGCGGGCCGACATCATCCAAGGATGCCTCGACAGCTTGCGAGCAGAGATGCGTAGGTTGACATCCTTTTGAAAGCAATGCATCAAGAAATCTTTGACGATCTGAGAAGTAAAGCAAGGTGTTGTCAGGGCTGGGCTCATTTCATGAAGGCTGAAGGCTCGTGGGTGGACCTGTTCTCACCGGTGAGGCTCCTTCGGGCAAGGGCGGACAGTCGTCCTGGACGATGCGGAAGAGGGCTGGCATGGGATCGAGGAAATGGTAGGGTGGCTTCCCCTCGAGAAGCTCAATGACGACGCAGCCCACGCTCCATACATCGCTCGCCGTAGTGGCACCGCTTTGGTCTATGACTTCTGGAGCCATCCAGTAGGGGCTCCCCACGACAGATCCGTTGCTGAGCGCCGTCGTCTTTGTCGCCACGCCAAAGTCGGCCAGCTTCACGGAGCCGTCCTTCGTGGTGAGGATGTTGGCGCCCTTGATGTCCCGGTGAATCACACCCTGGTCGTGAAGATAGACGAGGCCTTCCAGAACCTGAAGTATGTAGACGCCCACGAGGCCTTCGGGGAACTTTCCAAAACGCCGGCAGATGTTCTGCAGCGAGCCATTCTCGCAGTATCTGCGGCAACGGTCATGTCAGCTCCCCGGCAGCGTGTCATACAAGAATGGCCAAGACTCACTCAAGAATGATGTAGAGGAAGTCTCTCGTCTTTTCAGAACCCTTGTATTTGACGATCTTTGGGTGCTGCGGGTACCTTGCGTGCATCAGTCATCGCACAGTCCCCGTGGCCTCTCACATTGCATCGCACTCACGTTGAGATTCTTGAGCAGGTCGATCTCCGACTGTAGTATTGATAGTCAGCTCTCTGGACCCGCATCTTCTCCTTCCCTTTCCCTGGCACAAGGCGGGTCTACCCACCATGATCTCTCCTAGCTCCGATGAGGGAATAGCAGCGAGATGGATCTGCTTGACAGCGACAGTCTCTCCCGTCATCCAGTTCAAGCCTCGAAAGACGGCGCCGAACGCGCCTTTGCCCAAGCAGTCGCCCAGGTGCTGTGAAATATCTCCGCTCAATCAACCAACAACCAACAATGCTCGTCGTCGACAAGAAGAGGAGGCTGGCTGGCCACGGCCGACGACTCACGAAATGTCCGACATGGGCGTTGCTCGGCGGCAGCCTCGCGTGACTACTCGCCGTTGCCATGTTTGGTGTCACCCTCTGTCCTTTCTTCCTCACTTCTTTTGGTAGACCTTGCTTGCCCGCGTCTCTCTCCTCCGTCTATTTTGAAGCCCCTCTATCCGCATCGGCGTTGCCCTCGCTTCAGGCGAGAAGCCGCCGCCCAGCCGGTAGGAAGCGATGCGGCAGCGTCGCGGTCTGACTTATCGACCGTCGAGCTGAGTAGTGTCCGTCACACTCAACGGGACACACGCTCTCTCGCACAATAGGCCGAGCGAGAAAGAGCGCAGGCGAGCTGAGTAGAAGTAGTGTAGTCTCTTAGTAGGAGAGAGGAAGGCCCAAAAAAATCAAAACAAAACGGGTGGGCCGTGCTCGCGTCGTCTCTCTCCGCCGCGCGACTAGCCTGTCCTTCCTTTCCCCCCCGCCCGCCAGGCTAGAACACATTGCGCTAACGATGGAAATAGAAAGGAAAACATGGAGGTCCAGAATCTAGGGCTTCTATTTGGCACCTGTGACGTTTCGCAGAACAAGGAGAGCGAGCACGAACACATGCAATCGTCGTCGACCTTACGTAGCTTCTCTTTGTCTCCGGGTCGTGGCGGGCTGCTTTCAGTCTGAGTGTGAAAACAGGATTGCTTTGCCACAGCAGGAGCGGATATCGGATCGTGGGCATCAAGAGGATCTAGTAAACATGTAGAGAAAGCAGCGATGACGGAACTCGCATTGTTAAGCCTTGGGATCAATGATGGGATGCGAGACCTCCTCGGGGTCGCGGTAGGCGTCGCTGGGTGACCTCGCGTCGCGGAGCACCAAAAGGAAGCGGTGCGCCTCGACGAGGACCTCGATGGCGTAGAGGGCCACAATGACGGCCACGTCGAGGACCTGGTCCGAGTCGAGGTACTCGGTCAGGGCGCGCGGCTCAATGGGCTGGAGCATGTTGAGCGTCGCGAGTTCGACACTGGTGAAGATGAGCGAGAGGACAAAGAAGACGAGGATGCACAGCGACAGGGCCGGGCGGACAGCGGAGGTGACTGGAAGGGGCAAGTGGAGCAGGACGAGGACGAAGACGAGAGAGGCGAGGGTGAATGGCAGCAGACCCGCACCTCGGTCGGCCAGGTAGAGTCGGACGATTTCAAGAATGTCTGCAACTCGAGTCAGCCTTTTTCTCTTCTGCAACTTCCAAGTGCACAGCTTCAGACTCACTCATGAGCAGAGTGGCCAGAACGAGGAGCGAGTAAATGATGGAAAACGTCGTCGCCGTCTTTGTCCAGCTGCCTGGCCACTTCCCTGCGCCGTACTCGCGGCCCTTGCGGTAGACGAGCCTGTGCAGTGGCGCCTTTGCGCCCGCCTTGCCATTGCCGCGTCTCGAATGGACGACGGCAAAGGCCGCGAGACCGAGGAGCATGAGCAGAAAGACCCAAGAGGCAATGGGCACGAGGACGACGTCGTTGAAGCACGTCGTCGGAACGCCGTTCATCGACGTCGAGGTGAAAGACTGCGGGCGGGCGAGAGCATCATGAGTCCCAATGTGCTTATTGCAGTGAAAATAGGGAGCGCTAGGCCAGACATCTCACCATGGCGTTCTGCAAGCGCTTGCCACAGAGCATCCGGTATGGATACTGGTCCGTGATCATCTTTCCAGGATAGTCCATCATCATCTCTGTCTCTGTGCTACGGGGTAGGCGTAAGTAGGAGGAGGAGGTGGCGGTGGTGGTGGTAATGATGATGATGAGCCGAGAAGGTCAAGAGCTGAAAAAAGTCCTTGTTATGCAATCGTCTCCCACATTGCTTCTGGGTCCCAATTTTTCGAGCCTTTCTGAATTGTCAGGAGATTCTGACGGCGTTAGCGTCGTCGATCTCGATTTGAAAATCAGGCCATACGCCGTACTGACCGACCGTCGGCAGGCAGGCGCGCGTCATGAGATTAGACTCAAGTAAGCGCCAGGCCGCGACATAAAAAGAAGAGCACAATAGTGACCGAATATCGTTCAAACGAAGTTATTTTCAAGGAAAGATCAGAGCAACAATGTCCGGGAATAAAGAAGAGAGAAGATGGGGAGGAATGATGAAGAGTCTAGTGATGGTGACTATGATTGTTGTGAAGATGCTGCTGGTGCTGAGGACCGGTCGAGATGGGGACGGCTGCGTGAAGGTGGTTGTCTTCGTGATGATGGGAATGACTGTGAGGCGAGTGCTGGTGTTCAGAGTGACTAGGTTGCGAGTGATCGTGGTGGTGGGAATGACCGTTGTGCCCGTGCGCCGAATGGTCATGGTGGGAGTGGCTGTGATGAGCGTGGGAGGAATGCGAGTGACCCGCGTGGTCATGGTGATGGTCATGTCCATGCGAGTGACCGTGGTCATGGTGATGATCCTGGTGGTGGTGATCGTCATGTTCATGCGAGTGACCATGGCCGTGATGTTCGTGATCGTGGTGATGGTGATGATGGCCCCCGTACTTGTCCTTGGCCGAGGCCAGGAACCGGTCCCGAGCGCCCTCTCGCTGCACCTCGACGATGAGCTCGCCCGCGCGAATGGAGCCTCGAAGGGTATCGCCGGGCTTGAGCCCAGCTCCTGCACCGACAGACGGCGCGGCCAGTTGCCAGGCCCACCTCGTCACGTCGAGGACGTCGTCGTCGGTGGCCTCGTCCTTGATAAAGATCTTCAGAGTGGCAACCAGGGCTGCGTGCTTGGCTGTCCGACTGGCGCCTGCGCCTCCCACCAGTCCGCTGCTGGCGGGCAGAATGGACGTCAGCTTTGACGGCGAGGCGTGAGCTATGTTTCCGTTCGCAGACGACCCAAGACCAACGGCGGCTCCTGCAGATAGAGCCGAGGTGGGCGGCGTGAGCTGCCAGAGATTGGGAGGGGCCACGTAAGTGACGAGCCGGTGGTCCTCGATGGTCTTGATGGTGCGATTGAGGTGGACATTGAGGGGTGCCACCACGCTCGGTGCTGTCTGGAGGAGCACTTTGCCGAGCGCCTTGCTTGCAGGCCAGGCAACATAGGCCATCGCCGCGCTCTCCATGCCTGCCAGGACCTTGTCGAGGGCGGCCACTTGGAAGGGAGGCATGATTATGCTCGCGAGGGCCAGCACAGTGGAGAAGAAGAGCACCGTCAGGCTGAATGGATTCGAGATGAGGTGCAGAAAGGGTCCTGCAAGCGCCTTTGGATCGACGAGGACCGAGCCTGCGCGTCCGTGGCCTCTCCGACGGCTTCGCGCCGAGAGCGGTGACGAAGACGCAGCCTCGGAAGCAGCCGTGGAGATGCCGCAGGCGGCGACGAGCTTGGCATGGTTGTGCAAGACGAGGTTGCTGAAGAGGGAGACGGCCGTGGCGAGAACGAGCATGACTGTCGGCAGGACGAGGCCCACGTCGTCCTCCTCGTGATGCTCTTCGGAGCCTTCGAGGAGCGCATGCTCGATCGACTCTTTGCAGACGTAGACCGACGCAAAGAGAAGGTAGATGGACTGGACAAAGTAAAGCAGCGTCTCGACCCGGTGCGAGCTGGCAAGGGTGAGATGGGAGTGTTAGCCAACCGAAATGGCATGTGCTAGCCCCTGAACCAACGGCAAGCACTCACCCATACGGTCGTCGCAGCTCATCAACCCGTGAAGAAGAATGATCTCTTTTCGCTCCACGCTTCAACGCCTTGCGTTCTCTTTGCCTCTTCCAAGACTCGCCGAACCATTCGGCGCCACAGCTGCTGAGGATGCCAAGGGCATCAAAGACGACGAGGTAGCCCAGGCCCGTCATGGAGAGGCTGTCCCCAGACTGCCCGCTGACCCAGAGCGCGGCTCCAAGAGCAAAGTGCGAAAGCCCAAAGACGAACAGCGGTCGGTGAGAAGCAGGAAGGGACGCCCACAATGGCTCCGACAGGGCGGCGTGGAGCGAAGACGACGAGGGAAAGGCGGCCGCTACCTTGTCATTTGCATGCTCGTGGGTGTGGCTGTGTGTATGCGCGTCGTGGTGGTGATGAGGATGGTGATGGTGCTGATGAGCCGGCTCATCAGACGCATCATAGAACGAGAAAGCTGTCCACGGGGACGCGGCCGTCGAAGGCGTGGACAGGTCGTTCAGTGGAATATCACTGGCGCCTCGGCCCACCTGGAGATGGGCACCATCAAACAAGGCGTGATTGACGCTGTGTTTGCGATGATGGCCCCGCCGTGACTTTGTCGGGCTCACGGGCACTCCTACGTCGTCGAGAGGCACGGTCAGGCCATTGGCTGTCAAGGCTGACCCTTCGCTAGTACTGCTGCCGCTGCTGCTGGTGTCCTGCGCCACGAGACCCGTCGTCTGGATCCGGTGCGGCTGTCGATCAAAGTTGTCGTTTGCGCGAATCTCATCGGCCTCGCGCTCTGCCTCGCTGCCGGGCCTCGGGAAGAATACGCTCAAGTTGCGGCTGTGGACCCTCGAGTGCTTGCGCGAGTGATCTCTCCGCTCCGCTGCCGACATTGCCTTCTTGGGGCTGGCGTTGTCGCTCAGCTCGCCCAGGCCGTCCATGGCCTCGTCGTCATCATCGTGCATCGCTGCGACCTTCTTGTCATCGTTGTCGTACCCAGCAGCGCCGTTTTCGTCCAGTTGTTCGTCGCTTCCATCAAAGGAAACACTGAGCGTGGGGAGCATGTCGTGGCCCGATGCGTCTCCATTGGCCAGGTTGATATCCTTGCTGCTTTTCTTTCTCCGATGCATCATGGGCGTCGATCGCCCGCTCGGTGTGGCCGACATCGACGTCGATGAGGAGAGGGCTCCGTTGGAGAGGCTGTCTGCGCTCAGCGAAGTCGTCACGCTCGGCCTTGTTGGCAGAGGTTGTACGCTTTGGGGTGGCGAGGTGGGGCTGGTCTGCTGCTGTTGGAAGGTGCTCGGATAGTTTGGGCTTGCCAGTCGGACGCTCGGTGTCCTCGCCAGCTCGCCGGAATTGGACCTGATCGAGTTGCCGCTGATTGTCCGCTGTCGCTGGTAGTGGGCGTGCGGCTCGTTGACGGCCAAGGTGGACGGGTAGCTGGGGCTTGCCAACAGCACCGAGGGCTTCCTTGAATGCGCACTGCTAAAAGAGCCTGCTGATGGTCTCCGCTCGCGATCCCTAATGGGCGAGAGCGAGTTGGCCGACGACGAGGCCGAGGGCGGCGACGAGGAGAGGGGAAAGGCCGTTGGGCCGTCTGCCGATGCCGCCTCAGACGTTTGCGTCTCGTACTCCCGGGTAAGGGAACGGACGGATCGATGCTTCTTCGCCGGTGCTGCTGCTGCTGCTGCTGCTCCCGTCGTCGTCGTTGTCGTAGCCGCCGCCGACTTGCCTGCCTCTGGATCAGGGACTGACACGGGAATGGTGCTGACGAGGGAGGAGCTGCTGCTGCTCGCCGTGCTCCTCGTCGCAGCCGACTGGGTATCGGTGGATGTCGACGACTTGTCCGATATCAACGAGGCGTCGGAAGAAGACGTTTGCATGTCGCGGCCGCCTCACTAACAGTAGTAGTCGTCGCCCGCTTCTCTTCTCCCCCTCTCCCGTCTCGTTTGCTCGTCCGAATTACTTTTCGCGCTTCCTCTCTCTGTCCGGAGCGTATCGACTTTTACTTAACCACAAGGGTACACTACTGCTGCGACTTCTGCCTCGCCCAGGTGGCTCCAGCGGCGAGATGAGTTTAGGACAGAGATCAGAGTTGGTGCTGGAGAAAAGGGCAAATGAAAGGCGCGCTTTGAATTGATTCGTGCAGAGATAAAAAGCCGCTAGTGTTCCCAATATTCTCAGTGGTCGGGGGGAGCAGCATGGGAGATGATCCATGCGTTCCCCAGTACGTTTTCAGTCGCAGAACAGGAACAGTAGGGCGAGCAAGACAGGAAGACGAGTCTGATTTCTATTCTACCTACGCCGACCAGCCGAGGGACGCCAGAAGCTGGGACAGACCCTTGCCGAGCCACTCAAAGTCGCTCTCTTCGAGCCAGACCTGCGCGCTGACCCTGATCCAGATGGCCTCGTCGTGAACATAAAATGGCACAAACGTCCGCAGGCGGCTGCTCAGCTCCGACTGGAGATGCGCAGAGATGTGCGCCTTGGTGGGGAAAGCGCCTGTGTCGACCTTGGCGTAGTCGACGGGGACACGCACGTTGACCATGGATGCCGTCAGACTCCTGTCCGCTTGGCCATCGTCCAGGTTCATGATTTTTGACCCGCTGCCAAGCTCCTTGCAGAGGATCATCCCACCTTTGTGAGCGAGGTCCGAAGTGTATGCTCGGATCTTCTCCTCGCCGCCCAGCCACCTTCGGTAGTCCAAGGCGGCGCTTAAGGAGCAGAAGTTGGACAGGTCGACGGTGCCCGAAAACTCCCACACGGCAATAAAGTTGGAGGGAGCGTCTGTAGCGATGAGGTCCACTCCCTTTTCTTGCGGTGCTGCGAGTGGGTTGATGTAGTAGTGAGAGGTTGGCATGCCAGGGACGAGATGTTGGTTGCTGGATATCGGGCTCAGTTGCTGCCTTCATCAAGAGGGATCGTCCGGCGAGACTTTAGATCACTCACCGTTTTGGGGCGTACAGGAAAGCGCAGCCCCTGTGGGCATTCAGCCATTTCTACGGTTATGTTGGTCAGATATGCCCTCCAGCAAGAAGAGACAGGGAGCGAAGACCTTACGTGACAATTGCTGATAAAGAAGTCGGGATCGGCTTGCTTCAGATCGAGAGCAATCTGTCCCACGGCGTGTGCTCCATCGACGAGCGAAAGGACGTCATGCTTGCGGAGCAGCTTGACCGCCTCGCGCCATGGAACAACGACGCCTGGCAGAGATGAGATCGCATCGACGATGGCGATCTTAATCTTGATGCCTTGCTTGCGAGCCTCTACAAGTGCAGCCTCGGTCTTGGCCAGGAACTCTTCGTGGCTTACGGGGTATTGCATTGGGACACGGACGACGCCCAAGTTCAGCGCCGGGTTCGAGTCCACGATGAATTGCGCCGTCTTTCCGCACGCGCCGTAAACGGTGTCGTAGACCATGATGGCTTCCTTTAGTCCATCTTGAGCTGGAGGTTTCGTTGACCAGTATGGCTGCATTCCCCGCAGGACGGCATTGACACCTGTCGTGGCATTGTTGACCAAAACGATGTCGTCGACTTCGGCATTGACCAGGGCGGCCACTTCTTTTCGGCTGCGGTTGAGATACGCTCGGAAGGCCCCACGATGCCAGTCGTCGGGCCTCCTTTCGGCGTGCCTAAGGTAGGCATTGTGGGCTGCGATTACATACTGAGGACAGGCGCCGAAGGAGCCGTTGTTCTGTCGTAATGATAAGGACACATCCTCAGGGACTAAATCACAGAACGGGAACAGCGCGCACGCCCACCACCCACCAACGCGACGAATTCTTCGTCAAAGCCGTACAGAGCTCTGCATGCGTGCCCAAAGGGGGGCGCAGGGGCTGCATGGAGATTCGCTTTGAGCTCCTCGAGCTCCTTGTTGAGGCGTGCCATCTACTCTAGCTTTCACTTGTGGGAGTTTGGTTGCAAGAGATGCTCCTCTTGGTTTCGGGACGAAAGGGAGCGGAAGGCCCTACGTATGACTCGAAGGTCAAAACACACGTGTAGACTAAGGCTTCAGTTGCCAACGTCGGCGTGATCCCCCTTCTTATCGCAGTCCGTTTGCACCAGCTTTGTCCGCTGAATAAACCCTCAGCACAAGCCCCCAGACCAGCTTGAGATTCGGCGAAAGGAGCAGAAGAGTCCTGAGAAGAACGACGCAACTGCTCGTGGCGCTAAATTATACATTCGCGTCCGCACAGCGTGGAGGAGTGGGTTGGTATTACAGTCGTGCGTTGACGAGGCTCGACACCATTGTCGACGTCATGACTCGCACTGGTGTGGCTAGTGATACATTCTGGTGCAGGCTTCTGAAAAGGTATAGAGGCTCTCAGATGATGCCGATGCGCTCCCGTCTCGACATTTGCTGCCGCTCGCGTGCCTGTTGGTCGGCAGGATGCTCTGCTTCTCCTTGGCCCTGATCGTATGCTGGTCCTTCTCTTCCTGATGCTGTGCCTGATCCCAACCCGGCGCCAGACTGCTGCCTAGAATCATCGAGCTGGTGATGCTCGTGGGTTGTGTCCTCGCCCCTGGTCGTGGACTCCTCGTCGCCGCCCTGGGCGATTCTCTCGGCTTTGAGCTCCTCGACCTCTGACTGCTGCAGTGTGATGGCAGTGGGCGGCCGCCTGATCATCCTGTCGTCACAGCTCCCGCTCAGCTGTGCCCGACTTGTCGATTGAGTTAGGGTAGGCCAAGGTGAGCTGCTGGCTCACTGCATGGATCCTTCCGCCTGGGGGAGAGCCAACCTCGAGCGAGGACGTGAAACGCTCCACGTGATTTTTCAACAAATCGCTCTCTGCTCATCTCCCAAGGGGGGCCGGATGATTTTTTTTTATTTCCAAGGAGCTCGACCTTTTCGGAGGAAGAGCGAGCGAAGCAGGTGATCCAACGTGCGAGCGAGCGAGCCACAGACGGGAGGCGTCGCACCCGCTCCTTTGGCCACCAACACCCAGAGTGCCAGTATTCGAGAGCCGTCGTCGCGCCGCTAAGAGTCCGTCGTGCGTCGGTCGCCTGGGCGGAGCCAAGGCTAAGGCCGCCTTTGTTGGCGCGCCAAGCTTCCCCCTCCGCCGTCCTTCGTCTGAGGCAGGCAGGAGGACCGGGGCTAGCAGGACGACGCATACGACTAGGGGAGGACATCTGAGGGAGTCGAAGTGTCACAAGGCTGCTTTGTTGCGATGCCCGCCACGCATCCACCAGAGCATGATGGCCCTTCGTCGTTGAGACCCGTAGGCGCGATCCCGGCGAGCAACGACGGCGCCAATGGTGTACCTTTGACGTCGCATGCATACCAAAATGGCCAAGGCCCAGCCACTCCAAACAAGATGGCAGTATCGTCCAAGATGCCGCCGTCTGCTGAGGCGCAACCCAACAAGGGCAAGGCGCCAGCGTCCAGTGATGCGTCTCCAAACAGCAGCTCTCGCTCCTCAACACTCGACCCTTCCCTCGCACCCTTTGCGCAGTCGTCAAAGGCTGCGTTTGCCAAAGCTCTGAGCGAGGATCAGAGGGCAGCCCTGCAGCCCGACTATCAGACAGCTTTCACGAGCGTAAATGACGTGGTTAAGAGGCTCCTGCCCTACCATGTTTTCCAGATCAGCGAGGCCGATCTCCGCTACGCGATGAGAGATACCGCGGAAGAGGAGGAAGTACCAGTGAAGGATGAGGTCGATGTTGCGGTAACAGACAGAGGAGAAGGGTCTTCGAAGGGAACGACAGCGCTGGAACGGAATCGCAAGCGGACCAGGAGCGAGGTCATGGAAGACGATGAACAGGCGCTTCTGCGATATCCCTCTCCGAGCACGACCAAACGGCTATGGGAACGTTATGTGGGCATCAAGGAGAGAGCCTCGAAGCTGCAACAGAGGCTAGTGGGGGACGTGGCAAAGGACGACGTTGGTCCTGCCCCCTTTGCAGAGGAGATGGTCGTTCACATTCTCCGTCTGGCCCTTCAACACGACCGGGAAGAGGGGGCAGCAGCCTCGGAAAGGCTTCGTTTGGCAAAGGAAGAAGCCATTGCTGCAGGCTTCCAGTGGGAAGACTTGGTCCGTGTTGGCGCGATCGAAAGGGGTACTCACCCCTTCCTACCGGGGTCGTCGTCTAGCTCCAGCACACCGACCTCGACGCCCCAGGGGAGCGGCACAAGTTATCAATCGCCGTATGCGCGACCCGGCTACCCGTCGAATCCCTTAACGCCACAGGGTGTCCCCTTTGCATCACCATACACGCCCACCCCGCCTCCCATGAAGATCAGCAAACCGCGTGGGCGACCTCGAAAGGATCGAAGCGGACAGAGCATGGTGATGCCTTCGCCAAGGAACGTCGTGCCTCCATTTTCTTCCTCTCCAGGATACGCCTCGAGCAATCGACCGATGAGCTTCTTGCAAAACCGGCCTCCTGCGCAAAGGCCTTCTTTCACGCCGACGACTACAAGACCCGCCACTACAAGTACAACAAGTTCGACGCCTGGTAATAACTCCTCAGCAAATTTATCCACTACTCCAGCCTCGCCTCGTCCAACGACTACCCCGGTCCCCCTGGTCCTACCCCTATCCACACTGAGCCGGCTATCAGAGCTGGGCATTGCTCCTGTACCGGCACCACACCTCTTGCCTGCCATCACGGCGCAGCAGGCCTATGCGGCGGCTGTGGCGAGTGGAAAGAGACCACCAGCACCACCGGTGGGAGGCAACAGCACTGCTCCACGGGCGGCCCCCGTCAATCAAAGTGAGCCTGCGTTGCTGATGGGCATAACGGAGGCGCCGCTATCTGCCGCACAAAAGGCCTCGCTACCGGCAGGCAGCACTTCGACGGTGCAGCAGATGCTACACGTGTCTGTCGTGCTCAACAAGCTCAACCCTCGTCAGCTGTCCGGACTGGCAGCCTTGATGCAGTCGCTCCAGCAGCAGAGCCCAAATCCGTCCAGCGCTGCGGGAAGTCCCCCGACCAGCTCCCCCACGCGGCCCGCAGCAGCAGCTAGCCCTGCCTCAACGACGGCCGCGGCAGCCGCAGCTGCCAATGCAGTGGCAGCAGCGTCCTCTTCCTCGCTACCCTCGAGGCCACCAAGCAGTACCAATCCCAACATCAAGCCTTAGAATGTATTTGTCCTATTTTGCACTTTTACTGTGACCACTTTGTCGCCGTGTTGATTATGGAAGAGGAGGAGGTGTGCTGGTACGGAAGCGAGAGAGGGTGTCTTGAGTGCCTGCGAGCTCAGGTCGCGATAACAACTATGGCGACTAGGACATGACACTCGTCACACGATGGCAAGGCCTACGCAGTATGATACATTTTCATACCAACAGGCTGCCAATGGAGTCCTTGGAAGTGTCTAGATGGCATCAATACAACAGAGCCCTTCGGCCTTTGGCGGTACGCGTGGTGCGCGCGTGTACGACTGAGCAGCAGTACTTATCGCCTTTATCGCCGATATCCTCCCTTCCTCCACTCTAAAGAAGAAGAGAGAAAAAAAAAAACTTTAACTCTTCTGCACGGTGTAAGATCAGACGATTCGAGAGACCCCTTTGCTCGAGCCACTTGAATGCAAACAGATGCCTTCCTTATCCTGTCGTTTCTCTCCATTACCATCTTAACACGAGTGAGAGGAACCAGCCTGCACTATCAAGAAAGAAGCAGGAGAGGTATTTAGAGGATGAATGCCTTTGTCGGGGGAGGAAGCGGAGAAGAGGAGCCGGCACCGCTGGTCATTGTCGAGGGCTTCCTCTGCGCAGCCTCTTCGCTTATATGGGGCACCTTCGATGAGCCCTTGAGCCAGGGTTCGCAGTACCGCCAGCGCTCCTCTGCCTCCTATTCCCAAACTAAACATTCAGAGGAAGCAACCGCGACAAATGGACGACAACAACCTCGTCGGGTTGTCTTTGCGCCTATTGGACCCGTCTCGTCAATACATGATCGCGCATGCGAGCTCTTCTACGGCCTCCAAGGTGGGCGGGTAGACTATGGGGAAGCTCATTCACGGGCGCACGGGCACGGACGATATGGCAAGACATTTGGCAAACCCCTCTTGCCGGGCTGGGGCAACGACTTCGCCTTGAGAAGCGGAGACGATAGCTCGAGCTCGAGCGCGGGACAAGCGAGACGAGGGGCGCACTTCATGGGCCATTCCCTTGGTGGACTGACGATCGTCAAGCTGTACGAGCTGCTTAGCGCGGGCTTCTTTGACGAAGCCTTGGGAATCACTTCAGATTCGAGGAAGAGTGAGGACGCCACGTCGCCGTCGCCTGCTTCCTTCCTCATGCTCTCGCTCACCACCGTCTCGTCGCCACACCGCGGCACGCCCCTTGTCTACTCGCTCGGCTCGATCCCGGGCAAGGACCCTCAGGTGCGCTTCCTGAGCCCGGGCGACTGCCTTGCGAAGCTCGTTCACGTCATCAGCTGGGCTCGGCGGCTGCCGATGCTTGGCCTGGATGCCTGGCTCCCTGACTTCTTCGCAGAGGCGTGGGCCTTTGCCTCTTCAAAGGACGAGAACGAGAAAGAGAACGAGAAAGAGAACGAGAGATCGAAGAGGTGGCAATTGCAGGAGTGGATGGGCATCGGCAAGCTGCTTGCGCAGCTCTGGAAGAGCGACTGGGCCGAGGGCAGGGACTGTGCGCCGTGGGACTGCACCTTTGAAGAACGCAGCCGGCGCGAAGAAGAGGCCGGCGAGGGCGCAATTTGGGGCTTGCAGGGACGTCAGCTCGGACAATTGCATGGACAAAAGGTTTGGCTCAGGAGTTATGCGGCCAGCGTGACTGCACCGAAGTCGTCCGAGATGGATCGACAAGAGCAGACGCCCTTGGCTGGGCTCCTATCGCCCCTTGCCTTCACGGCACGACTGCTGCGCCACTTCGACTATGGCAACGCCCCGCCGCCTCCCTTGCGGAAAAAGAACTATCGGAGCCTACGAGGTGGTTCCGACTCTGGTTACTGCTCGTCTGCCGAGGACGACGCAGAGGACAAGAATGGCACAATGCATGCATCGGACGAGGAAAAGGTGAGGCGTGACTGGCAGGCCAACGACGGCGTCGTTCCCTTTGCCTCGCAGTTCCATCCATCCGACTGCATGCGCGGCCACTGCCAGCACGAGGCGTGGGTGCCTCATGCTGGGATGCCCGACGAAGGCACAGACACGCGCACATTGGCGCGATACGCGGTGGACTCCGCCGCGGCGTCTTCGCTCAGCCTGCTTGGTTTCAACAGCAAAAGTGGTATTGGAAGCCCGCAGTTGCGACCCAAGCCACCCGGATCGGATCTCGCCGATGGCCCGGCGCCCTTGCCAAAGCCCAATCTGTGGCACGTCTGCGAGCTGGAGGGCACAACGCACGCCTCGCTCGTCCCCTTCTGGACCGGTTCAGAGAAGCAAAGGGCCTTTTGGTTTGATCTCGGAGCGTGGCTGCACGACGTCGAGATGGCCCAATCGGACCGAGTTATACCCCTTTGAAGCATTGTTGCAATCGTGGTGTAGTACTGTAGATACCCTAGAAGCATTTCATACCGTGATCACCATCTCGCGCAAGCTTCTTCTGCTCCGCCTCAATCCGTGAGACGATCACTTCTGCCAAGGCCTTAAGATCATGGGGGACCATCTCGCATCTTCGACGCTGGCACTCCGACTGATTATCCATGCTTCTTTTCTGCTTCTATGCGGTGCGCTACGTGAAAATGAGGAGGAGATGGAAAACTCGCGCTCTTTCTTTCTACTCTCTTTCCTCTTGGGACGGAGATGGCTTTTCTCCCCCGCAATCAAAGATACTCTTGAAGTTTACAGGCGGAGACACGGGAAGAAGGAGGTCGCAGTCTGAAACAGAGCTAATCATAGGAGGGAAGAGTCGCTCGATCGATGTTCCGGATAATCGAGGGTCACGCACGCACATACACGTACACTCTCTCTGCTTTCTGCAGGGCAGTTCACACGATGGCCCCCCTCCATTCGGTCCGAGAGTCCAAATTTTTTTGTGGCTTTTCGTGGGGCGGGGCAGGCAGGCTGGGCCTTTTGAATTTCCTTTTGCCCCCTTTTCTCTCCTCACTGTGTCAAATTCAAATTTCCTAATATATGTTCTGGTCTAGATCGCTGTTCCTGAGGCTCGTTGCAAACAGCTTGACAGCAATTATAATCCAATGGAAGGGGACAATACCATATGAACAAGGACGGCGTTTGCAATTACGTTTTTGCACGGGAGGTGCAGGGGAGCAAAAAATAGCCATTGGTCGAGCCCGAAGGCACCTCGATCAATTAATTCGACGTTGTCATCAACACGTACCGGTCCACATTACGTTCTTCCCCCATTGCTCCAAGCCACTGCGCGAGATGTGTCGTGCGTGGGAGCAGAGGGTCGACGTCACCGAGGGCAAACCGACGTTTGGTCTGGCTCGTTCGCCGGCAAGTGACCGAAAGGCCGGGTTTTATCTATCTCCCCTCACGCAGATCCAGGCTCTCAGTCTCGCTCGTTAATTTTTATTTCCCTCAAGCCACCTTCCATCTCTCAGTCTCTCTCGCCCCACTGAATGGTTTCGAGCCCTGAGCCTTGCCCCCTCCCCCCACCAGCCCGTCCTGGGCACTTGTCCACTTGGCTGCCCCGGGGAACGGTTGACAGAAAAGAATCAATCCCGTTTAAAGTCCACTCCAAACTCCTCCCTGCCTTGTTCTCCTTTCCGACTTCCCCCTACTCTGGCAGATTGAACGCCATCGACGCCCTCTTTGCATCTTCTCGACAACCTCCTCGTCAGCCCCCTCTTGTTCGTCGCCACAGCGGCAACCATCAAGTCGCCCCACATACAAGGCGAACGCAGCCCCTGCGACGACGGTTCAGCCGGTGAGCCTCGCCAGGGACGAGCAAACAAAGGGCTGTGGCTGGGCGTCTCAGTCGCGACACCTACACAAATCCATTACCCACGCCCAAAAAGGGCCACCTCGTCAGCCCCGTCCGTCGCCCTTGTGCTTGCAGCAGCTCGAGGCCGGACGAGCGCCATTTGCAGGTCAGGTCGACGCAGGTACGAAGGCTGAAGCGTGGGCAAGGGGCGAGCGAGTCACGCTTCACTCTCTGCCACCTTCGCGCGTCGAGTCGAGTGGAGCGAGCGAGCGAGGGCGCACACGTACGCCCCGACGGCAGAGGAACTTTTCGCGCTCCTCTTGAGGACGAGCAAGGCTCACACGGATCCTTGGGGAGGCCCAGGCTCGACGAATAGTCGGACCGGAAGATCTGGTGAGTCTGAGCGCAGATTTATCGGACGGACGGATCTAGACGCCCAGCGATTTCTCGCGGAGTTGGGAGGGCAGGTAGAGAAATAAAAAAGAAAAAAAATTGGGGGTGTTTTGCAAAGGGGAGGGGCTGTTGGAGCCGGGCGGGCGGCGCCTGCCAATTTGAGCACCGCCCCCCTCTTCCATGTTCGCATCGACTCGAATGACCGAAAGTGCCTGCGAGGGCATCGATCTTTCTTTCGAAGTCCTAGGCGCTGGAGGGCAGTAGACTCCAAGCGGCGGCCGAGAGATGCGATGGCGGTCTTGCGGACTGGCAGCTTGAAATGCTGTTCAGCAAGCAGGCGAGCACACAGGCAGACAGCTCGACGGGTCCGCCCGTTGACTTGTTGACGGCCGCACATTGCTTGTGTGTGTGTGTGCCTGGAAAGCCCGCCGCGGCCGGCTTTTTTTTTTTTCTTTTTCTTTACACAGTGATGAATTGGGCAGTCCGTCCCAGCGCTGGACTCAGCTTCATCAAGGGAAAAAGGGCATGGCGTCGTGCTGTACAAGTCCGCCTTCAGCATCTGGCCTCTCACTCCCTTCTCCTCACCCTCTGTGGCCGTGTGTGCACCTCCCCTCACACCCTTTCTCGCCCTCTCCAAAACGTCATCTCCCGTCGCCGTGTGTTTTTTTCTTCCTCTCCCTTTCATCAGCGTGGGCGCCGCGATGTCCGTTTGCGCGCTCTTGTCTACACTCTGAGATTGCTCAACGGACACTGACATGGTCCCCTTTCCTTGCTCTCCTCTTGCAGCAGGTACCGTGCACGCTGAGCCAGTGGGCGTAACTCGAACCCGTCGTCTCAGCTGCTGCGACTAGAAGGACCCCCAGCTCCTCCTCGCCTATATATTGGGCCCTTTTCTCCGGCCCTCGCCCCTTTTTTCCAATGTCCATTCGCTCCCTCGACTCCACCTCCTACTGGGATCCAAGGCAGTCATCGCAGCAACAGCAGCATCAGCATCAGCATCAGCATCAGCCGCCGCCGCCGTTGCCGACTTCTACCACTGCTACTCAGCAGCAGCAGCAGCAGCAGCAAGCCCACTATAGCAGCAGCAGCAATTCAGAGTATCCCAACTTGGCCTCCTCCTCGTCCCTGTCCTCGTCGTATCCACACTACAACAGCAACAGCAACAACGCAAACGCCGCCTCCTCCACTGCTCCGTCTATCTCCTCGTCGTCGTCGGCTGCAACGCCACTGTTCCAGCATCAGCACCAGCTTCCTCGCTCGGGCCACGCCAACGCAGAGACGCTCTATTCTTCCTCGTCCTCTCTTTTTCCGAGCAGACAGGCTTCGAACTCGTCGCTGAACACAGCTGCCCCCTCTTCTGCGACGACGACAACAACGACAGCAACAACGACGCTGCCAGCTTTCGGGCTTCTCGATAGCAGCATGAACAGCCACGGAGGCGCCACGGCAGCAGCAGCGCCGCCACAGCCGTACGGCAACCCGTACAGCAACATGTCGAGCTCAGCGCCACCGTACACAAGCTCCTACTCGAGCTTGTCGAACGGTCTGTACTCTTCGTCTAACACTGGCGGGAACAACTATCCTCACACGTCGTCCTTTGTTCCTCTCGGTCAAGCGCAAGCGCAAGCTCAAGCTCAAGCTCAGGCCCAAGCCCAGGCTCAGGCTCAAGCCCAGGCTCAAGCACAAGCCCAGGCCCAGGCGCATGCTCAAGCGCAGCAGCAACAGCTCCAGCAGCAGCAGCTCTACTCATCCTCGGTCGGCGCCGCTCCTGCTGCCTATGGATCTGCATTCGGCGCCGGCGGCTCCCACCATAGTGTCAGCGACATGTACGGGCTGCCTCCTCGCCAGCAGGGCCACCAATTGCACCATCATCAGCAGCAACAGCAGCAGCAGCAGCAGCATCAAGCACAGCACCATCACCATCACGACTCGATGGCTGGTAGCGAGATTCAAGTGCACGGTGGTCACTTTGGCGCTGGTTCGATGGTCAAGACGGAAGACTTTCTCAGCCGTGACGTGGACGGCAAGGACTTCATGAGCCCGACTTCGGCCTTTTCGATGAGTGCAGCCGGTGGCATGATGGCCCACGGGATGCGACCCAAGCGCAAGCAGGTCAAGAATGCTTGCGTCAACTGCCAAAAGGCGTGCAAGAAGTGCGACGAGGGACGACCCTGCACAAGGTGCATCAAGTACGGCCTGACGGACAGCTGCCAGGACAGCCTCCGAAAGGAGAGGAAGCGAGGTATCAAGCGGGGCCCATACAAGCGCAGAGCGACGACGGGCTCGCAGCCAAACCTGGCTGCGACGGGCGTGCAGCTGTCGCCTGGGGGACACCACGCGGCGCACTCGGACAGCAGCGGCTACGGATACTCGCACAGCGTTCAGCACCACTATCCTGGCCACCAGCATCACGCCTCCCTCAACGGCTCCCAGCAGCAGCCGCAGCAGCAGCACCATGCTCACTATCAGCACCACGGAGGCAGCAACAGCAGCACCTCGCCCTACGACCACAGCTACGGCAGCCAGAGCCCTGAGGAGCGCTCTCGCTCTCTCGAGGATGGCAGCAGCAGCCACACCATCGACGGTCATCATCAGCACGGCTACCAGCAGCAGCAGCAGCATCACTTCCACTCGCAGCAGCAGCAGCAGCAACACCAGCACATCCAGCACTCGAGCAACAACTTCATCAACAGCCCCGTCTACTCTTCTGCCTCGGCGCCCGGATCCGTGCAGCGTGGGACGGCCCAGCTTGCCGAAGTCAAGCAGGAGCCAACGCCTTCGCCGAGCATGTATGCGCGCGAAACGATGATGCAGCCTCCGTCGCGCGCTTTTGCTCCTTTTGACCGCAGTCCTTCGGCCCTGTACAGCGCAGGTAGCAATCCTGGTGCCAGCAGCAGCAGCAGTAGCAGCAGCACCGCCAATGGTCGATCGCTCTACGGTAGCGCGGTTCCCGTCTCGGCGCCGGCCAGCACCGTGGGCTTCGGCGTGCCTGGACGAAGCGCGACGAGCTTGGGGTTTGGGACCAGTAGCAACGGAGGCACCCCCTCTGCTTCCTCTCTCTCTTCGATGGCTTTTTCTCCGCAGCAGCAGCAGCAACAGCAATTCGGCATGGGTCACCATCGGCTCCACAGCGACAGCAGCCTTGCCAACTTGAGCTACTCCAACTCCTCCCACTCGGCCTCTGCTCACAGCCTCTCGCCAAGGACACCGCTCAGCCTCGGCCAGACGAGTGGCAGCGGCAGTAGCAGCAACAGCAGCCTCCTCTACCCTAGCGGTGGCGCCAGCGGCAGCAACGGTGAGCTGGGACTGATGAGCGCGCCCTTCTCTGCGGGCTCTTCAGGTTCGTCGCCCGGCGGTCTCGGCAGCAGCGCTGGGGCAAAGATGGCCAACAGCGTGCTCAGCAGCAGCTACGTCCACCATCCGGTCCCCACGACGACGGGCAGAGGCTTGACGCCCGGCTCATTCCTCGGCTCCAACGCGACTTCGGGAGGCTCTTTCAACCTGCACCTGCCTCAATCGGCCAAGCTCCGGGGCAACTCGACGAGCATTGACGCGAGGGTTGCCTCGTCATCTCCTCGACCCCAGCACGCCAGCCAGCAGCAGCAGCGCTCGTCGGCGCTCAGTAGCAACGGTCAGGACGACGGCGGCAAGGACGAGCTGGCACCGATCAAGGAGCCTAGCCGCTACCAGCTGCCGTCCCCCCGCTTCGCCACTGGCAGTGGCGCACACGCTGTCGAATACAAGGCTCGGTCCCTCAAGGCCGAGACGTCCGGCGGCGACGAGCTCGTCGGACTCGGCGCTGCCTGAGGAGCTCCTCCTATCTTTCTCTTCTACACTTCGTGTCTCTTGAATTACTACACACTTTCTACGATTGTGGCTCGCTCTTCTTTTCCTTCCCCTTCTTTTGCTTATCGACAAGGGGTCCTTCGATGACTGGTGTATATTAACACACTTCTCTGAAACGGGCATAGTTCTCTGACATGCTATCTGCTTGAGCTTGACACAAGTAATGACCCAGGGAATACCGAGTCGAGTGCGTGCACGTGACCATCGCCGATGAGGATCGCAGAGCGTCATGCTCGCATGGTCGGACAGCAAGCTTCGAACTTTTTGGACGTTTGAGCTAAATATTGGAGCGCACACGCCGAGCGCGAGAAGATTGCCGTTCTCCGTCCAGGTCCACCAACACCAACTCTTACCTTGCGTGCAACCAACCACTACTTGGTCTTTCTTTGTGAGCAGACAGTTTCGAACACTAGGAATCGCGGTCATGCTCATCTTTCTTCCCCCATCTCTCTCTCTCTCTCTCCCTTTTTCCCCTCAGATTTTCCCCACTTGCCAGAATGGTCGACAAGAAGCAGCGCATTCTCATCCCCGGTGGAGCGGGCTACATCGGCAGCCACGTCGTGCTCTGCGTCCTGCTTACCCGCAGGTACAAGGTGACGGGTGAGTCCTCTTCCGCTGTTTCTCTCTTCGGGGCTTGGTGCGGAGACGAGCTAGGGATGCCAGCTGACGCCACGTTGCATGTGGACACACAGTCGTCGACAACTACCACAACTCGTTCCCTACGTCGATTGAGCGCATCGAGAAGATCGCGTTGGATGCGCTGCCCAAGGATGCCTCGCAGGCCGACCGCGACGCATGCAAGGTCGACCTCATCAAGGGCGACATGAGGGAGAGGGACACGTTCGACCGTGCCTTTGCGCAGTACAAGGGCGACGACGCCATCTATGCTGTCATCCTCGTCGCAGCCCTCAAGGCCGTCGGCGAGTCGGGCGAGATCCCCATCGAGTGAGTCATAGTGTCTCTCTGCTTGGTCGTGCCGATCCCGGACTCGCCGCACAATTGCTGACGAGAGGAATCCGTGCACAGCTACTACGACGTCAACATCTCCGGCCTCGTCAACCTGCTGCGAAGCATGAAGGAGGCCAAGGCAGCCCGGCTCGTCTACAGCAGCTCGGCCACCGTCTACGGCACGCCCAAGACGATCCCGATCCCCGAGACGTCGCCGCTGCAGGCCGAGAGCGTCTACGGCCGGACTAAGCAGATTGGCGAGACGATCATCAAGGACACGTGCGATGCCTACCCCGACGAGTTCCGGGCCATCAGCCTGCGCTACTTCAACCCTGCCGGCGCCCACCCTTCGGGCCTCATCGGCGAGGACCCGCGCGGCAAGCCTGGCAACCTCCTGCCCCTCCTCGCCCAGATGGCCGTCGGCAAGTACCGCGAGCCCGGCCTGCAAGTGTTTGGAAACGACTACCCCACGCCCGATGGCACCTGCGTCCGGGACTACATCCACATCATGGACCTCGCCGGCGGGCACGTCAATGCCCTCGATGCGCTCAGCGACGACAGCAAGTTTGCGCAGCTACCTTCGCCGGGCAAGTACAAGGCCTACAACCTCGGCAAGGGCAAGGGCATGAGCGTGCTCCAGATGATCGAGGCAATGAAGAAGGTGACCGGGTGAGTCAATTGCCGTCATCTCTGAAGCCATAGCTTTCAGCTTTTGCTGATGTGAGAATCCATGCAGCTACGGTTACCCTTACAAGATTGTCGGACGGAGAAAAGGCGACGTGCCCGATCTGACGGCCGATCCCAGCCTGGCGGAAAAGGAGCTGGGCTTCAAGGCCGTCCACAACCTCGAAGACATGGTGAGTGGCCCTCTTCTTTACTTTGCTCAGATTGGATCGGTCCCCGGCTGAGTCTTGCCCTCTCTCTCTCTCCAGTCTCGGGACCTTTGGAACTGGCAGAGCAAGAACCCTCAGGGCTATGGCCAGCAGTAGAGAACAAGTCGCATAGATAGACAATGCGGGCTAGAAAAGAAGGGGGGCAGGGGCATGGCGGTTGAGGCGTTTACTTATTCTCGTGTTGTCAAGATGGCCATATATGATGGACCTAAGAATTAATAAAGAAAAGCAGTAGCAGAAGAGGTTGCATCAGTAGTAGCAGCTAGATGACTGAAGCCTGATGCGACGGACGTCGAAAGCCGTCTAGGGGGCATGCAGGGACTGCGTGAATGAATGAAGAAGCGCGCAGGCCAGGTCCGAGGGCGCGTGCGCTGGATAGGGTTTTTTCTTGCAGAGTCTGAATTTTGGACGTGTCGGTGCGGTGCAACCACGTCGCCAACAGTTCTCGAGGGCTCACTACTTCTCTCTTCCAAAACGAAACGCCCTTGTCCTTCTCCCTCTCTCTTCTCTTACCGGATTCCACGCACGAAGATCTCCTACCTAGGGCACTTCTAGGAGATAGAGACGGTCGGTCTGAAATCGTCGGAATACCTACACCGGATCGGATAGGAGGGGCCGTGACTGCGGAAGAAGAAGAGGAGAGAAGAGGCTCCCCCTCCCTCTCTCTCTCTTTCGCGCGCAAGAGACACGCGCCGTCCTGGAGCTACTGGAACGATCTTGGCTGAGCGGCCGGTACGACGATGAGTGACGAAGAGAAGCAGCAGCGGCCTGAGGAGGCGCAGGAGGGCCCGGGGGCAGCACAAGAGCACACCGAGCCTGCGCGGGGGGAGGAGGCCGGCGAGCCTTCCCGCGAGGTCGAGGTGGGTATGGACGGAGAGAAGCCCAGGAGCCTGCCGAGTGGGACGTCGCTCTTGACAGGCACAGAGGGTAAAGAGCAGTCCAAAGAGCAAGAAGAGGAGAAGGAAGCGGGGAGGGACGAGGAGCAGGCGCAGGAGCAGATGCCAGTCCCGGACATTGCCATCTCCAGACCCTCGGTCTCAGCAGAGAGATCCGTGCCGCCGCCGCCGCCGCCGACGGGGGATCAGTCAACAGAAGAGCCAGCGAGGGAAGAGCAGAGGGAGGAGAGCACTGAGGCGAATGGCAAAGACCATCAAGAGGAAGGAGCAGATGCTGCGCCTCCGACACCGACCCCCAAGGAGGAGGAGGAACGAGGAGGAGGAGACGCGCCGACACGGCCCGATTCGGACACATCAGCGACTCCCAGTGTGGCACCTTCGTCGGCAGTCGATGCTTCTCGCCGCTCCTCTGTGGCCAGCTCGACAACGACGGCAGTCCATTCACGCTCGTCACTCTCGTCGCTCAACAAGGGCAGCGCCGTCTTTGTCATCTCGGCCCTCGAACAGATTTCGACGAGCAGAGAGGCAAAGGGAAGCAAGGGCCCGGCAAAGGAGCTTCGAGAGGCTGCCCAGAGGGCCCTCGACATGGTTCGCGCCTCGTCCTCGACGTCTCAGAACGGTCAGCACGCGCCTGCACCGGGCTCTGAGCTGGATCCCCGGGTCGTCTTTGAGCCACTGAGGCTGGCGTGCGCGACGAGGAGCACCAACCTCGTCGTCACCTCGCTCGACTGCCTCGGCAAGCTTGTGTCCTACTCCTTCTTTGCCGAGGACGTGCCGTCGAATCCGAGCGAAGAGGCGCTGGCCGATGTCGTCACCTCGACCGTCTGTGATGCCTTCTACGAGGGCCTCGATGACCGCGCCCAGCTACAGATCATAAAGGCCCTCTTGGCCGTCGTCCTCTCCAGCTCGGTCCATGTCCACCAGTCGAGTTTGATGAAGGCTGTGCGAACCGTGTACAACATCTTTCTGCTTTCCAAGAGCGCATCGACGCAGGCCGTTGCACAGGGCGTGCTCACCCAGATGGTCCACCACGTCTTTGGGAGAGTGCCTACGAGGAGGCGAGCAGCCAACGAGGAAGAAGCCAACACATCCATGTCCTCCTCGTCCTCCTCCTCGTCGGTCTCAGGCCCTCCCGGCGGACTCCTTAGCCCGCCACACCAACCAAAGACGGGTAGCAGAAAGCTGCGCGCACCCGAGGAAGACGCCGACGAGCGAGAGACAGCATCTGCGTCTATGTCTCCTTCTAATGGCCAGGTCAAGACGGGGGACGATGAGGGAGAGGAGGACGTGCCGCTCGATGACGACGACAAGATGGCAGCGGCTCAGGGCGACGAGACGATTGCAGCCGACGGAAAAGGTGCCAACGGGGGCAGCGAAGAGGCGCCACCAGCGGAAAAGGTCACGCTGAGAACACTCGAATCGAGAGCCTCTTTTGAGGGTGCGTCGGAAAAGGACACGGGAGCAAAGCTCATGGCCCAGTCGCAGATGAGCCAGGCAGAGCTATCTGTCAAGGATGCCTTCCTCGTGTTGAGGGCGCTTTGCAAGCTCAGCATGAAACCATTGGGCACAGAAAGGTACGTTACTGTCCAAGCTACTCTTCCAGACGAGGGGAAATGTATGCTCACCTTATGCCCAGCGAACGAGATCTCAAATCGCAAGCGATGCGGTCCAAGCTTCTGATGCTGCATCTCATCCTCACCATCCTCAAATCGCACCTGGCCGTCTTCACAGACTCGTCTGTCATCATCCAAAGCGCCACAACGGGCGAGCAGACGCCCTTTGTGCAGGCCGTCAAGCAGTATCTCTGTTTGAGCCTGAGCCGCAACGCGGTTTCGTCGGTCAACCAAGTCTTTGAGATCTCTTGCGAGATCTTCTGGCTCGTCCTCAGCGGGATGCGGACAAAGCTCAAGAAAGAGATCGAGGTCCTGCTCAATGAGATTTTCCTGCCCATCCTCGAGATGCGCAACTCAACGGCAAGACAAAAGTCGATTCTCCTCGGCGTCCTAGTCCGACTGTGTCAGGACCCTCAGGCCCTCGTCGAGATCTACATCAACTATGATTGCGACCGCACGGCCCTCGACAACATCTATGAGCGGTTGATGAATGTCATCTCCAAGATCTCACAGACGCACGTCGTGCCCGGATCGGCAGCTTCCAAAGACGCCCTTGACTCGGCGTCTGCGGGCGCAGGCGCTGGTGGGGCCTCGTCCTCTTCACGCATGTCGACTTCCAGCGGGCCCAGCATCCCGCCGACGTTGAGCACGGCCAGCGCCGCCGAGGTCGGCGTACAAGAGCTGAGCCCAAATGTGCCTGGGCAGTCGGTTGAGGCCAGACTCAAGCGTCAGAGCCTCGACTGCCTGTGCTCGGTTCTGCGATCGCTTGTCCTCTGGTCTAACAAGGCAGCAGCCCCCGCGGCGGCAACAGAGGATGCTGCTGGCCCATCCTCGCCTCGCCTCAGCGAGGATGTCCGTGGCGGCGGCGACGCTTCTGTGCTGATGGAGCGATCACCATCTCTTAGTCAAGGCCCCGATGGCGTACATACGCCCGGCGAAAGGACACCAGACGTGAGCCGCGTAGCCACGCCAGACCCTTCGTCTGCCTCGTCGACAATGGGAGATGACCCGAGTCGGTTCGAGAGCGCAAAGCAACGCAAAACGACGCTCCTCGAAGGCATCAAGACGTTCAACTTCAAGCCAAAGCGCGGTATCGACGATCTCATTCGACATGGCTTTATCCCATCACGCGAGCCCAACGACGTCGCTCGTTTCTTGCTCTATGCTGACGGACTCAACAAGGCCCAGATCGGCGAGTACCTCGGCGAGGGAGACGCAAGCAACATCGCCATCATGCATGCCTTTGTCGACATGATGAACTTTGAGAAGATGCCCTTCACCGATGCCCTGCGGCGCTTCTTGCAGGCCTTTAGGCTTCCTGGCGAGGCGCAGAAGATCGACCGCTTCATGCTCAAGTTTGCTGAGCGATACTTGGCGGGTAACCAGAATTCGTTTGCCAATGCAGACACGGCCTACGTGCTTGCCTACTCGGTCATCATGCTCAACACGGACGCACACAGTCCTCAGGTCAAGCATCGCATGACGCTTCAGGACTTCATCAAGAACAATGCGGGCATCGACGATGGCAAGAGTCTCCCAGACGACTACATCAAGGCTGTCTATGACGAGATCCAGAATCACGAGATCAAGATGAAGGACGAGGCTCTGACGGCGGCCGTCAATGCCACGGCTGCGGGCCAAGGCGCTGGACTGGGTCTTGCAAACGCCATTGCCGCTGTGGGCAGGGACCTGCAGCGCGAGGCGTACGTGTTGCAGTCCGAGGGGATGGCGAACCGAACAGAGGCACTCTTCCGGACCATGGTCCGAGCTCAGCGAAGAGTGCACCCGCAACAACGGGCAGCCGCCGAGCAATTCTTTTCAGCATCTCACTTTGAGCACGTGAGACCTATGTTCGAGGTCGCCTGGATGGCCTTCCTGGCTGGTATCAGTGGTCCCATGCAGGAAAGCGATGATGCCGACACCGTGGCGGCCTGCCTCGACGGCTTTAAGGACGCCATCCGGATCGTGTGCCTCTTTGGGCTGGAGCTCGAGAGAAACGCATTTGTGACGACGCTGGCCAAGTTCACCTTCCTCAACAACCTGGGCGAGATGAAGAGCAAGAACGTCGAAGCTATCAAGACGCTCCTGGGCGTTGCGCAGACCGAAGGAAACTACCTCAAGGGCAGCTGGCGAGAGCTGCTCACCTGCGTCTCCCAGCTCGAGAGATTCCAGCTCATCAGCGGTGGCGTGGATCAGAGACAGCTGCCAGAGCTCGGGAGAAGAAAGACGGGGTCGTCCAAGGACTCTGCCACGGCACGCGCGGCTCTGCCCACCGACGATGTCGTCCAGGCCGGTGCTTCGTCCGAGGTCACCGTTGCGGCCGACATGGTCTTCTCCTCGACCCCGCACCTTTCTGGTACAGCCATTGTGGAATTCGTCCAGTCGCTCTCGGACGTTTCGTGGGAGGAGATCCAATCGAGTGGCATGAGCGAGACACACCCGCGGTTGTTCTCACTCCAGAAACTTGTCGAGATCTCGTACTACAACATGGGTCGTATCAGGATGGAGTGGTCCAATATCTGGTCCATCCTCGGCGAGCACTTCAACCAGGTCTGCGTCCATCCCAACCCGCGCGTGTCTGCGTTCGGTCTCGACTCGCTCCGTCAGCTCTCGGTCCGGTTCCTGGAGAAGGAGGAGCTCTCGCACTTCAAATTCCAAAAGGACTTCCTCAAGCCGTTTGAGTACACGATGCGAAACAACCCGAGCTCAGAGGCAAAGGAGATGGTGCTGCAATGCTTGCAGCAGATGATTGCCAGTAGGATTCACAACATGCGGTCAGGCTGGAGAACGCTGTTCGGGACCTTTGGTGCTGCGAGCCGATCTTCGGAGCGGGTGGCCAGCTACGCATTTGAGATTGTCAAGCAGCTCAACCAGGACCATTTCGGCGACGTCATCCAGCACGGTGCATTTGCAGACTTGACCGTCTGCCTGACCGACTTTGCAAAAGCGACGCATGCCCAGCGACTAGCTCTGCAGAGTGTCTCAATGCTCCGTGGTGTCGTTCCAGCAATGCTCGCTGCCTCAGAATGCCCACTGGACGAAGACGCCGATCCTGGCCCGGCCGCGTCGACACCGATGACAGACGATCCCATGGTTCGCTTCTGGTTCCCCGTCCTGTTCGCCTTCTACGACGTGATCATGAACGGCGACGACCTCGAGGTGCGCAGGGTGGCCCTCGATGCCCTCTTCGAGATCCTCAAGCGGCATGGCCAGAGCTTCCGGCCCGACTTTTGGGACACGGTCTGCCAAGAGGTCCTCTTCCCCATCTTTGCCGTCTTGCGATCGCGGTCCGATGTCACGCGATTCAGCACCCAGGAGGACATGAGCGTATGGCTCTCGACCACGATGATCCAGGCCCTGCGCAACCTCATCGACTTGTGGACCTTTTACTTTGAGACGCTTGACCGGCTCCTCCCAGGTCTGCTGGACCTGCTGTGCGCATGCATCTGCCAGGAGAACGACACTCTGGCGAGGATCGGGACAAGTTGCTTGCAGCAGTTGTTGGAGAAGAATGTGTCGAAGCTCAACGACAAACGGTGGGCACAGGTCGTCGATACTTTTGTTCAGCTGTTCCAGACGACAACGGCGCACCAGCTCTTTGATCCTGCGCTCCGGGCCGAGCAGGTTGCCACCAGCCCATCGACTTCGAGGTCCGGCTCGATCAGCAGTGGCTCAGCGCTCAAGGGTGGCTTGGCAACGCAACCCCTTTCGCCCGGAATGTCACCTTCCACCGTCGAGGCTAATGCCCAGGTCTCGTCACCGCCGCTCATGACTCAGACGGAGAGAAGACGAGCATTCAAGCAAATCATCGTCAAGTGCGTCCTGCAGCTGCTCCTCATTGAAACGACGGATGAGCTGCTGCAAAAGTCAGCCTCCTTCTACGAACTCATGCCGCCTGTCCAACTGCTTCGGCTAACGCAAGTCCTCGAGGACTCGTTCCGCTTCTCGAGGAAGTTCAATGCCGATAAAGACCTTCGCACGGCCCTCTGGAAGGTTGGCTTTATGCGCCAACTGCCGAACCTCCTCAAGCAGGAGAGCTCATCGGCTTCGACGCTGATCCACGTCCTCGTCAGGATGCATTCAGACGCGAGCGAGGCGAGAGACGGACCACTTCGGGGCCAGATTCGCGAGAGGCTCGTCCCGCTTGCCCAAGACATCATCAACGCCTACCTACCCCTCGATGCCGAGACGCAGGCAAGAAACATTGCTGCCTGGACACCCGTCGTGGCCGAGGTCTTTGTCGGCCTGTGCGACTTCGACAAGGGCCAGGAGCAAAAGGTGTTCCGAGACTACCTCGGCACTTTCTACCCCCTCGCAGTCGACGTGCTCCACAAGCGGCAGGCCGAGCCTGGTCCAGTTTCTGGCGCTTCAGCTTCGTCAGCAGCTGCTACCAGTGCAGCGCAAGGCAAGGGAGGCGAGCAGCTTTTGGGCGCACTGCAAAAGTTCTTTGAGATGGTTGGATACGAGATGGGCCTGATGACTGTCGACGGCGAAGAGGCGCGAAAGAAGCGGGTGTGGGAAACGAGGCAGCGCGAAAAGGTCGACCGTGCCGACCGAGTCGCAGCCAACGAGACGGCGGGTGGTGCGACCGATGGCAGTGGGAAAGCGTCGGCAAGTGAAGGCTTGAAGCTCGAGCTTCCGCCGCCTGCGCAGCCACAGCAGCACCTTGAGGCAGACCAAGATACGGCCGCTGTCATGACGCCAAGCCATGCGCCGACGCCTCCTGTCATTTCAGATGAGCAGAATGGCGACACGACGTAGTTCTTCATCCTAGCAGCATGTTCTCAGGGTTGAAAAAGGAATGATAGATTCTCAAAATGCTAATTATTACAACGTTATCGTAAGTTGATCAGATGGCGAGGTCGCCAGAGCTGTTCCAATCATATGAGGCTTTCAAGATCGCCTCGAGTTTCTCTTTTCTTTTGCCTTGATCGTGTTGCCGGCCTGAGTCCTGCTGAGCTTCAAGACCTAGTTGCACCCGCTTCGTTTCTTCCTCCAGGGCCTCCTCAATAAGATCCAGGACCTCCTTCCTGATTCGCACAGCAGGAGGCGATGCACCACTTTGCGTCTGCCTCTGCCTGTGCTCGACAATAAAACTTCGCATGCTCTCGCACCTCGCCAAGAACTGGCGTGAAGCCATCAGCTTGCTGAGAAAGTCCTGTAACTTGTCTAGCGACGCAAACGTGAAAGGCCCACTCTCTTGCTGACCTAAGTGAGACGCCGATGTTGACGACGTGATGGCGGCTCTCAGGCGGCGAGCGGCCATGATCCGATCGAGCAAGCTTGAACCGGCTTTGTCGGCGAGACCCGCCGTGGTGAGGCACAAGGCCGCGGCGACATCGATGTACGGCCATGGCTGTCTTGACGGTAAAGGCCGAGATGAGTCCGTCTCACCATAAACCTTCGCCTCGACGAGCTTGAACAGAATGTCGACTCCATCAGACATCTCGACATTACCGCTCTCCTGTGCTACCAGGGCTATGCGACCTAAGATCTCATGAAGCAGTCTGCAGGCCGCGAACGAGGTTCTCCTGATGGACATGCTTGGGTCCAAGCCCCGAAAGGCGCAGCCAAAGATTTCATCGAAACCCCCTGACACGAATCGCTCGAAGTGATTCTGCTGCGCGTCTTCTACGTACGGAGGAGATTGGCGAGTGTTGTACCTAGGGGGCAGCCACTCTTGCAACGCATCTACAAATGGATCCATCCAGACGACCGCAGGGAGCGTGATGCGACGATCTGTGAGCTTCAGGTCGAGGAGGTGGTCGTCCAGACCTCTACGGATGGCCTTTCTCGCGCGATCTTCCGCTTGCTTCAGGTCGCTTATGCTTCCCGCGGCTCCGGCTCTGGCTGTAGTGGCTCTCTCCGAGGTGCGTCTTGCAGATCTCAAGGATCTGGCGGGGATGACAGGAAGGCTGGCTTCCAGGCTCGATCCTGCATCTGTCATCAACTCATCTCTTTCCTCCCCGTCGATCTCTTCCTCTTCCAACTTGACGGTGACTGTGCCTTGTCTCTCCTGTAAAGGTGAGGCGTCGCGTGGTGCGTCCGTTGTAACCTCATCCAGAGCAACACCTCTGGCCCTGTTTGTTGCAGACGAGCTTGGCGACGCTTGTGCGTGAGTCGCCGCGGCTGACGGAGGCGTGCCAGGCTCGTCTTCTTGTAAAATGCTCGTGGCACCAATATCCAAGGGTGGATTCGAAAGTTGACGGGCCACTGAAGGAACGGCGAAGCGTGCGAACGGATTGTAATTGATAAGATGCGCATTGGAGGGAGCCCGGACACTCCTCGCGCTGACGACTGGAGGAGGTCTATCTCTGGAGCTGCGATTCCAGGCTGATTTGGACAGCGTGGCCCGCCGATCGTGCTCATCAACTCCATCTTCGTCGCTGTCGCTATCTGCAGAGAGCAATTGTGCATCACTCTGCTCATCACGGCGTCTTCTCTTTCGTTGCTGGACATGCGGATGAGCAGATGACGATGCCGCTGCACTGGAGCGATTCGTGGAAGTCCGCCCGTCCGACTGAGGACGATGCTGGGAGTGGCGCGATGACGACGAAGCGATGGAGTCTCGCCTCCTCGGCCTCTCGCGACTGGCACTTCGTCGTGCTGAGCCTGTGCGATCAGCAGAGGCAGATGCTGACGACGTTGCCGAAACCGATCTGGCTTGCTGGAGCCTTGCGGCCCTCTTCTCCTCGGACGTGGGAAATACGGCAAAGATCCGATAGCTGAGGGGTGTGCCTCTGTCACGAGCGTCGGTGACAAGCACTCTTGCCCGCGAGTCCAGAGCACCTGCGGTCCTGCCAGCCACAACCTTGCTAACGGACCCTGAGGATCCATGCCTTGCAACTATCGTTCGGAAAAGCGATACGGCCTGTTCCCTCGTGTAGATCGGGTTGGGCTCTGGCATCAGCTGAACTTCCGAGACGAAGACTCGCCAGAACTCGTTTGTATCAGCTTCGTTCCAGCGTGCGCGGCTGCTGGGCTCAGCATATGCGGGTATTTGGAGCTGTCGGTTGACCTGCTCCTCTTCTTCATCGACTTGATGTATCCCACTGTCGCTCTGCCTGCCACGTCTTATCTCAGATCTTCTGTCGTCATCGCTGTGTGAGACGGCGACATTGCTCCGTTTGCGTCCACGGCGTTCAGATGAGCTTCGGCTTTGTCGGGCCTGGCGCAGTCCCGATGTCGACCTCTCAAGTCCTCCATCTGGTCCCTTTTGCCCAACTCGTGCGGCATCCACCGGCCTCGGATGGCCGGCTGCCGCAGATCCAAGAGTCGAAGGTCCAGGTCCAGCGCCTACTATAGTGGTAGGCCTGCCTTCCTTGATACGCGCATGGAAAGCCTGCCTGTTTGCGGCAAGCTCCTCGAAGACACCAGCATCCTCAATGTCCCAGAGGTCGCCGCTCTCGGGCTCCTTGAAAGCAAGGATAACCTTGGCAGGGGCGCAGGCGAGCTTGTCAGCAGCCACACGACGCAATCCCTCAAGGTTGGCTACATTGGTCAATAGTCGGTGCTCCGGGCCGTAGATGAGCTTGACGTTGGGCATCTTCCGCACTCGTCTTGCCTCATAACAACTCGCGCCGCCCCGAAGTGATTTGGTGCAAGAACGGGGAAATGATGCAAATACCCAATGAGCATCAAAGCGCGTCTTCGGCCGACGCAACAGCGCGCGAATAAGGTTGTCACCCTTGTCACCTCCCGTCCTGGATTGGTGGGATTGCGTTGTCACTTCACTGCTCCGCTTAAAATGAAGCCGCAGGGAAGACCGAGGACATTCACAGCCAGCACAGATCGTCAGTTAGCTCCGAATCGTCAATTAGCTCCGAATCTTTGTGTGATTAGCAAAGGGAGCTCAACAGGGCCTTTACTGTACGCCTAGACCTCTATTTGGCAGTCGGAGCGGCCCCTTAAAATCACTCATGGTATGAGAATGGGAAAGCTGGGAAGTGAAGAAAAGCCAGCAAATGCTTTGATCGACCGCCCTCCGTCCTCTATATAGCGTTCCTCCTCCTCATTGTTCTCCTCCCACCTTGCAAAATGCGCCTTCCATTCATCCTGAGGGTCCTGCTGACACTCTTGTGCTTCTTGTGCGCCACCCCGCACTGGTCAGTGGGCCAACAGCGGGCAGTGACGCCGACGAGGAACGATCAAACGACCAGCGAGGAATCTCAAGCGCAGCCAAAGTCCCAGCAACTGCCCAGCAGCAGCGACCAGGTAAGCGACCAATCGAAGCAGACAGCGAGCGACAGCGTGGAAAAAGCGTCAGGTCAACCTCAACAAACGGGCCAATTTGTCTCTCCACCCAATAGCCAGCTGCCTGGCACGACTTCAGGGCAGGCGACCCAGCCAAAGACCACCAATGACACTCAAACCAAGGCGACAGCGCCGAGCGGCGTTGTCATAAGCGAAATACTCAGCAACATCTGGAACAGCACCAAATTCCTCGAGGTGACAAACCCTCAGCTGCAGTTTATCACAAATATTGACTGTGGGTAATTGGTATCTACCCCTCTGTTCTGTCTCGTTTCGACAATGACACCTCTCCATGCAGTCGACGGCACGTCCAAGAACAGCACAGAGTCCACACCTGACATACTTTATGTCGACATTCAGCCTACCAGACAGTACCAAGTGATGGGTGAGTCTCGAGTTGCCTGCTCAGAAATCGAGTAGCTTATTGTACGATGCAGAGGGATTGGGTGCGGGATTGACGGACGCATCGGCCATTGTGCTCAAGGATCTCAAAGATGCTCGAGAAGACGCCTATTGGGAGATACTGAATCTGTGCTTTAGTGAAAGCCCAGAATGGCTGGCAAGGGGAGGCCCTGGCATGAACCTGATTCGGTGAGCACATCTGCGAAGACTTGCGAAACATAATGCTAAGCCATCACCATCCGAACAACAGCGCCCCAATCGGAGCATCAGACTTTGGCTTCACCGAGGTGAGTTACCCCTCTCGCGCATAGCGTATCATGCCGCTGACGAATATTCTTGTCAAAGTACACATATGACGACACTTTCGACGGTTCAACTGACCCCCAGCTCACCCAATTTAACATCGAGAAGAGCGCCAAACGCTGGGAGATCTTCAAAGACATCCAAACCGTGCAGCCAAATCTACAGGTCATGTTTACCCCGTGGTCATCCCCAGCCTGGATGAAGGGCCACTTCAACGGGAGCCTTCGAGGCGGCTCGCTTCTCGAGAAATTTGAGGAAAGTTTCGTGGACTATATGGTCAAGTTCACCGACGAGGTTACGACCAAGAAGAATATCCGAGTGAAGAAGCTCAGTTTGCAGAATGAACCTCTATACGACGGCGCAAATTATCCCTGTCAGAAGATGGAAGCCCCTCAGCAAGCTCGAGTCGGTCAATTGCTCCGCAAGAAGCTCGACGCAGCTGGCTACAAAGATGTAGGCTTACTCACGTACGACCATAATTGGGTGGGTCCGTCAACTTTACGGCTGTCACGAACAGAAATCTGACTCAGGCTGCTTCAGGACAAGAAGGACTATGGGATCGATGTTTTCGACAGAGCGGCAAATGCTTTTGATGGCATCGCTTGGCACTGCTACGGTGGTCAACCCGACGGACAAAATCCGTTCAATGTGGCCTACCCTAATAAAGAAGGTAAGCATCTTCTTCTTGCAGCGTCGAGTTATTGAAGTTGACTTGTTGTACAGTCTGGTTTACAGAGTGCACGAGAATCACCCAGAATTATGAAGAGCCTTGGATAAACACTCGGAAGCAGTTCTCCCTTCTTCTCACCGGCAGTATCGACTACATGACCTCAGCCGTCGTCTTGTGGAATGTCGGTGGGTACATCAGAGACCAGTTGTAGCGTGGGGAGGGCAAAGATTGACTTGTCCCTCTGCTTCATAGCGCTCTTATCGACAGAAGATGGCTTCACCCTCCCTCAGCTGCCAGGAACGTGTCGAAACTGCCTCGCTCCAATTCTTGTGTTCCAGAATTCTACCAAGGATGGCACGAACTTGACTGGCCTAAACATGGACGCTATCCGAACGCAGGTCAAAGCAGGCGACAAAGAAGTGTCCCCCGTCCCTCCCATTCTCGCAAATGGCATCCAGCAGGCATCCACGGCTCAGTCAGCTCCAAGTACGACGGCTGAAAAGAAAAGTGACCAGAGCCAGCCGCAAAGCTCGACAAACTCGAGACGAAGTCTTACAGCCAAGACAGCTTTGCGAGGGAAAAAAGATGCCAAAGAAAATCATCGTCGAGCTTTCTCCGGAAAGCAAAAACGACAGGACAGAGCTCCGACGAATTTCTATCCCGGAAACACGCCCTACATTCGACCCTACTACCGTATGACAGTGAGCAGTGCCTTCCGTTCACTTTCGCACTCCCTCCACTGACAAGACATGCTTCGGCTAGTCGGACTTTGTCACGCTCTCGCACCTAGGGCGGGCCATCCGGCCTCGCAACGCTCGAGGAAGTCAGAAACGGGGACAAAGGATTGGCGTCAAGACGTCTGAAGACAACTTTGACTCGCCAAGGCTCTTTGCGCAGATGTTCCGCACGGACAATGCCGATTCGCAGGGTAATTCGAGATGGAGCCTCATCTTGCTCCAGCAGGTGAGACACGTTCTTGGCTCTAAACGATCGGGAAAAGAGCTGACGATGATTGTTTGACAAGAACGATCACTTCCTGACCGGCGTGTACGAGGACGCGACTATCATGATCCGTTTTAGAGATGCCGTTGCCAACATCACGCTACCGCCCGGTGTCTTCACGCTCTCCTGGCTCGCGCCAAAGGAGGGAACCTCTTCGTCGTCCGATACATAGGGCGGGGCCATTCCCCTCCCCTTCGCCTGCATATCGCTTTTGGAAGGGAGTGACGTCTCTCTACCTGTCATTTACCTCCTTTCCTCTTCACCGCGAGAAGCGGCAAGACAGAAGTGGTAGTCATCAAATCAAATGGAAGAGTGTGAGCCTGAATTTGAGCGTGAAAGATCGGTCGACGTCCTGAGAAGACTGATGTTATTGTACTGTACAACAATCGCACGTCGTGCCCTAGATACAACAGAGAATGGAGAGGGACGTTCCTATGGTGCTTTTAATTGGTACAACAGGGAGGCGATCGAAAAAGGCGAAAGCGAGATCAGGCGATCCACTCTTCGCCGTGGATTCTCACTCGGTAGACGCAGGTGAACTGGCGGTTCCCGTGGTTGGAGGTGAAGTGGACCTTGACAATCTGGATGGGAATCTGCATCTGCTGTGCCTCAGTCGAGGCCGGAAAAGTCTGCACAGCGCTAGCCCCCTTTGAAAGGTCGTATGTAAAGCTAGCCAGCAGCAGGTGGTTGGGCGCAGGAGGGGCTGGAGCGGGCTCGTCCATCCCACCTTCTTCTAGCGCCTGTTCCGCCTGCGAGGGCATTGCAAACTTGTTGGCTCGGTAAGCTTTGAGCTTCAACAAATCATCCTTCCTCTCGACGAGACCCCAAACGGTCACATCCCGTGGCGCAGACCTGTCCTCGCCGTAAGCATTCTCGAGCGGGAGGTGATCTAGCGTAACGTCCGTCACGATGATTTTCCTGGAAAGCCCGATACCCAGCTGACCCTCTTCTCCCGCAAAGGGCCAGCACATGCCCTGGCTGGTATCGTGGTGAATGGCCAGGTGCGGGACTCGATGTACGATCGGCGATGGCGAGTTGCCTCTCGCTCCGAACCACGTCGAGATATAGGAAGGAGCTCGCGCCCTGACATCGGCGAATGTGGGTGATGTCAGCGAGGGAATGATCCGGCCGCCAGCTGTTGCGAGGGCAAAATCGGGCTTGCCCGTCCGATCAGCGCTGTACTTGTCCAAAGCAGCTTGAATAAGAGCAATGACAGCGTCTGCAGCAGTAATATCATCGTGCTCGCCCAATGCGGAGGAGAGGTAGTCGTACGCCCACGTCGGCGAGTTGGTCGACGTTTTGATCGTCTGCTTGCCAGTAGCTCTTCCAGCAGACCTCGGAGAGCTATTCTTCAGATTTGCCTCGATGTTGGACTGCATTGTGCTGAAGTTCTCGTTAAACTTCTCTTCGAGCGCCCTCTTCGCGCTTTTGAGCTCCCGTCCAAGGAGCTGTGTGAACTTTTCTCGATCCAGAATAACGCCTGATTGTGTTCGCGAGTCGATACCATCGTCCAGCGTCTCAATCATCAGCGCCTGGAGATTCTCCCGGTTTTCAGCAATGAACGCATCCCATCTCGGCGTTGCCGTCGATGCAGTGTCGCCACTCGGTGCCTTTGGTTCGCTACCTTTCTCAGCAAAGACCTTCTTAAGCGCAACCAGGAGCGACGCATCGAGGACTGGCTGCCCGGTTTTGCTGTCGGTGCGAACGGCAATCTGGCTTGGCAAAATCTTCTCCAGCGATGCCAATCCTTCGTGAGCCTTGTCGGCAAGCTTTGTCGTCTTGTCCATCGCCTCTTTCATCTGCGAAATTTTCGCCTCATTCCGGTCCATTCGATCTTGAAGCGCAGAAAGCCTCTTCTCAAGGACCTTGGCATCACCGGCAGTGTCCCCATCGTGCACCTGCTGCTCTATTGAAGAGAGTGCATCTCGCAGCGTCTGCCGTTCCTTCTCCGAGCGATGAACGTCTTGTTCTGCCCGCTGTATGCGCGCTTCCAAGCCGCTTTTCGAAGCCTCCATCGTCCTTTCGAGCTTCTGCAAGGACGTTGCAAACACACGACCTTCGCTTGCAAGCTCCTCGATTCGGGCAGAAGTCGTCTTACTGATGCCAGCGATTTTTTTGTCCAGACCGGAGAAGGATGACGCCAAGCGCTTCTCAACATCAACCAGCCTTTGCCCATACTCCGCCGCAGTTCCGGGGGCCGCCCCAGAGAAATCAAACGTCCTGGAGCCAGACAATGCAGAATCTCGATGAACCAGAGCTCCGACGATAAACGCAGTGAGAACAGCCCCGATGATGCCCCACAGATATCTCGACAACGTCGACCTCTGTGCTTCGTCCTTCCCGTCGTCTGGTTGGTGGTCGTCATATTTAGGCTTCTTCTTTGTTGGGGACGCTCTCGACTTGCGAGCATTTGAGGCTGGCCGTTTGTTAATGGCAGTCTCGGTCGTCGTATCTGGATCGGTCGGTACGTCGAGCGTCTCATCTTCCGCTCCGACGTCTTCCTCCTCCCCGCCCCCCTCTCCGTCTTGTTGGCTTGTCTTGCTAGTTCTTCCCTTTCTCTTCTTTGACTTCCAGATTTCATTGTCGTCTCGGCCTCCCCTCGCACCCATTTTCAAGTTTTCTTTCTTTCTCCTGTGACCGTGTTTCCGCCCCTCGGCACTGAGGTCCGAATCGTTGTCGTCGCTTTCCTCATCCTGTGCTGGAGGACGGTAAGCCTTGTTCTCGTCCGATATGCGTCCTCTCCTCTGCCCAGGGCCATGCCGGCTTCCATTGCGGCCTTCCTCGCGGGATCCTACCAGGCTGCCCAACCATCCGCGGCTGCTCGAGGGCATAGGCGGCGACATCTGCTCGTCAAATTGACGAGCTATAGCGCTGTCCTCTTCGTAATCATTCGACCTCGAGTCCCCCATCTCGCTCGATCGGAAGCTGGTCATGTCCATCCCATCTGGAGGCGACATTGGGTCATGGCTGGGCTTTTGAGCGCCTCTCAATAAAGACGGCGCCAGCATCCGTGCGTTGTCTTGCGGATTGGCAATGTCGTCAGGCAGCACAGACTCTGGCCGCGAGAGATAGAAGCTGCTGAGATGGCCAAGGCCAGAGCCGCGATTGACACCCACACCACCATTGCCTGAGCCAGAGCCAGAGGCGTGGCTTCGCGCAGCTCCAGGGCTGAAGTTGGATCGACTCCGCGACGCTGCGGGTGGTGCTGCCGCCGATCTGGGTTCCTCGACAGCCTGGTCCTCCTCGATCGTTTCAATAGTTTGGCGCAGCGCCAAGGCAGCATCGGACGCATTTAGCCCCACGCCGTCCTGGCTCCCAGTCTCGCTCAGTCTCTTTGAACGCCGTGGACTCTCGGCGCTGGTGGATAACGGCAAGTGGTTCGTCGTCGGTGTTCTGCTTCTCTGTCGTTGCCTCTCCCTCAGATTGGTGTACCTCGTCTTCGCATCCTGCGTTTGCGTTTGCGCCGCTGACTTGTTCGAAGCGGTATCAACAATGTTGTTGTTGCTGCTGCTGCTGCCCCTCAGCCCGCCATTTGCGGAGGTGTTGCCAATCGACTTTCTCTTCTGGTTGGGATCTTCCTGGGCTCCGTATGCGAAGCTCTGGACCGGTTCCCGGGTCGATGCCTGCCTGCGCGGCTTTCTGGTTGCGCCACTTGGAGACGACGTGCTCAAATCGGGCGATGTCTGGGATGATGTGGCCCCGTCGCCGAAGCTCGAGGTGCTCGCCTGCCTTGCATCTCTGTCGCCCGTGCGTGCCTGCTTGCGCAGCAGCTCGTCTGATTCTTCCTCGTTCTCTGTCGTCGTCTTCCTCTTTGGCGGCATCGTTGTAGATCGCCCCGACCTCGCGTCGTCGATCCAAAGGCCAGAATGGATACCTGTGGACGCGCGGACTGGCCCCTATTGTCGGTGGATGCGGTGAAGGGGTTCGTGCAACCTGATTCTGCGTTGGTGTTTTCTGTCTGCCCTTTGTCCGCCGTCTGTCTAAACCAAGATCAACACTCAGCCCAAAATCCCACGTGGGATTTAACGCGACTCCTTTCGTGGTTCGCCATTCCTTCTCGACAGGGTGTAACATTTGTTGCGTCGGTGGTCGAGCACGGGACGGTTTTGGAGCATGAGTGTGCGATCGACAAGGCTCGTCGATTTCGGTTCCTCGCGGCTTACGGTATGCTCTGGCCGAAGAGGTTTTGCTGGGAGCACAAAGAGGCGTGCGACCCCCCGCGCCGAATCGCAAAGACCTAGTCCTGCTCCACCCTCTCCTCCGTTGACGAACCGTTCGCATTCCGGCCAAGATGCTGCATCGCGGCTCTCGGCCAGTCTCAGGATCCGCAACAAGCTCAATATACTAGAGACTCTTTTTTCTGATCCATCACCATTGCGCTTTTCACTGGGCAAGGAGAGGATTCAGCGCGCGGGGGAACTCGTCGCACAGACGTCTTCACACACAGGGACTCAACGTCCTCTAAGAATAGGCGGTATGTGCCACTCTCATCCATTGAGAGCAGGCTGGTGGCTTACACCAGATCCAAACAGTCGTCGGGACGAGGGAGTCAGGAACGGCGCAGCTGGCGACTGCGCTTCTAGATGAACCGCTGGTCGAGTCAGCCGAGCTTCGGCGCACGAAGGAACCGGTAGACCGCATTGATGCCGTAGGGCGGCGCTACGAGCGAAGGGCCGGACTTCATCCAAAGCTGCTGCGGATCTTGTGAGCCTTCGCTGCGTTGCTGCTCGTCGTTATCGCACGTGGTGAAGCTGATCTAGTACTCCTACAGTCACGACGAGTTTCTGGGAGCAAGCGAAGACGAGCATCATTTTGCCGTGCCTCATCCTTGGCTCCTAGATCAACACATCGAGATTGTTGAGCTCTTAGGTGAGTCCAGTGCTATTTTGATAGCTGCAAAGAGCAAGTGGCTGATCAATCGTGACAGACCCGGAGTTCAACGACTACACGATCGGGGAGCTATACTCGTGCGATTCACTCTTCTTCGTCAGCGATGCTGCGCTCCTATCCTCCCGTTCCCGATTTGCCGGCAAGGTCGGGCCTGATTCGACTCTGCAACTTCTTGAATACTTTGCCGACAAGCCAGGAACGCGGCTTGTGATCAATCATGCCCCAGGGTTTGCTAAGGGTGCCGGCTCGTCGCTGGAACATTCGATAAACAGAGATACCCTTGATGTGTTAAAAGGCCAGGCCAGGCGGACTTCGAGCGGTGTCGAGAGCGCGTTGCTTGATGTTTCCCTCGATGAGGCAATAGCGGCAAATGAAGCACTCCGACAGGCCCTGACTTCGAGTCCTGCCACTTCGTCTGATTCTGCGGCAAGAGCTTGGGAGGACTTTGCAACGCTTTACAACTCGTCAGGTGTCCGTCAGATCAAATCATTAATGGAGAGACCGCCTCTCGAAGCGGCCTTGAACGAAAACGAGTCATTTCAAGAAGCCATTTCCGTGCAGACAGCCTTGTTTGCCGCGCGGCACGCCCTCGACGAAGCGGGCAACACAAGGCGGACGATCGTCGAATTGATCAACAAGGCTCGAGGCGCAGCCAATGTGCTCCAACGTGATGCACAATCGCAGGAAGAGAGCTGGATGCGGTCACTTTTCCTCTTGCCTGCATCAGAGACGCTGCCCGAAACGAGCGAGAGTCGTGTACACCAGCGCTCTGGCGACCGCAGCAAGCGGGTTGAAGGATCGGTGCGGGACTCGAGAGGCGTAGTCGAAAAGTCATTTGCCTCTCGTCTGGCTTGGTGGCGCATCTGGTGGCGAGTCGATGATGTGCGAGCTGAGATGGAGACGGCAATCAGCAAGAGCTTTGCAAGGGACCTCGAGTCACAGCTCCGGTTTGAAGCTGGTAAGCTCCTCTACTACTCGCAAAAGCTCAACGACAACCTTGCCACGTACATTGCCTCGCTCAAGCAGACCAACCAGAGCGACGCCGAGCAAACAATCCTCACCCCCACACTCCTCAATGCGCTTCGCGCAGATTCGACAGAGGAGGTTGCGACCCGACTTCACGCAGACATTCTCAGCAGACCAATAGAGGAACGAAGGAAGCTGCTGCTGGCTCGAGGAGGGCCCATCGATGTTTTGTCTGCCCGTGCCCAGCGTGCTGTGCTCTCATCGGTCACTCTCGTGGGATGTGCGGGGATCACGAGCGTGGTGGGCACCGTTGCATCCAGCCCATGGTCTTCGGCGCTACCTGCCGCCCTATCTCACATGGCCATGCTTCCCTCCACTGCGGGAGGTCTTTTCGCCTTTGCCACGGTAGCTTCTGCATGGATCTTGCAGAGCCGGTGGGCGCGCGCAAAGAAGAAGTTCTGGCGGGACTGGGAAAGCGTCGCGAATGGCCTCGACGACGACCTCCGCTTGAACTTTCACGAGGCTTTCCGGAGCACTGCCGCTGCGCAGTCGCACACGGCGTCAAGGGAGCTACTGCGGGTAGCTGCAGAGAAGGAAGAGGCTCTGAGGGGCATCGAGAGCCTTTGGCAGAGGGTGAAAGACGGAGGGGCACACGACAACAAGCAACCTTTGAGCTAATTGCATGCTACTCAATACACAAATGCGCACTTTGCGGTGACGAAGATTCTGTCCTTCGGGCAATTTGTCTTGTGTGAGAAGCAGCTAAGGGCGATGGAAAAGGCTGAAGGGCCTTGGCACATCTGCACTCTAATTGGGCTTCCGACACCCTGTGCCCGGGGTAAGGGCACAGGTTTCAACCGCGGTCTCTGTCGTGTGGCTGTAGTGAATGAAGCTGAACAAAATATAGGCTAAAGGGATTCCGACTTGAACCCGGCAATATCCGCGGGTGCATGATCTTACCTGTCGAGCTCTATATTATAATTAAGAAGTCTCTCGCTATCTTTTCGGCCTCGGGCTCTAAGCATCAATCTGAAATCAAGGTAGCGTAGCTGCGCATCCGAAAGTGGCTGGGGGATGGGGGAGATTCATGGTCGAGAAGAATATATTGACAGACCGTCCTCCTTCTCATGCGCGTGCGCGCCTCTTCATTTCCGATTTCTTTCCTTTTGCAGATCTCTTTTTCCCCTCCCTCCCACCCCTCCCGTCCATCGATCATCCATCATTGGCTGGTCGACTGATATCACTGCGAGATCAGACCTTAACACTGCAGCACGCCGCCGGCGCCTGACTTCTATCGTTCCCCGCGGAATTCATTCGCGGACATAAGCGCGAAAGAAAAAAAATAAAAAATAAGTCTTGCGACAAGGAAGCGGCTGAGAGCGATACAAATTCTCTTGCGCCCTTCTCCCTCATCAACTCAAGAAAGTAACCACGGAAGCAGGCGACGAAGGCGGCGGCCACGGCTCGTATTCTCTCCTCTCCTCTCTGATAAAGCAGCCAGACGGGGCGGGGCTAAATACGTCCAAGACTCTTGTTCTTCACCACGACAGTGACCGTGCACGAAAAGGACATCGGCCAAGGAATGGTTTGCTTCGCCGTCTGGCGGAGCTAGAATAGAGAAGACAAGGGAAGGAGGACAGCACCGCTCACGCTGCTTTCATCGTCTACATTTCCCCAGCATATCACAGGATCCATCACTTCGTTCTTCTAGAATCCGCCCATCGCTACGGATTGTTGATCGATCGCTGCGTAGACAAAGTCATACACACGGCGAATCCACACGGCGTTCCCTGGGTTCAAGTGCCAAGACATGTCGTCCTTTGCCAACCAGCCAAGCAAAGTGCCGGCTGCTGCGCGACAGCGACAGCAAAACGTGTCGAGCAGCTCGCAAAATAGCTTCATGCGCATGCACGACGATCACGACGACGATGACCAGGAGCAGGCCGACGACGAGGCTAGCGGCAAGCGACGCCGGGTGCAGCGAGCCTGCGATGTGTGCAGAAAGAAAAAGATTCGCTGCGACGGCCTCCAGCCGGAGAAGGGAGCGTGCAGCAACTGTGCCACGTATGGACACAAGTGCACCTTTGTCGATGCAGCCAAGCGAAGGGCACCCCCACGGAGGTGAGTCTTACCTCGTCTTTGAAGCGCTCTCTTGTGTGTGCACCATAGATGCTCACGCTCGCACCGCCCATCCATCATCCCCATCTACATCGCTCCTCAGCTACGTCGACGCATTGGAGGCACGCATGAAGCGCGCAGAGACCCTGCTCCTGCAGCTTGCACCTGGTATCGATCTCGATGATCGCATCGGACCATACCCACAGCTGCCTGCGGACAAGAACGACCCGAAAGCTAAACAATTCGACTCGTTTCAGCAACCATCCATGACAGCAGCACCTCCTGCTGTGCCATCGCTACCGTCCTCGGCATCTTTTGCCACATTCTCGGAGGGAGGGGCACAAAAGCCTCGCGATACGCCGCTCACAAGCGCTGGCTTCAACGCAGCCGCCGAAGACGAGGAAGACGACTATGAAGATGAGATCGACTCTGATGAAGACGACATGGCCTTCGTCGGTGGTGGTATGCAGCAGCTGTCGTTGGGCGAGAACGACATCCCACCCCAGTCTACCATCAACATGACCCTCATTGCCAATGCAGACGTCGTCCGCGACGGTAAGAGTCAGGGTGCTTCGTCTTCGCAGTCACGACTTGCCTCTACATCAGCGCAGAACGCTAGCCAGGGCAAGAAGCGGCCTTCGCAGTTCATCGGCAAGGCCTCCGACTTCCATATGCTGCCCATCCTCCAGCGTCTCAACAAGGACGGCAGCCTCGATGTGGGCGGCGCGCGCACCAAGCTCCGTCCTCAGTTCTGGCAAACGCAAGAATACCTCGACTTCCTACCAAACAAGATTGAAGAGCTCGATCTGCACTGGCCGGAGCCCGACCTAGAAGCGAAGCTGTACGATGCCTACTTCGCCCGGTCCAATCACGAGTACCCCATCGTCAACGAGATCATGTTCCGTCGCGACATTGCCGTGCCAGGCTGGAGAAAGGATCGAGATCTGGCCAGACTCGCGCTCAGCATCTTTGCTGTGGGGAGCAAGCACACCGACGACCCAAGAGTGACGACGGAACAGCAGAGTGGCGAGTACGAAGCCGCGGGCTTCAAGTGGCATGCTGCCCAGGTCATCCTGGGCATGGACTTCACCCAGTACGCCGTGCCAATGTCGCGCATTCAGTCCCAGCTCCTTTCGGTCATCTACATGTTTGGTACACCACTCACCTCAACAAGCGCCTGGGCACTGCTGGCCGTCGCGATTCGGCTACTCCAGGATGTGGGTGCACATCGCAAGGCTACGGCACGCAAGCTTGGCTACTCGCTCGTCGTCGATGAGACCTACCGACGGATGTGGTGGACTGCCTATGTGCTCGACCGTCTCTTTTCCGCCACACTGGGCAGACCTACCTGCATCCAGGACGAGGACTTCGACGTGGACCTGCCTACGCTCGTCGATGACGTCTACCTCGTCGAGGCCAGCGACGCAGACCGGCCAGCGGCCCAGCAACCTGCCGATCGCCCTGCCTTGATATCGGGATTCGTTTATGGAGTCAAGCTCTTCCAGGTCAGTGACGCCGTTTTCTTTTGTTTCCCCTTGCTTTCCCTCGCTGACATCAGGGTATTCGGCCCTGTACTTTTTAGATTCTGGGAAGAACGCTTCGGACCGTATATGCCATCTCAAAATCAAGGATCAGCCGCGGCTTCGTCGGCTCTGCGTGGGACGGATATATCGTCGCTGAGATCGATTCGAGCTTGAATCAGTGGCTCAGTCAAGTGCCTCCTCACCTCCGCTACGGCAACAGCGAAGTGCAGGATGAGGAGTGGCTCATTCAGAGCTCCAACCTCTTCTTGATCTACTACTACACTCAGGTCTTGGTGCACCGCCCCTTCATTCCCAAGCCGACGTCCAAGTCGTCGATGAGATTCCCTTCGTTGGCCATTACGTCCAACGCGGCACGCTCGGCTATCCACATCCTCTACAACCTCAGAGGCAAAGGGCTCATCTTTGAATCGGGCATCTCGACGATTTGGAACACCTTTTCCTTTGGCCTCGTACTTCTCCTCGTCATATGGGCCGCCAAGCGCAACGGTGCCAGGGTGGCAGATTCGGCTATGGCCGATGTGCGCAAGTGCGTCGAGGTCCTTGAGACACTCGAGCAGCGATGGTCACTCGCTGGCAGACTTCATGATGTTCTGGGCGGTATCATCGAAACGAGCGAGCTCCCAGTCATGACCGCGGATCCCACAGCTGCAAAGAGTCTCAAGCGGGCAGCTGCCAACCCAGAGGCCGGAACAAAGCATCCAAAGGAGAGCAGCACCGGCAGTGACATCAACGCCACGATGCCCGGAGGCGAACGAGCGGATCGACCAAAGAAAGGCCCCCCCTCGCGTCGTACGCTGCCCTTTTCAACGACAGAGCTTGTGGCGCCATTCGACTACCATTCTGGATCGAGTGCTAGCCAGGAGAGTCCCGACTCCGCCTGGTCCGAGACCAAGGATTCGCCTCTGCAGGGTAGCGAGCATGCAGCGGGCGAAGGACCGCGGTTGAAGGAGGACCATCTGACCGAGGGCCAACGAATCTACTCCGCTTACATTAGGAATCAGCAGGCGGTCCAGGCAGCGCATGCAGAAAACTTTGCGCAGCAGCCAGGGCCGCAACAGCAACCTGTTTTCGCTGCGCCCTCTAGTTCGATGATGGGCCAGCCCAACCCGCTTGGAGGAGATGCATTTGGCGCTGGTGTGGGAGGCTCACGACAGACTCCGAGTGGGGCCGAAGGCGACATTCTCAATTCTCTCATGGCTTCCGCTTGGAACACGGGTCCAGACTCATCCTCAGCTATGGACGCCGATGGTCAGAGGCTGACTCCTGCCATGGGCATGCAATCGTCGGCCATGGGAAGCTATGGACAGTCCTACCCCTACTTCTCAGGAAACACGCCTCGGGCCGTTCCTTCAAGTCTGGATATGGCGCCAAGCGCCTCGACAGCATCTGCAGCCACCGCGACCGACCAAGGACTGAGCGGCAGCGGCGGCGGCAATAATCCCAACAATCCCAACAACGGTGGCTCAAACACGAACGAAGGGGGTTCTCAAGACCCCTTCGAAACCTTCTTCAATCAGAACTTCTGGGGCGATGCTGACCTGATGGCCACTTTGTCGGGCGCCGGCAATGTGCAACAGTGGTGAAGACGTCACAGCTCTTCCCCCCCCCCCCCCCTCCTCCCTTTTAGCCTTTCTCGGCGCGATGACGGGACGTAGAGCCAGTCTCCCACCCGTAGATAGAGATAGCCGACTTCTTCCGCTGCTAAACTACCTTGTTTCTTTCTGTTCTTCGCTCTCGCCACCACTTCTTTACCCTTTCTTTTCTTTTTATCTCTTGGACTCCCGACGCTTGTCACTGGCTTATTATTGGAGAATCGGATCACCGATGTCAAAGAAGAGAGAGTGAGATTAGAGAACCGGAGCACCGACGTTCACTGTCAAAGAATTGAGAGTTGAGAAAATAAAAAGTCAAGCTGACCTGGGTGTTGGCTAGGCTCGGCCAGGGACGTTTGTCTAGAGCTGCTGCAGATGCACAGGCACAATTTGACGCTAGTAGCTGGAGGCATAAGAAATCACCGATCGTCCGATTTTTGGCCGGCTCTCAACTCTACCCTTCGCACCAGAATAGCACGCCGGCACCGCACAAGGGAATTGCAACGGCAAAATCCGCTGCTTACGACTTCGAGTTGCTTGAGCGGCCATCTGCGTTCTCTCTAGTGGTTCCGCCAGCTCGCACGCAAACAAGGCACGCGCGCACGGTCTGAACGTGGTCTGACCGCCGGACGACTTTTCGTCCGTGCCACTTCTCCTCGTCGGTGGTACAAGGGAAGACGCCTAGGAAGCTCCCGAGGGCCCCCACCTAAGATCCATTCATTGTCGGCCAACGAACATCATTTCGATTGCGTATTCCTCGGCCGATATGAGAGCGGTGCAGCTCAGGTGAAAAGAGGCAGCCACCAGCCCGCCTCTTGTCCCCCCCTCCAGACAGCGGCGTAGGAAATTGGTTTTCGGCTGCCGTTGACCGCGGCGGCGCCGCGCCTCCCCTCATCACCGCATCCCAGTCCTCTTTGCACTCTCGGCTTTTTTCCTGCGTACAGCCACAGCACACGTGCGGCAGTCACTTTTCCACATCGACCCATCTGCTTGATCAAAGCGGCGACCACTGGCCAAGACCGGACTCACGGCCGCACGGTCGAGAATCGCCCCAGGTTGTTTCTCTAGCGGTGTTTCCCTCTTTGGCACGTATCCTCCGGTACGCAGCAACGACAGAACGAAAAAGGGGTTGAAAGGGAACCATCTTGTTGATCACGCCCAGAAAAGGACGCCCATTGTCGTCGTCGTCGCTGTCGCTTTCTTTATTTTACCCTCCTTTTCTCCCTGTCGCCCAACCTCACTCCATCGGCACCTCACCTTCTTTCTCTCCCTCGCTTTCCTCATCACTTTCTTCGTTCGTTTGCTCTCCACCTTCTCCCCCCCTTCCCCTCCTCCTCCTACCCTCCCTCTCCTCTTCCACTTCTCTTCTCCCGTGCCGTAGGTTGTCGCAGTTCTCGAGATGCTCTATCTCACCGCCGACAAGTTCCCAGTCTGTGAGTTGTTGTTCTGTGGCTATGTTGTTGTTTGATAGATCTGTCCTTCTCACTTCTTCAACTTCTCTCGGGCTCAACAGTCGTGCCATTTGGCCTGATTGGTTTCTATCGGTACTTTTGGTATCTGATTCGATTGTCGGCCGCTCTCGTCTACCGTCCGATCCCTCCTCCGCCAGAGCCTACGTATAACCCTGCCGAGGATGTCACAATGTGCGTTGGATGTACCAAGCTCCTTCTTTTGTGGTTCGCCTTGCTAAAATTGGCCCACCATCTTGCAGCATCGTCCCTACCATCGATGCTGGCGAGGAGTTCAAGGAGGCTGCATACAGCTGGCTGCAGGGCAACCCCGCCCGGATCATCATTGTCACGGAGCATCGCATGGTCGAACCTCTGCAGGCGCTGGCAAATGAGGTCGACCCGACAAAGATACAGGTGCTCTCGGTCCCAAAGGCCAATAAGCGCCTGCAGATGGTCCATGGCATTCGGCACGTCACGACGGACATCATCGTCTTTGCCGATGACGATGCCATCTGGCCCCCAACGATGCTTCCTTGGGTCTTGGCCTGCTTCGAGGACCAGTCGGTGGGCGGCGTGGGCACGAGCCAGCGGGTCAAGCCCCAAGGACGAAAGATGACGGTGTGGGAGACGCTGGCTGCATTTCGCCTCTCGATTCGCAACTTTGAAATCGCTGCCAGCACACACATCGACGGGGGAGTCCCCTGCCTCTCTGGGCGTACTGCGGCGTACAGGACAGTCATTCTCAAGGACCCTATGTTTCTCCATGAATTCACCCACGACTACTGGCTGGGCAGGTACTTGCTCAACTCGGGCGACGACAAATTCCTTACGCGGTGGCTCGTCAAGAACGGCTGGCAGACCTACATCCAGGTGTGCCCCCAGGTAGAACTGCTGAGCACTATGAAACCCGACTGGCGCTTCCTCAAGCAGGTACTCCGCTGGACGAGAAATACCTGGCGATCTGACATACGGTCCATCTTCAAGGAGAGGAGAATCTGGACGAGCCATCCCTACGTGGCCTACTCGATGTGCGACAAATTCGTTAACCCATTCACGTTGCTGTTGGGTCCTTGCCTTGTTGCATACCTCTGCGTCAAGAGTCAAAGGGGAACCAAGGAAGGAGGGTACCATCTGCCGATCTGGAAGATCATCGTCTCGTACATTGTTTGGATTCTCGCCACCAGGACGGCCAAGCTGTTGCCTCACCTGTGGTACAGGCCACAGGATATCATATACGTTCCTGCCTAGTGAGTTGCAACTCTTGTCGCAAATTCTTGCCTGATCCAGGCTGACTTGCTTTTGCCCAATTTACAGCATCCTGTTTGGCTACTACTTTGCCATCATGAAGCTCTATGCTCTCTGTACCCTCCATGAAACGGGTTGGGGCACGCGGCAGGGCGTCGGCGAACCGCAAGAAGCGTCCGATGCAAAAGAGGCAGACCAGCATCGTCATCGCATCAATCACGCTCAACAAAAGCAGGCGCAAGCTCAACCGTGGGATCCTCCTCAACGTGAGCTGCAGCCGAATCACCCCCTTCCCCTGAGCTCCATTCGCCCCATTACGGCGGGAGCTACCGCGAGCGAGATGCCTGTGACACCGCCGCATCGACGAGAGAAGCAGCAACAGTCCCAGGCTGCAGAGCCCGGTATGATGCCGAGGCCTGTTCAGGATTCTTCGCCCAAAGACTTTTCGTCGTCTTCGCCGCCCGGAGGATCAAGGTTGAGTGGTTTCTTCAATGCGACCAATCTCGTCTTCCACGGTGACACAGGGGCCAGTCATGCGGGCGGACAACATCGAAACTCAAACGAAGAGGGGCACAGCGACCACGAAGGAAAAAGAGGGAGTCCCGGCCGCAGAAACGGAGTGCTGCTGGGTGCGACAAAGGGGTTGAATATCTACAAAAGACAAGAGGAGACGTCCTCGTCATCTCTACCATCACAGTCTCCGTCTCCGCCTCACTCGACTGCTCAAGCGCAGATGCTGCCAGAGTCCCTCGAGATGAACAGACTCGGGCCGCAGAGAAGCGCCCCGAGCTCGGTCAGGTCCAAGGTGTCTTCCGAGAGGACACATGGAGCCTTTTGAGAGTCACGAGCACGGGCAAATAGGACAGTTCCAAAAAGCATCATCATCGACAATTGCAATACCGAGACTCGCACAAACAATCTCTATCATCAACAACAGCTTCTCAGTCATCTCCTTACTGTGTGCCTTCATCAACAAGATGCAGCAGGTATCACGCTGGTTCTCAGGAGCTGGACATTCTTTCCTCTTGTACTCTCTCTCTTCTTCCTTGTCCACTTTCGAATCATACAGCTGTCAATCTTCTCCAATCCTCACTCTGTCTCACATTATGACCAAGCATGATGAAGACTACCGCCGAGACGCATTCATTGCGGTTTGGGTTCAGATTCGTCGACGAGATCTCAATGGTCTGACCAGGAACTATGTCCATCCATGAGCATCTTCATACATTAGGTCTCTAAAAAGCTCGTCATCCTCGTCCTCTTCTTGCTGCTTTTCCCATTCTTCATGTTCTTCACCCGGCGACTCCAACACAGCTTGAGCTGGATGAGGGAGATGCGGTCGGCTGCTCCATTCTGGCGAGGGTGTTGGGGACGCTCTCGAGCTGTCCAGCGACGTCGGAGCTGCCTCGTGCTCCTGTTCCCACAGCTTCTCCACATGTCCTTCCTCCTCGTCTTCAGCATATATAGCGGATAGGTCCTGGGTTGTTATACGACGGTGAGTCCAGATGTGGTGCGATGGCAGTGCTGACTCGGAACTGCTAGTCGGCGGCACGCCTGCTGATTCCGGCAGAGACGGATGAAATTGAGAAGGATGAGGGCGATAGAGTCTGTCCATTTGCGAAAGAAAGACGTTTGGCTGCGTGAAGACTTCTTCTGTCTGCTGCTCGTATTGATGTTGGTGAAGTGGTTGCTGCTGGATCTGGCGATGCGGATGCAGACGATTGGAAACTTGCGACTCTTCCGGGGGAGATGTGAAGGTATTTATGTGGAGCGGGACTTGAGAGAGGAATGCTGGGCCGTCGCATTCAAGATTCTCGAGGCACGCCGAACGCTGAGAAGGGGTCTCGAGCTTGTTGAGATGATGAAGCTGTCGGATGTAGATAGAGGGAGTTTCGACTTCGACTGGCCGCGAGGGGGAATCATGTGAAGAATGAACTGCTGACCCGAGCTGGAGAAGCTTGAAAGATGATGGCTGCGCGGGTACGGTATGAAGTTTTCTCCTCTCTCCTTCATGTCGACCTAAGTCAAGGGATCCTTTGTAAATGAGATAGGGGCCCACCGAAGGCGATGTAGGGACTGGAACGTTTGAGAGAATATGAGGAGAGGCTGTCCACGTTGAAGCAGAGCAGAGGGACTTACGCACCTGTTTCGACGGTAGAAGAGCTACGGTCCTTCACAAGAGAGGTTGCGATCCACTCTGGAAGTGGTGATGATGATTTTGTACTGTAGCCAGACTTTCAAGAGAACGATGAGTCAAAGATGCAATCGACCGCATACATGGTGGAACAAGCCCACCTCTCTCTTGGCTGTGGGCCACTTCGCTGACGTGTGACTCTTCTTGGGCTGCAAGTTGACATCCGAAGACAGGGTGTAGACTGATCGACGAGATGGAAAGCGGCCTGCGGGAGCCTTTGTCGCATCCTGATCCGCCTGCAAGGCACGCAGAAGCTTTCGATCGGGACGAACCTCATCCCCGAATGGAAGGGTGATACGACGACCGGGGTCAATCCGTTGGCCGCTGCCTTCTGGTGTGCCTGTGTGGTCTTCAGCTTCTATGGGACTGTGTCAGGGCGAGCGGACTATGCTACATGCGTACGGTGTTGTCATTCACCGGTCCCTGAAGCATCACTGGGAGCATGTAAAACGGGGAGCCGTCAGCGCTGCTGACGCGTACAAGAAGCTCTTTCCCTCCAGCTACAGACGTCTTCGCCGTGTCTCGTCTCCATCTATTACCACTCTTCCAAGATCTGTTGATTCCCTTTGCAGGATGCCGAGAGTATGTCGGCATATGTACAGCTTTACACACGAATGGCTCGAGGAGCGTCTCGCGCAACCGTCAAAACGGACCGGCGACGGGAAGGTGAGGTGAGACACTGACACTGCTTGGACCGGCCCTAGCGCGAAATTTTGAAAGCGCACGCTTGTCCCCACACCGCCCCGGGAAGTGCAGTCGCGCAGGCAATCGCACACGTTTTCGGAATTGATCTTCTTCGCCTCGGCCACTCCACGTCCTATTCAGTCTTTCACTCTTCGGCGTCCATTCTACTTCACCTTTTCCTTTGGTCTCTACTCTCTCTCACTCACCATTCGTTGAGGTAACCCCTCTTCCTCGAACCGCAGGCCAAGGCGCCTCTCTCCACTACATCCTCTTTCCTTGAACTTCCCCTCTCTTTCCCTCTCCACTCCTTCCCGGCTCCGAGCTCGGCAGCCGAGCGTCAGTCCTCAAGATGTGCATCCCCAAGTCGAATCACAAGAAGCTCATCGACGAGTGCTACCCTGCGCCAAAGACGTTGGCCACATCCGGCCCAGACTACAAGGCCAACGGCAACGAGCTGAGCAGATTGGCCTACTATGCCAACCGGAAGCCGGCCAAGCTTCAAAAAGTCGGAAAGGTTCTCGAGCAGCGTGCATCCGCCGACGCAAAGGGTGTCTCTGGTTCGGGACAGGCGTCCGACAAGGCAAAGGGGTGAGTCTTTAACTCGTCGCCGCACTGGCTCGTGTGTCCCTCAGCTGACCACTGCTGGATTTTTCGACACAGCGGACTGATGATCACCCTGGCCATCACAAAGGAGCTGGTGACGGAATGCAAGCGAGACCTCAACTACTTCTCCTCGTCGGTGGAAGCTATCATCGGTTCAGGTCTTCAAGCCGCCTCTCGCGGTGGTGCTGGTGGTTGTCGGGACCTTGACGTCAGCGCTCGCGCCGCCAGCACCTTCTACGCCCTCGCCAGCTTTGTTGATCCCTCGACGGCCGCCGGCGACAGGGACGTCGGAAACGGCTATCGAAACCTGCTCTCGCAGCTTGCGAAGCTTTCGACGGAGAGCAACCCGGACCGAGATGAACAGAACAAGTGAGCAAACCACACAGCTGCCTTTTCTGCAGACGACGAGCTGATCCACACACCCCTTTTGCCAGAACTCGACTCATCGGCCTCGGTGCTCTGGCTGGCGCAGTGGGCTCAGACGCCCTCTACAAGAGCTCTTTCGCAGAGCAAGCCTCCATCGTCGTCCCGGCTCTCCTCGTTAACCTCCTGCCTGACGGCATCGATCTGCAGACCCTCGAGTCGGAAGCCACAAACGTCTCTCAGGGCTCGCCCACATACGCAGACTATGCAGCCAAGCGGAGACCCGTCGCTTCTCGCAGAGTGCCCTCTCTTGCTGGGCCACTTGGCGAGGAAAAAGGTCCGACCTCGGAGAATGTGGCTTCGGCAGCCATGGGCACGCTCCAGACGCTGCTCCACAACGGCGATGCCTCTCATGTGCAGACCATCGTCGCCTCGGTTGTCAAGTTCCTCGATGGCAAGACGGGCCTCGCACCCCAATGGATCAACAGAGAATGGTGCTCCTGGCTTGCCAGGGCCATCTGCCAGTTCACAGCGCTGCAGTACCGGTTTATTGTCCTCACAGCCTTTGTCGAGTTCCTCATCGAAGATGCCGATGGCAAGATTGGAGAGAAGCATTTCACCCTCGTCGCCATGATCACCCAGCTTCTCAATGGAGACCTCAGCATGATTGGCCTCAGCACCTCGGATACAGCCAACAATCTCCTCGGCCTCGTCGTCCGGCGCATCCACACCAACCCTCAGGACGCCATTCTGCCCGCTCTGGTTGAATGCATCAGCGCTCTTGGCACCCACATCTACTATGCCGATCAGCTCAATGACATGGCCGAAGAGGTCAGTGCGCGTATCATTGCTCTCCAGCTGCCCGAGCCCGACACCGCAGAGGCTGCCAAGCTGTCATCCGGTGATCGCAAAGCTGTCAAGACGAACGACTTGGCAAAGAATGAGAGCATTCGTGTGCTGCTCGCCTGCCTCGTCGGCCTCATGAACCGGGCACATCAGTCTAGCGGAGAGGTCCAGAAAGGCTCAGATGGTGAAGCCATTGGCCAAGAGAAGGGCAAAGCGGCCAATGGCGACATTACCATCTCGGCTGCTGGACACCGCAACCGGATCTCCACCTCCGTTTGGCACCAGACAGCCTCCCTTCTCGCTTCGCCCAACCACACTGTGCGACTGGCTTATGCTCAGGCTCTTGCTGTCTTCCTTGAGACGGAGGTCAGCTCGAGCACGTTGGAAGAACGCAACGACCCTCTCAGCGATAGCCTTGGCTCCAAGCTTAGCATCGAGGCGACGGGCTTCACCCACTCCTTCTCGGCCGCTGCCTACGTGCTGGCTCTCAGCAAGACGCTGTATTCACCCACGACCATCAGAGAGAGCCCACTCGAGGGACTGACTGCCATCGATCGTGCCAATGCAGACGAGGTGTCCAGTCACGCATCCGGCGACAGCACCTCCTCGGCGCTGCCTGTCGACTACGCCGGCTTGAGCCGCAACCTGTCGCTGATGTACGACCGGATCCCCATTGCCGCCGTACTTGGCACTGTGCCTGGTCTGCTTGCCTTGGATCGCAGCATTGGCTCTCGTCTCAGCGAGGCTGGCGGTATCGGGGGCGCCTCGGCTCAAAAGAGATCAGCCGCAAGAACCGTCGTCGTAAAGGCGTTCGACAAGATCGCAGAGGTATGGGATATTGGCACACTCAAGTCCAAAACCCGATCTGCCCTCGCGCACACTGTTGCCGACAATCTCCCCGAGCTCCCGCCAGCGCCACAGGGTCTGACTCTAGCCCCGGAAGCAGTTCCCTTCTCGGACTCATCATTCGTGGGCGAGAGCAGCTCCAACACGACATCGACAGTGGATGCGAAGACGGTCATCGACAGCCTGTCAAACAGTACAAAGGTGCAGTCGGCCACGGGCCTCGACAGCAAGGCTCTCCAGTCTTGGTTCAGCCGCGACTGGTCAGTTTCGATTGCCGTCGACGATTCTTTCGTTGGTGCATCGCCATTCAAGCTGCCGGAAGAAGATGGCGCACTGGGTGCTGCAGCCCCGACGCTGCCGATGAGGGTCGTCGATGGTTCCACGACGGGCTCCTATGCACAAAGCACCACATCCACATCCAAAGGAGTAGGCATCGACGACTTCCGCGAGGCCCTTGGCAACCGATCATACGGCTCGGGCAAGCGGCCTGGCGGCGGTGTGGGCATTCCGTCGGATCTCGAAGGTGCTCAGTCATCTTCAAACGGCGGCAGCATTGGCCTCAATGGGTCCGCAGGCAGCCCCATGGCCGACCGAAGGGCGAGCCGCCGCGTGAGCCGAAAGGTTAGCGCCCAGCAAAACCAATCGTCGTCGTCGGATACATCTTCAACACTGCTCCCGCAGCAACAGGCGGCCAAGAGCAGCCTCGCGAGCCCACTCGTCAGCAACGGAAGCGGCCAAGGCGGGCTCGGTGGCTTGTTGGACAGCATGCACGTCGGCATCCCCGAGAATTCGGTCTTGTCGTCGACGGCTGGTAGCAACGGCAACAGCAACCAGGCCTCGACTCCCGTCATTCCGCCTTACGCCGCTTAGGCACCGCTCTCTTCCCACCACTATCAACCACTGTCCTTTCTCTACTTTTCTAACAAGTCAATCGACCCCCAAGTCACTCTTTTAGACCAGAGACGAGTCTCTCCGTCATACCCGTCGTTTCCTTTTCCTTACCGGTAGATCATCCTTTACTTTTTGCACGAGAATCCTTTTAGTCTAGATTGCTTGGAAAAAAAAGATAGCTTTACATCCGCTCCAGTGCTGTTTTGAGAAAACGAGGGAAAGGTTAGCATGAGCAAGGAGGAGGCAACAGTGGGGCAGAAGCAAGTGTGAAGCAACTCACGAGGAATCGTCAGGAGTCGGAGCGCGGCGCCCAGAACAAGCCGAGCGCACCGGTACATGAAGAGCCGAGCGAGGGCGACGTCCTTCTCCTGGCCCTTGACAATGACAACCTCCCACGCGCTCGAGACAGCGTGAGTGAGCCGGAAGCAGTACTGGACAACGACGCTGGGCTGGAGCTCCCGCGTGGCGTACTTGACAATATCTGGCCAGCTGGCGAGGATGATGAGAAGCTCCTTTGCCTTGTCCTCTTTGAGCAAGTCGAGCCGGAGCGTCGCAGGATCCAAGGGGTCTGGCAACCGCAAACCATCCGTCTCGGCGACCCTGCGCTCAACAGAGCAAAGCCGAACGTGGTTGTACTGAAGGTAAGGCCCCGTGTCGCCTTCGAAACTCAACATCCGCGCCCAGTCGAACTGGTAGTTGTTGATCCGCTTGCCCTGCATGTCCTGGATCTTGACAGCGGTCATGCCTGTGATGTCGGCCGTCGTCTCTGGGTCCTCTACCTGGGCATACTTTTCCGCATTGGTCTTCATGACATTGTGCATGTTTTCCTTGGTCTCTTCGAGAATGTGGTCCAGGAAGACGGCTGTGCCCTTCCGGGTCGACATGCCCGTGACCATGCCGAAATTGATGTGCTGCATCCGGGGATCCTTGGATGGCTGCGCCCAGTCGTAGCCCATCAACTCGAGCACTTTGAAGAATTGGGCCGTGTGCAGATCTTGCTGCGTGGCAATGACGTAGAACATCTTGTCGAACCCGGATCCCTTTTCGGCAGTCATCTTGTCCCACCGCTGCTTGGCCTCGGCAATGTCACGAGTCAAGTAAAGCGGCGTGCCGTCTTTCCGCTCCACGACGGCCTTCTCGAGCTTGTACTTGGTCAGGTCGATGAGCAGCGCTCCATTATCGGCCCTCTCGACAAAGTCGGCGGTGCGGATCTTGTCCAGGGCCTCGGCGATGTTCTCCTTCTTGACCTGCGACTCGCCACTGTAGACGTCAAAGTGAATGTTGAGCCGGGCGTAGGTCTCTTCGTACTTCTTGATCGAGAGGTCCCGGAACTTCTTCCAGAGACCGAGAGCCTTTTCGTCGCCGTCCTCCATACTCTTGAAGTACGCCCGAGCCTGGTCGTGCAGCTCGGGATGCTCATCAGCCTCCCTGTTGATCTGCACGTAGATATCGTAAAGATGCTTGACGGCGTCCTCCTTGAGCTTCTCTTCGTTTCCGAACTTCTCCCATGCGACGGCGAGAAGGCCTTCAGATTCGCGGTCAGCGACATGTGCGAGTCAGGGCACAGAGGAGATCCTCGACTCACCAAATTGCTTGCCCCAATCGCCCAAGTAGTTCCACCGCTCAACATACCAGCCGTTCGCCTCGTACAGGTTAGCCAAGAAAGCGCCAATGATGGTACTCCGCAGGTGACCAGCATGGAACGGCTTGGCAATGTTGGGCGATGAGAACTCGACGATGGCCTTCTTTCCCGCACCACTGCGGTTGGTACCGTATGCAGAGGTTTGCTCGGCGACGCTCTTCTTCTTGTCGGCAGAATCTGAAGGAGGCGGCGGCGTCATGGCTTGGATGGTGGAGAGGACGAGATTCGAGAGGGTCGAGGTAGGAACGATGTAGTGCAGGAATGCACCTTTCGCTTGCACGCTCTCAATCCATGGCGATGGTTGAAACTGGCAATACCAGGTCCGTCATCAACTCAAGTCACAAGGCTGTATATACAACCAGCTTACTTACGGCTTTTGCGACCTTCTCCGCCAGCTCCGGGGGCTTGCCAGATTTGAGCCGGAACCGGGGGATGGCGACGCTGAAGTCGCCCTCTTTGTTGCTGACCTGGACACCCTCGAATGCAGCCTCGAGGGAGATCTCGGGGAGGGCTTGGACGAGCGTCTGTGCAATTGCCAGCCTGAAAGCGATGTTGGGGTTGTCGGTGTGTTCTACACCTTGAATTTTGGGCAGCTCGGGCAGCTGCGAGAGCAGAGCGACGCCATTAAAGGGAGCCATCCTCTTGAAACCGCGAACGTCTCTCTTCAAGAGATGGTAGGATGCGGCGCTGGCGTGTCGGAGAGGGCTGCACAAGCTCCTGAGCAGATACGTGGTGGAAATGAGGATAGACCGTAGTCGATGGGAATGAAGAAGGCCAAGTCTTCGAGCGAGCGCCAAAAATGTCGAGAAAGTTAGGAAATTTTGAGTCACCTGCTCTGTCATGAAGTTTGTCATGTCACAATCGGCCTTTTTGTACTTCGCATCGCAGTGTCCATCGCGGCCTAGAGACGACGACGACGACCTGTGCCAACAAGGATAGGCATGTCGTCGGTCGGGTACGGATCGAGTCGCAATGGTGGGTTTGGAGGGGGCGGAGGGGAGGAGGAGGGTGATAGACGGGACGCTACCAAGGCCGATATGGACTCGATGAGGATCCTGTTCCAAATTGTCACGAGGCAATTCTACGACGATGCCCACGTCATCCTGGTCGACATCTTGTCAAAGCATCAGGTGTGAGTTGCTGTGATGCCCAAAGGGGAGACGCAAGACTAAGCAAGAGGGAATGTGCAGGGTTCCGCAGGACATCATGGCCTCTGCTATGGGCATTCAGTCGAAGGAGGTGCTCCAGATTGCCAACAGACTGAGGGCCGACAAGTTGATTGATATGTGCGTAGTCGCGGTCTTGGAAGAGCCTCCCTGTGTGTTCTGAAACAGTTCATCTCCCCATGTAGTGTCAGAAAGAGTGAAGTAAAGGAGTCGGCAGGTCCATCCAACTTCCAGCGGGCAGTCAAGTGAGTCTCTGGTATTGCCATTGTCCCTCTTTCTCTGCTTTCTCCTTTTGCTGACCTTTGCTGCTGCGCAGCCGGTCGTACCTCGCCCTGGATCCCAAGATGTTCCTAGACGTGACAAAGTGGCGCATCGCAAAGATGCGATCGCAGATTGACTCGCTTCTGCGCAACGAGCTGGACAACAAGGGCTATATGTGTCCTCGCTGCCGCAAGTCCTTTTCGACGTTGGACGTGGCTCAGCTCCTGGATCCCATGACGGGTGCCACTTTTGTCTGCGACACGCCGGGCTGCGGCAGCGAGCTGGTGGACAACGAGGATGCAGAGGACGTCAGACGATCAAAGGATCGGCTGAGGCGTTTCAACGTCCAGCTGGAACCAATCCTAGTCAGGCTCAAGAACACCGAGCTGCTGACCTTGCCGGAATTCGATGCCATGGATATCATCGCCCGGCAAGGAGGGTCGGAGCAGTGGAGGCAGCGGGCAGAGCAGCGACTCAAGCAGAAGGGGGGCGCGCTCTCGAATCTCTCGCTTCCCTTGGCGTCCGCCTCAAGTAGCACAAGCAACGCCGGTCCGTCTGTCTCTGTGGACATGACGACGACAAATCCAGAGGTCGAGGCAGCGCGACGAGCCGAGCGTCAGGCCGAGGTGGAACGCATGCGGGAGCAGAATGCGTTGCCCGTCTGGTTGCAGCAGGACGTGCTCGGTCAAAAGATCCCTTCCAAAGATCAGCAAAGAGAGGAGGCCTACCGTCGCGATGCAGCGGCCGCGCAGAACCAGAACGACGACTCGGCCGCTGGCAACATGGAAGACTGTGAGTGTGAAGAAAGAGAGGATTGTTGGCGTACAGGTACAGGAGTGTGTCTGACTCTCTCTCTTTTATGACGACAGACTACAAGCAGTACGCCAATATGGCTGCCGAGGAAGGAGAAGACGACGAAGATGACATGGAGGATGTCGACACAGGGGTTGACACGCCCGCAAATGGCACAAACACATCAGAGGCACAGACGCCGAGCGGCAAGCGCTCGAGAGAAGAAAGCGAGTCCACGCCAGCGTCGAAACGGTTAAAGGGAGAAGGAGAGGACGAAGACGAGGATGACGAGGATGATGACGACTTTGAAGAAGTTGCCTGATGTATTTTTAAAGCAGCTCCTGCATCCCCCTTTCTAACTATCGAGGGCCCGCTGAGCATCAAGTAGGATCCAAATTAAGCCAGATTTAGCAAGGCGTTGGACTTGCAGAAGCAGACCTAGCATTGATGCTCACCATGAGCTTGACCCTGACCGGCCTGAAGTGGTTTCTGCACATCTCGGACGTCACGACACCGTCTTCAGGGGTGGCCGCACTGATGCGCTCGGCAAGTTTGAGCCAGTCCTTTGGGAATGCTTCGATCATGGCTGTGAATGCTGCTGTGTTAGGTATAATCTTTCTCTTTCGACTTTCGTCTCGGTGATCCATACTGACCCTCGAGGAATGCCTTGTTCTGTGCGGGAGTCCAGCTGTGCGCCTTTGCTCGCTTGGACGGCGTCTGCTTGCAGTCGTCCAAGTCTTCCTGCTCCCTGCGCCTCTTTTTCGTGGGCGATGGTGTGATGCGATCAAGTCTTGCCGCGGAGAGTGACGTGGCAGCGCAATCGTTTTCTTTTTTCACGGTGGCAGGCATCCTGAGGGATTCTTGTTGTGCCAGGGGTAGGAGGGGTGAGATGTGAAGGAAGTTGGAGAGAAGGTCACTGAAGGCAGTTCAGCACATCAGCGTCGCGGAGCGACGACCTTTCGAGGTAGGAGAAGCCCGCCGCCCTCCGTTGGGGGCCGGTGGGCGGCAGCGGCCATCACCAGCGACAGAGAAACAGTCGCCTCACCGCCGCGCTGCAGCGGCAGGGGAAGCGTGCTCTTCGCTCAAGAAGAGGCCCAAGTCCCCCTAGAACGTAATGCGATATAAGATGCATTCGTTCATCATGCTTGTCTGCTTGCCTTTCTTTCACAAGTAGTACGAAGTTTCATGGAGGAACGACCTTGCTCGCCAGCCAATGAACGGGTGGTGGCGGCTCCCCTCGTTTGCGCTGTCAGACGACAGAGGACGCGTCAGGTTGACTGTTGGTCTACACATCTGAGACATTTTGACGGCCGGCCATGAAAATTTTAGAGCGCGCGCGCGCACACACACAAGATTACAACAGTAAGCAGCAATAAGCGCGACCCCTAAATTTCAACTGGAAAGCAACAAACAGGCTCCTCAAGACAACGTCGACGAGAACAAGGTGGGCTTTCTTTCACTCATCTACTATCACCCCCTCTTTCCTCTTCCCTCCCCTCCCACCCTCGGCGCTTCTTATTTGCTTCTTCATTGTTTTCTTCTCAACTTAGCTCACTGTTGTGCACCAGCATGCATATGATGCCGTCTTCGACACCGTCGCAGGACCTGACGGCGGCCTGGCACGCGGCGGCGCCTCCACCGCCGCCGCCTCGAGGCATCGTTGGAATGTCGAGCAAGCGGTCGGCCTCGGCCCTCTTTATGCCTAGCAGCAGCAGCAGCAGCCACCACAGCCCAGTCGCACACTCGCCTTCCTCGTCCTCCCTGGGCTTCGATCGGATCACGCGGGGGGACGACCTGCCGGCCGATTCCCACGCGCCAGAACCCGAGAGGCCCGTGAGCCGCAACGCCATGGCTCGGGAGAAACAGCGGCAACGCGCGCGCACCAGCAGCACGAGCAGTGGCAGCGCGATTCTTGCCGGTGCTGGAGCAGGAGGACCATCGATTGCGAGAGCGACATCTCCAGCACCACCACCACCGCATACACAAGCACAAGCACAAGCACCGCCTCTCCAACAAGCTGCACCTGCGACCGCCGTCCGAGGCCACAGCTTTGGCAGCGCATACAGCCAGCCTCCCACGCCACATTATCACCCATCTCCATCGCCTGGGATTGGGCAGCAAGCGTACGCGCCGCCTCATGCAATGCGAGGGAGATACGACTCGAGTCCGGCCAGCGCTGCTCCTTGGTCTACCTACTCTGCTGGGCCAGGCCAGCAGCAGCAGCAGCAGCAGCCACAATACTCGCCTCCGCAAGCTGCGAGCCCGCAGCCCCAGCAGGGCTACCCACAGCAGCCAGTCTATGGCTACGCCGCCCCTGCCGCCGCCGCTCCTCCCCCTCCTCCTCCGGGCCAGTGGCAGCAGCAGGCGCCCCCTCATCAACAGTACTATGATCCAGCGTCCGCCGCGCAGCATCCTCCGCCGCAAGCTTGGCCGGGCGCCGCGCCTCCTATGCAGCAGTACCACGCCGCTTCGCCAGCACCAGCCACATATACGGCCTACCAAGCACCGCAGGCCACGCATCCACCGCACATCGCAGCGCCCCCTCAGCAACAGCAATGGCAGGCACAAGCAGGCTACGCGCCTCCCTCACCCGTCCAGATGCCGCCTCCAAGCCAGCCAGCGTCCTACTTCCAGCAGCCTCCAGCACCAGCACCAGCACCAGCACCAGCACCAGCACCACCAGCGCACGCATCAGCCGCAGTGCCTTTCCCGAGCAACGCGCAGATGCCACCACCTGTTGCCCACACTACCGCCGCGCCACCGGCCACGTACAATGGGGCCCAGGCTGCATCGTCGCGATCTTCCTCGATCGACAGCAGCCTCTCGGGTGGCAGCGCAAGGACGTCGAGCATGGGCTCCCTCTCGGGCACCGTGAGGCGAGGACTGCCCCAGCCGCCGATCCAAAATGGCAGGCAGGCGCACGTTCCCGTTGCTGGACCAGAACCAGGAGCCTCGCAGGCAGCGGCGGCAGCGGCGATGGCGACGGCACCCAATGCGAATGCGACGCTGGGACGGCATGACAGCGTCAGGATGGCCGCCGAGGAAATCATGAGTCGCGGTCCACCGAGGAGAAAGGGCATGCCCAGGGGGTTCGGTCCCACATCTGGCAGCACGAGCTCGTCGACGACGTCCAACAGCACTAGCTCATCGTTGAGCAAGGCATTCTCGCGGACCGACTCCTCGGCGAGCTCCATCTCGAGCCAGATGGAAGCCGTCTCACTGAAGGATCAGCCGCAACAGCACCACCAACAGCAGCAGCAGCCGCCTGCGCCAGTGCCGGCTGCTCCGGCCCCTTCGCAGCCAAGCCCGCGTGCGATGGCTCCTGCGGGTGCCCATGTAGCCCCACCTCAGTCCGTCCCCGTCCGAGCTGCCTCGCCCAGACCGATCAGAGCAGCACCTGAGCCAGCGCCAGAGGTGACGGTTGCCGACGTCGAAGCAAAGGACATCATTCCCGATCGACCAAAGTCCAGAGGGCCTCGTGACGACTTGATCGCTGGCAGGGAGAGACGCGCATCTGTCATTGAGGCGACTGCGAGGGCCGAGAATGTCCCGCAGATCTTCAGTCCTCCGCCCGACACGGCGCCCCCCGTGCCAACGTTTTCCTTTGGCGGCGTCGAGGAAGAGGCGCCAAAGCGAGGCAGCAGCCCGGCTGTCCCGTCGATTGTCGTTCCTGGTGGTGGTGCAGGCGTGCCTGCAATCTCCGTCGGTGCTGACGACGATGATGATGGCCAGGCGCCGATGATCTCGATTTCAGGTGTCGACGACGACGACCAGGGCGTCAAGCCGAGTGGAAGCATCAGCATCTCCGTCAGCAGCTCCAATGTGGCCCAGCACTCGACGACGTCGAGCACCACGCCCCTGTCGGTCACCACGACGCCGGACCGTGGCCAGACGCCCGGCCCGCCGATCGCCAAGCAGTCAAACGTCGCACCCTTTGCCAACCACGCGCCGGCATCGGCGTCGTCGGTCGGCAGCGGTGCGTCGTGCGCAAACTGCCGCAAGTGGATCGGCGGCCGCGTCGTCCACGCCATGGACACGACTTGGCACCCCTCGTGCTTTGTCTGCTGGCACTGCGACGAGCACCTCGAGCACGTAGCCTTTTACGAGCACGAGGGCAAACCCTACTGCCACTTTGACTACCACGAGCTCTTTTCCAAGCGCTGCTTCCACTGCCGCACCCCCATCGTCGACCAGCGCTTCATCACCATCAACGACCCCGAGCTCGGCGGCGAGAACAATGGCGGCGGTGGCGAGCGGTGCTACCACGACTTGCACTTCTTCTGCGCCAACTGCGGCGACCCCTTCCTCGACCCCAAGGCGTCTGGCAGCGTCGCTGGCGCTGACCCCAACCTGATGAACATGGTCGAGGACGAGAACGGCAAGGTCAGATTCGGAGGACGAGAATTCGTCGTGCACAAGGGCTACCCATACTGCGAAAAGGTGAGAGAGAGAAAAACTGCTAGCTAAGTTTCTGCGATGCTGATAGCTTGAGCCCCCCTCCTCCGCGTTCTGCCTCACCCAGTGCCACGTCAACCTGCACAAGCCCCGGTGCAAGGGCTGCAAGAAACCCATCGCGACCGGCGACGTCATCACGGCGCTCAAGTCCAAATGGCACCCCGAATGCTTTTGCTGCGCCTTTTGCAACAAGCCCTTTGAATCCGAGAGCTTCTTCATTGGCAAGTCCGACGGCAAGCCCTACGATGAGGCCTGCTACCGGATCAAGCTCCGGAGCGAGATCTGAATGAAGAGAAAAGATTGTATCGTTATCGTCAAGACAGACCAAGTTGTGGTGTAGAAGAAAGAAAGAGAGAGTAATCAAGATTGCTGTATTCCTTTTCACTATTATACGATGACAGATAGAGGGATGGGGGGAATCAAAAGAAAAGACCGTGCTGTAGAGCGAACGAGAGTGAAGAGGTATCGGAGGAGGGGCCAGGAGCGATATCGAGAGAGTGTGTGCGTGCTAAAAAAAAAAAATAAGGATACAGGAGGTGGTCGGTCCATTCGCAGAGACAGAGTCTGAGATAGAGAAGGTGATACAGCGTCGAGACGAGAAAAGATCACAGAGGCATAGTCCTGGGTGTGTGCGTGCGTGCGTGTGTTTGTGTATGTATGTGTGTGAAGCGACAATCATCGCTGGTCATTGACAGTGACGCCAACACTGAGAAGGAGCTGGTCCATCCATTCTTGCGTGTTGAGCTGGTCGGCGTCTGCCATGCCCATCGGATCGTGAGCCTGTTGGCCGAGGTGCTGCTGGTTGTGCTGCATTTGTGGCATGTGGCCATTCAAACCAGGCGAGGAGGCCGAGGAAGAGCATGAGCCAGACCCCAAGAATCCGCTCGGCGGTCCCCCAGCATTCAACGAGTTGAATTGGGGAACCTGGAGGCTAAAGGCCGACGAAGCCGACGAGCTTGGCTCCATCGCCGATCCCATCGAGTTCTGCCGAGACTGGATGCTGTGGGAATGGTGCTCAAAGTGCACGGGCGAGAGTAGGGGCATGCTGCCGTTGTTGTGAGAGACGCCGAGGAAGCCTGACCCATTGCCATCGCCTCCGACGCCGCTGCCTTGGCTCGAGGAGAGCCCCGTGATGCCCAGGGCCGAGGGCGCGTCCACGTCTTCTCCATCCGAGTAAGACTGGAACGCACCGTTGTTCATCAGGTTCGTGTGTTGAGCCTGGTGAGCCTGCTGGAACGTCATGTCCAGGGGCGAGTGGAGGTCGTGCGAGAGCATGCCAGCAGATGCTGGGGCCTGCGAGGCCCATGCGCGAGTCAGGCGCTCGCGCTGCATCTTTGCCTCGTCTTCGTTTGCCATCGGAGGCGGGTCGCTGGGCGTGTGCACCAGCTGCGGGAAAGGCGTGATGGGCGTCTGCATCGCACGCTGCTGCATTGCGCCCCACGAAGTAGGGTTGTGCGTCGAAGGCGCAGGCGAGGGAGTGCCCGATGATCCGTTGTTGAGGTATGATGGAACAGGAGGAATCAACACCGTCAGGGGCTTGTTGGCTGACTGTCCACGCTTGCGAAGCAGCGTTGGAGCCTGAACATTGCCCATCTGTTGCTGCTGCTGCTGCTGCTGCGCCGTCTGCTGCATCGCTTGCATCGTCTGCATCGTCTGCTGCTGGGGCATCGGCGATGGTCCGGCCGAGAACAGCATCTGGCCGCCCTGAGGCCTAGGGCTGTTGGCGATGCTGTTGTGATCGACATTGTGGGGCGCCGGCAAGAGCATCTGGCCGCCACGGGGGGAAGGCGACAACTTGGAAGCCGTGAGGACCGAGACAGTAGGTGTGCCTGGCTTGCCGCCGAGGGCCTCGACGCATTCGAGGTCCCAAGCTACCACAAGGACGACGTCGCCCATGAGGCTTCCGGGGCTGACGTGAGAGGAAGCGCTTTCGTTGAGCAGATGAGCACCTGCGTTCGATGCCGCCGCGGCTGTCGCTGCCTCTCCTTGTTGCGTAGCATTGTCGTCGCCCGCGACGACAAACTCTTGAATGATTGTGACGCCCGAGACGGCCATGCCCAGTGCCGCTCGCTCGCTGGGCTCCTTGCCAAACGATTGAATGCTGTCACGCGAATTGTAGGGATGGTTACGGCTCAAAAAGTCGGCCCAGAAGTCGGTGGCGAATGGCGCCTGGTGCCAGTAACGGTGCCTGGCCGAGGACGCCGCGCCTCCCTCGGAACTGGGCATGGGGGACATCGCCTGCGACTCCTTCGCAGCGCCTGCGCCCGTCTCTTGACCTTGGCTGGGCGTCATTACAGTCGATGAGGAGTTCGAGGGACGACCCGAGATACGGCGTGGAGCATCAAGGGGCTCAACGAGGGAAAGGACGCGCTTTCCGTGCGAGTAGACACTTGTCACGCTCGTCAACTTCGAGCTCTGGTGGCTAGTCAGAGAGAGTTGCGTGTTAAAGTGGTCGTACCTCGGCAGCAGAACGTCGGATCTTGGAACTGAGAGAGGAACATGGACGTGGAGAAACTGGCATGGAAGCCGATGGTACATCTCTGCCAGCCTTGGGAAGCGGAAAGCGCCGACACGGACTGAGTCAAGCGGCAGGCGAGGCAAAGGCGCATTGCTCTGAGCGCAAGACGCCATGCTGTTGCGGTCGAGGCACGTGTAGATGTGCTTATCGTCACTGTTGGAGCAGTGAACCCACATGCTGAAGGAGGCTGGCAGGATGGGGCATACCGTCGACATGGCTGCCTTGGGGTCGGCTGGTGCTGACCCTGGACCGGGTGAGGGCAAGTGCAGGTTGTTGAAAGCCGAGGTGATGCCGGCAGACAGGGGAGCCTGGTATGCCTCGGGACCAAGATTATAGCCACCGCTGTTGAAGAGCGGCGAGGGCCCAGTGGACTGTGACGTCGGCAGGGGGCTTTGCATGGACGTCGGATAAGGCGAGAAGAGCGAAGCGCTGGCATTGTCTGGGGCAAAGGCCGCATTAGGACCACCGAGGCCACCGTAGCCGTACCCGGCCAGCGTCTGCGCATACATCATGCCGCCAGCGGGAATGTAAAAGTCTTCTTCGCTGGTAGGCTCGGCGATGAGCTGCTGGAATTCAGGATCACCCTTCTTGATGTTCTTGAGGACTTGGATGTGACTCGAAACTTGCTTCCTTGTCCGAACCTTGTTGGTCTTGCGCTCGATGTAGTCGGCAATCAGCTCATTGCGACCGCAAGGCTTTCCGTGCACCAAAACCTTGCGACGGCCCAGCTTGGGAATGAGCCGGAGAGCCTCCCAAAAGGCGACTTCGACGTCATCTGGCCACACGTCAGGCCCCTTTCCCTTCTCCGACTTGCTATCGCTCCGCTCCATCTTCGGAAGCCTCGAAGGTGGTCCCATCTGTTGAGCTCCTCCGTGCTGCTGCTGCTGCTGCTGTTGCTGTTGCTGGCGTTGTCGAAGCTGCGCCTGTGCTTGGGCCTGAGCCTGAGCTTGAGCCTGGGCCATTTGCATGGCATTGGCCGAAGCATCCGGGGGTGCGCTCTTGGGAGGCTGGGGTGTGTTCTCATCCGACGGTGAAGAAGACGAGAGAGAGTCGCCCAGAGAGCGCTGAGAGCCCAGAGAAGGAATGGTGAGGCCCGCCGTGAGACTGGCAATCTCGCTGGACCGATCGCCGGCAAGGGATCGTCGTCGCGGCCTGCCATGGCTGTCAGTCGACGCCGAGCCACCGCTGCTGTAGATAGACGTTGATATGGACGAGTTGTTGACCGAACTTGGCGTTTCGGTCAATCGGCTAGAGGTTGCCGAGCTATTCAAGCTAGCGGCGTGGGCCTGCATCTGCATCCAGTTGTTCGGCGGCGTTTGCTGGATGAGGTGCTGCTGTTGACCGTTGGAGGATGAGAGCGGCATGGTACTGTGCCGCTGGGGAGTCATGTTGTTCATTTGTCCGTTGTTACCGTCAGAAGTGACGGCAGAGGTGCGCCTCCGCTTACTCTCGTCGCTCATCGCCTGCTGCTGGAGCTGGAGCTGCTTGGCCAACATCTGCTTGTTGACGGGGCTACCATTGTGGCCCTTTGCCAGACTGACCGTCAACCGTGGTGGAGAGAGGAGCAGTTCGGCGTTCGACATGTTTGCAAAAGCGCTCAGGTCGAAGTCATCCTCTGCTGGAGGCGAAGACCGAAGTGTGAGCGCGTCGTCCGACGACGTGGAGTCTTCCACCTTGACGGGTTTTCTAGCGTGGGCTTCATCTTCGGTCGGCATGATGGGCTGGATGCTGTGGCGCCTCGAAGAGATGGAAGAACTACTGCGCTTGTGCGTCGAGCGCTTTCCCAAGAGAGAGGCCGGTCCGGCCGGCACCTCAGAGGGAGATTGAAAGCTGAGTGCGCCCAACAGGCTCGAATGCTTTGTGGGTCCAACATCTTCGCCGTCACTGCACGGCTCATCACGGCCGCCGTCCTCGTTGTCGTCTCCGTGCTCGCTACGGCCGTTTGCGTCGACGGTGGCCGAAAGGAAGCGCGCGTTGGCGGCTTGAACGTCTTCTTTTCGCATCGCGTCGCTCGGCAGGCTTACGGCCTGGTTCTCAGGCGTGCACAAGCTCGAGTTGGCGCTCGAGGACAGCGTCGAGTCCGAGTAGGTGGGCGATGGGAATAGGCCTCGCTTTGTCGCTTTCGGCGATGTTGTACGTTCCATGGGTGCTGATCGATGCTGCCTTGGCCTGAGGCACCGCTACCACTTGATTGGCCCGCTTTGAGGGTGATCAGTCGTGTGTGCGAGAATGCGAGAAATGAGCGTGTCTAAAGGAAAGTGACGAGTCGCTGTGGTCGGTGCGGTGTAGTGGTGAGGGATTGGTGTTTGGGGGGGAAGGAATGAAGAGAAGCAACGGATGGTGGTGACAATTGAGAGGCAAGGAAAGGGGAATGAATCTAGAAGAGGAAGGGGGAGTACGGTCAGCTTCTAATGCATGTCCTGGTTTCCCAGTCTAGACAAATCAACACCGATCGTCCGAAGGGTCGGGACTCCAACGATAAAGTAGGAGCCCGCCCGAAAGGATTGCTCCTGCCTGAGCATTTCGATCGACCCTTTGAGTCGAATGGGCAGGCGACAAACATGTACAAACATCTGCCTCTTTCGATGTGCAAGGGGCCGTACATCCGAAAGGGGATGTAACGACACGTACCATTACCACTACTACTATTAACTCACCTGCTGTGTTTCCTTAGAACCCTGGTGCGTCGCTCGGTGGAGATGAAGACCGAAGCTAGTCCAGGTCGACCTAAGGTAAGAAGATGATCGTCGCTTCACCGTGTCGATCTCAAAGCTGGCCGCTGGCGACTACTACTTTGGCACGCGGTGACCCCGTACGCTGCTGCCGACAGTTGTGATAGTAGTACTCTAACTTGTTGTTCCCCAAAGTGCAGGCTGGTTGCGGTCAATAATATGCGAGGAGTGGTGGTTTTGGCGGAGATGCTTGATGCAAGGTCGGTCGTCGAGACAAGCAAGGAGGCTTGCCTGCCTGCCTCTCTCCATCCGTCACAAGCTCGATCGAAGGCTAGGTGCTAAGAACTGTACTATAACATGCAGTACAAACTTAAATCGGGACCTTGGCTAAGATGTACTTCTTCGCTTTTTCGCTCACTTTTCCCCTCATAGGCTTCAGCCGCCTGTCCCCACCGACGGCCAACACTCTCGCATTGGCCCATGCTATCCTTAAAAGCATACAGGTAGCACTGATGTTCTGCCCCGACCCTTCTCACATGGAGCGGGTAACGGAAAAGCCCTGATGAATAGGCACAACCAATGCGGCACGTCGCATCTTAGCTGCACGACGGAAGATATATTTCCTTATCAATTTGGATAATTTGATTATAATATGCAGCGAACCTGCTTTTGTAATCCCCGAATTACTGTCTTTCCCCTGGCATAAAGACAGGAGTCGACGCGCAGGTCCCACCCACCGTCGAGCGTTCTTCTCTAACTCGTGGCTGGCTACCTTCGCCTATTCTGACCAGAGTATGGCCCGAATCTGAGAATTGTGAGGAGCGACTACCATAGCGGTTTGCATGGTGAGTGCTCACCACCTTTGTCGTCTCTCCTCGTCCAAGGCCATCTCAACGTCGACCTGCTTCATTATATGTCTTCATCAAGCGGCGGGGCCTCCACGGGGCGAAGCGAACCGTGCCTCGAGGGTGAATGAACTTGGCATCTTTCTTTGTGATACCGGGGTTCAAAGGAGGGAGCACCGGGTTGACCCAAATTTACGAGTTACTCCGTCAGAATGACAGATGTTGCACATTTTGGTCATTTTGACAGGCACTGCTATGTCGCTATGACAGAACATGAAGAAAGGAAGTGAAAAAGTGGAAAAGAAAAATTAAGCACGCAATTTCAGAACGTGGTCAGTAAGCGGTCTCTGTAAAGTAGCCTACTACTCAGTTCTCGGCTGGATCAAAGGCCAAAGTGCTCGCGCGTGCTGTTAGAACTTCTTAATCTTCCTGCTCTTCTTCTCTTCCTTCCATTCCTTCCAAACGCTCCTCAACGCACCGGAGACAAGAGACAAGATGGCCACTCAATCAAACGGTGCTCGTGCTCCCCTTCCCGAGGGACAGTTCCTCTTCACCTCGTGAGTTAACCACGAACAATGGAGAAGACTACTATCCACGGGCCCGTGCTGATCGCCATTCCTTCAGCGAGTCTGTCGGAGAGGGCCACCCTGACAAGATCTGCGACCAGGTTGCCGATTCGATCCTGGTGAGCAGATTGCATAACAGAGTGAACAGCAGAAGCGAGGCTGACACAGAGACAATTCCACAGGACGCCTGCCTGCAGCAGGACCCCAACTCCAAGGTGGCATGCGAGGCTGCCACCAAGACGGGCATGATCATGGTCTACGGCGAAATCACGACCAAGGCGCAACTCGATTACCAGAAGATCATCCGGAACAAGATCAAGGAGATCGGCTACGACTCGTCGGAGAAGGGCTTCGACTACAAGACGTGCAACGTCCTGGTCGCCATTGAGCAGCAGTCGCCCGACATCGCTCAGGGTCTTGACCACGGCAGCCTCGAGGACCACGGAGCTGGTGACCAGGGTATCATGTTCGGCTATGCTACCGACGAGACGCCCGAGATGATGCCCATGACGATCCAGCTCGCCCACAACCTCAACTTTGCCATGTCGGCCGCTCGCCGTGACGGCTCGCTGCCCTGGCTCCGACCCGACACCAAGACCCAAGTCACGATCCAGTACAAGAAGGACGGTGGCGCCATGGTCCCTGTTCGTGTCGACACAGTTGTCATCTCTGCCCAGCACTCCGACGACATCTCAACCGAGGACCTCCGACGGGAGATCAAGGAGAAGATCATCAAGAAGGTCATCCCCGCCAACCTCCTGGACGACAAGACCATCTACCACATCCAGCCCTCGGGACGCTTCGTCATCGGTGGTCCCCAGGGTGATGCCGGCTGCGTGGGCCGCAAGATCATCGTCGACTCGTACGGCGGCTGGGGCGCTCACGGCGGTGGTGCTTTCTCGGGCAAGGACTTCTCCAAGGTGGACCGATCGGCCGCCTACACGGCTCGTTGGGTCGCCAAGTCCCTCGTTGCCGCCGGCCTCGCCCGCCGAGTCCTGGTGCAGCTGTCGTACGCCATCGGTGTCGCCGAGCCCCTGTCGGTCTTTGTCGATGCCTACGGCACATCGAAGAAGACTGATTCTGAGCTCGTCGACATCATCCGCAAGAACTTCAACCTCCGGCCAGGTGTCATTGTGCGCGACCTGAACCTGCAGCAGCCCATCTACGCCAAGACGGCGTACGGCGGCCACTTTGGAAGGAAGGAGTTCTCCTGGGAGCAGCCCAAGAAGCTCCAGGTGTAAGGGAGCTTGTTGTGCACCCTTCAACCATGATTTAACTCGATTCAACATCGATGAAATCACCTCTGCTCTCCCTCTCCCTCCTCTTTCACTAAAATTACCACCTCTCATCTCGAGAGGGCTTCTCCTGGTGAGAAATGGCCGACGACGCCTCAATCCCACCCTTCGTTCGCACTCTTAGTCTTCTTGTTTTTCGCGTTTACCGGCGTTTTATCGTGTGTCACATCAACATCATACATCTGTAGTAAAAAGGCAATTCTAATCCACGTCAACCGTGCGCAACTTCTTCCGGTCTTGTCATGAAACATGCAGAAGTGAAAGGAGCCGAGCGGCTGAGCAAGTCTCTCATGTCTGACTCCTTTCCTTGAGTCAGTATCAGAACGGAAGCGGCAACTCATCGGACCCGAAAAAGAGTAGGTGCGCCGCCAAATGTCCACCTTGGGTATGGGATCCCTCTCAAGAGTCGCTCTAGCACCAGCACGCAGAGGGTGACTGTTGTGTCTGTGGATCGCTTTCGCCTACAAGACACCGAATGATTGTCGAGATGAGACGCGGCTCGATTTCCACAGATGATGCTGTACTGTCTAGCACCAGAGCGTCACTTCCTACCTCGTTGCCTTGGCGTGAGCAAGATCCCAATCACTACTTGTTCGTGCCACTGAGCATGAGGTTGAATTGAGCAGTTAGTTTGGCGTTGATGTCTCTGGACTATTTCACAAATTGAAGTTCGCGTTTCAAAAAATAAATAGTAGTGCATACTCCACATATCTGCATTCGTTGGCAACTTCCCGCTCATCTCGAGTGAGTCCCGAGCATAGAAGAAGACCTACGCGAGCGACGAGAAGACATCAGGCAAAGTCCTTGTGAGCCAGCCAGGTCTCCGCCATAGACTGCGCTGCCTTGGGCTGGTCGAGCGGCACCATATGGCCCGCATTCTTGACACTAATGTACGCCACAGCACCTTTACCGGAGCTGCGAACGTATCCGGCCTTCTTTCCGTCGACGATCCAGTCCTTCTTGTTCGTGGCCAGCTCGGAGGCGTAGTCGGTCTCGAGCTGCATGCTCCACCGTTCATTTCCAATTGCATTACACATGAACTGGGTTGCAAGGGGTAATGAGTAAGGGAGGAGGAGGAGGAGAAGGAGGAGGAGGAGGAGGAGGAAAAAAAAAAAAAACTCACATCAGCTTCTCCCGCATAGACGAGGAGGCGGATTCCGTCTTCGATCATCTCCGGAAGCACTGCAGAGGAGTCGTGCATTGAGTCTCCTTGCATCAAGACTGCGAAAGGAGAAGATCAGCACAGGTGAAGAAATGGGCTTAATAGAAAGCGTTGAAGGAAGAGAGAGAAGAAGAAGAAGAAGAAAGGGAAAAAGAGGGGGTGGCTGAAGAAGACACTCACAATTCTGGTTGATCTGCATGTTGCAGGCCTGATACTTGATGCTGTCGGGTACCCCGTACGCCTTCTTGACCGCAGGCTCGTTCATGTACCGCTCGACGTAAGTCTCGTCGCGGTAGCACAGGGGCCCATCTGCGTCGGGGTCACGGTTGCACGACTTTCGCACGTCGTACAGGTTCCGACCCGACTGCTGTGCGTCGGTGTACATGCCTGACCAGCAGTACAAGGCGGCAGGCAGGCACGTCAGCCTAGAGTCGTACTTGTAGCACTGGTCGATGAGGCTCTCGCACGTCTTGGCCTTGGACGTGAGCTTGACACATTCGGGGCTGTCCTTTCCCCAAAGTGCGTACTTTCCGTGGCAAGCGAAGTCAACAACCGCGGGGAATTGAATCTTTGGGTTCGTCAAGCCGTTGCCCAGCATGATCGAGTGGAGGTTGATGGCCTTCGGCGAGAAGGCCGTCTGAATGCTCTGCTCTTGCTGCGCCTTGATCTTCTTGTTCTCGGCGTGGATCTTGGCAGCGTAGAGAGGTGCGTACCTACCGCCGTACGATTCGGCAGCAATAGTGAAAGGCGATTCGCTGTATTCGGGGAACTTTGTAAAGAAGAGGCTGAGGAAGGCATAGACATCCTCGGCGCCCTGGGGCGTGTTGTTGACCTCGGATGACTCGCTGTACGAGTAGCCGACATTAACGGGCTGGTCGAGGAAGAAAACGCTAGCCTTGTTGGTCCAGCTGTGCTCATTGTACTTTGTCGCTGTGCCGTTCTTGTCGATAGTGCAGGGTCCGACACCCTCCATGAGCCAACCAGCAGACGACGAGCATCCAGGGCCTCCATTAAGCCACATGACGACGGGCTCCTTCTCCGGCGCAGCAGACGCCTTGCGAGAGCGAGACTCGAAGAAAGCGAACCAGAGATGCTTGTCTTCACCAACATCAAAGTAGCCGCTGTACGACTTGACGTCCGGGTCACACTTTGTCGAAATGTCCGACGACGTCGAAAGACGCAGTGCGTAGTCGGGGAATCGTGGGTGAATGAGCTTCTCGTCTGTGGAGAGTGATGTGAGTAGAAAGATTGAAAGTGCGACGCAGATTAGGCTCACATTTGACGCCATTGACCCAGACCAGTCCCTTGTGGATCCAATCCTGAGCCGAGGCAGTAGCATCGTGCTTGACGCCATCGACGGTCTTTTCGATGTTGGAGAGCAGCTCCTGGAGCTTCTCGTTAAGGTCCTCGGCGGCGTGCTTTCCAGTCTGCATAGCCTCCTGCAGCCACAGCTTTGTCTCGGCCTCAAACGACTTTTCAATGGCAGCGACGTCGAGTCGGTCGAAGTTGGGCCTGCCAATGGGCGCGGGCTCCGTCTTACTGTTGTCAGAATCCCAGTGCATTTGGCCGAGGTTGTCGAACTTGACCTCCTCGGCCGGAGCAGGAGCGCCTGTGGGCGTCGCTACGGCTCTCGAAACAGCAATGGCACAGACGGCCAGCGCAGAGGCCTTGGAAAGCCAAGAGGAAACCATGCTTAGTGGTGGCTTATCGGTCGGGGGAATGTGTGGTGTAGATGTGGGTGATGAAAGGGTGCTGAGTAGTCGTATCTCGAGCGCACAGCAAAAAGCCACGAAGGTACAGGGGTTTGTGTGGAGTTGATTATCTCACGCCACGTGGTATTTTAAATTGATCAAGCGGACCGTCCCATCGAGCTGGGAATCGTGGGAAGAAGCAAAGAGATGGACATCGCCCTGTTCGCCCAACTCGCCCGTGCGGAGGTCCAATAGAGGTCGAACGGTGTTCTCTTCGCCGGCCACAACTATCCCTTGAGTAGCTGTTGACGACATATCAGCATCAAGCAGTCAATGTAGATGAAAAGAGCTCACCTAGAGCATTCAAAAAGATCTGGTAGGTCTCGTCGTTTCTCACGGTGCTGGCCACGAGGGCGTGTACCTCGGCACTGCCCACTTCCAAGGCTGTTCTGAGGGTGCATGCCAGCGGCTCGCACAGTTCCGGGTCGTAGACGACATCGGCAGCAAGTATGATATCGGGTTTGAAGCTGACGAGAAGATCTCGATCGATGTCTCGCCAATCGAGCCCTTGCACCTGCATCATGTCCAATTGCGAGCAACAATCTGAGGAAAGATCGACCGTCAGTACTCGACAACAACGAAGACATGACGGAAAGAAAGACACACTTTTGTCAATGGTTGCCCGCAACCTATCCAGAACTTGTCCTTCTAGATCCGTCAGCAACACCCTTCCATCTTGCTGGAGCTGCCCACAGAGAGCTCCGAGCAGTCCCGCACCGCTTCCCAGCTCCAAGATTCGGACGCCGGGTCTGAATATTGAGTAGGCGTGGGCGACGAGAAGCGAGGCCAGACTCAGACTTGCCTCCCATGTCTTGAGACCCGTAGTCCCCCTTGTGATCGTCGAGACCTCCTCCTCGAGTCGGACACTGTTCCATCCCGCGAACACACCATCGCCTTGTTCCGAGCGATTGGTGCCAGGATAGTAGTATGTGACGGTCTGGCTCAAGTCCCTTTGCGAGCTTGCGGCCATCAAAGAAGCATAGTGCTCCACTATCGCCCCGTCCACCTCGTACTCTTCCCCATCATCGTCAATCTGCACCTTTTCGATGGCAAACTCCAATTTGGACAACAGCACCTTGGCAAACGTCTTCTGGTACTGGATCGAGCCTCCTTCTTCCTGAAAGAGGTCGCGACAGAGATGTTTTTGTGCGCGCAACAAGTCAGAAGAATTTGGCCAGACAAGTTTATCTCTTGGCGGAAAGCGAGAGGCGAACTGGAGTTTCAGAAGACGCCTGGCTACTACCGCACCATCGCTCATACCTGCCTCCCCTTCTTGCCTCTCGCTGCTCGTTGAAGTGAAGGGACGAAGAAGCAAGCAGTGAGAAGACGACGGATCTCTCTTGTTCGAAATCACGTGATTTACCTCCACCCTCTCTCATGGGTAGTCACGATTCGTGATCTTCTGTGTCGACCAACAACCATGGGCAAGCTCCAGATCTCCATCGATCGAGGGGGAACATTTACCGACGCTCTAGGGAGAATACCCGGCGAGAGAGACGATATTGTCGTCAAGCTTCTCTCCCACGACCCAAATAACTACAAAGATGCGCCCCGCGAGGCGGTGCGGAGAATCGTTGAGATAGCCAGGGGGACAAAGATTGCCCGAGGCGACAAGATCGAGACTCACGACATTGGTGAGTGCTTCAGTCTCTCGCTCGAGCATTCTCTGTCTGACACCTGTCTTCAGAGTACATCCGTTTGTCCACGACCGTCGCCACCAATGCACTACTTGAGCGTAAGGGGGAAAAGCATGCCCTAGTCACCTCAAAAGGGTTTAAGGTGAGCATTTCCTCATCTCCGTCGCGTCTGCACTCGCTCAAGGAGCTCTTTGCAGGACATCGTACAAATCGGCAACCAGTCGAGGCCCCGTATCTTTGATCTCGCTATTCGCAAGCCAGATGTCCTCTACTCAGATGTGGTCGAGGTGGACGAGAGGGTCACGCTCGTGGGCTACACATCCGACGTGCATGCCGACGAGAACAAGATCAAGTTTGATGACTCGTCCAGAGTTGTCCGGGCATACCAAGGCGAAGATCAGCCTCCGCCCCCACACGGGGCGAAAAGTAATGTTGCGCCCGAGATTGTACAAGGTGTCAGCGGAGAAGCCGTAGCTGTGCTCAAGAAGCCCGATCGCGCCACGATCAAGAGCGATCTTCAAAAGCTCTATGACCAAGGCTACCGAGCGCTGGCAGTCGTTTTGATGCACAGCTACACGTATCCGGAACACGAGAAGATCGTCGAAGAGATTGCCAAGGAAATTGGTTTCCAGCACATCTCGGCCAGTTCTTCACTCATGCCAATGATCAAGGTGAGGTGCCTCTACCTGGCAGCTGCATACATCAACGAAAGCTGACTTGGCACTAAGCTTGTTCCCCGAGGAACATCATCGACCGCCGATGCCTACCTCACACCGGTTCTTAAAGCATACATCGACAGCTTCTTCTCGGGCTTTGATGCCAGCCTCCGCGATGGCACTTCAGGGACAAGAGTCGAGTTCATGATGTCAGACGGCGGTTTGACGAGCGTCGAGCGCTTCAGTGGGCTAAAGAGCATCATCAGTGGGCCTGCCGGTGGCGTCGTGGCCATGGCGCGCACTGCGTTTGACGACAAGGACGGCAGGCCAGTCGTCTCCATTGACATGGGAGGTGTGTACCTGCACTTCTGCCAGTGACCAAGGGTGAAGCTGATCATTTCGTTGCGGTTTAGGCACCTCGAGCGACGTTGCACGGTATGCTGGCAGGTATGAGCAGGTGTTTGAGACGACGCTCGCCGGCGTCACGATTCAATCCCCGCAGCTCGATGTCAATACAGTCGCCTCGGGTGGTTCGTCGCGCCTCTTCTTCCGTAACGGTCTCTTCTCCGTCGGGCCCGAGTCTGCATCTGCACACCCTGGACCTGTCTGTTACCGGAAAGGAGGGCCATTGGCCATCACCGACGCTAACCTCGTCACGGGTCATCTCGCCGTCGAGATGTTTCCCAAGATCTTTGGCCCCAACGAGGACCAGGGTTTGGACGAGGAGGCGACGAGGAGCGAGTTTGAGAAGCTTCGGAAGCAGATCAATGATGAAACAGGCAAGAACATGTCCCTCGATGAAGTCGCACAGGGCTTCATTCGCGTGGCAAACGAGACCATGTGCCGCCCCATCCGAGCTCTGACGGAGGCCAGGGGCTATTCCACCTCCAAGCACATCCTTTGCTGTTTCGGCGGTGCTGGCGGGCAGCACGCGTGCGCCCTTGCTCGATCCCTCGGCATCACAACGGTGATGGTGCACTGCTACTCATCGATCCTTTCGGCGTACGGTATGGCTCTGGCCGATCGTGTATTTGAGCAGCAAGAACCGTGCTCCGAGACGTGGGGTACCAAGGAGGTCGAACAGCGAGTCGCCGCGAGGGCTGAAGAGCTGCAAAATCGCGTCAGGAAGGAATTGGAAGGGCAGGGCTTCCATGGCGAAAGATTACAGATTGAGACGCTCCTCAACCTCCGCTACGATGGGACCGACACCAGCCTGATGACGCTGAAACCGGCAGAAGGCTGGGACGTAGAAAAGGTCTTCCTCGACACCTACAAGCAGGAGGTATGTTCAATAAAAGTGGACCCAAAAGTGGAGAGAAAAGTGCTGACCTGTGAGCGGACGCTTAGTTTGGCTTTGTCCTCAATGATAAGTCGATCATTGTCGACGATATCCGGGTGCGAGGCATCGGCAAATCGTACGATGTTGTCGGCGAGTCAGCCCACGCCGAGCATGAGCGACGACTCAAGGAGTCCGGCAGCTTTGCGCCCGTATCTCTTGAAGAGAAGGACGTCGTTGTTGCGCGCCGTGACGTTTACTTTGAGCAGACGGGCCGTGTTCAAACGCCCATCGTCAAGCTCAAGTCAATTAAGGCTGGCCATGGCATTGTGGGACCGGCAATCCTTGTTGATGAGACGCAAACAATTGTCGTGGAGCCGCAGTGCGAGGCTCACGTCCTCGGTTCGACTGTCTTGCTCAACATCCTGTACGACGGGCAGAAGGGCCTTGTCAAGTAGATGGCATTTACGAAGAGGAAACAAGAGTAATGGAAATTCGACCATTCCTGTCTATGCGGGAGGCTTCGCAATAAAATTCTAGACGTCTTTCGTCTGAGTCTGCAGACCGTCGTCCTTCTTTTCGTCTTCGGAGCTGCCGTGCAAGCTAGACTTTTCCAGCGCACTCTGGTCTTCGGCGGGCGAGTCGGCCGTGTTCTCGTGCTTGTGCTGCTGCTCGCCCAGATTAACTTCTGCACCAGCAGCAGCGACTGTCTCGAAGTGAGAGCCTTTGCGCTCGCTGCAGTAGATAGAGTTCAGTTCTTTAGGATGGCACGTCAGCAAAGCAGTACTTGTTAACTCACGGTCCAATACTGATCCAGAAAGTCAGAAGGAGCGAGATAATTGCCGTCGCAATCGCCATCGTTGGACCGTAAGCCTGCCTTCGTGCACCCACGTCAAATACGGTCGTTCTCTCGCTGATTTCGTTGACGATCTGGGCCGCCGGGGAACTAATCATGTTTCCGAGCTGGTAGGTAAGCCCGGGGAACGAAGCTCGGAAGGCCGGTGGGCTCAGTTCCGACAGGTGGATGGGGATCACACCCCAGGCGCCCTGCACGAAGAACTGCAGAATGAAACCACCTGTTGCGAGAGCGCCAAAGGAGTCGGGCAGGACCCATGCGGGGATGATACAGCAGCAGAGGATACCACAGACTGCAATAGAACGACGTCGGCCGAAGAACTGTGAAGTCGGGATCAGCTCGGTGGTCGGCAAGTGTGCCTTTGGGTTTGCTACGCACCTGACTTGCCCATCCAACGGTAGTTCCACCAACACAGGCACCTGTCTTCATCAAGATGGATGCCTTGGAAGCCAAAGAGTTGTTCATTCGCTTCTGAGTCAAGAGGAAGGTGGTGTAGCTGTCCTGCGTCGTATGCTTGTGTTCATGCGGTCAGCCGAGGTACTCACATGCCACCCTCTTAGGCGAACTCACAGAGTAGAAGTTGAAGATGGCCATCAAGACGATGGTGTAGAGCACACGCTGCCACTCCTACAGCAAACGTTCTCAGTCAGGAAGAGCACTAGCCAATTTTCATCTGAGAGCACTCACCTTCTTGATCATCTTTTTGAACTCGCGCAAAAAGGCGTTGGTGGCCCCACCCTTGTTGCCAGACTTCTTCTTCTCGATGAATTGTTTCGATTCCGGGAATAGAAGTCGGAGGATCCCACCAGAGAAACTCAAACCAGCACCAACCCAGAAGGCCGTACGCCAGGAGTCGGGAGCGCCGCCCACGCCCAAATTTACGCAGGCTGCAATCACATAGCCGAAGCTGTAACCTGACTGGAAGATGCCAGAGAGGATGCCACGGGCTTCCGCAGGGACATTCTCAAGGCTTGAAGACAGCGTGGTTTATGTCAGCTGTTTTGTGTATGAGACGGCTGTGAGGAGGAAATGACTCACGCCATGGCGGCCGCATTTCCAAAGACGCCTCCCATCGCAATGCCGAAGAGGGCCCGTGTCGCAAGAAATTGATTGAACGTCGTCGCATAAATGCTACCGATCTGCAGCGCGCCCAGGAGGAACATGTTGAGCACCATGGGATATTTTCGTCCAAAGTAGTCGCCTGCGATGCCGAAAAAGACGGCACCAACGGAGCGCAAGAGCAGCGTAAGGGTGATGGCGGTTGATACGTCAGACTTTGTGACACCGTAAAAGGCGGAGAGCTTGCTCGTCTGAATCGAGAGGGCGTGAAAGTCAAAGGCGTCACCGAACCAGCAGAAGAAGCCAGTCCAGTAGAAGAGCCACTGCTTTGCTGTCAGCTGCCAAAGCAACGTTACGGGATTGGTCGGTACAACGGGTGATTGGTATTCAATTTTCTCATTGCCGTTCTCGTCGATGATAGACACGCGCTGTTTCCACCGAAAGAGGTCGAGAAACTGCTGTCGAGCCTGCGCCATCAACGGCGTCTTCTCGGGTGTCTCCATGGCGAAAGAGGAGGAAGAGGTTTGGAAGAGAAAGTTTAGGAGGAGAGAAACCCCAGGAAAGGACGGCGGAGGGCGCTCTTATATCTTCCGACAAGGCAAAACACCGCTGCCACGGTCCGTCCCGCTCGGTAGCGCCCGTGTTTCGGCTCCAGATCAGACCAGTGGATTATACTCATAATCTCTTGCGAGAATATGCAGCAGACGTCTTCCACTACAGCAGGCTCGCCCCAGGTGGAAAAAAACACGGTGAGGACTGCTTTTGATCTCATCCCTGAGGAAGTGCAGCAGGAACGCTGCATTACCCCGCTTTCCCCACGACTCTGGCGCTTACCTCAAGACGGAATCAGCCGTAGGCAGTCGTGCTACTCTGATTGCCAAGAAATGTCGATATACGGTTGGGATATGCTAAAGATACCACTCCACGACGCTGCCATCGGCCCAGTCGCCGTCTGCGTACAGCACCACAAGCTATGCCCCGTCACTTATCGGGCATCACCACACTCCGACAGCACACAGGTATCGATCCGCTTGCTCAGGGGTCCTCATCAGGTTGTTGCGTGCCAAGCATGCAACCCTCCCTGACAAGCGTGTCTTCGCACCGCAGCTAGACGAGAGGAAGCCTTTTTAATCGTTTTTGGCGCCGCGCCCCCCGCGCTCACTTTTATTTTCTGTCCTGTAGATTGCCACTCTTTTCGACACGAATTTAGGCACGAAATTGCCTCGTGCCTCTCGCCTGTCAAGGGTACCTGCCTACCTCTTTACCTGTCCAGGGGAGAAGCCTCATGCCAGAGCATTCCGCGTGGGCAAATTCAGCTCCCCAGAAAAAGACGCATTTGTAGCGAGGTCCTGTTTCTGTCCTTGTGGGGGTAGCATCGGGTGGTCCCCTCTTGGCACTCCGATGAATCGCCCTTTCCCCTCATGCTTCGTTTTCTATAGCTCCCGAGTTGCTCCGGCAGCACTTTCTCGTTCAACACGTCTCCCCATGCCAGAAGGGAAAGCCCAGCCAGCGCAAGGCACGGCAGGTCACAGAAGTAGTTCTGGTACTTTCATTGAAGATTCATCTCGTCTCGTCTCGTCTCGACTTGAAGGAAATAAACGATTGATGATGAGTAAGAGAAGATCTTGAAGAGATGATTGGGCTTGTTAAGGAAAGCATATAGAAGACTTCAACAGAGACTTGCATGCAAAGAAAGAAGAACTTATTGACAGGAAAGGGAGCAAAGAGCTGAGAAGTCGAAGTCGAAGGCGAAAAGACGGTCTGGTGATGATGATGGTGATGTTGTTGTTGAAGGTCATTGACACGGTCTTTGTAAAGTTTATTTAGCTTGTGGCCAAGTTGGCGGCTCCCTGCCGTCGCCACTGCTCGGCAGCAGGGAGCGAGAGAGGCGGGAAGAGGGGATGGGCGGGAGGCGCTCCGGAAAGGGGGTGGTGTCTAGACGGTGAGTTGGATGTTGTGCGATTTAAAGAGTACATGCGTGGAACCGAGTCGTGAGGCGTGAGTGTTTCGTCGAGAGAGAAAGAGAGAAGAAAGGGGTGCCATTGATTCTGCATCTTTTACGGCTGCGACTGCTGCTGCTGTGGGTGCCCGTATGCAGCAGCCTGTTGAAGAAGGGCTTCGTGGTTCCTCTTTGCCCAGTCGGCAGCATATGTGCTTGCCTTGAGGAATTTTTTGTGAGCGTACTTCATGCAGACGAACTTGCTGGCAAAGTCGGGGTCGATGAGCTTTTCGAGAAGTAGGTTGGCGCCCGGCACGAGCTGCTCTTCGATGTATGTCGAATAGTAGACGAAGCCATCATCCCATTCACCTCCAAGCATCTTCTTGGCGAGGAACATGCCTACAGCGGCAATCAGGCTTGGCTTGGCGCGCAGGAATCGGTGGTCGAAGAGCGCAACCTCCATCAAGAACTTGGACAGTGTCCGAGTCCTGATGTCGTAGTCGTCAGCCTTGGAGATCCGGCGAACCCACGAGTAGGGAGAGCAGTATTCGGACACGTTGAAGTCGAGGGTGGAGAGGATGATGCGCTCGCCCTTGAGAATCTCCTCTCGGGTGTACCCCCGCTCCGTCATGAAGACAAACTCATCGACGCTGGGCGCCAGGATTTCTTCGTACTTCGCTGCCACAAACATCGCCGTGACACCGACGAGCTGAAGTTTGGCCAGCGATACGACGCGGGCCGAGAGGAAGCGGTCGACGATGTTGACAGCAATCCATAGTGTCTCGGGAAGCATGTGATATCGCATATGGACTTGCATCAGCCAGTCGACGAGCGTGGCTCTCATGTGCCTATAACGAGGAAGACAAGGGATCAGTCACGATGCAGGTGCAAAGGTCTACCAGGTAGGAACTTACCATTGAATCTCGCCCTGAAAGTCCATGTAGCTCGGGTTGGCCATGGTCTTTGCTTCACATTTTGCCATGTAGTCAAAGATCTCCATGGCGTACTCTGCCGCCATGCTCGTGTCTCGCACCTCTTCGGGGTCCAAGCCCATCTGAGCGAGCTCTTCGTCGTGAGCAGCAACCTCTGGAGTGACGAGACCCTTGGCCAGTGCCTCTTTCCTCTCTTCGGCTGCCCGCTCGGTCTGTGGCCGGACGACATTGTCCTCGTACCTGTCGCAGATAGCTGCCACCTTTTGTCGAGCTAGGTTCTCGAGATCGAAAGGCAAAGTCAAGAGGCAATCGGGATCGAACTCATTCACTAATGGTTGGCCATTGACATCGAGGGGCACTCCCTCCTCGTCGTCCTCGTCGTCTTCTTCCTCTTCTTCGTCGTCCTCGTCGTCGACGGCAACAATTTCGGTATCAAAAGCATCGTCCAGCTGCTTCGCTTTTGATTTCTGACTTGTCCGGGACGCAAATCCATCAACATCGACGTCGACATCGTTGTCTTCCTCTTCAGTCTCAGTCTTGCTGCTCATCTTGCGGCCCTGTGAATCGCTGCCGCTGCTGCCCTGCCAATCGCTGTCGGCGTCGCTCATGTCCTCGTCGTCTTCGAGCTCATACACGCGCTCGACGTGCTGCGTCACGGCTGCTGGTGCCGAAGACATGACGGGAACCGACTCTGTTTCGACGTCGCCTTCATCATCCTCGGCGTTGCGCTCATCGTCCGTGATGGCCTCGAAGTCGTCGTGGGCGTCAATCTCCATGACGGCGGGCGCCGACGATGTGGGAATGGTGGCCATCCTGTGCTTGAGCTCCGCAGTGCCGTTGCCATTGCTTACAGCCGTGGAGGAGCTGGCAGACGAGTAGCGTGTTGCGGAGGGTACCCTTTGGTGGCGGAGATGGCCATGCAAGGCATTACTGTCGTGGGTGGCCGTAGCGATTGCGGACGCGGCGCTTGGTTGTCGAGAGCGTGGTTCGCGCCGAGCGAGTGGGGCCGCTTGTTGTGATTGTGTCACAGACGGAACCTTGTGTTTGAGGGTATTGTTGGAGTCGGTGGTCGTGGAGGATGTGGTGCGCGCATGGCTCACTTGGGGCTTGCCGTCCTGTAGGCGACCGTTGGGCTGGCTGTGTTGCAGGTTCGTCTTGTCTGTCAGAGCGGGCCTCTTGTGGACAGCGCCCGCCGCAGAGGCCTTGCCGAGCGAGGAAGCGCTAGCAGCGTGCTTGATTCTCGCATTTGCGGCTCTCGACGACTCGCCCAGACCAGATGTGCCCGCATAGAGGCGCTCCCCACTTCGAGAAGTGGGCATGCCCGATCTTGTCGGCCTTGTGCGTGACGATGCCGTTGTCTGCGGGGAGTTCAGCAGGATAGTCAGCGTCGCCGCCGTGCAATGAATCCATCCTTTCCCCTCAGCCCCTCCTCCCTTCTTCTCCACCAGTCACCGTTGTTCTGACTTACCCGAACTGCAGGCTGAGCCATTTCTCGTTTGCTTTTGCGAGCGTGAGGGATGGAGCCAGCGTCAATATGGTGTGAACGGCTTGTGCTCGTTGTGACCGTTTTCGAGCGATAGGTAGACTCTGCTCTTCAGGTTGCCCCGCGTACGCCCACGACTGTATGCCGCCTTGTCCGCGCGTGGTGATGTAATGTTTGCGCGCGAAGAAAGTCACTCCTTTGCTGTGTCAGTGCGACGAAGGGCAACTAGGACCGAAGCAGAGTAACAGAGTTGGTGGTGCAAATTGGCCGCGGACGAGGTCAGGCGAAGCGAGGCTAGGCGAAGCGCGGTGGTGTTGTTGTTGGTGGTGGTGGTGGTTGTCCTTGTCGAAGCAGCTGGTGTGCGAAAGGGAGGAGTGATAGATTAGATGGGATAACTTTGTCCAGGCGTCGGTCGAGCGTTTGTTAGGCGATGTAGACAAATGCAGAGCCGATCGGCGATTTTTTGCAGCGAGTCGAGAGGTACCTCGGCCAACAAGAAGGAGAGGGGTAGTGTAGACAAAGGAGAATAAGTCGGGGCGATCGAATTGCCTTTTCCTCAAAACGACCGAAGCCGTAACGACGGTGGGCGATGGCGATGGAGGCGGCGCTGACGTCGACGAAGACGAGAGAAAGGGGGAGGAAAGGAATGGGAGAGGGGAAAAATCCCAAGGCTGGTATGATCAATGACGATCGACCTCTCCAAGTTCAGTACCGTCTACTCCGAATCAACCTCCTGAGGCCCACTAGGTGTTGCGACAGTTGACAAGCCTAATTGTTGGCGGGGTGGGGGCTATGGCCGAGAGGTTGGCGAAGAGGGTGGACGACGAATGGATGAGGTGAGTCCCCTGGCAACCAGAAGAGAGGAAGCTGCCCGGACAGAGAGAGAAGAGAGGGGAATTAAAAAAGAGAGAGGAAGTCATCGGTCAGTCAACAACCCGCCTCTTGGGATAAGTCTTCTCCTCTAAGAGCACATAGAATTTCAGCGGTGCTGATTTCCAAAATCACACTCACACACACAACGCGCTGCGAGAATTGGACCCACGATGGCGCCTCTCTCTTGTCAAAGGGAAAAGCAAGCTTCGCGGATCGCGCGTCTGTGTCACGTGAATTGTGCCAAAATGCACCATCACATTTCCAACACCTTTCCCCTCCTCTCGCGGGGCGAAATTGGCCAGACGAACGTGATGATGATAGCTCATCCCATAGTCATCGTTACATTGAACATAGCAGCGGACTTTGGGTGCTGCGATCTTTCCTGGTTCTCTTCCATCGCAGCGGTACAAGATAGATTGTCATCACGCATCAAGGCCTAGGGGCATCATTCTGCGCTGTGATAATTAGCAGTGGCTTGCACATTGAGGTACGTCAAAGCCGCGCGACATCTTTTTTTCTTTTCTCGAGCGAGCTCTCTTTTCCACCAATCCACTTCTACTACTCTACTTCAAGTGCTGCCTTGGACATTTTGTCTATTTCTCCGGCGATAAAGACGCCTTCTATCGACGATTGTTCTCCCACTTCAGTCGTACGGCGGGACCGAGCAAAGAATTCTGGTGGGGCTCGGGGCCGGAGCAATGGCAAGTCTTCCATGAAAAAAAGAAGGTACGTCGCTACGCTTTAGATAAGCAAGCAAGGTCCGACGACATACGCATTCTTATCATCGTACGACTGTCGAAAGGGAGAGGGGAAGATCGGGGTTGATTCCTTGGGGCTTGCTCGGTGCGTCTTGCTCGTTCAGCGGGGAATGGATTTGTCCCTATGATCACTACATCATCTGTCATTTCGCGACAAATAAGACTGACTTGTGTTCTGCATCGGGCGTATTGGGGGAATGGCAGTGCTAGTCAGAACCATACATGTCGCAGACCGAATCGTCGCGCAAGGTCAAGAAGAGGTCCAGCCTCTTGGCGCGCGCTGCCTCTGCTTCGTCGCGCAGCGGCAAAAAGAGCAATGGTGGAACGCTCCAGCCGCAACATGGAAGTGGCAGCGCAGGGTCGAGGACCGTGAGGCGAGCGCTGACGGCAGCGGAACAGGCCTTGGTGAGGGAGAGAGAAGAGGAGAGGGCCGAGCGGGAGAGAGAACGGATCAAGCGCAAGAGGGAGCGACGCTTGGACGAGCTCGAGAGGGGACTTTCGTCCAAGGACAAGGCCGCGGGTGGTGCGAAGGCGTCTGCAGCGATTGGAGGCGCTGATGGAGCTGCGTCTGGAGGCGCCGGAGGGATAGGTCTGCCGGCGGCTTCAACATCAGCTGCGACGCTGGCAGGCATCTTGGCTGGTCGAGAGGCGCAGAGAGAGAGTGCTACCCTCATCGAAGACCTTTCTAAGGCTGCTGCCCCCGCAGGCGCGGCTGGGGCAGGAGGGCAAGCCACTCCTACGGCGGCCTCAGGCAAGAGAAAGCAGAGCGCCGAATTGCGGAGGATCATCACACACAGGAAGGGCTTCCGAGCTCTTCTCGACGAGGCGGTGCGTGGGCCTCTACCTTTTTTCTCAAAAGTACGTGCCTTGCTCACTCATACGGACCACCACCGCCACAGGCAGCGTCGTCTTCATACGACGAAGCACCGATCAACTTCAAAAAGGCCATCGTTGTCTCGTCGAGGTATCCGGCCTCGCATCGTTCTTTGGCACCACCTTGTTCCATCTGCGGCTATTGGGCTGATATCAAGTGTATGCGATGCGGCGATCGAGTGTGCGGGAAGCGATGCAGCGAAACGTAAGTGCCACATCGACCTTTCGCTCAGGCTTACACCGAGACTGAAACCCCACGCCTTGATCAAACAGGCACGATGAGACTCGATGTGAACGACCTCTGTAGAGGAAAATGTATATCTCGGTCGGACAGACCATACAAATGTATCATTGCAACCACATCTCTACGTCTTCTTCTTCTTGCTCGTCTTGCTGCCACCTGCCGGCGTCGAGCCCCGACTGGAGCCGGCGCCGTCTCCGTTGGCCAAGGCGTCTGCAGTCCTCTTCTTGGTCGCCGCACCGCCTGCCTTGCCGCTGTTGGCCGCCGCGTCGGCATCGTCCTTTTGCAAAAGGCTCACGAGCGTGTTGCACCGTCGATTGAGCTCCAGCGGCGTCCGACTGCGGATGAACCAGTCAAACCTGAACAGGTCGCTCTGGCCAATGTCCTGCCTGATGCGGTCGTACGCATCGTCGACCAAGCCATGCTTCGCAAGGCGAATCAGCAGGAATCGGTCCTCGTCCTCGCTCCAACCTTTGCCCTTGGCCGTGCCCGTTCCATAGTTGATCTTAAGCTGGTGCTGCGGCATCTTGCACGCCTCGACCCTCTTCTTCAGCATCTCCTCGAGGTGTGCCACCTTTTCCCGCTTCTTTTCTCCCTCTTCGATGCGCTGGATAATCTTCTCGTGGTCGTTGAGCTCCTCGATGCGCTCCCAGAACACCTTGGAGTATGCTTTGACGTCTCGTTCCGTCTTTGCCTCGCCAACCTCTTCCGTAATGGCCGCAAAGTCGTTCCGACCGTACTTTTCGCATCCTCGCACGAAAGCCTGGAAATCGCGTCGATTCCAGTCGGCGAGACCTTGCAAGGCCAGCGTTTCCTTCCGCTGCGTCTCCTCCTCCGTCAGCGGCTCAGCGGTGTCGATGAACTCCTGCTCCTTCTTGCGCTCCTCTTCCGACGTTGACGGGTCAGCTCCCTCAGCGGTCGAGGCTTGCTTGCTCGGTACACGGTAGCCGATGCTCCGCTGGTAGGCCGCGGTCTCGCGCCGCTGCAGCTCAGCAAGCTCCAATGGGTAGAATTGGTAGTCGTAAATGGTGACCTGGCGAGGCGCACGGGGCGCTTTGGGTGCAGAGGGCTTCTTGGTGCTCATGGCTTCGCGGTAGTAGTCGTCAACGCTGTACGACACGGCACCCTTGCGCTCTCGTTTCGATGGCTCGATCCACAGGCCTTTGACACCCGGTCGATTTCGGAAGTCTTGGCCTTCCCACTCGAGTGTCGATTCAGACTTGAAGTTGTTCAGGTCGTCGAGGTTCAAGTCGTTGTACTTTTCCTGGAGCTTTTTCGTTCGCTCCTCTCCGTTGGCGATGATCTTGTCAATGTCGTCATCGATCAGCATGCTCTCTTTGGAGCTGATGATCTTCTCGGCACCGTGCTGAATCATGTCGACAAGTTCGTCTTTGGACTGCTGTGCATTCTTGGGCTGTGTGCGTCCTTGCTGAATGACGAGCTGGTCCAAGCGAAGCTTCTGCGCCGCTCGCTCCAGGATGCGCTCCTCAATAGCATGCTCTGTGACGAACCTGAAGACATAAACTTGCTTCGTTTGACCGATGCGATGGGCTCGATCCATGGCCTGCAGATCTGCTTGCGGGTTCCAGTCGCTGTCGAAGAGCACAACAACATCGGCTGTGGTAAGGTTGATGCCTAGTCCACCCGCGCGTGTCGTGAGAAGGAAGACGAACTTCTCGCTCCCGGGTTTGTTATATTCGTCAATGGCAGAGATGCGGTCCTCGTGGGCCGAGCTTCCGTCGATGCGGCAGTACTGGTATTCGCGGAAGAGACAGTAGTCCTCGAGGATGTCGAGCACGCGGCTCATTTGGCTAAAGATCAGAACTCGGCTGCCCTTTGCCTTCATGCTCTTCAGCAGCTTGTCGAGGATAATCATCTTGTCGGAATTGTAGACGAGGTGCTCGTCTGTTGTAAAAGGCGGCCCTGGCTCGGCACCGTCGAACAGGTAAGGGTGGTTGCAGCATTTACGCAGCTGCATGACAATGTTGAGTAGCCTCGTTTTTCCCTCCTTTTTGGAACCCACGCCATTGACTGCGTCAATGTCCTTTTCCAGGATCGACTTGTACCACTTTCGCTGCATCTCCGTCAGACCGACAAAGACGTTGATCTCCTTTTTGGGCAGCAAGCTCTTCTCGACGTCACTCTTGACTCGACGCAGCAAGAATGGCCGAAGTACCTTGTGCAGCTGTTGGACGACCTGGTCTTGGGCTTCTTCGCCTTTCTCCTTGAACCAGGACTCGAAGTCCTCGGAGTTGGAGAAGACGTCTGGCAGCAGGAAGTTGAGCAAGCTCCAAAGCTCCATCAGGTTGTTCTGCAACGGCGTTCCGGTAATAAGGAGTCGACTACGACTGTTGAACATCCGCACAATCTGGCTGAGCATCGAGTCGACATTCTTGATTCGGTGCGCCTCATCGATGACAATGTACTCCCACGAGAGCCTCTTGAGGGCGCCCTTTTCTCGAAGACACATCTCGTACGTTGTGAGGAGAATGTCGAAGTCTTGGGTCAGCAAGTGGCTCTGAATGAGCTCTTGTCTTGCCTCCTTGTCGCCCTGCAACGAGACAACTTTGAATCCAGGAACCCAATTCTCGAGTTCGCGCTTCCAGTTGTCGAGTGTCGACTTGGGCACGACAATCAAGTGGAATCTCGGCGTGTCACGGTAGAATTTGAGCCAGCCCAGAAAGGAGATCGTTTGTAGCGTCTTGCCCAGGCCCATTTCGTCGGCGAGAATGCCGTTGATGCCGTGCTGGTAGAGGGAGATCATCCAGTTGAGACCTTGCACCTGGTAGTCTCGCATCTTGCCTCCCTTGACATATGCCGGGCTTTCATCGAAGACGAACGCCTCCTCTTCTTGTTCGTCCTCGCCCAAGAGCTCCTCGTCCTCTTCCTTTTCTGTCTTTCGACGTCTCGCCTCTCCTGCTCCACCCTTTTTGCCCTTCTTGGCCTTGCTCTGCGTCTGCTCAAGCAACTTTGCAAACTCCGGATCTCGGTCCTTTTTAATGTCGATGAAGTGCTGGAACAGCTCCGTTTGCCCGAGGAGATAGCTGAAACGCTTCATGCTATCGGCAAGCTTGCTCCTGTTGAGTCCGTCGCGCGTCGAAGACAGCTTCGCATCCCGCGCTGACTTTTCGTGTTTGCGCGCTTCGCTCCGCTCGGCTTTTTCGCGTCGTTGTGCCTGCAGCCGCTCAGCTTTGCTCGGCGAATCCATCGTCGCATCTCTAGAATCATCTCCATCCTCGCCATCGGAGTCCACCTCTTCCTCGTCCTCACTGTCCTTGCTCTTTCCCTCCTCGCTGGGCGCTTTCGAGTGCATCCTGCTCGCACTGGCGCTCGCGCTAGGTGCTCGGCTAAGGTCGGCGCTAGCTGGAATGTAATCAGAAAGCTTGTCCTGGTCATCTGCCATTGCAGAAGCAGCAAAGGCAGCCGTGGGCGCGAGCGAGATCTCGACGCTTGGCGCCGAGGGCGGATTGCCTCCTTCAGAAGCCATTGTGATGGATCTGTAGAGGCGTGAAAAGCGCCTTTCTCGTCTTCCTCTATCGTGCTATCGTCTTCTTAGAAAGCGAGCGGTATCTCTTGGACCAGTTCGAAGCGCGAAGACTGGTGAGCCGTCTGGTGCGTAGCAATGGCTGGGAGTCGCGCCACAGTGACGACGAGATCGAGGCAGAGAGGAGAAAGTCGGGCGCGTCCATCAAAGACAAACTTGAGGCGCGTTAGCAAGCTGCAGCGAAATTGTCTAAGTCCACGTGGTTCCTTCTCGGGAAACGGGCGACTTAAGATCCCCCTGCTCGCTCGGTCCTCTCCCCTCGAGCGACGGACTGCCTTGCTCCACCCGTCAATGACCAGGCGTCGGCGGCAGTACTAGCTATGGACAAAGACGCTTACAACTTTGTGCGACTGTGCGATGTGCACTTGCCGCTGACTGTGCGGATGTGAGTCTTGACTCAGATCGAGGCTGTGCCCCCGAGAGCTGACATTCCATTACGAACAGCGCATCACTGCAGGGGCGGACTCTGCCGCCGGAAGACCTCTATCTCACAGTACGCCTTTTTGCCGACAACAAGCCGCTGACACCCGTCTACCAGACGGCATATCGTCCGGCCAGAAAACTGGAGTCTCGGTCGACGTCAAGCTCGAGGCCTTTCGAGGAGACGCTCGTCCTCCCCATTCGTCTGGCTCAATTGCCCCTCTCCGCTCAGCTTACTTTTACCGTGTGGAGAGCCCGGGATCCTAGCAATGCCATTGGAGAAGATGGGCAGATTCACCTGGAGAGAGTAGTCGGAGGGACCACGATGCGTTTGTTTGGCAAGAAAGGGTACGTGATCACCTTGCGATATGTCGATGTCCTTGTGCTGAGAGATGTACGAGCAGAACTCTGAAACGCGCCTCGCACCGCCTCTACCTTTGGCCTGACGTCGAGGGAGATGGGAGCGCAGAGACAACTACTCCATCGAAGATTGCAGGAGGAAGCAATCGCAAGAAGGATGAGATGGCGCGACTCGAAAAGGTTGGTATTATCTCGCCGTTACTGAATCCTCAGTTCTGACTTCATCTCTCTCTCTCAGCTCATCAAGTTGCACGAGCGTTCGGAGCTGCCAAAGCTGCAGTGGCTCGACAATATGGCATGGCGGCAGATTGAAAAGGTGAACAACGAGGAGTCGCTAGACTCGACCGACATGTACCTTTACGTCGACTTCCCGCGTTTCGATGCGCCCATCGTCTACTGTGAGCAGGAGAGCACGGTGACCACAACTTCTGCGTCTGCGGGCGATGGAATACAGGCGCCCGCTTCGACGATCACGAGCGAATCGCCGCATACAGCTGCGACTGCTGCGAGTGGGCCAGGGGCAGTCGACGCCGGTGTTTTCACCATCTTTGACGGAGACATGGTCATGGAACGAGAGAATCCAGTCGAGGCAAAGCATCGACGACTCGTGAGAAGCCACCGCAGCGGACCTCTGGACCGTGAATTGAAACCAAATGCTGGCGTTCGTGACGAGCTCAACGTAAGTGTTTTCGTCTTCGCTCTTCTTGCCGTGTGCTAATGACCGATGCCGGGCAGGAAATCCTGTCGTACCCTCCGACACGCACGTTGACGGCCTCCGAATCCGACCTGCTGTGGTCATTTAGATTCTACCTGACTAGAATCCCCTCTGGCCTCACAAAGTTCCTCAAGTCAGTCTCGTGGAACGACCAGGGCGAAGCCAAGCAGGCCACCGAGGTCCTCATGCCAATGTGGAGTGACATTGGCATGGACGATGCCCTTGAGCTGCTGGGCCCTGGCTTCCGAGATGCCCGGGTCAGAGCATATGCGGTCAGGATGCTGGAGCGGGCTGACGATGATGTGAGGATTGTCTTCTCTGGTTCACGGGAGAGAGTTTCTGTTGCTGATGTCGACGTTTCCTTGCAGGAGCTCATGTTGTACCTGCTCCAGCTGGTCCAGGCTCTCAAATTCGACCGCGCAGCAGTTGCAACAGCGATCTCCAGGCGCGACCTGTCCGAGACAACCAGCCCGAGCGCTTCTGCTGCCCATCCTTCTCCGTCAGCATCGTCATCCGTCGAAGGTGCTCGATTAGCCGATTTCCTCACTGGCCGAGCTGTCAAGAATCCCGTGCTAGCAAACAACCTTTACTGGTACCTCGTCGTCGAATGCGAAGATAGGCGATTCGGCAAGATGTATAAGAGGGTCCTCAACCGCTTTCTGGACAGACTTGAAGAGGTAAGTGACTTTGTCTCAAGAGCGCACTGTGCCTCTGTATTGACCGCTCCGATTCAGACGACCGAAGGTAGCCAAGTGCGAGAGGTGTTACAGCGTCAGACCGAGATGGTCAAAGTCCTTTCGAATCGGGCAAAGGAGCTGCGCACGTCGAAGGATGCTCGACCGAAAAAGATTGACAAATTGCGGGCATTTCTTGGTGACACGAAAAACAACCTCCGCACCATCGATCCGCCCATGCTGTTGCCGCTCGATGCTCGGGTCAGCATTGCAGGAATCACTCCAGAGAAGAGCACCGTCTTCAAGAGCAACCTGTTTCCTTTGCTTTTGCACTTTGAAAAGGTTGACAGTGAGACTGCCTACCCCGTCATCTTCAAGAATGGCGACGATATGAGGCAGGACCAGCTCGTCATCCAGCTCTTCACCCTCATGGATCGTCTACTTCGAAACGAGAATTTGGACCTCTGCCTCACACCCTACAAAGTCCTTGCCACGGGACCTCTGGAGGGCATGGCGCAATACATCGAGAGCATCACCCTGGCTGCCGTCCTTGCCCAGCATGGCGGCAGCTTGCTCAATTTTCTCCGGTTTCATCATCCGGATGAGTCTTCCACGTCGACCTTTGGCGTCAATGGCGCCGTTTTTGATACGTACATCAGAAGCTGCGCTGGTTACTGCGTTGTCACATACCTGTTGGGCGTCGGTGATCGACATCTTGACAACCTTCTTCTGGCCCCCGATGGCCACTTCTTCCATGGTGAGTCCAAAACGAGCATTTCCAGCCCTGTGCTGCACTCACAGCAGAGTTTGACGCTCCCTTCACAGTTGACTTTGGCTACATCCTTGGTCGAGATCCCAAACCTTTCTCGCCTCCAGTCAAGGTGGCAAAGGAAATGGTGGATGCCATGGGAGGTTCGACTTCGCCGCACTATACCCGCTTCAAGAAGCTATGCCACACGGCATTTACGAGCTTGCGAAAGAATTCAAACCTCATCTTGAACCTCATCGCCCTGATGGTCGACGCCAATGTACCCGATATCCGCTTCGAGCCCGATAAGGCCGTGCTCAAGGTGAGCGCGCTTGCGCTAAGACAAAGACAGGGAAAGGAAGCTGACAATTGGCTCTGCAGGTACAAGAAAGGTTCAGGCTGGACTTGAGCGAAGAAGACGCGATGGCGATGCTCGAGGAGCTGCTGAACAACCCCTCGTACATCACCATTGTCTTTGACAGGCTTCACGATGCTGCTCAGTACTTTAGAAGCTAGCCATCAGGGATCGATTCTTTGCTTGTAGCTCCTGTACAGTCACGCCCCCCTGTAATGAATAACACCATCAGCACAAGTCGAGCCGCTGTGGGTTCGTCGCGTCACTCCGAAGCGGGGCTGTTGGTGCTGGTCAAATCCAACGCGCCGCGCCCTCGCCCTATCGGGTCCAAAAGTATCTTTGGAGGTCCGTCCACAGGCTTTTTTTTTTTCCACTCCTGAAAATAATTACACCTGGTCACTACCCCCACGGTCGCTCAGCTTTTCACCTTGCTCCATTCGCCTGCGCAGCTCTGAGGTTCATGGGCTTCGTCGCTGGAAGGAGCCGGATCGCTATCGGTGCAAGGTGGCGCTAGGTAGTGTGCACCATGCCACTTGCCATCTCTGACGACGACAGCGACGCGGGACCCTCGACGAGGGACGCGAAGCGCAAGGCGATAGAGATTTCCTCGTCGTCGTCCGAAGCATCCTCATCGGCATCCAAGTACCAGACTGGGGAGGATGGCGAGGATCTTGTCGAAAACAAAGAGGCAGGCCTCACGAGCGCTTCGGAGCCCAAAGGCAAGGGCAAGGGCAAGGGCAAGGAGAGAGCGGGGACAAGTCAGTCCGAGGACAGGGTGGCCAGGGGAAAGAGCAAAAGCAAAGAGAGGCGTATGGAGAAGAGGAAAGGAGGAGATTCGCGGAACAAAAAGGCTCGAAGGTGGAGCTCGTCGCATGATGATTCGAGCGAGAGTGAGGAGGACCGGGATCCGAGGATGAGGAGGAGGACGAGAAGCAGTACCAAAGGCAGGAAGAAGCGGAGTCTGGCCCTATCCTCCTCGTCTTCATCGTCATCATCCTCTCGAGCTGCTTCTCCTTCGTCGTCAGCATCGTCAGCCACCTTCTTTGGCCGTCTTCACGACTCTGACTCTGAGCCGGATCTCGGCTCTTGGACGCGCAAGGACCAGAAACAGATCGCCGTCTCACGAGAGGGTCCTGAGGAGAAGGACGAGGGTGGGAACCCAGTACATGAGGTGTCGGGCATCTTGCGATGGCGACGACATCCTCGGCGAATGTACCCGCAGTACCGGGCCGCTTGGAAGGGGTGGGGTTTGTGGGACAATACATGGGAACACGGCGATTGTTTCAATCTCACAGGCGAGAACCGCTCCGATCCAAAAGACGTCATCAATCGGTTCTGGCAGGATCTAGAGAGGGAAGGGCTGCAGCAAAGGCCGAGCGACTGGGACGAGATGGAAGAGCATTCGCTGCATTCTTCGGACACCTGCGAAATGCTTGCCAGCGAAGACCCAAAAACGTACAAAGAGGGTTGGCGAAGGGCGCGAAGGGATTTTAGGAGGGACAAGAAAGCTCAAAGACAGATGAGCAGGAGGAAAGAGCAGTGGAGGCAAAGGGACGAAAAGGAAAAGGAGGACGCCAAGGAGGATTTGAGGCAAAAGAGAAGAAAGGAAAAGGCGTTCAAGGATGAATTGGCGGCGAGAGCGACGGTGTCAACGGCGACTTCGTCAAAAGCCCCTATCACCATAAAGACAACACCTGTCAATGGCCACAGACCAATGACTTCTCGATTTGACGCAGCCGTCCCGGTCTCTGCAATTGGTCCTGCACATTCTTCTTCCACCGTGAAGAAGTTGTCCGGAACGATGACACAGCCGAAGAGCATTGCTTCGCACTCGACGCCCTCTTTGCAAGATGCCGCAAAATTCCTCCCTTCGCCGGCCACTGCTCGACGAGGAGGAGTTGCAGGAGGTCGAGGAAGAGGGGGCTATGTGGGACAGCACCGGCAGCCTCCTAAGGTCAAGGTCTTCGATCCTCTTGCTTCCTTCCCTAAACCTTCGCATTCGACAACTTCACGGTCGCAACCTTCAGCTTCAAACGTAACCTCTGCGACGCAGCAACCACTCTCGGCCAAAGTGCCGTCGGGGGAAGAGGGTCCAGCAAGGCGGGCAAGTAGTGTGTCGAGGATCGAACATCGTTCTTTAGCTGTCCCTTCGACCGGCCCAAGAATCATAGCACAGGTCTCGCCACCGCCTGCCATGTCTGTGCATGCTCCACCAACGACAACGGTACTGCCCGCTCCTTCTTCTGGTTCGAACTTTGTATCGACACTATCCGCGCCAGCTTCGACAACTGACCCATCCTCTCGACGCCAGCTTCAGTCTCCTCCGCCCACTTCCGACCACACGAACCCAAGACCAGAGCAAGCTGCGCCAAGCCAGGTTCTCCGAATGGGAACTGATCCGAGACGGAGGGTCAATGGGCCGTCGCACCCACCTCCTAGGTTCACAAATCCGGTGTCTGGGAATTCGCTTGTCCACTTGGCGCAGGAAACGGCCGCGAAGCCTGCTCAACACAGTTACAATCCATCGATCCGATTGCCGCACGATCCTGCACTCCGTTCGCCACTAGAGCCAGGCTTGACCCGTTCGAGTATCTCTCCAACTATCGATGGACCCAAGTCGCCTCCGCCGGGTCCTGCAAGGGCTCCCGTGGGCGCTGGAGATAGTGTGCGCCTCTCAGAGAGAACTTCTTCCTCTTCCTCGAATGGTGCTGCCCTGGGCAGCGGCAGCGAGGTCGTGAACGAGCTCAGCAGGGGCGACAAGAAGGCAGCTGAGGCTGCACTTCGCGAGTGGAATATCACCGAGGAAGCCAAGGACTTCTTCAGACCCCGGTATAATGTGGTCCACAAGGACGAGAAGAAGCTCCTCAAGGTGCTCCTCTTCTGCGGAGCAACTTTTAAGCTCGAGATTGAGCCAAAGTTGTTTGAGCCAACAAAGAATGTCATCTTCTGGGTTCGCGATCTAGGGTGAGTGGTGATCTTCATCGTTTATTTGATTGACTTGTCGCTGAACCCTAAGCTTAGCATGCCGCTCTCGATCAAGGAGGGTGAAGCGCTTCAGAGGCCAAACTTTGTCTTCTGGACGTATGGAACTACGGCTGGGGTCAGAGAAGTCTGGCCGCTTCACACCGGTGGCATTCTGATGTACACCTTTGGCGCCCTCTTGCACCGTCTGGTCGACCAGTGCCATTTTCATCGAGACCAGCAAGAGGAAGCAGGGCGGGTCCTTTTGCACCCTGTTCAGAAGCTCTTCTTTGAACAGCTCGTGCACACCGTCAAAGGCCCTTCTGCCCTAATCGACGTACTGGAAGCCCTCAATCTCGTGGACCCGTCTCAATCGGCGGCGGCAGCCATCTCGCTAGTCGAAGGAGGCCTCCTGGCAATCGAAACGATCGAGGAGGTGGACCTGCGCGAGATTGAGAGCCCTATCTCGACGATCGTCGATCTAGACGAACAGCTGCAGAGCGACGCATCCTCTAGTGCAAAGATCCTGGAATTAGTCAAGGAGGTCGACGTAGAGACACGGGATGTGCTTCGGAAGCTTCAGGTCCACTTCGCAACGAGGAAACGGACATTCACCCTCATCATGGAGTCTACCCAGCTCACGGAGGCAGAAGTCGGAACGTGTACAAGGGTCACCAAGAAGCCGCGGTACCGGTCGGTAGCATGAGAAGAGTGGGGTGAGAGGAAAGGTGATCGATGGGTCGTCGCGGTTGTACTGTACAGTATATCAGCAATTCATAAGGTGAAGCAGGCTCTCTCACAGCATCGCTTTCACAAATACCATACTTAATGATGCGCAACGACTGCTTTGACTGCAAGAGCGGTACTCAGGGATGGGGGCTAGGTAGATGTACAGTATCCGAAGTCAAAGAAGGGAGCAAGATACGCAAATGGAAAGGTAAACATGTTGACGGGTTAGGTATATCTCTTCAGTATCATCCATTCTTGGTGCTTGCATAATGAGCGAGTTCTAGCCAGCACCAGCCACGAGAGCGGGAGCCACTTTGCTCTTCTCGCCGTTTGACTCGGAGGAAAGCTGCCCGTTGGACGTGTCAGTCTTGCCGCTCGCAGCTGGGTCTGTCAGGAGCCGATCGGCGCTCGTCTGGCTGTGCCGAGCCTCAGGCTCTAGGCCCTCTTCGCTTCCGAGAGTCTTCGACGACGAGAGTTTACCATGGGCTTTCTCCTTCTGGTGATGTAGTCCCTCCTTGATCGCTGCGAAAGGACTATGGTGGTGATGCCGCTTGTGCTCGCTCCCCGTGCCGTCCGAAGATGGGGCCAAACTCCCATTCATCGGCAGGCCCTCGGCCTCAGCGGCTTCCTTGGCTGCAGCGAGCCTTGCACGCTTCCTCTCGATCTTGTTCTTGGCCTCGTTCTCCAATGCGATCCGCAACCTCCTCTCGACCTCTTCGCGCTTCTTTGTCCGTCGGCCTCCGATGTAGATGAGCAGGCCCGCAACAGCGTTGCAGGAAAGCGAACAGGAGATGAGCGTTGCAGTCAGTGCAGTTGGTCGATGCGTGTATTTGATGCCCCAGGTGCACCCTCCCAGGGCGCCTTGCAGCAGGCTGTGGCAGTCGAGGAGGCAGACAATGACAATCATGAGATCCAGCGGGAAGGCACGGTGCGTTGCCGTTTCGTGATATCGATAGAAGGTGTGCGAGGCATGGAATTTGCGTTGGTGATGCTCGAGAATGTCTTGCTCCTCCTTTGTCAAAACAACGATATCCTCACGATCTTTGACAAGTTCGGATTGGATGGAGTCATTGCGCTTGAGTTGTTTGCGTCGCGCTTCCTGCATCGATCCACTCAGATTGCTTGTGCTATCGCCATTGCCTCCAGGAGTTTGTACGCTGCCAGGTGTGACACTGGTCTCAGGCTCGTGCTCCGAGGAAGGTGTCTGATCGTGGGCGGTAGAGGCCGGCATCACCAGGGGAATCTTGACACGGTTGGGATTCAAGAGTCCCCGCTTGTGACTCTTGTGCTTGCTCGAATGTCTGCTCGAGTGCTCGTCCATCAAAGAGTCTGGTTGCGCGTCCTCACTTGCTAGCTGCTCGCCCTCTTCGCGGACTTGATTATCGCCTATAGGACGTGGAAGGTCGTTTGGATCGTTGAGGGTTCCAAGCCCCAGCTTGCTTCGTCGCTCCCAGGTGAGGTGGTGGTATTTGGCGATGTAGATCATCCGATACGTGTCGACGGCTCGGAAAGGAGCAAAGCCAAGACCAACGGCAGCAAAGAGCGCGCACAGAATCTGTCAAAATCCGTCAGCACGATAGGACTGCCAAGCTTCACGAGGCGAGTCACATACCTGGTCACAGATCTCAATCCAATAGCGCTGTCGATGGCCGGCATTGATCCAGCCAAAGATGAAAATGACAATGGCCGAACCCCAAAAGGTGATGAGGAGTCCGTAGAGCGTCATGATGAAACCCATGGCTAGGTATATGGTCAGCAACTGGAGCTGGAACAGAAGAGGCGTGGACTCACGAGTCTTGACGAAGGCCCAGAATCCCCTGGCACCGCGCTTCAGCTTGCTCTTCTTCGTCAAGAGTAGACGGACGTGTTCATCGAGCTCGTTGCGCTCCTCTTCGTCCATCTGACTCCATTCCTTGATGTGTTCGGGATCGTAGGTATCCTCCACCTCCTCTTCCTCCTTTCGAGGACCAAAGCCCACTGCGGAAGACATTCGCGAGAGGGCCGAACGGGTACGCGAAGGCTTGACCCCGTCGGTATAAGTAGGACGAACAGGGATGTCCGTAGGGCGACCTTCTTCCATAGCATTGGCCATGTGGTCAGAGCGCCTGCTGCTCTCTGCCGAGGCAATCGACTCGCGTTGCTTCTGTTCGCCTCGATTCGAGACCGTGTATGCTCTTCGACGAGCCGCTCGCGGGAGATTGTGGGTCGGTCTCCGGTCATACAGCGCGGGAATGTTGGGGACAAAGATGGAGTTCTGGATGTTGGACAGATAGGACAGCGCGCCCACCTCAGGATCCACGACGTCGAGCTGAGTGATTCATTCGGTCAGCATCTCCCTTGCCTGTTTCTCACCATCGAGTCGCGGGGCTGTTTAGACACTCACGTAATCTGCCACATCGTCAGTGTGCGTGTCCTCGTCAATGTCTGCGTTGCTCGCGCGTGTGGTGCTGCCTTCGCCGGCAGTACCAGCATTGCTCTTTCTCCTGCCCAGCAGCCCACCCAGTCCGGCCAGAGCGCCACCAGCGGCAAAGCCCTTTTCTGTCTGTCCCTCTTCGCCAACACCATCTGCTGGCTTGTTGCCACCTGTGAAGGGCGAAAGGAATTTCTGGGTCATGGTCTGTCCCTGATCTTGAGACGGAACACCGGGGGCTTGCGCGTCTTGCTCGGCCGCCTCTTCTGCGGAACGGACTTCGTGAAGGGTAGGGATCGCGGCGGCCGTGGAAGGACGATCGAAGCCAGGGTTGCTGTGATCTGCAGCCGTGGGGCTTCCCGGGTCCTCCGACACCCTTGATAGAGCGGGTTCCATTCCCAAGGTCGCTCTCGAGTAGGCGCGAGGCCTGGACGCGTTGGAAGTAGAGGAGCCCAGCTGGGCAGGCGAGCTCTCGCTGGCTGGGATGGAAGCCGAGTTGCTCTCCCCTCCTCTTCCTCCGACGGCACCAGCATCTCCGTTCAGTTGCAATTGGGGAACAGGCAGTGACCTGTCGCCCTGACCGGGCCTTCTCCGATTCGCTGCGCTCTCGCGGTAGGCCAATGCTTCAACTGCACTGATGCTGTATCTCCTCCTTGCGGCACTCATCGCAGCCACCCTCTCCGCTGCACCTCCGCCCTCCGTCTGCTCCCCCGCTGTTCCTCCTGCTGGGCTGTTGGCCCGATTGTCCATCGCATCGACCTCCCCGTTGCCGCTGCCGCCATCCTCATCGTCGGACAGGTTCTGGAAGCTGTTGGGCTCTCTGTGACGCCGGATCCTGATCGACGAGGGAAGTCGACCGGGCCCGTCGGGACGCCCTGGGGTGGCCATCACCTATCTTTGGCGTTCTGGCAGACCGTTTGAAAAACTGCTCCGCGAATCAAGAACGCTTGTTTCCTGGAGGAACGTTCCTAGAGCATGCCGCTTCCCGCTGCAAATTCCAGCCAATGGTGGACGGACGTTGGCCCGCTTTGTTGGTCTCGTCTTTACAACAGTCTCTTGTCACAAGACCGCAACGATCTTCAGAAGATGAGATGCAAGGTGGTGTGGAAGAGGGAGCGCGGAATGGAACGTCGATGATGGTGTGTTACAGATGAAGTCGCCTTCCTCTCACTGGGCCGAACGGAGCCCATGCCTGAGGATCTGTAAAATAATTCAACTAAAAGCTCTCCTCTCTGTGCTCTGCAGCCATGAAAATAAACGAAATAAATGTTGATCGCGCCTCGCCCTCGGGTCATGGACTCCGCGCGCCTACCGCCAATTTGCTCGACAGTCTTTAAGAACTTATAAATAAACGTGCGCAATGACATCTCTGGTACGCAAGACTCGGCGAGTGCAAGGCTGAGGAGGCGTCCATAACCTTCTTCCATGAAAGACGCTCGTGAATAGCAGTCGTGCAAGAATGAATGATTGACACACTGGCCGAAGATATTTCTTCTTGTATCCGCGGACCAAACGCCCAGGGCCCATCGCAGTAAAGCCGGCGCCATTCGCCGCGCGTCGGAGTACGGATACAAGCTTTTAGCTGCCCAGCAACAATTTTGGTCTTGGGGGAGAAACAGAAGACAAAGCGCTACAGTGTAGTGGTAGTAACAACATCAGCAGCAGTAGTGTAGTAGTGTAATACTCGCGAAGAGTCTCTGTATTTCCCGCTCGAGATAGTCGTACACAAGCCTTAAGAGGGTCCAGCAGAGCAACGCGGCCGAAGCGGTGCTGTCCCTTGTGGAGCGAGCGAAAGGAGTCGCCGGCCAAGATGCACAGAAGATATTTGTTACGGTATTATTTTCCCAGGTGTCAACTTGGTTAACCTCACGTGTTGCATGTCGTGGTCAACGACGTGACATTTCCTCCTCCACAGACGGCCGAGATCCTCGAGCGGACACCCCAAGCAAGATGTCGATTCGCTTCCATCGTGGGCCCAAGCTGCTGACGATCTTGTACGTTGCCCTTCACCAAGATTTGCTGCCTTAAAGGGAGTCCCCAAGAAGACGCTGACGAGCTCTATGGCGGCGACTTTGCTGCAGCCACGATCCCTCCTCTCGCGCTTCTTCCCAGGTTCTCTCGCTCCTCCAGGCTCGCCGAGCACCTCCTGTGCTGCTCCCTCCCAGCCAAGGCCAGTCGCAGCAGCAGCAGCAGCAGGCTCCCAAAGGGCCAGCGCGCGAGTACCTTGATCGAGCGACAGAGCACGAGCTCGACCACCCGCTCTTTGAGCTCGAGGTCCGTTCCTTCCCTGATGAGAGACCGACGGCAGAGCAGTGGAATCTCATGGGCGAGTACCTCGACAAGCGTAGAAGGACCGACGTCGAGCTACTCAAGGGCGAGCCCGGTCCCTTTGTTGTCGACTGGGAAGGTGGCGCCGTCGAGAGAGACGAGGAGGGTGTCAAAAAACTCCTCGATCGACTTCAGAAGGAGCAAGAGTCTGGCAATAAAGGAACAGGTGCTGGCTCAGGCTGTATCATCTCCTGAACAACAGACTCTGACGAGACAGTCTTTGTAATTTAGGCTGTGTGTAGTATAAACATTTGTGTCGAAGCCCGGGGGAAGTCTCATCCCTCCATTCCCTTTTGATGCGCGACAGCATGTCGCCAGCCTACTCCTCTTCCTCGTCGGACTGCTCCTCAAGGAACTAGGATAGGAGAACAAGAATTTGTGAAATCAGCTTCGAAGTCAGAATACTGCGAGGATGGAACTCAACTCACCTTGACGAGGGGCTCCGTGGCCTTTAGGAATTGCGCCTTGCCTTGGGGCTTGGCACCCTTTTGGGCCCAGTAGAGGATAGCCTGGTCGGAGATGACGTCCTTGTTGTAGAGGACCTTGAGAATGTTGGGAAAAGCCTTCATGAGGCGAGCCTCATCGTAGCAAAAGACCTGAATGGCATTGATGAGGGCGATCTCGCTCTTTGGGTTGGCGCAGACCGTCTCGAGGATGGGCGTGATTTCCTGTGATCAGGCGTCAGCGCACGCACGAAACTCCTCTTGGTCATTATTTCCTTCCAGACTCACAGCCACCTCTCGCAAGGCCTGGCCCTCGACCTGGTCGGCTCGATTGCTCCATTCCTTGCCCGACATGAGGCCCTCCCAGACCAGGGGTGCGAGCTCGTCAAGGGTGAAGCCAGTCTTTGCCCTCTGCTCTTTGAGGAACTCGATGATTTCCTCGACGCTGGTGTTTTCCTCGTCAGCGCTCATCTCCTTGAGACGAGCGACCGTGCTATCGCGGGCATCCCGCTGAGCGCGCTTCTGGAAGTGGTCAGCCACGGGGCCCAGTCCGACCGAGCGGAAGTGGGTGGCAACGAGCCCTGGCTGCGACCGGCGGGTCTGTGGGAAGAACAGGAGCGGGTCCCTGATGCCGCCCTTGCGCAGGCTCGAGCCGAGCTGGTCGGCCGTGCCCTCGGTCAAGTAGGTCCTGAAGACATCCTCGATGAAGCGCAGAGCAGTTTCTGCATCGCAACGTCAGTCAACGTCAGGTCTGTGGCAGCGAGCACGCAGTCAGCGGCAATACTCACCATCCTTGATGAGATGCTCCTTCTGTAGAGTCAAGAGGACGCTAGTCGAGACAAGCGACATGTTGATCATGAGAGCCGTGGCGACAGCAAGCTTTTTGCGCTGTTCCTCCTGGAAACGAGGCAAATACTGGATGATTGCTGACAGGTTCGACTCCTCGAGGGGCTTCTGAAGAAATTTGTAGCCTGCAACATTTGTGAGCTTCTTCGTGTGACCTTTTTCATTCAATAACCAAGAGACAACTCACGGCGGATAACCTTTTCGATGGTATCCACATAGGGCTTCACGTCTTTGACCTCGGTGCTCTTTGCACCAAAGATGCTAAAGGGCGAAAGGGGCGCATCTTCATCCAGATACGAGCCTCCTGGAGCGAGAAGGCCGCCAGTGATGAGAATCTCAAAGAGTTGGTCGCAGTATTTGCGGTATTCGAGGGTATTGCCACCCTTATCGAGCGCAGCTACGTATCCATCAAAATCGTCTTGCGGGACTGTTTCGAGAAACTTGAGGAGCTGATCGCGGAAGGCTGCGTGCGCATGTATTGTCAGCTTCAGCGCCACCCAGTTCACCCAGATCAACTCCGCATTACCCACTTTCGGGCTCAAACTTGGCTTGCGACTTGACGACTCCCTGTTTTGGCCACCAATGAGGCTTAGCAGGCCACTCGCCACCCTGATACTGGGCATATGCGATCGACATACCTTTCTCTGCTTGATTCGAGCACCTGTAAGGGTGGGCTTCTCAGCTTTCGTAGAGGTTGGCGCGGTGGCCGGGGGCGTCGATGTCATGAACAGGCGAGAGGCGAAAGTCGTTTGACTGCTTGTATGGGAAGAGAAAAAAGACTCGATAAGATGGACGAGGACGAAAGAAAGGGAGAAGGTAGCTGCTGGGTAAATTAGCGATCTCTGAGAGAACAAGAGGAAAAAAAGTCTGGTCCCGCGCGCGACACACACACCCACGCTTTAAACGGTGCATCTCTCTCCCACAAGGGAAATGCACAAGCCAGAAGTCGAAGCTTCGCTTTTGGATCTGTCACAGAATGGACTTGGCCTTCTTGAGACCTTAGCACAAGATATGTGGCATTGTACGTGGTCCCCAGAGACGGATATGAGTGGACCGGTAATGCTCAAAAGTACCGTGGCCTTTGTCGCCATCATGATTGACGGGACAGCGAGACACTTTCACGTGATTATCGGTACGCGACTTCCTTCTAGCCTCAAGTCTTACAGGAGCACAGACCGACTCCTCGACCAGATCAACAGGACGATGTCGTACGCCAGTCGGCAGTCGCAGTCCAAAGCGCAAAACGAGGCCAACGCAAAAACCTTACGGGCACTTGTCAAAGTGAGTTTACCTCCTTTCTCCTCGTCTCTCTTAAGAGTCACCGCACATGCTCCGATCCTGACGACCTTTTGCAGCAACCTGAGAACAAGATATGCGCCGATTGTGTGAGTGTTGGCGACATCCCGTCCGCTCGGGAAGATTCACTGATTACGAAATGTCTCTTTAACGTGGTCAGAAACGAAACGGTGAGAGGCGCTCTTGCCATGTCTTTGCTCCATGATACATGCTCTGACTCTGTTTCGTCGCCACGACATTCGTCATTCGCCAGACCCAAGATGGGCGTCATGGAATCTGTGAGTGCATTCACACTCGAATCTTCGCTCATATTCCTACCCCAGCCTGACTCTCTCCAACAGCGGTTGCTTTCTCTGCATCCGATGCTCAGGCATTCACCGGAGCATGGGCACACACATCAGCAAAGGTGAGCTATCCTCGAGATCAGTCGTTGGTAGCAAATCACCTACCTTGTTTCTCGTCTCTCAGTGAAGTCAATCGACCTGGATATCTGGACGCCAGAACAGATGGAATCGATCCAGAAGTGGGGTAACAAACTCTGCAACCTGTACTGGGAGGCTCATCTCAAGGCTGGGCACGTTCCCCCGGAGCACAAGATTGAGAGTTTTATCAGGAGCAAGTACGAGACCCGGCGGTGGGCAAAGGACGGGCCACCGCCGTCAGATCCCAGTGTGCTCGATGGAGGTGCCCCGGTGCCATCGTCCTCCACTACAAGGGGTTCAGGGGTAAGTGTCAGGATAACGATGGAAGGAGCGAGACAAATATGCTAAGAGGAACGACCGTCAGTCTACAAGCCAACCACAGCAGCGTGCTGTTAAGCCGGCTAGCGCCGTCGACCTCTTGGGTGGCGATGCACCACCACCACCTTCGCAAGCTACTACGTCGCTCAGCCAGCCTTCGGCTCGCCAGCCTTCGAATCTGCTAGATGATCCGCCTTCGAACAACGGGCGTACTACTTCTGGCAACATTCGTTCTCCTACGTCACCGCCTGCCCCTGCCGCACCTCCCAAGACCCACACAGCTCCCTCACCGGCAGCAGCGGCAGCGCCCAGTGGTGGGGGCGGAGGAGGCCTCTTCGACCTCGACTGGCACTCTGGGCCAACCTCTCCCCCTGCTGTGAGCTCGCCCACAGGCGGCGCTAAGGGCAAAAACGACATTCTCTCTCTCTTTTCGTCGGCAACTCCTGCTCCAGCGCCTCCTCTACAGCAGCAGCACCAGCAGCAGCAGGGCGGCTTTGGCGGACTGGATGCTTTTGGCGCGATGAACCTGGGAGGGGCTCAGAGTCAAGGTCCTGCCAGAGCAGCTCAAACGCAGAGTAGCAGTGGTCTGTTTAGCACGCAGGACGTCTGGGGAGCTCCGACTTCAGTGCAACAATCGCGGCCACAGGCCCCAACTACCACTACCGCCACCACCACTACCTCTTCTTTCGGAGGAGGGGGTTTCGGGGGAGACGACATTTGGGGAGACATGACCAGCGGCGCCAAGGCCACCGCCACCCCATCCTCAGCGACGACGGCACCGAAGAAGGACGACGCATTCGCCGACATCTGGGGAGACTTCAAGTAAATCCAAGTCCCACATAGGAACCTGCTTTGCTGTCGTCTAATGCCGCGGAAGTTGAAAGTGTTCTCAAAGCCAATACCATCACAAATCTGGTCGCCCCCTCTTCAATTCAGAGGATGAAGCAATAGCATATGATTCTGTTCAAGGACCGAGGGAGAAGAAAAAAAAGGCTATGTCCAGTGTATTTTGACGCTCGTTGATAAGTAAATAGGGAAGGTATCGGGATCTTTGCCTTGGATGACTGAGGTTGACGAGGGTCGACGAGAAGATAGACGTAGCCGAAAGCACGAAAGGAAAGCCAATTAGTGGTGATGAGCCGGAACTACTTTTCCGAAGCCGAGATATTATGAGATGGAGACAAGAGAGAGGCGGACTCAACGCCAGTACGAGTGCGAACCTGCTTGGTGGGTTGCGTACTCGTCGCTGTGCGGTTGTTGGTGCTGCTGGCGAGCTAGGTCAGCAGGGTGTTGTTGTTGGATTGGTGAGGTGTGCTCAATGTTCGAACCCATCGCCGAGACGTCACCCGGGCAAGAGAGTCGGCGGCTGGCATCGACGCCGCCGTAGAAGTCCTGCTGGTGGTGCTGGCCGTGCTGCGAGGCAATGGATGGGCTCGCTGCGCCGATGCCAATCGTCGCCGCTGTCGGCGTCAGAGCAGAGAGGGATGTGGCGGCATTGTGATACACCGACGACGAAGAGTCAGAGCTTGCGGTCAAGGGACGGCGTGTGTAGCGATCGTCGCCACCCGCGTACGAAGAGGTGGACGACGTCGAGGACACGGGCCTTTGCATGTGCTCATACGAGTATGACGAGTGGAATGACGACGAGCTCGTGGGAAGCTGCTCACTAAATGGAGTTCCGCTGAAAGTGGAAGACGTCGACGACGAGGAAGCTCCTGAAGAAGTGCCGAAACCGTGCAGAGGCTGCAGCGAAGAGCCTGGCGTTGCTTGGTTGAAGTTGGCAGAACCATAGCGGGCAGGGCGGTTGGGCATCTTGAACGACGAGTCCTGACCATCGGCATTAATGAGACCTAGGCCGCGATCATCCTGCTCCGAAGAAACCTGGGAGTCGGACGTGACATTCGTCGTCTGTCTTGATCGGAAGCTTCCCTCCCGTTGCTGATCCTTGCCTTCGTCTTGGATGTCCTCCTTGCCATCGTCTCTCCTACTCGAAGACGATGAACCAGCAGACTTGGTTTGGCCAGACGCCTCCTTCTTGGCGACTGCCTTTGCCTTAGCTCGCCGGTTCTGAAACCAGATCTGGACAGCTCGGAGGGGCATGTCCAGCTGCTCAGACAGCTGTTTCCTCATCGAAGCTGTGGGTTTAGGATTCTCTAATGTCGAGACTCAGTGCTCTGTTCGGCATTGTCCCTAAGGATGCAAGAGACTCACCACTGAAGGTTCCCTCAAGGACTTTGAATTGAGTCCTGGTCGTGCGCCTGCGGTGCTTGACTTCAAAGGGGTTAAAGTATTGTGCCCGAGTGTCTTGTTGGAAGCCGTAATTCGAGGCATAGTGTGGATGGTGCGGATAATGTTGACCTCCAGCGGACGAGGAAGAGGACTGGCTGCCTCGCAATTGAGACGATGGCTGCTGAGCTGGAAAGTGAGAGCTGTATGCATTGGGTACGCCCATTGCCGTTGCCGACCCTGCGTCCAGATCTCCTGCTCGAGCCACATATGAAGAAGAAGTCGCAGGAGCTGTGCCATTATTGGCTCCAAAGTACGACTGGCCCCCACTTTCACCCGTGCCGAGCCCGTAATAATGAGGCGCATCTTGCTGGTAGGCGCTTGCGCTGCTGAGAGCGCTGTTGGACGAGCCGAGATTGTTCAGTGACCCGTACGAAGACGCAGTCGAAGGCATTCCGGCCCCCACGCCAGTACTGTAGGACGTTGAAGAAGGGATTCTGTGGCCCTGCATGACGTTTGCTCCCCGATACATGGCGTCGTTGTCACTGGGGCTATGCTCGAGTGTTGGCGAGGTTGTCGGCGTGTGATCGTGCGACGAAGAAGCTGGGTAAGGCTGGCTATGTTGGTGATGATGGTCGGACCAGGCTCCTGGAAGGCCTGAGCTGGTCGTAGTATTGTTTCCGATGCCGCTGTTTCCAGAACCCCAGCTAGAGTAGTGTTGGGGAGCGCTGAAGTGACTCAGTTGTCGACCATCTCTCGGGGAAGTGTAATTCGAATAGGGATTGGCACCGTCGCCTCCGCCGTTGCCGCCGGTATTGTGTTGCATGTGGTGGTGGTTGAGCGAGATCGATCCACCGAGCTGAGTCTGAAGACTGCTGGCTAACATAATCTGACTGAAGAGTACGCGGGAAGGTGAGGATGGAGAGGAGGAGGCGAACAAGAGAAGAAAGGAGTCCGCGACAGGTAGACGTCGAATGAATGTGAGGAGAGGGTGAGATTTATAACCCGATCGTGCGTCCGGAGAGGGCCAAGAGAAGAAACGACCGCACGGCAACGGTCTGTTCCCGCCTTGTAAATTCTTCCAAGACAACGGCTCCGACGATGATGGTCTCTGGAGGAGGAAAGGGAGCGGAGGGGTGTCTCAGAGTTGCAGCTACGGGCCTCCGCTGGCTCCGCAAGACCACAAGCAAGCCGGGCTCTCCTTAAGCTGCCCGCCCGTTTTTTTAAGCCAGAAGGGTGTACACGAAAAGAAGGGAGGTCACCCTCCCTTTGCCTTTTCTTCGCCTTTGACACGATGTTCTAAAGGCTCGGTCCGTGTGCCCGGCCAACCTGGTTGGGGGCGCTACAATGCACAAGCAAGCTAATTAGACTACGAACAGATCATCACGCAGAAATCTCCCTCTCTGCCTTTCGACGTCTGTGAATGCTATCTATCTCTCGGTCAGCTCTGGGTGTCTCGCCTGAGTGCTAAGCACCCGTAGCCCACAGGAAGGTTTTTTTTTCTCCTGGTCCTTAGCTTGACAACGCGTAGGGGACCCGGCTTCTCCGCTGCTCAATCTTGAGACATTCAAGTAGTGAAAAGAGGACAGGCCTGGGGCCTTCAAACTAAAAAGAGGAGCTGAACTTGTTTATTTGGCGCTAGGGTTTGCATGTTCTCGGGGAGTTTCGCAGCATCTAATGCTGCAGCAGACTGCAATACAGGTGACCACAGGGAAGAGGGGGCATTTGATTTACTCAGGGAGCCTTCACCATCGAAGAAGCAAAATCCCAAATGGGATGGTCCGATCTGGCCGCACATGCATGTCTCGAAGCCCAAACAAAGGTGGCGAGCTACTGCATTTCTCTGCACAAGTGCAGGCGCCCCCACCGTCGCCATCATAGAGGCAAATTCGCAGCTGGTGGCTCACAAAGTGGTGCTACTACTTCGATTGCCGTATCCAATCAAAATTCTGCGGGTCATTTTCGATCCTATCCATCTTTCAGCTTAGCGTCGCGGACTCTGAAGAGCCGTTTGCTATCCGTCACACCCGCTCTTATGAGGAGAGATAAAAGTGTGTGCATATCGCTCCCTTCTCCGTCCACTGCATCTACGGTGTGTGCACAACCTACTAGCCTTGCCCCTCCACTCCAATGTAGTACTTCTCCCACAAACCCACCTCACCTCTCGGCCTGCAGCAGCCCTCCACAAAATGCTTGCAGCCACGTCTTAGATTTGCTCCTCGGAGGCCGAACTATCAGAAATACTCGAGATAAATGAGACTAAGAAGGCAAGGAGGTGGCGGATCCGGGCCGTTCGGCTTGCTGGCGTCTTGGCTGCCTCTTTCTGAATGCTCTTCCATGAGATGGCCAAGAAGCGGCGTTTGCAGCCCGCCGTGCCGTGTCTTGCCTCTGCGGGAACGGGAGCGGGAGCAAACTTGAATGAAAGAGACCCCCCCAAAGTCGTACACTACTACACTACAATAACTGTCACATAAGATCACTGCTAACCTTGCGATAAGGTCGGTGACGATAATCAGGAAAAATAGAGCAGGAAAGGCGTGTCTCTAGACTGGCGCCAGACCAATCTGGCGAAGGGTGCAGAGACAGGACGACACGGGAAATGGGCAATCGTAAGTTTGTTTTCATTTGGTAGGAAAATAAATCCGTGATCGATAGATTGGTTTAGAGGCTTAGCGTTTAAGCGATCAAACGACGACGGCCTCTAGCTCCTTTTCGAGAGAAGAAGAAAGTCTGCGGGAACGTGCTCAACTCTGTCAATCTTAGCTTCCTTCGGCCTTAGCTTTTGAAGAAAGGCCAGACGGGTCCGGGCAAGACGGTTGCGACGCTAATCTTTCACATGAAACCCGAAGCCTTGCGAAGGACAGTAGTAGTACATGTACTACCCCTTCTGTTATTAGTGTAGTTGTGGTGTAGTGTGCGAGATGAGTCCGAGTCTAGACTTCTAACACTGAGGCCGCTAGGCTCGATGTTCTTGGTCTGATTTGGGTCTGAGCTGCGATTGACGCTATCGTCAATTTTCTCTCGTACGGGTAAACTTGGACTAAGTGTCCATTGTTGGGCTTCCCTGCTTTGATGAGTCTTGCCCGAACGAAGGGATCATTAAAGCAGATGTGACAAGCCCGACGGCGGATCATCTGCAAGACGCGATACTATCAGTAAATTCTGCGTGATCTTATGGCAAGGGACCTCGTTTCTGACCCTCATGTTGCTGGCAGCATGGTGTCCCACAAGTCTCGGCAGAGCTATGTGAGACTTTCGGCATGACATCTTCCAGTCGGAGCTCGAATGACAGCGAACTCTCATTCTACGAATGAGACAAGACTTCTTGCCGGATGCTCCTGGCCACCTTGTGTCTCTTCGTCGACTCCCATCATGCTAACAGTTGGTCACGTCAAGGCTCGGCTTTTGGTTGAGGTCTCTAGATGATTTCCACCTCTGGAGCTCTAGACTCGGGCTGGAGCTGCTTGCAACATGCACGCTAAAAGTAGACCAGAAACCTCTTTTAGTGCAACTTGGAGCGCGGCTCTCCTTGAAGTATGATCTTCTTCGGTGTCGGCCTTCGAGCTCAGGCCATTTGTGCTCCCGAGCGTTTGAGGTCTTTTTGTGTAATTCTCGGACTGATCGCCGAGCGAACAGGTTGTCGCCAGCTTGCGTGCGATAATCACCATTTTTGATGCTCAGAAAGCGTTTCCCAGAAAGGCCCTCACTTGCCGTCCGCTCAACGAGGACAGAATAGCGATGATTTCTTTTCTTTTGGTCAGTGATGCCTCCTTCAACCATTAGCGAAAAGTGGGTTCCCTCGGATTATTGGGTCGTGGTCGTCGTCAGGCGCATGCAGGACTCGGTCAGATTCGCTACTGAGCAACTGCGTCCATCGGTATCTTGCGTCTTTCCGTGGCTTCTTCGACTCGAGGGTCCAGTACAAGAAAGTGACGACGGCGAGCGGCCCCTGTTACGAGGGACTGCGTGTTTGAAGGACAGAAAAGAAAGGTCGAAGAAGAGCGTTGAAGTATTCGTCGTCTACTCGCGTGTCAGGCATGGCTAGAAGTAGAAGCTTTGACGCCTTTCAAACTGGGTTGACGAGTATCGAAGAGACTCTACACTGGCCATCTGAAACGCACAAGCTCTTCGACAGCTTGCAGGGAGCTTTGGAATGCTCCTGGGCACGACAGTGGTGAGTCGAGTCAAGCTCTCAGGTAATATGAAGACACTTTTGGTTGAGGTTTTCCGGCCGAAGAACGGAATACAAGGTGTTGGACGGGCTCGTATTAGCTCACTGTAGTAGCCAGACAAATGAAGGAGGGGGATCAAAGACAATGCTTTTGCGCGAAGTCAATGTGTCCTCTGGACGTTCTCGATGGCTTTGCTCTCGTCACGGTAAAGTCTTGTGCTGTGAAGGTCGCGTCTTGCTCCCCTTCTCCACTAGCCCTCGGCCGACGCGGAACCTTTTTTCCTGAATCCATTAAAACGCCTCTTTTGGACAAGAAGCAAAAGGCACCGTCACTCCTCCCTACCATCACATCTGTCCGAGCATCATGGAGGTCGACCTCGCGCCTTCGGCAGCGGGGGTGTCACACCAGATGGTGCAGGACGGGTCGTCGGCTGGTTTGACACCAGTCTCGGCTCCATCCACCGTCGAGAGGCTCCCTGCCGCCCACTCAGCAGCATTTCTGTCACGGTCAGGCGAGGAGGCACCACCTCTGCCATCCGTAGAGCCAGGGTCCGACACGCCGCTAGACTCACATACCCCTAAGTCATCAACCCCAGCCCCCGAAATGAAGAGGGAGAGGGAACGGCGAGTGATGCCAGTCAGGCTGCGACGAGTCTCGAATCTGTTGGCCGGAAGTAAGCTCGATGATGACCTGCCAGGCTCCTCATCTAAGCTCGGTGAGTCGCAGAACAGTGATCGATACTCGGAGTCCAGACCCGCTAAAGTTCCATTACTCTCTCTCTCTTATCCCGGTAGAGGGCTACGTGCTGCCTGCAACGGCGACCATCTTTCTGACGACCGATGAAACTGTGGACACGGTACCTTACGAGAACCCTCTCCTGGACCAGGATGGCGCGTTGAGCCTCTTTGCCGACCCGGAGATGGCCAAGGCCTGCAGAGAGCGTCAGCTCATCGAGACGCCCGAGTTCAAAGCAAGGGACGATACGGAGCTGATGGGCAAGACGCGGTCCATTAGATCTCAGGTAAGTAAGACCCTTCAACACAGCAGAGAGACTCTAGGCTCACTGTGCGTGCTGCAGGAGGATACGTCGGACGCTGCGTACGAAAGGAGGCACCGACGGCATGATAACCTGGAGAAGAAGCAGCGCAAACTCGAGAAGGAGGGGCTTGTCAGGGACCGAGCCAAGGTCGAAAGACGCGTCAAGGAACTCAGGGATGCCGATCCGCGCTCACTGATGTGGCTTCTCGAAGCCCGAGAGAAGCAACGACAGGGCGATGCTGCTCCGATGCCAGCCTCCGACACTTCAGCAGCCGAAGGCGCTGCCGCTCGAGGCAAGGTCGAGGATGCCGGGGCACTAATGGCCAAATTGGAGCGCGTCAGGGCTGAGCTTCTCGAGGAAGCAAACGAGCTGCTCAAGAGGTACGATGCTCTCTTGCCAAATGTGAACGAAAATCCGGTCCCTGGACGAGGCGAAAAGAGGAGAAGGGTACAAGGCGAGGAGGGGAGCGGCGCCGACGACAGCGATCATGGACGACCGGCGCATACAGGCCGCAAATCACTCGTCTCCCTGGGTAAGAGGCCAGAGAAGCACGACCAAGGACCGGTGTCCAAGGTCAAGTCAGCTTCTGCATCCGCCCAGGTGCGTCGAAGCGTTTCTGCATCCTCGCCCTCTGCCTCTGGACCCGACCGTGCCAATCTGCCACATTCTCGCTACCTACATTCTCCGGCATCGCCTGTCGCTGGTGCTGAAAAGGGAAAGGCGATCGCAAAGAAGGGCCGGTCATCTTCTGCTGGAGCATCGCCCAAGATTCGGCAACATTTCAAGCCCGAGGACGGCAGGGTTCGCGCGGAGACGACGTACGCCAACATCCACGCGCGTACGTCTGGAGGTCGCTTTGCGCCCAAGAGCGCACTGGTGCCTGGCGCAGAGGGAGCCGCGCCCACCGCACCAGCAGCGAAGCGCGGGCCACGCAAAAGCAAGGATGGCCAAACGCCTACGGCAAGAGGCTCGGCGAGGCGCAAGTCGATGGAGGCGATGAAGAAGGCAGCAGCAGAGCCCAAAAAGAAGCTCCAGAAAGTCAAGCTGATTTTCAACAGACGGGGCAACAGGGGACAAGAAGAGGGTGTCAAGCTGGAGGATGACGAGGACGAGGAGGACAACACTGTTGCTGGTCCGTCGTCGGCAGCTTCAGTCAACGCTCAACCGCCTGCCCTCACGCTGGAAGAGGCGCAGGCTCTCTTTGCGCAAGACATGAGCGACGACGAAGACGCAGACGCCGATGCCGACGGTGAAGACGACATGGGCATCAAGAAGAGCGAGGATCTTTGATGTGCTTTCATTCTCTCCTCGAATTCTCTTCGTCCCCCGTCCTCTCTCTTTCGCTCATGTGCTTCCCCTCTGTCCTGTCCTTTCTCAGTCTGTCATGAGCATCGGAACACACGATGGAAAATATTTATAGCGAATGTCGCTATCTCATGGTCTACATGCGCGTTCGCCTTGGCTTTAGCTGAGCCCGTTGGCCAGCCTCGTCCTTGGCAAGGTCGAGCTCGGTCCAGTGAGGGAAGAGATACGGAAGCTTTGACGGGTCGAGGTGGGGCCAGCGGTCCTTGATGGCACCCATGACTGCCTCATAGACGACGACGTAGCCCTTTGGCTGGATATGAAGGCCGTCTGCGTCTAGAAGCTCGTCTCGAGGCACAGGGCTGTTGATGAAAGCCTGTTGCATGTCGACGAACGACACGTCGGGGTGTCCGTGCAGATCCCTTGCTGCGGGCGAAGCGAGTGACTTGATGACATCAATGTAGGGCTGCTTGGTTGCTGGGTTCTTGTGTCCCTCGTTTACGCCTCCGAGCACCGTTCCAGGCGTCAGGAGGAGGACCGGCGAGGCGTGGAGTTGCGAGAGGATCCAGGCGAGGTTGGACCGGGTCTCTTCTAGGGGGATCTGTGAGAATGTGTCGAGTGTATGAATGGAAAGATGAGCGCAATGATCAGAGCGAGCATACCACGAGGCGCACGCACATGCTGGCGGTTGCCTGCTTCTATGGAGTCATTCGTGCCAAACCAGATGATGACGAGCTTCGGCGGCCGGCGCTGCGAAGCTGCAGTAAAGACTAGCGGAAAGAGAACCTTTGCTGTCGGTGAGGCGGACTGCTTCAGCATGGCACCGAGCCCACCGGCGAAAAGAGACAGAGAGGAGCTTCACCTTGACGAGTCGTGTATCCAGAGAAGCCCCTTCCGATGACTGCGCCCAAGTGTCAGAGGCCTCTATTGGAAAGAACAAGGTAAGAAATCCGAAAGAACTCACTGTCGAGCTTGCGTTCGTATGCCGTTCGCAGCTTGGCCACGAAGCCCTTTTCCTCTGCCTGCTGCACCAGGCTGTCGCCAAAGCAGACGATACTGTCGTACAGGTCCGGATTGACGCTCATTCTATACTCGTGGTCCTCGACCTTTCTATATGCACCGCGCTCTCGGCGTTCTAGCAGATCGCCAGGCAGCAGCAATGGCCCGGCGGGTGGGGGGACTGCAAAGTGGAGAAAGCATCCAATCAATTTAGAATTGACGCCACGTGGTCGCTCATGACTCCAGAGCCCTTCTGATGACGATGATGAGGGGGGAGTATTATTGCACTCTTATCGTCACCATCGCTCGAGGAAAAATAGGCACATCTTGAATCCGCTCATTCCGCCAGATCATCACCACTCCGCGCCCACAGAACGTGGCAGCATAACAGTAAGGCAACACCGACACCGGGGCTCCCTTCCCTTTTCGCAAAGCACCGAAAGGCAAAGGGCCAAAGCGAGGACCCACAAAAGTGCAAACCTAAAAAGGGAATTGGGCGGAGGGCTTTTCTTGTTCCGCCCCCTTCCTATTGAAACCCAATTCTGTGCAACAGACCCCCCGAGAGGGAGAAAGAAAGAGGCAACGGAGACAAGCGAGAAGAAAGGAGGAAAAGCTCCGGGAGACCGCCAGACCATATGAGCACCGCTTTCAGCTCAAGTCGATATTCCCAGTTCAGCGATTCGTCGACCAAGAAGGAGCTATCCTCGTCCCTCGTCTTCGTCGCCGTCGTCGTCGTCATTGCAATCGTTGCCTCGAGTACACCCCCATCTGACATCGCGTCATTCTAGAAGGGTGCAGAGAGAGCGACCGGGTGCGCAGCACTAGCGGGAGAGGCGGGTCGTCCCAGCAGCCGCGGCCGGCGCTTCGACGATGCCACCACCGCACTTTACCTCGTCGAGCCAGGCCGCGCCCACAGCGACAGGCGGCCAGAGTGGAACAGGCGCCGGCTTGGGCGCCAGCGCTGGTGCAGGGCTCGGATCTGGAGCGGGGCCAGGAGGATCGGGGGCCAACAGTAGCTGGACGCTGGCCGAGCTGCCCAAGACGCAGCGACATCTGGTCAGAGAGGCCCTCCTGCACATCAAGACTGCCCTCGTCACCGACAATGACGACGACTCGGCCTTGCATGCCGCACCAGCCGCGTTCCAGGCAATCGACAAGATCGTAAACGATGCCACATTGCGGCAGCTGCGCCGCAAGGCTACCGAAGGTGGGGCCAAAGCGAAAGGTGCGGCCGGAGAACAGAGCACAGGCTCGCAGGCGCCGCCAATGTCCTCTTCGTCATCAGCAACTGCGAGCGGACAGGCTGGTGCCCCTTCTACATCTGCCTCGGGAACAGCTGCGACAGCATCAGCATCAGCAACAGCATCAGCAACAACAGCAGCAACAGCGACGGCAGCAACGACGGCCGAGGCCAACCTGCCCAAGCACGTCTCACATGTGCTCAGCAGCTCCCTGTTTGACATCTTCAGCGACAGCATGGACCAGAACTCGCTCAGCCGCAACCAGCTTCTCGTCGAGTTCCTCCATGCCCTCCACACCATTCTCGAGCCGAGGTGCATTGTGCTGGAGTGGTGGGACGTGGTGCTGAGGCCGATGCTCAAGAACCCAAAGTGCCACGTCTCTGTCGCTGCCTGCGCCCGTGAGCTCGTCGTCTGGGCTATGACACAGACGCCAGCCAATGCGTACGTCGACGAGTCTCCGCCTTCGGCCATCTGGCCCCCACCGCAGGGGGCCTCTGTCTCGGGCGACTACTCCGAGGTCAGGACATCGAGAAAGCCCGGCGACGCACCTTACCCATCCTCGTCAACTCGCTCGACCTCAGTCCATCGTTCGACGTCGAGCCAGGGCGCAGACGATCCTATCCCTGCCGCCTTTGTCCTGCCCAAGCGAGGACCGGGGGCGGCAGACCCACTGCGGCGCTTCACACAACGCATCTTTGACCTATACACCTCCGAGGCCACCTCGGCAGGCAGGAACCTGGAGGACGTGGAACGAGAAGGGGCAGAAGAGGACGAGGAGGATGAGGATGAGGATGAGGACGAGGAGAAGGAAGAGCGAGACCACCATCAGCAGCAAGGAAAAGAGCAGGAAAAGGGAGGCAGCAGCGACGATCAGCAGCGAGACGCCGATCTTGTGGGCACCACCTGGAAGGGTAACTTGGAGGCCATCCTGCTCACCTATGGCGACGAAAAGGCAAAACCTTTCTTCCACCATCTCTCCGAGTCCTACCTCGACCCCGCCGCGCGCTTGCCTATCCTGCTCCTCCTCACAATCTTCTTGCGCATACACTCCGTGCACACATACTACATCATCTCGACGCCCCTCGTTCGCATGCTCGTCCTCAGCTTGCAGCTCGACACGAGCAGGACCAGCACCTCGCTCGGTCTGACGGCCCTCGTCATGCTCCTGCCACACATTCCAAATTGGCTTGCCAATGGCGGAGCAGGGGGCTTGCCAGCCCTACTCAGCATCTTTGCCAGGGTGGTCGACTGGAGGCGCCTTGGTCCGGGATGGGAGGAGAGGCAGGAGGCGCAAGAGACCGGCGAGGACGAGGGATGGGTTGTCAACGACCGACTTGCGAGGAGGCTTCACATCCGAAAGGGCATCGATTGGAAAAGACTGGGTGAGTCAGCGGACAGAGAGACAGAGAGACAGAGAGACATCAAAGGTACATGCATGTTGACACCTTGCTTCAGACTCGAGCTTTGATACGGCTCCGACAGCCCCTCCAGATGCTGGCCGCTTCTTCACGGTCCTCTATGGCATCTTTCCGTGCAACGTCGTGCGCTTCCTACGGGCGCCCATCGATTACCTTCGCAAGGCAGAGTGTCCCACGCCGCTCGAGGCTGACTGGGAAGACGTCATCGATGAGGTTTCCGTCCAGCACAAGTCAGCTCCCATCCTTCGACGGCATTTACTCCACCCTGCATTGATTGAGCTCGACGCTGAAAAGGAGATCAGCGACAAGCAGCGATGGAGCGACCACGACGCCGCCAACATTGCCGCGGAATGCACCTCGCTCGATCTCGGTCACATGGCGGGTAATGAGCCGGGAGGCGATGTCGGTCTCTTTGCTCAGCCGGGCTCCGCTGTCGAGGATCGCACTGTCTTGCTGGATCGCTTCCTCAGTGCATGGGACCCTCTCGACCTGGCTGGCGGACAGAAGCCATCGTCGATTGAGCAGGTCCTGCTGCAGCGTGGCGGAGGCGGAGCGAGCATCGGAGAAACCCTCATTGGCGGCATCGAGGACGACTTGGCACGACAGCACGCCAATCTATCACCGAGAGCGAGCATCCTGCAGCATCCCAGCAGCAATGATGGGCGTACCAGGCGCTTCTCCCGGCAGCGCTCTCGATCAGAGATTGTCAGCCAACAAGGCCGGAATGCGCTTCGCGCCGAGCTGCTTGCGGAAGGAGAGACGCTCCGGGCAGGGCGAGCGGGAACACCTGCAGCTTCCTCGCCTCAGCCTCTTGGTCGTCGCCGCGATCCTTCGGTGCACTTTTCGCCGAACCTCGAGGCACCTCAGCACCACCGTCGTCGTTCGCCACGTGGAAGTCGAGCGACGTCGATGACAAGCCAAGACGGCAGCCGACCTTCAACGGGGAGCAACATGGATGGCATCTTTGCCTCGTACTTGCCCCTGCGTTGGCGCGTTGAAGCAGCAGCTGCGAGCCGTGCATTTCCCAATGCGCCCTCCACCCCCATGACAGAGGACAGGGTGTGGTCTGGGAGCGAGGGCAAGATGAGCAGGTCGACCTCGCAGCGATCGAATGTCGGGGGTACACCGATCTCTTCGCCTGCTGGTCACATGCCGCGCGCTTTCCCGGCACCTCGCAGCAATCTGGCCTCGGCCATCATGTCGCCGGCGAGCTCGGCGGAGTCAGGCGCAGACAACAGCAGCCCTTCGAGACGGCCCCTTCCCCCAGCGGCAATGTCTGCACAAGGATCCTTTTCTTTGCCGCCTTCTCCGATCAATCGAGCGCACGGGCATCCAGCTGCTGCACCCGCATCGATGACGCCGTCCAAATTGGAGAGAAATCGATCAGGATCCATCTCGTCGGTCCTGTCCTTGGCCAATGGCGTCTCTGAGAAGAACCTTTCAACCGCAGCAACAGCAACAACAACGACGACGCCGACACCGCTGCGACTACATCACGAAGCCCCTTCCTCCAGCTCTTCCTCGGCTTCGTCGTCCTCGCTCGTGGCACCTACCGCTTTGATGAGACGAGCGTCGGCCGAGGGGGGTCCTACCCCTCTTCAACAGATCCAGGCTCTGCAAACGTCGCCGCCTGCTGCTGCACGCATGACGTCCTCGTCTCGTGCGCAATTGTACAAGGAGCTCAAGTACCTGCAGAGCGAGAACTTGATGCTTCGCAAGGAGCTCAACTACGAAATGGCCCTCAAAGATCAGCATGTACAGCACATGGGCCGTCTGCACCGCGACAAGTTCAACGACACGGCACTAGAGGCCGAGAGACAGAACCTGTACCAGACTGTGCGGAGCTTGCGGGGCCAGCTGAGTGCGCTGCAGGCCTCGACGGAGCGGCAGCGCAGCGAGGCGGCGACGATCAAGACGCGCCATGCGGCATGGGAGGCCGAGCTCAACGGCAAGCTCAAGCAGTATCGCGAAGAGCGAAAGACGTGGACGTCGGAGTCGAGGCGGCTGAGGAGCCAGCAGGACGAAGACGCGATGCGCATCCGCCAGCTCGAGGCTGAGCTCGAGGATACGGGCAGGGAGATGGTCGAGATGAGGGAGAAGCTGGGCCTCCAGACGCGAGAGGTCGGCAGGGTCAACGAGTACAAGGAGCGGGCGAGGAAGCTGGAAGAGTGCCTGAGATACTGGGGCGAGGATGTGGAGAGGTACGAGGAGCAGCGGAGAGAGGTCGAGGTGCTCTGGAGCCGGTGGGGACAGATGGAGGAGGTCCTCAGCGCCGCCGACGGGCAGGTCGAGGCGCTGAGGGACCAAGTCGAGCAAATGGAAGCTAGAAACGAAGCGCTGGAGAGAGATTTGCGGGACATCCGGCACAAGCAGAGTCTGCGCGACGTCGAGGGAAGTAGGGACAGCCACGAAGGTGCGACAAAGGAGAAGCGACACGGGGACGAGGGCATAGAAGAGGGAGACGGTGAGGCGGCAGAGAGGGAAAAGCTCAAGAGAAAGGTAGAGGCCCTCGAAATGCAGCTGCTAGACCTAAAGGCAGGCGAAGAGGAGCGCCTCGCGCAGAGGCTGTACCAAGAGAGGAAAAAGTGGGTAGAGGCGGGGCCGCGACATGCCGCAGTGGTTGCGCCGCAATCAGGAGACGGGGGAGAGGCATTGACGGAAGAGCGTCAAGTCCTCGATCACGAGATTCAACCTTTGGATCTCGGATCGCCTCGGCTCCAGGAGTAAACGAGCAAAGCAAACGGAAGCAAGAAGCGAAAAAGACAAAAAGTTGTGAATGGTATCGATTGTATTTACTTGCATGACATGCACAGCCAAAAGAAAGAAGACAATCATCTTCCCATTGAAGACGACGAAGAAGGGGCTGGAGGCGAGCCGAGCCCGCTGCCGAAGCGCTGCTTTGCACTGAGCGGGCCATAAGATCCGAGATCGAGACCATGAACGACGCCCAGGAAGCTCCCGCGCTGTGCTCCATAGCCTGGCCGAGAGGCAAAGGAAGACGACGGTGTGGGTGATGTGGGAAGCTCCACATCCTTTTGCGGCTGTCCTTGGCGCGCTGACCTAGCGACGATCTCTCGCTGATCGGCCTGGGCTTGATCCCACGCTTCGCGAAGCACGACCTGGGCCGAATCAACGGATCGCAAGCTTCCGATGAGCGAGGCGCCGATCCAGGGGACGAGCTGCAGTGGCAATGATGGTGCAGTGCCCCCGACTGCCGAGCCATCGGATGCAATTCGAGGCGCATGATCGTTGAGGACAGCGACGTGATGTGCGAGCGACGAGAGCGGCGCAAAGCGGTGGTACCGCTTACATTCGACAAGGGACAGGGACGATGTTGACTTGCGCAGCTCTTCGATCTGTCCCTCGTCTGATAGCTGCTCATTAGCTGCCGTGATGACAAAGCTCTCGTCGGCGGCAGCCGGTGCCTCTTCATCGCCTTCGTGCGCCGACTGAAAGCTCTCGTCCCCTTCCACTGCCCCCGTCGCTGCTGCCACCAAAGAGGCTGAGGTGGCCTCTTTCTGCTTCGAAACTTTGACCGAATCCCACCGCGGACCAATGCGGGCCATGCTCAATGCGACACTGGGCACAGCTCCGTCGAGAGATTGATCTGCCTTGGCCAAAGCGCGGACGACTTCGATGCGAAGGCGATGTGCGAAATTGGGAACCATGGCCGTACCACCCACAACGAAGATGCTGCCCGCGAGGGCAGTGCGCGTGTCAATGGGCAGCTTGACCAGGGACTCGAGGACCATTTCGACGATGCTCGCCTCGTCTTCATCTCCCGGCTCAAAGAAGACCTCACACGCCCGCTCGCGAATCCAACCAGGGACGACGATGCTGCCTCGTGCCTCTCGAGCCGTTTGGACTGTGGCGAAGCTCAAAGTCGAAGGCTGCTGAGGAGGATGGATTGGTGGTCGCGAGGATGCAGGCACTTGAATGGTCAAGTCTGTTGCTTGGATCCCTTCTGAGCCGTATCTCTCCGCAAGTTGTTGCATGTAGGCCTCTTCGTCGTCGCTGCCGTCGAGAGCCACTTGTACGTCTTGGTCCTTGACAGGATTGCCCACGAGAAGCGCCTTTGCGCTGATATCTTGCAAGAAGCCTTCTGTCAGAATCCTTTCCGGAATCTTTGTCCTTCGAGAGGGGCCCGCTCCTGACGCCAAAGACGATGAAGCAGACCCCTGGCCGAATGAAGACCCAGAAGACGGGGTGAACGGTGGATAATAGTGGCCGAAGTGAAGGAGGAGGGACTTGAGCCGAGCTTGAAGCCTTTTGCCGGCTCTCGGCGTCGTTCGAAGATGTTGTGGGACCATTGGGCGACCGGAGTGGACAGGAACCAGGGTGGCTTCGTGGTGGCCCATGTCGATGACAAGGCCTGCCATTCGACCGACCGCAAGAGTGCTGAGCAAGTGGGCGGGCATGAATGAGACCGAAGGCACCTGAAGATTACCAAAGAGGACGTCGCAAAGTGTCTTGCGCACGACATTCGGCATGAGCGGACTTTCGACGAGGATCACGCCTCGCGATTTCGGCTCAATCATGAGATGACTGAAAATGGCATCAGAGACACGAAGACAGAGGACAAGGGAGGCAATTGGTCCGAGGCAGCTCAACTCACGTTATGTAGACTTCTCGCAGTAGAAGTGTGAGCCTAGCACTGAGCCTGGCCTTTCTCTTTGATCTCTCCTCTTGGTCCCGACAGTGCAGAATGTCGGGCCCCCACAAGCAAATGTCGTCTTGCGCTTCCCTTCCATAGCCGTCGTGAGGAAGACTTTCGCTTGCCCTCGTCGCCGCCCTCACAGAGTCAAGAACCACTCGTGGTCTGGCTTCCCCCGCGAAGCCAACCTTAGTGCACCTCGTCCCGATGTCGAGTACGACTCGATCCTCCTGTGGCCCATAGAGAAGCGCCTGTCGTCGGGCCGACGACGAGGATGGCGTCCCGGGGTAGTCATGTCGCGCGCTACTCCGAGAAGACGAGCCTCCTGCACTGGACCCTGCACCTACGTCTGCTCCAAGGTCGAAGCCAGCCGGACGTCGACCCAGCGAGGTCTTTCTCGTCCGCGTCGACGACGATGCCATGGTCGTGAGGCAAGACGCGCTCGCGATTCTTCTGCTGCTTACTCCACGTGTGGAAATGTGCAAAGTGTTGCTCTCTTTCTTCCCTCCACAAGAGAAGAGACACCCGCAATTACCACCCCCACGACGACGGTGAGGACCATGGCGGACGTCGACACGGCCTCGTCGGCGCCTGATGGGGTGTGGCAGCTCTTGGTTGATGTAGGTGATTGATTCTGCCGATTCATTCCTGCTGGACAGAGCTGACTGAGTCTGTCAAAAGGCGCACTGCCACCCCACTGATGATCCTCGACCGTGGGGTTCCGTCGAGATTCTTGCATCGAAGCTAGACCAGGTCAAGATCGGTCAGATTTGCGCCATGTCTACGTCGACCCGGGACCAAGGCTTTGTCGCAGAGCTGGCCGAACGATTGGGCACGCAGAAGCTTAGGCCGGCTTTCGGCTACCATCCGTGGTTCACACACACCATCTCACTTACCGATGGACGGGACAAGGCGAAGCACTACGAGGGCCTCTTCTTCCAGCAGGAGGAAGGACAGTCTTCTTCCCTGTCGTTAGATCCGAAGAGGGATACGGCTCGAAAAGAGCTCGATCAGCTCCTGCCCCATCTTCCTGATCCAGTGCCGCTAGACGAGCTCTTAGCAGAGCTGCGCAAGAACCTGTCCCAACATCCTACAGCGCTCCTGGGCGAGGTGGGCCTCGATCGAGCCTTTCGCTTGCCCACTGACCCCAAAGGCTGGACTCGAGAGCCGAATGAGGAAGAAAAGGACGGTGAAGCAGACATGAGTGACGAGGAGCGAGAGAGGACGCACGCACTCGGACGCAGGAGTCGCCCACTGACGAGCCTAACGCCCGACATCGGGCACCAGGCTGAGATTCTCAAGGCCCAAATTCGGATCGCGATTGAGATGGGAAGGAGCGTCAGCTTGCACAGTGTCAGGGCAGGTGGAGCAACAGTCGAAGTACTCGAAGCGCTCAGCAAATTATTCCCGAGCCATGGCACTGGTGGGAGGAGAGGAGGTCTCAGCCGACAGCAGTGGAAGAGGCAGCAGAAAGATGCCCAGCGAGGGGCCGTGGATCACGGGAATGTGGACGGGCACATTCAAGGACCGAGTTTTGATGACATCAGTGGGTTTCTCGAGGCCAAGGCAAGAAGTCGCACCGCTGACCTGTTCCCATGTTCCAGACATCGACCTGCACAGCTGCACGCTGAGCCCCACCATGATTCGCCAGCTTCAACAAAAGCACCCAAATGTCTATGTCTCCTTCTCGACGTGAGTTCCTCGCACATCTCTCCTTTCTCGTGAATCGCGCGCGTCTCTGATGATGATGAACGCAGTGCGATCAATAGTCGCCAGAAAAACCTCGAGGAGCAACTGCGAGCGTGCGACCCAAAGAGGCTTCTGACCGAGAGTGACTGGCATTCGGCGGAGGGCTTGGCGGCCAGAACATTCGATATGGTCAAGCTCATGACAGACGTGCTCGGTTCTGCCTTGCTCGGAGAGAATATCCTCGACAAGGACGCAGACCATCGGTACGAGCGGGCAGCGGTAGTCTTGCATGAAAACTGGAAGAGATTCGTCAACGATGAGGTCGGCCACGAATGAAGCGAGAAAGGAGTGTGGAATTGTATTGAAGTAATGGAGATCAGATCAATAGAATTGAAGTGTACTATAGAAGGCGATGGTGGTGGGAGGGAAGAAAGGGGAGGGGAAAGAGGAGGAGAAGAGGGGAGGTAAAGGGAGGGAAGACGCAGGAGGAGAAGCGGGAGGATGAGCAGAGGAGGGGCATAGAGAAGAGAAGGACAGTGATGTACTCAGGCCACCGGTTGAATGGCGGCCGGCTGCAGCTTCTGTCCCTCTTGCCTTCCAGGAGCATGGACAAAGAAGAGCAAGAATGTCTCGAGCCACATGGGCAAGATGTAGACGAGGTTGAAGATGACAGGCGTCTGCGGGGTGCCTCTGCTGGAGAGCGTCTGCTGAAGCTGGGCCCAGTCGATTCCGTCGACGTCTGGGTTGTACATGCCCGGCGGCGCCACCATGCTGGCCCTAGCCAAGCGTAGGCGCGAATCTTGCTGGGACTGGAATGCACTGGGCAGGGGCATGGCCGCAGCTCGGCGGCCCAGCTCTCCAAGGATTCGCTTGGCTGCGTCGGCGTTCTCTTGCGTCGCGAACTGGAATGGATTGCTGCTGTCGTTGCCATTTTCTTCATTGATTTCGCCCTGGGCGTGGAGCGTCTGGAGGATGCGATAGATGACTGTTATAGCCAAAAAGACGAAGAGGACGCCAAGGAAGCTGCCAGGCCGCATGCTTCCGTTCTCGCCCCTGGCGACAGGAATTCTGTAGGTGAAAAGATGTCAGCTGGCGTGAGAAAAATCCTACATAGCGAGATCTGCAAATAGGTCACTCACAGGAGCAGGCCGCCAGCAATTGAGATGATCATGAGAAACGCGCCAACAATGGGACCGATGCGGACGATACCGAGCGGAGTGCGATCAGGGAAGTCGGACATTGCGCCAACTGCATTTGCATCCATGAGCGTCTCGTCCCATTGATGAAGGTATACGCCAGTGTAGGCTGCCGTGACGGCGAAAAGGATGAGGGCGACCAGGTTGAAGAAGCGAAGCAAGAGGCACACCGTCGGCACGCCTGAACGAGCGTTGCCTTGGCGGGCATACATGGCCAGCAGGTTGAGGAGCGGTTCGAGGAGCAGAGGAGGCAGAATTTGGAGCAGGATGTTCTCGACAATCATCAGCGTCGTGGTAGGCGTATTGTTGGACAAGTAGGCGCGAATGCCCATGGCAGCGACCATAGCACAACCCCAGATGAAGATGGTGAAAAGGACGTGTGCGATGAGGCTCGAGCGACGAAGCAATCGAATCAAGAAGAGAGGGATCAGGAACAGCACCGCAAGGATCCATACAATGCTGGCGGCCAGATCGCCATTCTTGTATGGAACACCACCAACAACGGTGTCAAGCCAGCCAAGATCGGGGCTGTCGAGGTTGTTGACGTCTGTTGGAGGGCCGCCGTTTCCCGAGTCGGGCGTCTGTCGAGCTTGCAAGAAGTTTCGCGAACCCATATCAGCGAAGACGTGATCTTCGCGAGCGATGCGCACGGCATTCTTGGCGCTCTTGGCTGCTGCTGAAGACGTTGCGCTGGGAGCAATTGCCGTCTCTTGGTCCGAGCAGAGGAAAGCGGTCCCGTAAGCGCTTACACCTTCCGGGCAGCCAAAGGCACCAGCGACCCAAGTCCAGCTGGTTGGTGCTGCATTTACCCTATTCGCGGCCGCAGAGGTACCGCTCGACGACGAAGAAGCCTTTGCAACAGACGACGCTTTGTTTGAGGCTGCAGAAGACGACGAAGACGAAGTAGGGGTAGGAGACGAGGTGACAGCTACTTTGGCGCCGATGCCACTCGCGGTAGTGGACGCAGTGGGCGAATAAGAACCGGCCAGGCCTGCCGCTTTGGAAACGAGCGATGATGCAGCACTGTCGAGGCTACCTGACGAGGTAGGTTGACCCTTGAAGTTTTGTGGATCTTGAAGGAGCTGACCCAGAAGACCCAAAGAGTTATCGGGATCCCGCGTGCCAAGCTGTTGCGAACCCTGGACCAGGATGGCGGCGCTAAGAGCGGTCACGGCAAAAAGGATTGCCTTGGATGGCACCCATCCCCTGTGTTTCCCATCCGTCATGTTCTTGTTTCCTGACGACACGACCCGCCGTTTGACCCGCTTTTCGCTGTTTCCCACCATTTGCATCCGATCTCGTTTCTTCGACGACAAATACTAGACCTTATCAAGCCCGCCTTCGATTCCGTCTTCCCTTTTATGGGCTAGGATGTTATGCCAAGAGGCCAGCTCGAGGTATACGTTCCTGTGTGTTGTTGCGAAGATGAGGGAGGAGGCCTTTGGGCGGAGAGTACTGACCACTTCTAGTGATGATACTGCCGCTAAATACCGAGAGAGGGAGAAAGAGAAAGAGAAAGAAAAGTAAAGACACCGTCACCCAACGATTCCCACTTGGGTTGCTGTTGCCGACGGGAAGCTTGATCAAAGCCTGCTTTGAACGGGGTAAGCTTCGACAGGGAACAGGAAGAGGGAGGACGAAGGAGTAGGGGGTGTTGGCGAAGCCGGTGAAAAGGAGAAGGTGGTGGAAGCAAGTCAACAGAAGGGCCACTGTTCAGAAAGGGCAGCGAGTTGCTAGAGCTTTGCCTGACCTATCGTCGGATGGGTGCGATGCGACGCTATGCGCGGTGCGGTAGATGTATGTTGAGCGTCAATTCTATGGCCCTGAGGGCCTCCATCTGTCATGCCCTCATTATTATGGGAACAGCGTCATCATCACCATGACGGCACTACATCGTTGCCGAGGTGACATGTCGCCGACCCATAGATCGGGGCACATCATCCCTTCTTCTTCCTCAACCCTAATCTAAACTCTAATTTGATTTAAATTTTAATTTAGAATTGCAAAAGGCAAGGCAAAAAAGCTATCAGAGGAAGAAAAATGCGAACGATACGGTCGAGCTAATAGTAAAATAATAACGAGGCGAATTAGACCAGATGGCTGTTCCGCTCATCGGGGTCTTCTGACCTTTAAGCGGAAGCCGACGAGGAGCTTGCCGCGGTGGAAGAGGAGATAGACGTGGACGTGGCCGAAGAGGTCGACGAAGATGAAGCTGTCGTGTCAGGGTCCCAGTAGTACGTCGTGAGCTCGGCAGAGGAGTAGGTGAGGTTCACTCCGACCACAGTGGTGCCGATCAAACCGTAAGTGATGTCGGACGCGTTGAGGTAGGTAATGTCAAGCGTAGCCGTCGAGCCCATTGAGTCGGCGTATGGGTAGCTGCAGTATTGCTGTCAGCTCTTTTCATGCGATAACGCCACGAATGCAACTCACATGCCATCTTCCTCATTCGTCGTGGCATCTGCCCATGCGATCTTGTTGGCCGTGTACGGTGCAATCTGCAGGCGCACGTTCAGCAAGGCCGATTTAACTTCGTTGATATTTCCAAGAAAAACTCACAGCAGCAACTGCATCCATGGTGTCATTGTCAAAGAACCATTGGCCCGTGTGGTGAGCGGAGCCCGTGGCAACAAAGCTGCCATTGTCCGCACGGTAACCCGAGTCCTCTTCGTAAACCTTGAGATGCGTGTGTACAGCGCGACCTTGGTACCAACCTGTTTCTCCTCTTCTGGTTAGCTGTCACAAGCTCGGCAAATATCCATGGGCGACACTCACCGGGGACAATTGAGTACATGGTGAGGAGACCCTCGTCATCCGTCTGCCAAACACCGCGGAGGAAGTTGTCACCGTCCGTCGGGGCCGACTGACCTGGACCGATGCTGCTTCCCTCTTGATCGGCGCCGGCGGTGTACGAATCGATGCTCGTGGTGCTGGCTGAGTCCGATGCCGCCGACGTCGCGCTTGCGCTTGCGCTGCTCGACATTGTCATGCTCATCATACTGCTGCCGCTCGTAGAAGAGTTGCTCGATCCGCTGTCTGGTGGGCTGCCGCTGGAGCCTGAACTGGCGATCTCATATCCGGAGTAGTAGCCAGTGGCATTCGCTGACCACACATCGATCCACGCTCCTTTGAGAGGCTCGCAAGTGTCAATGTCGACAAAGTCGACCTCGAGCCACAGCGGGATACCGGCCTGACCGCCACGGATGTCCTGCTGAACCCTTTCGCCGAGCACGTGGTAGGGTCCCTGGGTAGTCTCTGGCGTGAGAAGGCAGGCACTGCTGTTAGTCGAGTCGTCGGCGCGCTTGTTGGCGAAGGATTCGTACAGTTGGCGTCGGACACGGGGCGAAAGATCATCGCGCTTCTCAAGGGAGCGACGGAGACGTCGGCGTCGAATCGATTCGCCGCATCGCTCGTTGAGACTGCGATGACGGTGGGCGTAGCTGCGTCGGTAGAGGCCAATCTCTTCGCCCTTTGGGTCAAAGCTATGAGCAGCTGCAGGAGCAGCGAGGCTGGAGAGGGCAAGTGCGAGACTGAGGACGGAGGTGGGAAGCATTTTTGAGTAGCTTTTGGAGGGTGTTTCTAGCACAACGTCAACCAGAAGTCGCCTTTTAAAGCCTTAGCGGAGTCCATGACGATCTCAGCGAGCTCGCCGTGAAGACAGAGCCATCGGCAAGCCCTAGCCAGTGAGGTTCAAAATGTTTCTAACAGGTCCTGCCAAGAGTGCCCTCGGCTCGTCCAATGAATGCCTTCTTAATTGCATTGTATACACTGTGCGTGGGGTGTGCTTCCGGCGAGCATCGCCAGGCGGCCGACAGCCGCAAGCCACATCAACCGTCAGACAACCTGACGTCCACTTATGGATACATTGTGCAGAGCCAAGACCTGCACACAGGCGAGAGAATAGAAGAAAAACTGCATGTTGACGACGTTAACCCTTTGCTCTAAATCCCCGGCGTGGGCAGTGCCCCCATGGCTGAAAGACGGCTCATTCTTCGGAGTTCGTTCCGGGAATGAGCTCAATGGCTTCCTTTCACCCGCATCCGAAACTTCTTCATAGTCATGTGCGTTGCGCGACTTGGCCGTGGGTCTGTCAAGCGGCGCCGGAGGCAGTGCCATCGCCCGGCGGGCGTCGAATCGAATTTTCGCGTCAACACAACTGTCATGACAAAATAGGCATAGGATTTATGTCACTTCAAGCGGCCAATCTGTTTAGCTCCACTTTTTTCTTCTGCGCCAAGCGGACGTCCTAATCCCCGCTCTGGCAAAATCGCGAATGCGCGCAAGGGAGAGGGTCTGCTACACGAGCAAATTGACGGCGCAGGGAGTGACGGCGCAGAGAGGCCGGCGGTAGATGACACGCGGGTTGAGCTGAGCGGCCCGCTCAAAGGAGCTGTGAAAAGAACGAAGGGCGTGCTGAGCAGGGGACCCTCAGTAGGGCAAGGAGATTGCGGGCAAAAGAAAGGCGGGCAGATGCACCCTCGTCATCACCACCATGATGACTGAGCCAGATGCGACGACTACTGCTCCCGATGGCTCCAGTGATGGCGGCGAAAGCTCCTGTCAGGCATTTCAGCACTTGATAAGCATCGCACATGGCGAGGCAGGATCGGATGGCATGCCATCACCCACCATCCACCTCCAACACGATCACCGACCACGGCAATATCAGGTGACTTTGTGGACATGAAAGCACCGATATGTTCTCGTCTGGATCCTAATTCACTGTCTCTCCTCTCAGACGGAGCTTTTCGAGCGCGCCAAGAAAGAAAATGTCATCGCTTGTCTCGATACAGGCGCAGGAAAGACATTGATTGCGGTAATGCTCCTCCAGGTGAGCATGCCCTAGCTCCTGGGCCTGATCCTTGACTGACACTTGTCAAAAGCACACATTCAACCTTGGCTTGTGCGCACCTAAGAAGATCTCCCTCTTCATCGTCAACCTCGTCCCACTGGTCCATCAGCAAGGGGGGGTCATAGAAGCGAACACGTGCCTCCGAGTTGGTCTCCTCTTTGGCGGAGATTCCAGGTTCAGTACATGGTCCAAAGAGCACTACGACAAAGCTTTCGCCGAACATGACGTCCTCGTCGTCACTGGTCAGATCGTCGTCCAGGCGCTGGCGCACTCCTTTCTAAAGATCGAGGACATCAACCTCATCGTCTTTGACGAAGCACACCACGCCGACGCTACGCACCCATATTCGCGCATTATGAAAGATTACTATTTCAAGACTCCCTCCCACAAGCGCCCTAAAATCTTTGGTATGACGGCCAGCCCGATGAAGACGGCCACGAATCACTACCAAAGTGCTGCCCGGGAGCTTGAGGGGACCCTGGACGCAAAGATATTCACGGCGCCGCTCTCCCAGAATCGCAAAAACGAGTTGAAGCAAGTGAGGGAGCTTGTAATCGAGTACGATCAGCCAATTCAGCTGCCCGAGACGGATTTGACCGAAAAGATCAAGAAGCGCTGCGCTTCTCTCGAGTCCTTGCCAAAGTACATGCATAGGATGCGTTACGATCTCGAACACCACGGTCCACTGATGCTCGATCTCGCCTGGATTGGATCCCGGGACGCTTTTCGGAACAAGGCACGGGAGAAATTCGAGCGAACGCAATTGTCCAGGCCGCAGATCGACCTTCTCAACAAATCCTGGGCCGAAAAGCAGCAATTTGACAGAGAGTCGAGAGCCATGCTGGAGGAGCTCGATAAAAAGAAGAAGCGGTGGGCCGACGAGGCATTCTGGCACAAAGCTGTTGCTGAGCTCTTGGACGAGGAAAGGAATGTTCCACGCTCATTGGAAGCCAACGAGACGAATGCAACACCAAAGATCCTCACCCTCATCAATTTGCTCAAATGCTTCGATGTAGACTCAAAGACACGCCAAAACTTCTGCGGAATCGTCTTTGTTGGCCGCAAAAGGACAGCAATCGCCCTCGTTAAACTTCTCTTGGGGCAAGAGTGCTTGAAATTCCTCAAAGTAGAGGCTCTCTATGGTCATGTTGAAGTCGATGGCAGGAATGGTATGGATTCTGACGCGCAACAGGCCACCTTGTCGCGGTTCAGGAAGGGCAAGACGAATCTTCTCGTGGCCACCAGCGTCGCAGAAGAGGGTCTCGACATTCTTCCGTGCAACTGTGTCATTCGCTTCGACCTCTTTGCACATCACGTCGCATACGTTCAAAGTAGGGGCAGAGCCAGGCACAAGGATAGCCGTTTCATCATGATGGTTCAGCGCGATGACCCCGTCATGCATGGCATTCTTCACAAAGTCACCCGTGTCGATGCCGACATCCGCGAATGGCTTCTTGACCTGCCACACGATCGACTCTCACAGACCTTTGACGACGACAGCAGGGATGATAGCCGAGGGGAGAAGCAAGAGGCTCTCAGCGATTATCTCGAAGTTGCCCAGACGGGCGCGCGAATCTACCCTCCAGAGAGCGTCTTCTTCCTCTGCCACTATGTGCAAATGATCAAAAGCGATGTGTATGCACCGAATGTGCCGGATTTTATCATTCGAGAATATGACGAGGGTCTCGGTTTCAGCGTCGAGGTGCGCCTACCTGCCAACTCAAGGGTCCGCTATGTTCAAGGACCAATTTGCCCCAGCAAGAAGATGGCGCGGAACGCTGCATCGCTATTAGCGCTGAAGAAGCTCCGTGAGGCTGGCGAACTGGATGACTACCTCATCCCGTCGGCTCGCAACAAGACCAAGGCCCTTCGTGCCGACTTACCCTTTGAACTGGACAAAGATGGCAGAAGGATGGGTACTCAGGCTCGAAATCATGAGCTTCATGCCAAAATACCTGATACCTTTGCTCCAGGGACTCCCACCGAACCCATCGGGGGTTTGGAACTTCAAGGAGTTGTTCTACGTCCGCCCTCTTCAACGGAGGAGGCAGGAGAGGCAGCACCATTTCGTCCGATGCTTCTTTTGACAGTAGGTGCATTCAAAGGGATGCCTGCAGTCGACCTCATGTTCGCCGGAGGGATCTCAAGACAGTGTCCAGTCTCGGAAGACACGGTGCTAGTTCGCCTCGACCACAGAGAAGCGCTTGCTGCCACGAGATACACTCTTCGACTCTTTGACTACATTGGGAAGAACAGCTACGAGAATGATGGTCGGCTGCCTTTCCTCGTGCTGCCGTTGCACCAGCCCATAGCCTCGCGGAATTTCGTCGACTGGATGGAAGTCACCCAAGAGGCTCAGATTACTACACTCCACGATCGCGGACTCTTTTCGTACCGATTCGATCCTCAAGATAAACTCTCCCCTTTGATGGATGAGGATCTGTTGCTCTGCGACTGGAAAAATCCTTCCCGCCTATATTACTTCATTGATCTGGACTTGGGACACGACGTACGCCACATCGCCCCAGATCGCAGGTCACTCAGAGATATCGCTCCTGACGAGCCTGGTATGTGCAGCCAGCCCACCGAGCCTTTGATCGTGACACGGGTCATTCCCAGCCTCGACAATCACTTGGTGATAAATGCCTATAAGGCGCTCGGGAAAAGAAGCGCGAGGTGGACAAGCTATCTGGTCCCTTCCAGAGCAGGCGCGTTTCCACTCTCCGCGAGCACGGCCGAAACCGCGCTGCTCCTGCCGTCGATTCTTTGCCGATACTCTCAGATATTGCTAGCTCGGGAGGCTAATGCTCTCCTCTTTCACAACCAGCTCGATGAAGGGCTTCTTATGCACGCCTTCACGGCTCCTAGTGCCCAACAGCTTCTGAACTACGAGAAGCTAGAATTTTTCGGGGACATGGCTTTAAAGCTCATTGCATCGCTCTACGCATTTACGATGACCGACAGCCTTCGAGAAGTAGAGCTCCACTATACTCGTCGGGCTATCATCTCCAACGCGCAGCTGCTTAAGCATTCGCTCCGACATCAGCTCCATCGTTTCGTTCATGCCAAGGCCTTTTCAGGTAAAACGTGGCGCCCGCTCTACCTGTGCGCGCCGAATTGGTCACAGGAAGAAGCGCGCCCTTCTTACAGGAAGAGGAACACCCACATCATCAGCTCAGAGGCTTCTCATCCAGCCTCTGGCTGCGAAGAGATGCTGCTCTCGGAAAAGTCTCTTGCAGACCTGGTAGAGGCTTGCCTGGGCGCCGCGTTCAACAAAGGAGGCGTCAATGGGATCGAGGCGGCCTTGTTTGCGATGAACAAGCTTGGTGTGCTACCTCGAGAGGTCGAGGGGCTCGAATCTTTCCGGAGGGCATACGCACAGCAAACTGCGCAGGAGTCCGAGGGTCAGAATCTAGCTGAACGTGTCGAGTCAGGCGCTCTGCAGAAGGTGAGTCCTACATTCTTACATCAGAGCATTGAAGTGATACTGATACTAGGTGATGTGCAGCTCCAAGAGCACATCGGATACCAATTTCGGTCCCCTCACCTCGCATTACAGGCGGTCACCCACTCGTCATACATGGCCGCCGACCTGCCGTCATATGAGCGATTCGAGTTTCTCGGAGACGCACTCCTCGATTACTTTATCGTTTCCACGTTTCGAGAAAAATACAGCGACACATTGGACGAAAGTGCCATGACGATGATCAAGTCAAATGCGGTTGCAAACGATGCATTCGGTGTGCTCTGTATAGAGTTGGGTCTCCACCACTACTTCAGCCACTCGTCTTCATCGATGCTTTCGGGCATTATGCAGACTGTGTCCGACGTGATGGACGCGAGGAGAAGGGCCCTGGACTTATATGGTGGAGACGAGGCAAATATTGGCCAGTACTGGCTCAAGTTTGGCGTCAGAGTACCGAAAGTCCTTGCCGACGTAAGTAGAGCCATGTGCCTGTCTTCTGTATCTACTGTCTAACTCCAACCCTTATTTTCAAGGTCATCGAGAGCCTCCTTGGAGCCGTTTTCGTGGACTCAGGCTTCAATTTCGATACGACTCAAGAATTCTTCGACAGGCTGTACCGGCCATTTTTCGAAAGGCACTTTGAGCCCGACAAGACGGTGGTGCGTGATCTCAACGAGCTGACGAGCTTCTTCACCAAACACCGCTGCCGTCGCTGGAGCGTCGATTACGAGACCATGGACCATCTCAAAGATCGTCGAGATTCCAACACCATCAGATTCTGGATCTCCTTTCACGGCGTGAAGGTCAGCGAGGGTGTCGCATCGGGTGAGCAAACTTTTGACTCTTCCTCGCTGCCTAGTGTTGCCAGCTGACACCCTGATGGCTGAATACAGGAAGAGCTTCGGACCAGCTTATCGAGGGTCTTGAAGAGATCAAGGAGGTTAAAGCCTCAGAGGAGTGGAATGACACGGGATTGGTCACCGAGGTGTTGCGAAAGGTGTTGCCGAAGCAATTTTCGAACATACTCAATAGCCCGACGCCCGGTCATGAGCCAGAGGATGACGAAGGAGCCGAAACGGGGAATCAGGAACCTCCTGAAAGGCCTAACCTTACCATCTCTGACGAGCTCGCAGGGATCTGCGACTGTGCGCAGCGGGAGGCAGAAGGCGACGACGAAGACCAAGAGGGGGAAGAGAAAACGTGGTGGGACTGACGACAGTCTCTGTATAATATAGCATTGAGCTCAATGTCACTGCCACAAACGCGAGATGGCGCATTGGATGTAGAGATACCCGATCATTGTCAATACAGAGGTCGCTGCCATGGCTCCTACAGAGCTTCCCAGTCATTATTTCTATCTCATTGCCAAGGCTCAAGCGGCATTTCCTCGGGTGCTTTTGACGATCCAATCGCAGAAGCCCGGAATCTCTACCTCTGGCTGCATGTCATAGAGGTGAGACTTGCCTGGTTCGACGTGAACCTGGACGTCAAAATTCTTTGCCTTGAGCGCTTCGATGACGAGTTTGCTCTGCTCCGTCTCGACCATGATGTCCGCGTCGCCATATGCAATGAAGACTGGCTTGTTGAACGGATTGTTGCTCTGTCTGATCTGCGTCGGCACGCTGAATGCTACCTCTTCCTCGGTCTCTTTTCCGCCTCGAAGCACCAGGGAGGGGTAGATGCCTTCTTGCCGCGCATAGTTGTACAGCGTCGCTCGGACGGGATTCTTCGCGGGCGGCGACTCAGAGAGGACCTTGGCCTGCTTGTCCAGGTGCTCCTTTAGTGGCTCGCCAGGGCACACATCACCGGGTTTATTGTTGGCCGAGTAGGCCCAAGGCAGAGGCGAAAGAGCCTTGTGGAAGTACGGCGCCAGTCCCCTCTCTACTGTAGTGATGGGGTAGATGGCCACGACGGCTGCGGGAGCTGGTTCGAGGCGCAGCGACGTGAGCGACGAATCGCTGCTGTTGCTGCTGACGAGGTCCAGGCCAAGAAGCGACGAAAGCCAGCCGCCAGCGCTGCTTCCCGCCAGCACGTAATCGCGCTTTACCTTGGCAGAGATCGTCGTGGAGAGTCGGTCCGCATGAAAGAGGAAGTCGACGCAGTCACGGACGTCGGCGAGGACAGAGACGAGGGGCACCTGCGGGCAGAGTCGGAAATCGGGCGCGACGATGACGAGGTTATGAGACTCGACAGCTCTGACAAGGTGCTGCAGACCAGGTCAGAGGCGAGACTGAGCAAATTTGCGTGTAGTGTGCTCACCGGGGGAATGAATTTGCGAGTCCCTTGAAGCAGCCCGCCAGTGTGAAGCCAGATGACGGGCGTCACTGGCTCCGTGGGGTGCGAGGGCGCATAGACATCGAGAGGGATGTCGACTTGCTCGCCCTGGTTCCCCTTTACACTCTTGTACGTGAGCGTGATTGGCTCTGGCTGTTGCAATGAAGCCATTGTGCCCTCGACGATGGTTGGTGCTGTTCAAGTTGTCATTCCAGCGCAATCTAGGAGGCACTGACTACTCCGGAGAAGGTCCGGGGACAGCCTCCGCAAGTCGGAGGCTCCGATTCTTATTTTGTGGAGCTGAGCTAGTTAGACCACGTGGGTTACGATTTGCACGTGCAACTCTCACAGAAGCAGAAGAAGACTTGAGCTCTTGTCCGCTCAACGCACATCGACAAGGAGCATCAACCACTAGCACCATGTCGGCAACAGCAGGACCTGTGCCTGCGGCTATTGCCCCCCAAGGCGGCGCAGGCAGTGCGCCTAGGCAGCAGAGGGCGTTCAAGACGCAGGATAAGCCCGATGAAGTTCGGCGATCCAACATGAACGCTGCAAAGGCAGTCAGCGACGCCATTCGAACCAGTCTGGGTCCAAAGGGCATGGACAAGATGGTGGGTCTTGCGCTCCTTATCCGACTCATCTGCAAGAAAAGCTGAATCATGATATCAATCGACTAGATCCAAACCGCTTCTGGCGAGGTGGTCATCACAAATGACGGCGCGACGATCCTGAAGCACATGGCTGTCATGCACCCCGCCGCACGAATGCTCGTCGAGCTCTCGCAGGCGCAAGACGTCGAGGCCGGTGACGGTACCACGTCGGTCGTCGTCATTGCTGGCTCGCTTCTCGGCGCTGCAGAGAAGATGCTGAACAAGGGTATCCACCCCACCATCATCGCCGAAGCTTTTCAACGCGCAGCTGCAAAGGCCGTCGAGTTTCTTTCGGACATCTCTACGCCCATCGAGCTGAGTGACAAGGAAAGCTTGCTCCGCGCCGCCAGCACTAGCTTGAACTCCAAGGTTGGTACTGAAGTCTGAAATATTCCTGTTCGCTTTGGGGGTGGTACTAATGTCGACCCCTTTCTCCTAAAGATCGTCTCGCAATACTCTTCTGTCCTGGCACCCATTGCTGTCAATGCCGTGACCCGTCTTCTCGACCCCAAGTCCTCTGCTACGGCACCTTCGAAGTCGTCTGCAGACCCCGCTTCGGCCTCTGCGCCAGGCTCGTCGACTGTGCTTCCCGAGGAACAGGTCAACGTGGACCTGCGCGACATTCGCCTGGTCAAGAAGGTCGGAGGCACAATTGACGATACTGAGCTCGTTGAGGGACTGGTGCTGGAGCAGAATGTCGTTGGTGGATCGGGAGGCCCGACTCGTATGGAAAAGGCAAAGATTGCCGTCTGCCAGTTCCAGCTGAGCAGCCCCAAGCCGGATGTAAGTCAAGGTCGTATGTCTGGGCATTTGGAGGACATTCTGCTAAGATGGAATCTCGACCGCAGATGGACAACCAAATCGTTGTGAACGATTACCGACAGATGGACAAGATTCTGAAAGAGGAGCGCCAGTACCTGCTCAACATGTGCAAGAAGATCAAAAAGACTGGCTGCAACGTCTTGCTCATCCAAAAGTCGATTCTTCGCGACGCCGTCAACGACCTCGCACTGCACTTCCTGGCCAAGCTCAAGATTCTTGTCGTAACAAACGTCGAGCGCGACGAGATTGACTTTGTCAGCAAGACGCTTGGCGCCAAGCCCGTCGCCGACATTGAGGCGTTCACAGAGGACAAGCTGGCGAGTGCAGACCTGGTCGATGAGGTAAACCAGAACGGAGCAAAGGTGTGCAAGATCACCGGCATTAAGAACATGGGCCGGACCGTCTCGGTGCTCTGCACGGGCGCCAATGCCCTGGTGCTCAGCGAGAGCGAGCGATCGCTGCACGACGCCCTCTGTGTCGTCCGATGCCTCGTCAAGAAGCGCGCTCTCATCGCAGGCGGTGGTGCGCCCGAGGTGCACGTCTCCCGTCTTCTCTCGGAGTATGCCTCGACGCTGAGCGGCATGGAGGCCTACTGCTTCCAAGCGTATGCCGAGGCACTCGAGGTGATCCCCACGACGCTGGCAGAGAACGCGGGCCTGAACCCAATCAGCATCGTGACCGAGCTCCGGAATCGGCATGCGCTTGGCGAACGAACGGCGGGCATCAATGTGAGGAAGGGTCAAATCACAAACATTCTTGAGGAGAATGTGCTGCAGCCACTTCTCGTCAACACGAGCGCCATTGAATTGGCCACCGAGACAGTGTCGCTGCTTCTCCGGATCGACGACTATCACCTTTCTCGTTGATTGTATAGCCGTAGCTAAAAAGATGAACAGGATTAGAGAGCAACCATCATGACATGACATTTGCTTCCAGTGTGAGATGGAGATATGACTTGATGAGCAGAAAAGGTGCCTTTAATTACTACATCTGCAACTGAGAGACAGGAGCGCCGAGCGCAGTGTCTCTCATTTTGATTCGCCGCTCTTGTCTTTGTCACCTGTCTCTTTTGGTTCGCCTCCAAAAGCGATTTTTGACTGTCCAAATGAAAAGGCGCCGGGGTTGGACACGCCCGAAGTATTAGCAAATGATAGCCCGATGGACGGGGCGGGTGTAGCTGTTCCACCCGTCGATGACGATGACGGCGACGATGTGGGCGAAGAGCCAAAGGAGAAGCGAAAGGGATTGGCGGCGCCAGACGTCGATGTTGGATTGGGCGAGGAAAAGGACCCAAAGGACCCAAAGGACGAAGTAGCACCCTTCTGTTGAAAGCTCGGAGTGGCGGCGGCGCCGAAGGAAAAGAGCGGCTTGGCTGGCTCTGGCTTGCTCGTTTCTGCTTCATTTTGCTCCTCTGCTTCATCCTTCTCCTCATCTCCGTCCCCCTCTTCGCCGTCGTCTTCACCATCGTCATTCCCTTCCTCATTATCATCGTCGCCCTCTTCCTCTTCTCCCTCGTCATCATCGTCGTCCCCATCGTCTGCATCTTTACTGCCAAATGACCCGAAAAAGCCGCCCTTCGGGACACTGAACATCGGCTGGCCCGGCAATAGCTTGCTCTCTGATCCTGCCTCGCCATCATTCTTCTTGAACGACGAGCCGGCGAAGGAGAAGGCAGACGCGGGTGCTTTGGGCAGGGTCGGTGTTGCTGACGCAGCTGGCTTGGTCGCAGCAGCACCAGCAGCAGGAGAGGGTAGTGAGAAAGTGGGTGCTGCCTTCGATGTTGACGGCTCTGAAGATCCAACGGAAGACGCTGAAGGCGCTGAGGATGGCGCCGTGAAGCTGAATGGCTTGGGAGGAGCTGCCGCCGCTGCTGCCGTGGAAGATGCAGTCGACGATGCTGGCAAGGCGGCAGACGTGGAAGCACCCGACTTCTTCCTCTCCTCCTCAACCTTCCTCCGATGCGCCGCATACTTTTCCTCGGCGGCCTTTAGAAGACCCCCGAGATCTGCGAAAGCATCTTTGCCCAATTCCCGGTCGATTGCAGACGAGAGCTCGGCCTTGAGCGAGACATTGAGGCCTCGAAGCGATCGGTAGTAGTCCACGTTGTCTGCGCCCTTTGCTACCCCGTTGGGCGCGCTAGTGCCATTGAAATGGAGCGCCGAGGTTGAGGCGGAGGTCGACGTTGACGTCGATGGTGATGGCGCAGAGAAAGAAAAGGGCTGCTGCAGCGGTGCCGCAGGAGCTGTGGAGTTAAAAGAGAAGGAACTTGTTGAGGGAGGCGCTGCTGCTGCTGCTGCAGGCGATTGTGAAGGGGTTGAGAATGGCGAGCCAGCCGTCTTTCTTTTGGGTAGCCCTCTGATTCTGTATTGGCTTGCATCAGATTTCTGTACTTCCTCTGCTTTTAGGCGACAACAACTCACGGTCTGTCACCTATGCCGCCGGAAGGAGTCTGACGAGAAGAGGTAAGCGAGGGAAGATGCAAGGCGGACAAGCGACCCAGAAGCTTACCTGTGGCGTAGACTGCTGGGTCTGACCATCGCCTTCGATGGCGTGGGGATCGTCGCCATCATCCTTCGATATTTGTCTCTCTGCGCCTCTCTTCATCGTTGTCGTTGGCACCACCTCCCCCTTCCAGTGCTCGAATCGAGAACAAAGGCGGCTTGACGTTGTCGACAAATTTCCACGTGCAGAAAAAAGCACGGACGGGCAATATCCCCTCCACCAGACAAAATGGAACGCTGCTTCCGCTAGAACTGAGCTTTTTTGGAGTAGTAGTAGTAGCAGCAGCAGCAGCAGCAGCAGCAGCAGCAGCAGCAGCATGTCCAAGATGGTGGCACAGGAGTGGACCGTGCCGATCCCCAAGCGGACCACGCCTCCAAAGTACCTCCAGACGGGCGTCTTTGCCGTTCTATTCAACACATCCATCATCTTGGCCAACTTGACCCAGTTTCTCGCCCTGGGCCTCTATCCCCTCCCCATCACGCGGCCGTACTATGAGCGCGCCATCGCCTACACGAAGCTGTCCTTTGCCCGCCTCCTCGTGGCTATCAGCCAGCTCTTCGGCCCGACAAAGCTGGTGGTCAGCTGCTCGGACCCACAAGGCAACGCGTTGGACCCCGAGCGCATCGTCAAGCGCCGCGTCGATGGGACCGTGTCCCACGTCGAGCTTCCGAGCAAGAGCGTATGGATCAGCAACCACCAAGTCTACACCGACTGGCTCTACCTCTGGTGCCTGGCCTACTACGGCGACCTGGCCGATTCGATCCTCATCATTCTCAAGGACTCGCTCAAGTGGATCCCCTTTGTTGGCTGGGGCATGCAATTCTTTCGCTTCATCTTCCTAGCGCGCAACTGGCTCGCCGATAAGGGGCCACTGGCAAAGCACCTGGCGTTTATGGCGTCAAAGGCACGTTCTGTACCCACGGCGGGCCAGCAGGGCAGCGCGACAGACCTGGCCGTGTCGCGGAGCTCGCCGTCAAAGCTGCTGCTGCTCATCTTTCCCGAGGGCACCCTCGTCTCGGCGCTGACACGGCCGACGAGCAAGAAATTTGCGGAAAAGCAGGACATTGCCGACTGCCGCAACTTGCTCCTGCCCCGCTCGACTGGCCTGCTCTTCTGTCTCCGGAGCTTGGCTGCCGACATTTCCGACCTCAAGCTCGTCGACTTTACCATTGGATACCCGGGTATTCCCCCCGCGGGCTATGGCCAGTCGTACTACACGCTTCGGTCCATCTTCATGCAGGGCGTGCCCCCACCGGCCGTCCACATTCACTTCACCATCTTGCCCTCCCGGTCGACGGACCCGCAGGACAAGATTTCTCCGCCGCTGGGCAAGCTGCCCACCGATGCAGCCGAGGCGTCGCGGCAGGAGTCGTCGCAGGAGGAAAAGACCCGCTTTGAAGCATGGCTCCTCAACCGATGGCGGAACAAGGACGACCTCATGGACCGCTTCTACCGCGACGGCGACTTTGTCGGAGGACAGTACGGCAGGTACAAGGCCATGGACGACGAAGGCAAACGGCAGCCCGACGACCGCCAATATGTCGAAGTGCCCGTCGAGCTAAAGTCGATTCGCGAGTTTGGCGACATCATCTGCTGGGCCGCCCCCGTCTGGGCTGGCCTGCTTGTCTACAAGGCGATCCAAATGATGCGCTAGGATAGGTGCCCATTTCACCTAACCTACTCCCTTACACGCACAAAGACACGCACATACGCACAATTAGACCGGAAGACGTTGAATGAATTAATGTACAAAGAGAAGAAGGGTAACAGGCTTGGCTGCTTACGCAGAGGCACCTTCGTCGAGAATGGCCTCGTTGAGCTCCGCCAGGGGGGCGAGCTCCTTTTGCTCGACGAGGTTGAACTCTCGGATGAAAAGCAAGAAGTGCCGGTAGCTCGTGTTGAGGTGCGCTTCGAGCGACAGGGCACAGATCTGGGCAAAGTGGTGGTTGTAGATGTGCGCATACACACGGAAGAGTCGTCTCAGGATCGACTTGATTGTCGCCTGGAAGTTGTCGGGAAAGGGGACACCTGTAGAAGGGTAAAGTGAGCGAAGCACCAGCGGTAAAAGTAGGCCTTTCTGCATCACTCACCGACTTTGCTCGGGAAAATCTCTTCATTGTCGAGCATAGACTGGGTCCACGTCATGAGGCAGTCGATGTAGTCGGCAGCGCTCATCCGAGTCGGCTTGCGGTACTCGACCGAAGAGCTGTCTTGCCAGTGGTACTCGTACCGGGGCCCTGCGCTCATCGTCTTGCACTATTGCATGAAAGTTCAACACCCGTCAGCACTCGTGCCCTTTTTCTCTGCAGCAGCAGCCCTGAAGATACGCACCTCTGAGGGGATGCAGAACTCGGTGATGGTTCCATAGAGCATGTTGAGGTGGTTGAAAAAGTCGACGGCTGTTTGTTTGTGAAGATTAGCCGGCCGACACTTTCAGGGGAGGACAGGTGGCAGCACTCACTGTTGACAGCCAGCCACTCGTCGAGGTCTTCTCCTTCGGGGAGGACGACTGCCTGACGCAAATTGCCTGACCCAAGCGTGGCCTCGGCATATCGCTTCAGTTGACTGAAATTCGAAATGCACACGTCAGCCTTGAGAGATCCCAACGACAGCAAGGGGCCAAACGACTCACTATTGCTTGGTGCCCTCGGGAATGTTCCTCTTCGGCTTGAACGTCCTGGTCTTCGAAAGCCCAAAGAACGACGACATGGCGATGGCTTGTTAGTTGGTGGAGAGGGTATGGAAAGCAAAGGGGACAGAGGCGAGTGGTGAGGAGCGAGGTTGGTTGATGTGCCTCTCCTGTCGGGCTCTGCCCTGTCCTGCCCCTTTGTTGGTCGCGCGTCAACATCACGTGGAGCGCTCGAGCCAGGCAAATTGGTCTTGGTTATTTAGTGCGGATGTCGCGCGCGCGAGAGAGAGAGGAAGCTAAATTAAACATTGGCGTCTTCCCCGACATCGAATGATCTTTTCTTTCGCAAAGAAGAACAGCATCATCACCCATGTCGGATCTCCTCTCGACCCAGACGCTCCTCGCACTGAGCTTTGTCGGCTCGCTCGTCGGCACCGCCTTTGTCCTCTCTCGCACACAGTTGCGCGAGGGCACGTCCTCCAAGTCAAAGAACATCTTTGTGTGGCTTGCCTTTGACTGCCTCTGCCACCTGACCCTCGAGGGCTCCTTCCTCTACCTCTCGACCTTTGGACGCACCATTAACGCGTCGAATGGCTTCTTTGCCACGCTCTGGAAAGACTATGCCAGGGCGGATGCGAGATGGGGGTTCAGCGACCCCACCGTCGTCTCCCTCGAGATCCGTCAGTGTTGGGCCCCTGTCGATATGTGTAAGAACAGATGCTGACGAGTGTACACAATTTTCACAGTGACGGTCCTTGGCGCAGGCCCCCTTGCGGGCTACTGTGCCTACCTCATCTCCGTCGATGACCCCATCTACCACTTCTGGGTCGTCGTCCTCAGCGTCGCCGAGCTCTACGGTTCGTCGCCCCCACCTCACCTCTTTGTGTCCTTTCGCCATGCTGACCCACAGTTTCGACGCAAATAGGCGGCTTCATGACGTTTGCGCCCGAGTGGCTGACCGGCAACAAGGTGTGTGCACAGAAGAAAGTTTGCTCACACCCCTCCTTCTCGAGCACTGACCAAGCCTTGGTCGATCCTTTCTCTTGCAGTTCCTCAACGGCAGCGACTTTCTGCTCATGTGGGTCTACCTCTTTTTCATGAACATGGCCTGGGTAAGTAGCAGGACGGACCGCGCCGAAATGATCACAGAGAGAAGAGGAGCTCACGACAAACAAAACAGGTCGTCATTCCCTTCTACCTCATCTATGACTCGTACGTCGTCATCGCCGCCAACGTCGCCCGCCAGGGCAGCCTCTACGCCGTCGCTGCTGCGCCCGCTTCCAAGTCGCGAAGCAAGAAGCGATCATAGAGGAAGAGGAGCAAGGGAAGAAGAAAAGAAGAGGGAAATGCACACAATTTGCCCGCTCAGATGATCGTACAGACTTCTCCATATATTGCTGCAAAAGAAAAAAAGCGGGGTTTAGACGTTGATGTGCTTGTTTGGTTTGCTAGTTTGCTGCTTGATGCTTGTCTCTTCTTTCTAGCCGCTGCTCTCGTCCATGCTCATGCTCGCGCTGAGATCCATGGCCGAAGAGGATTGCGAGTGCGAGTGCGAGTGCGACGGATCGGCCTCGACCAGCCTCATTTGCGGGTCCAGGATGGCTTCCGCCTCGACCTCGCCCTGGTCCATTTCTTCATCCTCCTCCTCTTCATCATGTTCGCTCCTACCCAGGCCGCGGTGGCCTGCCTTTCTCCTCTCCAGTGACGATGACGAGACGGAAGAAGAGGACATGAGCAGACTGCTCCCCAGCGGGCCTGCCGTTGCGACGTGGCCACCCGCCAAAAGGTCCTCGTCGTCGTGGCCGACGACCTCGCCCTCGGCGCCGTGGACAGGAGGGATGGGTGCCGCTTGCGCCAGCTCGTCGAGGACGTAGGCAAGGAGCTCCTTGACCTGCTTGTCCCTGGGCGAGAGCAGCTGCGCCTGTTCGATTTCACACGCCCCTAAATCAGCTTGACGTTCATAAGTAGAGAGAAGAGGAAGAACTCACCTTTTCATACCAGGCGACGGCCTCGTCGAGATAGCCCTCACGATGGTAGATCATGGCGAGGCCTGTGTGTGCCGGTCCACACTCCGGATCCAACTCCATCGTCTTCATAAATGCCCTTCTTGCCTTTTCATATCGTCTGCGGGATCGCAAGGAGTCAGCGTTCGTTCTCAGAATGCTGAGCAGCAAATGGAAGCTCACTCTGATCGGCGATAGGCGAAGCCCAAGTTGAGGTGTGTTGGAGCCCATGAGGAAGCAGGCATCTGCACATCATCGGCTGCTTCGAGAGCCGCCTCGAATAGATTGATGGCTTCTTGGTACCTTGCAACGCATCACACGATCAGCTTCAGGAGATAAAATCCAGACGAAGGAGCAGAGGCACACTCACTCGCCCTTGTAGTAGGCCACCACACCCCGCTCGTTCCTCCCCAGCGCGTCGTCCTCCCACACGAGCGCGCTGCCCTTCAGTGACGTTTCTGCCAGCACGAGATTGCCCTGGTGGAGGTGCTCCATGCCGATGAAGAGCTTGGGGAGGTGCGACTGCGTAAACATCCTCTCGGCCGTCGTGTAGGCGACAATGGCGCGGTCCGATTCGCCTTCGTTGGCAAAACAGTGGGCAAATGCGACCCAGCTGGCCGCGTACCTCGGGTTGAGCGAGACGGCCTTTGAAAAGTACCGTCGGGCCTCGGAATAGCGCCCCGACGCCATGTACCAGCAGCCGACCGCGTACCAAGCCGCGGCCAGGTCGGAGTCTCGATCGGTGAGATGATGCGCCAAGAGAAAGAGAGTCGGTCGGAGATCGTCGAGGTACACCATGGTGGAAACGTGAACCGTCAGCGCCGCCTCGTGGTCCTTGGACAGGTCCATGATGCGCAGCGTCACGGCGTGGCAGTCTTTGTACCTCTGACGCGCAAATAGCTCCTCGGCCAAGCCCAAGAGGACGTCAGCATTGTTGTCGAGCCGGTAGAGACGGTAGAGCTGCCTGCGCGCGGCCGCAGCCTGTTGAGCGTGGACCCTGCCCGACTTGTCGAGCCTCGTCGTGTACATGAACTTTACGAGTTGCAGCGCTTCCTGATGCAGCCCATCGTCGCCGGCCTGAGCGACGTATTCGAGACCCTGAACGAACTCCCACTGCTCTCGGGCGCTGAGCAGTTGTCCGCCAACGAGCTGATCGAATGCCTCATAATTCTTCACGTCAAGAGAGAGGGCGCGGACAAAGGACTGCTGCGCTTCGGCCTGCTTGCCCAGACGCAGCTGGATGAGACCACGCAGGTGCCACTTGGACGAGGCAAGCTTGATGCCGCCGTCCTTGCAAGGAACCTTTGGTCCGTACTTTTCCTCTTCCAGCCGCTCGCTGTTGAGCAGGTCGAGGGCATCGTGGTATTTGGCCTGGCGGACCATGCACTGCGCTGCCAGGTATCGTGCAGGCGAGCTGATATCGATGAGCTTGACGCCCTCTGGGCTGGGCGCCGTTCGTTGCTTGACCTCCTGCAATGCTGCCTTTTGCTCCCGCTTCCAAGCCCTAGTCACGGCATCCTCGGTGGTCTCGCCTCCCTGGCCGGCAGCAAACTTGATGCTCGGCTCTCCCATTGCGCTGTCGGTGCTGCCCGAGCCGCTGCCGGTGCCGCTGGTCGCTTCGCTTCCCGTCCCCGTTCCCGAAACAGTGAAGCCCCTCTCTTTCCTCTTTCGTCCGACCTCGTCGTCGGTCAGCTCGCCGACATTGACGCCCTCCATCTTGGAGTAGAGCGTGGCCGGCAGCCTGCTACCGTTCCTCGTAGCTTCCAAGGCGGCAGCCAAGCCTTCCGATGAGCTGTCGGCATCGCTTTCCAATGGCCGTGAGGAAGAGGCCACCTCCTCTTCGTCAGCTTCTCCTTCCCTCTGACCGTTCACACCCTGTTCCTCTTCTGGCTCTTCTACAATGACATCATCCTCTTCTTCGTCTTCTTCGGCTGCGTTGCGCAGAGGCGAGCAGAGGAGGTGCTCGGCCTGTGCGTACCGGTGCGTGAGAAAGAAGGCTGTGGCCAGGTGGTAGGCGTCTGTCCAGGCCTGAGCAGAGGCTGTGACACGGTGTGAGAATGTGTTTGCAGTCAGCTGGATATGTCCAGTCGCCTGTGTATGCATGCATGTATATGAGACTCACTCTCCAGGCTGAGCACCTTGTCACCCCAAAAGATGGCCGTCTCATAGAGGTGGTGCTTCATCGCGTCCTCTCGCCACAGCCGCATGAGGTCCAGCAGCGCCCTCCGATCCTCTGTCGGCGCCACATCGTCCTCGAGGAGCTTGGCACGCATCGCATCGCCCTGCCAGACATCCTCGCCCTCGTCGTCGCCCGAGGAGTGCACGAGCACGCTGCCGTCGGCCGCGCTCTCGTCGCGCCGAAGCGGCGTCTTTGCTCCTGCCCCGATGCGTAGCCGGTTCAGGCCATGCACGGCCGGACTGAGGCCCAAGAGGCCGCTCCCGTTGGCCAGCTCCTCTTCCTCCTCCACGATGGGCTCCTGCCGGCCGCGCCTCAGGGGTGTCATGAGGATGCCGTGACTCTCGTTGGCATCGGCGAGCTGCTGTTGCTGCTTCAGCAACCGAGAGGGCCCCCCTCCACCCGATGGCGTCCTCGGTGATCCAAATAGGCCTCCTCGCGGCTCGGCTCTCGGTGGGGCACGGGGTGCTGCGGGCGCCGCCATCGACTCAACCTCTTCCTGCGACGAGGCCGTCGTGGACAGTGATGCTCGAGCCAGGCTCACGCGAGGTGATCCCCAGCCCGAGCTGCCGTTGGAGACACGCGCGGGTCGCTTGGGAGGCGGCATGATGCCTCTGGTCAGGTGCTCGTAGAGCAAGGATGGGTTTGCATGCTGTCGCGGAGCCGGCGTCGAGAAGTCGGCCACGGGTGGTGGTAATGCTCCCGTCCCTGTTGCTGTTGTTATTGTTGCTGCAGACCCTGCAACTCCCATCGCCTCTGATCGCTTTGTGGGCGCAGCAGGTGGCCGAGGCGCGAGGAGCGTCGTCGGCGCCATGGCCGCGGCTGTCGGCCTGCTCGTGGGCGTCTCGTGTAGATTGGGCGAGCTGGGCAGTGCGAAGCCATCGTTTCCCGCCGCACGTTGAAACAGCCAGTTGTCATTGTTGGTAGACGGCGCCGTGCGGGCAGCTGCGCCTGTCGCCGATGAGGCCGTCGAGGGTCCCCCTGCCGCTCCACCGACGCGCGACGGCCTGCGATCGAGAAAGACGGACGAGTTGCTCGACTCGTCGTCGCCACTTAGCGAGAAGCGCGATGGCCCAGCGACAGGCCTGTTCATCTTGCGCTTTCTCCCACCCCACCAAAAACCCCTTTCTCGAGGAGGTTGTGCGCGAAAGGATGGCCCGAAAGAGGCGGTAAAGTCTGTGTTTGTTCTTCTTGAAACAGAAGGCTACTTGCTCGTGCGCGCGCGGTCGCGCGCTTCTTTCTCCCGTTGGACTGGGGGCGCCTGGCACTGGAAATCCAAAAAGTGTTGTTCGACGCGCCTTTGCTCGGCCGTCGTGCGTCCGTCCGTCACTCTCACTGCAAACGTGACTGTCCGACCTCAAAATGCCGCCCAAGCCACCGCTGACGCCAGACCAGAAGCGAATAAGGGTGAGCAGCTGATGTGAATGCCTTGCTGGCCGTCCAACAGTGAGACTGACTGCGCCTGACTGCGCCTGACAGGTCATGGTCGTCACCTTTCCCGTCCTCGTGGCAAGCAGCGGTGAGAAAAGAAGGGCAAGTCGAAGAAGAAGTGCCTCTTTTGCTAACATATGCCCTTGCGTTGACGTGCACAGTCGTCCTGGTCAAAAGGCTCTTTCTCGGCGAACAACAGAGGGAGCTCCCGGTGCATGGAAAGATTGCGTCCCGTCCCGCGTGATCGTTCTCATCTCTCGGTTCACCTCAGCAGATCTTTTTCCTTGCCGAAAAGCAAAAACAAATAAAAGATGGTATTCAGTGGCTTGCCTCGATTGAGCGGCGAGTGGACCCCAAGCTAGAAGTAAAGTACAGCATAAGAATGCGAAGATGAGAGAAGAGTGAACGCAGAGAAGCACAGTGAATCAAGCCAGAGCGGCGCCGGCCGCCGCCACGACGATCGCAACAGCCGCGCCAAGAGTCAGCGAGGCGGCGGCGGCGGTGCTAGGCCGAGCGCCGTTGGACTTGGCAAAGTAGTACTGGTTGAAGTGCTCCCCTTTGCCCCACGATGACTGAAGCGGCTTGAAGCCGACCATCTTGGTCGCGTCGTTGCTCTGCAGGGTGTCGCAGTTGGGAATCACGCACTTGTCCTGGCCCTCGACGTCGCTCTGGGAGCGCAGGTAGCACGTCGACTGTAGAGTGCCCACACAGCACGTCGACACGTGCATCTCGGTCCAGCTCGCCTGCTGGTTTTGCGAGAGCAGGTTGACCATGTTGCAGTCTGCGTTCGTCGCAAGATAGAAGTGGCCAAAGAGGGCAGTTCAGTAAAGTTGAGGTGTATGATGCAGTCAGGAGAAGGAGAACAGGAAAACACACCCTCCTGGCCGCCAGGCTCGTCGTGCGAAATCACCGCCGTTCCGCCCTGGCCCGTGGAGCCCTCGGTCGCGTCGGCAGATTGTCTGCGCGCCAGCTCTTCAAGCACGCCGCGAGGCGTAAGGTCGTATGCGCTGCATCGGCCAGTCAATGAGCATCTGTATATGCCGTCTGCCCTTTTCTCCTGCTCACTAGATGGTATCACGGCCTTGAAGGTCATCGATGGCCACGGCGGCACCAGCAGCGGTAGCCAGCGCAATGAGAGCAAGGGTGAGACGCATGATATTAGCTGTTGTTTTGAGATGAGAGTTTGAGATCAGGTGACCGTAAGGAATGTTTACTTGGGCGGAGAGGCAGGAAGAACGAGCGAAGCGGCGTAGATCAGATACAGGGAAGAGGCGATGGCGAGAAGAAGGGGGAGGTGGAGATGTGGGGAATGGCGATGCGGGGATAGTTGAAGAGCCAAGGTAGGCTGACGCCGGCTTTGGGCAATGGAGCCCCGTGCCAGTCAGGTCCCCCGGCCCCAAGCGTGTTTCCTGCCTCCTCGCAGACCGCGCGATCCAGCCAGGCCGCCGGCAAAGGGGGCAGCTCAGAATTGCACCCTGCATTATAATTTGAATCTGTACACAAACACTTGTTTTGTAATGCTATGCGCAATTTTCTATTGTTTCTCACAACGTGACGTGCCGCTTCCGATGGTCAGCGTGCACTTCCTTCATGGTCCCAGATTCATCCTTGGCGGCTTTCCTATCACTGCGCCATTGAGCGTGGGACTGATCAGTACCACATGGAGCATTATATTGCGGCTCGAAAGGTTGACGGCAGTAGCTCTTCTTCTTATCATAATGTTTCTGAGCTCCGCCCAATCCGCACCCTGTTCGTAAAGGATGACGTTTAAAAAAACCGTCACCGTTACCATACAAGTGCACTTCCACCTCGCCTTAGCTTGTCTTGTACTAAGCACGCTTCAAACCCATTTCGCATCCTGCACTTTGGAGCCATGCCCTGGACTGCTTTTGTGGTGCTCGCATTGTTCTTTCCTTTACTCATGTGTTACCTTACTCACTACCGCTGCTGCTTCTCTCATGCGATCACTCCATCACACTCTACTACAGGCACCTACTCGTCCTGCGAAAAGGAGAGACAAATGCGAGACGTCGTGCAAGCTAGCTCATCAGTGACCAGCTTTGCGCTTCCATTAGCAACTTTCCATGGCCTCACTGTCTATCTCTTGGACTTATTGGTTCCTGACTAGTCGATGTTGAGCAAGGATTGTCGCGCAATTCGCCAGAGCACCTGCACAGCATGACACGTTCTAACATCTTGCAAGCGCCGTGGGCTTCAAGATGGTGTGTCATGTGTCTTCAGGATTCCTCCGAAATCACAACGCTCACTGAGATTCTGCTGTGTGATACAATGAGGGAAGACGAGAGTAAAGCCAGGAAGACAAGAGTAAAGCGGGAAGACAAGAGTAAAGAATCTTCCTCTGCGGTTGTGATAGATTCAAGTTGGCTTGCATGAGGCCTGCGTCTCGATTCAAAGAGGCAGAGTCGGCCGGGCGATCGAGAAGGATCTCGATGTTAGTGTCTGCCATCGGCCCTGACATTCATGCTGCCCCACAAAGGCACCACGTTCCCACCGTACTGCCTTTGGGAGTCCGGGGTCAAAGTTGGTGTGAGTATGAATGAACCCACACGCACCATCCCAGCGCTTGGCTTGCATCGATCTGGCTCGAGAGGCTCAAAATGGGGTGTGGCTGGAGATGCACGCCCCTTTGCAAGATCAGGCACGCGGGAGAATCTTGATGCTTTAACCTTGTTTGCATGAAGTCTTCTCATTGTTTGCGGCTTGCGATCGCCGTAGCTTGCGATAGAAAGTCGGAATTTTTCTTATTGGCTCTAGTCGACCATTGCCGGACGCCCAGTGTTGAGATCAACGTTTTATGCGGCAAGCAATCGACGCAGACCTTCGGCACGCTTCATGTCCCTTCCTCGGCCATTTGCTTCACAAAAAACTACGCCAATTGTCCACCACTATTCCGACGCGTGGAGGTGGGCGTCGCGCGAGAAGTAAGCTGCACAAAAAGGTACGACGGCTAAAGTTCCAATAAACGCCAGGCACCGTTTATTGATTGGATTCCTTTCTATTTCACCCGAGCGGTGCCTTGACGTCAATCACTTCCTTCATCCCCCCTCTGCAGTGCCGCCCTACATTGCTCGCAGCTTCTAGGAACGAAGCTCTCATGTAGCGTTAGCTCGTCATTTGCTTAATTGCCCGCATTTCTTACCATTCGCATATCTGCGAGATCAGCTCACAAACGCGGTCGGGGTCCAGTGCCGCGCACGCAGCCACTCCAAGGCTTTTGAGGGTTCACTCAGTCTGTGCACGTTCCTAGTACCCATTGGCGCATTGGACCTTGCCTGCGACTCTCTTCGATCCACGAAGCTGCATAGCTGAATGCGCCCGCTCTTGGGACTCCGCCAAAAGGCCCGAAGGGGAACACACAGTGATGATATCAGTTCATCTCCGAATTTATTCCCGATACTTCGGCAAGTGTCTGCACGAAAGTGTACCTTCCTGGCGCCAGTGAAGTTCCACTATCTGCTGCATCGGCTTCCCAGGTCCTTTCATGCTGGCGTTGCCGCCGTTGCAGGAGAGAAGGGTTTGAATGCCTCTCTATGTGAGACCTCGGCGGTTGCGGCGCACGGCACGGCGAGCGGCGAATGCGACGCGGAGGAGTAGCTCTACGGGGAAGTCGAGTGTACTATACTGTACTGTACATGACAAGGCAGCACCCTTCCGCAAAGGTATATAAGGAAGCCCCAACCACTAGACTGATGATCCCCATCAACAAGCAGTCCTCGCTCAACCAAACACAACCAACCCAAACCAACCCAAACCAACTATCTCTTCAAAGATGTTCTCCTACCTCGTCCTCGCTGGTGTCGGTGCCCTCGCCCTCGCTGCTCCCTCCGCCCGCGCCGAGTCCCACAACGTCCAGCTCGTCAACAACTGTGGTAGCGGAAACCCAGTCTTCCTTTACCAGGGTGACTCGACTCCTGCCGGTTCCAGGACGATCAACGGCCAGCTCCTCGGTGGTATCGCCTGGATCGACGGCTTCGCCGGTGCCGACTGCCAGAGCTCGGGTGTCAACTGCGGCATCGTCGAGTTCACCCTCACGAACCCAAGCAACCCTGACAACACCCAGAACAGCGCCGACTACTCGCTCCTCGACGGCAACGACCCCCAGACCGGCGCTGGTCTCGGCAACCACAAGTACACGTACCCCATGAACTTTGCCTTCACCGGTTCGTGCACCAAGGCTGCACCCGGCCAGTGCACTGGCGACTCCGCCCAGGCCTGCCCTGGCGCTTTCCTCGGCTCGGCCACGACTGGCGGCGCCCCCGTCCAGTGCGTCTCGGACGACGCCGGCGTGAGTAGCTCCCTGCCCAGCCTTCTTCTTGGCCCTTTTGCTGACATTTTTCTTCGTGTCTACAGATCCTCATCACCTTCTGCTAAGCGCGCCGCCATAAGGCGTATGAAGTGTCCCTTTTCAAGCAGCCAAGATCCAAGCTCCCGAATCTTTTTTGGCCTTCCCTCATTCCGTCCAGGTTCCTTCCTTCAAGCCTCTCTATTTCGGGCTTAATGTTCGTTCTTAATTCTCGTCTTCCCTCTCTCTACTCTCAATCTTATCGCTTTTGACCCCCTTTTTCCCAGTCGATGACGATGAGCCGTGTAGGGTCCCCTTGATAGAGTAGGACGAGATTTCCGCTACATCATCGTCATCATCATCATCATCATCATCATCATCATACTTTCAAGGCCTCTCTCCCCGAATGGACGCGGCCGGCTGCGCTGGCTCGGATGGGATCAAGGGGCGCGCTTTGTTGTAAATGTAGAAGGACATGGAGCACTCATAAGTCAAGTTGCGATTGAGGAAGAAAAAATAAGAAAATTTCTTACGGTGGCAGAGCGTTTGGTGGAGAAGTAGCAGACGGCTGTTGTGTGCAGCCTGTCAGCGCGCGCTACTCGGTCTCGGATCAGGCAGGGTGCCCGAGGCCGAAGTGGACCGGCCTAAAGCGCGCGCACGCGTCCGTTTGAAACGGGAATTAGGACCCCTCGTCTCCAGTCCAAGAGGGGATTTTGCCTATCTGCCAACTTCATCTTCTCTCCACTCTCTCCGACGTTCCCTTTGATCCCGACTGATAGCAGCAAGGACCAACGGTTGAACGATGGCGGTCCAGAGCCGGCTTCAGCCAACGATTGACGCCGTCAAGGTCAATGCCCTCAACTATGGGGCAAGGGCCTTTGTCGGCTACAGGCAGAACCACGCCCTGATCCAGCGCATCCTCCAGATCGGCTACATTACCTTTGTCGTCGGCTCGACGTGGCGCGGGCTCAACCCGAAGAAGAAAAAGAAGGCGAAGCAGGCGACCTCAGAAGAGCTTCAGAAGTCCGCAGACAGCGGCGAAAAGACCGAGGCAGAGAAGAAGAGGATCCTCGAGGCCCAGCAAGCCGCACAGCAGGCTGCCGAGGAGGCAGGAAAGGGTGGACGGAGAAGAAAGGGCAAGGGCAGGGGCCCCAAGGTCGAGGTGGATGCCGTCTTCTTCGAGCGGCTACGCAGACTTCTCAAGATTGTCATTCCTGGCGCCAAGAGCAAGGAGGCGATGCTTATCATCGCCCACTCATTCTTCCTCGTCATGAGGACAATCATCTCCCTCTACGTCGCCGAGCTCGATGGTCGCATCGTGTCATCGCTCGTCCGCAGCAAGACGAGGGAGTTCCTCAAGGGCATCGCTTTGTGGATGGCAATCGCTATGTGAGTTCTATGCCTTTATTTCCTCTTAGCGAGTCCGAATCGGTCACCTGGCCCTGACACATGCTCTGCAGCCCGGCGACATATACCAACTCGCTCATCGACTTTCTCCAGTCGAAGATTGCGCTCGCCTATCGGTCACGGCTGACGCAGCGCGTCCACGACGAGTACCTCTCTGACGCTACCTACTACAGCTTGGGTAATCTCGATGACCGGATTCGCAATGCTGACCAGCTCATTGCCGTCGACATTGCCAAGTTCGCCACTTCGCTCGCAGAGTGCTACAGCAACATTGTAAGTCTCTCTTCTTCCATGGGCGAGGTCTTGGATGCTCGGCTGCTGACGTTCCTCTTTTTACCCAGTCCAAGCCCATTCTTGACGTCTGCCTCTACAACTACCAGCTGTCGCGGAACGTCGGCGCTGAGGCACTCATCCTCATCACCGTCCTCGTTCAGGGCTCAGCCGGGCTGCTGCGTGCCCTGACACCACCATTTGGTCAATATGCGGCCGAGGAGCAGAAGCTCGAGGGAGAGTACCGATGGGCTCACTCGAGGCTCATCGAGAACAGCGAAGAAGTGGCATTGTACAGGGGACAGAAGCTCGAGAAGAACGTCATCGAGCGAGCGTACTTTTCTCTGATCAAGCACGTCAACAGGATCTATCGGATCCGCATCGGACACGGCATGGTCGAGGAGGGCATTGTCAAGTGGCTCTGGGGTAGCCTGGGCCTCGTCGTTTGCGCGATTCCCGTCTTTGTCAAGATCCCTGGCGTCAAGGGTGGAGACTTGGGCAGCCGGACCGAAGCCTTTGTCACGAACCGAAGGCTGCTCCTTTCGAGCAGCGACGCCTTCGGTCGTGTCATGTACTCGTACAAGGAGCTTGCCGAGCTGGCCGGCTACACGGCCCGAGTCTCCGACCTGCTCGACACGATGGAGGCGGTCAAGCAGGGGCGATATGAGAAGAAACTTGTCTCGTCTGCGGGCACGGAGGAGAATGCTGCCGTGCTTCGGGGCAGAGGCAACGTCGTTGAGTCGCCCGACGTCGAGTTCATCGATGTTCCCATTGTGAGCCCCAATGGTGACGTGCTCGTGCGGAAGATGAGCTTCAAGATCACCGGTGGCCAGCACCTCCTCATCGTCGGACCCAATGGCTGTGGAAAGAGCTCTTTGTTCCGCATCCTCGGAGGTCTCTGGCCAGTCTACGGTGGCACGGTGCGTAAGCCCAAGGCTTCCGAGTTCTTCTACCTCCCGCAACGGCCCTACACGTCGCTCGGCACACTGCGAGACCAGGTCATCTACCCTCACACAGTCTCAGAGATGCGGGCGCGGGGAAAGACAGACGAGGAACTTCTCGACATTCTCAAGATTCTCCAGATCGACCACATCGTCGAGCGGGAAGGCGGCTGGGATGCGCAGCGCGAATGGAGGGACTCTCTGAGTGGCGGAGACAAGCAGAGAATCGCAATGGCCAGGCTCTTCTACCACAAGCCGAGGTACGCCATCCTGGATGAGTGCACGAGCGCCGTCACGCTCGAGGTGGAGAAGGTCATGTACGACTATGCGACGTGAGTAGCTCCCTCTTTCTCCCTCTCCTCCATTCTTCCCTCCTTGTGCGCTGACTGATCTGCCATGGCTTTCTCCTCCTCTTCAGCGAACTGGGCATCTCGATGCTCACCGTCTCGCACCGACCTTCGTTGTGGCGATACCACCAATTTGTCCTGCAGTTTGACGGCCAAGGCAACTACGTCTTCACCAAGCTCGACGCCGAGAAGCGGCTGGCATTGCAAGAGGAGAAGCAGAACCTCGAGCAGAAGCTGCTCTCGGTGCCAAAGTGGCAGGAGCGACTCGACATGCTCCTCAATGCGGAAAAGGAGCGAAAGGAGATTTCAAGGCCGTCGAGCCCCGTCGCCGGCTTCTCCGCTTCCAACAAGCAGGCCTGAGAGGTCGCTGCCAGTGTGTTATTTACCTACTTCGTGTTTGTAATGCAGTTTTGAAGCCCACACATAGGTCTGCCCTTTCCTCCCTCTTTCCATCTATTGGAAATTGTGCTCGACTGTTGACAGGAGAAGGCTAGACGACTTTCATTGCGTGCTTTGGTCTTTTGCTACAGCTCCGTGCGTCGTCTGGAGGGCTTTGAATCCACTTGCCAGCTCTCTACATCGACTCCCTTGCTCCCTGCATCTGCTGCTGAGCTCCCCGCCGACCGAGCGCTTCCACCATACCGCGGTCCCACGTTGCTCGGCGAGAAGCTTGCGGCAGTCACGTCCTTTGCGGCGCCAGGCGCATTGACGTTGACGGCGGCGGGCGCGAGCCCGATCCACGGCGCCACGACTGCGCGTGCAAAGATTTCGCCAAACCCAAGCATGACACCGTTCAAGAAGGGCAAGCCCAGGTTGATGGCGAGCGAGGCGCCCACCAGGCTCAGCCGACGGACCCATGACATGGGGCCGGGGCTGAAGGCCGCGAGCGTCAGGCTGCCGGAGGGTGCGTATGCCGGTGTCTTGCTGGCGTCAACATCCGCTGACGGCGGTTGCATCTCGATGGGCGCAGGTGCATTGGCAGAGTTCGGCGAGCCGGGGCTCCTCTGCGGCGAATCGGAAGTTCGACGGGGAAGGAATCGAGGCATGCCCGTGGCAGAGACCGAGGGGACAGGGTCCGGAAGGTCAGAGGCAGTCTGCATCGTTGCTGGCGCACCGGTAGCAACAGTCGTGTGGCTCGGCGCTGATTCTTCTGGCTGGTCGTATGGCGATCGGTCCTGGTGGCCGTGGTGGTGGTGGTGGTGGTGGTGGTGGTGATGGTTGTGGTGATGCCCTCTTGACGAAGGACTTGAAAGCAAGCCTCCCAGAGGACGAAATGGTCTTCCCGTCACCGAATTGTCCGTGTCGGCATCGGGGTCCAGCCCAAATGATGCGTCTTTGCGGTCTGGCCGAGGTGATCTCCCTGTCAGCGAGCTTCCTCTGTGAGGCGTGGACGATCCGGACACTGGCAGTGTCTCATCGCGCTTGTGTGCTTCGACGAGGGCGTCGAGCGCGCTGTCGTCTGCGCTTCCCCCCACAGCTGCTGTCGCAGCGGAGAGCGTCGAGGTATTGGAAAGATCTGAAGCAGCAGTGCGAGCGCCCTGTCCGTCATCCGTGGTGTTGTCCGATGAGGGGCCTGCCTCGCTCAGAAAAGGTCTCTGCGCCAGAATGTCCCTTGGCGCCAGCGGTGCGCCGCCAAAACCTTCACGTCCGACTGTGCTAGATCGAGGAATCCCCTCGGTGGAGCTATTCCTGCCCGCTTCTGACTCGCCGGCGGTACCGAGATCTTCGACGGGAGCGCCATGGCCCTGTCCGAGCTCGAGATTGGAAATGACGCTGCTTGTCATTGCCGGATTTTGCCAGGGCGAGAGCGAGGGCGAAGGTGCTGCTGAGCTTGACGCTGCGCTTGAACCCCCTCTCGCGCCGTCAGAGGCGTGCTGGACAGCTTCTGCTTCTTTCCGTGGGGCCTGCCTCCCTGTTTCTGCAACCTCTTCGTCCGGCCTCGTTTCCGCCATCACTCAACGTTGTCAAGGAAGAACCTCCAGGGGGGAGATCAAGAGCGAGGGCCCAAACGCGCGAAGCCTGGCCGTGAAAGTCCACGTGCAGCACACTGCTCCTCTCGCTCCTCAGCTCCACCATCCACCATCGAGAATTTTACGCACGCACCGCTGAGCGTCGTTGCCTTCCTGGGTTAGCCGGGCATGTCCTACTTTCTCGTCCACCTGCCTTCGGGCTGGCATGTCGACCAGGCAATTCTGTCGGAAGAGGATCGCGTCGTCGTCATTCGATTTGGCCACGACTACGACCCGACATGCATGAAGATGGACGAGACGCTGTATGGCGTTTCCGAAAAGGTCAAGAATTTCGCCGTCGTCTACCTCGTCGACATCACACAGGTGCCGGACTTTAACAAGGTGAGCACCTCCAGATCATGTTCTTCTGGGAGACATGGGCAGCTGACGAAAGGCGCGCATCTAAAGATGTACGAGCTGTATGATCCCTGCGCGACAATGTTCTTCTACAGAAATAAGCACATCATGATCGATCTCGGTACGGGCAACAATAACAAGATCAATTGGGCCATCGAAAACAAGCAGGAGCTCATTGACATCATCGAGACCGTCTACCGTGGTGCTTCGAAGGGAAGAGGTCTCGTCGTCAGCCCCAAAGGTACGCCTCCTTTATGCATACTCTCGGACCTTACAGGTGTTGTGGACTGACTTGACACCCCCCTCCTCTCATCCAGACTATTCGACTCGTTACAAGTACTGATTGACGACGACGCAAAACACAATACCTGTAACACTAGCAACTACTCGAGAACAGCTTCATTCATTCTTAATGCCTACACGGTTGCCGAGCAAGGAGGATAAGAAGAAAGGGGTGGGGGTTTTGTTGGGTGGGGGGGGGGGGGGGGTGGTGGAAAGAAGAAATGGATACACACGAAGGAGCAGACAGGTCAATAGAGGAGCTCGTCCCAGGCTCCGAGTCACAGTTCCTCGTCCTCGTCCTTCATCTCGGTCGGCTTGAGCATTCCAGGGATCTTGGCCGCTTGCTCCTTTTCCTTTGCGGCCTGGGCTGCCCGCTCCGCTTCCTTGTCCTCGACAAATAGGTCGGCGTTGTTGTCTTCGCCTGCCGTTCCGCCCGCTTCGCGCGAGGCGATGAGGAAGTCTACGCCGGGTGTCAGCTGGCGTCTTCTTCAAAGCAAGAGAACGGAACACCACGTACCTCGCAAGTGCAACTTGTAAGCAGAGAGGTCCGAGGAGTGCTGGCAGAGGCCGTTGGTGAACTCGTCGACGTAGGCACTGAGGAGATTGCGTCAGAAGAGCGGTGTCCTCATGGAAAGAGACAGAATGGCAAACTCACGGAGACATTTGCGGAAAGGCATTCTTGAGAAGCGACGACGTGTACTGACGAATGAAGGTGCGATTGTCGACGCTTGAGTCGGGTCCAAGAGGGACCTGCACCTTGCCTGTCTCGATGAGCTCGTAGATCTTGGCCAGAACAGCGCACTGGGTCTTGAAGCCAGCCTTGTGGTCGGGCTCGCAGAGGACGTAGAACGTGTCCTGGATGATGCTCAGGAGGTACTGCTGGTAGAAGCCCGACGCCACTGACTGGTCCTGGTTGGAGATGTTGGTGATGAGCTCGAGCATAATCTGGAGGCCCGTGTCGGCAATGTCTCGCATCGTGTGCTTAATGGCCCACACGCCCGCGTCGATGCACAGCTTGAACTTCTCGGGGGGCAGCGCCAGAATCGCGGTGAAGCAGTGCACGTTGATGGCGCGCAGCAGCCGGAAGAAGCCCACTCGATGCTCGGGGTACTCTGCAAAGTCTGACGAGATCATGCTGAGCGTAGGCGAGAAGACGGCGTCCATGATGGGCGACACCTTGTCGGTCAAGAGAGAACCAAGTCTCGTCGTAATTGTGGCCATGACGTTGAGAACCTCGGCGTCTCGTGCAGGTGCCACGTTATTGTGATAGTCTCCTAGGATGGCATCGAGGAGCGAGGGGATAAGGTTTTCGTTGACAGAATTCAGGTCCTCGGCTCGTTTGACGTATGTCTCGACGAGGCGCAGGATGTCCTTTTTGATCGTCCGAAGGCCACGGACGACGGGCGTCTTGGTGGCGATCAGGCCTTCCGACTCGACCTTGGCGCTGATCAGACCGCTAACGCTGCGGTACAACGCCAGCATGTCGAGGTAGATGCGCCCTATCTGGGGCAAAAAATAAGAGCCAATCGACGTGCATGCCGACACGTTGGTCTTGAGGATGTTGGACAAGATTTTGATGTTGTCGGAATTACCGAAAACGTCGACGTTATTGTGCGCCTGCTGCATCAACGAGTCCCACGCAGTATTCGGTAGCTCCATCAGCTTTGCAATGAGTCGCTCCTGTGTCGGTTTATTGGGTTGCGCCGCAATCATGTAGCCTACGGCCTCGTAGAAGGTGTGGACCTGGTGCGGTGATAGGTCGATGGTGATGCGTGGCAATGTCCGCAGAATTTCATCAATGAAAGGCTCCGTCTCGCCAGACTGCTGCATCACAAAGTGCCGCCTGCACTTTTGCGCGATCTTGATGAATGTGTCGCATGCCATGTCTTGGACGCCTGCATGTATGCTTTAGCTGAAGCTCTTAATCGCTGGAGACGAAACACAACTCACCTTCGTGCGTCTCGTGCATAAACTCGAAGTTCTTGTTGACGACTGTCTTGAGGAACTTCCAGTGGGCCTTTAAAAATCTCGGATATTGACCGACGATGTACATGATGTTGCTCGCCACGACCGCTTTGTTGTCCTTTCCCCGCTTCATCTCGCAAAGCCCCAAGAGGTCTTTGATGACCGTCACGAGGAATCTCTTCTCTTGGTCCTCATTCATGGCACCCGATATACTTCCGATCGCCCAGCAGAGGGTGTTGAGATTGGCCCATGACCATTCCGAGCCGTCGACCTGTCTCGCCAGCTTTTCGGTCATTATCGTCTCCGTATCCAGCACGTCAAGGTGGGTAAGGTATACGAGAACCTCTCGCATCGACTTGTACAGGACGATTGTATCACTCTCTTTCATAAACTCTCGCACGATTTCTCCCTCGTCATTCTCCACGATGAGGACCTGTTCGAAGAATTGTGTGAGCTTCTGCACCGGCTTTCACTGCAATGGCAATTTTCTCACCTCTTCTGGCTTAACCATCTTTTCGATCATGACGAGTCTCAAATTGCTCAAGATGTCGGCATAGATATTCTTGCGCAAATTCAGGTTTCCCTGCCCTGCGTGATTCCCGTTGCCGAGATTAAGTCCGAGCAAGGGGTTCATTTCGGTGATTGGAAGTTGCTGGATCTCGTCGTAGAGCTCGCTGACGAGCTTGCTCCAATATTCGAGGCAAATTTTAAAGACCTCCCGCTCTGGCACCTGGGATACTTTGATCAGGTAGAGGTGGGCGTTGAGAAGTACGTCCTTGTTTTCGGGGTTCTCAACCAGCCGCAGGTGTGTCATTAGGAAGTTGCTGAGGAAGAGCGAGAGGTTGAGGATCAGCTCTTGGTCCGAGTCCGACGAGCTTTCGTATGCAGAAGCGACGTCTGTAGAAACGTATCAGTATAAAATTCCTTGCAGAGATGGAGAGAGAGAACGCACTTGTGCTTGGCGGAATCATTCGGTTGACTGCCGTCATGACCATGTTGAAAAGGACGACAAACTTTGCGTCGTACTCTGGCCCGACTTGCAAGCCTGCGATCTCGGACAGACACTTGAGTGTCACGTTCCGGAACTCTGGCACCTCCAGGAACCGGTTGATGAGGTGGTCGATGACATTTGTCTCGAAGATGTAGCCAAGTGGGATCCAGTTGAGGAAGCGGAGCATCGTCTCGAGCGTAGCCTTGATCAAGCTCGGCTTCTGTGCCTTTTCCAGCACCTCGCTGCAGAGCTGGAAGACCTCCGAAAACTCGCCGCACATTTGATTCTTGAGGTTCTTTGTCTTTGCCTGCGTCATCTGCTCAGCAGAAAAGTCAAAGATTTCCTCGGACAGCAGGCGAAGGATAGCCATGTTGTTTTCGCAGATTGACAGCGAGGTGCGCGACGAAGAGACGATGTCGGGAATGAAGGTGGGCCAGCGGTGAGGCCACTCTTGTTTGAGGATCTGCATCACGGTCTCGTCAGCTGCCAGTCGCTAGTCTGATGCTGCCCACGACTCACCTGAATCAAGGTCATGTCAAGCTTGTTGATGTAAGTCTTTTCAGAACGGAGCAATCCTTCCTCCGAAGAGACCTGAAGAATGGTTTCGACGATGAAGTTCCGAATGCCTTTGATTGAAGTTAGCACTTCTCGCCACACAGAGCCAACGTAGGTGTGAATGCTCACCCTGTTGTTGATCTTGAGGCAGCGCCTTCCATCTCGTCGCAATAAGCTTGTCCAAGATCTGGAGAGCAATGTACTGAGAGATACACAAGGTCAGTGACGCTCGCAATGAAGCTGTAGGGCATGTGGAAAATCACCTTCGTATGCGCGCTCGACGACTGCTGCAAGATGGCTGGCACTCGCTGCCAGGCGTCTGGGTGCTCCTGAAATTGAGCGAGCGCTTGCTGGGCCATCTTCTGATCGTTGCCAGCGCCCGTGTACATGGCCCTCACGACATTGTCGAGAAGGCCAATGTCGAGGTCTTTGCTGAAGTCGAGGATGCCGTCCATCGTGACAAAATTTCGGCTCAGTCTTGTCGACAGCGACAATAGATGCAAGTCGATGAAGCTTCCACAGCCAGGCTCTGCGCACTACTGGTCCGTCGCCCTTTCCGTGCCTCTCGTGGACTAGCGTCGGAAGATGAGTCGAAGCAATTGCCTGGGATTGGGTGTTATCGATGGTGTTGGATTCCACAAACAAGCCACTCGCTCTCTCAATCGCGATGAAAGTCCTGAACGTCATCTCCAGTCACGTGATTTTGGACGGGGTGGAACGTGCGCTTCTAAAGCGCTTCGCCCTGCGAAGGAATGGCCACCGAACTTACCCTCGCTCGACCTTGGCCTCCCATTCGAGTCGGTTACTCAGTCCCCTTGCGCCCAAGAGAGAGGAAGGAAAAAAGACGAGCACAGGAATCGAACAACGAAGAAGCGAATTTGTCTCCTCTTCAGCGCAGGGCCCATCCGCCTCGCCGGCGATCCCGCGACGGTATTGGTATCTGTCCGCTGGAGGACGGATTGACGAGCCACGATGAAGGTACGTTTCAACCGCATCGACTGAGTGGGCGGAGAAGCAGCGGGCTGACTTGTGATATCCAAACCAGTTCGGAAAGCAGATTCTGAGCCAGCAGATTTCAGGATGGGGTTCCTACTACCTCGATTACAAGAGGTGAGCTTGCGATTCAAATTTCCAGGCGCATGCAAAAGCTGACTTACATTCTTTCAACAGTCTCAAGAAGGTGCGAAGTAGAAAGGGCAGATGGACGAGCTGGAAGGATGAATCTGCTGACACCGGTATCTTTACAGATCATCAACTCGTTGGAAAAGGGACGGCTAGGTGATGCGGCTCTCTTTGCGTCGGGCATTCGCCCAGACTACCTGGCCAATGGAGACGGAGCTGGAACGACGGCAGGGGGCGGGGAACCAGCCGCGCATGGAGGCGCAGGCACAAATGCCCAGATCCTACCAAAGGCAGAGGGCGCTGACGAGCAGCTGCAAATACACAAGGCCGCCTTCTTTTTCAAGCTGGAGCGAGAACTTGAGAAGATCAATGCCTTCTACTTGCAAAAGGAGGCCGAGCTCAAGGTCCGACTGAGGACGCTGATCGACAAGCGCAAGCTCATCATGGCACGCAGGGGCGCTGGCAAGCTCAGCAAGGACAGCCCGAGCTTCTATGCGCTCTACGAGGGGTTCCGATACTTTGACAAGGACCTCAGCAAGCTCCAGCAATTCATCGAGGTCAACGCCACGGGCTTCCGCAAGATTCTCAAAAAGTGGGACAAGAGATCAAAATCGCAGACGAAGGAGCTCTATCTCGCCCGGCAGGTCGAGGTGCAACCATGCTTCAACCGCGAATTCATTGCCGAGCTCAGCGACATTGCTGCCGCCAACTTGCTCGAGCTTGAAAATCTGTCCGACAGCAAGCATGCCCGAAGCGGACCCCAAGAGGTCAGCGCCAGTGCCGAGGGGGACTTGAGTTCGGAGAAACGCCTTGATTTTGCCGCAGCGCGAAGCGAAGAGATGGATCTTCTGTCGGACCTCGAGGAAAACCTCACATCGGCCGTCAAGGCTGGCCACGCAGAATCGGCCAAGGAGATGGCGAAGGTGGCGACGCAAAGCGAGGACGGCATCAGCGTGGCACGTATCGTCTGGCGAGCACTTCTCGATGCTAGCCCAGAAGCGGTCGAGGCTGCCATGGCCGTGGGTTTGCCGGATTACAAGTTCGTCGACGACATCAATTCGCGCACCTCGCTCCACGAGGCCTGCCTTGCCGGCAAGTTGCACCTGATCAAGGCCTGCGTTGAAAATGGTGTCGACGTGGGACAAAGGGATATCTATGGACGAGCTGCCATCTCCTATGCTGCTATGAGCGGCCACGCCGACGTTTGCACCTATCTCTTGTCGCTGCCCAACGTCGACGCGGCCACTGTCGATCTCGACGGCTTCTCTCCTCTGGTACTGGCCGTCATGAACGGTCGGACCAAGGTCGTCGAAATTCTCCTCGCCCACGGCGTCAGCGTCGAGCCCTCGCAAGCTACTGATCTGATACCTCTCTGCTTGGCTGCTCAGGGTGGCCATGTCGACATCACCCGACTCTTACTTGCCCGAGGGGCAAAGATTATCCCCAACCCAGAGGGTCTGACCCCTCAGGCACTGGCGGCGCGAGAAGGGCACGCAGACTGCATCAAGCTCCTAGTGGCTGCAGGAGGCGATCCGGACGTCAAGGAGAAGGGGACACTCTGGACGCCACTCTTTTTCGCAGCCGAGAATGGACACGTCGACTGCCTGCAAGCTTTGCTGGCTGCTGGGTGTCAGGTCGATCTTGTTGACGAGAAGGGCCGCAGTCCGTCTTTCTACGCTGCCTGGCGGGGCCATGTCGACTGCCTCCTTCTTCTCTTGAAAGCGAGCAAGAAAAGCAGCACGTCTCTTGAGAACACCGCTCACGTTGATCGCATGACTGGCGTCCAGAGACAACTGGACGCGGATGATTTAGGAAAACCGAGAAAAAGGAGCAAGTCGGCCCAAAATGGCGATGAGGCCAACATCGAAGTCCCGGCGGACGATCTGGACCTGGAAATCGACGGAATTCCATCCCTATCACTACCACCGCCCATCATTCCCTTCCGAACCTATGGCCACAACTATCTCGACAAGCGAGCGCTGATCACTGTATCATTGACCGACTCGTCTGTGAAGCTGTACAAGCTCCAAGATCCCAACCGGCCCGAACAATTCTCGACTTCGTCGTTGAAGCTCGTCATGACTTCAAGACCGGACGCTTCTGCGACAACAATCCCGCACACCATCATTCTCCCCCTCGCCGACGAGCGTGAGGTCTTTTCTTTCCAGGTGGAGGCCTTGGAGCGTCTTAGCATCGAGTGGGAGCTCATGCCTACGTTCGGATCAAAAGTCATTGGCAAGGCCGTCGCTCTGCCTTCATCTTTTGATGGCATGACCGATCGGAAACGCTTCGTTCTGCCTTTGCAAGACATGTACCTCAAAGTGGTTGGCGAGGTCAGCTTTGAGCTCGACTTCGTCAAGCCCTTTGATGGCGTGCAGCTCGAGATTGGTGGCAGGGTCGAGACTTATTGGAAGAGCACCTTGCCCGGCTCCGCGGCTGCCGCTGCGGCTACTTCTGCGCCGACAACGCAGAGGATGACACCCACGGGTGGAGCGCTCTCCGCTCCTCAGCAGAGCACGGGCTCGCAGCAGCAAGCAGCGGCTGTCGCACCTGTCCCGGCCGTCACGACAACGGCGAGCACGACGAGTGCCCTGGCCTCAGATTCATTCGTTACGGCATCCTCACTGTCGGGCGAGCATCTCCAAGTCATTGTCCAAGTGACAAAAGACGGGGTCGCCGTCGCATATCCCGAATTTACGCTTCCCATCGCCGGATTGGATGTCTACGTGGGTAGTGTCACATCGGGTCAATTCCAACACCTGGCTACGACGACGCAGCGAACAGCGCGGGTGGATCAGGCGCAGCGAGAGCAACTGAGCCTCTCCGACTGGCGACAGGTCGTGGGCCAGTCGATGATGACCCTCCAAGAGCTTCTCGACCTCCTCCCAGTCTCCGTCGGTATCGATCTTGACATTCTTTACCCGTCCTCGGCCGACGTCCGTGGCAACCCCTCCCTGCCCAAGATCGAAGTCAACCACTTTGTCGACGCCATTCTCCACACGGTGTACCGAGCTGGGACCCAAAATCGCCAACAGGCGCGCAAGATTTTCTTCTCGAGCCGAAGCCCGACAGTGTGCACGGCGCTGAACTGGAAGCAGCCCAACTATGCCGTCTTTTTCGCCAGCTACTGTGGCCTGGCCCGCACCGCCGACGGAAAGACGATTTTGGCCCCATGCGACCGAGGCGAGCCAGATCCACGGAGGCAGAGCGTGAGCGAGGCCGTTCGTTTCGCCAAGAGCAACAATCTTCTGGGCATCATGGTCGATGCGATCGTCTTGAACCATGTCCCCCAGCTCGTCCACTCCATCAAGGCAGCTGGTTTGCTCCTCATCACCATCGGCACTTTTGCTCCAGTGGCCGAGGCTGGCGCACCGCCGCCGAAAGCTGCAAAAGCCAGTCAGAAGCAGGAGGGGGACGGAAATGCGACAAATGACCAAGAGGCAGATGGAAGCGTCGTGGATGGCATCGTCTCGTGTAACAGTTAGAGTCTCTATCCCTCCTTACCTGCTGCACTAGCACTTTCCTCATATCTATCCTCATTCTTTTGTGCTAGTTTAAGTAATAGTTGTGATTCGTTTAGAGGAAGGGGAATAGCAGAGCACACAAACACACAAACAAACATTGATACAAGAGTGACGGGTGAGAGGAGAGTTTAAAGGAAAACGAGACGGTTGCCTGCAACTTGGATGACGCCCAGGTCCGAGTACTCTTGAATGCACTCCTGCAGCTGGTCCTCGACCCAGCCGCTGGCAATGACGCGATCGCGCACCTCCCGCATGAGGAGGTCACCCGGTGCGCCTGCTTCATCGTCCATCGGCGGCAGTACCTCGTCCTCCTCGCCATCAAGATCCATCGCATCACCACCTCGCTGTCCCTCTGGTCCTCTCCCGAGCCTGCCTCCGCGCCTGCTGCTGCCGCTCTTTCTCCTCTGGGCGTCCTCCTCCTCGTCCCGGCGCCTCTGTGCCTCTGCGTAGCCCATGTCGCGGATGATTCTGAAGATCTTGCTCATGTAGCTCTGGTCCCCAATTGCGTCGTCGCCCATCCTCTTTCGTCCGTCGGCATATAGCGACGCCTTGCTGACGTCCATCAAGCGAAGGGCCTCGTCGACGTCGTCGACATCAACCTGCTTGCTGAAGCGGAGCCTTGCCAAGGCCTGGCTCATCCTCAGCACTCCCAGCAGCGTTCTAGCTGACGTGTACGTGTAGGCCTGATCCCGCGCCTCGTCCTCCTGGCCCTGCTTGCGCAGCTTGACATAGGCCGAAACAACGTACTCGCTCACGGCTTTTGGAACCACGGGACGAACTTGCCGGGCTGCAGCAATGTAGTGCCGGACGACGTTGGCTTCGACCGGCTCGTACTCGAGCGGCGGGTGGGCATTGTTCATGTGGACATAGGTGACATGCTGGGCCAATCGCTCGTCATCATCGCGCGAGGGCGTGTCGAGGATGAGGAAGAGAATGTCGAATCGGGACAGCAAAGCAGCCGGCAGGTTGATGTTGTCGACGGGCGAGATGCGCGGGTTGTACCGGCCGTAAAGCGGGTTGGCAGCTGCTAGGATAGATGTCCGCGCATTGAGCGTTGTAGAGATTCCGGCCTTGGAGATGGAGATCGTCTGCTGCTCCATGACCTCGTGGATTGCCGTGCGGTCCGACTCGTCCATCTTGTCGAATTCATCGATGCACGCAATGCCGTTGTCAGCCAAGACCAGTGCGCCTCCCTCTGATAGTCCGAAGAGGGTAAGCTCAACAAGTCAGGCCATATGAAGACGTACAAACAAAACTCACCAAGGACCATCTCGTCGGTGACAGGGTCCCGCATGACCGCTGCCGTGAGACCAACGCCACTGCTACCGCGTCCGGTAGTATAGATGCCTCGAGGGGCAATCTTTGTGATGTACTTGAGCAGCTGCGACTTGGCGACACCGGGATCACCCATGAGACACACGTTGATGTCGCCTCGAATCTTCATACCGTCTCCCACCGTCTTGTTGCAACCGCCAACGAGAAGCAAGAGGAGACACTTTTTGACATCTTCGTGGCCGTAGATCTCGGGAGCAACGCTGCTCGACAGCTTCTCGTACAGAGCCGGGTCAGACTTGAGCTCTTCTACTGCTGCCTCCATCTCCGGCGTCACCTCGCCCTTGAGCGTGTCGTAGGACTTCTTGAGCTGCGAGACATGCTGGGCCGAGAGGTAGGTGTCGGTCAGGAGGCCTGCTCGAATTGCCTTGAAGCCAGAGTATGGGGTGGGGAGGAAGATGCCAGAGATGTCGCACACGTCACCGGGGCTGACGGAGCGCGTCAAAGGGCCGGCCAGGTGAATTGTCATGGTGCGCGGAATATGGCCGACAGGAACCTGATCGGCCATTTCCTGCACCTTGACCTCTTGAAAAGGCGCAAACTTGCTCGCACGCGCTTGCTGGTGCAGCTTGCCCTTGACCCTGTTCGTCTTGCACCTCTGCGATGTGCAGACGCTCAACGGCATGTAATGGCGGCCGCGAACCTCTTGGAAGATTTCAGCGCCGCACGAGTCGCACGCATACGCGTCGACGAGGAGGTAGGGCTTGACCTCGGACACGCGCGTAACGATGCCGCGGAGGGTCAAGAGCGAGCCGAGATGAGAGGCCTTGATGGCTCGTACGGCCAGCGGCGGTGCTGGACGCGCCGAGTAGGGCTTGAGGTAGAGTGTATAGCGACGCATGAGGATGGGAGGGAACGGTTTCTCGTCCTGGCCTTCTTGCTGCCCTTCTTCGTCGTTCGCATCCATCTGCGCGGCCGTCTCAGGGCCCATGCTCTGACCCTGGCTGGCGCGGAGATTGCGCTCCATTCGCTGGTGCATGATGACGTCGAGGACATCGTCTTTGTGCGAGATATCAATTGTCGGAGGCGTGCGAGAGAGAACATCGTCGACGCATTCGGAAATGATGTCGATGTAGTGAGCGGCATTGCGCATGATGTGGTGCACCAACCCAGGGGCCGTATTGCGGTCCCTTGTGTTTCGGTGTTCAATCAGATCTTTCAGATCGATGACAAGTGACTGCTGCTGCCGATTTGCGATGCGTTGCTGTTATGGGGACAGTCTTTGTCAGTGAGGAAGGAGGACTGGCTACGCGAAGAGAACCAGGCTCACCAGCTGCTCCTTGTACTTTCGAGCGGTCGCATCGCCGCGCGTTCGGGGGCCAGCACCGATGCGCATGTCGTCCATCTCGTCGGCCATCTGGCTCGGACTGAGCTCCTCGTCATCTTCAGGCACATTGTCTACGTCTTCGATGCTGACATCGAGCAGCGACGATGAATTGCCCACTTTTCGCAGGGGCGGCACGACACCCTTGGCATTCTCGAGAAAGTCGGTGATTTTCACTGGATGTCTGGTGTCAGTCCCTATTCTCAAGTGGAGTATGCAGTCGACAGGAGCTCACCCTTCTCATCTTCGTAGTTGACATTGATGTTGATCACGGGGAGCGCGGCGGGAGCAGCCATCGTCGTCGTCTTCGTCGTGGTCGTTTGGATCCAATGTTCCTCTCGCCTGCCTTCACGCAAATCAATTTCGAAGCTCGCGCGTTTAATTGACGCGTCGTGATGGAACACGTGGGATCGCGCCGCCTGACCCTCAGCGCACAGTTCAACACCAAAAGGGGACGTGCGCTTTTTTCAACGTCATAACAACAACGCGCAGACACAACAGAACGCCATGGAGGTGACAGAGACTCCGCTTCTGACGAGGACCAACAGCATGGAGAGCTCCACGAGCGCGGCAGACTCGCTGCATTCGCAGCGTGATGCAGATCTCCTAGGTCTGCCGAGGGACCTCGATGGCGCCCCCATTGAGCCCTATCCAACGACTACCCTGACGGACCTCGTTCATACCTTTTTCGCAAATACGCCCCATCTCGACATGGATATACTCGATCGGAAGCTGCGTTCTGCCTCGGACAAGGTTCGACAACGCGTCCGTAGGAAAGGCGAGAAGCAAGGGGACGGACGTGGTGGCGGTAGCAAGACCGCAGGTCGAGAACGACGGCGAGCCGAGATCCGCCGGTTGCGAGAGAAGGTGTCAAAGCGGATAGATTCACTGAGCACGCAATGGGACGACGCCAAGAACGTCAGGCTGCGAGACAAAATCTGTTTCATGGTCGGTGTCATGAACCTGGTCGTCAGCAGTCTCATCTTCGCCTATAAGCCAGCATGGATGCCGCTCAGCTACACGATCCAGACAACGTACTTCTTGCCCCTCCGCGTGTACTCATACACTCGCAAGAAGTGGACCTACTTTCTATTTGATTACTGTGGGTAGATTGGTGTTCTGGAAGCTGCAATCATGAACTGATGTTTGCTCCTCTACTTCTCGCCAGGTTACTTCTCCAAGTGAGCATTTGGAACCTTGGCACTCGGCGAGAACCTCATGCTAATCCTCCCCTATTTTCATTTTTATTTTTTTTGGCCCTCCTCTTCAAAGCGTGCTCAACTTGGCCTATTTATGGCTATTTCCGCAGAGTCAGTTCCTCTTTACGGTCGCCTACTGTGCCGCCCACGGTCCTCTGGCCTTCAGCATCGCGACCTGGCGAAATTCGGCTGTCTTTCACTCGCTCGAGAAAATGTGTTCCCTCTTCATACATCTATACCCGCCAATTGTCTTTACGGCCATCCGACACTTCATGGACAAGAAGGAACGCGAGTCTCGATTCCCAGCGCTGCGGGCTCTACCAAGCCTCGACGGCTGGACTGCATTTACCTTTGTGAGTTTCGAAAACTCCCATGTCTTGCAAGACTGACTGACACGGGTGTACGCCGGCAGAACGTCTCCTTCTACCTGTTCTGGCAACTGTGCTACTTTGTGCTCATTACTAAACGCAAGGCCGACAAGATTGCGTCTGGAGAACGTATCAACAGCTACTCGACCATGGCCAAGGGCAAGGGGCCCGTAGCCAATCTGCTCCAAAAGGTGTCGGTCAACCGGCGAGAGTTTGCTTTCATGCTGCTGCAAATGGCCTACACCATCATCTGCACCCTGCCCGCCCCTCTGCTGTTCTATAATTCCAAGCGGGCTAGCGCCGTGTTCATGTGAGTAGCCGCTTCCTCTCTCTCACATGGCGCATTCCGCTGATCTATGTCGAGATGGACGGCAGCCTCTTCCTTATTCTCCTCTCGGTATGGAATGGCGCGGGTTACTATGTCGAAGTGCTCTTCAAAAAGTCTGCTGAGCTTCAACGTGAGCTGGAGGCGCTCAAACACGAGATCGAGGCTGCTCAAACGGCCGCCGCTTCGGCGTCTGGTGAGAGCGAAGCCGGCGGGACTAGCCATCCGCCCACGGCACCAGGCAGCGAGGCGGGTGACGATGACGAGCAAGACGTCGAAGACGTCGAGACAAGGCATGACGGTTCAATGCGCAAAGACAAGGATGCGTGAAATGGCATTTGGAATGTTAATGAAGATACATTGCGTTGTATTAGACTAAGCGTGAATCGGGGGAGATAGAGAGGCAGAGGTGTCTAGGTCGTCCACAGCCTTGCATCGCCGTCTGCGCCGGCCGTGACGAGCCATGGAAGGCTCGGATGCCATTTGGCGTCGAGAATACCCAGTCCATCCTTGACTTCGTGGCCTCGCAGCACCTTGAGCGGAACAATCAGCGGATTCGTCGCGAGGTCGTTGTAGACAGTGGCGTGCAGTACATGCGCCGCACCATCGTCCGAGACACTCGTGAGGAGTGGCAAGTTCGCGTGAAAGGCAACGGCTCGGAGCGCTCGCGAGTGGTAGCGAAGAATCTTGTATGGGCGCGTGCTCAACTCCAGGTCGAACCAAGCCAGCCTCCGATCGTAGGAGCCCACGACGAGATGGTCGCCCATCGGGTGGATCGAGAGCGAGCTGATCCACTTCAGGCCCGGCTGGAGCGTCCGCATGAGCTTCTGAGCTGCGAGATCGTACACGCGCACGAGACGCTGCGTCGCGACAAAAAGGTGCGGCCGCGAGGGATGGAAAGCAACCTTCTGGACTGCAGAGCCCCGCGAGGCTCGAGTGAATGGCGATTGCGTTCTTTGTTTTGAGAGCTGGTGGATCAGGACGGCCGAGGAGGATGCGTCGGACGCTACTGTTGCAAAGTAGTCGCCCTTGGAATGCCAAGTGACCTGCTTGGGTGTACCCTTGACGCTTACGAGGGCAGCGATGCCGATTCTTCGATCTGCCTCGGTCGGCCGAGACCATTTCGCAGGCGCCTTTGCCTTGTCGCTCGACTCCGATCCCGGCGGTTGGTAGCCCTCCGTAGCGAACTGCATCGAGGCAGAGGAGCTGTTGATGCCCTTGATGGAGCTGCCAAGGCCATTACTGTGCGGCGGCACCACGACCATGACCTTACCCGCGGTGCAGGCCGCAAAGAGAGAAAGAGAACGGTTCGGACACCATTCGACGCTGTACACGGGTGACCGTTCCGCATTGGGAGAGCCAGCGTGGAGATCCCAGACCATGACGCATCTTCCAATTGCCACATCCCATAGGCGAACCCGTCCATCATCTGCGCCCGTGGCAAGCCACTGTCCGCGAGGGTCAAATGCAACGCTGCGGACGCGGAGCCTGTTGGGGTGCTCGAAGGTGACGGAAGAGGTTGTGGGGAACGGACGGAGCTCTTTTGGCGAGGGGAGCTTGGGCAGGAGACTGTCAGGATCGTTGATCTCGAGCCTCTGTCGTCGCATCCTGGGGGCGAGATACAGGTCCAGACATCGCTCGAAGCGTTCGGTGAGGAATTGCTTATAGGCTGGCACCTTGCGAAGCGCATCGAATTTGGCAGGGAGGAAGTTTTGCCTCCGGTCCTCTGGCTCGGCTTCCTTCCATTCCTCTTCCTCTTCTTTGTTGAAAAGGTACTCGGCCGGTGGATTGTACGACTCTGCATGCGATGGAAGCGGCATCTTTGGAGCCGGCATATTCATTGGATGATCGGGCGCTGGTTGATCAGCGTCAGACCAGATGTTGTAGTATTGGGGCTTCGTCGTCGCCGGCGCGCTGGGTGTGATCCGCCCCTGTCGAATCGCCCTGACAATCTTCATGACCTTTTTGTGCTCCCACTTGCTCGGAACAAATCTGCTCTTGGGTTCTGGTCGAGAGGTCAAGGGCATGATCATCTCCTTGCCTGGGCCTGTGAACCACTCTGTCATGGGCTCGTACGGGTCGTAGCTTGCGTCCGGAACCTCTGCATTCTGCAGTCGCCTGATGATATCAAGCTCCTCGTCAGTCAGCTTGACATCCTTGCCCATGAGCTTGTCCTCGGCCGTCGTCCACGAGTCGGGGTCCTCCACTGTGGCCAAGAACTTGTCGAGGGCATCACCCTTTGCTGGGCGCATGACCTTGCGGCCATTGACGTCGTACCCGATGTGAGGCAGGTCATCGTACCACTCCATCGGAACGTTACCGATCCGATTTGGTGCATCTTCTGTGCTGCTGTCGCTGTCGTACCCTGGCTCGATCTCTGGGTAGACCCGCTTGGGCTGGCCAGTGATCTCGCTAACCTTGAAGGTGCCCTGAGCGCTTCCATCTGGGTTACGTCCTTTGAAGAGTTCTGGAGCAGCTTCCGACTTTGTAAGTCCAAGCTTGTTAAGCTTATGTGGGTCCTCGTCCGGCTTGACAGTGGCTCGAGCAACCATTTTGTCGAGAACCTCCTTTTGTTCAGCCTCGTTCATGTCCTGTCCTTCAAGGTCTTTGACAAAGGCTGATGGGTAGTGCGACAGGCAGAAAGGTCAATGACTGGCAAGGTGCGGACCGCTGGAATGATTAACTCACCTTCTTCCTCGTCCTCATCCCAATTGTCGATATCCGAGCTGTTATAACCCTCTTCATCGTCTTCTCCCTCATCGTCATCCTCGTCCTCGTCCTCTTCTTCTTCCTCCTCGCTCTCCTCAGCACCATCTGCGTCGGCCGCGAATGCTTCCAGTCTACCTTGTTCGTCTTCTTCATCTTCGCTCACCCCCAACTCCAGCTCGGGGAAAGGATCTTCGTCGCTGTCCCCATCCTCCCCGTTTGCCTCTTGATCTCCCTCATCGTCATCGCTCGCAAGCTCCAACCCGGCGTCGTCTAGCGCTCCCATGACATCTTCTTCCGCTGCTCCGGGCCTCGCTGTCGCCTTTTCGAGCCGGGGTACAGCCCGAGGGGCTTCCCTCTTTCTCTTTGGCACCGCCGTTCCAGCGGCTCCTTTTGCTCCTGCCATCACTGTCGAGGTCCTGGCTAACGAGAAGCTGCTTCCAAAACCTCGAGAACTTTTTTTTTACACTTTTTTTTGGAGAGACAAAAATTTGGCTTCCTGATCTTCGCGGACCACGTGGACATTTTGTTCGCCGACGACATCGTCTACTTCAGACCTAGTCGATCCCCAAACAACGACAAAGCCAAGGAACGATGGCGAAGAAGAAGAAGGAGCAGCAACTCGAGGCTTGGTGCTGGTACTGCGAGTGAGTCCCCCTTGTCGGGAGTTCCAATCTTTTCTGAGCGCTGACAAGCTTTACTGCAGCCGAGAATTCGAGGATGACAAGGGTGAGCAGCATGGATGGCAAGCGTGTAAAGAGATGAAGCTGACCCAACCTCGAGTCGCTAGTCCTCTTGCAACACCAAAAGGCAAAGCACTACAAATGTCCATACTGCCCTCGACGTCTTCACACGGCTGGAGGCCTGACGGTGCACCTGCACCAGGTCCACAAGGCTGAACCGACAACGTGAGTATGTCCCTCCTCACGCGGATGACCGGGCACTGACCTCACATCTTAGCATCGAGAACGCCCTTCCTGGTCGTGAGTCCTTCGACATGGAGATATATGGAATGGTGGGGGTTCCAGAGGCGGATCTTGCAGAATGGCGAAGCCGCCGAGGTAAGGGCGGCCAAGGATCGAGCTCGGGCGGGGCCGGCGGGCAGCCATCTGCCAAGAGGCCCAAAGTGGAAAACGTTTCCTTGACACCAGAACAGCTCAAGGCACAGCTGGAAGCACATAAGGCTCTTATGAGTGGCCAAGCCCCGCCACCGGGCGTCATTCCTGGTCAGTTTGCAGGTGTTCCACCTCCTGGCTTCCATGGTCCTCCCCCTCCCCTTTCAGGACCTCCGCCTCCCTTCGGACAGGCCCCTCCGCCGGGCCAGTACTACACGGGACCTCCTCCCGGTTTCCCACCTCGCCCACCACCACCTTCAGCTGTAGCAATGCCGCCGCCAGCAGCGCCAGGGGTTGGCTCAGCCTCTCCAGCACCGACGATTAGCCCCCACCAGCAGGCGATCAAGAGCGGGGCAAAGAGTCGGATGGTGTACACAAACACACAGATAAGCCCAGAAGAAAAGCTAGCCTCGACGAGCAAATACGTCTACGTTGATCCTGACGATCCGGCACCCCCTCAGCCTGTCCAATCTGCCCATCAATTGCCTCATATGGTACAGGCGCCCCAGCAACAATGGCAACAACCGCAACAGCCTGTGCCATACTATGGTCCTCCACCAGGTTGGGGTGCACAGAGCCAAAGTCCGCCCGTGGGTTATGCTTCGCCACAGTATCCCCACTATAACGGCTCGGCAAGTCCTTACGCCAGGCCGCCGGCACCGCCCATGCCGCCTCAGGGCATGTCGCCTCCGCCAATCTCTCCAATGTCTCCTCAGGGCGCATACAACAGTCCTCGTCCACCCTATGCCGGCCCGCCCCCTGGATTCAATGCCGCGCCTCCAGGTACCAATTATGCACATGCTCAAGCTTACCCAGCCGTTCCACCTGGGGGAGGTCTACCTTCTGCCAACGCAGATGCAAACACAGCTGAAGCGCTGAGCAAAGCCAATGCCAGCGCCGGCAACAGCGGCGCCATCAGAGAAGTAGATGCTGGGGCCATGGAGCGCGGCGCAAAGAGAGAGAGGGAGGAGGACGAGTCGATTCCTGAACCTGTCGGTGAAACGGAAGCGGAGGCGTCTGCGAACCGCGGATCAAAGCCGGGAAGGGCAAGGGCTGCCGACCTGTTCTGAGTACGCGTTGCCTTTGGCTTTCTCTGGAGTGAAGCGACTTCCTCACCTGAGCTCATACCGAAGCATTTCTTGAAGATCATCCTTACCTGTCTCCTCTATTTCATCCTGTGAGCTCTTTCCTTCTGGTGGAGCTGAACTCATGATCCCTCTCAGAGTCATCACCCTGTACGTACACTGTTTCTCATGGGGGCGCTGAGCTAACCCTAGCAGGCGGCTTCGGCTCAATGCAAGAAAGTCTTGTGGATTCTTTGCGAGGTGAGAGGAATTCCCCTGGTGCAATAGATAAGGCCTCTTTTGCTTCACGAGGGTGCAAGAAGTAAAGTGAATCAAAAAGTAATACCATTGATCGGGTTATGGAAGATGTAGGAAAGGCTGATATGCACATCGGCGTCTGGCAATCAAGACCGACCCGCTGCCCAGTCTTTGCTCCCCTCGTTACGAAAGGTCAAGTCTAGGACTGGATCCGGGAACTTCTGCAATCTCCATGGGTACTTGCTAGGCGCAAGGATAAAGGGGAGACGGAAGAGGGTTCAAACGGATGTCCGTAGTTGAAGAAGAAAAGGAATCGAGAGCGTAGCGGCCCTTTTTCTTCTCTTTCTCCAAAACTTGAAAAACACGTGGACCGAGAAAGTCCTGCTCTCGCAATGTCTGTGTTGGTCTTTTTTCTTCTTCTCTTTATCACCGTGGGCTTCTTTCTGGTGAGTCGGATGCCATCGTCTCTCAGTCTATTTCAATACATGGCTCATCCTTCTAGAACAGCGTTGCGGAACTTGTGCCTCTTGCGTCCTTTTCTTTTCTGACCAGGAGCGTCCACCGAAGCCAATCACGTAGATTGAACCACCTGTCTCTTCAAGAAGATCAAGCGTGGAAACAAAACTTCCCTCCCTCTTGATTTCCGTTGGAGCACAGACATCCCTTTCTCTATCGCCATGGCAGTAGAAGTAATTACTCTTATTAATGAATCAGCGGCACATGCGCTTCTTATGGGGAGTCGCCGGTGGGCTTGGAGCGTGCCATGCCTCTGAAGGAGCGGTGGGGTAAGGATACAAGTAGGGATTGTACATGGGATGGTGCAGCGCAGGAGGAGGAGGGGGCGCTCGTCCATCATCCAGATGAGATGAGGCGGTCTTATCTTCCTTTTGTTTCCTTGATTTGAGTCGAAAGAAGGAGAGCGTCGAATTTGTCGCGCCGACGACGATGACGAGGGAGAGCAGAGTAAAGAGCATGCTCTTCCAGCTGACAACGTCGACGAAACCGTTGACAATTTCCGCGATAGTCTCAGCTGTCACGCGTGCTCTGCCGATCACCGCTGGGTCCCTCGCTGAGCATCTTTGCCAGGCAGCGCAGGCTGACGCGAGTGCAGGCACGGCCGTGTCGGTCCCGCAGCGATTCAAATGGTAGGCTTGGGAGCACCCTTCGACATCAGCCAAGTAGTCCATCTCGTACTCGCGCATCTTGTCGGAAATGTCGTGCCGAAGCGTCAGGACAACCTGCAGGAGGATCCACAGAACACCAAGCAGAAGCGAGGCATTGAAGATGAATTGCGCCATGCTTCAATGTCCTTGTGGTCAGCACCCTCTCTGACTGGGGGCCCGTTGACCACTCGACTCACCCAAGGCACCATTCAGGATCCAGCCAGCCCATCTTTGCATCAGATGACCCCCTTCCTCCGCCAATGATGTAATTGACGTGCAAAGTGTCGCCTACTCTTCTCGCCAGCGATCTCTTTCTCGTTCTTGCCTTTGGAATCCCATCTCTGTGATCGTCTTCTTCTTCCTCATCGTCCTCCTCATCTTCCCATCCATCATGCTGCCGCCTCGCGCCTTTGAGAGGGTTACTAACGCTTCGAGCTTTATTCGCAAATTGTCTTCTTCGATTGACTCTGACGACAGCTCCACCCGACGCCTTCGGTCGCGAAGACGAGGTGCTCGCTTCTGCATCTTTGTGCCCTTCGCTGGTGCTGGCTGCAGCTGCTGTGGTTGGGAGCGGTCTCGCCTGCGACGGTGAGGCATTGTCCATCTCCACATCCGGTCCAGCATGCGTCGGGCTCAAAGGTTGATGAAAGAGGAAAACACCGCCATAGTTCTGCTTGGCTGATGACGCCTCATCGGCTCCACCGAACGTGAAAGCTGGCTTCATCTCTGCATCGTTTGATGAGCCGACGTCGGATTCCCTGCCTCGCTTTCGATCCTCGGAGGAGAGCCAGCTACTGCCTTCATTTGCGCTCGATGTCGAGGGCGCATCGTATGCAAAGTCCATCGGCGACTCGTTGGATCTGTTCATCCTCTTTTGTGCGGGTGTGAACGGCGACCGCTTCGCAAACGCAGTGGCCATCCTCGTCCGTCCCGTCGCTGTCGTCCTGCTCGCTCGCGCTCGAAGGCTGAGGCTGACTTTCGTTTTGAAGGGCGGATCATCAGCCTCGCCCAAAAGAAAGGGACGCGTTCAGACTAGGGACACGTGACTTGAAGCTCAACTCCAACACTTCTTCAGGACCATGCTCGATCCATGTTGATGGCCAAACCACCATGTCGTCGTCCCAGGCCTCGTCATCAGCACAACCAGAATTCACCATCTCGACGCCACCATCGGATGTTGTGTCGAGCCTCTCGTTCAATCCGGACCCCTCGCACGCCACCCAGCTCCTCGCTGCGAGCTGGGATAAGACGGTGAGGTTGTACCATCTGCCCGCCGACTTCCCAGCGACCAGCGACGAGGCCGCCCTGGCTGAAGCATCGAAAGGATGCACCCTCGTGCATACGTTCCAGCATGACGCTCCGGTGTTGGACGTGTGCTGGATCAACGACAAGCTCGCTGCGTCAGGAGGTCTCGATAGACGAGTTCGCCTGCTCGATCTCGAGACGGGCCAGAGCAGTATCTTGGGCAAGCACACCAATGCGGTGAGCCGGATACGATATAGCGAGTCCACAAAGCTGCTCGTTTCCGCATCATGGGACGCCACGTTAAAGGTGTGGGATCCCTTTGCGGCGGCGTCGTCGTCGTCGGGGTCGGGCAGCGAGGCTCTACTCAAGACCCTCAAGCTCCCAGACAAGGTCTTGGCCATGGACATCTCGCCGTCATTCCCGAGTACACAGACCCCCAAAGGCCCCGTCCAGATCAGCGACACAACACCACGGCTCGTCGTGGCCATGGCGGGCCGCCTCGTGCACATCTATGAGCTCTCTCGCTGGCGTGCTGAGCTCGATCAGGGCGCTTCCTCACCAGATGACTCTCCTGCATGGAAACCGGCGCAGAAGCGGGAGAGCTCGCTCAAGTACATGCTCCGCGATGTCCGCACAACCGTCTCAGGACAAGGCTACGCGACGTCGTCCGTCGAAGGGCGAATTGCGCTCGAATTCTTCGACGCCTCAGACGAGGTCCAGGCACAAAAGTATGCCTTCAAGTGTCACCGCCAGGTCGTGGACGGCATCGACACGGTGTACCCCGTCAACGGCATGGCGTTCCACCCAATCCATGGCACATTTGCCTCCATCGGTGCGGACGCCGCCGTGTCCATTTGGGACCCGCTCGCTAAAAAGAGGATCAAGCAGTACGGCCGAGCACCCAGCGCCCTGTCGTGCGGCGCCATTTCGAGCGACGGCGCGTTCCTGGCCGTTGCCAGTGGCTTTGAAAACATCGACGATGCAAACAGCCCCTCTGGCGAAGTTGGCGGACTTGCCAAGGGCGGGCCCGGAAACGTCCAGATTCATATCCGGCCTGCCTTTGACGACTGCAAGCCCAAGCCCAAAGCTTCTTAATGTGTCACTGTCAGTCTCTTGGGAGCCTCAAATTGCAGTTCCATCAGAGAGGGAATGAAAGTTGTACTGTACACGATGAAATAAAATTAGAGGGATTACTCCCATACTCGAATTGTGCCTGCGCGGTCGCCAGCCACAATGCACCTGTACGGGCTCTCGATGATGGCCAGAGCGGTGATCGCGTCCTTGTGGGCTTTGATGGCTGCGCTCGCCTGCTGCTGCGAGAGCAAGGGCGACCTCATCAGCGATGATCCGCCCTGTAGTGTTGAGCCCGACGATGGTATACTGTGCACGTTCCTCGTCGGGCCGGCCTCAGCTTTAGTTGAAGCCGCTTGCCCATCCTGCTGCTGGTGTTGCCTCGTCGCATCTGTCTCTGCTCGTTGGGGTCTGACGCTGACAAATTCGCCCTTTTCGACGCCCAGGCCCAGGCAGACACTTCGGTCGGTCCTTCCCAGATCCCAGAAGCGGATCCGTCGATCTTGGCCCGCACAAATCATGTAGCCTTCTCTCCTCCTCGATGCGCCTCCTCCCGCTTCTGCGCTGTCCTCCTGCGCTAGCCTGCCCGCATCCAACCAGCTCTCTGCGATTTGTCCATTTGCCACCGACGCGGAGGAGGAGGACGAATAGCCTTCTAGGCCGACGAGCATCGCCTTGACAGCGCAGGATGACACTTTCGTCGGCTGCGCCGCCGATCGGACGCCGCTCTGATCCTCTTTCTCGACTTGGCTGCCCTGCCTCTGCTTCTCGTCGAGAGCCAGCTCCTGGAGCTTCACAAGCCGTTCGATGGCCTGCGCCGCATCGCCCAGCCCATTCCTTTGCTGCTCCTTCTCCACCTTGGAGACCGAGGCCGGAGCCTGCTTGGACGGTTTCGAGCTCGAACACTCAAACACCTCGACACGCACTTCCTCCTCGATGTCCCACGTCTCTACGAGGACCTGGCTCCCGCCGCCTTGCTTCTCGGACAAAGAGTCGACCATTTCGTACGCAATCATTACCCACCGGCCTCTTCCCTTGCTCGGATGAGGCCGCACGGCATTGACGCGGACGATGCACCCATCCTTTGCCTGTCCGATCCGCCAGCTCTTGACGAGTAGGCCAAAGCGAAGGTCCCATAGCGCCATGACGCCGCCGAGCGTGCCAACGAGCAGCCAGATGTTGCCCCGATTGGAGCACATGGCCGTAATGGGCCCAAAGTGGGCCGGTTGCCGGAGCGTCTGCAAGACCTGCATGGTGCGGAGGTCGAGGATCGTGAGGCGGGACCGTGTAGTTCCCAAGATCAAGGTAGGGCTCCCGGCTCCTCCTGCCCCACCAGACGGATTCGACGAGGAAGCGGCCGCTTCTGCAGTGGAGACGCCCGGCTTGGAGGAGGACTGCAACAGGCAAGTCACGTACTCTCCTGGATTCGACAACTGGAAGTTGCTCACGAGACGGACTTTGCCATAGCGTGGCATCGAAGATGAGGTGTGGTTGAGCGAGAGATCGACGCGAACAACATGCACGCTGCCGTCCTCGGACGCGCTCGCCGCACAGTGGCTCCCTTCGAGCATGATCAGCGCGGTGATAGCTCCTCCTTGGTTCGCATAGCTAGCTCTGGATCGCGAAGTGACATTCTTCTCGAGTCGAGCCGTGTCCCAGACCTTCAATGAGCCATCTTCTGAGCCAGAGATGAAAAAGGCATTGTCGGGAGAGACGGCAAGTGCAGTGATGGCACCCGTGTGCTCGGTGAAGTAGGCTACAAGCTTGCCATCGGGTCGCCTATTGCTGCTGCCCGGAGCCACGGCCCTGGCGCTCGCCGTCACCGTGCGGGTTCCACCTCGTCGGCGCCCATTGGCGTGGATCTGGGGACCCCAGCCTGGGTGACGATCTCGGAAATTGGCGAGGTAGTGCGCCTCGAGATGGGCACGGATATAGGGGTCATTGCCCTCGTAGGTGCTCGAGAAACTAGGCCCCTCGGGCGCAGCATCATCTGCCTGGCCTTTTGCTCCTCCTCCACGCAGTGCCGATCCCAGTGGTGTCGTCGTTCCTGAGACGTCGGCGCTATGAAGAGCAGCGTTGCCGTCAATCGCCTTGAGTCTTGCCGAGAGCTCCGACATCGTGCCGGTGACCGTGGTCGGGTTGGCAGCAATGGCAGGCAGCGCCTTGCCCACGCCTATTCTCGCCTGACCTGAGGTCGAGCCAGCACCGCCCGCAAGTGGGCTACCAGGGCGCTGATGTTCATGCTGAAGAAGTCTGTGGTGACTGACGTCCTGGGCGTCGATCGCGCCGGGAGTTGAAGGCATGGCCAGGTGGCCCTCACCTGCGACGCTCGGGTCGACCATACGTCGTCTCAATTCCTCTAGAGGGCCGAGAGAGGCAACGTCGCTCGCCACTCGGCTCCCTGCCAGCCTCCTCCTAGCCACGCGGCCGCTGAACGAGCTGTCTGCCGTCTGCGAGCGCATAGAGAGAGACGCGCCGTCGGGGCCTGCCTTCACGGTCGATGCCGGTGCTGAATTCTTCCAGGCTCGAGGTGGGCCAAAGAAAATGGTCAAGGGCGTGACACCGTCGAGCTTCTGCTCAGCCAAGACAGATCGGATCTGTAAACGCGGGAGGGTGCTGTCCTCTTGCAGGGCCGAAGACGATTGCTGGACAGATCCCCTCGTCAAAGAAGACTGCTTGGCCAGCTTTGAGAGGTAGTCTCGCAGCCCGACCAGCTTGATCTCGTCGTCGGCACCAAGACCCAACATTCGGAGCTTGTCGAGGTACCCATCGTCTTCTTCACTCCTCTGGATGGCCGTCTTGGAGACTTCACGACCTTTTCTGCCCGCAAGTAGCCCAACGCCCTCTGCACCAAGTCCGTTGCCCAGGCCTGCGCGACCCTTTGCCTCAGGAGGAGGCTTCCAGAAGCCAGTCGTGTTGACGCGCGCTGCCCACTGCACCGCACCTTCCATGACGGGCCGGCTGAGGGGCGATTTTGCAAATTGGAGCAAGCTCAGCGTGTCCATGCGGTGAATGTCTGCTCGCAGGAGTGGCCTGACTGAGGGGTAGACGACTGCCCAGACGTCAGTCGTGGGTAGCTGTTCAGCCGCGGTGGCGACAACGAGCGCCGAAGCCGTCCGAAGCCAGTGGTTGGGGTGGCAGAGGAAGCCGGCGACAGCGCCCACAACGTCAAAGATCTTTGACTTGGACAAGAGATCCTCGCTCGCGAGCTCCACGAGGCATTGCAAGACGCGCAGGACGACGAACTCCTCTGGATCTGACAGAGCAGGCAGGATGAGCGTGAAGACGTACATCTCCACACTTCTCGGCCCGGCCACCCGCCCGACGCTGACGATGGCGTCGAAAAAGGCTTGCCTCAGCAACCAACTCCGGTCGTTGAGGTAGGTGATCATGTGGCTGAGAACGACATCGTTGGTTGGACCGGAGCCGAAAAAGGAGCAGAGGGGAGCGATGTCGTCGAGGAGGTTGCGCTTGACGGCAACGGATGCATCGGTCAAGAGCGAGGCTACCTGCTCCTGAAAGAAGGATGCTAGGCGTTTCATCTGCAGATCGTAGTTTGCCTCTTCGGGATATTGGCCGCTGAGAAAGTCGTCTGCGTCTGCGATACCTTCATGGTGGACGGCGTCGGCGGCAAACAGGCCTTCAGCGCGCATGGCCGAGGTTATCTGCAGAAACCGATGGCCAGTTTGGACCAGGGTCACCATGCAGGACGCATACATGGCTCGCACCGTGGCCGAATTATCCTTCGACAGGCGGCGCAAGGTGGGCATGATGTACTCGGTAAAGGTGATGGCGTTGGAGGGTGTGATGACATCGACGAGGGCCAAGAGCTGGGTGCAGGTGCGAACAGCCGCAGCTCGTACGATCTCTGACTCGTCGTCGAGCATGCTGACGATGTACGGCAGCACGCGGTCCAGCTTTGCTTCATCGGTAAGCCATCGCGAGGAGAGATGGAGAAGCAGGTCGAAAGCGCGCAGCTTCGTCGACGGCCTCGACACATTACGAAGATTGGCGAGGAGCGGGGACAAGATGAGCAGCGCCGGTCCGTCCTCGTCGATGGGCTCACGGGGCTCTGACAGCGCCTGACTGGGTATGCCAGGAATGCAGAGCTGGACGGGAATGACCTTTCGCATCGCCCAAGTCGAACTGGACCCAAAGCCGTCGGGCGCGTCCAATTCGAGGGCATCCTTATGACCCTGGAGGACGCGAGTGACGACCGCCCACTCTTCGTACAGCCTCTCGATGCGCTCGTCTGCCTCCGTGCGGAGAATGTTGAATGCATCGGCCGTTGTGGTGCCTGCATCCGAAGGCGCCGAGGTCGAGCCGGTCGCCTCTCCTGTATTCGAGGTGTGGTCGGGCGAAACATTTGCCTGAGGAGAGACTCGCTGAAGCGTAATGAGATAACGATGGAGAAACGACTGAAAGCATTCTGGAAAAATGCTGCCCCTTGCCCGCTCGAGGTGCTCGGCGAATGTCAATCTCGAGTCTGGATCGAGGCTGATCATGGACCGGACCATGTCTCTGACTCCTTCGTCGGCGATCTCAGCCAGAGGACCTTCGATGTCGAATTGGCCGGCTCGGTACTTGAAGAGTTGGGTGAGGGTAAAGATGGGCGCGCCGTCGCGCCAGAGCTCCGCAATGACGCAACCAAGCGAAAAGACGTCCATGGCCTCTGTCACTTTGCCCTGGCTCTTTTGACCGAGAACCTCGGCAGCCAGGTCGATTGTGGGCCCTTCCTTCTGGGCAAAGACAGCCTTGGCCTTTTGTCTTTCTCTTGCGGCTGCCGCATCGTCGCTGTAGAAGCGCTCGGGAGCCACGTAGCAGGTCCTCCTGCCTGACGTATCGTAAAAGTAGTTGAAGTCGGAAGGATCGTTGAGCGGTAATGAGGCCGGTTTGAAGGAGGCAGCAAAGTCGGTGACATAGACGGAAAGCGAAGAGGTGACGAGGACGTTTTCGCTCTTCAAATCGCCATGGGGGATCTTTCGCTTCCTGGCTTCTTTCATCGCGGACAGGAGCTGGTAGGTGATCCATTTCTTTTCAATGTTGGTCAGAAAAGGCCTGGTCGATATCCGATCGTAGAGGTTGCTGGCCACCCATTGTCGGATGAGGTAGCCCGCCGTGGCAGTCTCGGTGACACGTTGGTAGGTGAGCACATTGGGGACATCGGCCAATGCCTCTCTCTCGACACGCAACCTTCGAACGAGAGACTGCAATGATATTGAGGGATCAGGTTTCAGGAAGGTCTTGACGATCAGCGGGCCGTACTTGTGCTTTGCGCGGATGGCCTTGAGGAAACGAGATGAGCCGACCCTGTCTCAACTTAAGGTCAGTGCGAGATCGCTTCAGCGCAGCAGCAGTGACACGTTCACTCACCCTCGGTCATACTGCACATCTCCACCGAGCTCTCCGACCAGGTTGTTGACGCCCACGGGAAGCCGAGCCGAAGCCGCAGCCGTCGACGAGGTAGCCCCCATCGTGCCGTCGTGGTCGTCACTGCACGGATCTCGAGAGAGGGACAGAGACAGTCTGGATTGAGTGTTGGTTGGTGCGCAATTCACGTGGGCGCAACCTATTTTTTGAGCGCACGCGCCACCCTGACCTTCCTTCCGCTCTTCTCACCCAAACTCGTGCAGCGATGGCGACGCCGCTCTTTCGAATTGGTGGGCGGGCTCTGGCTGAGCGTCTGACGCCCTTGAGAGGGTCAGCACTACGGTGTCAAGCGAGAACATTTACATCGAGTGGTTCTTCACAAGCAGCACCAAGGGCAAGACTCACCCCTGCTTTTATTGCAGTCGCTGCTACTACTGCCGTGCTCGCAGCTTCGGCCTATGCGGCTCGCCCGCTTCACCTCGAAGCGCCACCGGCATCTGCAAAGGAGCTCCCTACTAGTCTACCCACATCTGGCGGCAAAGAGGTGCGGCTAGATCCCTCGACGAAGCAGCCGTTCCCTACGAAGCTCGAGAAACCAGCCACCTCCCTGCCCTTCTCTTGCGGCGACCTCGTCCTCGTCGGCCTGGGCGTGCGGACCGTCTCCTTTCTCCGGGTGCAGGTCTACGTCGCGGGCCTGTACATCGACGAGCGGGCACTCAAACGGCTCGAGCAGGTGCCAGGCTGGAAAGGCTACCAGAAAGACTGGCTTCTCGATCAAAAGCAGGGACCGAGCGGCGAGCAGCTCGTGGCCGCCCTCGTGGACCAGGGCGTCGCCTGTGTGATCCGCATCGTGCCTGTCAGGTCGACGGACTTTGCCCACCTCCGCGATGGCTTTACGCGCTCGATCCAGGCGCGAGCAAAGCAGGCGCGCAAGGCCAAGGCGCTCAGCGACGTCGCAGAGCAGTCGCTCTCCACCTCGCTGCAGGCGCTCAAGGACGCCTTTCCCCGCGCGTCGCTTCCCAAGGGACAGGCACTCGACCTCGTCTTTGCTCCTCAGTCATCTGCAGTGTCGAAGCTGCTACCAGGAAGCATCGCAGGTGTCTCGCTCACCCTCGAGCAAGAGGGCAAGATCCTCGGCACTGTTCATGCTCCTGGTGGCAGCGAAGAAGAGAAAAAGTTTAGCGTCGCACGGCAGCTCATGCTGGCTTACCTGGCCGACAAGGACGAGATCTCAAGGCCCTTCAAGCAGTCGGTAGCCGAAGGTTTCGAGAGCTATGTCAACTTGGCTTGAAAGACGCAATTCATAATTCTTGCCCCGTCAGCTTCAGCAGGCCTTGTAAATCGCTGAAGCATGGCTACAAGAGCATGCCTTCCAAGAAGCCTGATGAACTCTATATATATTCGTCATGAAGTGATGGTGTATGAGGTATGTAAAATGGGTAACTTGAATGTCCTTTAAGGGAAAAGAAGCCTGTCTATGAGCTTGTTCAGCTCGCTCATCAGTGAAATAAGCTGCCGCCCTTATTGTGTGGCAGGCTTCGTGTTGAGAATCTTCTTGGGTCCCCTCTGTAGGAAGAACGTAAGTCAGCAAAACGCCTCTCAACAGCAGGAGAGTGAACGCACCGAAAAGGCGACCAGGAAAGCAAAGACCATAACGAGGCTGAATGTCGCCCAGGCGCTGGCCCATGTCACCGCCTCGACGCTCGCCTGCTGCACCCTCTGCTTGACCACCGCAGGCCGGTATCGGGCAGAGTACGAGACTGGGTAGTAGTCGGTCCCCCTCTTGCCCTTCTTTCTTCTGGCAGGATCCAGGTCGAGCATCTCAAAGGCCTCGTCCGAGGAAGAGGCGCCACCTTCCCCTTCCTTTGTCTTTTCCTTGGACCTGACAGCCTGAGGCGAGACCGGCCTGCTCAGCGTCCGTCGTCGATAGCGTACACTCGACATGGCCAGTGCCCGCGCTGTTGCCTCACTCTCGACCGAGTCGTCGAAGGACGACTTGCCCGAGGGGAACGGAGCGAGGAGGCGGCCGTCCTCGTCAGTAAGCCCCATGGCGTAGGCCTTTGCCGGCGTCAATTGACCTGCGACGAGTCGAGCCTGGAGTGCAGCCACGCGCTTCTCCCTCAGCAGCGCCTGGGTTTGTAATCGCTCAGCCACAGCCTCGCTTGACTCAATCTGGCGGGGCTGTTCCCTGGCCTTGCCTTTGTCAGACTTTGGCTTGGTCTTGGTGGCGCCCACCCATCCAAGGAGCATGCTTCTTTTACGGTTGCCCAACGTCGAGTCTTGCCTCGGCATCAGGCCCAACCTCCTTGCCTCGCTCTCGGTGATCGGTCGCCCAAAGTCGTCGTCGTCGGCCCAGTGCAGGGGTGCCTTTCGCGTGGCGCTCTCCAACTCGTCGTACGACTCGCCGGTCGTCTCCTTCTGGTCGCGAAGGCCGCCCCGATAGACGATGCTCTCTTCGGGATCGAGCCAGTCGCCATCGGCCAGGTGTACCAGAGCCGAGGTCTCTTCTTCTTCGCCGCTTTGGCCGATGCCTTCGGTGTAAGGGGCAGCGGCAATGCGCTGCAGCTGCTGATGCTTGACTGGTGACGCCCACCTGCTCCTGCTCACAACTGTCTCACCGCTGCTGACAGACCACTTGAGATCGGCAATGTCCGACTCAGGCTCGCTGGCCGCTCGCAAGCTGCTGGCGCTCCTTTGCGGCCGCAAGCGTCGGTGATCGGGGTTGTTAAGATCTGAGAGGTGCAAAGGTCCTCCATCAACGTGGTCGTCGTTACGAGATCTGTCCACTTGGCCGGCCAGCTGCTCTTCATTCCAAGCGAACAAGTCGCGATCGGCATCTGCGATCCCGACCAGTTCACTCTGCAACGATCGTCGACCCTGCCAAGGCACGATGCTCGAAACGTTGGACAGCGAGTCCAGATCTGGCTCACGACGGTGACCGTAGCTGTCTAGTTGGCTATCCATGCTGAAATCACGCGCGGGGAGATTGCCCTTGGGTGGAGTCGACGCCACAGGGCCACGGTTGTCGAAAAGCTGGCGATTCAAAGCGAAGCTGGCGTCCGACGAGACTCGCCGGACGACGGATGCTTGCTTTCGATTGAGCCGCCGGACTGGGAAGCGCAGAGTGTCGCTCTGCGAGGGGCTCGCCTCCAGGTCGACCCAGCCGTTCTCTTCGTCGTGTTTGCGCCGTGCCGCGAGGTCTTCCGTGCTGGGCGTGATGAGGATCCGTGGCCTCAACATGCGGTGACGCTGACCTCGCGACTGCGTCGGCGAGCTGCGGCCGCTGCTCGGCGGGTCCGACTCTTCTTCGTCGATATTCTGACGGAGCGCATCGCGGATTGTTCGACGGCCCTCAATGATGTAGCGATTGCCCGGTGCTCTCCTTTTTGCCCTCCTCGCGGCCGTGGCTGGACTAGCGCTGGCCGTCGACGACATGGGGCTCATTTGCAAGGGGCTGCCGCCGCCGAGTCCAGAGCTAAAGCTGCGGCTGATCGATGCAGGGCGGAACGATTGATCGGCTCCATTTGCAGTCTCAACGGCCTCGTAGGCGTCTCGGATCCTCTCGCCCTCCTCGATGGCCCTGCCGATGCGACCGTCCATCTCAGTGCCGGCAATGGTCAGCGATGCGTTTGTCTCTTCGAGTTCTTGGATCTTGGACAGGAGCTGAGCAACCAGAGCCCTTTCGCCCTCGCTGTGGGGTCTTGCGGCGAGGGATGCAGCAGCCTCGAGGGTACTTGTCATTGACGATTGGCTTCGAATCGAGCGCGCGTCCGCTCCCTTGCTATCCTCGAGCGAGTGCACCGAGTGTCCGTCTTGATCGCGGTCTGCCGTCGTACTGCGACCACCACGGGAGGACGGCGTGCCGTCGTCAGACGAGGGCCAGATGGCCATGGAGCCTTTGCGAGTCCATGCCTTTTTCTCCTTGGGCGGTGTGATCCTGGGACCGTCTTCCTGTCCGGCATGCTCCAGCTCCAGCTCAACATTGCGTTCGGTGGCCGCCTCGAGCTCGCCCTTGAGGCCTTCGATTTCTCGCGTGAGTTTCTTGAGCCTGCGCCCACCTTGCTTCTTGGCATCCTCGGCCTCCGTTTGGAGCTGGGCGAGCTGGTCGAGCAAGGCATCGTTCTGCTTGCTCAGCGTCTCGAGCTGCCGCTGTGCCTCTTCGTTGGCTTGCGCCTGGACCCGGGCCAGGTTGTCGTAGCTCTGCTCCCTCGACACGCCAGCACGAGAGACCGAGGGCGAAGGTGGGCCTGACGGCACAAAGTACTCGCTCCTATTTGAGGGCCATTTTGACGGTCCGTCGTCTGAGTGCCAGTAGCCGGGCAGCGCAGAGGCAGCCGAGGGAGACTGAGACTGCTGTTGAAAGAGGTTGTTCATGGGCGTTCGCGAGGAGCTAACGCTGGAGGAAGGCGAGTGATGAAGCCGTGATTGCTGTTGCCGAGGTGCTGTTGGGCTGACAAAGGGATCGGACGGCTGCGCTACACTGTGAGCAAAATAGTCACCGTCGAGCCGAGGCGTCGGGCGAGGTGTCTCGTCGTCAAAATGACCGTGACTCGGGTCATCGGCAATGTGAATGTCCGACGTGGGCGGCGAGTTGGCAGGACCCTCGCCGGCGGGCAGCATGTTGCTCAGGCTGGCCGAGGTCGAGAGGCGCGTGAGGATACCCTCGTGCTTGCTGCGCAGGCTCATGTTCTTCTCCAACAGGGCCTTGCCAATGGCGGCGGCGATGCCCAAGTCGCGCTCGCGGGCCTTGATGACCTTGTTGGCTTCGACGAGCAGCGCCTCGAGCTCTTCTCGGGGCAAGCCGCCGACCCAATCGCGATCGAGAGATTTCTCTGACCCGTCTTCCGAGTAGTCCAATGATGGCGGCCGCTCCAGGTTGCTCTGGTCTTCGTACGATGGCAATGCTGCCTTCACCCGCTCGTGCTCGTCTTCCGTATTGGGCGTCGAGCGGCGCCTGTCCTTTCCAACGCCGTGCGCTGACAAGGGAGCAGAAGAAGCAGAGTCGACAAAGAGCGACTCGAGCCTCTCTGCGCCGGGGCTCAAGGTCCGACTTCTGTTGGCACTTCCATGGCCCTCTGGCGCGCGACGTGACCTCTCCAGAGCGGCAGTGAGGTGCTGGGGAAGATCGAGACCGAGGTCCTGCTCATACTTGATGGCGCATGACGCCGCCGCCGACGACGAAGATGATGGCGGCGACGCTGCCGAGGCCGAGCTGCTGTGTCGGCTGCCGTTGATGATGTCCGGTGGCGGCATCAGCTCCTCTCCTGGTCTCTCAGCGACATCGCCAGCGGGGGTCCCTTCGGCTGGCCTTCGTCGAGACGGGTTGGCGCTTGACCGTCTCGGCCCAGGCGGTCGAGGCCTGTGCGCAGCAACGCTAGCCGTGTCCGAGAGCATGGTCCCCCTCGTCGAACGCAGGACACGTCCGAAAGAGATCCGTGATCTGTCTGAAAAATTGATGTGCTGGTGGGAGGCTTTTCTAGCGCGTGGTACCGGACAGGGGCTCGTGGAGCAGGTGCTGAGTCGATCGACGAGGAGGGAAGCAGCACGACTGTGGTCTTGAGATGATAGGTGTGGCCGTGTAGAGTCGATGAGTGACGAAGGGTAGAGAATGAGCAACGAAGCAACGAAAGACGCGAGGAGGCCTCCGTTTGTTCGTGTCTGGTGGCCCTCAGGGGGACGGACAAACGATACGGGCTCCTGGGCGTCGAGTTGCTGTCAGCACACCGCAGATTCAAGAGGGGAAAGGGTCCCAGGGAACTAGCCGAAGAGGGCAGATGCACGAATGCTGCATCGAGCAAGTTTGGAACGGGTTTGGCAGGAAAGGGGAGGCCACGCCTCTCCAAGCTAACGACAGACGGAATCTTGCGGGCGCAACGAAACGGAGCCAGATCTGGCTTGCTCTGTCTGGCTGGCTCCTTTTCCCCCCCTATGGAAAACCCTTTGGAAATTTAAGACTCACCTTCTTTTCCAATTGTGTACGGGTGTTCTCGTCCACACTGTCCAGGCAGCCGCCGCCCGTCGAGGCAGGTCGAGTTCGCTTCCTTTGTCTGCAGTGGTGTAAGGCAGTCGATTTGCTGTCAAACCCTGGCCAAGGGACCAAAAAAAAAAAGAAGGCGTTTGATAGAGCGCGTCGGTAAGGTGTTGGTCTCGCTCGCCTCCTTTTCTGAAACCTTTTCGCGTGAAAAATCCAACTTTCGCTAAGCAAGATCGTGACTTTATTTCGTTCCTCTTTCTGAATGGGCACAAAAGATGGGGATGCTACTGTTGTGCAGTACTGTACAGGTAAATAAAATGATGAAAATTGCGTATTGGTACAGTGCACGGTGTACAGTGGGAGAGATGGTGTGTGTATGGGAGCATTCATCTAGTCGTACGCGAGCCTCCTGGCAACCTTGCGCAGTCGTGCAACGGTGTTGGGGCTTGCTCCGCCCAGGGCGGTCCTCTTCTTTGTTGTCGCGGCGGGCGCGTCTCTGTTGGAGGCAATGTCGCCCGCGGTGCGGTTTTTGTCCTTGACGTCGCTGTGCGAGAGCAGAGGATGGTCTGTCTCGTTGTCCGTCTTGTCCTTGGTGGGGTGTCGGGGGAGCAGAGTGTGGTGTGTGGGTGCCGGCTGACTGCGAAAGTAAGGGTGGTGAAGCGCCTGCCAAACACGTGATATGTGAGCTCCCGAGCTCTGCAAAGACATGGAGCAGCCTTCTATAGGCTCACCTCATTGGCGCTCATGCGCTTGCTTGGGTCGTAGAGGAGTAGCTTCGAGATCATGTCGATGGTATCCTGCGAAGCGGCGGGGAAGATGAAGCGGAGGGTGGGCTTGGGAAACTGCTCCGTTGAGGGCATGTAGAGCGGTAGCGTCTTCATTCCCGGCCAGTCTTTTTCCGTAGGCGACCCAAGCACCTGCCATATCCTTGACAGCTGTTGCAGCTCGGCCTCACCGGTGATGAATGGCCTTCGCACAAGTAGCTCGGCAAAGATGCAGCCGACAGACCACATGTCGACCGTCGTAGAGTAGTGTCTTGATCCCATGAGCAGCTCGGGAGGCCGATACCAGAGGGTGATGACGACGGGCGTCATTCTAAGTCCGGCATCGGCCCATTCTCTCGCCATGCCAAAGTCGGCAATTTTGAGCTCGCCTTGGGGTGAGATGAGCAGGTTGTTTGGTTTCAGATCCTGAGGCAGCAGCCGTAGTCAGCTGGGTGCTCTTGTAGAAGTAGAAGGGGAGAAAGAGCAAGCAACTGCCACTCACCCGATGAAGGATATAGTGCCGGTGACAGAACTCCAAGCCGCGGCAGAGCATCAGCATCCAGCTCTTGATGTCGCCCGGCTTAAAGACGAGATTGGTGTCGCCAATGAGCCTTTCCAGATCCGTGTCGAGGAATTCCAGGACGAGGTTGAGACTCGGCGTAGCAGTAGAGCCGCTTGAAAAGACGTCGACGAGCTCGATGACGTTCGGATGCCGGAGCTCTCGCAGCACCTTTACCTCTCGAATCGCTGACATGTCCATCCCGTCCTTTGAGTCCACCACCTTGATCTTCTTGATGGCTACTTTGCGAGACGTGGCCGTGTGCCGTGCCAGGAAGACGGAAGCATAGGTGCCTTCGCCGACCTTTGCCAGCTTGGCATACGACGTGCGGATTGCAGCATTCTTCTCGGCCGCCGTCTGCATCGTCGCTGGTTGTAGCTGCATCGAGCTTGACGGCGCGCTCAGCGGTGCGATTGAGCAACTTTTCGAAAGTCACGCGTCCCGTCTCCCGAGATGTTAGACCTTCTCACCCTCCATCCATCGTCGACAGACGAATGGCCTCGCAGCCGTCGTCGGCAATGCCAGGCGTAAGTGAAGGCCCGCGAGAGGAGACGGCGTCGTTCCTCGGCGCTTGGTTCGATGGGATCGCGGCACCAGGCTCCCAGCGTACCGGAAGTGCTGTTGAAACAGAGACGGATGGTGGAGATTCGAGCAAAGGGGACGGGAAAGGGGCACCAGAAGCTGGCCGCTCTGTGCAGCAAGAGGTCCGTGGCATTGGCCGAAAGGAGACGGAGGAGGAAGAGGTCGCACGGCTGCTCACCTACCACGGCGAGATCCGGCGGGCCGAGGCAAAGAATGCCAACATCCAATCGACGCTGCGCCAGGCAACGCTCGCGGCGGGCGAGGCTTGCACCGAGGTCGAAGAGCTGCTCAAGTGCCTTGAGGCTGCTCGCTCGTTTCTAAAGGGCGACAGCGAGCCAAACGTTTTCGAATTTGCCAGGACCAAGGTCAAGCTGCCGCTGTTTGCGGACATCTACAACCGAATCCCGCTTCTCGCCTATCAAGATCAGGAAATCGAGGAACTGAGAGCCCTCACGTCCACGACCCCTGGGTGGGGCAATGACGAGGTGTCGCAGCTGCGCGAGGCTGTAAAGAAGGAGTGTGGCCGTGTTGCCGCCCGTCGCTTGGCTGCATCAGGACGCTGTTCCGACCCCCTGTCGGCCTTGTCTACGTTGGACGAAGAAGATCTGCTCATTGTCTCGTACCCAAGGCGTCTAGACGCCGACGAGTTGGAGGATGAAGAAATCGACTGGGACTTTGTCGCTCGAGAGCTACAGTACAGGTTCAATGCCGAGCAGTGCCGAACCCGATGGCTCCAGTACGATGCCCCCAACGCGACCAATGGCCGGGACTGGACTGATGAAGAGCTCAAGAGATTGCTCGAAGCCGTCAAGATGCTTGGCGATGCCGACTGGGAAGCCGTCGCTGAAAAATTGAGCGCTAAAGGAGAGCAGTGGAAAAGGAGCGCCATGGCCTGCTTCTGTGCCTATCAAAGTCACGACGACAATCCTGCCAACCGTGACCAGGCGCCGGTCGAGTGGTCGACGGCCGAGGATGTCAAGCTGCTTCTACTCGATCGTATCTGGGACCGCCGCGGTGAAATTGTCGCAGAAAAGCTTGGTACCTCTCGAAGCCAGGTGCAGGTCAACAGTCACATTCGAGTCTATGATAGGATTCGCGCTAGAGAGGACGACGCGACAGTGTCGGAGCTCGAAGAGGCGGCGTCGGATCCTGCAGCAAAGAAGAGGATGAGGAGGGCTGCTCGCTCCGGCAAGAGGGAGAGCCTCCAGGTCACCAAAAAGGCAAAGACGCAAGAGACAGGCAGGAATTCCAGATGGTCGGCAGCAGATGAGGAAATGATCGTGACTATTCTCGAGAGGACCGGCAGGATCAAGGAGGTGGCGAAGCACTTTTCAGGCAGAAGCAGGACATCTTGCGCCATGAAGTGGCATAGTCTCAAGACGAAGGCGGTCGAAAACGAGAGGGAGATCAATCCTCCCAAGACTATGGCCGTGAAACCCTTGCGTAAAGAGCTGAGGGCGAGGATTCTTTCACTGATCGATGCTATGAGCCACGATGTCTCAGCTGATCCTGAAGGCGAAGAAAGAGAAGGAGAAGACCAAGAAGGCCTGCGGGACGACGAGAACGTAGAGGAGCAGGTGCAAGACTGACAAAGTAAGATGTATTATTGATCTATCATGTGTAAAGTATCAATCTATCGAGTGTATTTGAAGAGAGACTCCGCAGCAGGGTGTAGTATGATCGACTCGTCGTTTTTTCATCGTCGGACCAGCGACAACGACGTCGGAGGAGGATTCAAAGGGCTGTTTGTTAAGAAGGTAAGATGTTCAGTGGCGTCTTGAAGTGAGTAACGAGAGCCATCGCTCACACTGACCCCATCCCTGCACACTATCGCCTTCAGGGAAATGCCACAAGGTGGCACGAGCAACTGACGTTCTGGACGTTTTCAACGTTGTTGAACTTGTTACTGAGATCACGCTTGAGGCTGTTCAGGTCGACTTTGGTGACGATGCCTCGGTCGCACGCGTGTTCAGGACCCTGAGGGGTCGGAGATGCAACCGTCATCGTGACAGCGCAGAGGACGCCCAGAAGAAAGAGGGGGAAGCGCATCGAGAAATAAAAACGCATCACTATCGAAGGGCGTGCGGTGGAAAGAGAGCGATATGGTGGTTCAGAAAGGGTCGCCGTCAAGGACAAAACCCACAGGTGGATAGGGGCAGTGATTGTTGTTGGAAGAGCGTTGTGTGAGGAGGCAGGACCAACGACCCAACCTCTCTCCTTATATAGTTTTGAATGAGGACAAGTGTAACTTCCGCCGATGCATTGCGAGACCATCTCAGGCGGGCGTACCTCTAGGGGGGCCTCTCCATGCAACGAGATTCTCGTTGGTGTTCCTGAACGGCGACTTGAGTCGGAATTATCTGAACCTGGTCGCATGAAAACAACGTCTGTGTACGAGTCTGATTTGCTCGTGCTCTACAAGAGCGCCAAGTCCGTGGAAGGCAGAAGGCGAATCTTTGGCCGAAACCATTGAGAAGGAGCAGGACTGCCATGAGTCGTCACCGCGGACATCCGGACACGAAATTCCGCCAATACGTGCGCATTCACGACACCATCAACCATGGACGTACTCGAGAACGTCCACCGAAGGAGGTGACGGATCACAGCATGCTGATATACCCGATGACCTCGGCAAGCAATGCTGCTGGTCTTGGGTCATATGCTTGTCTCCAGCCAAGTCGAAGATGGATGGCTCTGTTGCGTTTATTATTGAGAAAAGTAAGAAAACTGATGACTGTCACCAGATCCTTTTTTGCGGAACAGCTCGCTCAACGGATTCTCTGAAATGGTGCGAAGAGTCATTAGTCATCGATCACTTTAATCAAGGACTTCTAAGCAGCTGTGACCGGCGGCGCTTTCCCGTATGATTGCCGACCTCTGACTCCCACATACGAACATGCATGTCAGCGCCCATTGCTACGGAAGTCCTAGACACCTTACCGTTCGGATTCGTTTCGTGTAGTAGGAGCTTCAGCAGTCTGGACGGACTTGCCAGGCATCGAGCAAAACCCCTTCTCACGTTCGTCCATGCATCCGAAGAGATTGTCGATGAAGTTGCCATGTCCTTGTTGACACAGGAGTACATACATGCTAGGTAATACAATACAGGCGAAAAGACCGTGCAATGCAAGAGTATATCCGCGCATTAGCTCTCTGGCTTTGCGTCCAATTCCGCTTTCTCCTTTTCCCTCTCTCTTCTCATCTTGTTCCTGAGCCGAGCTCTATGCTTGGCCCTCCTAGCCTCTTTTGCTTCCCTCAGCACCTGGATTGACATCTGGCTCTTGCTCCTCGCCTCTTCTCGGTCGTACGCTGCTCTCATTTCCCTCATTTCGTCCGCAAAAGGCTCATTCCACCCTCTCAAGAGATTCTCCTCCTCCTCTCCTCTCGCCTTTCGAGCACGAGGTGCCTTCTCTTGCTGTTGCGAGCGGAGAGCATTCCAGATCTGCACCTCCTCTTTTATCATCCTCGCTCGCTCATCGAGGTCCAGCGATCGGCCGTAGCGTGCCCACCGAGCGAGCCGACGGCGCTTGATGATCATTGTGACGCTCTCCGGTTGAAAGGGCTTGTACCGGTGCATGCCGACCGTGTAGAAGCTGGGCGCAAGAAGAGCGCCTGAACGTCGAGGCTCGCCACGCGCCTCTTCCTTGACCGAGCGGAGGTAACGGTCGTAAACGAGCTCCCACCTTCGGACACGATCCTTCTCGACCAGCTCCTCCTCCATCTCGCGCATTTCTCTCGTCGCCTCCTCGTCTCCTCGCTTCGCCCTCTCAAACCTATCGATCATTCCTCTCGCCCTTTGAAGCACTTCATCGGTTTGTCTGGGGCTCGTCAGCTTCTTCTTGGCTCTGGCAACGCCTCTGATCGTTGCGCGTGTCTTTGGCAGGCCCAGCTTGGGACATGCCTTCATCAGCCTTCGGTAAAGCATGAGGACTTCGCTCCGGTGCGAGTCCAGCTTGAAGAAGGGCTTTCGCGTCTTGAATCTGCGAACAGGAAAGGCCTTGACGAGCGACCGGATCGCGTCGTGATCTTCGGTTGGCCTAGCGGCACTCGAGGTGTGCAAGCTGCGAGCAGCGGCCCGCAAGGGCTTTTTAGGAGCCATCGCTGATGCGGCTGGGGCTGCTTGCGTTGGCGGTGTCTTTGTCTGCCGCTTTGCCGCCGTAGCCTTCTCTCGCTCCACCCGCTCCTCGGCCATCTTGGCGCGCTGCTCGAGCGCAGCAATCTCACCAACTTCTGTGGCCGTTTGTGCCTGGAGGAAACGGAGTCCTCGCTCGCCCGTCGATCGATGCAACTGCTTCGAAGGGACATATCCAGGCTGGTTAATGTCGATCGATGCTCCAGCGACAGGCACGGCAGCAGGTGAGTCAAGGGGAGCAGACTTCATCGCTCGGCCGTCGGCAAAGAGTGAGCCTCCGTTGGTCAGCTTGAGCGTCTGTTCAATCTCGTACGCTTGGCCTGGCGGAATTGGCACGGGCTGGCTTGGCGTGACGCAGGGATCGTCCGCCTCTTTGCGCAGCACTTTATCGACGTCGACCTGGGCGAAAAAGGCGCAGCCTTGGGGTAGGTCGTCCATCTGCAGCTTGAATGCGAACATGGCTCTCGTCCAGAGGTTGGCCACCTGTAGTGCCAGAGCGGCTCGATGGGCGTCCTCGTCGCGGGCCAGGTATCGCACTTCGTCGTGGACACTGATCATGAAACGAGCATCGATGTCGTAACTGCGGCAGAGGTGCTCCATCGAAGCGATGAGGAGGTGAAGATAGTCAACACCACTCGACTGCACCACCCAGTTGACCCGGCTTGGCATGTAGTCTTCGCTCATCCGCCCAAATTTTGCCACTTTTGGAAGGTATTTTCTCGACAAGGCTGCCGTTACACCGCAGTCCAGCGCCGGCGTCGTTGGGTGGGCGCTCAGCGCGACCTCTTCCAACTTGTTGAAGACATAGCTCTCGGTTCCACCGTACCAGAAGCGCCTGCCAAAGAAGTCGTCGGTGTAGGTGTTTGTGCCTTTTGTAGTCGCATACAGCTCCTTTGCCTTGCGCGTCGCTTCTTCGTTGCTCATCGAGGGCGAAGCCTTGAGCAACAGTTGCGAAGAGTGTCGGATACCGGCGCCGTAGATTCTCGAATAGTTGAAGACCTTGGCTTGATTTCGGCCCGTGCCGAGAATGTTCGCCGTCTTGCTATGGAGATCTGTGCCGAGGGCCTTTGTCCCTTCGAGCGTCATCCAGCCGACGGCCGTGGCGCCGTGGATGCCAAATTGGGCGTCACCCATGACGCTGCAGATCCACAGTTCCTCGCTGTCTACGTCTGCTCCCACGATGGACCAGCCCGGAGGCGCCTTGACCATAGCCTTGAGCTCCGAGCCAACGCGATTCGCCTTTGCATTGGAGGCTGTCAGCCACGTCTTCTCAATCGCACGGCGCGTTACGGTGCCCATGGGCACAACCTGCGGCAGGATCATGCCCTTTTTTCGATGAGCATCCTCCGGCCTCGCTCCGCTAGCACCCTGAGGATAGAGCATACTGGAGCCACCCTGGCCGTCCCAGACGACCATTTGCTTCTCAACGCGATCTCGCACCCCGATCCAGTAGCTGCACTGCGAATTCATCTCGAGAGCTGCCTTTGCTGCACTCTTTGCCGCTTCGCTCGAAAGCTCGCTTTTCAGCGTCTCTTTTTCGAAAAAGGGGACAAAACCCTTGCTGAAGGGACTGCCGACATTGGAGTTGTCGCCGGCAACGTGGGGGACCTTGTAGAAGAGCAGGCCTTGTTCTTTGGAAAGGCTCTTGAACGATTCATCTGCTTCGTGCTTAAACTTGAGAGGCTTCTGCCGAGTCGTAAAGTCCGGCATCGCCTTGATATCGTGTAGGAAGACCCAGCCGTGTTCACGACTATGGTAGAGCGGACAGCCCTCCCAGCTGACTTTGAGGAGCGTGGGGGCCACCTTTGACCGGATCGTGAGCTCGACCTCACCCGTGCCAGGCTTGATCAGATCCCAATACCACTTGGGCCACCACTCTCGTTCAGCGGTAGGATCACTGTCGCCTGTCGATGCCGGACCCGTGTCCGCCTCCACCTTTTGCCAGTCGAGTGTTGTGAGCTGAGCATCTTCCTCTACCGCCTTGCCGTTTGCCTTCGCCCATGCGATGAGGTCCTCGGCGGCCTTGCTCAGCAAGAGGCGCACTTCGGCCTTGTCTAAAGACCCACCTCTGATTGCAGACAAGGCCTCCTCGCCAGCATTCCCGTCAAGATGAGACTTGACGGCAAGCCCGCGACCTTTTTTGAGAAAGGCTTGTCGCAGGGGCGACCCACCAACCACCTCGTCCTGGTCTGGCGTCTGTCCCTTTGCCTTCCACTTGCCATCGTCGCCTTTGATGATTGGCTTGCCATCAAGGTGAAGGCGGAGCACGGCAGGGGTCGCTGCCATGGTGGTGCCCAGGCCCGCAGGGCTCTTCAGGACCTTGTCACGGTACCACATGGGAACCTTGAGGCTGTCGTCCTCATTCTCCGTGCTGGCGAGCCGGATCTTCTTTGGCTTCTTTGGCGTCCAATCGAGCTGGCTGGTCCAAGCATCCTCGTCCCACCACATCTTGCTCGTCTCTTGCTCCTCATCCTGGTCTTCCTCAAGCGCTTTGGCCTTTGCCGTCGACCATGCCATGGCCTGATCCCACGATACACCCTCTGTCCCCCGACTCCGAAGCTCCTCTGCTAGCTTGACGAGATTCTTTCGCACTTCGCCGTGGGCAGCTTCGAATGTCTCGTTGCTTCGCCTCTGGTAATCGATCCACTCATCATCGACTGGCAGGATCGCGCTGCCCAATCCGAGAACGCCTGCGACGGTGGCTGGATGCGGGCAATTGGCGACGAAAGCAGGCCAGACCTTTTGAAAGACCTTGTGTGTCACGGCGACGTCGGTGGCGCAGTAGTGCAGCAGCTCATCGAGCATCGAGAGAATCTCTTCCCGGCTTGTCCCATCGATGAAGACATTTCGCACGTCTTTGGAGACAGTGATGTCGCAGTGCAGCTTGGCTACATCTGCGAGCGAGTTTTTTGACGTGATGTCCTGCCACAGCGTCGAAGCTGCCGCACGGGACGTGGCGTCGCTCCTGGCCGAGCCGTTGCTGCTGTCCAGGATTGCGTCGATGCTGGCAAGGTCGTTGCCCTGGTCCTCGTTTCTGTCCACGCCGATGAGGTCCTCGAGGTCGAGCGCGGCAATCGTATCTTCGTCGACGTCTTGACCGCCGAGAATGGAGGCAATGACGGCCTTTTTCCTCTCCTCGATGCCATCCTCGTCGAGCATCTTCTCCAGCGCCCTCGTCTTGCTGTGCTTTATCCAAGCGCCCCGCTGTGGGCTCGAAATGCCCCTGGTGGCGACGTGCAGGGACATGGTGTCGAGCCAGCGCGTGTTGCCCCTCTTGAGCGAGTACTCGTCACGCACCCTTCCTCGATCATAGCTGACATTGTGTCCGATGACAAGGCGCGCGGGCATATTTTGATCCCCGCTGGGCCCAAACGGGATGAGCTGCGCCTTGTCCGTCGTCTCACCGAGGAGCCACGGGCTCAGCCAGGCATACCAGGCATTGGGGCTTGCCGCTGTGGCCATGACGGCAAATTGACTCTCGGTCACCATTGTCTCTACGTCAAACACCAGCGCTCCGTCCTCAACGAGGGGGTACTCGACTGCCTCGCCCTCGCCCAAGGCCGCACACCCATGCCCGTCGCTCGACCTCAGGACCGGATAACGCGTCCAGCCAGACTTCCTTTGCCACTTGGGCGGTCTCGGCGTCATTTCTTTGCGCATGCCCACGTCCAGCGAGAGCCAGTCTTTTGCGCACAGTAGACCATCTTCGTCTTCCGTCGAGGTCGCGTCGCCAGAGACACCGTCTGGCATGGTCGACGGCACGTCTTGGCTTGCGAACTCGTGGGCCATTCCCAGCCACGGCTGCGCCGCCTCCCTTCCGATGTTCCAAAAATGCTCGCCGAGATCCTTTCCCTGCAGCGGCGGAAGGTCAAACGACGTCTCGGGCAGCGTCGAAGCCTGCTCTGGCTTCAGGCCATGGGAGCTCAGATGGTGCTGACAGAGAGACAGAGCATTGGGGTGGATGGGCGGGACCTGGTCGGACGTCCCAGGTGGGAACAGCTGCGCATGGAGCGGTCGCGAAAGGAGCTGCACGCCCACGGCGTTGCGATAGGCTGTCCGATGTATGTCAGCACGCATTCATCTGTGCGATTGTCAACAAAGACTCACGCATGCCTGGGAGCACAGGAGCGACGGCCTGGGCAGAAGTCGGGCATTCCATCTCCTTCTTTCTGCGCGAGAGGTACTCGGGCCGTCGGTAGGGCACCGTGCGGCTAACGGTGGGCGGACGGTCCTCCAGCGGCATCGCAGCGCGGTGTCGCTTCTGAATGCCGTCCGCGGCCCCCGGTGTTCTTGTACTGCATCCGAGCAGCGGCAGTCTCGGACGTGGATGCGCGGCCCTAAACGCTGCCGCCGCGAGGGCGCCCACCGATATTTGCCGCATGAGCCCCCTTCAACTGAGCGAGCGGCCTGGGCTGAGTCTATGTTCGACAGTAGCAGCCAGGGAAGAATCAAGGCTTAGAGCATCCTCGCTCAGACCATTCACGTGATGGAGTGGAGCTCGAAGGGAATTTTAACTTTTTTTTCCCTTCCTCTTGCAAGAGAAAGAGAGAATTGTTGCATTCTGCAGGTGAAGCAGGGCTCACTCACACGACGATTGCAACACACAATGCTGCGACGTTGCGTGGCGCGAGCGAAGCCGCTCTTGCCTCCTATATCGGCGTCAAGAGGGCTGGCTTCGACATCTGTCCACGCCGCACGAAGCTCGGCACGCACCGTCGGCCACACGCATCGGGGCACGCTCGCAGAAGAGGAAAAGCAGGCCAAGAAGGATGTCGCCGAGCTCGTGGCACGCTTGGCAAGGGCCAAGAAGCAAGAAGAGTCGCAGAGAGCCGAGGCACAGCTCCCGGAGCTCGATGAGTCGACACTGGACAGCATCTACGAGGCGCTCAACGCGCCCGAACCTGCGACCGACGAGGACCGTCGCCTGGCGAAGCGGCAGAAGAAACTGAGCCTCGCCGGCGGGAGGGCATCCCACCTCGACCGCATTGAGGAGCGGCTGCAAAATCTCAATGCGCGGCTTGCATCTGCGGGAGCTGCGCAAGTCATCGGTGGTCGACCAGCGAACGGTCAGCCCGATGCCGTCGCTCGCCTGATCCCTCTTCTTCTTCAGGGCTACCAGGACATGGCGAAGGAGGAGCCGGTCGAGGAAGAAAAGACCGAAGAAGCCCTCGTCGATGGCGTGACGATCGCAGAGACATCTCCGGGTATGACGGGAACGAGGATGCTCGAGGACCGTGGTGCTCAGCATCAGCTCTTGGAGCGCATCGGCGCATTGCTTGCGTCAGTCGAGAAGCGATGGGGCAAGCAGAGCAGCAGGGACGGTCGAGAGGCTTTGCCCATCGGGATAGCGACGAGTCAGGAATGGGAGGCCCTCGCAGTCGCATTCGCCTCGCACGACGACTACAACGGCCTTGAAAAGGTTGTCGATGTGATGCAGAGGGCAGGCCACAAGCCGCACACCAGGCTCTTCAACAATGTCCTCGATGTGTATGCGAACCGCGGCGATGTCGAAGCCTGCCAGTCGATTGTTGCGTCGCTTTCCACCCATCATGGCCTGTCTCCCGACGACCACTCTTTCCATTGCCTCGCAAAGGCCTACCTGCGCAAGGGCAGGACCAGTGATGCCTTGGCTCTGATCACGCAGCTGGAGGACGACAAGCCAGCAAGCATGGCCACCTACACCATGGTCGCCCAGCATCTCTCTCAGCGGAAGAGCAGCGCCATCTGGTCCCTATTCAACCGGATGCGTCTCGTAGCGCATCCCGTCCCCGACGCGCCGCTATATGCGACCATGATCCGTGCATGCGCCATGGGTGTGCCCCAAGACAGCGACACGCTCTGGAAACCAGGCTCGTCCATCCTCATGGCACCCAGCAGCGCCTCGACCACAAGCACAAGTCGCAAAACGAACACCGATGCAGAACGAGCACTCGACCTGTTTCGAGAAATGACAACGAGATACCAAGTCAGACCGACGGCCGAAGTCTACAACGCCGTCATTCTGGCCTGTGCCCGGAGAAAGGACATGCTCGACGAGGCATTTCGGCTTCTCCGGACCATGGTGGAGTTTGAGAACGAACGGTTAAAGGCAGGAGACGAAAACGAGCCGGACACTCCGTCTTATGCGCCAGATCGGCAGACGTACAATGCGCTGCTGCAGGGATGTGCGAGAGTGGGAGACGTGGTCCGCGCAAGATGGATCCTGGCCGAGATGCTTCGACACTCGTCCGCCATTCTGGCCAGCAAGATGGAGGAAAAGGCAGGCGAGGAAGAAAGAGAATGGACTGCATACGAGGTTGAGACGATCCAGTCGAGGCGACCAGACGCAACGACGATGGCCAATGTCTTTTACGCCTACGCTTCCTACGAGGCGCCAGTCAAGGTCTCGCACGTCAAGATCAAGGAGGACGAGCCAATTGGTGGCGCTCCGGCTAATGAGTCTGGAGTCTCCTCTTCCGAGCCCGTCGCCGCGTCTGCCAAGGAGGAGAACACGGCTTCCTTCTCCTTTGACGCACCAAAGACGTCCGTGGAGGTGGTGCGCGAGGTCAAGGGGCTCATGGCACGCGTTATTGCCGATCAAAAGGACAGGACCAACGACGGCCTCCTGTCCTCGATCCAGCCCGATGCGCGGCTGATCCACAGCTACCTCTCGGCCCTCGCCCGTCACAGCGCTAAATACCAGCTTGTCGCACTGACCAGCGAGGTCCTCTTTGGCTCCGAGACACAGCCGTCGCTCTTTGACGATCTCAATGTCAAAATGACAGGCTACACGTTCGCCCTTGGTCTCGAGCTGAGCGCAAAGGCTCCTCACCGTGAAACGGCCGACATTTTTGTCTCTCGGCTGTGGAACCTGTGGGCCCAGCACGAGGAGGCATTCATCGCTACCTCCTCGTCTGCCCTAGCCAGAACGCCCGCCGAGCGAGCTGCAGTGGGCATAGATGACGACACCGTCTCGAGGTGCTGGGCCGCCATGATCCGGAATCTGACAAAATCGCGTCGGCTCGACGAGGCCATGATGCTCCTAAGGACTTTTGTCGATCGCCATCCTCCACGTCCGACGCCGACCGTCGGGCCATTCAACCGACCCGCCTCGCTCTTCTCGCGATCTGTCGCAAGTCCACAGACGGCGCGCGAGGCCGTCGGTCCGGTGCTGACGTTTGAGCAGCTCAAACCGCTGCATCACGCGCTCGTCGAGGCCGAGGGACGAGAGAGCCGCAAAAAGGACCTTGGGCTGCTGAGCTGGGCAGGGCGGGCCTACGACGCCACGGTGCGGCCCAGGATGCCGGCCGTCTTTTCCAACGGGATCAAGATGCAGCCGCCTGCTGCCGCGCCACCTCGTCAGCGACACGCCGCCAGGGCCAGATGAGAGTATGGAATGTATTGATACAAGTATGATGCATATAATTGTACAGTATTTTATCACGCTCCGAGAGTCGTCTTCCCCCTCGTCGTCTCGCAGGCTGCGCACCTTGACTGAGAGGCGTCGTTGACGAGGGTGCACAACTGGCAAGTCCACTCCTGGGCCTTGGTAGCAGGAGCGGATGAGGAGGCGCTGTGTTGAGCAGTGGCGCCTGGTGTGGGTGTAGGCCTGACCGACGAGGGAGACCTGCCGTTGGCCCTTGGAGCTGGAGCAGGAGCAAAGCTGACACCGACGAGCTCAATGTCGTCTTCTGCGCCGTCGTTGTTCTCCTGCTTGACGTGCGTCTGATTGTCGTGCCTCTCAGTGCTGTTTTGAACTTGGCCGTCGTCGTCGTCGTCGTCGTCTTCGTCGAAAAAGCCAGTCCATCCCCTCTGTTGGCCCTCGCCTGCCTCGGCTTGCTCCATGCTGCGATAGCGCTCGAGTAGCCTCTGCCTCTGCTCCTGTGTTTCTCTCGATCCACGCGTATGCCCGCCTTGCTGTCCGTCGTCAAGGTCGTCGCCCACAAGCTTGTCGAGATCATCGTCGCTGATGTAGGTCGCTCCTTCCCCATCCTCCTCTTCGAATTCTGTCTCGCTGTCTTCGTCTTGTGCGCCGTTCCTTTCTTCCTCTTCCTCTTCCTCCTCCGTCTCGCTGTCTTCCTCAGCTTGGGCGTGTCTCTGCCCGCCGGCATTGTCCGTGGCTTGACTAGGCTCCTCTTCTTTGATCCCACTGATTTGGCCGAGCGAAGCAGTCGAGCCACCGGCAGCCAGCATCGTCTCCAGCTTGACCTGGACCGCCTCACTCTTGGGCCGCGGCAGAGGAGAAGGAAGCGAGCCGAGCTGGCCCAGGCGCGCCATGGCAGCCATTGCGCGCTTCTCGCGCGCCTCTCTGCTCTGCGTGCGCTTGCGAAAGGTGCTGTTGTCGTCCAGCTTGTAGCTCGCATCGCGTGCGCTGGCCGTCGGCAGGTGGTTGCGCCCGTCGACGCGGCTGCTGGACTCGGGCGTGGCGCCAGGCGTGGCGGATACCCTGATGTCGACCCTCCTCGCGGCGGTGCCAGGCTTGAGGTTGCGGCTCGTCTGTGCGCCCGTGTGTAGGCTTGGGCCTTGGAACTTCCGCCTGGGCCGCTTCTCCCCGCCTGATGCTCGGCCCGATCTGGCCCTCCGCTTGCCTCGTGCGCCTCCCCCTCGCGCAGCAGCCCGTCGAAAGGCGCCGCCGCAGACTTCGTTGGGCAGCTGGTCGTCGGGTGCGCGCTGGTGCATGCCCGACCCCTCGCGCTGGAAACCCTGGGCGAGCTGCCGGCCCGAAGACCAGAAGCCGTCGCCAAAGTAGCCCTGGCGCTGCTTGTCGAGGGCCATCTGCTTGAGCTTGCGCGTCAGTGCGCCGTGCTGCGACGGGACGTGGTTCATGTACCGGATGTGTGCGAGCTCGTGGCAAAAGACGTACAGGACGCTTTACCCACACATAGTACACGGGCGTGTCAGCACAGTTGCACCGCTTGACGGGAACCAAGAGGAGACTCACAGCTGCAGCGGCATCCAGGCGCCGTCCTTTGTCGTGAGGACGAGCTCGACAACCTCGCCGTTGTTCCAGTTGCGCCCCGCGAACTCGCGGTTCCACTCGTACTCCTCGAGCGAGTTGACGTGGAAGCCCTCGGCACGCATGAGGGGCCGCACCATGGCGGCGAGCTGCTGGAGCCTGGCGAGGGCCTCGTCGTGGCGCGGGCCAGGCAGGGCCGTGACGAAGTTGATGTGCGGGTTGCGCGACGTGTCGCGCTCGTTGAGGCGCAGGTGGACCGGCATCTCTATCCCTATCTCTCCCTCTGCGTCCTCCGCCTCTCTCTCCTTGTCTCCAGCAGCAGGCGGTCAGAGTCCGTCCGTTCCTCAGTCAGTCGGTGCTGCTGCTGTTCCGTCCGCCCTCACGTACTCGACTGTCTGACGTTTGCCGCTCAGCTCAGCCGATCGGAAGTCGGAGGTGGAGAAGATCGCATCAGATTTCTGGGTACCAACTTTTAGAGTTTTGCCGAAGGAAAAAAAAAAAAAAGAGAAAGAGCAGTGACAGTTCGGTCGGTTGGTCGCCCCCACTGCACCTCGACTATCGTGGGCAGCCGTCTGGTCGTGGCTGCTTGCGGACGAGAGAGAGAGAGAGAGAGACGGGCTGCGAGGATGGGCCAACTACCCGATCTGACGGGCCTGCGCTCGACGGCGCCCCGGGGCGACGGGCCCGTGCACTGCAAGACGACTGTGGCATGGTCAAAGGAGCAGCTCGACGCTGTCGCCATTTCACTCATTGGCCATCGGGTCGACGATGCGGGCCACTTTCTCTTTCTCGCAGCCTGCGCTATCGTCGCGGTGAGCACACAATCATAGCCAAGCTAGTGAACGTAAGAGCAGACACTGACGGGGCAACAGCACCACCTCTTTGCCCAAGGCGGAAGCGACGAGACTCCAATCGAAATTCGTGTTCCCGCCCGGCAGCGACGGTACGCGGTGCCTGCCGATGCACGGCAATTGCCCCTGCCTGCTTTTCTTGCCTCGCTTCAAACCAGTGCCCAGACTCATGACAGTGACGATAACGATGACCGCGATGGAAATAATGACTGGAATTACAACGAAGGACTCACGATCCATTACGGCGCCGTTACCGCACCGAAGACGCGCATCGCCGGGATCTGCTTCTACTTGGATGAGAGACAAGGCCAGCTGGAGATTGGACTCTCTGCTGCCCCGTCGATCCACACAGATGGGTCGGCAGCCATGCACCTGCAGCAGATCGCAGTCTGCCTCGACTCGATCACGCGTGAGCGAGCACCGCATCGGACAGCCCTCTCTCTCGACCGGTTCCCCGACGAGCTCCGCGGAGGCGACAATCCCAACCCACCGCCCTCACTCATCGCTCTGGGTCCCGGCGGCCTGGAAGGGGAGCGGTTCGAGCACCAGACGGAGCGCATCGTCGCCAGCCAGCCCGATGCTGTGGCCCTCGACTTTCGCGCCTCACTTACGGCGCGACCGGGAGACGCGAGCCAGGGAAATGTCCAGCTGACCTACCGACAACTCGACGAGAGGGCGTCGCTCATTGCCTACCATCTTATCCGCGCCGGTGTCAAGCGTGGCGATGTCGTGGCGCTCTGCTTGGAAAAGAGTCCAGAGACCTACCTGGCCATTTATGCCGTCCTCAAGGCCGGTGCGGCATGGTGCCCCATCGACACCGACTGGCCCATGGCTCGGAGGCAGGCGCTCCTCGAAAAGGCGAAGGCACGAACCGTCGTTGCCGCTGCGAGCCATGTCGTTGCCAATCTGCCTCAGCCTCTGCCCAACGGCATGTCCATCGTTCGACTGGACGAGATTGACTACGACGCAGAGGTGGCGCACCTGGCAAGGGCCACTGGCTCCTCCGACGACCTCGCCTACCTCATCTGGACCAGTGGCACGACGGGTCTTCCCAAGGCTGTGGGTATCCAGCACAAAGCAGCCGTCCAGGCCCTGCGCTCGCTCCAGGGCGTCATCCCGCACTCGGCCTCATCTCCCATTCGCTACCTCCAATTCTCCGCATACAATTTTGATTTGATGATCCTCGACATGTTCTACACCTGGGGGTTGGGCGGCACTCTTTGCGCCAGCAGCAGATCGCTGCTGCTTGGAGATCTCGCCGGGGTGGCAACCACCATGGAAGTGACCCACACGCTCCTGACGCCTGCCGTCATGGCCATGAACCCGCGGCAGACGATCCCCTCGTTGCGCGTCGTCATCAATGGCGGCGAGAAGCTGAGCCAGATCGTGGCCGACATGTGGAGCGTCGACTGCACGCTTCTCAACCTCTATGGCCCCGCCGAAGCGACACTGATTGCCATGCACCGCTGTGTGCCGCCAAACGACATCGTCAAGGCGCCCAACATCGGCGTCGCGCTGCCCACGACGTCGTGCCACGCGCTCGACTCCCACGGCGATGTCGTGCTCAAGGGCGCAGTCGGCGAGCTGGTCCTGGGCGGCCACCAGTGCGCCAAGGGCTACATCGGCGACGAGGCAAAGACGGCCGACAAGTTCGTCGAGCACCCTTCGCTCGGGAGGGTGTACAAGACGGGCGATCTCGTGCGACAGCTCTGGAACGGCGACTTTGAATACCTGGGCCGGTCCGACGATCAGGTCAAGATCAACGGGATCCGCATTGAGCTTCTGGAGATTAATGCAGCCGTCAAGGGTGCGCATGGCGATATCAGGGATAGCGAGACGCTCGCCATGCCTCGGCTTGGGCAGTCGCACGACGACAACGACGGCATGCTCCAGATCGTCAGCTTCTCTGTTCTGCCGAGAGAAGCGAGTGGAGGGAGCGGTTCGCTCCTTCGCCTCGACGACGAGGCGGCCGCCGTGGCCGGTCAGCTCCAGCGTGTGGCGTCGCAATCGCTGCCTTCGTACATGGTACCCTCGCTCTTTGTCATTCTCGACCACTTTCCCAGGACATCGAGTGCAAAGATCGATCGTGAGAGCCTCAAGCGTGCCTTGGCATCGCTCGATGTCCTGGATTGGCAGAATCGCGTTGCCCGCCCAGATGACGTCGACGAGAGCAACGGCAGCGGACATGAGCACAGGGAAGCCACGCCCGAGGAAGAGGCCATCCGGGACTGCCTCGCGGCTATCTGTGGCCTGTCCGCGGTCAAGGTCGGCCTACATACGCCCTTTGCCAGCATCGGCCTCGACTCGATCCGTGCCATTGCGCTTTCGCATGAGCTCTCTCGTCGCAATCTGCCCACATCCGTGGTGGACATCGTTCAATTCCCAACGGTCACGAAGCTGGCTCGCCGTCGTCACGAGTCCGCCTCGTCGTCGGACGAGAGGGTGAGGCGGGTCAAGGATGAGCTTAGTCGCTTCGATCGCATCGTGAGACCGGCCATTGCGGCGCAGCTCCCGGGTCTCTATGGGGCAGAAGTGGAGCGCTGCTTGCCCGTCACATCGCTCCAAGAGGGCATGCTGGCAGAGACGATGAGGCACCACTCGCGCTACTGGCTCCAGAGGGCCTTCACGCTGCCCAAGGACACCGACCTCGATCGTCTGGAGCACGCTGTGAGAAGCTGTGCGCAGTCGGTCGAGGTGTTCAGAAGCACGTTCCTCGAGACAAGCCGTTTGGAGGGCATCGATGCAGAGGTGACGTTCTGTCAGGTCGTCTTGCAAGCGCAAGAGTCTCGCATAGAGAGACATCAAGCCCCGGCAGATTCATCGCCTTCCGACCTTGTAAGCGGACTTGCAAGCAGTGTCTACGGTGCCGGTCCTGTCCAATCACGCCCTCCTGTCGCCTTCTTTCTGATCGAAAACTCGCACGCCGCCCCACTTCTACTGCTCGTCATGCACCATGCACTGTACGACCAGACGTCGTTGACAATGTTGCAGAGGCAAATCGAGGCATCGTATGCTGGTCGGACCATCGCTCCTTCGGCGCCATTCTCACGCGCGCTTCAACACCTGTACTCATTGGATGGCGAAGCGGGGGAGAAGAGCTGGTCCGATCTGCTAAAAGAGTGCAAGGGTTCACAGCTTGGGTCATTCCCACAGCTGCAAAACGGTAATCGCTCGCAAGCCACGTCTATCTATACTCGTTCGGCCTCTCTGTCGTGGAGCGACCTCTCTGAGGCTGCCAAGAAGCTCGACTGCTCCGCTAGACCCCTTCTCCAGGTTGCCTGGGGAACCGTTGTGAGCGCATACAGCGACTGCGATGCCGTGCTGATCGGCGATTCCATCTCGACCCGTGGCATATCCTCGGACCTCAACGACGTCTTTGGCCCAGTCCTGTCCACGCTCCCAATCCCATTTCGTCTGTCTGCCTCGGGCGCAACTCGCTTTCGCGATGTAGTTGCCAAGATTGACGAGGTCCATCGGAGAGGGCTGGCGATGCACGATGTCTCGCTAAAGCAGATTCGCAGACTGCTCGAGGTGCCACACGATCAGCCTCTATTCTCGTCCGTATTCGTCTTTGAGCCTGTCGAGGCGGCTAAAGCGAATGGCGAGGAAAAAGGATTTGAGCTGGAGCACCTGGGTGATTTTGGCGTGTCTGTCGAGCATGACGTCGCAATCGAGGTCAAGGTTGGCTCACATGGCCAAGTCGACCTGGCCTTGACTGTGCGCGATGCAGTCGTCAACGAGGGCTTTGCCCGTCTGATTCTAGCCCAGTTCGACTCGATACTCCGGACTGCCGTCGCAAACCCCGACGTCGATCTGAGTTCGCCTTCTTCTCTTGTGGACGAGGAGCAGCAACTCTGCGCCGTTTCGGAGCTCGTTCTGCCACAGAGTATTGTCGACGCCCACAGGACGCCCGTTACAAAGGCGCTGGAAACATGGGCGTCAAAGGCGCCCACGGCGAGGGCTCTGCACTTCTATAAAGACCTCGATGATCTACGCACAACTTCTTTGACGTACGAGGACCTTGATCGCAGCTCGTCGGCGCTAGCCCATCACCTCGGCACAACGCTCCCATCGCGATGTGCTGTCGCAGTGTCCTTGGCCCGGTCCACGCACACATATCAAGTCCTTTTGGGTATCTTGAAGGCTGGACTCGTCTATCTTCCCATCGACGAGAGCCTACCGAAGGAGAGGAAAAGAGAGCTGATCATAGATAGTGGGGCCAAAGGCATCATTTGCGAGGATGAAAGCTACTTTGACGAGCTTGATGGTGTCACGCTTATCACGTCTCTCGATTGGATCGACGGCGAGACACGACAAGCACAACAGGAGCTACCGGTGATCAAGGCAGATGACCGAGCCTACATCCTCTACACGTCTGGCTCGACGGGACGGCCAAAGGGCTGCGTCTTGACCCACGCCAATCTGTCCGTTGCCATCGAAAGCTTTCGACTGATGTTCGATCGAGAGGCACCTGGCACCCTGAACGAACGCGCACGGTTTTTGGCCAGATCCGTCGAGGCATTCGACGTGGCTCTCTTGGAGGCCCTCTTGCCGCTCCAAGTCGGTGCAACAATCGTCACGGCGCCACGACGAGTGATTTTGGAAGACCTCGAGAGGGCCATGGCCAAGATGAGCGTCACCCACGCTGCCGTCGTTCCCTCGCTCTTCTATAGTCGAAGCAAGGGAAGGCGCATTGAGCCAAGGGACTTGCCGGACCTCAAGGCGCTCATCGTTGGCGGTGAGCGTGTGTCGAGGGACATTGTCGATGCGTGGGCCGGCGCAGGCGTGCCCTTGATCAATGCCTATGGACCCACCGAGGCGTGCATTGGAATCTCGACGGCGCGGCTGCAGCGCGGCGACTCGACTGGCAGGATCGGACAGGCGTTCCCAGGCAGCCAGTATCTCGTCGTGCGACGTGACTCTTCCACCGGCAAATTGATCCCTGCGCTGAGGGGCCAGGCAGGCGAGCTGTGCATCGCTGGTCTTCAGGTCGGTAGCTATCTATCGGGGGGCGACGACGCCTTTACAGAGTACAAGGGCATGCGCATCTACCGCACGGGCGACGAGGCAAGGATGGGGGCTACGGGAGACGATGAGGTCGAGTACCTGGGAAGGATCGTCAAGGAGGGCCAGGTCAAGGTACGAGGGGCCCGAGTCGAGCTGAGCGAGGTGGACTCGAATCTGGCAACACCTGGGATACACGTCAGCACCCAGCTGCTCGACCATGTGCAGTTGTCTGGCCAGCCGAGACTGGTGTCGTTCATCGCACGACAAGTCTCACAGGACACCGGAGAGGTCAAATTGGACCTTGCGAGCACCAAATCGGCACAAGAGGCTCTCAGCAGGGCGCGCAAAAGCTTGCCGACATACATGGTCCCTGCACTGATCATTCCCGTCGAGGCCCTGCCACTCGCTTCTATCTCTGGAAAGGTCGATCTGCGAAAGTTGGCTGCGTGGTACAGGAGCGAGCCTCTCGACGCTTTTTCCTCGCTCCAAGAGGCCGGCACGGAGCGAGAGCTGACAGCGAAAGAGACAATGGTGGCAGAGGAAGTCAAGAGGCTGCTTCCGAATGTTGAGACCCAGGTGAATCCCTCTACGGACCTCTTTGGCTTGGGTCTCGACAGCCTTTCAGTCATTTCACTGGCGGCGAGCGTGAGACGACGGACAGGATTCGAGTTGGATATTGGTGCCATCATGGCGGAGCCGACTGTCGAGGCTGTCGCCCGAGCCATGTCCTCCACAAAAGTGAACGGGCTGACAAAGTCCTCTGTTTGGTTGGACGGCGATATCAGCAGCAGAAGGAATGCGCTTCTGAAGGAAGCGAGAGCGAGGCTACAAGGGGCGGACGTGGTCGATGCCTACCCCTGTCTACCGTTGCAGGCTTCCATGGTTGCTCAGACGCTGTCGGCGTCTGTCGAGGAGCCAATGCGGTACATCAACAAAGCCAGCTTCAGGATCGGCTCGCCTTCGGCGTTCGATCTCGCGAAGCTTCGAGCAGCAATCGATGAAACGCTCAACGCCCATGACATCTTTCGGACTGTCTTCCTGCTCAGCGACGAAGACGGCGAGCCTCTTCAAGCCGTTCTTCAAGCCCCTGTTGACTACTATTGCGACAGTATCGAAAGAGGACTCGAGGAAGTGCGCTCCGAGTTCTTAACGAGGCCTCCCCTTCGCTATTCCATTCGCGATGGTGGGACGGTGCTAGACATCGCAATTCATCACGGGCTGTATGACGGGGCGAGTCTGGCCCTGATGCTCGAGGAAGTCGAGGCGCGCTATCTCAATCGCCCACGCTTGCATCAAGAGACGCCGTCCTTCAGCTCGATCGTGTGGCAGAACACCGGCGAGGAGGCCCAAGAGCAGAAGCTCTCATTCTGGAAGGGTCATCTGCAAGGCTTTAGTGCGACACCCTTTCCCTGCTTGACGGGACAAAGGCCTCCTTCTGAGCAGGAATATAACCGAAGACGTGGCGCAACACGAGAGACGAGCGAGATCACGACAGGCGCAACGTTGAGACAGTTGACGGAGCGCGCGCGGGCCGGAAGGGTGACGCTGCAGGTCTTGTGCCTGAGTGCCTTTGCAAATGTGTTTGCGAGGTACGTCGGCGCGGGCCAGGGCGACGAGGCGGAAGACTTCACATTTGGACTCGTTCTGAGTGGCAGAACTTCGTTGGTCGAAAATGTCGACAAGGTGCAAGGTCCCTGCGTCAACACGGTGCCATTTTGTGTTCGCGCGGGCGGGGAGTCGATACAGCAGACCTATGCGGCCGTCGTCGGTCACCAGCATGTTTCTCTGCCGTCCATCATGCGGGAGCTGGGTCACCGGCAACAGCTCTTTAACACTCTGTTTTCCTACAACCCTCCGAGCCCCACGCTACAGCTGCTACACGAGGTCTCATCGGATCTCGAGACGGAGTATCCACTCGCCGTCGAGGTTCAGCCGGACGAAAAGGGAGACACAATCGTGCTGAGGGCTGTTTATGATCCGCGCTTTGTGCCAGAGGCTCACGCAGAGCTGCTGCTGAGGCAGATCAACTGGGTGCTCTGTGGATCTGGCGAATCGTCTCAAGCGGCTGCCGAAGTCTTTGCCAGTGGCGATACACTGTGGTCGGTAGAAAATGCCAACCCCTACGAACCGACTGCCCAGGACCACTTTTTGGCTCGGTTCAGAAGGAACGTCGACACGCGGCCCGAGGCAACGGCTTTTGTTTTCGCGGACAGTCTCGAGCAGAAGCCGAGAGCTTGGTCGTATGCTGAGCTGGATGCCATGAGCGACGGAATGGCAAGGGCGCTCGCCGCCGCAGTGGCCACGGGACAGAGAGGAGAGCCAGTCATTGGTGTGCACCTGCCCCAATGTCCAGACCTTTATGATCTCATTCTAGCCATTTGGAAGAGTGGCATGGCGTACCTGCCCTTTGACCCTGCCTTGCCGGAGGAGAGGTTTTCCTTCATGGCAGGGCTCGTACGGCCAAGGCTAATCGTGACGACGGAACAGGGAAGAATCTTGGCGAGCAAGTATGGCCAAGCGATCCTTGTTGAAGAGCTCGCTCACGGGACCAAAGTGAGGGAGAATGGGTCGGCACCACCTACAACACTGCTGGAGTCGCCAGCTTACATCATGTTCACCTCGGGCTCGACGGGCCAGCCAAAGGGCGTCAAAGTGTCGCACCGAGCGTTGGCCGGCGCGATTTCGTCTTGGGAGAGAATTCTGCCACACACACCGGGCAGCTCTCGGCTGCTTCAGCTCGCTTCGCCCGCCTTTGATGTCTTTCTCATCGAAGTCTGCATGCCCCTCGCGCTTGGCTTTTCCTTTGGCTCCGCTCCCAAGATGGTGCTGCTCAATGACGCCGAGGCCGCCTTTCGACACTTGCAGTTGACCATGGCCGACCTACCGGCGGCGCTGGCCACGCTGGTGCACCCTGAAAACGTCGGAGCCGACTTCGAATGGCTCATGAGTGGAGGGGACCAGATCGATGCGAGGGTTCTCGACAATTGGGGCCCTCGGGGTCTCGTCAATGCGTGGGGTCCCACCGAGACGACGATCGGAAATACGCTCGGGTTCGTCACGGCCAGGTCCAGCCGTGCCAATGTCGGAAAGGCGTATGCAGCAAGTACGATGCTCGTTGTCGATTCTGTCCAGCCTTCGAGAGTCCTGCTACGTGGTGCGGTGGGTGAGCTGGCCGTCGCCGGCCCACAGCTGGCCGAGGGCTACGTTGGCCGCGACGATCTCACGCGTGAGCGGTTCCTGGTCGTAACGAAAGACGGCAAGCGCCTCTACCGTACAGGCGATCGTGGACGGATCTTGGCCGACGGCACCGTCGAGTGTCTTGGACGAACCGAGTCGGGCCAGGTCAAGATCAACTCGCAGAGGGTCGAGCTTGAAGAAATTTCCACCGTCCTGAGAGGGGCCGACTCGGCGATCAAGGATGCCGCCACGCTCTATACACGGCATGCGACGATGCATTCCAAGCAGCTCGTGGCCTTTGTTGTCTTGGCATCTGATCAAGATGGCGGCGAGGTGGTGCGAGGCGATGAGGAGGCACAGAGGGCGGCAGAGGCGTGTCAAGAGGCCGCTCGCAAGCTGTTGGCACATTACATGGTTCCACAACACGTCTTTGTCCTCCGAGGAACCTCATTGCCTCTCACGCCCAACAACAAGGTAGACCGGAAGAAGCTCGAGCAGATCTACCAAGCTCTGTCAATTGGAAAGCTTGTGCCCAATCGTCCTGCAGACAACGAGGCAGACGAAGAATGGACACCGCTGGAGAAGCAGCTGCGGGAACTGGTCGCGAGGGCTTGCAAGGTCTCGAAGGACGATGTCGGCCGGACAACCTCGTTATACCGGCTTGGTATCGACAGCATCTCGAGTCTCGGGCTGGTTCAGCTCATGAGGAAGCGTGGGCTCAGAACCGTGGCGGTCAGAGATGTCTTGAAGGCTCCCTCGATTGCCTCACTGGCTTCGCTAGTTCAGCAGGCGCCCATCGATGAGACGGCAGACGTCGAGCGCGAGGCAGAGTTGATCGAAGAAGCGCTTCGAGCACAAGTCGATGTTGAGCTATGGAAGCTGGGCGATGCAGACGAGATTGAAAGTGTCCTGCCATGCACCCCTTTGCAGCAGGGGATGCTCCTCGAAAGCCTTGCCAGTGAGGGAGGCCTCTACGTCCACCGCCATGCCTTCAACGTGGCTGCACAGCACCTGGAAGGTGTTGTGGAGGCATTCCGACAGCAAGCTGCGCGCTGCGATGTTCTGAGGACCACCTTTCATCTCACCGAGAGTAGCGGCTTTCTCCAAGTGGTGCATTCCTGTCCTCAAGTCTCGATCGTCCAAGGTGAAGGAAGAGCAGCTGCCTTCACGACGGAAGAGGACCTCGTCAGGCCACCTTGGCAGCTGGCCATCGTTCCAATGGGAGATCATGCTGGCCTCACGCTCACGATTCATCACGCGCTCTACGACGGCGAAGGCCTCGACATGCTGCTCTCCGACATCGAGAGACGCGTCGCTGGTCTCGAAGTCCCCAGCAGAAGGCCATTTTCATCGCTGGTGCCCCTCTTGCTGTCGAAGAAGGATGATGTCTCCTTCCACATCGACCGACTTCGTGACTTCGCTCCCTCTGTGATTGGACAGAGATCAGAACGAAGACCTGCTCGATTTGGTGGACGGGCGATCAAATCGGGTCACAAGATCAAGGCACGGGCGAAGCAAGCCGGCTGCACGGTGCAGGTGTGTGCCTTGGCTGCCTTTGCCAGGCTCCTCTCCGCCAAGCTCGAGTCGAGAAAGGTTGTTTTTGGTCATCTCGTCGGTCTGCGGGACGCTTTTTCAGGTGGAGCGGCGGCAAACGTCATCGGGCCAGCGCTCAATACGGTGCTTGTTCCTGTGGATCTCGACCAGGCTGAGCTCCTTACGCGCTTGCAGAGGGAGCTCGATGACGGGCGCACACATCGAGCGGCGTCGTTGGGCGATGTTCTGAGGGAGACCAAGATGGAGTTTGACACGCTGGTCGACTTCCGAAAGGCTCGCAGTCTGGCAGAGACCACGAAGATCATAATACCCACCGACAGCGAGGAGGCCGGCGGGCTGTCAACGACACAGTATGCTTTCAACGTCGAATTCATCGAGTGCAACGACGGAAGGCTCGAGATTGAGGCCACTGCGGATCGCGCACTTTTCTCGGAAGAAGAGCTGTCGAGGTGGCTGGAAGAGCTCGAGGGGATACTCGTCGATGAAGACGAGAGGCGCCTGACTCCATTCCAGACAGCAAGTGTCAGGACAAACGGACAAGAAGCAGTCTCTGGAACGAAAACGCAGAGTCATGAGGCGCCGGGGCAGGAAGGGAATGTCTTGCGATCTATCGTGGCGAGCATGGCCAAGGTCGACGATCCCGATATGATCGATGCTGAGGCCACCTTTGCTTCACTCGGCTTGGATTCTATTGCCGCGATTTCTCTCGCCTCGAAAGCTCGAAGGGCTGGCATTAGGAATTTGGCGGTCGCAGACATTCTGCAAGGTGGCACCATCACCGCAGCTCTGGCGAGGCGCGACCGCAGGTCTACTGCTCCGAAGCACACTGCTGAGAAGCACACCGGAAAGGTTGCCAGACCAAGTCTTAGTGACGTGGCCCACACCTCGGGAATCGCGCAGGAGTACATCGACGAGGTGCTTCCCGTGCTTCCTGGTCAGGTCTATCATCTGGCCGGCTATCTGCGCTCGCGAGGTCGGTATGGTGTCTTTTCGTTTGCCTATCGAGTCACGAAAAGTCTCGCCATTGACGAGAAGCAAGCTCGAGAGGCTTGGGAGGCGCTTCTCAAGCAGCATGCCATTCTCAGAACGGTCTTTGTCCAACATGGAGGTCACGTCTGCCAGGTCGTGTTGTCACAGGCGAGCGGTCACACATTCTTGCCCTTTGACGAGGAAGGGTCAGATCTCGAGGGCGCTCTTCAGCGGTGGGCGGCCGCCTCGCTCAATTCAATCGGAGAGGACCCTAGCTTGCCGCCTGTCCGGTGCGCTGTCGGTGCTTGCGGCGGGGACAGCTATGTCCTCCTGACGATGCACCATGCGCTCTACGACGCATGGTCTCTCCAGATGATTGCCGATGACTGTGGTACCCTGCTTTCGTCTCGACCGGTCCGGCGTGCCTCGACTTCCTTTCCAGATGTGGTCGAGCAAATTTCCGCTCAGAGCCGCGAGAGAGAAGAGGAGACCAGAGCGTACTGGATCGAGACGCTCAAGGAGATCAAGCCAACAGTCTTCGGGAATTCTTCAGCGCCGCAAGGAGGAGAGAGTTACGGGCTCGTCTATCGCCGCGACGCACTCGGGTCCCTGTCTGGGCTCCGTCGCCGTCTAAAGGGAGCCACGCTCCAGCACATGTTTCTGGCCGCTTGGGCGGGACTCGCTGAGCGGCTTGCCCAGGATGAAAGCAAAGACAGCGATGTCGTCTTTGGTCTCTACCATCTCGGTCGAGCGTCGACGGAATCGAGCCAGGACGCCGCGGGCCCGCTCATGAACGTGGTGCCCATTGCGGTGCCTCCGCCAAGCACGTCCTTGGAGAGGAGCTTGTCCAGCATCAAGACGCAGCTCGATGGGATGTCAAAGCACGAGCAGGTTGCTTCGGTGCTCGACGTAGTCAAGTGGTGCAGCCGTGGACGAGAAGAGCTGTGGAACAGCTACGTCAATGTCCTGTGGATCTCTGGACAAGGGAGGACGACGGCTCTAGAGTCAGTCGAGATGCAGCACCTCCCTCAGAAAGCCCCAAACGCTACCCTTCTCGGACGGCAAGAGGGAAGCGTTGAGGGTGCTGCGTTTGACCCAAATCTCTTTGACTGTGTGCCTCAGGACGTCGGCGTCGATTTCGCCATTGACGAGGACAAGGATCGGGTCGGCATTGCTGTTCGGTACAGACGAGGGATGTTTGTTGCGAAAGATGAAGGAAGCGAGGAGGAGTTTGTGGAAAGGGCGATCGTAGACGCCTTGGTGGGTCTTGTGGAAGAGTATCTTTAAGTCATTGCATTGCAAACAATAGAAAGTCAACGGAATGAATATCTAGTCGAGTCCAGTGAGGTGTCCGGGCACATCCTTGCCCAGGCCCCGCTTGTCTGCCTTGATGTCTTCAAGGGTCCTCTGCCAGAGCCTCGACCGCGCAAGGACGTCTTCGACTTCTGGCCGGGGTACCTTGGCCGTGTCTCTGTCGATGTAGTTGCCGCCCCGCTGCGCCGACTCGCCCTGGAATGGCTCGTGGTCCTGCAGCTCCGAGGGCCGGAAGCCGAACTGCGGGTGGAGGGCACCATTAAGGATGCAGAGGGAGCCCTGCGTCGTGTCGATGGCGCGAGCCTTGAGCAGCAAGCCCTGCAGCAGGGGCAACGGCCACGGAAGGCCTTGAACGTTTGGATCTTGCCACTGAGAAGCCGACATGGGTCAGCTGCATGTCCTGGATCTGTAGCGCGCAGCAGAGATACTCAACGATGTTGGAGCTGACATAGCCCGGGTGGACGCCATTGACGATGATGTGGCGGTACTCATCGGACCGAGAGAGACGCTCTTGCAGCTCCTTTGTCCACATCATGAAGAGCAGCTTGGTGTCGCAGTAGGCTCGCACGCCGCCGATGCCCCGGGACTGGCCCTTTTCGTAGTCGAGCGACGAGAAGTCGAGGCGACCGCCGTAGTGGAAGCACGAGACGGTCTGATTGTCGTGGTCAGCGGGAGACGCTAGACACACGGGACAAGGAGGAAAGACTCACATTGACGATTTTGGGAGCGGCGGCCTTCTTCATCGAGGGCAAGACAGTCAGGGTCAGGAGAGCGTGACCCAAGAAGTTGACGGATCGCGTCAGCTCCACGCCGTCGTTTGTAATGACGAACTTGCCCGTCGAGAGACCGGCATTGTTGCAGAGAATGTCGAGCGTCCTCCCGCTCTCGTTCCAGCGCTGACCCAGCGCCTGGACCGAATCAAAAGAGGAGTAGTCGACCTTCCACCATTCGAGCTGCTCCGGCTTGATCTGGCCGCCGGCCTCGCGGATCATGTCCTCGATGACCTTTTCCGGGTGCGGCTCGTGCGGTGGGGGATCGCGGCAGGCCAAGATGACGCGGGCGCCCCACAAGGCAAACCTGTAGGCGGCACGCTCGCCCAGGCCACTGTTGGCACCGCTGATGAGGACATTTTTGCCGCGCAGGTCCACTTTGGGTGGGAAGGGGAGCTCGGCGCCATTGTCGGCGTACTGGCGCAGCGTCTTGTAGACAATGGACCAGGGCTGCGTGCTGGGCAGCAGGCCAGCGCCTGAGCAGTGCGTGTCGTTGACCGACGGTGGCTGCGAATGGATTGCCCAAGACATGCTGGCGATGATGATAGTGTGAATCGTATTTGATGCATCCTTCAAACTGTGGAGAACTCCTACCGCGGGGATAGGAACCTCCGAGCCCCCGAGATACTCCCGCGAAAAGTTTGGGTGCTCGTGAAAAGTGTTCCACGAATCGATAATCCGAACGTCTAAATTATTTATATAATGTAATAAAGTTAGATAGTACATGCCACGCCCCTATAGTATAATGGTTAGTACACGTCTCTCGTAAGAACGTCGATTACTTTAAGCATCGCCTTGTTCGAAGATGAGATGGTCGTTCGATTCGGCCTGGGGGCAGCTTTTTGTTTTGGGAATTTATTTTTTTCAGAAGAAATCTACATGTCAAGGGCTCGCAATCACTCGTCGGGGCGAATGATGGAGATCGGGTTTTGTCGCTCGCCGCAACAAGAATGCCAAAGAGGCCACGGCAGAATGGCACAAGAGGGAAAGGAGGAAACCACCTTTGGAGGAGGAGGAGAAAAGAAAGACAATAGAATTTCAGTAAGCTTTCGTGTGTTGCGCAGATTCAATTTCGTGGTCTGTCTGTCAGAGCAATAGCGCGAAAGTTCGACCTCCGCGAGGTCTATTGATTCTGTCTCTTCTCGACACTGCTAGCGAAGCCCTCCGACAGACCGCCTTTTTTCCTCGAATATTTTGGAGGCGCAGATTGAGTCGCATCCGGGCCCCGACGGCAGGGTGCAGAGGCAGCTGAACGATCTTTCAAAGTGAAAAAGGGGGAGTCAGGACGTAGACAGCGGCTTCAGGGAGGTTGTGTGCGAAGAAGAGGCGACAGCTGCTGCGTGAGGCAGAGCGCGGTACCTGAAAAATATTAATACGAGAGTCCTTCAGGTACCGTCACATTTGAAGCGTTTGGTATAGCAGGGCTCTGCTACGCTTTGCCTTACCGCAGCGACCGCTTGACTACGATTGATGTCGCACGGTAGACCGCACTCCCATTCATGGATTATAGTGAGTGCACCATGCCGTTGACTCTGACCGGTTTAGTCAGAGATCGTGGAGGAATTAGACTAAGTGGAGGGTGTGAGGCTAGTCGCGTGCACAGCAACCACCACTACGATGTTATCGTGGGGCTCGATCTGGCGCTCAGGCCAGGACCCTGCGCCGGCGCCAAAGCGGTCGACGATCGTCAAGACCAGGACGCAGCATGTCGAGGTCATTGGCGGGATCGCGTCTCGACGACAGCGACGAGGACCGACGCAGGAGCAGCTCGGACCGCCGCGGCTTCCCAGCGAGCTTATCACGCATATCGTCCTCCTCGCTGCTCTGCTCATTCATAACGACGATAGAGGGCAGACTCTTGAGCTGGCGCGGGTGGACCGGCATTCACATCGCGCTATACTCAACTATGTGCTGCTCCCTCAAGTGGATCTGTACGGCGTCGCCCAGGTCGAGGCCTTTGCCGCTCAGCTCCAGTCCAACGCCCTTAACATTCAGTCGAGCGCCAGGCGGGTCCGGAGGCTCAACGTCGTCCGGTCGAGGACGTACGCAGGGCAGCGAAGAGGAAGAAGCGAGCATACATCGCTGTATTCGGACATCATGGCGGCGATGCACTTTGAGAAAGCTACCCTCGCGCCACTGCAGACGATCCTATCCTACTGCACCGACGTGCGACATCTTTCGCTGGATTGCACAGCCCGCGTACTGGACGCACGGTCCGATGGAGAGCCCGGAGGTCTGTCAATGCGCCCAATCGACCTATCCCTGGCCCGCAGGAATCTCGAGGAGCTAGACACGCTGCAGTCCGTCTACGGAGGCGACCTCAACGAGAAGCTGTGGGAGTCTTCTTTCTCGCCTTGGACCAACCTCACCCACCTCCAGCTCCACGGTCCTCGCTTTCGCATGACGGCATCGACTGCAGTCTCGCTTTCGCATCTGACCAAGCTCAAGCACATCGGCCTCATCATGCCCCTCATCGTGCCTCCGGCCTCCACTCCCACCTCGCTCGACATTCAAGATTCGTCCGCGAATGCCCTGTACCAAACGGCCAAGGATCAGCTTGGCCGGCCCTCTGTGCTGCAGCTCCTTGTCAACCTCTTGGGCGAACAGCTGGAGTCGCTCCTCGTCGTTGCTCACGACGTCGAAGACTATGTGGGCAACATTCAACGTGTTGGTTCGTGGGTCAATGCGCTGCATCAGCGTCGCCGGCGGAAGTGGCGCCGGGATGTCTCGAGAATGCGGTGGGAGGACGATGAGACACGCAGGACAAGGGTCGACCTCGTCACAGCTCGCGCCCATACCCGGCTGACGGGGCCCGCGATCGACGTGCACCCGACAACGTACAGCAAGTGGATGTTAGAACGGGCCCGATTAGGCCTTCAGTGGACCTTTGATGAAGGAGAGGTTCCATTTCGCCTAGCCGAGGCCGACGAGGACCTCGTCATCTCGTGCAAGAGAGACAGCTGGGAAATGCCAATTGAGTGGGTAAAAGAGCGGCCTCTAGAAGACAACAGTACAAGAGCAGACGACGACATGGCACGAAGGTGGTTGGGGCTACCCGAGGCGGACAATCAAGTAAGCGGTGCCTTTGAGGTCACGACACCGGAGGCAGATGGAGAGGTCTTGGGGATAGACAATCTCGATTGATTTATAGATGCAACGGGCTAGATTAGAACCGCCTCTAATTGTAATCTGGGTTCTTTGAGATGATCCACTGCGCAAATGTAGTCAGCACGCCTGCTTTTCTTCGTCTATCGTCAAAGTAGACTACCCACCCAGGCGTGCAGGACCCCAGGAATGAAGCCCAAGACCCAGAGGCAGATGTTGATGAGGATATCGGCACCACAGCCCTTCTTGATACCGACAGACGCCGGTGGTACCTGCAGCAGCGTCAGACGGCGCTCAATGTGAGAGAGGAAGAAGACTTACGAAGATGGCGAGGAAGTACAGCTACATTCGCAAGAGAAGCTGATCAGCGAAAAGAGAGTCGAAATGAACGGATACGGGCAAGAAGCACTCACGCAAACGTCGCTGTTGGAAGATCTGTAGAGGACGGGATCAGCATTTGCTTAGCATCTTGCAATCGCGTAGCATACCCACGCAGGCTGTGCCATTTTTGAGATTGCGTGTTGGTGGAGGAATAGGAGGCAAAATGGACATCAGATCGGGTAGTTAGTTCTAAGGGCGCTCGCGCTATCCTCGGCCGATCTGCGTCTGCACCGGTCAACGGCAGCTCAATTAACACAGCCATGGTGAAAAGTAGATTCAAGAGAAGCTTTCCTCATCGATACAGATTACATAGTCACCAAGAGACCGGCAGATAGCTAAATGTTGTCGAACAAGACTGCTCTCGTCATCACTCACGGTGACGCCGTCTCTGTTGTCCACCTATATGAGAAAAATGAAAGATGCGAGTCAGCGCCCATGGGACCGGACATCTGGAGCAAGCAAGAGCAAGATCATACCGTCCTAGTATTAAGCCTAGCTTTGGGTTTCTCGGGCTAACATCGACCGCTTCTATCGAGCGCGCGCAGAGACAGAAGCAAAGAACTACTTTGCTTCCGGCTCTACGCGATTCGATAGCGATGGTTGATGCCAGCCTGAAGAAATTCTTCCGCCCATGTGGTTCTAGCCTGACGCTGGACCTGGAAAGCACGTCAGCTGCCCGGCTGCGATCTTCTCGTAGACTTGAAGGCGTCAAGCAACGCTTGGCGTGCTTTTCTCCGAACGACGAGAAAAGCCGTCGAAGTGACATGGAACTGGCAATCAAGAAGTGTGTTGAACAGTGCAACCGTGCAGAGCCGCTCACCGTCTTATATACTCTTGCAGAAGAAGGAGCGTTGGATTCTCCCATGGCGTTGCCTAGTGGGTGTCTATGACAACGAAGAAAGAGAGTGGAAAACGAGAGGGGAGACGCCGATCGAGGCACTACAGAATACACGCGCGTATATTCTGTAGTGCCTCGATCGGCGTCTCCCCTCTCGTTTTCCACTCTCTTTCTTCGTTGTCATAAACTCCTACTTTTTCAGCTCGATCGAGACTATATTTTCCCATACGTTGCTCTGAACAATGTCGATGTCAGCTGCGCTTGCTGGTCTCGAAGACGAGCGAAGGCCGACGAGAGAGTCAAGGCGGTGGCGTACGTTGAGGAGTGCCCGAATTCCCGACTTCATCGTCTGGCACATGACGCGGACCGGGTCGACGATGCAAGGGTGAGGGGAGAAGAGAAAAAGGAGAGGGCGATCGAAGAACAAGTAGGCGAACAATGCTGGACAGCACATGAAATGGGAGAGATCGACGAAGTTGTTGCTGTTGTAGAGGAGGGAAGAGAAGAAGTCGCGGTTCGCGGCTTGTGCTATCACAACTGTGTGGACAGAGGAGGGGAGAAGAGAGAGACGCTCGAGGTTCTCTTGGAAGGTTTTCTGTTGTTCATGTCAGTCCGTGTGCACCAAGACGAAGAATGGCAGACGACTTACTTTGTGTTCAGACTTGACGGAATATTTTGATTGTCTTGGGAACACGCAGGAGTCTAGCCATAGGACTCCTGGTGTGAATTGGTGGAAGAGTTCTTCGAGCACGATTGTTGTGTAGGCAAGGGCGTAGTTCTTGCCGTGGGTGAAAAGTGCCTTCTCGCCGACGCCGAAGGTGGTGAGGTAGGCGACTGGGGGTCCCTTTTTGCCGACTAGATCGTTGATGGTGAGGTGTAGGTCGTCGAAGCTGACGGTGTGGGCCTGGTAGTTGCTGTTGATGGTCATGCTGTGGCTTGGCTGGTAGCCGGTCTTGAGCAGTCGGCTCCCGGCGCCACGGAAGCTGCTTGCTTCTTGGTGAGTGATGACGATCTTGCTCTTGAGCCTCGAGGTCCAAGTGGACCATGCTGGGCTAGAAAGAAGAATTTGTGGGAGGGGAGTAGGTCTTGGACCGAACCAGAGGAGGCTTGTATTGATCGCGAACGGTAGGCTTGGATCAGAGTGAGCTCTCTGGTCGGCAATGGCGCATTCTTCTACGTGGAAGTCGCCCTCTGCGCATTTTGCTTCGGCGCGAATGCTGCCGGAGTCAGCAGAGACGATGTCAGTGCCGTGCGTCGTTGTGAACACATGGCTCAAAGAACTTACCAAGGAGCAAGAGGCTGACAGGCGGGGCACCTGTGGCGAGGGAGGGCTGGACTGTTACTTGAGACGCGACGAGACCGTGCTGAGGAGGTTGGACCTGTAAGGAGGAAAAAGGGATGATGGGGGAATGGGGGGACTTTCGACGTCGAAAAAGGGCCTCTTTATATACCTTCGAGAGGGGCCCTTATCTTTCGACAGACACCTCGGCTAGAGGACCTTACGCTGCTGCGCAAAACCTGTGCTACGACTCAGCAGCGGAGTTCGGCGTATCTTTGGCAGTGACAATGGCTGGATGCTGCACAGAACATGCACCAGCAGTCGATGGTAATGGGAACAAAAGGAGTAATGTGGCAGATACGCCGGCTCAGAAAGGCCGCTTTGCTGCGCAGACACAGTGTCAAGCGTCAGCAGAAGGGTCATGGGAACAAATGGAGTAGAAAAGCGGTGAGGAAAGAGAGAGAACAGGGAAATGAGTGTTGCCAGAAAAGGATTCGTTACGTGAAGAGATGCCCACAAGGCGCCGTTTGGTGATGAAGTCTTCACGGAGACGACACCGAAGTGAGAACGTGCTCACTCTGGACCCTTTCGGCGAGACTGTGCTGTGCAGAGAGGAGCAGCATCTCTTGTCCTTTCCACGGCGCGAGGAGAGAGGGCAGAGGGTCGCGATCACGGTCACGGTCACGGTCGCGGTCATCACGGCGCCGTTGGAGAGACAAACGTCGCGCCACGTGTTCACTCTAAACTCGAAATTACTCTCCTTTCCATTTTCTTTTTTTTTTTGGGCCTCGCCGCGCTTGCCGTTCTCATCGCAAGACAACAGCGAGCGGAGGACAATGTCGAAAAAGGGAGGCGTAGCGACGGCTGCGCAGCTCGTCAAGCTGCTCGTGCCAGCGGGCAAGGCGAGTGCACAGCCGCCCGTGGGCCCCGCGCTGGGAGCAAAGGGTGTCAAGGCGATGGACTTTGCCAAGGTGAGTTGCGCTCCTCTTTTTGATGCAGGGCGAGGTGCTGAGGGCAGGCTCTCTTCAGGAATTCAACGCTCGGACGGCGCACCTCGAGCCGGGCTTGCCAACACCCACGCTCGTCACAGTCAATCCAGACAGGACGTTTACATTTGAGACGCGCACACCGCCGACGTCGTTGCTGCTCAAGAGGGCCGCCGGCATCACGGCTGGGTCGGGCCGCGCAGGCTCAGAGATGGTGGGCGACGTGAGCGTCAAGCACATCTACGAGATTGCAAAGATCAAGATGGCAGACGTCAAGGGCGTCGGCGAAGAGCAGGTGGGTTGCGCCGTACCTTGACTCATGATGATAGTGACACTGACGGCCAGAGAACAGATGTGCAAGGTCATCATGGGCAGCGCAAAGAGCATGGGCCTGAGAGTCGTGCGATGACGAGCAACCAGAGACAAAAACTGTATCAGTACACAAGCATGATGATGTTATTACAGGGATTGACTGAGAATTTGATTGGCGAGTGAATCCAGGCGTTGCCCCAGACGGACAACAATAGCCTCGCGATTGGCCTTTTCCTGGGCCGTCTCACGCGGCGGGAGGGCAACATTGGCGTCCTCTTGGGCATGCGAGAGCTCGTGCTCCTCGGCTTCATAGTCCCTCTCTGCGACGTGTTGCAGCTCCACGGCCTCGATGTCTTTGAGCAGCTGGCTGACTTGACTCTTGACATTGTCGGGCAGTGCCGTCTGTCTCTTTGACCCTCGGCCCTGGGCGAACTGAGCCAAGGCGGATGCCCTGCCCTTGAGATTGCCTACGCGCCGACCCAAAGGCGCGCCGACCTCTCGAAAGGAAAAGTCGAAGCCCTGCTGCAGCGTCGACTCCTTGCCAGCGGTGATGCCCTCCCGATACCCTTCCTTTAGTCGGGGTGATCAGCCAAGGCTCCAAACGACCTGCCAGAAGCCCAGACTCACATCGGCCATCTTGTTCTTGACCTTTGCTGCATCCCGGCCGCCCATGCCCAGCTCTGCCTCTCGCCCTAGCCCCACACTCTCTCCAGCGCCCCTCTCGTCATCAGACGAAACGAGCCAGTCGTCGTCGTCGTCCATAGCTGGTCTCGTCTGCGAAAGAGGCAGTCAGGCATCGGAAAGTCGAAAAGGGAAAGAGGACGGACGCGCCTTCGGACATGCGCGGCCGACTTAGTCGACTGACTGGCTATCCGTCCCCCACCCCAAGGGAGAGCCGCTAATGAGCACACGACGATGACCATGGAAGACAGAGCCAAGGCGCACGACGACAGCAGCCTCGAAAAGGCCGTCGCTGCCCGACGCTCCGCGCCCAGGTGGCGATGGATCACCATTGGCCTCATCGCGCTCCTTTACCTCGCCTTCAACTCGGCCCCGGTCCTGCACACCTGCCGCCATCTTCGTCTGCATAGGAGGCCGGCGATTCCCCAATGCCCCACGCAGCCAGAGGCCATTGCTCCCAACAGCACCTGGGAACCGCAGGAGGACGACGCCGAGATCGAGCTTTTTGCTCAGAGGCTGAGCGATGCAGTCAAGATCCCCACCATGTCCTTTGACGACATGGACATGGACCCGCGCAAAGGTGTGTTTCCTGAATGCTCTCGCAAAGTGAAGTGACAGACTGCTCAGCTTGGTTCCGCAGACGCTCGATTTGAAATCTTCAACGAGATGCACGCCTATCTGGCCAAGACGTATCCAGTCCTGCACGAGCGCTTTCCCCCGCAAAAGATCAACACCTACGGCCTCCTCTGGACGATTCCTGGCCGCGACGCGAGCCTGAGACCGGCACTGTACCTCGCGCATCAGGACGTCGTGCCGGTGCCTGCGTCCACGCTGGACCAGTGGACCTTTCCGCCCTTCTCGGGCGAGTACGAGCGATACGACGACAGACGCGGAGGGCTCGTCTGGGGAAGGGGCGCAAGCGACGACAAGGCCATGCTCACGGCGGTCCTGTCTGCCTTTGAGGAGCTTCTCAAGTCCGGCTGGGAGAACCAGCGCACGATCCTCATCGGCTCCGGCTTCGACGAGGAGGTGAGCGGTCCCAGGGGCGCTCTCTCGATCGCAGAGGCGCTCAAGGCGTCGCTCCCGGACCGAGGAAGGCAGACGCTCGAGTTTGTCATTGACGAAGGCGGGCTCGGCGTGGGTGTCCAGCAAGGCGGTGTTGAAGTTGCGCTGCCGGCCGTGGCAGAAAAGGGCTACCTCGACGTAACAATGACCATCAAGACGCCGGGGGGCCACTCGTCGATGCCGCCAGACCACACTTCGATTGGGATGATGTCGTCGCTCATCGCTCACCTCGAAAGCAACCCCCACGAGGCGATGCTGACGCCGGCGAACCCTGTCCTGACGCACCTCATCTGCATGGCCAATGCGCTCGAGACAAAGGCCCTCCAGACGGTCGAGAGCGAGAATCTGCTTCTGGACAAGCAGACGCGAAAAGACCTCCGCGACCCGCGCAAGTGGCATAGGGTAGCTAGGCGAGTCGCCAAGCTGGGCAGCAGGACGGAGCGGTACATCGTCAAGACGTCCCAGGCGGCCGACATTGTGCTGGGCGGCGTCAAGGCCAATGCACTGCCAGAGCACGTAGAGGCCGTGGTCAATCACCGCATCGCAATGGAGAGCAGCGTCGACGAGATCAAATCTCGCTTCGAGGATCTTGTCAGGCCGGTCGCTGAGCGGCTCGGGCTCAAAGTCGTTGGCTTTGACAAGAAGGCGCCGGACGTCAAGCCAGAAGAGAGTGTGCTGATGCTAACGTACGGAAGATTCACGGAGCACACGCCCGTCTCGCCCACCGACAGCGCCCAGTTCCGAGCGCTGGCCGGCACCATTAGGCAAGGTCAGTCGCTTACAATATGCTATTCCCTCACCCTCTAACCATGATCTTCTCCAGTTTTCACGACTGAGTCAGGCAAGCACGACCGCCTCGTCTCGCCCGTCATCATGACCGGCAACACCGACAGCCGCCACTTTCTGTCCCTCTGCGAAAACGTCTACCGGTTCAATCCGAACCGGTACAGCGAGCAGTCGGCAAAGCACACCGTCAACGAAAACATGGACGTCGCGGCCGTGGCCGAGAGCGCCTCCTTCTTCCACGCCCTCGCGCAGATCACAGATGAAAAGTTGTAGGCCAAGTGTTAAGGAGGTGGCGCTCGCCTCGAAACAAGTACATGGATAAGATGGTGATGGTGATGGTACAGTGTGTATGTATGCGTGAAAATGGTATAGCATCAGTGTTAAGTCGCGATGCCCGGCGTGCTGGTTTGTCGACTGCGCCTGCCCCCTCAGAGGCTGAGGCTGAGGCTGAATCGGCTGCGAATCTCCCTGGCCAGCTCCTTGCGCTCGGCCCGGGCCTTGCCGCCACCCATGACGCTCTTGTTCTCCTGGGCCCGGCGGATCAGGTAGGGCATGACGAGCTTGAGGCTGCCGTACGGCACGTACTTTTGCACCAGGTGGGGGCCTGGCCCGCCCGACAGGGGGTCAAACGTCGACTGGAGCGTGCGCGTGAGCTGGTCCGACATGCCATACAGCTGAGCGAAAAAGAGCCTGCCGCGGACGTGGGGTGCCAGTGCCAGCGGGTAGTCGCCCGCAGGCAAAGGAGGCTGGGCCAGGCCCGACGAGGCCATTTGCTCAATCACGGCCTGGGCCGACTCGGTGTTGTGGCTGGCAAATATCACACCGAGGCTGGGTGGCCGTCGAGTGTGCAGCAGATCCAGGTGGATCTCGTCGACGAGCCGGCGGGCGCAGCCATCAAAGCACTGGTCGGTCAGCGTCTTGCTCGACCACACGTGGCCCTCGCGGGCAGCAGCGAGGCTGGGCGGCGGATCGACGACGCGCTTCCGCCACTGCTGGTTCTCGTAGTCGACGTAGGCGCCGCGCACCAGCTTGACGCCCAGGCTGTACCCGCCGCTCTTTGCGCGCTCCAACGACGCCTGCAGGTGGCTCGGCGTGCGGCGGAGGTAGGCCTGAAAGGTGTTGTAGATCAGCGGGCCCTGGCTGGCCGTGGGCGACGACAGCTTGTTGTATTCGGCGGCAATCGACTCGAAAAAGGCATCAATCGCAGGCTGGTACCAGCTGTACTCTGCGTCGACGAGGAGCGTGACGACGCCGCCGAGCTGCCTGGCGTGCGAGGCAATCTTTTGCATTGCGGCCCAGAGCGCGCGCAGGCCCTCGACGTCGGTGCGGTCCAGCGCAGCGATGGGTATGGCCAGCCCCGCGCACGGCCCCACCTTGCCGTTGACAGAGACGGGAGGGAACGGGTGGGGAGGGCTGCTAAAGTGCTCGCGAGAGACAATCGCGCTGCTGGCTCGCTCGAGGATCGAGGCGTCCCGAAGCAGGCCAGAAAGCTTGACGGCCACCATCATGCTTCCGTCTCGGTTCGGTCGGGCCTTGAGAGCCGCGCGTTCCTCGTCCGTCGTGGCGCCGTAGTCGGCGGGGAGCTGACTGACGTGGGCAGCCACGTCGATGGCATTGATCACCTCGTCCACGAGCTCGTCAAAGAGGGGCGATTCGTTGGCCGACGACTTCTTGACGTCTTCGTTGGACACCTCGGCGGAGAAGTTCAGAATGGCCCCGAGGTTGCTCCGTGACAGCGAGGACAGCAGGGGAATACATCCTTGGGCCGTTTCGGCTCCGACGAACTGCAGGGGCAAGACCATGATCAGCGAGGGGAATTTGAGAGAGAGGGGTTCACCTACCTGGGCAAAGAAGGTCCTCCTCACGACCCACTCGGTAAGAGACCAGACGCCTGGGATCTTTGTGTCGCGGCACCATTCAATCAGGGCGGGACCGGCGTCGATGAGCGAGGGAAACGAGCAACAGGTGTAGACAAAGTAGGACCGGAGCAGCGTCGAAAGAGGCACGGTGGCCAGGGGATTCGGCGCGTTGAGCTTCTCCCTCTTTTCCTCTTCCTCTAGATCGATCTTGGCCGGTTTGAATGTGGCCTCGAGGAGAAAGTAGGCGAGGGTCGCGCCGCCAAAGACCAGCGCTGGTCTCGGGAGTCGCTTGCTCTGGGACGACGACGAGGTCGAAAAAGCATGGCGAAGAGGCGGCGACAAGGGTCCCTTGCCGACCGCCAGTCTACGAAGAGGCGCCCTCACCAGCAGTCGGGTGGACATGCTGTTCGTGTTGAGTCGAGAGAGAGCCCCCCCGTCAGGCAGCGGACTGATACCCAACTTATCTCCTTCAACTCTCGGTCACGGAACCCGCGTAACTTCGTCCGTCTCCTTCGGCCGACAGCAACTTTCTTTTTTTTCTCATCTCCTCCACCATCACCCGAGAACGGCAGAAGATGGCATCGCAGGCAGGCCCGTCGACGGCCGCCTATGGGATCCCCGAGGCAAAGCCTGATGCGCGCGCGACGTCAGTCATCGTCATTGGCATGGCCGGCTCGGGCAAGTCGACGTTTGTCGAAGCCTTGTCCAAGCATCCAGCCCGGACATCCTCGGCCAAGCACAAGCCCGAGTCCTACTTTGTCAACCTGGACCCGGCCGTTCGGCAGGTCGCATACGAGCCCAATGTCGACATTCGCGACACCGTTGACTACTCACGTCTCATGCAAGAGTACAACCTCGGTCCTAACGGGGCTATCCTGACGGCACTCAACCTCTTCACTACGAAATTCGACCAGGTCCTGGGCATCCTCGAACGGAGGAGCGGCGACGTCGAGTGGGTTTCCTATACTTCTTCTGAGACCTCACAAAGCTGACAAGGTTGTGTACAGCCAAATTGTCATGGACACGCCGGGGCAGATTGAGATCTTCACCTGGAGTGCCTCGGGCAGCATCATCACCGACGCCCTGGCCTCGTCGATGCCCACGTGCGTGGCCTACATCATTGATACGCCTCGGAGCATGGCGCCGGCCACATTCATGTCCAACATGCTGTATGCATGCAGGTGAGTGTGCTATTCCCAGAGCTTGTTATGAGAAGGGACCCAGCTGAGCGCGATGAGGTTAGCATCATGTACAAGACGAAGCTGCCCTTTGTTGTCGTCTTCAACAAGATCGATCTCCAGCCGCACGAACTCCTGCTCGAGTGGATGAACGACTTTGAGACCTTCCAGGCCGCGCTGCAGGGAGGAGACGCCACCGATTCTGTGGCAGGCAAGCACGGCCGAAGAAAGACGGGGGCCGACGGGGAAGAGGGGAGCTACATGAACAGCCTCATGAACAGCATGGCGCTGGTCCTCGACGAATTCTACCGCAATCTGAGGGTGGGTTTCACTTTTTATAACGTGCTTGACAGATGCTGACAGGACGAGACGTGACAGACGCTCGGCGTCTCATCGTCGACGGGAGAGGGCATCGATGCGTTTCACGAGGCCGTCGCTTCGGCTCGCCAGGAGTTTCTCGAGGAGTACAAGCCGGACCTGGAGCGCATGCAGAAGGAGCGCGTCGAGAAGCGGGAAAAGGACAAAAAGACGCAGCTCGACAAGCTCATGAAGGACATGAATGTCGGATCCAAGGGGAAACCAGGACAGGAAAAGGAGCGAGGGGATGCAGATGAAGAGGACGAGGAAGAGATCGAGGCGCAGTACGAGGGCGACGGTCAGATCATGGAGCCAGACGATGAGGACCTGGGTCAGGATGACGAGGAAGAAGCAGACGACTTTGCTCATGGCGGCGGCTTCGCAAAAGCCTTTGGCTCCAATGCTCGCTTTCAGGACGATGGCACCGCATGGCCGAGGCCCGCTTAGAGGACCATAATTGTATTTGTTCGCAATTCTGTCGTGTGAGCAGACTTAAAAGGATGGTAGACTTTAAAGGTGAGATGAGACTGGGAGCATGGACCTGGCAAGCACCACGGCGGCCCTCTCCGTAAGCGCATAGAGCGTCGCTGTTATGTGTGAGGTGAGCTCCATGGGGAGGACCGAGGCATCGACGACGCGAACGTTGTCGGTGCCATAGACTTTGAACTCTTCGTCGACAACGCCGCCCTTGCTCAGAGGCATCATGGAGCAGGTGCCGACGGGATGCACAGCGGACCGGTAGGAAGCGAGGATGAAAGGCGTCCAGGCCTTGGGGTCGCCTCCCTCGGGGGAGTTAGGGACAACCTGGAACCCAGGCAGGATCTCCACCTTGTCGCCAGTGGATAGCTTCTTCATGTCGGGCATCTCAAACGTCCTCCGGCTGGCCTGCATGGCAGCCACCTGCACCTCGAGGTCGAACTCTGCGCTCCAGTAGCGCGGGTCGAGCTCGGGACTGTCCCATGTCGAAGCAGACTTGGCATGCGTCTTTCCTCGAGAAAAGGGGCTCAGATACCAGGCCTGCAGAACCATGTTTTTGTTCTTTGGGATGCCTGGCAACGGTATGTCGTCAATCTGAGTCTGGAAGAGGAACTCGGCGATGGGCCAGCCCTGTTCGAAGATGCCCTTGACCTGCGTGTCGTACTGTTCCAACAGGCCCACTTCGCTCGCGACGGCACCTGATCGGACCATATCGGCCACCCAGCTCCTCAGCCTGGATCGCACCTGGCTTTCGACGGCCTTGAGGTTGTTCGGAAAGAGGTACTTGGCGCTGGCCATGGCCTTGATGTTCTGAGGTCCCGTTCCGTGCAAGTCTACCGAGCCATCTCGGGGGAGAAAGATGTAGTTGAGCGCCTGGTCCTGCAAGTTCTTGCCCACGCCCGCCAGCTCGACCTGCTTCGCGATACCAGCGCTGGAGAGCACGGCAGCGTCACCCACACCCGAGTGCTCGAGGAAGAGGGGCGATCGAATGGTGCCTGATGACACGATGATCTGTCCCGTCTTGGCTCGAAGAAGGACACCGTAAGTAGGGCCATCTTTCGTCTGCTGAATCGTGACGCCATCAGCTCTCTTGCGATTCGACGAGGAGGTGGTGCACCAGTCTATTTTTGCTGCCCTCCAGCCCGTCAACACGGTCAAGTTGGGACGCTTGTCCTCGATGGGAGAGAGGTACGCCGTGGCGGAGCTGACCCGAACCTGATTTGGATTGCCCGGAACGATGGCTTGTGGCACGACAGCAACCCCGTCGTTGTCACCATTGGCATGATCTTTGTTCTTTCGGAGACCGGGCAGAGCTTGGCGCAGACTCGTGAGGAAAGCGTGCTGATGCGGGCCTAGATACATTGACTCGCTGAACGCCAGGTCCACAGGTCCTCCCGTGGCATGCACCGAGGGGTCATAAGTGGCGCCTCCAGACTTGACCTGGGCGGTGGAAGGAGGGTGGAAGTTTTGTGTCTTCTTCATGCCCTTCACGAGTGCCGTCCAGCCGCCTTTGAAAAAGGTCTCGGCCTGCGCCTTGACTGGCGCATCGTAGATGCCGCCGTTGATCGAGGTGCCGCCTCCGAGACCCTTTCCCGCATCAATGGACTTGGTAAAGTTGACGCCACCTGGCTGGCCCGCCTGCGTCTGGGCCACCGTGGGGAACTGCCAATTAATGTGTGGGTCTGCATTTGCCGCAATGAGAGATGCATATGTGCTGACGTTGGTGTTCTTTCTCGTGTCGTCACCCGCTTCGATGACGAGAATATTCTTGAGAGGCAAAGAGGCGCTCAGTCGGTTGGCCAGCGTCATGCCAGAGAGGCCGCCGCCGACGATGATCACGTCAAAGGTCTTGTGCGACAGAGCGGCGCCATCTGTGGTGACCGTTTTGAAAGGACGCGAATCACCGTTGTTCGTTGCGACCTTGGCCATGGCCGTGGACACCAGTAAGGAGAAAGAGAGAATTGTAAGGAGGAGAAGGCGAGCACACATTTTTGCTCTCCTTTGTCGTTCCGGTGAGCAGGTTGAAGGTGTGGGAGGACCAAGGATCACACGGGAAGCTGAGGCTCGTACCGGCACTCCAGGGACGGTCGAGGAAACAAGCGCACTCCGCTCTTACGCCCAGCCTTCCGTACCACTGGACGGGCCGTGCTTCGGGATTAGAGAGAGAATGGTCAAAGTGCAAAAGCGACGAGCACCTCTCAGTGCACGGATCGCTCATCATCCGCAACGAACGACCATGAGGTCCGATGGATCGGCATGCAGGCTCATGGTTTTATTGCAAATTAGCTCGGATCATGTATGATTAGTTCAATTAGTCGACATCAGAAGAGGCTTTGTTCGCTTCGCAAGTGCAATAACGGCCTTGGGAGTCGGCATAGGCCAAGCAGCCCTGAACGAACCTCCGTCAGCATCTCGGCCCCCCTGCACAGGGGCCATGGGCAACTCACGCCTGATTTCACCGCGCCGTACATCAGCTCTGCAACTTCCAGACAGCTCTTGCCCTTTGCAAAGGGGTTCTCGTGGCTCTTGCACTCGGCGCTTTCATTGTGGGCTTCTTTTTCCTGCTTGCACTGTTCTTCCTTTGTTGCGTGAGCATTGCAGATGGCGCTCAGGTCGCTGTGAAACGCATCGTTGCAACCTTGGAAAGTCTCTCCGCAGCTGGCTGGAAGAGGAATCCTGTCAGCAAGGAAAAGGAGGAAGAGAGAAGATGTCTGGCTTCACAGTAGCAGGTGTCGTGCTTGTTGCATGCCGGCGCGAAGAATGGCACGAGCACATGAAGCAACGGTGTGAGAATGCCGTTGATGATGAGCGAAGCAGCGTTTTTGGAAGGGTCGCCACCACATCCGTTTGGCGTGGACGGCTCTGTGAAGTGGCTGAGCTGATGCGCCTTTTCGAGAGAGGACCACACTCACTTGTCACTTCCACCATACCGACGGGGCACGTCTTTTGGCCCGAAGGCTTGCACGATGGTAGATTCACCCTCCTCTTTTCATTGGTGATCAGTTCGATCACCTCGACCCTGAGACCAATTGGCGGCTGTATATGCGCGCCAGAGTGAGAAACGGTAGTCTTGCTCCGGATCGACAGACGGTGAGGCTCGAGTGGTGCAAAGTGGACCGCGGCGGCCCTGCCTGCGGAGAAGAGCAGCAAGTGAGCAGTGAGGAGCATCGGAAGTGCGCCCAAGAAAAGGAGCAGTGGCAAAGGCCGAGGGACAAGTATCATGTTGTCGTATCAGAGGTTGCGAGGGGCTCGAGAGTGCCGAATGACGGTAAGAGGTGGTGAATTACATCAGAGCGCCGACAGAATAGAGGGTTCGAGAGACCGCAAAGGGGAAAGTTCAGAGTCAAAAGGCAAAGAGCGGCTTGCTTGACTTTGTGTCGCAGATCACACTCAGGCTGAGCACAGACCCATAATGATGAAATTCGATAGATTGATGAGCAAGAGACCATGACAGGGAAGAAAAGCGCTCCTTTCCCCCTTTTTCTTTTTCGTTCATAGAACAAGTGATGATAGTGTAGATAACTAATCCCTCCTTCCGCCACCCTGGGCGACCTTTTGGATGCGTTGCCTTGCATCAAGCACGGCCTTCTCCGTGCCAGTGATTACAACGAGGCCATTGCCGTCCCTCGGAATCTCGATGCTGGCTCCCGAAGCGTTCTCGTGGTCTCGAAGGCCCTGCCCTCCCCTGCCCACAATCCGCGGCACAGCAGACGGGTCAACAAAGAGCCTTCCCTCGTGTGTCATCTGGCCGTATTTGGCAATCTCGTCGGCGATGTGCTTGGCCGCCTCGTCCAGTGCCGACTCCGTCTTGGCCGTCAGGACCCACTTGACGTTGTCGGCCCCCTCATCGTTCAGGGCCTCAATCTTGGACAGCTCAAAGGGAAGCGCCTCGTCGTCGTCTTCCGCTGCGTCGATGCGTGCACTGTCCGCTAGCACGCTTGGCCGGCTGCCTGCTCCGTTTGCCTTGCTAGCCCCGCTGGACTTGGGAGCATCGACAGAAACGCCCATTTCTGTGCGCAGCTGGCGGAACAAGAGAGGTGTACCAAGCTTCGCCGCCACGGCTCTCGGTACCTCGATCGTCTTGGAGTTGGATGCAAAGGCTTCGGAAATCTCTCTCGCCAGGGCCTCGCAGACGTCTTTCTTGCCCTGAATCTTGACAATCGTGGACGGTGCCGCGTTGCTGAGTTCAGATGCATTTGAAATCTCGAGCTCGTTGTACTCTCGCCAGCCTGGGACAACAATGCGAGCGTTGCTCGAAGCCTGCAGCTCGCGAATGCGGCCCATGAGCGACCGCTGCGAAGACTGAGCCACGACGACACCAATGACGATGCGGCTGCTAAGCTCGTTGGCTGCAGTCTCGAGCTCCTGCTTGACTTTCGAGGCCAGTGCAGACGGCCCTCGGACGGTGACGGTATCATTGGACGCATCTCCCCTCCTTGGGAACTGCACCAGCTGCGTGGCGCTTCGTCCGTCTTCGGGGCCGCCAGCACGCGTGATAATGTCGCGCAGGTTGGAGCCCTGGGGTCCAATGAGCTGGGCGTGGAACTTGGCAGGAATAGTCAAGGTGAAGGAAGCCTCAGCATCGACTTCGGCCGCCACGGCCAGGATCTCAGCCTTGGCAGCGGCAATGGCCTTCTTTGTCCCGCGCAGCTTGATCGTCGTCGTCTCGGCACCTTCGCTCTCCTTGTCGACGTCGACCTGAGCCTCCGTCTCGTCGCGGATCCGGTTGACGTTGGCGCCACCCTTGCCCATGATCCTCGCAATGCTCTTCGTCGAGACAGGGACGAGGACCACGTTGTTGTGCTCCTTTTCGTACTCGATGAGCTCCAGCAGCTCGGCTTTGGCCGCCTCCACGCCCTTCTTGCCACCCTTGAGGATGACTTCGTCGGCCTTTTGCTTTGCCTCGCCGTTGGCAGACTGGCTGGGGAAGTTGATCCTCACGCCGTAATTGTCCTGCAGCCTCGTGACGTACTTTCCGCCCTGGCCAATGATGGAGCCATGCAGGTTGGCAGGCACCTTGAGCGTGACCTGAGTCTCGTCGGCCAGCTTCTCGGCCTGGTTCAGGATCCGCTTCTGCGCTTCTTCTGCATTCTCTTTGCGTCCGACGATGACGACATTGACCTTGGAGGGCTTCTTGGCGCCCTCAGTAGCCTGGTCTCCGAAGTCGATGCGAACGCCAAGTTCCTCGCGCAACTTGCTTGCTCCGCTGCCGCCGCGGCCAACAATGTGAGGGATGTGGGCCGAGTCGAGCATGAACTGGACAGTGTGGCCGTTGACGATGGCGTCCTGCTCAGCGTCCAGCGCCACCTTGCGGAGCTCGTTGGCCACTCTCTCCACTTCGTTGCTGGGTCCTCTCACGGTAATGGAGTCCTCGTCCATAGCGGGGCCCTTGTTCGAGCTGGACCCAAGCCTGACGGCGACGAGGCGCTCCTCGCCGATGATGGCATTGAGGGTTGTGCCCCCCGTTCCCAAGATGGCGCGGTGCAGCTTGGCAGGCACCTTGAGAGTCTCTGTGCGCATGTCGGCAGCCTGTACACCAGCCTTTTCAATGTCCGTGCGGACCTCGTCGAGAATCTTGGTGGCCTCTGCGTCACGAGCCTTCTTCTCCTTGGGGAGCGCATTGATGACACTGGGGTCCGACAAGATCAGAGCAACGTCCGAACGACCCTCACCCGCGGCATCGCCAGTGGGCGCGGGAGGAAAGATGACGTCGACGCCCTTCTTTGCATACTGCTGCAGGTTGGCGCCCTTCTTGCCAATAATCAGACGGTGGAGGAGGGGGTCGATGTCCATCGTCTGAACAAAGCTGGGAGGGATGCTCTTGATCAGAGCGTCGAGCTGCGCGCGTGCTCCGGCGACGGCCGAGGCGTCTGCGCCCACAATCTCGATCTGGGCCAGGCCCGTGGACTCAACGATGGCCGGTCGAGGAAGGTAGATCTGGACCTGGGGAGCCTTGGGCAGCTTGCCGCTGAGGTTGATCCACCTGAGGAGCAGCTTGGCGTGGTCCAGTGCATTGGCACCCGACGATCGGTGAGGAGCCACCACATCGACGACTTCGACGCGAACGGCATTGGCCTTGTCCATGGCCGCAGTGAGGGCCAGAGGCAGCTTGGCTTGCGGTCCACGGATCGTGACACTGTCCGACGGATCGTCGATGGCGGCCAGCTCGACGCTGCAGGACGTCGCACCCAGAATCTCCTGGGCTGCATCGCCAACGAGGAAGCGATGCTGCCTCTTTGGGATGCTGATCTGCAGCGTCCGGAATGAGCTCTTCATCTCATCGACTTCGGCATCGATGGCCTGCACGACGCGGGCAACCAGGTCGCGGTCGCCGCTGACAATGATGCTCAAGTCACGCTCGCGCTTTGCTTCGCCCTTCTCTTCCTCCTCTCGAGGGGGCAGGAACGCGGCTCGGGGAGGGATCCTGACGCTAACGTCGCCCTGTCCGACTTCAGTCTCGAGGCGGGTCGAGTTGGCCCCCTTTGCGCCAGCAATGAATGGGTAGAAGATGTGTTCGATGTGGGTGAGACGCTGCGTCGTCCTGGAGGTTCTCTCAGCCACGAGTGCAGAGATCATCGACGCAGCCTCACGAGCATTGACCTCGTCGCCGTCGATGGTGACAGAGATCTGCTCATCGTTGTCGTAGTCGGTCTCGCCATGAGGGTGAGCCTTGGCGTGTCCATTAGTCTCAGCGTCGGCAGCGCCCTCCTGACGAGGAATGTTGATGCGAACGCCAGTCTGTTCGGTGATGTTCTTGAGATTCTTTCCTTTGGCGCCAATGACAAAGGCCCGGAGCGACGAAGGAATCATGACGGTAAGCGAGACGTTGCGAGCAAGACCGACGGTGAGCTCCTTGCGGGCTGACTTGACGGCAGCCTCGTTGGGGCCCTTGACGACGAATGTCGTCGTCGCAGTCTTGCGAGTCGTGGAAGCTTCAATCTTGACGGACCGGTGCTTGGTCTGGACGCGGCCCATGATCTGGCTCAGTCGGGACTGCAGCTCGTCCGAGGCAGGGAGCGAGAAGACCTCCTGGTGAATAGCACGCTGAATGACAGGGGCCGAGCCAGACCAGTTGGAAGCCGAACCGGGGGCAGCAGCAGCACGACCGGCAGCACCATTGGAGGCGCCTTCGGACAGTTTCTTGCTCCACTGACCCTTGGCTGCAGGAACGCTGGCGCCAAGCGAGGGAAAAGCCGATTGCGAAGAGCTGAGTCGATGAGAGTCTGACAGTCAGAGAGAGCGAGATTGACAAGAGGGGACAGACGAGGGCCACACTTACAAGTCCGGTTGGCTGCTGCCATTGACGCCAGAAGAGACCTTGGCCTTGGGGGCAACAGCGGCCGAGGAGCCGATGGTAGCCGGAAAGGGATCACCAGAGCTCACAGGAGCAGGAAAGGGATCACCTCCCAAGGACGGAAAGGGGTCCGAGGTAGGGCCAGCAGAGCTGCCCTGCTGCTGCTGCTGCTGCTGCTGCTGGTGCAGGGCCTGAAGCTCAGCGGCGGAGACCATGACGACGGGGACAGAGGACGACGAAGAACGGCGAAAATAACCAAGGACGAGCAAACGTCCAGACCTGAAGGGAAAAAGACCAAGGAAAGAGAAAGGTGCGAGCTCAAGAGGGGCAGGGCGTGGGAGGAAGGCTGAAGAGCGATCCGGGCGGTCTCTGGACCAGAAGAAGTCGCCCAGCCAAAGGCCAACCGACACGTTGTCAATTCAAACGTGAGCTTAAAATCCTTGTATTGACTGCCGTCCTAATAGCCCGATTTTCTGCTTAAAGCGCTCGTTATGTTTCATCGGCTTTTTTCTTTTTCTTTTTCTTCTCCGGTCAAGAAGGTCGATCACGTCGAGCAATGTCGGCCTTGGGTCGCCGCCAGCAGGCCTACGCCGGCTTTGGACGGGCGTTACGAAAATGGATCGGTAGGGATATGTCAGCGACATCGAGAGGCATGGTCTCGCTACCAGTGGCCTCTTCCTCGAGGATGCGTTTGGATTCCAAGCGTCTGGGCATGTACACCATCCTCTCGCCCTCCTGGTCGGCCAATTCTGCCACCGGCAATGACGCCGACGAGGTCCTCGGAAGACTCGATACAGCTCTAAGAACGGAACGACAACAACTAGCAGCAAGTCAAGAACCACACAGCCAAGAGCGTTGCGATAGCATGATCAAGACACTCGTCCGACAGGGCTTTGTCCTCAAGGCCATGCGTCACTTCTATGTGCAAGCCATTCGAGCAAGAGATACAATCGGGATAGAGTCGTTCGAAAGCTTTCTCAAAGAGCTGGCGAGCTGTGTGCGGTCGCCTCCTAAGAGGACAATCGGGCCAGACGTCAACTTCCGGAAGTATGCCAGCTGGACGCCTTCCCAATTACCGGCCGGCTCAAAGGCGGCCGCTCTGCCACTTGCAGTCCAGAGCACCTACGTCGCTGCGTCGATCTTTGACTTGGCGCTTTCCTTGGGACTCTCACCTTCGGAAGCCAGCATAGCGCCCATGCTCTCCATCTTCTCTAGGACTCTGTCCAGAGAGATGTACACCCGGGCCGTCAATCTTGCCCTGTCCTGCCTCAGCGGAAGCACCTTGGCTGAGGCTCAGCTGCTGGCTATCGAGGAAAGATCTCAACACACGATCCAGTTGGAGATGTTGAAACCAGGCGCCATACCCTCTGCCGTGGCTACCACCATTGTCGCTGGCTACGGTAGGCTCAGGGCCCCCAAAGTGGGCGAAGATTTCCTTCGCTGGAGGGAGGCTGCCTCTGACGCGCCGCGGACCGTCGACACCTGGAATGCGCTGATCCGGGCAAGGTGTCTGTCCGGCGACCAGCGGGGCGCATCAAAGATCCTAAGTGACTTCCGAAAGGCTCTCCGTGATGGTCAAGTGCCCCGACTCCGATACCCTCGAAAGCCCAACGCACCCTATTTCACTTATCTCGATGCCGTGATGTCGATGAGGAGGCCAAGGGATGGCGTTCGATCTGTGGATCTCGCTCAACTACCTCGTCAGTCACGATCCGAAGGCGTCCAAGCTGTGCTGAAAATGATGCGCGAAGATGGCGTCGGCCTTGAGCCTCGGATTTTGAACCTTCTCCTCGATTTCGAGGTTGGTCATCGTCGCATCGAAGGAGCCGCCAGCATGGTCTGGGACATGCTGTCCAGAAAAGATGTCAGCAAGATCTTTCATCGAGACGCCCATTCTTTAGCAGCGCTCTTCCGCATGTATCGACTCCATGACGGTCACGCTCCGTTCAAGCGACTCCTCGAAGCGTCCGCTGCGACAACTCCACTCCAAGAGGACATTGTCTCGCTTCGAAAACTTTACAAGTTAGCACTAAGGGCCGTTGTCGCTCGCAGAGAGGGAGCTCAGCAGACGATGAAGCTGCTCAACGAGGCACTCGATGCAGCCTTGGTCCTCAACGACTTGCCCCTCGCCCTCGTCGCCCTCAGGTCGATGGGTCGCTGGCATCTCAAACCCGATATGCGCACGTGGCGAGCCATTGCAGTTTGGCTGCGTGCTACCGTCTTTCCTGGTAACGTCGATGCCAGTGAACTCGACGACGGCAGCGTGGAAGATCTCGACGCGGAAATTAACGACGAGGCCGCCAAGTCACGAGAGGACACCTTTCAACGAGTGTTTGACAGTCTTGAACAGAGAGGAGGCGTCGTCCGTCAACAGGACGTGACCATCGCGACGTCGTCAATAGCGCCAATCTCCAACCTCAAATATCTCATGGGCTTGGTCGAAGGCCAAATTGAAAAGAGTGTCAACGAAGCCGGCTCGGAGGAATGGATCACCGAGGCCTGTGCGTCGTTGAAGAGCGCAGGAGCTTGTGGTCCCTTTTCCAAGGAGGCGATCATGGACGTGGTCATGGCAAGGGTGAATGCCGACGTCCTGCCCCGCATGTAGATAATTCGCTTTTCTGTCAGCATCCTTTTTGCAACTGTATTTCTTTTCACCTTATCCACACGGCATTTTGCAGCACGACGCTCTCGTTGGCTGCTCAGGAGGGTATTGATTCAAGGGCCGACTACCCTATGTCCTCACTTCTTCAAGAAGTAGAGAAGAGGTACTTTTACAGAATGATGGTGTGATAGCTTGAAGATGAGATGCAAACGAATAATGTTGGCGAGGCGACATTGCTAGAGGAAATACTCGACTTGGGGCTGTTCATGAGAGGTCTCGTCAGCTCCAGAATTCGAGGTAGGGTTGGCAACAAAAGAACCTACTTTGGCATCGGGATTGGCCGCTGCTGCTTGTGCGGCCTGGGCAGCCTGCGTCGGCCCGTCCCGCTCGTTTTCTGGTGCTGCCTCAAAGGTGTTAAAGTGCTTGGTACCTCCTGGACCAAGCTCTAAGATGCTCGCCATGTTGCCACACCGGTAACAGTAGTTCGGCGCGCTCCAGACCGTGCTGAGCCGATCGTCGTAGAGGACTGAAAAGCCTTCCATGCATAGCTGGTGTGCGCGAAGAATGTGGTTCATGCCGTTCCGATGCAAAAAGTGTTTGACGACCGACGAGCCAAACGTGTAGCCTGCTCCCCGGGGCGAGATGGCAAACTCCTCCTTGTCTGGGTCCGGGTCCGACCAGACGAGGTCGGCCATGGGGCCTTCGTGCGGGATTTCTCGGAAGCGGTCGAGGACCTTGATCTGGTCAACAAAGTGCACAGAGGGAGACAGTCCGCCATGGACGCAGAAGATCTCGTCATCAATGACGGTGGACAGCGTGAGGAAGTCGAACATGTCGGTAAAGTAGGTCCACACGTTGGCGTTTCCGTATTTTCTTTGGCATTCCGTATAGAATCCATATGACTGTGGACGGAGGTTTAGATGTCTGGCTAGGGGGGAGAGCATTGTCGAGATTGTCATAAAGCTCACCTGCGTCACCGCTCGGCTTTCGTGATTGCCCCGGATCAGCTGGACTCGGTCAGGATATCTAAGCTTGAGGCAGGTAAGAAGTGAAATCGTTTCGACCGAGAACAGCCCTCGATCAACATAGTCTCCTAAAAAAGGAAGAACAGTCAGCGTAAATGGGAGAACAGAAAGAGGCAGGGAAACACACCGAGGAAAAGGTAATTGGTATGCGGGGAATAGCCACCTATCCGAAAGATTTCGATCAAGTCGTAGAATTGTCTGCGGGAGAGTATTAGCCAAACAGAGCATTCGAGCATCTACCAGATCTGCGACGCACCCGTGAATATCTCCCACAACAGTGACGGGGGAAGCGATGTGCACGACGTTGCTCTCGCGCATCAGAAGCTCCTTTGTCTTTTCGCAGATCTCGCGTATCAAAACCTCGCCCAGCAGCTGCTTTTGGAGCAGGTGCGCGATGCAGGCGTCCAAATCGATGGCCATGTTGTCTGACGCCCCGATCTTCTCGCTCCTCTTCTCCTTCCCCCGATCTCTTCGTTAAGAGCACGACACTGCACACTGTCCTACGGGGCGGATACAGATCAAGTGAATGATGTTGCCGAGCTCTTTATTTTTGTCGTTCGGGTCGTTCACGTTATGCTATCTAGTAGCCGCCACAAGGCGATTCCGACAGTCTCTTCGCACCCTGTGCGTCCGTCTCGGGCCGCTATAGCCGTCCTGGGTCGCTGTTATGATGGCCCTGGGAGAGTGAGGAAGATGCTGTGGACGGCCAGTCGCCGACAGACGCAGACGCACCGCGTGCCACGTGAAGCTGAGTCCCGAGATCCGACACGAGATCCTCCTTACTAGTGGCAGCAGCAGGCGTCCAGGCTCGTGTGCTCAAGAGCAGGAGGGGGGAGGAGGACCTCCATAGCAAGATGGTGGGCGCCCGAAGTGATGCTCAGCCGGATCCGTGCCTGAGCAACCAACTCCCCGCCCTCATCGTCCCATTGCGGTTCGGTGTCGTGGCTCACAGTTTTTCGATTCCGGCGACCGACACCCCACAGAGCAAAGCCGGAGGAAGCAGCAGCAGCCGCAACGCTGCTGCACCTTCTCAACGACAGTCGGTCTATCGTGGTGCACTCCCTCGACGGCGGAATCTTCCTTTCCTCACCAGATTACGGCCGAAAACGATCCTGTCGCTCACGCCTAAGCCTTTGGACGCTCTCGATCCCGAAATGCGAGGATGGGCCGAAAGCAAGGGCGTCAAGCTTGTACACATTCGCTGTGACAAGCCCAAAGACGACGGAGGTGGGCTCAGTCGGGAAGGCGCTGCAAGAGCATTGCTTGTGAGTTTTCTGTTCCTGGTGTTGTCCACCACTCCCTCATATGCTTAGCGTGACGCTGCCGGCAGGTTCTCCTCGACTCGCGTAATATGCCTCTCTACATGCACTGCCTAGATGGCCAAGCCGTTACGTCACTGCTCGTTGGACTGCTCCGCAAGGTGCAGGCATGGTCTATGCGAGCGATCATCGACGAGCTGGAAAGAGGCCTTAATCGCGACGAGGAACTCATCACCTTTCAAACCGGCTTCATCGACAAATTTGGTAAGCCTGACGGACTAAGACTACCCCCTCGGCGATGGATACCGGAATGGACGTGGGCCGAACCCAGTCCTTTGAGGCGGCTAAGGGATCCATACGACGTCATTGCATCGTCTACGAGTCATGGGAAGGACCATGGACACAGCAGCAATAAAGACGGGAGACCGACAACAAGCGCAGGATCATCTTCTGGGCCAGCGGGGACTGCCAACAACAGCGGCCACTCGAGACAGGCCAGCGGTGATCGTCTGCAGCAAATGTCAAATCCGGCTTCTCCCTTGCTCGGCTACGGGATCGGTTCTCTCCCTGTTCAACATCCTACGATGCGCCTTCGGTTCGATGCCGATCCAGAGCTGCCACCACCACCGCCCGTCTCGCTCCACTCAAGAGACAATAGTCTGTTGTCCTTGTCTCACCACCACCACCCTCCGTCACCCATGTCTTCGCGACCCTCGAGCCGAGCTGGCCTACCGCAGAACCAGGTTTTGCTCCATGCCCACGGTCACACATTCCACCACCCACACAGTCATCCTGTTGAACGGTCGCCTTCACGACCAGGCTCGGCACCTGGGTCGCCCAGACGGAGGGTATATACCCTCGACCATCTCATGGAGCCAGGCTCGCGACGCGCCATTGACGATAAAACTCCCGACGAACTGCGACGTCCTGTCGAGTTCCCAGCGGCTCCGTCGGACTTGAGTTCGACGAGTCCTTCGACGATGAGAGGCAAGCGTGTGCTTGACGAAAGCGATTCGACGATTCAACCTCACCAGAGCTCTACACCAAAAGCGCACGCGCAGACCGGCCGGGCAAAGGATGAACAGAGGTCGAGATTTCCAGCGCGACCTTCGTCGCCCACCCTTTCAGGCCGGCATCAGCCGCCCTACTACCGCTTGTCGTCGCCCTTGCAGCATGTCTCTACTGCAACAACGAACCCGGACCCGTTTGTCTCTGGCCAATTCCAATCGACAAGGGACTCCCACCCTTCTTATGCGTCGTCTTCTTCCTCTTCGCGGCCCGCCTCGCCACTGCACTCCACCAATGCGCTGCCTTCGCCCACGCAGTCGTATGAGGACCACGATTCTTCTTCGGGTGTTCCCGCGCCGCCATCCACTTCGCTCTCGCACTGGAGGAGCCCCACTATGACGGCTCGATCGAGGCTGTCGGGCGTTTGGAGCGCAACGGATGCCTCGACGACGGCGGACGCACCGATCGACGCTGTTCCACCTACAGCATCCGGTAGAGAAACGGACCTGGACCGAAACCGAGATGCCGAGAGCGGAGGAGGGAGAAGTGCGACAGACGAGCAGGGCAGCTCACTGCCTGTGCCGATGCAGACGCCACCTAAGAGAGTCGTGCTGGGGAGGAGCCAGTCGGAGCGGTACGTCGAGAGCGTACATGGCAGGGTGCAACGAGGGGAAGACGGGGAGGCAGTGCCGGAAGAAGAGGAGGAGTACTACTCGGAGCCTGATGAAGACGGGCAGAGGCGAAGGAGGCTGCTTGCCGATGAAGCGGACGATGACGAGGGTGAGGGAGACGATCTGGACGGGATGAACGGAATGGAGAAGAAGGGCAGGGATTCCAACGAGGCAGAAGAGGAGGAAGAAGAGGAAGAAGAAGAAGAAGAAGAGGAAGAAGAGGAGGATGAAGAAGACGAAGGCGAAGAGGACCATCTGGCGCTAGAAGCGCTCGACCTAGACGGGTACTGAACGATCTCATTTCACTTGTGCTTGTACTGTACTGTTCATTGTGTACCATTATAACGATTGGAATTACGATCCCTGATAGAAGAACAGATCTGGACAAAGAGAGGTGGGGAGAGAGTGTGTGTCCGAGGATATCAAGAGAAAAATACTGTGAGAGACTGGCTCATCTACCACCCGCTCCGGTCCTTTCTGCACATCCTCGTTGCCTGCCTCGTGACCCAGTAGTAGAGGCAACCAAGGAATCGGAAGAAGGACAGTCCAAAGGTGGACCAAAGGATAATGGAAAAGTAGACGGTCTGCTTGCTGCTCTGTTCCCGATCGATTTCAGTCTGTGTCTGGTTGCCGTTGTACCCGTTGACGTTTTCAATCGCCACGGTCAGGGCGCCGTTTGTGAGGAGCCAGAATGCCACAAGCCTGGTCCGGAATGTCTTGTTGCCGTCGTCCATCGTTGGCTTCTCTACGGTGGTGACGACGGTGACAGGAGCGACTGCACGCGAGACGACCTCCTTGAAGTTGGCGTCGATGTCGGCCTGCTCGCGCTCAATCTCCTCGACGGTGCCGGCCTCCTGGCCTGGCTTGTCCTTCTTTGTGTCAACCGAAGGGAGTGCATCGGCCTTGTCGGAGCCCTTTGTGCCCCACGAGACATCGTGCAGGTTGCAAAAGGCGTAGACGTTGAGAATGTTGACAAAGGAAGGAGCAATAAGCATGTACTGAGGGAAACTCGTGAACACTAGAGAGAGAAAGAAGTCAGCATCAGGCTTCGACATAACACAGAAAGGCAACTCACTGTGCCAAGGATCAGCAAAGAGGACAGAAGCGAGGAAATAGATGCCAAATGTCGCAGCCAATGCAGCGAGCAGGACGGCATTGGACTGATTGGCGAAGAAATCCTTGAGGAACTGGCCCGTCTTGCCTTTGTCGGCGTTGGCAAAAGACCTGACAGTCAGCCAGAGCGCGGTACCGGTGAGGTAGAGACCCAGGACAGCAAAGACGATGAAAGAGACGAGATACGTCGTCTTCTCGCCCTTTGGTCGGTTACCGAGGGCCAAGACGAATTGGAGAACCAGGAAGAAGACGTAGATCCACTTGCAGACGAGGTTGATCCAGTGGAAGACGATTTCGACCGTCTCGCTCTGTCCCTTGAGGAGCTGCTGGGGGATGAAGTCGATAATGATCGAGAAGGTCAACCAGAGATTGGCGAGTGCGAACCAGGAGAAGAGGAGGTTAAAGACGTTGTAGACAGCTTGAATGTGCAGGAAGAACAGCCGGACGATTCCGTGGTTCGACTTGTAGATCCGGAAGAAGTGGACGAGCGAGTAGATGGAGGCGGCAAAGGAGCCATTGAGCCATCGACGGCGCTGCGAGATGAGTTCGGCGGCCCCCTCAGGAACGTCCGTCTCGCCCTTGGACGGCTTGACATACGAGAGCGTCCACTTGTCGCCGGCCTTTGCGACAAGCTCAAAGCAGAGAATACGATCCTCGGCCAGGAACATGTTCTTGGTAAAGATGCCCATGCCGTGCAGGCCCTTTTTACCCAGGCGATCAGCCAGCGTGTGGTCTCCGTGGAAGTACTGGTTGAGGGGCCGACCCTGAATGGCGCGGTACCGGTAGGCACTGAAAGCACCGGGCAAGACACTGACGTAGCCAAAGCTCGACTCGAGGGGTTTGTCGAGGATGTTGGACATCTTGTACTCGAAGTTTTGTGCAGCAACCAGAGGGTTGATGAGCTTTCTGCCGTTCTGCAGCATGGCGTGGATCTCGCCGCAAGCACCACCGAGGTTGGCGTTGTTGTAAAAGGCCTCCCAGAGGTAGTAAAGACTCTTGTGACCCGGCTTGGTACCCGCATCGATGAGGACGCAAATCTCGGGCTGGAGCTGCCTGCCGATGGCATTGAAAAGCCAGCGGTGCGAGTTGATCTTTTTGCTGTTCTTTTGCTTGAGGCAGAAGATCATCTGCACAGGCACCAGGTTGGCGGGATCGTCGCCGTGGGGCTGCACCAGGCTCGGGCTGGCGTCGACGGAGAGCTGCGTCGTCACCTCAAAGATGTGAGCGACCGTCTCCTTGCCGTCGACCTTTCGCTTCATGACGCCGTCCTGGTAGACGCCGACGGTGGCCAGCAAGTCCAAGACTTCCTTGTCGCAGGGGTCGATGCCATCAAAGATGAGCGTGACAACGATTCGCTGCCAGCCGGGCCGGCCCTCTTCGGCGCTGCGCTTCCAGAATTTGGACGCCTTGCTCTTGCAGATGTCGCGAATGTTGAGCATGACGCCGTGCAGCGTCCTGGCCAGCAGGATCCTGTCTTCGTTGTAGTAGGTAATGGCAATGAGCAGCTCGGTGTCTCGGTGGTACTGGGCATTCGTCCGAAGCGTCCAGCCATTCTCTGCCGTGAATTCATCCGGGTCGCAAGTGGCAGCTGTGTAGCGCATAAAGTTGAACTCGTTTGTCCGGCTGCCCTGGGACCACTTTGGCTCGACGGAGTTCTTGACGGCCGTGGGCACGCGGTGGTCGACGATCCAGTTGCCCCGTGTCAGCTTCACCTTTCTCGTCAGGCCACGCTGCGGAATCTGCTGTCGCTTGGCCCAGGCGACCTGCGATGCGCTGTCGTCGGGTCCCAGCTCGTTTGTAAAGGGAGTGCCATGGCGGAACGGCGGAGCCTGCGGCATGCCATAGCCTGGGTCCTCGAGGCTGCCAAAGGCGTCAGTCCGTCCGCGTTTGAGAGTATAGAAATAGGAAAGAGGGCCCGGCTCACCTGTACGAGCTCGGAGGCTGGTAGCCGTATTTTTCATTGGCGGGGCCCGTCAGCGGGATCTTGTCATCTTCGTACTCGTTTCGCATCCCGCTCGCATAGCTCGGGTTGCCCTGCTCGTGCGAGTAGAAGGGATTGACGTGGTCCAGCGTCGTCGACGAGCCTTGGAAGGCGGGAGCAGGGGGGTACTGCTGGCCCTGGAGCGGGTGTCCCCCGGCGCCATTAAAGTGCGGCGGAGGGGGCTGAGGAGCGTTCCATGCAGCATCGAGGCGCGAGTCAGGGCCAGAGAAGGTGGGTTCGTCGGCATTTCCGTGCATGTCAGAGTCCGACGTGGAGCGGAGATGAGTGTGGTGATGGAGTTCGATGTCATCGCCGTCGTCGAGAGGCATGCCATGAAAAGGATTCAACAGCGGGTCCATTGTGTCGTTGCCGTGTCGAGAAGGTCACGGGGGAAGATGGTAAGGAAAGGGAAGAAAAGAGGACAGGAATCAGTCAGCCTTTCTTCAGAAGCACGTATGCAATCGCCGGCTCAATCGATCACTCACCGGATAGTCTGGCGCACCGCGCATGTTCTGGTTAGGCCGTGGCCTTCCTCCGTTGTACGCCATCTTGCTCTTCTTCCTCGGCTTGGCACCGCTCCGTGCAGCTATTCAAGGGGGCGAAAGAAGGGTCGGGTGGCAGTACTCGTCGGAGTAGCAAAAGTGTAGGAGTAGGAGAAGTAGCAGCGGCAGCTAGTTGGAGGAGTAGCAGCAGCAGCAGGAGAGGAGATTGAGGAGCGGTGGAGTAGCTAGGATAGGATGTGCGCCAAGCTTGCAGGCAGGCCTTCCTCTTTGGGTGTTGAGCGACAGATCCACCTGCTTATGCTAGTGTAGTACTACTGAGATAGAAGCGCCCTGCTAGCTGACGTCGTCGATGTCGACGTTGAAACAAGGAGGTAGGTGGCTGGTGCTGGAGGAAGGAAGTGGCTCGACAGACGAGCTATGTAAGTTTAAATCGTCGCTCTACCTCGAGGTCAATTTTTACCTGCCTGGCCCTGCCGTGAACAAAAGGGCCAAGATCCAGGGCCCTAGCGCAGGCCTGCCGAATCGACGCAAATAAACTATTACAACGACAAGTGTTTAAAAATCCCTAAAAGGTAAAAAGGTGTTGCTTGTTGGTGTCTGTTCCCCCCCTGGAAACGTCGGGGTTGCCTGTACTAGTACTAGCTGTATCCAGTACAAAACGCGTCCGTGACACGCAATCCCGGCGAGGGGTCAAAATGGCTGTGCGGGAACCTGGAGATCCAAGGCTTGCTAGCGGAGCGGGCGCACTGACCGCGTGTGCGGGCGTATGGCACTGCCCAGTGGGCGGAGTTGACGCACGCCCAAGGACAGATGATCGCTTTAGACAGCCATACAGATCAGAGAGTCACACAAGGCCTTGCTTGCAATACAACAAAAGATATAAGCACATTTACATCGCACAATCGAAGTCAAAACGAGTTGAGTTTTAGACAAGGAATCGAGTACCTAGGGGATGAAGTCTCTAGAATCGCAAGAATCGGGGCCAGATGCCCCTCGCGTTGCTGTTGTCGTCCTCTTCGGCCGGCGGCTCCGCTTCGGCCTGCTGTTCTGCGTCCCGCAGCCTGCTTCTTCTTGGACTGTTGGTCTGAGGCTGCTGGAATGTCTGCTCGAGGGGCCTCCACTGGTGTGGCTGTTGTTGTTGCTGCTGCTGCTGCTGCTGTGGACCCCTGGCAGCCGCGAGGTGAGCAGCGGCCTCATGGGCCCTCATTGACGCTGATGCGACTCTCGGCGACTGCCTCCACTCTGCTGAAGAAGAAGAAGAAGCATGTCCGTGGCCCTCCCGAGGGAGTCCTGCCAGCTCCCTCATCGAGGGCGTCGAAGTAGATGTGACGAGCGAGGGTGACGCGACTGAGCCTTGCCCGGGTTGCAGACTTCGCGGGAGTGCCCGCGGGGTTGCGCCGCTGGACGTGTTGGTATCTGCTCGCGAGCGCGTTGGGCTGCCTCCGGTTCCCTCGAGGTAGGCCTGGCGCATCGCAGCTGCGCCCACCGAGGCGCTGGGGTAGTGGCCGTAGGGCGCCGGAGGCGCGTAGCGATCGTCAAAGGGCCCTTCGTCGCCTTCTCCCACGGTGCCTAGTCGCGCGCCCCCATCGAGGCTGTTACTCCTGCGCCGACGCTGCGACGGCTGGCCGTGCTGAATGCTGCTGTTGCCTCCCGCCGTCGCCCGACTGCTTCCCCCCTCGCTGTCCCAGCCTTCCTCGTCGTCGAGCATGGATGCTGTCCGTCTCGACGATCCACCTCGTCCGAGGCCTCGAGTGCTGGCGCTGGCAACACTGCTGCTCGCTGCGCCTCCTCGTGAGCTGGCCGTGCTTGCACCACGTCCAAGGTAGCTCGGGCTGTAGCTGGCTGCCCCGCTGCTGTCGCCCTCACTCAGGTTGCGCCTCGACCCACTGTAGCCCGAGCTCGATTGGCCAGACCTCGACTGGCTGCTGCCGCTGGGGTCGCCACTCGAGGTGGCGTGGGTGCGGTTGCTGAGGCTGTCCAAGTTGGTGCTCCTCGATGCCGTCGTCGTCGTCGTCAGGCCAGACCGCCTCGAGTTGGAGCGATTATTGTTGCCAGAGACGTTGGACACGCTGGCCGCGTATCCTTCCTCTTCATCATGTTGCTGTGACTGCTGCTGCTGCTGCTGCTGCTGCTCTTGTCCCTCTTCTTCCTCTTCTTCGTGAAGTGCACCCGACGCGGGCTCTCGCTGCGAGCGGTTGCTCGACTCGCCCGAGCCACCCGAGTGTTCGCGGCTCGAGTGCTGGCGGATCGAGGGCGACTGGGAAGCAGGCGCGCTCTGCGTGAGATGGCCCACGTTGCTGCCGCCCTCGAGCACGCTCGCCCTCTGGCTCTGCACCTCTGCTGCCAGGCCTGGATCGCTGCGGAGGGCCGGGTCGTGCCGCGCAAGATGGCTCTGCTGCTCTGGCTCCCTCTCTGCGCGAGGTTCGTCCTCGTCGTTGTCGTCGGCGGTGCCGTCACCGTGATCGCCACCGCGGCCGCCCGTCAGGCGCCTCCAGCCAGCCGCCAGTCCTCCAAAGAGGCCGACGCCAGCGGCCGTGGCGCCTGCTGCTTCGGCAGCACTGTGCCTCTGCTCGTCGTCCTCGTCGCTCTTGTCGTCGTGCGATCGCTCGAATGGATTCTCCAGTGGCTCGCCCGAGTCGACGTCGAGCCGCTCACCCAGCGTTCCCCTCGGCGAGCCCGGTTGCCCCTGGCTCGTCGCCGCGCCCTGCCCCCCACCTGGCATATCTTCATAGATGGGCGCTGAGCTCGATGCGAACCCAAAGCCAGATCGCCGGGAGCCGCTGCCTGACCCACTGCCAGACCCGCTGCCCGAGTATGACGCCGCCGTACCGCGGCCCATCGACGACGATTCGCCAAATTCGCCCACGCTTCGAATCGTCGGCAGTCGACCGGCATGCTGGCCCTTTGTGCCCGACCCAAACGTCGACTGGCCCGACTCTTCTTCTTGTCGAAGCCTCTGCTGCTGCGGTCCTTGCTGCTGCTGCTGCTGCTGCTGCTGCTGAGCCTGGGCGCCTGGGCCCAAGAGGTTGGTGCCAGTGCTGATGAAGCGGCTGTGCCGATCGCGCTCGGGATCTGAGTCCGTCGCGCCACTGCCCGACGTTCGTTCCCCAGCGACGCCACCAGAGGGATACCTCGCCGCCTGCGAGTAGGTGCTGCCGTCGCTCTCGCGATGCCCAGCTGCCAGGGCCGAGAGACCGGCGCCAGCGGCCCCTGCTCCCAGGAGCGCCTCGTCGAAGCCGAGGCCGCGCCCGTGTCGGTCTTCCGACGCATGGGCCGCATCGGCGAGACCGAGGTCGCCGTCGCCAAAGCCACCCGTGAAGCTGGGGATGCGAGTCTGCCGGTCGGCCGCGCTGCCAGAGGGGCCCACGTTGCCGTACGTGTGCATCGCTCGCTCGCCACGGGGCGCCCTCGGCGGTGGCGGCAGGCTCGTCACGGTGCTCGGCGACGCCGTGGGGTCTGTTCTGGCGCCTGTCGAGTTGCTGCTCGCATTGCCACTGGACCCAAGCCCGGAGCGTGACCCAGAGCCAGCGCCAGAGCCAGCGCCAGAGCCAGCGCCCGAGCCAGAACCAGAACCAGAACCAGAACCAGAGGGCGCGTGGATGTCACTGCGGGAGCCCAATGCAGTTCCCGAACGGGAGCCAGTGCCCGAGTGGGAGCCGGAGCCCGAGTGGGCGACCGAGGCAGACGTCGTGGCAGCCGAAGCATAGCCGGGGTCGGCCGTGAGGCTGCTGACGTTGCGACGGTGACTGCGCCGTGGCGAGGCGCCTTCAGCCGCGGCGGCTCCTGCCAGTGCCCCCGCAGCGGCCATCCCCGCCAGACCGGCTCTTTGACCACCTGAGTGGGATCCGCCCGAGTCCGAGGGCGTCATTCCTCTTTGTCGGGCCATGGACGGGCTGCCGAGATCTTGATCGCCTGCGCCAGCGTCTCTTTCACCATCGGCCTCGTCGTCCGAGTGGCGCGTCCAGCCCGCATACATGGCAGCCGCGCCGATGCCAGCTGCACCTGCACCCAAGCCTGCCGCAGCTGGCGCCCATGGGCTGGGCCCAGTCTGCGACATCTCGCTGACGTCGCCCATGTGCGAGTCGTCTGCAAAGTCCATCAGGCCCCGTCGCTCGCCCCGGCCGCCGACATCGTCGTCGTTGCCTGCAGACAGGGCTTGGTCGTCGTCGCCATCTGCGTCCAGGTCATCGTCGTCGTTGTCATCTGCCTGTCTCGCCGAAGCAGCGACGGGCTCATGCCCTTGGCTCCTGCCCGACGACCGTCTCCTTCCAAAGGCGCCTGCGATGCCTGCGCCTAACCCTGCGAGACCGGCAGCCGCGGCGGCCGCGACGCCCTTCTTTCCTCGCGCGCCACTCGTGGCGCCGTCTCCGCCCGAAGGCCCCGAAGCAGCCAAGTTGCGCATGGACCGCATCGGCGACGCCGGCTCGGGTCCACTTGCATTCAGGCTCCTTCGGTTTCCGGGCAAGCTCGTCGAGTCCTGCCTCCTTCGTCCACCGACGACAAAGAAGCCGCTGCCATTGCCGCCGCTCAGGTGGTCCTCCTCCCACTCGTCGCTGCGCATACTGCCCCTCCGCGCACCAGCACCAGCAGCGGCGGCCGCGCCTGCTGCACCTGCCCCTGCGCCCGCTGCTGCCAGTGCCGCGTACTGGCCCCGTCGACTTCCTCCGCGCGAGAAGCCCGACGCCCATCGCTGGCTGGCCCTCTTGCGCATCGACGAGCCAGCACCTGCGCCCGCACCTGCACCTGCACCTGCTCCCTGTGCAGCCATGCGCTGGTTGTTTCTTCTCCGCCTGCGAGCGAGCAGCAGTGCAAGGAGAAGGAGGAGCAAAAGCGCGCCCAGCACGGATCCGATGACGATGCCTGCAATCTGCCCGCCAGTGAGGCCCGACGACGCCCGTGCGCCGCCGCCACCGCCGCCGCCGCTGGGGTTTGTCGTGCTGCTGGTGGGCGCTGCGGTTGATGATGTGGAAGTGTTGCTGCTGCTGACCGAAGACGAGCTCGCGGTGCTACTGGCGGTGCTGCTGGCCAGAGATGCAGAGGCAGACGAAGCCGAGGCCGACAGACTAGATGCAGACGCAGACAGGCTCGCTGCAGCCGTGTCAGACGGGTTCGCCGTGCTCATGTTTGACGCAGAGACCGAAGCAGCCGAGGCTGAGGCGGCAGCTGCCGAAAGCGAAGACGAGGCCGCATTAGAGCCCGATGCCGACGCCGTTGGTGCCGGTGCGCCCGAGGCCGAGCCACTCCCTGATCCTGTCCCTGTCCCTGTCCCTGTCCCTGATCCTGATCCCGTCGCTGATGCTCCTCCATTCCCTGCTCCCGTCCCCGCTCCAGTCCCTGCGCTATCTCCCCCCGATCCTGATCCTGCTGCGCCGGACGAAGCGCCAGCATTGCCGGAGCCCGAGTCCGAGCCCGAACCCGAGCCCGTGGGCGCCGGCGAGTTGGAGCCAGCATTAGAGTTGGAGTTGGACCCGTTGCTGCTCCCCGAAGATTGGCCGCCCGTGGCGGTGGCCGTCGGCGAAGCAGCAGGCGGCGCGGTGCTTTGCGGCTGGCCCGCCGTCGTAAAGAGGGTGCCCAAGTCGGGCGCGGGAAACGGCCCCGTGTAGAGGAGCGGCACATTGACGACGCTGTAGCCCACGCTCGTCGTCTCGCCCGTCAGCACCTGCACGACCTCGGACGGCGCAGCGGTGCCCTGGGGATCATAGGCGATGCGCGTCCGCGTCGTCGTGTAGCCGTGCACCGACGTCGTGTAGGCCGAGTAGGACAAGTAGGTGGGCAGCGGTGCGTCCGTCGGCCCCGGGCCTGGCTCCTGCGTGGGGAGAAAGTCGGACATGGGCCCCCCAGTCGGCGCCTTGGCCACGATTGTCCGCGTCGTTCACGTCGTCGTCGTCGTTGCCGCCTCCTCTGACTATACAAGTAGCAGCGTGCGAGGGTGTGGTGATGGTGTGTTGGGAGACGTGAAGTGCAAAGGTGGAAATATAGGGGCTATGGCGGAGAAGGGAACAAACGATGGAGCATGTCGATGTGTTGTTCACCGATTCTCTCGACGGGACCTCTCTATCTTGCTTATCCCTTTTCTTTTCTTTTCTTTTTTCCTTCTCTCTTGACTGGAAAGGTGAGACACACTTCTGATCTGCTCAAACGAAGAAACAAGGCAAACGATGGGCTGGAGATGCCCTGCCTCTCATACGGCGAGGCGTGCACTGAACCGCATGGAAAAAGGGGCTGTCTGTGCCTCTAGATTCTACCTCAACCAGGACCCGATGCGCGAAGGAAACACACACAACACCAAAATTTGAAAAATAAAGATCAGAAGCCCCTATCTCCACTGACTGTCCTTAGCGCGGCTTCGACAACGCGTGCAGTGCGGTGCGATGCGGTGCTTGGCCCCTCCACCCAGAAGTGAAACCAACACCTCCTCGTCACGGTCCGTCACAGCACCCAGCTGCAGCTACATGTAGCAGCGTTTCACATTTCTTTCTCGTCTTGCCAAAAGAGATATCTTCGGGAAGCCCAGGAGGCAGGAAATAAGGGGGGGAGAGATTAGAAGAAAGAAATCCACAGTCTAAACAGTCGCAATAATCTCCGAGGCGCTCTCGAGGGCCGAGATCATCTTGACGCACTCCTTGCGCCTCGTCACAACGTGGTCCTGCGTAGTCTTGTCAGCTTTGACGTCTCTCTTCATCTAGATTGGGCACACACAAGATACTCACGCTTTCTCGCATCAGCTCGTTCATGACTTCGGACTGGTAGAGCTCCTTGAGCAGCTCGCGTTGCAACGAGTCCTTGGCGAAGGTGACGAGATGGAGCATCGTCGCCTTGGGCACCATGTCGATGATGGTGCGCTTGACAATATTAAAGTACGACATGATCAGCATCCGGATCACCTCGACCTCCATCGTCTCGCGGTCCGTCAGCTGGCCGCTTGCCTTGAGCGACGGGGGCGGCGGCTCCATCGAGGCGTGCTTGGCTCGCTCCTTTGCCGAAGCCTTGCCGCCGCTGAAAAAGCTGCCAAAGAAGCCTTGGTTGCTGATGTTGACATCAAGGTCCTTGTCATTGTTGATCACGTGTGGGTTCTTCTTCGGATCGCTGGGCGCCTGCACCTGGTTCGAGCTGTGACGCTCAGTGACAATAGCCATGGCCTTGTTGCCCGAGATGAAGTCAGGGTGACCAGTGTTGAGGTAGCACGCCTCGGCCAGCACAATGTCGGTCACAAGCTTCGTCGTCGGTTGCAAGCACCGCTTGAAGAAGGCAATGACGACGCTGTTGAACCTTTCCCGAAGCGCAGGGAATCTTCGGAATTGTTGATTCTTGGCAAGCAGTTGCGCGAGGATCCGCACGAGCTCGTCGTAGACAAGGCTGACGCACTTGAGCGAGGGGTCCTCGAGCCGCTTAATCTGCTGCTTGACAATGACCTCGAATGCAGTGGTGCCGACAAAGAGCGCAGGGGATGAGCCGGAAGAATTGTACAAGATCGTTCGAATGTCGGCGTCCTTGACCGTGTCAAAAGGATCAATGGCCCGGACTCCATTCGAAAAGAGCTCATGGAACACGAAGCTGATTCTCGCGCCGCCAGCCAGCTCCGAGACGCTCAGATCGTTGGAGTTGCCGTCAATGACGGTCCGGAACTCGTTGCAGAACTCGGTAATGATGGTAAGAACGATGTTGCCGCTGTTGGCGTCTCCCAGCGGGCCACCCAGGGATGTAAGTTCGGCTTGAAACTTTTGAAGTTGCGTCTGGATTCTCGTCTTGATGTCTGGGAGGGTGTTGCGAATGTGGTGCATAAGGATCTGGGAAAGGACAGGATTAGCCAAGATGTCTCAAAAGAATAGCAGCAGCAACGTCGCCTCACTGTATTGAGCTTCCTGGCCAGGAAGGGGGTTCCGCAGTATTGTGCCTTGCTTCGGTAGCTGGGGTGGTTCTGGAAAAAGTCCCGCTCGGCGTCCAATGCAGCGCTGACAAGCTTCTTTGAGTCAATGTCGCGCTGGCCTCGGTTGACCACAGGGACGTAACCCAGGCGGAGAGGAATGACTCGACCGGCCAGAATATCGACGACGTCAGTCCCCTGGTCCATCAGGTCCACCTTTGTCAACACGCCCACGGTCCTCGTTCCCTCTGGGTCCACCTCGCGGGCCAGCTTCAAGCCGTCAGAGTTGGCCAGATCCGTGTTGGCAGCTGTAACGGCGAGAATGACGGCGTTGGGCTTGCTGATAAACTTGAGCACCATCTCACGGATCTGCCTCTCGATATCTCGAGGCTGGTCCCCAACAGGCACCTGAGGAACAGAAAGAAACGAATGAGCTCTTTCTCACCACCCCGAACAACTGATAAGAGACATACCTTTGTCAAGCCTGGTAAATCAACAAGGGTGAGCGTCAGAACGCTGGGGCTGTAGATACGAAGATTGATAGGCTGCGGGCTAATGCCGGCGTTCTTTCCCGTCTTCAGCTCAGTGTCGCGGACAATCTCTTCTCGGATCTTGTTAAAGTCGTGGAATTTCTCGCCGGGAAGGTGCAAGAACTCTCCCCACTCGTCTGGATTTGTCTCGCCGGGTTTTGAGGCCGGAGCTAGTACTGAGCAGGGTGGAACGTCAGTTTATGAATTACTTCTCGGCCACCTTGAGACCACGCACTCTCTGAAGACTTGGCTGATCCATTGGCTACCGATGAGGCCGCGGGTCTGTTGATGAGTTGCAAGACCAGGGGGCGTCTCGTCACGATGCCCGTACCACGGGGAAGAAAATCACCTGCAATCGTTCTGCTTCAGCATATGTATGTGGCGGCAAGACAAAGCGGCACTCACGGCCTACGATGTTCTCGAGCACCGAAGACTTGCCCCTGCATGATTCGACGAACACTTAGCTTCTTTGTCATCTGAGGAGGATGAGTAGAGCTCGGACTCACGAAGATTGGCTGCCCAGCACTGTGATCTGGGGCAGATCGATGTTATTCTGAATCCCGACGTTGTTGAAGGCATCCTGAAGCTTGTTGACCAGCTTAATGAGAGACTGGTCCATCGCCATCGTGGCAAGCTCGCGAGGATGGAGAAGTAAGAGGCCTGATAGGTGAAACGTTCAATGCGCGACCTCGTCCACAGCCCTTGGAGCTAATGCGATGTAGGGATGCGAGACACGGAGAAGCGAAGGGAAGCTCAGCGGGTGTTGGTTCCGTTGCTGTCGTCGCCTTCGAAGCTGTGAGTGGCCAGGTCTGATCGCGCTGCCCTGGCAAGCTCAGCTGGGACCTATTGTCACGTGGCAACATATGCCACGCGACATTACAACCCGGGCAAGGAGCCTTTCGTCGCAAACATCTACCACTTGCCTTCTTTTCTCACACCAGCACCGTCGTGTCTTGTCCGTCACCGCACGATCACTCTTTGCTTCGACTCTTGCCAGCCGAGGCGAGACGCGCACTCGCTTCAACCCTTGGCACCGGGAAGAGTCATTGGACAGATTCTTGTACAGCACGGCGGTCGGTCGAGGGGGGTGCTTTCCCCCGTCCTAAGATCCAAATTGGACCGCGTCTCGTGCGCATTGGCCAAATCCCTCTATCCCCCCGTGGCGCCATCTGTCAAACAATTCTCCGCTTCTCGCGCGCACGCAGCCACGCACTCGGCTGGGAGAGACGAGAGCCCTCAACTCGGACGATCGCCGGCGTAGGCCTCGTCTTGGATCATGACAGTCAGCCGTAGGAAGAATAAGGCGGTGGCCAAGCCAGATGACCGCACTAGTGAGTTTTAACTTATCTCGGACCCTTGGCGCGCGACACCAGTGTCGCGCCTCGAGGTACTCCACCCCCGCTCAGCAGACGCCTTGGCTAACGATCATGTTCTTGTCTCTTCTTTTTAAGCTGCCGAGTCTGGTGTCCAATACCACTGTGACGTCTGCGGTCTGGACATATCCAGCACAGTTCGAATATCGTGCGCGACGTGCGCAGGGCATCCGGGGCCATTAGACACCTACGACCTTTGCTGCAGCTGCTTCCTCGAAGGAGCCGAAAGCGCGAGTCACAAGGCCTGGCATGATTACCGCGTCGTCGAACAGCATGCCTATCCGATATTCTGCGACGATTGGGGAGCCGACGAAGAGCTGCTTCTCATCGACGGTGCTCAGATCTACGGCCTAGGCAACTGGGCCGACATTGCCGACCACATCGGCAACCGGACGAAAGAAGAAGTTGAGCGCCACTACCTCAAGGTTTACATCGAGGGGCGTGATGGTGCCTCGACAGGCGACATTCGTGCAGAAGAAGCTGTTCGTCGTCATCTTGCCAACCGAGCTCGCCTGCAAGGTAGCCCGCAAGAGGTGGAGGCCAAGCTCCGACGTACGCTTCCTGTGGTAGGGCCCAACATCCACTATAGGTCGGACATTGACGCCGAAGAGTTTCAAAAACGTAAGCGGCGGAGGATCGACGGTCTTCGCGAAAATCAAGCGGCTTTTGGTGGTGTATCCTCGAGTCAAGCTTCTGGCTCCTCGAAGCCAGCGCCACCAAAGCCTCTGGTGAGCGCACCAACATCGCACAGCGAGCTGGCCGGGTTCATGCCTGGTCGCCTAGAGTTCGAAACCGAGTACGAGCAGGACGCCGAGAATTTTGTAAAGGACATGGAGTTCGGTAAAGTTTACAAATTCGGAGGCGAGCTTATGCCAAGCGAACTCGAAGCGTTGGGAGGCAAGGCAGAGCAGGGCAAGTCGAGAATGGAAGCCAGCGGGCGGGGCGGCCCGAGCCTTGGAGGCCGTGGGACGAAAGGAGTGCAAAAGGACAAAGGCGATGAAGGCATTCAAGAAGACGATGACGAGAAGGATGGTGACGACGAGGAGGGTACCACCGCCGCAGCCAAGGATGAAGAAGATGAGAAAGAAGAGGGTGAAGCCGATGAAGATGATGAAGACGACGACGACGACAAAGGAGAGGATCAGAGCGTGACACAGGATCAATCACAGGCAAATCATGACTCTCAGCAAGCCGAGGCTTCTGCGGCAGCATCAGCATCTGCGGCAGCCGCTGGTCAGTCTGCACCTGCTGAAACGGATGACCGAGCTCCCGACTGGGATGAAGACGAGGCCGACCTCGAGATCAAGCTCATGGTTCTTGACATATACAACGAGCGTCTCGAGCGGAGGCGTCGGAGAAAGGAGTTCATCTTCGAAAGGAACTTGATCGATTACAAGAGAGTGAGTGTTTTCGCGAGTATTAAATCAGGCTTCCGGCTGACAGTCTCTTTCTCAGAATGTCGCAGCCGAGCGCAAGCGCCCGAAGGAGGAGCGCGAACTGTTGAATCGTGTCCGCCACTTCGCTCAGTTGCAGACGGCCACCGACTTCGAGGATTTCGTCAATGGTCTTTTCTATGAGGATGCGTTGCGGAGGGCGGCAGCGCAGTTGCAGTCATACCGACGAGCTGGCATTACCACAATGACCGAAGCTGCCCAATTTGAGTCGGAGCAAGCCGAGCGAGCACGCAAGGCGGCCGTTGCCGCCGAAGGGGGTCTTGCGGCCTTTCCCGCGAGTGGGGCTGCTCCTCGCTCGGCCGGCAGGGCAATCCGAGACACTAGCACGCCCAACCGGGATGATTCGGAATCCTCAGCGCCGTCTGCCAAGGCGGGAACCAAGAAGGAGACTAATGCGAAGGACCCGAACAAACCGCCGCGCAAGCCACCGCAACCCATGGACATCTCCAAGAATCCTTCATTGCATCTCTGTACGAGAGCCGAACAAGAGCTGTGTTCAATCGTCAGGATCCAGCCCCATGCCTTCCTCGTCATGAAGAAAGAAATAATCAACGAATACATTCGCAGAGGAGGCAAGCTAACGCGAAGGGAGTCGAGAGTGCTGTTCAAGTGCGATGTCAACAAGATCGGCAAGGTCTACGATCTCCTCGAGCAGCAAGGCTATCTGGCCGCGGCTGCAAAGGTCGGGTGGAATGGGGTTGGAGTACCGCCCGGCTGGAAAGAGAAACCTTCCAAGACGCCTACTTCACTGATTGCCTCTGCGTCCAAGGAGAACAACCATTCGGCCCCCAGCGTCAGCAACGGCGCTCCTCCCCCGGTCTCCGGCTCAAGCTCCAAGATTTCGCTCTCAACTGCATCAACTTCGGATTCGCCTTCAACCCCACACACGCCCTCCCGGTCTACACCAAATGGGCTGGCTTCCACGAATAGCCATAACAAAGCAATGATGGCCCCCAGGTCCGCCACGGCAGGGCCTGACTCTCCCGCAACGAAGAGCCCTGGTCCTGGGCCTGGACCTTCAAACAACCAGAACAACCAGGATGGAGCTCTTCGGGGCAGGCCAACCGCATATACATGACATTAACGTCTTTCGCCCGCCCATCCACCTCAGAACAACCGCGCCCACAGCATCATTCATCAAGTCATCACAATTTCTCTCTGCTCGATGCATCGTACGAATTACACGTTCAATCTCTGGATAAGACTGCCACAACATCCATGGACACCCCTCATCTTGTACCATCTAACTATTCCGCAAGTTTTTCAAGTCCTCACACATCACCATGTAACAATACAATTTTCTTTTGCAAGTCTTTTCCTCTCTGAGATTTCGGGCAAAGTGTTTGATTTCTCCTCTCAAGAAGCGTTTACATTATGGGCGGTGATCCCGACATCGACCGATGATGGGGCAATAAGATATTGAGAGAGAGCCGGACGTTCATTCAAGTTTGGGTCTAATGGGACGCGCTCGCGGCAACGTCCACATGCCCGCCTCGTCCTCTTGCGCTTCCTGCGCTGCCGCGTCCCCCGCGTCCTCTCGCACCTCTTCCACCACCACCACCACCACCACCACCACCACCGCCACGGGGCGCTGAGGGGGCATTGGTAGGTGGTCCAGCTGCATGTCCGTTCGTCTGATGAGTGCCATTCTCCCGAGGTCTGGCACCACCACGTCCACCATTCAGGCCACCTGTGTGTCCATTGAGGCTGAGCGCAGCCAAGTGAGGGTTGATGTCGGCTTGACCATTGGCGTTCCCGCGTCCGTTCGCTTGTCTCGACGGTCTAGCCTGACCCGAAGTAACGTGCGAAAAGCGCACATCACTCTGCACGCTTGCTGCCCCACCACGTCCACCCGGGATGCCGCGCCTCAGAATCTGTACACCGGGCGTCTGTTCTTGCTGCTGCTGATACTTTTGATAACTTGGCGCGGGCTTGAAAGCATTCGGCGGGCGATAGTTGGGCGTCCCAAATTGGTTCGTGGGAGGAGCACCGAGCGTGCGTCCTTGCTTGGGGGCAGAGCCATTTGTAAACGCGTCAGGCCCAAGCGTCCGCTCGAGCGCACTCAAGGCCGGCACAGGCTTAGTGTTAGCCGCAGCCTTGTCGTTACTGTCGAACTGCTCAAATTGAGGTTGCGTCAGGTTGAGCACGGTGGCAAATCCGACGGTGGCTCCGCGATAAGGGCGACAGCGATCGTCGAGGGTGTGTCCCGCCAGGAACGGAACATCAAATACGACATCAATGCTCGTTGAGTTGAGACCGATGACGACGCCTCGAGCTGACATAGGGACCATTCCCGTGTCGGCCACCGAGACGACGCGATCGCCAAGCTCGAATCTCTGGCCGCCGAGCCGGTAGGCGCAATGGGCAGGCTTGAGGAGTGCCGTACGAGGAATTTTGGAGAGCATGACGTGCTTGACCGAGTCCGGCGTCCGCTTCCGTGCGACATTTTCGGTAAACACCTCAATCGAATGCACAGATTGCTTGTCGAGCTGTTCGGAGAAGAGCGGGACAGCTTCGAGATCCCGGACTCCCTTCTCCTTGATCCAGTCCTTGAGTTTCTTCATCTTGGGCTCGGCTGCATCACCAAAGAATTGGTGAGCGTCTCTGAGATCCTCCTTTGGCCGGTCCATGAGCGCCTGAATAATCTCCGGGAACAATTTCCTGTATTCGCTAATTAGCGCCACTGTCCTGTCGGAGAACTCCCATCCGCTGGCGCTCTTGCGACTGTAGCCCAGCACCTTGTGGCCTTTGGCTTCGAATTTGAGGTTGAGACCGATGTTGACGCGCGAGCCGCGCCCTGGCTCCTCCACAAGCATGCTGCTTGTAATCTTTGAGAGGGCCAGACCAGAGATACCCAATTTCTTGCTGAGAGAAAACGAAGGGTAGTACTTCTCTTGAGTGCGGCTTGAGACGAGCTCGTGCAGCTGTGCAGCCTCACGGGCTTGATTAGCAAACACCACGAGCTTGATTGCTGTGTAGCTCTTCGAGGTCGCCTCAACGGTGGCCGGCGAGCCGTAGGCATGATGGCCTAGGAAAAAGACCTTGCTCTGCTCGGGAAATTCCTGCGGGATCGGCAGAGCGGGGCGCTCCTTGAATCGTGCGTCCTCTTGCACCACGTCTTGGACCGAAACTTGAATCGCCTGTTCGACTTCCTTGTCGGCGTCTTCCTCGTAATTCTTTAAGAAAGAGCCATCGTCCATGCGCCGAAGCCCTTTGAGGGGACGGACGTGAAGCAAGATTTCAACGCTGCCGATCAGGACACCATATCGCTTGCTGTAATGATGTTCAATCCGTTCCGCTTTTCGCTTCCATGTCCCCACATAGTCGGGCTTGTGTGGATTTGCGACGATTTTCTTCTGCCCGCCTACCAGACCCATTTCGTACTTGAAGAGGTGATCCGACACGGCCGTGACGAGGCCCTCACGGAGAAATGGCCAAGTGATAAATGTCCTTTTCCCGACCAGATCCTCGGCCAGCTGTTCCGGCTTGTTGTCTTCAAACGTGTTCTCGACGTGGATGACCATCGACTCTCCTTTGCTCTCGCTCTGGAACACGTTGACGCCATGATGGCCCATGCGTCCATAATGTGGAAGCGTCTTGATGCTGGGAAAGCCAGCCAGGGCGCGTGCACCAAGCTCGACGCCGTCGCATAGACCTTTGACGAGATGAAGACCGTCGAGAATAGGCAGGTGGAACTCTTCCAGTTTGGCATGGCAATGGACGATATCGGGAAACATTCCCGGAAGAGACGAAGGATAGAGATGCTCCCTGGTCCCATCGTAGGTGATCAGTGTGCTGGTGCCCATTGTGTTCCTCTGCTTCTCGTCGCTTGTCAGCCTGCCTTCACGCTTGTCCAGGGCTTCGAGAAGTCGTTTCTCATCAATGAAAGGGATCTTGACGACAGCTTCCCAATCCTGCTTTTTGCCGTTGAGATCTGCCTCGAAATTCATCGGGTAGAAATCCTTGATCGACGACGCCGGGTCGGTCATGAGGTCACGGAAAGCCTCGGGGATGTGTTGACTACTGAGCGGCGGCAAGACACCCATGAGCTGATCAAAGGGTCGGAACGGCTTGCCAAGCTCAAAGTTGAACTTCATGTCGCCGACATTACGCAGATCCGAGATCTTGGGACAATAATGATAGTCGTAGAACCAGCCCCATGAGGCTACGCCGTCGTAGTAATAATGCAGGACCCATTGGAGACCTTCGACGTAGCGGAATGCAAGCTGCTTCATCTGCTCCTCGTCATCGTAGTCGATGTGCATTTTGTCCTTGTAGTAAGCTCGCTTCCATTCGTCCATCTTTTGCTTCACAATCTTCGAGTACTCTTCCTCGGCATCGTACTCGTCATCGACATCTTCTGTCTTTGCTTTTTGATACTTGCCCAGGACTCGATCGACAGCCTGCGCGCTCTCTTCGAGATCGACCTCGTCGCCCAGCAGCGTGGAGTCATTGCTGACGGCAATGGCAGGGGCGTCTTCTTCTGGGTCGTACTCATCAAAGCTGATCTCCAGGCGTAGGTCCTTGGCCAGATTAGAGAGAAACCGTTTGTCCTCCGCAGAAGCTTTGCCGGGAAGGAACATTTCACGGGCGGCGCCAGCGGGGTCCTCTCGCTGAGCGAGAAGGAACGATTGCACCTTGCCGAACATGACGCGTTGCTGAGCCGTCAGAACGACATTGCCCTTGGCCCGTGACTTTTCGGCAGCCTTGTTGTTCTTGCCGGCTTTGCGCTTGACCCAGGACATGTCGCTCATCTCCTCCTCGAACTGCTCCTGCTCAAATTTGTTGAGTTCGGCCAAGACGAGCTGGAGTCGGTCTGTCCGCAGCCTGCCATCCTCGTTGAAGTAGCCTCCTGCGCTCGGGAGAACTTTCTTGTAGATGCTGAAGAGCAGGGGAAGGGCACCTTCGTTGATGTGCATACCCGGGAGATGCGGTAAGAAATCATTGCCGACAAAGATGTTGAGCAGGATGAAGTCGTCGATGATGCGTTCAAGTGAATACTCGAACGGCAACGTCGACCGTAAGTCTTGGAATTCGAGATCGAGGTATTCTCGGAAGAGGGAAAGATGGAGCAGGTAGAAATTTTGCTGCTCGAGACTGTGTCGTGGGAATCAGACAAGTTGCTTTGTGCAGGTAAAGTGATGCAAGCTCTCACCTGGCCTTCTTCTTCCTCTGTGGGCCGAAACTGACTTCTTCACGAAGCAAGGCAAAATGCGGATCGTGACTTAATAATCCCAGCATGATGAGATCGGCATCCAGTCCGTAGAGGCAATGTCGAACGTTTGGATTGTACCCCGGCTGCGCCTTGGCTAGTCGGATATACTCCATAATCTTGTGCTCGCCTTCGCCGGGGACCTCGTGTCCTGACAAAACGATCTCGACACCTCGCCATGCCGCATCGTCTGTCACCTTGCGAGCGAGAAAGTACTTGAGCTGTGCGGACAGTCGAGTCATAAAGGGAGTCCCGGGTGTGATGCAGTTTGAGTCGAAGGCGTCCTCCTCTGGGAGCTCCTCTCCTCTGCGAAGCGCCTTTTCACGAACGTCTTTGGCTTCCTTTGCGGTCCGAAAACGCCTTGATCGTTGCTGATTCATCTTCGCGCGCGGCGCAACACCGTCAACGGCCAGGAAGAAGAGCTTCTGAGGTTTAATCTTGGTAAAGACGTGCTCGATATACCCAAAAATGGCGAGGAACATATCCGCTTCGCTCAGCCGAAAATGTGCGTCTGCATCGTTAGGATGTGAACAATTGTGAATCTGCGTGGAAAGAGCCAAGGGTCGTCAGTTGCAGCGTAAGTGAGGTTGTCTGAGAAAGGACTCCTCACGATGCCGTTCATATCCAGATAGAGGTTGTCGAATTCGGGAATCTTGGGACATCTGAGGTCAGCCTCTTCTCTCTGACTCGTGTACTTGAGAGACGAACTCACCTTGTTCTCCTCGATGAGCTGGCTGATGAGCGGATACCGCTCCGACATATTACGAAAGAACTTTGGAATACCTAAGCGACAGGAGGCGCAGCGTTAGCTTGCCGTCCGTCCACAGGATTTGTGACTAGAGAAACTTACCCATGTTGGCGACGTTGTCCTTCCCAGATGAATGTTTGTAAAGCTAAGGTAATGTGCTGTCGAGAGGGGCGCAGAGCAATTCAACGAAACCCGGTAGCGGCGACGGCGATGCTGACGTAGCGAGCGTTATTAAAGGCGTGTTGGGAGGGGCTCCAATGCAAATGGTAGTGTACACGAGCTGGAAGGAGGTAAAAGAAGTCCAAAGGGGAGTCGACAGAAGATGCGGCGGCAGATGAAGGCGCACCTTTCGTCGAAAATTGAAGTGACGTTCAGTGATGAATGAGGCGTGCGAAGTGGCTGATGGGGTGAGATGGAGGGGCCGTGGAGCCTCTCTCGGCCGAGATGCTTATGTCAGTCCTTCGAAGCCGCGTCATATGTGACCTCGATAGAGGATGTCGATTCTTCTTGATCGCCATTCGTTGCAAGACCATTGCCTCGTCACGACAGAAGGTACCGACGCGAGGAGGCGAAAGGAGAGGTTGACTTGAGGGTGGTGCCTAGGGAGAATCATCATTTTCATCGTCCTCGACACTGCCTTATTTCAAAGTAGCGTTCCGCCACTCTTTGATTAACTCCGAAGCATTGGTATTCTGCGTCGATGATCACGGCAAGGAGGCTGGCCGCCACTGCAGGGCGAGGCCGACCTGTGCTAGGAAGCTGCTCTAATGTCAGGACAGCGGCTCTGACTTTTGCTGGAACCCGGCATAACGAAGCGCCGTTGCTGAGCCCAAGGGCGCAATTCGCCGCCGCGACAACAACGGGTTCTCGCCACTTCTCCGCCGGCCTGCCGCTAGCGTATCCAAGGACCAAGGGCAAAGGGCCTGGTCAAGGTCGCGAGGGAGAGGAGGAAGATGGAGAAGCCGACGAGGAGGAAGTGGACGAGGTCAAGCGAGAGGAGCCTGCGACAACGGAACGAAGCGAGACTGAAGGTGTCCAAGCCCAAGCTCCTGCGAGTGGCTCAGCATCTGCTGCAGGAGCTGCAAGTGGGTCAGAAGGCGGATCTTCGTCTTCTGGCTCCGGTTCCTCTTCTACCTCGGGCTCTAGCTCGACACAAGTGTCTCGACAAATGGTCCCTACCCACTACCCTCAGGTGCTGGCGCTCCCCATCACCCGAAGACCGCTTTTCCCGGGATTTTACAAGGCCGTCGTCATTAAGAATCCAGCAGTATGCGCGGCGATCCGCGAGAGTCTGAAGCGCGGACAGCCCTACATCGGCGCGTTTTTGCTCAAGGACGAAGAGGACGACGCAGACGTCATCACCGACTTGAGCAAGGTTCATCGCACGGGAGTCTTTGCTCAAATTACGAGCATTTTCTCCCAAAACTCGCAGAGCGGTGGTGGGGGCAATCGAAAGGAGGCAAACAAGGAGGGGAAGAAGGAAGGCGAGGAGGATAAGGAGGAGGGTCTGACGGCTGTGCTGTACCCTCACCGGCGGATTCGGATAGACGAGCTCATTCCCCCAAGAGGTCAACCGCACGTTACGGAAGACACGAGCGCGGGCGCGGAGGGAACTAAGGCCCCCACTGAGGCAAAGATCGCAAAAGTACACGAGATCCAAGAGGAAGCGCGGTCGGCTGGAGTCGTGCCCGAGGAGAACGACGCTACGAATGCCACAAAGTCGGCATCCTCAGGCACCCACATTCCCTACCAGACCTCTTTCCTGCAGGACTATGCCGTTTCACTGGTCAATGTCACCAATCTGGACCCTAAGGAGTACAAGAAGGACGACGCCCTGATCCGTGCAGTCAAGACGGAACTCATCGCCGTCTTCAAGGACATTGCCCTTCTCAATCCCCTCTTCCGTGATCAGATTGCCAACTTCAGCATCTCTCAAGGGGCAGGCAACGTGTTTGAGGAGCCCGATAAGCTTGCCGACTTTGCCGCTGCTGTCTCTTCAGGCGAAGTGGGTGAGCTGCAGGCCGTACTGGAGTCTCTCGATGTGGGCGAGCGTCTGCAAAAGGCCCTGTTGGTTCTCAAGAAGGAGTTGATGAACGCACAGCTGCAGAGCAAGATCTCCAAGGACGTTGAGTCCAAGATCCAGAAGCGTCAGCGAGAATACTATCTCATGGAGCAGCTCAAGGGCATCAAAAAGGAGCTGGGCATCGAGAGTGACGGCAAGGACAAGATGGTGGAGAAGTTCAAGGAAAAGGCGGCGGAGCTGCGCATGCCCGAGACTGTGCGAAAGGTGTTCGACGAAGAGCTTAACAAGCTTCAGACGCTGGAGCCCGCTGCAAGCGAATTCAACGTCACGAGAGGCTACCTCGAATGGCTCACCAACATCCCTTGGGGCGTCCATTCACCAGAGAACTATTCGATCTCGCACGCCACGGGTGTCCTCGATGAAGATCACTACGGTCTCAAGGACGTCAAGGACCGTATCCTCGAATTCTTGGCCGTCGGCAAGCTTCGTGGCACCGTCGAGGGCAAGATCATCTGCCTGGTCGGACCGCCGGGCGTGGGAAAGACCTCGATCGGAAAGTCGATTGCCCGGGCTGTCGAGCGACAATTCTTCCGATTTAGTGTTGGTGGGCTCAGCGATGTGGCCGAGATCAAAGGCCACCGAAGAACATATGTGGGGGCCATGCCGGGCAAGGCCATCCAGGCCTTGAAGAAAGTTGGCACTGAGAATCCACTTGTGCTCATCGATGAGGTCGACAAGATTGGCCGTGGCCACAACGGTGATCCCGCATCGGCTCTCCTCGAGATGCTCGACCCGGAGCAAAATGGAAGCTTCTTGGACCATTACATGGACGTCCCTGTCGATTTGTCGCGCGTCCTCTTTGTTTGCACCGCCAACACTCTCGACACGATTCCGCAACCACTGTTGGATCGCATGGAAGTCATCGAGGTCTCGAGCTACACGGCCGATGAGAAGAGGCATATTGCTCGCGGATACCTCGCACCACAAGCCAAGGACGCAAGCGGTCTCAAAGAAGCCAATGTCCAGCTCCCTGACGAGACTATTGAGTTCTTGATCAAGCACCACGCTCGCGAGAGCGGTGTTCGTCAGCTGCGCAAGCTTCTTGAGAAGGTCTATCGTAAGATTGCCTTCAACATCGTTCGTGATCACGGCGAGACCGTCTTTCCGGAACCGAGCGAGGGAGAGCTGAAGCCAGCGACTGCTGAGTCTTCTTCGCCGGTCCCATCATCGGCGGAGCAATCTGTGACTCAGGACCAAGGTCATCCTGCAGGATCGGCAGACAGCAACGCGCAATCAGTCACGCCTCCTCCGACACCCGCCGAGGGAGCGGCCTCTTCTACTCCACCACCAGAGTCAAATGCACCGCACGACGGTTCCATCCCTGCTCGCGAGGCCGTGCCGGAAGAAGCACCGAAGGTGACGACGCAAGACCGCAAACCAATGCAAGTCCCCTCTTCCGTCGAGGTGGAGATCACCATTGACTCTCTGAGAGATTACATTGGTCCACCCGTGTTCCACAAGGACCGGTTGTACACGCGTTCGATGCCCGCGGGCGTCTCTACTGGTCTCGGTTATCTGGGCAACGGAAGCGGCAGCCTCATGCCAATCGAGACGACGCTTATGCCCGGCAAAGGCGGATTGCAGCTGACTGGCAAGCTTGGTGAAGTCATCAAGGAGTCTGCATCGATCGCTTTGAGCTGGCTCAAGTCGCAAGCATTCAGCCTTGGTATCACAGCAGACGAGAAGGAGAACCTGCTCGAGCACCGCGACGTGCACCTGCACATGCCAGAGGGTGCCATCGGAAAGGAGGGACCGAGCGCGGGCGTGGCCTTCACGACGAGCCTGGTCAGCCTCCTGACGGGCAGGACACTCCCCACGGATTTGGCCATGACGGGCGAGGTCAGCTTGCGCGGAATGGTCCTACCTGTCGGTGGCCTCAAAGAGAAGCTTCTGGCGGCGCATCGGGCGGGCATTACGCGTGTCATCCTCCCAGCACAAAATCGGCCAAACGTAGAGGCAGACGTGCCAAAGGCCGTCCTGGATGATTTGGAGGTCAACTACGTCCACAACGTTTGGAGCGCCCTCGATGTGGCTTTCGGAGAGGGTCCATGGAGCGAACGATCCCGCGAACTGAAGAGACAGGAGGAGGAAGAAGAGACTGCAAACAAGCAGCGAGAAGAAAGGGAGAGGGAGCGGCGAAAGAATGAGAGAATCGCAGACAAGGCCAAGGCGGATGATGGCGCCAACCAGGATCAGCCCGTCAACTGATTGCGCATCTGTACCTGCTGTCTCCTTTTGTTTTTGTTAGAGGAAAGTTTCACACCCTTGTTAATTAGCACAATCACCAATCACCACCGCTCTTCGAAACGCAATTCATTCAACTCCCCAGACACTGTACAGACAAGATCTTTACCGACACCTGGCATGGACAACGGCGCTACCATGCTCGTCATACTCCTGCTTGCTGATCCACAGTTGGTGGAAGGTGCCCAAGCTTGCCAAGATGCTGCCACCCAACCAAGAGCTGAAGCGTCTTTCGACCTGGTTACCAGGCGAGTGAACCTTGATCTTCTGGCCTGCAGCCCTCAGTCCCAGGTCCCACGACAATCGATCGTTGAATCGGGGCATCGACGCTCCTCCACCGACAACGACGACATTCTGCAGCAGCGTAGCGCGAGAGTCGACGTCTGTCGCAGCAATTGCATCGATAATCATTTCGGAGATTGGCTTGAACGGTTGTGTGGATGGCGCGGGTGGGAGCTGCGGAGCGTTTGAGTGATTCGCTAAAGCCAAAGAGCACGCAAGGAGATACTCACAACCCCTTCGACACCATTCCAAATCTGCGGCGTGAAGAGCAGCTCAGAAGCCCTGTATCGCTCAATGCCAAACGTGTCGTTGTAGCCATTCGGGAATTCGTAAAGTCGAGATGGTCGAGACAAGGCTTGCCTAAGACCCAAAGGTGTGAGCGCAAGGGTTGGCCGATGCTTAAGAAGGTACAGACTCACTGTTCATCCCAGGGAAGATCGAGAACCATCGACAAGCTCTCCTTGGCATCGTGCAGCGTCCGCATCTCGTAGTACTTGTGCAGTGATTCAGGTGTGCTTGCCTTTCGCTCCTCGCGCAACTTAGCGACGGCCGTGTGACCAGCCTGAACGGGCACCTTGCTCTTGACAAGGTACTGGGGCACAATGTCGACAGGACCACCCACGCGGCTCGAGCCAGCTGGTGAATGCTTGAGGTCATAGAGAAGTGCCCGTGAGACAGCGTCGCCTCCGACTCCGGCCTGCCTCTGGATGCCCTTTCGAAGAACAAAGCCGTCGACGACAGGAATCGCCGAAGAGTGCGATGCGCCAACATCAACGATCAAAGCCGTCGGCTTGCCAGCCGAGAATCTGAGCAACGAATCAGCATCACTTCTATAAGCGAAGGAATGAACGGGAACTCACGAGCTCAAAACCGTCGAGTTAGCAAGGTAGAAAGCAGGGACGTTGAGCCCTTCGAATGCCATCTCGGTGAGTTCTTCACGCGCCTCGCGAGTGTTCCACGATGGTTCTGTGAGAAGGAGCGGATGCTCAGACGTCTCTGCGCCCATCGAGTCGGCAAGAGCGAAGCGTGTGAGGGCCAGCAAAGAGGCCGAGGATGTCACTGTTTTGGCCGGTGAGCCGGCTTGTCTTTCATCCCCTTAGAACACTTGGACTCACAAATACCATCTTCGAAGGGGTTGCCGATCTCCATGTCTGGTCTCCAGATGTTGACACCCGAGTCACCTACGAACCTCTTTCTGCTCTCAGACTTGAGCTTTTGCACTTCCCAGTCCGATGGCCCAGCCTTCTTGACAGCAGCTTCCCCAGGCTCTTTTGTCTCTCCGTTCTCTCCTTCGACCGCACCGCCGTCAGCGGTCTCGACACCTTCCATCGCATCGCCATTAGCAGCTGCCTCCGATCGAGATCCGATCTGCATCTGTAGCTCCTCGTCCGACGCTGGCATCCATCCGTAGTAGCTCGGGATCAACGCCCGTGGTGTGTCCTCGCCTGCCCATCCCGCTCGCAAGCTCGACGATCCTGGATCGACGACGATGGCAGAGATGTCATCTCCTCCGTAGATGCCCGGCATTGCTTCTCGAGATCGGCCTTGTTCGTCGTCTTCTTCCTTGAGGGGGGGAAGAAAGTGAGCGCGACGCGCCAGTGGATGCAGATTTCGGCCGAATTCAGTTCGACGCCATCTATTCATTCAAACATGGGCGAGCAAGCTACTGGCGATCATGTCGATTGCAAAAAAGAGCCAAACATGACTACTACAATGTCTTCAAATTAAGCCCAGAACTCTGCCGGGTCAAAGCGATCGAGGTCGCGCTGTGCCGTCAAGGCGGAGAGGTCAGGCCTGTCCATGAGCTCGCAAGCGACGCGAAGCGTCTCCCAGAGGCTACTTGAAGTCACACCATGACTCTCGCCCTGAGCACCACCGAGTTGATCGTTCTCGGTTGCCTCACTCTGCAGAGTCAGAGCGGTGTAAATATGCGACGCTGCATCCTTGTACATCTGTTGGACATTTCAGTCAGCTACGTTAGTCATGAAAGGGAGAGATCTGGGAGACTGACCTTCAGATTGAGGCAGGAAATGCTCAGGTTGAAGTGACACCTGACGAAGCCGGGTCGCAGATCAAGTGCCTGGTGATAGTAGCCAAGAGCTACGTCGCTCCTGCCACTGTTGCTCAATGTTGCTCCCAGGCGGTTGTACAGAAGCCAATCGTCAGGCCGGACCTCCAGTGCGGCCGAGAAACAGTCGACAGCCTTGTCGTAGTCTTCTGAGGCGTTGAATAGCACACCAAGGGCAACTTGAACGTCTGCATCAATGCGATTCTGCATCGATCCGTGTCTAGCCAGCGCCATCAGAAGGTTGGTGAGACGTTCATGACGTTGCGCATGCGTCGGCAGCGTTGCGCTCGTCACATCGCCGCGCTCGCCTTGAAACTGCTTGACGACATCGTTGTATTCTGGGCATGCGCCGATCCACCGCTCGGTTGCTTCAAACGCGGACATCCGGTCATTTTCGTTGGTGTAGCTCACGGCGAGGGCCAGCCAAGCGTCTTTGAGCGTAGGGTCGAGCTGAATCGCTCGATGGAGAGCGGCGATGGCCAGGCTCTCCCGCTCGTTCTCCTGCTGCTTGATGCCCAAGTCGAGCCAAGCCGTGGCATTGTTAGGATCCATCTGCACAGCCGCTTCTTTCTCCAGGACGCTCGCCATGTCAGCCGGTACGCCAGCGGCAGCGTGGCCATTGATGTAAGGGTTCGTCTGATGGAATCGATACTCAGGCGCTTTGTCGGCCGATCTTGGAGGCTGCAACGAAGGCTTGAAGCCAGCCGAATCGGCCTCCCAAGCATCCCAATCGTTCTGCAGCTTGTCCCACTCTGCACTCTGTGCCCCTCCGACGCCCTTTCCTTTTGTGCCCTCCCACCGCCGTCCGACGAAATCCTCCGAACTCAGCCGGTCCACGAATTCTTCCTCCTGCCCAGCGGCCGCGTTGGGAGCGGTGGTGCCGTAGGCACGATTGTTGAGACCCATGTACTTTGCAAACAGCTCGTCGTCCTCCTGCCGTCGCTCTAGCACATTGCCTCCATCGCCGGCAAAGCTTTTCTGCATCGCTTGACGCTCGATGGCCTCACTCCTGGCATCCTCCTCGGCCCACATCTCATTGAGCTCCTGCCGACCTTTCAACTCGTGCTCGAGCGCCGTCTGTCCAAGCAAGCCCATATCGCTTGGGGTTTGAGCGGCCAAGCGTCGCTGGAGCGAGGGCGGCAACTGCCCATTGGTGATCATTTCGTCACGCTGCGAGCTGCTCATTTCCCTCGCCTTGCCCTTGTCTAGAGAAGAGACAGGTGCTGCATCTGCTGATGCGCCGCCAAAGCTCTCGCCCTCGACGATGTCGGTGCCCTGAATTCCAGCCTGCTTGTCCCTGATCTTGCGCATGAGATTGAGGAAGTTACTCTTCTTGAACTTGTCGCTGGTATCGTGCTCAACTGTGGAAACGAGTTTGCCCGCCGTCCTGGCGAGCTCATCAGCCTCGTGAGGGTCCGTGATGGGCCGCTGTTGCTGTGCTTTCTGCTCGGTGTGGGGCGCCATAGATTGAGGTGGAGAAGCCGGTCTCTGTGAGTCGTAGGCAGTGAAGGCAGTGTCCCATACAGAGTCATCCGCCCGTTGAACCGAGCTTCCTTGGACCTCTTGAGGTTGCTGCCGGTCCTGGTGCTGCTGTCCGTACATCGGCTGCATCGATGCTGGGTGAAAGCCGCCTTGAACGCCCATCCCCATCATATTGAGTCGGCCGATTCCTGGTCCCATCATGGGTTGCTGATACCCAATATGCTGAGATTGCTGCGAATGTTGCTGATACGAGCTAGCATGCGATGGCGATGCCGACATGGTACTGGGCGACGATTCTCGTGTGTGAAAGTCTCTCGCCCAGCCATTCTGGGCCGGCACATGAGCCCGAGCATGCGCACCGGTGGATGGACCGGGTCGGAACGAGGCTTCGAAGTGCTCCGTACGGGATTGCTGAGACCAAGCACCATCAAGATCAGCGTGGAGATGTGGTCCCTGGGGCCCCACAGGTGGCGCAAAGGGAAGAGCGCCTTTGAGAGGTGCTAGATCAAAGGCATGCGCCTGCTGGTGCTGGTGGAAGAAGGCCGGGTCGGCAGACAACGATGGAGATGGTCCCCCTGTTCTAAAGGAAGCCTTTTGAGAACGACAAGTGAGTGTCAGCTCGCGAAGAGTGGCAAGCCACGCCGATACCACTTACGCTTTGGCTGGATTCGGCTGCGCCACCATTGCTAACGCCGTCGAATCGGTCGAGCTGCGACGAGCGGTCGTGACCGAATCTCTTCCCGAGATTTTGCAGCGGATTCGACGGGCCACAGCCTGCCCCTCCCGCAACGAGATCTGAGAACGACATTTCCTACGATCTCAATCGAGAGGTAGCTGTTGGATGTGAGAATGGAGAGCGCGAGATCACAATCGGAGAGCAATCCCTTTGAAAGTGTACCCCGTCACTTCGGGTTTAGAAGACACCGGAGGGCCGATTTTTGCCACGTGTTTCTCAGAATTGGCAGTGGAACGGTGGCGACAAAAGTCCGACTGCTTTCTAAGGCTGCAGAATGAGACCCGTCGATGCCGACCACTCCTGTGACTTGGGGTAGACATTAAAGGATGGCCAGGAAATAGGTCGGTAACGGTGGTTATATGAGGAGCGCAACACCGCATTGTTGTCGAGCGCGTCCCGCAGGCACGGCGACAGCCAAAAGCTTTGCCTGGACATTCTTCAGACGAGCATTCTCAAGCGAAAGCCTCTTGTAGAGCAGGAAGAAAGCCGAGTACAAAGTCAGGTTGGTGAACAAGAAGCCTATCTCTGGGCGCAGCCCAGAAGAGACATAAATTAGGCGAAGAGAGCTAACGTTCTAAGGGTAAAGTACAGTACAACAAGGTTTCTGGTATCGCAAGGAGAACAATGCATCTGAGAGGGCTTGCAAGGCACGGTGCCAGACCGTGTATGGACAAGTTTATGGGCTTGAGTGGTTAGGTCGCAACAGCCGCCTTCCCCATTTTTGCCGAGCGGGCATCCTCCTCGGGCAATCGATGAGTCGATCGATCCTGCTGCTGCTGTTGCTGCAGCAACTGGCGAGGTGTGTGAGCGGAGAGGGGATCCGAGATTTCGGCAACAGGTGAAGGCACCTGTATTCTGAACAGAGGCGGAAAGTAGCTCTCGGGAGACAGGCTTGCTGCGTGGCTATTTGTTGAGCCTAAATAAGGCATGGATAGCGTTCTTGAAAAGGGAAAGGGTGGTGGCGACAGAGTGCTGAGGCCCGTCTCACTTTCGGCGCTTACCGGAAGTGATGCAGTGGGATGTTGCGTCGTTGGGGTGCTCATCGGGGAGGAACGAGGGGAGATTGGTCGTCCCACGGCAGCGGCGAGCGATTCGCCCGCACCTGAACGCGTGCTCTCCCAAGAAAAGGTCGATGGACCAACGAAGGAAGCGGAAGCACCCTGGCCAGCGACGAGCTGTGGTGGCACCAAAGCGCTGTGACTCGAATTCGAAAGTAAACGCGATCTCCTGCGTCGCCTCTCTGGCACTGCAACAGCGACGTCCTCTGCTGCATGGCTGCCCGATGATTGTGACGAGTTAGAGCGGACAGACGCGGTGGCTTTGAGTGCTCTGCCAGCATTTGCAGTCGACTCAGGCGAGCTTGCCAAGTTGTGAGAAGAGGTCGAAGAGGGTATCGTCGCAAAGCCTGACCCAGACTGCGATGCAGGAAAGAGACCCTCGATTGATCCGACGGATTGTGGCCGCGAGCCCGAATCGCTGGTAAACGATTTTCGATGACCCCACGATTCCGCCGGCCAGGCGGGAAGCCAGGACATTGACGGCGATGCCAAGGTGCCCGAGCTTCCAGATTCGGACATGTTCGACGCTCCAAAGGATGGAGTCTGGGACGGTGAGTTGACGCCGGTCAGGGATCGCGTCGTCTGGGGCCGTCTCGTAATGGCTGATGCTCGAACGGACTGGGATCTTGCTTCACCCTCACTCGAGTTTGTAGAGCGCATAGGTGTTCCGAGAATATTCAGTGACATCCACGAATCGATGCTCTTTCGGCGTTCATCGATCGAAAGCCTGCCCAATCTGGCCTCCGCTCCCGACGTTGTCTCCCTCTCTTCTCTATCTGCGAGTCCAATCGTAGAGCGACTGCCGACAATTCGTGGTTGTGGATCCTGATGGGGGTCAATAGGTTCTTGAGGGCTCGGAAATGTCGGTGAGATTGCTCTCTCGGAAGACGATGTTGAATGCGCCGCTTGTCTTCGAGGTCGGACCACGATCTGCGAGCGGATCGAGAGGTCACCCGTCGCTGATGAAGAACTTGTGCGCCTATGCATACCGGCACTACCGCTTGCAAAGAGCGTTGAAGAGGTCGCCGAGGTCTCTGTCGAGAGAGAGTCTTCCCCAACTCTATCCAGAGCAGAGCCATTCAATTTAGAAGCTCGAGCGACACCACCCCTCCGTCGCACGTCCTCAAGTCCGGGAGCGACAGCGCTCGCTGGTCTTCCAGGTACTTTGAAGCCTGCCGAATTGCGAACAGGGCTTGTACTCGAGCTTGGTGTGCGAGATCGAGGTAGGCTATCGGTCCTGACAAGCAAATTGTTGTCTGTTGTGTCCAACGCTGAAGATAGCGCAACATTTGAAGGGAGCGAACTACGACGCTGGCGGTTGCTGTCAAGGCGATCGGCGCTCAAAGGCCTGCCAAGCTCCCACGGCTTGCCACGAAGGCTGCTTAGATCCTTTTCGCTTCCACGCGATGACAGACGTATTCCCTGATAGCCATCAGACTCGGTCGGTGACGCGCACTCGGATCTTGAGGAGCTGTACTTGGTCATAGAGCTCCCAGCGCAAAGATGCAACGGTTCTTTACGAAGGTACTCGACGACAGCCTCCGTGTTGACGAGGGCCCAACTAAAAGAAAATTTGTTAGTGTTCCCGCACGGATGCGACAGTAGCAGGTTCGTGCAACTCACTTGAGTTCTGCAGAAGTGGCATCGCTTATGCCAAAAGCGCGGACATAATAAAGAAGGCTGTGAAGACGGCGAGGAGCAGCTCGGACGACCACATAAGAAAGAAGAGGAAGTAGATCGTCTGTTCCCAACTTGGTCTTCCTCAGGTCGAGAGATGCAATGCCAGTCCTGCTGCTCTGTATCTGCGTTCGCTCCACGACCGCTCCAATCTCATCAATGATCGCTTTCAAAACGTCTAGCGTGTCGAGCGGTGTGCGCATCCTGACCCTGCCACACTGCTGGTATGCTGATGGAGGCGCATCGGTCCAGGCATCGACGTACGTCGGTAGTGCGCCCTTTTCAGCAAAAGCTCGGATGCGAAGGGGGTCGGGAAAGCTGAGCAGGTAGTCGAAGTCCTCTTCTGGGTCGCCGAGGCAGCCCAGCAGCCTCACGGCACGATCAAAGAGCTCTGGCCGACCCCTAATGCTATCTGGCTGGACTTGCAGGTCTCCCATCGTCACGTCGCAGTCATGATAGGTTGCAATGATGCCGTCAAGAGCGTCGTCTGCCTGCCACTGAGAAGCCCGGATTGATCCGTAAATTTTGCCATGGCAGTAGCCCAGGACGACGTTCTCAAGAAGCAAAAGTAGTTGACCTCTGTCCTCGGCGCTGAAGAAGCGCTCAGAGCCTTCCGAGCCCTTTGCTACCAATGCCGTTGTAGCAGCAGAGGATTCGCCTTCGACCTTCTGTTCCTGTGCTCGACAAGCCGCTTCAAGGCCGACCCAGACCTTGGCGAGGATCCCCCTTCGGATGCGCGACACGTTGTATGCATCGAAGCCGGGCACGTAGACGTAGGCGCTCGTGAATTCCGCTGTTGCTCGGGTCACAAATCGAAGTGCTTCTGCGAAAGGTCCTGCATATTGCGACGAGGGGTCGAGAAGTTTACTGAGGTCAGCGAAGAAATGATGAGCCATCGGTACCTGAGCCAGCGAGAATGCCGAGCACGGAGGCTGGTCGGAACGCATATCAGGCACGGTGGGCGACCTCAACGGGTCCATCGATGGCTCCCTGCTTGGAAAAGCAATCGAAGCTGCGCTTGAAGGCACTTCGGAGCCGAGCTCAACGTGTTCTTTCGCGCTCGGCCCCGACATACGCTGAGGAACAACAACGCCGTCCACAGTGACGACGCGAACCTTGATACGTTCCTTCTTCGTCGCCCTCTTGACGCCTTCGCCGTTGCTAATAGTCCGATAAACAGTTGTCTCGTTGGAAACTCGAAGCGACTGCTCATAGACTGTCGTCTTCTGTGAACCAGTCAGACGAGAGACGAGCCAGTGGACCGACTGCGACTCTGAGTTGAGCGTAACAGTGACCGAGTACTTGTCCCATCCCGAGCCCGTGGTATCTTTTTCACTATCTCCCGGGGCATCCAGCGGGTGTGCCGGCTTGGGAAGTCCGTCTTTGTCGTCGAGCTGCGCATACACCTGCGGCTCAGACGACGTTGAGACGTACTGATCCTTGAAGAGATGTGATGGTACGAGTGCATGAAGGCCGACGTAGGAATCCTGGTCCAGGGGTAATTCCTCGGTGTTCCTCTTCGCTGGCAGGACCACGAGCCGAGCGGTCGACCATGCCCGGGAGAGCGAGGCACTTTGGGTGAGACGTTGGTATAGTGGATTGTCTTCGACGTCGTATTCCCCCCGCCCGTCCTCTTCGGCGGATTCTGTGCTCGTGCCATGACCCAAAGAGCTGTTTGGAAGCCCTGCCATCTCGCTCTCGGGCACGACGAGCCCAAACTGGTCCACGTGCATCGACGAGCCCGCGAGCTGTGAGTGCGACGGAGTACCCAGCCAGGAAGAGCGGGAGCCATTCGAGTAGCCGCGAAGCATAGCGTGAGCTCCGAGACTGGCCGACCTCGTTCGCCCTCCTTCATGATGATCAAAGGTCAGAGGCGAGTCCAAGGCGGACCGCAGGCTGTTGACTGTGAGCACCGGCCGTGCCGAGTGCGAGGACCTCGTGTCCGTCTCTGAGGAATGCCGCAACTGGCCAGCCAGCTCGCCATTCGCGTCTTGCCAATGATCATCAAAGGGTGAGTGATCGTCTGCGAGCCGAGGGCCATCGGCCTCCCGGCGCGCCTTGCCCTGCTGCTGCTTCGAGATGCGCTTCCGAAAGAATTTCTGCAGTGCGCTCGCCATGGCTGTATGACTGTGCCAATAGCAGAGGATTGTTTCGTCAGGGACCGTCAAAGATCGTGGTGGGGTGTGCGCATGACGTTAGGGTAGTCCAAGTGCCACAATCAGGAGGACCTCATGAAAGGAGAGAGACGAGTGCGCGGCTTTTGTGGCTGCTGGTCCAAAGTGCGGATGGGCGGTGCTGGCAGTGCCGACAAGAAACGACTACGCGCGCTGGTGCTGAACCCAACAGCGTTGAGGACGACGTCGACGATGGCGGCGACGACAGAGTAGTCGACCGAGCGGTCCCTCAAGAGGTTACCCGCAGAGTGTGGAGAGGAGGATACGGGGCTGGTAAGGAGAGCAGAGTCAAGGTGCATAAAGGTTAAAAACACAAAAAAGGGCACCAGATGTGCACGCTAACAGCCTTGGAGGCAATTTGATACGGGCCATAAGGTCCGCTCCTGACAGGTCACCTGCATGTGCTTCTTCGCAAAGCCTTGTACTAGGAAACCAACTTGCAGAACCCTAAACGAGGTGCATGCATCTTATTCCAGCTGGCTCATCCGTTTGTTCGGCTTCCGCCACTAAGTTGTCTCTCATTTGCATGTCCTGCTCCTTGGCTTCGGCCAAGAGCGACGACAGTCAAGTCAAATATTCAGCTGGTCGTGTTCTGGGCGGTGAGGAAAGGTGTATCAACATTGGTATTTTAGACGCGTTTCTCACGTGTCTCGGAGCTTTAAGGTTGGCAAAGCAGCTTCTTGGCCCTTTCTTCCTTTTCGATGGGTTCCGTCGAAGAGCTCGTCAAGGAGCTAGAAGCGTTCGCAGCTTCCACGACGGCGGGCGCAGGATTGCAAGACAACCCGTCACTGCCTCCTCTGCATGAACAGAAAGAGGCAGCACAGCAAGTAGCAGAGGAGCTTATCGCTCTCCAGTCCATCTTTGGCGAGGATAACGTGCAGCTGCTTCAACTTCGACGACCAACCGATGCAATAGCCCATTCGAGACCACAGAAACCAGCCTCAGATACCGAAACCAGCGAGAGCTGGGATCCCGAAGTGACCATCAGATTGTGCATTGCCTTTCAAATTGATGCCGAGATACCAGACAGCGACGAGCCCCCATTGGTGCGTCTGTCGGCTACTCTCCCGCCCTCTTACCCGATAGACGAGCACGCACCCCAGCTGCAGCTTCTCAATCGCTACATCGGTGCACATGGCGTTGATCACAGCCTATTTGGCTGTGTTCTCCGCGTATTCATGGAGGGAGCGGGGGCCGACGATAGTCGTCAAGGTCTTTGGCAGCCGGGGAACGTCGCTCTTTTTGATGGCATAGAGAAAGTGAGGGAACTCGTGCAGTCATGGTACGAAGAACGAGAGGGCGAGAGGGTAGCGAGACGCCTGGCAGACGATTCGCATCGCTCGCAATCCATCACCTCGTTTGATCCAGACGATAAGCGAGAGGATGAAGCTGACAGCGCTATGGATGTGGGGACAGGCGAGCCAGAGCGACAGAAGTTCGAGATCATAAGCTCGCCTCCAATCGCCGAGCGCAAAAGCGTCTTTGTCGGTCATGTAGCGAGAATAAAAGACTCCTCGCAGGTAAGCTCTTCACGAAAGCCTTTTTGCATTTGTCTGATGTTGATGAATTTGCCTCAGGTGCCGCTCATCATTGAGCAGCTCCTTCAAGATCGCAAAATTGCCCGTGCGACGCATCCGGTCATTCACGCATGGGTATGCAAGCCAGACGGCGGCGGGACCGTCCACCGCGACTGCGACGACGACGGCGAAACGGCAGCAGGAGGGCGGCTTGCTCATTTACTCGATCTGCTCCATCTCGAAAATGTCGTCGTTGTGGTGACGAGATGGTACGGCGGAGTGCAATTAGGCGCCGACCGTTTCAAGCTCATCAACCGAGCCGCTAGAGACGCGCTCGAGGTTGCGCGCCTCGTCGATGGCCCTCTCAATCCGAGCGAAGAGGCCCAAAGGGGCATTTCAAAGAAGCAGCAGACGAGCAGACGATGATCCATGACATGTTGTCTATTGTAATAATACCATTTTATCGAGCAATGCAGTCTTGTTGAGACCAATGTGAAGACGGTTTTTCTTGCTCGTCAGATGTCGGGACACGGCAGACGGATCTGCCCTTAGGTGGAGGCCGTCGGCTTATCAAAAACAGGAAGAGGAAAAAAATCGAGGTGATGAACTATCGCCGCCACTTGGAACATTGACATCAAGACAGCATGTCTACCGTCGGAACTCACGCCGAGTACGGGGATGCCAAAAGGCGACAGGAGTGAGTCGAGGCCTCTGTTTGTTTCTATGCAGGGAAGATTCTGACATTTGGACGGGCCAGGCAATACAATGCGGCTATGGTGGGAGGCGCAAAGGGTGCAAGCATGGGTCTTGCCGCTGCACTCCCCACTGCATACCTGCTCCACCAGCGGTGGGCGCCGTTTCGAGGCCTGACGCTGCCGCTCAAGGCGTTTTTCGTCACATCTGCCACCGTCTGTGCTGGTGTGATCGCGGCGGACAAGAGCGGAATCGCATTCGATCAGGAGCACTATAGCGACGCAGGTGCGCAGCAGGTCCGGCGATTCCAATCAAAGGAGGAACAGGAATGGTCTCAACTTTCCGGCACGGACAAGGCCCTGATGTGGGCCAAAGACAACAAGTTTGGCGTCGTCGCAGGGAGCTGGGTCGCGTCCATGGTACGTCATCCTCGGGACACGTCGTAGGCGCTCTTATTCTCAGCGGTCGATTTTCATTCTTTTTCCTCTCCTCACAGGGCGGAATCTTCGCATACATTCAAACGCAGCCCATGAGCTTCGCTCAGAAGCTGGTTCAGGCCCGTGTTTGGGCACAGGGCCTGACGCTGACCAGCTTGCTCGGCATGGCTGCTATCACGCAGATCCCAAGCGCGGGCGACAAAATCCTCAAGGAGCGAGGTGAGGCCAGCGAACACAGCTGGCGCGACTTCGTGGGAGACACAGGAGACGGTGACAAGGTGAGAATACATGAGGGCTCAGATCTGTGTGAAGGGAGGAAAGGCGGGCGAGGACCCGCAGCCCCGACAAACCCCGTTCACGAGCAGTTCCGTCCACGTCCGTTTGGGAGAAGAGAAGCTGAGTCTCATTTCTCGCCCTACAGGAGATCAAGCGCTCGCTGCAGAGGGGTGTCAAGGATCGCACCAAGGAGGGACAGCCAGAAAAGAGATCATGACACGCCATCTTTAGAAGGTAGATTGCAATGTACAGAAATACAATGCGAGTGGCAAGGATTTGCGCCGAGCTTTCCTAGCCAGATGTTGTGCGACAAGATGCTGCCTTGAAATTGAGGAGGGATGTCAAAGGCGGACTTCGACATAGGCTGGTATTTCTCAAGAGTAGATGGAGCGGTGCGGTGTGATAAAGCGCGACACGGCGCGGAGCGGCGTGGGGGACCGTTGCATTTAGAGGGCCGACGGTCCCTACTGAGAGCTCGCTTAGAAAGCCGGTGGGACGGGCTTATAAGGGCACGCCGGAATCACTGTGTTCTTGGCCCCTGCCGCTGTTGTTTGGCCTCGCTTCTTGCACTCTTGACTCTTGACCCTCTTCCTTTTCCTTCAAATACTGCCCCGTCTCTAGAATCTCGAGGGGAGCCCAGCTCGCAGCGAACGGCGAACCTTTCTTCCCCTTCTCCTACACCGACCATGATGCTCTTCAAACGGATCCCCATCACTCTCCTCGCCTTCGTGACGGTGTCGCTGCACTTTGTAAATGCACAAGGCGCGGCGGAGCTCTCGCGCCGTCAGACCGCTGTGACGCAGCTGAACAATGACAATACCAAAACTACGACGGTGACCGACCAAAAGAGCAGTGGCTTGGGCAGCTCATTTGCTCAGTCTGCTGTTACCACACCCATTGACAGCAAGGTCCAGACCAATGCATCGCCAGCGGGTACCACGCCACCTGCAACTACGGGTGGCACCAAATCCCAAGACAACACCTCTGTCGACGCGAACAAGACAGCTGATAATAACAAGACGACTGACAACAGCAACACGACGACTGATCAAGGCCAACAAGGCAACAAGAACGTCGACCAGAACAACACAACATCTTCCACGCCTCCTACGATTTCTTCCACGCCGACCACCGAGAATATCACTTCGACGGTGCCGACGACTGCTCAGCCTGTCAACAATGCTAAGGTCACCGTGAGTAGCTGCCTTTTTCAGATTTTTCCCAATGGCAAGGTGACTGATATCCGATTTTCACTTTAGTACACGGTTTCGCAGAACATCGGGGCAGACAACACCACAGGCCAGCTTGGCGTCAGCAACGGAGGCACTCTCAGCTCTTTCTTCTCACCCATTGATCAGGGTTGCGGTGTCAACTGGAGCAACACCGCTGTCGGTGGTGAGTCTATGTATCTCTCTGTGACTTTGACAAGATACCGTGCTCACAAATTATTTTGGTCTAGGTGGATTCAACGCTGCTCTGCCAGGTGGCGGCCTGGGCGGCGGATGGAAGAGGGAAAACTCCGGTAACGTCGAAGTGGGCTTTGGCTATTCGAGCAAGTCCAACCAACTTGGGTTAGTCTTGCACTCCACCTCCTATCCACTTCTCGATTGTGTTGCTGACCGTGCAAGTCCAGTTTTGGCTTGAAGTGCGATGGCAAGAAAGAAGTCATCACTCTCACTTCAAAGCATGAGATCAATTGCAAGACGGTTCACCACGGCAAAGAGGACAAATGGGTTCTGACGTGCTACACGACGCCCGGCTCGATGAACAAAGTATCCAGCTACAATAAGCCGGGCGGCAAGAGTTCCTACGGTTCTCACTTCAAGCCTCACGGAAACGGCAAGAACAAGTCGCCGAACAAGCAGGGCACCTCTGGTTCGCCTCCTAGCTCTAACCAGTACAACAACCAGACATCCACGCCTCCTACCGTCCAGCCCACAGACCAAACGTCGTCGACGCCTCCCACCGTTCAGCCCACAGACCAGACATCGTCGACGCCTCCCACCGTCCAGCCCACAGACCAGACATCTTCGTTGCCTTCTACGGTTCAACCCACCAATCAGACTTTGTCGACGCCTCCTGCCGACCAGCCCACCGTCAACCAGACAGTGACGCCTCTGGCCGATCAGCCCACAACCAATCAGACGTCGACGCCACTTGGTGACCAGCCCACGCAGCAGACGTCGTCCGTTCCTACCAATCAGCCTACTACCCAGTCAAACGACGTGCCCACGAAGCAAGTTCCCGACAACTCTGGCAGTCAACAGCCTTCGACTGCACAACCCTCATCTTACCAGCACTCGTCTTACACGAGCAGCTATGGCAAGAAGCCTTAGAGCATAAAAGCTCAGAGGTTGTCTCATCGTCTTCTACCCCCCCTTCACTGTCTGTCCAATCACTCATTACCCCCAAAGCTTAGTTCTACAGAGAACAGCGAAATCGAACAATCTTTCACCATCCTTCACTCTTCTAGCGTCAGGCGGCACATAGACGCTGCGAAAGCTAATCCCTTGACAAATTGCGCGGCAAAGAAAGAAAAGGGTATAGAAATACATAATAATAGCAGTGTTGATGTTGTGTGATCGAAGGGTTCTTGGTCGTCGGCAAGACGATGTGGAAAGTAAGTTTACTTGAAGAGTTCCAAAAGCGCCTCTACGTCCAATTTTGTACCTCCTTCGAGCAGATGCTGACGAATTGTCAAGCCCGCCAAGCAATTCGCGATACGGACGACGAGCTGATGAAGAATATTTCCCAGCTCCTCGTCTGGCGCGTCGTCTCGGATGCTGCAGATGAGAATCTCTGGATGGTTGGCGACGTGCGATTCCACCGCCTTGGCACGTGCAAGGGCCGACGTCATCACCGAAGATGACGACGTTGTCGCTGGCGCAGCGATCGAGCCGAGAGTGGGCGGCGCACCGGCCGACAGCGGTCGTGACGATTTCGACTGCACGAGTTCGCTGATTCCGGGGAAGACATGGCCCTCTGAGAGGCTCTCAAGACGTAGACATAGGTATCCCAGCTGCTTGATCTCGTCGATAGACAACAGTTGCACAGTGGGCTCGAAAACCCTCGGTGGCTGCATCGTGGCAGGATTGGGAATCGCCACTTGGCCACCCTCGTTGTCCGTTGATTGTCGTCCGGCCAGCTGGGTGGGATAAACCAAGTTCAAGAATTCGGGTGTCTCCAGACCCTTGAGTCTCTTTTCGCCCATGTCCGAAATTCCGAAGCCCATTCGACGGAGCAAAGTCACATCCCGTGAGACGTTTGGGTGCATCATGCGAAGCGTCTCGCTTTCGTCTTCGTCCTCGTCTTCCTCGTCGTGCTGGGCTTCTGGCTGGTCGGGGTCTGACTTCTTTTTCGTGCTGGCATCAAAAGCGTTGAGAAGCGTTGTGAATTCCGCAATGGCGTCCCGTGAAGCGAGAATCTGGCCTCCGTCCGCGGCACCACTGATCCTCGATGCACGGTTGACCATCGGTCCAAAGTAGTCCATCCTCCTTGTGATCGGATCTGCCTCGCATACGGGCGATCCCCAGTGTAGACCCATGCGGACGGACAAGCCCCGGTAGATGAGCTCACCGTTGGCATCGTACACCTCCTTGCCGTCTTCGCACTCGAGCAGCTCCTGAGGCCAATTCTCGCGGAGCAGTTGCAGCTGGACATTGAAACACCAGAGCAAGGCGGACGTCACTGAAGGGAACGAGACCATAAAGGCGTCACCTTCCGTCTTGACCTCGTAGCCTCCGATGTTGCGCAACTGCCGTCTCAGGAGCGAGTTGTGCAGGCGCATCGCCGTCTGCATCCCGCCGTTGGTCTCCCACAGCGAAGTCGAATTCTTGATATCGGTGAACACGAGGGCGACTTGACCGATGGGGGGCGCGACTTCTCGCTCGAGGCGAGCTAACGTCAGATCTCCCGGAATGTTTCGTTCTTCGCGTCCCCGCCTCGTCGCCTTTCGTGCCGCAGCCATCTCCAAAGGCGACTCAAACGCCGCGCCCGTGTTTTTGGACTGTCGGGCCTTGTCGAACAGATCGCCAATGGCAATGACCATGACCATGATACTGTCCTCTGCGCCGAAGCTGATGGCGACGTCTCGCAGCTTCTGTGCAGCCACCATGGGGTCGTTGCGCTCCATGCGGGCCACATCGACGGCAGTCTGATAGGACATCTTGTCCCATAGCGTATGATTTGCGAGAATAATGAACTCATCCGAGTCCGTCAGGTGGACAGTGTGCACAGCGGGAGCAGCGTTGACGATGGGCTCCAAGTGATAATGGCCAAAGGCGCGTGAGATGTTGAGCTTGTCGTTGACTTGACCTTGGAGCGAAACCCATCCTTCGGCAGATCGGATACGCAGCGTCTCCTCTCGATCAAAGGGATCGTGTCTCGTGCTGATGAGATGTGCCGTACTGTTCTTGGAAAGGACCGCCAGGGCATCTCCGACATTGGCAATGAAGAGTGTTCGATCGACAAGGTAGCCAACGACTGCCGAGGCACCGGCCTTCCAATTGAGCGTGTGTCTCTGGGCTAATGCCACCGTGGACTGCTCGGGTTTGTGCAGGGGTAGCAGCGGCGTTGCAAAGGTCGGGTCGTACTGGCCTGCCATCGTTTCCGAGACACGTCTCGACGCCTCCGCCATGAGCAGGTCGGCAAACTCCTTTTCCATTCTCAAGAATGCCCTTCGCAGAATGTGTGGCACCTCTGCCTCCTGCGGTGAGGTGAAGGTGCTGGAGCCCCGCGGCCGTCTCGACTCGATCTCCCAGGCAATACGAAACTTCGTCCAGTCGGATAGGTGATAGGCGATGCGACTGCTGTATGCGCGCCCATGCTCGCGCCCAGCAAAGATGCCAAACAAGCACTCATTGGGCATATTGCGGAACTCAGGTGTAACCATGTCGACGACACTGAGGTGTTCATTTTTGCCCAGAGCATCAGAAATGCCATAAGCCATCTGGTTGATGTGCGAAAGCGACGTCCGGACACGACGGTCGTCGTGCTCGTCGGGCATCTGCTGCAGCGTAACGGTGACGTCCATCAAGCCCAAGCTCCGGAGATGAGTCAGGTTCGAAAAGTCCGAAGTATCGACCATCGTGCGCCTCGAGCTTCGATATGGGTCATTTGATTCGATAGCCCTGACAACCGGGTTCGACTTGATCTCAAAGCGCTTGTTGCCCGACAAGTTGAGATATCTCAGACTTGGGTTCGAGTTCCAATTCCAGTCGTACTGACGATTCGAGATGTTGTACTTGAGCAAGTTGTTGCCGACGTCAAGGTTGACGAGCGATTTCACCTGTCCCAGCTCTGCAGGGAGCGTTGAGAGCTTGTTGCCGTTGAGGTGAAGGATGCGTAGATTCTGTAGACCTGGTAGCTCGTCGGCAGGGAGCGTGCTCAGGCGATTGCAACTCATATAGAGCTCGGTGAGCTTGGCGTGGCACCTCAAGCTGGACGCAGGCAGCTCGAAGATTTCGTTGCAGCTCAGATTCAGCACCTCAAGATTGGGCAGCTGCGCCAAAACCTCAAAGACTTCCTCTGACAGCTTATTGTCGCCCATTCGTAGGCAGATCAGGCTAAGAGCCAATGGCGGTCTCGCGCTTGCGTTTGCCGATCCGCTAGCGCCGCCAGTAGATGACGAGGTGGATCCTTTGCGCTGCTCTTCAATGGTCAAAGTGTTTCCATTTGATGGTGGCGGCGACAGAGCGTTGGGCGAAGGATTGGTTCCGGAAGCCGTGAGATCGACCGAGGCGGACGTCGCACCTGCGATGCGGGGAACGTCGGGGAATCCTTCGAGAAGATTAGAGGTCAGGTTGAGCGTGTGCAGCGCTCCACATCTCCAGATGGAGTCAGGCAAAGACTTCATGTTGTTGTTGTGGACGTGAAGCTCTTGTAGCATCGAAAGCTGGCCGATGCTCTCCGGGAGCGTACCGAGGACGTTGTGGGTGCAAGAAAGGCTTGTGAGCTTGCGAAGCTGACCAATCGTCTCCGGCAGGACGATGAAATTGTTTCGGTCCAAGACAAGGTGGGTCAGATTGGGCAAGCGACGAAGCACGTCATCGTCCAGCTTGCTCAGATTGGCCGACGTGAGGTCCAGAGAGGTGAGGACACCGGTGCCCTCTGCTGTGAAAGAGGCCTTGCTCAGCGCATTTTTGCCGATGTTGAGCCGTGAAAGCTGGGGTCCAATTGTCGCCTGAAGGTTTCGCAGCGAGTTTTCCTCGCATTGGAGCACCTCAAGCTTGGGGAGCGTGAAGACTGCCGCCACGTCCTGGAGCATGTTCCGACGGACGTCTACAGCCTGCAAGTTCACCAGCTTCGACATGGAGCTCGGCAGGGCGACGATGTTGTTGCCTACCAAGACAAGCCGCTGGAGTTCGACGAGCTGACCAAGCTCGTCGGGCAACTCGCTGATTGTATTGAAGGAAACATCGAGCTGAGCCAGGCTCTTCATCTGGCAGAGGACAATGGGGAAGACGTCGAAGCGGTTGTTGGAGATGTTGAGGTCCATTAAGGTGTCCATCCTGGCAAAGTAGGCAGGCAGGTCATGCAGTCGGTTGTTTTGGATCTTGAGAGAGCGCAGCCGAGGAATCTCATCGAGGGCAGCATGGGCCAGCTCGGGAATGCGATTGTCCGAAAGGTCGAGATGCGTGAGCGTCTGACTGGATCGAATGCTCGGTGGGACGCGCTTGAGTGCAAGGCGAGACATGCGCAGCGTTGTGAGGTTCGTCAAGATGTTGATGAAATCCTCTGGCAGCTCCGTCATGGGGTTGCCAGACAGGTTCAGGCTCTGAATCCATTCGGCTCGCCTGTAGAGGCTGATGGGCACCATTTCCAGATTCCTGTTCTCCAAGTCCAGTGCCCTGAAGTCTGTCTCGGTACTGCCGAGGGCCGCAGAATCAATCTTTGTGACACTGTCGGGACGATAGACGAAACGGAGCAAGAAGGAGTTGTCGTCGCGGCCCAAATCGCTGACAAGGTCGTCCTCGGTGTAGCCAGCCTGCAACAGGCGTCGACGCTGGAGCATGCCTGGCTTTTCCGACTCGCCCAAGGGCCGCTCTGCACCTTTGTCCCTCACAAACATACGGTGAACCACGCTGGACGGAGCTTTGCGCGACAGCATCGCTCGAATTTCGGATGTCGTGGCCGTAAGAGCAATCTGTAGAGCCTTGTGCGAGCCATCCTCGAGGGTAACACGCAAGAAACAAGTCTGAAGGTAACAAGATAAACGGTCGGCATACATGTCCGACTGCAATCGAATCTCTCGTGATCACTCACCCCGGCATTTGACTGTCCCACCGTGCTGGGCCTCTTGGTCACGATGGGCGACGGCATCCTGTAGGTGCTGGATGCATCGTCTTCGGTCACTCGACCACCTAGGGCTGACGCTAGTCCTGCGCCACCTCCGGCCCCAATGGATCCAGCCGTATTAGGTCGGCTGCTCTGTTGCTTAATCCGGTGAGGACGATGAAGTCCGAGCTTGCCAGCTGCAGCCGCAGCCGCACTACCAATCCCAATCGCACCTGCTCTGACACCATGCCGAGTCGCAGTGCTTCCCGCAGAGCTGGGTGTAGGAGGCAAAGTAACTTGGTGGGAACTGACCGAATTCAACGTTTGTGCATCGCTGGTGTCGCTCGTGTTGAGGTATTCGATAGCCGGTGCATCCTGCTGTGTAGCAAAGATGCCATTATTGACAGGGCCGTCGACAGACGTGGTCGTGGAGATGGAGTCTTGGGTACCTCGTCGCTCATAGCCAGTAGTGCTTCCCGATACGTCCATCGACGACGCGTGACCATGCGTGACGGTGGAGTTCCCCACCGACGTTCTCTCTTGCGTACGATCCGACGGACCATCGGTGTCCTCTCCCTCCGACTGGTCTGTGCCCGATTCCTCGTCGCGCAAATGATCTCGAGCCCGCTTGGGCTGAACCGCCCAGCTGTCGGGTGCCATCCACGATGATGTGACATTAGAGCTGGAGGCGCTTGACTTGCGCGGACCCAAGCTATCAGCTCGTGGCCTGTCGTGGCTGTCTGGGAAACGATAGGAGCCATCGGCAAACGAGACACTGGTCCAGGTGCCCGATGCGCCGGCGCTTTGTCTCTGAGCTGGATCGCCCATTGGCGTGGCAAGAGGCTTGGGCATTGTCACATCGAGTACCGACGAAGTAGGCGATATTCCGCTGTGCACCGACTGCACGCTCGCCACGCTGCTCTTGCGCGGTCCGTCCAAGATGCTGCTTGGATTCGTCACGCTGTCGGAGAGGCCGCCACGCGGACGGTGCTCGCTTCCGGCGCTTCCTGGACGCTGGCGGGGATCAACTGCATGAGGCGGCAGGAGGGCAGGGGCAGGCCGGGCGCCCAACGCTACATACTGCTGCGCCTCTTCTTTTGAAATCTTTCGCAGCGTCGGCACTGCCACTTCGGAACCTGTCCACGGTGGAAGGGTCTTGGCGCCGCCCCGAAGCTCACTAGATGGAGAGCTCTTGGGCACGGGTCCCGATGCCAGTCGACGAGGCCCGGGCGGCCGGCTCAGGACCGGCTCCGAGATGGCTGTATGCGCGGTGGGACGGCGGTCTGCGCCAGCAAGAGATGACGAGCGGTCTCGTGTGGTATTCATGGACGATGAGATTGATCTAGGACTCAGGGGTGGCCGAGTGGGATTGAGGCCTTCTGGAGATAGGCGCTCATTCATGGGACCTACGAGAGAGCCCTGCCTCTTTGAGAGATCGACGATATCTTCGATGTTGTCAAAGTCAGTGTCGAGAGAAAGCTCCACGTCAGCTTTGTCGACTTGGCCGCTGTTGCTGCTGTTGTTGAGCACCATTGCGGCGCTTGGGTGCATGAAGGAGCTCGGTTCAGCGACGGATGCCCAATCTTCACCGCCCTTGCTTCGCTTCGAGTCTTTATCCCTGGTCCGTGGCCGGGGCAGTCTTCTCGTCCGTTTCGGTTCCCGAGCGGCATTGTTGACGAGGTAGGACGCTGTGCTCGAACCTTGCGATCTCATTTCGTCGCGCAGCAACTCTTCGTCGAGGCCTGTGGCTGTGCCATCATAACGATGGGCTGCGGTGTGGTCCAGCACGCCCGACTGCGCAGCGCCGCCACCACCGCTCGGCATTCTGGGTGGCATCGGCACTGGTTCATCAGATGCTGCGGATGGAGAGGCAGTCAGTGCCCGGATCTGCAGGCGCTCCGTTTCATCTCTGTCTCACCTTCTGCCAAGTTGTCTCGAAGAGTGACGGACGACTTTTTGCGAAAGAAGTTGAGGGGGTTCTTGGATTTCTTGTGGCCAGAAGACGAGGATGGTGTGGTGCCACCATTGTGCACTCTCGCACTTGTCGACGAAGACGGCGGCGTCACGGGACGAAGCGGAAGCGAGACCTGAGAGGCATACAGGCTCGGACTTCCCGACGAATCAGGGATCGACTGGAAAGGAGGTAGGTAAGCCTGGGAACCCTGAAGAAAGCACAGCTCTATACGCACGCTCTTTTCCCTACTCCTGTTGGAGGAAACTGATCCGTAACCCTGGTGGTTATCTCCGAGACCTTGGTACATCCACGGACTGATGTCCTGGCTCTGCGAGGCCGAGCTCTCGGCCACGGCGCCATTGACGATGCCATCGTAAGACCGGTTGGACGAGCCCCCGATGCTCTTTCCGTGCTGCGGATATTTCCGCCCTGAAGACGAAGAAGAGAATGACGACGGGGCAGATGGGGCCACATTGCGGAGGGGAACGGGGGGTGGTCCTTCGTTGGGGGCCATCGCGACATCGCTAAAGTCAATCTCGGACGAGGACAGCCCCTGTTCTCCGCTCGCATTGAGCTGCGAGGTCGAAGAGGGAGCTCTGATCTGAGAAGCTTTACTGCCCCGCACGGGAAATGACGACGACGAGGTAGAGGAAGAAGATGAGGTAGAGGGCAGTCGATTTCGACTGTCCATGGTGGGCCATCTAACCGCGATGCGGCTCGGTGGGTCTCCTCCTCTTTACTGCGTAGGGCTGGTATGAGACCAGAGGCCGAGAGAGCGAGGACCTCGAAGCGAGCGGCGTCGCTCCGCTCGGGCGTCGCTCGGAAGGCAGGCCAGAGCCAGGTGTCGTGCGGAGACTGTATCGAGATCGAGAGACCGCCAGATTTGCTGGTAGATCAGCTCACTTGCAGAATGAAGTGAGCTCACTCCGTTTTAGTGGAAATCGGCAGTCGGGCCCGATTGGAGCGAAGACCACGTGGAAAGCGATGCGCCTTCTCGCCCTCCTCAGTCGTTTCGAGGAACAGTCGCCTCGCTCGTCTTCTCACGACCAGTGGCCAAAGATCATCGTCATTAAGCAAAAGTAGTCGTAGGACTCCCCACGGCACATCTGCTGCAGCTGTTTCGAGCGAATAGGACAAGTTCAAGCTCCGGTCCAAGTCGATTATTCTCCCTCGAGACTTTTCCCATTCCATTTTTCTTCGCAATTTCCAGAGAAGGTCAAGCGACACCCACCGCCACCAAGCAATTATTCCGGCGTCTGCGAGACCATTAGGATATCATGGCGTCCTACCTCGGTGAGTTGGGACGTTGCTTTCTCCCATTTGTATCCTTCACGCCGCTGACAAAATCACATCATCACCTCACTCAGCCTCCATCTATGGCACAGAGCAGGACAAGGTCAACTGCTCCTTCTACTTCAAGATCGGCGCCTGCCGGCACGGCGACCGGTGCTCGCGCAAGCACACCAAGCCACCGTACTCGCAGACAATCCTCGTCGCCAATGTATACCAGAACCCAAAGCATGCAGACCCCATGTGCCCCATCTCCGAGGAGGAGCTCCAGGCGCAGTTCAATGACTTTTACGAGGATTTCTTCGTCGAGTTGGCAAAGTACGGCGCCGTAGTGGAGATGCACGTCTGCGACAATGTCGGCGAGCATCTCATCGGAAATGTCTATGCGAGGTTCGAATGGGAGGAGGAAGCGCAGCGGGCTGTGGACGCCCTCAACGACCGATGGTATGCAGGTGAGTTACTCTAAAACTGTTCTTCTCTTCTGAGCCTTATGCGTGATTCTGACCACCACCTCCTTCCTCTCTCTTTCCACAGGGAGACCGCTCTTTGCCGAACTGTCGCCCGTGACGGACTTTCGAGAGGCGTGCTGCCGACAGCACGAGAGCAACGAATGCCAGCGAGGCGGCTTCTGCAACTTTATGCACGTCCGTCCGCCGAATCAGCGGCTGGTTCACCAGCTGCACCACGAGCAGAGCGTAGAGGTCAAGATGCGAAAGAGAAAGGAGAGAGAGGCAAAGGCAGCAGAGAGAGAACACCGAAAGGGTGGATGGAAGGACGACGTGGAGGGGACCGCCTCTCCTAATGGTAGTGCGACCGGGCCGGGAACCGGGGGCGACGATTGGCGCAGGGGAAAGAGTGGCGGGGACTGGAGAAATGGACCGAGCAGCGGCTCGGATTGGAGGGGCGCTGAGGGGGGCGAAGATCAGTCATCGAGGCGGAGAAGCCAATCGCCACCAGGCAGGAGAGATTAGACACATTAATTCTGGGGATGAAAAGAGGGCAATGAGCATGTACATGGTAAAAGAGACAAGATAGTGTGGATGGGCCTATTCTACTTGATTTCGACGAGCTGTGGAAAGGATGGCAAAAGGTGGGTGAGTATGACGTGGAAGGACAGACATGGAAAAATGTGGCCGAACTCACCTTGACGTCAAAGACGAGAGTGGCATTGGCAGGAATGGTGGGAGGTGCGCCCTGTCGGCCGTAGGCAAGGTTGGGAGGGCAGACGAGACGCCTCTCGCCGCCGACCTTCATGCCCTTGACGCCCTCGTCCCAGCCCTTGATGACCTCACCCTTGCCCAGCTTGAAGAAGAAGGGCTTGCCCTTGGTGTTGCTGTCAAACACGGTTCCCTTTCCCTGGAGACGGCCGACGTAGCGCATGCCCACGCGGTTGCCCGCCTTGGCCGCGACGCCGGTGCCCTGCTTCTGGTCCTCAATGATGAGACCCGAGGCCGTCTTTGTCTTTTGCGACACCTCCTTTCCGTCCTTCTTGACCGTCTCCCTCTCCTCGGCCACCTTCTTGCCCCTAGCATCGGTCACCTCGACCTTGGCCTTAGCCTTCTCGCTGGTTTGAGCCTTTGCTTCGGGAGCCTTGGCGACGGCGGGTGCAGCGACGGCAGTGCCTTCGTCGCCCTTGAGCTTCTTGTTGAGGCGCTTGCGCTGGTTCTTGCTCAGCTTGCTCAGGTCCAGCCCTTCGGCAGCAGCCACAGCTGCAATCTCGGCGTCGGTAGCCGGTGCAGAGAGCATCGACTCGTCAGCATCGACCTCGTCGCTGCTGCGCTTCTTGGAGTTGCCGTTGGCCAGGCTGGCCTTTTTGGCAGCCCTGGCCTCGTCTTCGTCAATCTCCTCCAGCCGGCCCTCTTCGTCGCTCTCGTCGTCCGACTGCTCCATGGCAAAGGCCTCCTCGTCGCTGTCAATCTCCTCGTCGTCATCACTATCAAAGAGCTCGCTGTCGCTTGGCTCCTCGTCGTAGTGGCTCGGTGACATGTAGTTGCCCAGCAGCTCAACGTCGTTGTCGCCCGTGACGGAGAAGCCGACATCCTCGAGGTTGGAAAAGTAGAGGTTCACCGAGCACTGCTCGATCTTGCCAGGGTACAAGCTGCAGACGACGAACTCCTCCTCCTCGACGCCACCGCTGTCGGAGTCGTCATCGTCGTCATCGTCATCGTCGTCATCGTCATCGTCGTCATCCTCGTCGTCCTCCTCGGCAGCATCCTTGATCTCGACGTCGTCTTCAACGTCATCCTCGCCCTCATCCTCATCGTCCTCGTCGTCCTCGTCGCCCATCAAGTCCGAGTCGTAGTCCGAGTCGTCGTCCTCCTCGAGGTTGGGGAACTTGATGTGGTGGACCTTGACGACGGAGCGGGCCGAGCCCTCGACCTTTTCGCCAAAGGCAATGTTGGTGATGTGGACATCCCTGAGCGTCTCGAGCGGGTAGACCTCGCCTGGGGAGATGCGGAGTCCGAAGAAAGCAGCTGGTTCAGCCATTGTCAACGTGTGAATGAGAAGGGAGCTACCGGTAGAGAAAGCGTGCAGCAGGAAGAAGTTGAACACGAAACGCACTTCACAAAAAAAAGTTTTTGAGAAGTGCACGTGCGCCGTGCAGATTCGGAACTCGGGCTCCGCCGCTTACAAAGAGAGAAGATCATCCTTGCTCTTCCCGGGTTCACCAAGGGTCGGCAGGCGCTCGAGGACCACCAAATCATGTCACGGTCGGCCAGGTCATTGGTGGCGCATGCCCAACGGTCTGGTCTGTCGTCGCGACCGAGAGCTGTTGGTGCAGCATCGACAGCATGGGAGCGAAGGGCAAGGGCAGACCTGGGGAGAAGAAATCAGAGTGCTTGGGCTACCGTTGTTGGCACAGCAAAGAACCTGGTGGGGGCAGGCTCGCCTCCGCCCTCTTCGCCGCTGCCCTCATCGTCCTCCTCTGCCTCTTCTCTGGGCACTGGACGTGGACCAACCTCTCCTTCGTCGTCGTCATCCTCGTCCTCAAAACCGCGGCCAATCGTTCGAGATCCTTTGGAGCTCGTAGGGCAGGAGCTCTCCTCGCTGCGTTCCAACGTTTCGACGCTCCTGGGCAGCGGGCATCCCTCCTTGGACACGGTTGCAAAGTACTACTTTCAAGCCGAAGGGAAACATATTCGGCCACTCATCGTCCTCCTCATGGCAAAGGCGACCAATGGCCTGAGTCCCAACTGGGACGCCGTCCTTGCCCGCTCACAGGTCACAGCAGAAGGGACAAAGGCTATCGAGGGCGATATGGGAATTGATGAGCCATTGAGCCCAAGGGAGGTGCTCAATGATTTCAACCCGCACATGGAGAGCATCGAGGGCCTGCTCGGCCCTGCCACTCCATCCGGCCATACACAGCAGCAGCGGTTAGTGTCGTCCGACGACGGGCAGTCGGTGCCCATCCTTGCAACCCAACGACGCCTGGCCGAGATCACAGAGATGATCCACGTCGCCTCGCTGCTCCACGACGACGTCATCGATGCCTCGTCACTTCGCCGAGGCGAGCCATCGGCGCCGGCAGCATTTGGCAACAAGCTGAGCATCCTCGGCGGCGACTTTCTCCTCGGCAGGGCCTCTGTCGCGCTGGCCCGGCTGCGCGACAACGAAGTCGTTGAGCTGCTCGCGACTGTGATTGCAAATCTGGTGGAGGGAGAAGTGATGCAGCTGCGGGCCCAGAGCGGGGCTGAGTCCACCGCGCCGAGCAAGAGCGCATTCAGCACCTTTTGGCAGCAGCAAGCGACGCCGGCGCAGCAGGATGCATCTGCTGCGGCTGGAGGACCGACGGAGGCCATGTTTGAGCACTACATGCAAAAGACGTACCTCAAGACGGCGGCCCTCATTGGCAAGAGCGCTCGCGCCTCGGTCATTCTCGGCGGGTTCTCATCGTCACCATTGTCGTCGTCGTCGTTGTCGTCGAGGAGCGGCAGCGGGCCCGAAGCAAGCGTCAAGGATGCAGCGTACTCGTACGGGAGAAACGTCGGCATGGCGTTTCAGCTCATTGACGACGTCCTCGATTTCAAGTCCACCTCGGCTGCCTTTGGGAAACCGTCGGGTGGGGCCGACCTGCGCCTGGGACTCGCCACTGCACCGGTCCTCTTTGCTTGGCAGGAGATTGGGCACAAGCTCGGCGAGCTGGTCCATAGAAAGTTTGAAGGGCCAGGCGATGTCGAAAAGGCATTGGGCCTTGTCCAGAACCAGTCGACGGGGTTGCAGAGGACCGAGGAGCTGGCCAAGCAACACGTCCAGCTCGCAATCGATGCGCTGCACACACTTCCATGGACAGAGGCAAGGGATGGGCTTCAGGGGCTCGCTGAGCAGGTTATCAATCGAATCAAGTAATTTACTCATATAGACAAGCCTCAATCTACACCTTTCACCAGTGCCCAGCAGTGCCTCATTCCCGTGCCCATATTCTCCCCCTCGACCTGCGCTGTCGATGCCCACCGCTTCCTCTTCCGCTCCGTGCTGCTCTCTTCTCCTTCCTCCTCCTTCTCTTCCTTCTCTTCCCCCTCTTCGCCCTCCACCTCGACGAGGAAGACGTGCATGGTGAGCTTGAGATGGCTAAACACCCAGGGCACGCTCCCCATCTCGCGCTTGAGCTTAGCCGCCACGCCTCTGCGCTTCAGCTCGTCTACAAAGTCGAGGGCCAGCGTCTTTCTCTGAGCTGCCGTCTTTGCCCTCTCGCCGGGTTCGTCGATGGTCTTGCTCGGCATCTCCCACATGTCGGCCAAGAGGCCCTTTGGAGGCCGCTGGTGCAGCTTCCACTCCCATCCTTGCGAAGTGCCCCCACGAGAAGAAAGAGATGAAAGTCGACGGCGACGGAGCGCGATGACGATGGCCTCCTCCTGTCGAATGGCTTTTTTGGCCACGCGCATGGGAAACTGCCGGACGTGGGCTTCGATGATGTCGAGCGCCCGCTGGCTCAGAGCCTTGGGACCGCCCTTCTCCTTCGTTCGCCCTTGTCCCTCTTTGGCGTTTGCCGTAAACGAGAAGGAAGCCAGTGACATCTGCTTTCCTTCCTTCTTCTTCCCGTTGCTTACTTGGTTGGCTGTCCTCTTTGATCCGTTGCTCTTTGTCGGCGCCATGCCACTTTCGCCGTCTTCCTCCTCTTCGACGTCTGCTTTGACCAAAGACTCGTCCTCCACGACCTCGAGCGGCTCGCAGATCTTGCAGAGATCCTCCACATCGTCAATGTCCGTAGCCGATGCATCCGTGGGCTTGTGACTGTGTATCGCCTGCGTGTCCTTCAGGGCTCCTTGTCGAAGTGCCAGAGCCTCCCCTTCGCCATAGGCACGGCAGCTTCCCTGGATAGGGCACTGCCCGCACGACGGTTTCGGTGTGCAGACGGTGCTTCCGAGCTCCATCAGAGCTTGACCCCATCGGCCAGGACGATCGCTCGGGCCCTTGGTGCTACTGTTGTCGTCAGCGTCACCTGCCACGGCTCCCACGAGCTGCTCAGCAGCCGTCCAGAGCGAGTCGACGACGTGCTTCGACGACTTTGTGTCGGCGTATATGCCGAGCTGCCGGGAGAGGACCCGGACCACATTGCCGTCCAGCATGGGCGCCGGCTCACCAAAGACGATGCTCGAGATGGCGCCGGCCGTGTATCTGCCTACACCCGGCACCTCCTTTTGCAGCTCGTCGACGTGTCGAGGGAGCAGACCGTTGCGCGCCGGGTCATTGACGACCTTTTGTGCAGCTGCGTGGATGCGAGAAGCTCGGCTGTAGTAGCCCAAGCCCCGCCATGCCGAAAGAACATCCTCGGGATTGGCACTGGCCAAGTCGTGGATCGTGGGCCAGCGCGCCATCCACCGGTTCCAGTAGTCAATAACAGTCGACACCCTGGTCTGTTGCAGCACTGCAAACCGTGTCACCAGTCCATGAGCTACACTGACATCCTTTTCCTTAGCAATCACAACTCACTGATCTCGCTGATCCAGACCTCATATGCGCGCTTCTTGAGAGCCTCCTCCAGTGCCGGCCCTTGCCCGTCGTACTCGGCGGGATCGATCCAGCGCTTTCTCCACGGCATCTTTCGCTCGGTACTGATGCGGTCGAACCACTGCAAGAGCGCATCTCTCGCGGCCCCCCCAGTCATCGCGCTTGTCGCTGAGCAGTCCAGCAGAAGGGGCCGGTGGTACGACGCTGCATGCCTTCGCAAGGGCGGTGCTGTGGGTCGAAGCGACGTCACACCCGGCTGGAGCACGTCGATAGACAACGCCAGCGATTTCCCTTTACTCTTCTTGCCTTGGCTCGCACCATCGGCGTCCGCCTTGCGCTTTCTATTCGTCGCCGTCTTGCCATTTCGACCGCCTTTTTCAGCGACGTAGTCATCCCCGTCGGACTCGGGCTCGCGGTCGGAATAGGAAGACGAGGGCGAGTCGGGGCGCGTTGCTCTGCCCTTGGCCGTAGAAGCAATTCGCTTCGACACCATGGCAGGCATCGCTGCAGCTGTAGAGTTCTTCTGCTGCTGCAGCCACCACCACCAAGACAGAGGCGTCCTGGTCGTGCTTGCGAGCGCAATGATGGCGGGTGAGGTCTGCCTGTTGATTTGGGGAGGCGAGGTCGTGCTCAGGTGTTGGACTCCTCCGCTCTTTCTCTTTTGAAATTCTCGCGACGCGCCTGCCTCTCTGGACGGCGCGATTTGTCATACAACACGCACTGTCACGCCTGGGTGGGGAAGAAGCTAAAAGCGAGTCTCACTCAGGGAGGGCGAAAGAAGATTCGTTTCCTGGGGAATCAGAGCAAGTGCAAGCTGCACCTACTACACTACCGCCAAGAAGATTAAGTCGAAGGGGAGAGAAGGAAGCAATGAGGACCAAGAGAGACTCCAGGCGGTGTACTGTACAGTACCAAGTCCACGGACGACCGCTTCAACCACCGCTGATTTCTCGTTCTCAAGCGTGCATTGATCTCAAGAGGCGCGCGCAGAGCCCTCATGACGCGCGGCCATCCCTCCCACCGCGGTCAGCTTACTGATTTTCAATTGCTGAGCTCTCAGCACAGCAGTTGAACGGTGCATCTCTCCCTCATCAGGAAGAGGCGGGCTCTCGAAACCAAGTTCCGGAACCCGAAGGCCCCACCTCAGTACTCTCCGAAGTTGAGCCGGGGCGGCTGCTGCTGCTGCTCGCTCGCCCTTTAAATTTTCGCCAAATAAACGAATTTTATCCTCCCACCTGAAAAAGATGAAGCGAAGCGAGAAGTCGTGTTAACGTGGAGCTAGCTAGCTAGCTAGAGCCCCCCGTCTGCACGCACGTACCCAGTTGCCAAAATATGTATGCGCGCAAGAGCTGGGTGCAGATCGAGCGTAATTGCGTCGGACAGGGTCAAGAGAGGCTGCGAGAATGAAATAGAAATGTTGCAAAGCAGGTGACGGAGCCAGCGATGGACTGGGACTTGGCCGCTGTGCGTTTATAAGTTTGCGTCAAGCCGCCCCGCTCTCCCTCTCGCCGCCCTTCCAATCAAGACCACCATCATTGCAAAGTCTCCATCTCTCCCATCACCGCCCCCTTCTAAACCAGCGACAAGATGCCTTTCACCATGGTGCTCCCCACTGCCTACCCTTACGTCCTCGCGGCGGCCTCTGGCATTTCTATTCGTGAGTTACATTGCATCTGCCAAGAAGACCCATGGACACGCCTTGTTTGACTGACTATTCTTGCACAGTCAACATCTTCCAGTTCCTCAACGTCAGCAAAGCCCGCCGTGCTGCCAAGATCGAGTACCCGCACGTGTACGCAAGCAAGGAGCAGTGCGCTGCGAGCAAGGACGCCCTAGTCTTCAACTGCGCCCAGCGGGCCCACGCAAACACCCTCGAGCTCACGCCCACCTTTCTCGTCTCGACGCTCCTTGCCGGCCTGAGCGCGCCCCGCGTCGCCACCGTCCTCGCCGCCACCTGGCTCGTCTCGCGCGTCTTCTACACCCTCGGTGAGTCGGCTAGCCTCTTTTCTTCCCCCCCGCTCTTCTTGCCTAAGGTTGGCTGACTTTTTTGTTTTTCTTCCTCAGGCTACACGACTGGCAACCCCAAGAAGCGAACGCCGGGTGCCCTGCTGGGTTTCGTTGGCCTCGTCGGCCTCATCGGCACGTCCCTCTACTCCGTCTTCGGTCTCCTGGCCGCCAACGACTTTGCCTTCTAAAGGAAGAAGAAAGAACGTGCACAGGGAGGAGGGCGATATTTGCACAGCTTAGTAGTAGTAGAAGGGCAGGAAAGAGAGAAAAGAGAAAGATCCGTAATGCGATAGTGTAGAAAGATACATTTTTGGCCGCACAGAACAGTGATCAAGAATATGCTGCCAATCCGGGCAGAAGAGAGCGAAAAGATCAAAAGGAGGGGCTCTGGGGACGAGTACTAGTCAAACAGGAGAGCTGGGTGCGAGTGTAGATGCAGGAAAAGAAAGAAAAGAGTGACGGTAGTTGGAGAGGAAAGAGGATGAAGCGGGAGGGGGTCGCGAGGAGAGATCACATGTGAGCGCACCTTCCCTGGCCTGGTGCAGGCTCGGGCTGGTCGTCCTCTGGGCCGCCAGGAGCGGGAGCATCGCCGTCCTTTTCGATGAGCGGCTGGCCCGTGTGCTGGGTCTTGCCCCGGCCCATAAACGACCTCCAGTTGCGCTTGCCCTTCCACGGCTCGCCGTCCTGCTCGTTGAAGTCCGACGGCTGGGCCATGTGATGGTTCTCGATTGCACGGGCTTCGACGGCGCCCTCGGGGTTGTGCATGACTTCGGCAGTGACGGGCTCCTCGGCCGATGTCATCTCGGGCTGACCGGTGGAGGACGCATTGGCGAGGCCGAGACTGTTGCGCGGCTCGTCGGTGGGCGTGTCCACGGCCGTGTGGTCGCCGCTGACCGAGGCGGGCACCACCGTTCCGGGCCCGTAGTTGCCCGTCGTGCGGCTCGTCGCAAGGTGCTTCTCGGCACGCGCGAGGGCAATGGCACGCTGACGCGCTCGCTTCTCCATGTTGGTCGTGCTGTTGGGGTCGCGGCGCTCCTTGCGGTACTGGAGCAGCTTCCATACCAGCAGTCCGGCAAGGAGCAGAAAGACGACGACGATGGCCACGATGATGCCGGCAATTGCACCGCCCGAGAGCGATCTATTGGGGACAGGAAAATAGAGAGGCTGTGGGTCAGCACTCGTGGAGCAGCAGGTAAGTGCCGTGTATTTCTCACCTCTCGCCAGTGTCGCGCCTTGAGATGGCGGGCATCTTGGGAAAAAGGAGGACGAAGAGGACTTAGAAACCAAAGGAGTGTGAGTGTTCCCGGGAGGGGAAGGAGGAGGGGGAGATCGCGTCTGTAGATGGAGTAGGTTTGATTGAGCACAGCTTTTCCCTGCCCTGTCACTCAACAAGTAGTAGTAGTGCATTTAGAATCGACAACCCCGGGATCAAAACTCGCTCTCCAGGACCACAGAACGCTTCCGTACAGGAAATTTTAGCCGCTAGCAAGCCGGGCATTTTTACTCCTCACCGCATGGTCGGCTCGTCACGTGGGCACCAAGCTCGATCGTAGCGCTCAATATCGAAAAAGGGGTGTGTCGTTTTGTTAATGAAGTCTGCGCACCTCCGAGGTTTGCAATATTGAACTACACCCTCGATTAGTACACTACTGCTGCTGGTGTCAGTGCTTGGCCGTCGATCAGTCAAAAGTGCAGGCGGCGCTTGTTCCCACTCCTTCCCCTTCAGCCCACTGCTCTCTCTTGCATCGTCATCACCATCCGACGGCGGCGGCAAGTCACCACGACGAACAAATCAGCACGCCAGCGAGCCAACCGCTAAGCACCGGTCCTTCCTGGTTGTGGCTGCGTCGGGACCTCTCCCCCCTCCGTCATCAATTCTTTTAATTGCTTTGTTTCCTCGAATTTTCAATCGCCGCCGACGCCTCCCTTTTTCTATCGATCCGCCTTGGCAAACCGATACCTTCTCCTCTTGCTCTTTTTCCTCCATCGCTCTTCTTCAGCTTGGTTGCGACCACCGCCCCGCCGCTCACCGTCTCCCGAAACCTTTTGACGAAGCTCGAGGTCAAGATGGATTCCTCTTCCTCTACGATAGGTACGTCTCGCTCATATATATATTTTCTCTCTATCGTCGCGTCTGGCTTGGCTCCTATGGCGTTTTGCTCGAAGTGGTCAGGATACTGGAAGGGAGGAGCGAGAGGCGGTACTCAGGAGCAGGCGTGGACATGAAGAGGAGGAGGAGGAATCGCCGCATTTTCTCTACAGGGTCTCAATTGGACTATGCAGAGGGTACAGAGACTGGACGGCGCATGGATACTTTGCAAAGTCTTGGTCTATGTCATCCCTTGCTTGCTTGCAGTTGGACCCTTCTGTCGGACGAAGACGATGCCGTACAGTCATCTTGTCTTCTCTGCCAGCCCCTTCCGATGCTGATGCGAAGAGGGCTTCGACGTCACTCGGTCGATGGGACTCCGTTGAAGGTTTTACAAAGTTTTTCCAGGCTCCTTAATTTTTGGTCGGCAACTTTACTTTGGATGGATTAGGAAAATGGCGCCGTGTTTGACCGCTTGGCACGGTCTCTTCCCACTGGACCCGACGAGTGGCTAGACGGTTGCTCTCAGCCCATTGTCCTGAATCAGCGGGTGGCTTGCTGTCGTCGTTCTGTGTCCGGTCTCTTCAATTTCGGTTCGACTTTGGTCTTGGACGCGTGCGCGCGCGCCCGCACATATGCACAAGCACGCACACAGCGAGCAGCTCTGCCATCGCCGCGCCGCGCACGAGGCCAAATGTCGCAGCGGAGCTCAGAGGCCACCGAAACCTCCTCTCTCTAGTCCATCGACATCCTCGCTTTCCTTTCGAGCAGCTTAGTCGGGTCCGTTTTGGGCGTGACGTCGCTACGCCTTCCCTTGCCGGAGCGAGTCTCTGACCAGAGTCTTTCTCATCTGCCCTTTCCTCTCTCTTCTTTTCCCCGCCATGTCTACCGCGGCACAACCTCCGTCTATTGGCTCCTCTTCGACGTCTGGTACTCCTCCGAATGCGAATGCGCCGTCGGCTTCTGACTCTTCCAACGTTGCTGATCCTTCCGCGCCTCCTTCCACGTCTTCTTCTCCTCCACCATCGGCTCCACCTTCAACCACTTCGGCTCCGTCTTCTCCCATCCCTCCCACTTCCAATTCCCATACTGGTATGTGTCGCTTCATTTCATGATCTGGCATGTTCTCGGCCCCCCTTTTTTATCATTCTCCTTCCGGCCCTCTTTCTGCTTCTCTTCCTTTTCGCATTTGCACCTTGGCTTTGATCTCCTGCGCGCTTGTGTTTTCGTCCTATTGGCTTGGAGACAACAGACTCATCCTCGTCTTCCACTCGGACTCGTCGCCCTTCCTCGTCGACCACGACTACAACAAATACAGGTACCGACACTGGAACCGACACAGGAACGAATACGAGAACCCGGACTGGGACAGCGACGGGCACCGATACGACGAGCACCACAAGTGACACAAGCACCAGGTGAGTCTAGCATAGACGAGGGCAACACCACTGTAGCTCCCAGCTGGGCGAAGGGTTGGGCTCTCGATGGTCGGGGACCTGGTCGTCAAAGGTCTTCGTCCCGTGGAGAGTTCCATGTACTTGGCATCGCTGACCGCTCTGGGTCCTTACTTTGTCACCCTACTCACACCTCAGCTCCACTACCTCTTCCCCTACGACGACGACTTCCGACACCAGCACAACAACTTCCGACACCAGCACCTCGACGACGTCCTCGACGACGTCCTCCTCCACCTCTACTACCCCAACTTCGACAACCTCTTCGTCGTCGACTGTGAGTTGTCTTGCAATTGGGCCAATGTCGTTAGGTCATAACTTACCCCATTTTGGTAGTCGACCACTCCCACCTCTACGTCCGAGCAGTCTACCACACCCACAACGTGAGTTCATCTGCTATCTTAAACTTCGCTCTCGTTGCTCTAGTCATGTGCTGATTTTTATTAAAATCTTCGCAGTACTGCAGCGCCCACCACGCAGACAAGCCTCACTACCGCCAGCAATGGGCAGACGTCGACAATCTTTACCACACAAAATCCCTCCCAAGGCGGCCAGCTGAATGGATCGGGAAGCAGCGGCAACAGCAGCTTCTTTGATAATGGAGGCGCAGTAGGCGGAACGTTTGCTGCCGTCGGTATCGTCGCCGTCCTCATCGTTGTCGGCATCGCATGGCTCTTCTATCGTCGACGCAAGGCCCAGCGAATGGACGCAGACGTGGCCATGGCTGCCTCTGCTGCTGCCGCTACGACGCGGACGCCCTTCGACGATGATGACCCTGAGATGGCTGAAGACCCTGGCTATGGTGCTGGCGGCGCGGCCGGTGCTGCGTCGAGCGCTGGGTACCACAACGGAGGCTACTATGCCACCTCAAATCCCGAGTACGAGCCCAGCCACTTTTCGAGTGGAACGGCGCCCGGTTTCGCCGGCATGGGCGCTTACGGTGCAGCAGCAGCAGCAGCTGGTGGCGCTGGTGGAGCAGCTGCGTACAACAACTACTATAACGAGGGCAACTCGCAGGGCCACTACTACGACAACCCGGCGCAGGCAGCGCAGGACTACTATCCTCAGAGCCAGGAGGGCCATGCCTTTAGCCAAGGCACCCATCCGACGGACGAGTACGGCAATGCCATCGCTTACGGCTATCCAATGGATCAGCAGCAACAACTACAGCAACAGCCACAGCACCAACAACCGCAGGATTGGCTCCAGCCAGGGCGATCACCGCCGCTCGATGGCGAAGGCATGCCTTTCGCTTCCGGTGTAGCCTCGGGTGCGGTGGGTGCCGCGGCGGCACGCAGGCGGAGCGCGGGGATGACGAACCCTCACGAGGACGAGCTTTTGGGACCCAACGTCTTTGCTGATGCACCTTCGCCGGAGGGTGACGCTGCTGGTCACAACGTCGGCGAAGCTGACAACCGCCTTGATCATCACGGCCTCACCAGAGCCCACGACCAGGGTTCGGCCAGCTCGTTGCGGGACGACCAAGATTACAGCAGACGGGTCTTGAGTGTCAAGAACCAGGACTAAATGCTTCCCACTTCGCCTTCTGTCCTTCCTTCTGCCCTCTCATTCTGCATAGCTTTATGCTCGTCTGCGCCGATAGAGGCAGACTTCACCTTCACTTCACTTTGCACAATCAATTTGGTTCAATGGAGCAGAACAATCAATATGATTCTCTTACCGTGGATTTCATGCCTGGCTGCCTCTCCGTGCCCAAGGTTAGTCTTGATGAACAAATTACTGGCAATTTGATTAGAAGACACAAGAGCGATGACACAGAGCATTTTTTGATGTGAGGGGTATCAAGTTTTGAGCCTCGCCGTGGAGAGAAAGGGGTGACTAAAAAATGCGAGAGTGTGACCTGATCGAGGAGGCTACCTCCAGGTGCTACCGCTCCTCGTTGTAGGACCACCAACACCTTTGCTTGCCGAGTCGCAGAGCGCCGCGACCTTCCTGACCGTGTCGAGGCTCCTCTGGATCCTGACATGACTCAAGCTCTGCGGCGGTGTGTTGGAGATTAGGTCTTTCAACAGTAAGAGGTATCGCGGGATGCGTTGGGTCGGCATGATGGCCACATCGAGGGGACCAAGCTTTTTCAACGTCGTCGTCGTCGTCTGAGGTTGTTGCATTTGCGGCGAATGCTGTTTGCCGGAGGATGATGCAGGCGAGTTTGCCCGGCTGCTGCTACTTGCGCTCAGGAACGACTTTGACTTGATGGTAGGCGGAAGCATCGAGGGAAGCGGCGACCGAGTCGAAGAGGATACGACTGCACCAATCGCTCTTCGTCCCAGGCTGGTGCTCGCTGAAGACGAGTGCTGCTGCTGCTGCAGCGGGAGTCCACCGCTGTAGGTTTTGCTCGCGGCACCTGCCGAGCTCGTGGGAGTTGGCATAAAGTCCGTCTCGACAAAGTGCTGCTTCTTTAGTGCTTTTGGCGACTCGCAGAGGGGACTACTGGTATAGGGTGATGACGAGGTTGAGGTCGAAGAAGAAGGCGTAGCGCTGCCTTTCTGAGGAGACATCTCTCTAGCCATGTCGGGCCTCAAAAAGCTAGGCGGCGTCGCCGAGAAGGTGCTCCTGCGCTTGGCTACGATGGTCGAGGCTCTTTTCCCAATGCTCGAAGAGGCAGCAGCTTTCATTGTCTCTCTCTCCTCCACCGACGAATTGACAAGGACACCAATTTCCAATGGTGGAGCTGGCACCGGCGGAGGTGGTGACGGAGTTGGATGCATGGAGGCATACGCCTTGGTTGGAGACGTCGGCACCGATTTGATGCCAATTTTGGTGGGCTCGTCTGCTCCTTCTTCAACTGGATTGTTGATCAGGCTGATGAGGCCAATCTTGTGGATCGACTTTGACTTGACGCCTTCCGTCTTTCGCAATTCGTCCATGATTTCTCGAGCAACGGCCGACCAAGCAACAAAGGTCGCCTCCATCTGGACCCCCACCAGTCGAAAAGCCGCACCCACGCCTGCCGCCGTCGGATCCTCGTCAATGCGATTGGCCAGTGTACGACTGAGTGTGATGAGCTGAGGCAGAAGGTTCCGCATCATCTGTATGTGTAGCGGGGCGGGTCCTGCGGAGCCCTTTACGCTGTTGTTGGAGCTACTGCCGCTGCTGTTGCTGCCATGCGAAAAGACGGAGGCTCCATTCGGCTTTAGAGCCGACGTCGACCTCCGCCTGGGCGCATTCGTCAAGGCCGAAGAGCCGGAATTATAGCATGGCAGGGCGCGAATGGCCTGGAGAAGGGCTTCGAGGTGCCTCGCGTAGCTTCTCTCCGTCAAAACAAGCTCTCGGATGACGAAGAGCGCCTTAACCTCTTTCTTCCAATCATCGTCGTTGATGAATGGTCCGTCTTTGAGTTTGCCGCTGGCCCTTCCCACGCCCAGCTGCAGCGCAGACGGAGCATCTTCGCCGTTTACACCGACCCCTGCGCTCGCATCACCGTGCCAAGGCCCTCTCTCATAAGGGTCGCGCTCACCGTGCATCGTTCTCCTTACTTGCAGTGCGCTTGGTCCATCGAGCCGGCCGTCTGCGCTCGATGAGCGCTGATGGGCTCTTTGTCTTCGAGGTGACGAGGGTCCTGGCGGCTTTTGCTCAGCCTTGACCCAGGTCCCCAAGCCCTGAGAAGCGAGTCGAGCGCGGCCAGACTTGTCGCCATAGATCGTAGTGGCCCCGCTGGACGCCGCGCTAGGGTATCCAATTCCGCCTACTGAAGACTTGTTTGCCCTCCTGTTCCCTGAAGCCATCCCAAGCCTGGCCATCTGCTCCACGCGCGTGGCCTCTGCTGTCTGCTTAGCAATTCGCTCCTGATGAGCTCGACGAACATGCTCCAGGGCCTGCAGAAACTCCACGTCATCAGCGATGCTCAACGTTGGCTGGCCTCGTCTTGGTGCGGAAACAGCGTCAGATCTCGGCTCTGTGCCCGTGGCTCCATGCCTGAGTCGGCCCCCTCTTTCCAGGTCGCTCCGCATACCAAGGGCAGACGAAGGGCGTTTTACTAGTCCTTGCTCCAAGTCCATGTTGGTGTCAATCGAGAGTGAAGGTCTGCTCATGGCTCTTTTGCGCGGTGGGGGCGCCTGGGTTGGCAACGGGACCTTCTCGAGCCGCACTTCGCTTTTCGTCCTGTGACCTTGCCTTGAAGATACTCGGGGCGGAGGAAGTGGGTCACCCTCGCTATCAGAGATGGCAACACTAGAGGCCATCGAGACAGTTGACGAGTTTCTGCGATGGCCACGACTAAAGTTTGAAGAAGGCCCAGACACGCTGCTGCTGCGCTTCGTGGGAGTCGAGTCAGGGGCTTTTACCGTCGTCGCCGTCGATACAGTCGACAAAGACCCGTTGCGATGACGCTCATCGGCTGTCGTAACTGACGCTGCATCAACGGAAGGCTTTGCAGAGCGCTGCTGCACCTTGCCTTGCCCTGGGCTCCTGTACGACACCGGCGGAGGCTTTTGCGGCTTTCGGGGAGAAGGAGGTCGAGTCAGATTTTTCGCACTTGCAAGCGGGCCGCTGCGGCTGGTAGATACTGGTCCCTGGGCAGCCGACGAAGAGGGGGCTAGGTGATTAAAGACGCTTTCCAACTCGATTGATGAACGACGCGATGGAGTGACGGAGTGGGCATTTGAAGGCCGTCTCCCATCGTCGTCGTTACTGCCTTCCTTGCCGTGATGACCCATGGCAGAAGAAGGCCGGGATTTCACTCGAATAGGATCCAGGATCCGACCAAAGCTTAAAGACTTTCTGTGAGAGTACCGACGAGTACTCGAAGTTGCGGCAGGCGGTACGACGGCCTCGAGCGCTTTTGCCTCTGGAGACTGATCAAAAGATGGTACAGTTGTCTCCATCGACAAGTTCTCCAAAGCAGGGTTGTTGTCTGTAACGGAGGCGGGACTGGCGGGCGAGTCCTCTTCGTCGAGATCTTCATTAGCCGTCATCGCCAACTGGCCGATACCAGCTATTCCCTCGTTAATCTCAAGTGCTAGCTGAGCCGCACGGAAGTGCGAAATGGGCATCTCGCCACCATCTTCTTTGCCTTTAGGAACTGTCTGAGATGTGCCCCACCACGCCGCATCCACGGCAGGATCCGCCGACTTCTTAAGAGCGTGTGCCGCTTTGGCGCCCGTCATGTGCGACAAGCTTGACTCGGCACTTGCGTAAGCGCTGTTTGAGCCCGAAGAAGAGTTCATACCGATTGACCCCCTCTGCTTTTGCTGCGATGCTGCCGTCATTGCCAAGTCGCTTGCAAGCGAGCCAGTTCGACTGTGTCCAGCCTTCCCCGCAGAAGTCCTCGTCCCTACTTGGCCGCCACCGCCTGCTTTGGCACCATTGCTGGAGGCCACGCTGCTCGGCCGCCTTTTGAGTGACGATGTCAATCTTGCCAAGGTCCCTTCCCGAGCAGACCAAACTTCTTCCGACAGTGGAGGAGCTTCTGGAAAAGTCGTGTCCTTTTGTTCAACTTTCCTCTGCGACAAGAGTCGTGAAGGTCTTGGGTCTCGGGAGGCCTGGCTCGACGGTGTCGGTATTGACCGGATGTCTGGGGATCCAACCTCAACTAGTACGGATGACGGACTGACGTCTGCTTCAGGCTCTTCGCCTGGTATCTCGAGTACCTCGATACTCCTGCTTCGGCCTCGCACCATCTCTGCGCTTTGGGGTACTTCATGCGCTGTTGCCGCTTTCGTCTCAGGCTTCTTGACCATTAGCGGAGCGGGCAACGGGTCCCGGACCTCACGTTGCTTGCCCTTTGTCCAGGCGGAGGCTTCGTAGAACGAAAATCGCTTGGAAAAGCGAGGCCTTGAAGTGCTGCTCTTCTTCTCGAGTCCTTCCTTGGCCTCTTTGCAGACAAGCGCGGGGCCGCCAGAGGACAGAACTGAGGGGCTAGGTTTGTCTTGCTGGACGTTGCTGGCCGTGCTGCTTGTGCTGATAGTCGTGTTCATGGTGCTGCCTCCCTGAGTGCTTCGAGATGAAGTCGAAGATCCACGGTCGAGGTTTGAATCGCCTGCCTTGTCTCTCCTGTTGCTGCTGCTACTGCTGCTATTGCTGCTCTTTCCGCTTGCGCTCCCACCGTCGACAGCGTCCGCGGTAAGCCAAGCGGTCGATTTTCTTGCGGCGGGTCTCCTGAAGCTAAAGGACGAGTATGACCTTGTTGGCAGGCTGGTGCCTACCGATTCGGAAGACTCGTGCATTGATCGCATTTGTGACGGCGCCGAGGGTTCTCTCGATCTCCTGCCTCTTTCGGCTGCGGACGAGACCGAGAGATGCGTCTCCGAGTGGCTGGGCGAGCGCCCATTGACGTTTCCTTCGTTTCGCGAAGAGGCGACGGATACGGTGGAGGAGGAGGAAGAGGAGGAGGAAGACGTGGGAGAGCTCAAAATGACGGGAGACGTCGACGCCTCTGATGACCTTGCCATACTTGATTTGAAGAGATGACTTGACCGCGACAGGTAAGATCGCAGACCTGGTTTTTCCCTTTCTCTTGACGCTTCGTCCTCAGCTGATGATGCCGCCGCCGGGCTGACACTGACACGGGGCAGCTGATTGCTCTGCGTCGTCTTGACTGATCCACTGGCGCCACCTTCTCTTTGCAGAAGCTCTGCAGGGATCGGCAATGGTTTGTTCCTTCGATGATGAGCCTGGTCATCAACAGTGAGCGACCGAGCGAGCGTGGTGACATCGACGAAACTCTTGCTCAGCGAAGGACCACCTCGTCGGCGACCCAAATCCGAGGCTGTGCGCGACTGAGCCTCATTCCTGCTGCTCTCGACGCCCACAGCACCTTTGAGATACCGGTTGTCCGTTGTCGTCGTCGTCGACCGTTCTCGCTGTGCTCTCGAGACTCCCTTTCTTCCGTCCAACGACTGCCCTCGAGAGGGTGCGATGGGGACGTTGGAAAGCATCAGAGGGGGCAGAGCAGGTGCGTGGCCGTGTGATGACTGGCTCCTGGTGGGCGAGGCTGGGGTCAGCTCACCGGATCCAAATACACGAGTACATGCTGGACATGAAACATGGAGAACAAATCGCAGCCGACTTACCCATGCCCGATTGAGTAATTGCCGCCCAGCGAGTCGAACATGTTGGCGGAGGTGGTCGAATAAACAGCGGTCTCGTCGAGCAATGCGTTCGCGCTCTTGTTGCCCATTGCGTTGCGATGATGCTGAGAGGACAAAGATGAAGCTGACGCCGGCTGTGCAAATAGACTTGAGGATGTCACATCCATGTCTCCTGGACTTGTTGGTGTCGTGCTCGCCCAGCTTCCGCTCCTCCCAAGACTGGCCCCGTCGTCTTCACCTGAAGCGCCTCGCGTGCCCGACTCATCGCGTGGGCCCGCGCCCCTGGTTGCAGCACGACCCTGTGAGGTGAAGAGACTGCCATGGCCGGCTGAATGCGCATCTGAGGACGATGAGGTGGCCGATGTCATTGCGGTGGTGCCATTAGAGGCAAGCGATCGAATGGATAGCGATCTCTCGTGAATATCCTCGCTGCGCTCAGCCTCTGTGGCGGTGAGTCCCGTGTGTAGCTGCTGCGGCAGCTGCTCGTCCTCTTTCTGGCCTGGATAGAGATCGCTGGAGACATCTTCGAGGAAAAATCCCTTCCCTTCCTGTCGCTGCTGCGACATGTGGCTGCTGTGGGACGAATTCCCGTGCTGGGGAACGATGGTCGAAGAGGAGAGGCGCGAGGTGTCTGAGTCCGCATCGGAGACAAGACGTCCTTTTGAGGTGGCAGGGGACAAGGCGGGGTCGGAAGTGCCAGCAACGGCAGGGGTTTGTCCTTCACCCATTGCGACGCCCTCGTCTATCCCGGCACCGCTCCTCTCATGGGCGCGCGCACACGCGAGATCGAAGCGGCGTCAAATTGTCGTCGATGCTGATGCACGAGGGGGGGCTCGAGCGGATCAACAATGACGACACGATTCCAGAGAAGGCGCAAACGAGCGTGCGCGCAAATCGTGTCCTGGATCCCCTCGTCGGTGATGAGCAATGGACGGTCGCAATGTCAAGTGTTTGCGACGTACCGGCGTGTGTCACTGATTCATCACCTCCCTCTACCGGAATTTCTCAACTCGTCAATTTAGCGCGCCCCCTTGCCCTTGCCCTACAGTTAGTGCGACCTCGGACAGGGCTCATTCAGGGTACAGCGGCCCGATGTAAAGTAGATCGATCGCTCGCGTCCCTCATCGCTAACTTGGATTTTCACTTTGATTCTCACCGGCATAGGTGGCTGTGATGGGTTCCTAGACTACACATTATTGGAGAGAAGACTACCTGGCATCGAAACACCATGATACTCTACTACTGGGCAATATGCGATTGGGGCGTACTGATGTGAATTTGAGAGCAGCCTAGCGTTGATCTGTCATTCCACAGCAGTAGGCTGCAGCAATTACTAGCGCTGCAGAAATAGTGTAGAACGATAGACAATCAGGAGACGGCGGCGAGGGCCTTCCAGTTTCTTGTGTTCCACGGCTCGAGCGCGACGGCCCTCGCTGTCCTGCTTCGAACGCTCTGTGTACTGCTGTCCTGCTCCATAGACTCCGCAGCTGCCAAGAGCGTTTCTGCTTTCTCCAGGAAGTTTTGCCCGCTCTCGACATCGGAGTGAGCCATGCCGTGGAGCTTCCATGCCTCTTCAAGCGCCATCTCTCTCGACTGCCCGAGCCGGATCACAGTCTCGACGAGGGCACACTGAGCACTTGTCGCTCTCAGAGCATCAGGAGCGAGTAGCACGGTCTTGCTCAAAATTGACAAGGCCTCGGAAGGTTGCCCCTTGAGAAGCTCGACCGTGGAAAGGAGTTTGTCAATGTCGTTTGCGGCATTCGTCTGATTGAACGCTGCTGGCTCCACGCTCTGCAGCTCTGACGTAGCTGCTTCCAGTAGAGTTTCATCGTCAGAGACTGCACCCATAGCCCCAAGGGCAAGGATTGCTCTGAGATTATCCGCTCCGCCTCCGGAGCCGATGTGTTCCAACAGCTTTGTCTGTGCCTCGTCTTTCTGGCCGCTTGCCCAAAGAATTTGGGCAGTCTGAACAACGATATCGGTCCTTGTCTGCTGCGATGGCTCCTCAACCTCTTGCAAGGCTGTCTCGAGAGCCTCTAGCGAGCTTTCGAGATCGCCTGAGAGGTACGATGCGATGCCCGTTCCAAGATGTGCGCCAAGTCTCACCCGTTTGCGCTGATCCCTTGACAGACTACCCACTTCTTCCTCCTCATCTCCTTCTTTTTCGGACGAGACGAGATTCAGTGTCGTCGCGAGCGCTTCCATCGCCCCCTCTGTGTCGCCGACGCTCAGGCGAATCCTCCCAAGGTTGGCTTGCGCTACGGCATATCGAGCCTCCGTTTCGCTCGATTCATCCTTTTCGTACGCCTTCTCAAGCAGGGATGTTGCTTCGTCGATGCGTTGAATCGCCAAAGAGCTCTCGCAAAGTCGTTCGGCCAAGAGCGCCGAAAGGTGCAAGGCGGATGCATCTCTCGGCCGGTGTGCGAGGTAAGTCGAGATGGCGTATGAAGGTAGATGGAGGTAAGACACTGGCGGCAGTGTCCCAGCCGTCGAGAACAAGTCAAATGCGCTCTTGGCCAGTCCGTACTCTCCTTCAAGCTGGAGCAACGAAGAGGGTCAGCATTTCGAGTCCGTTCCCTCCTCTCTTTCGTCGCAACTCACGACTGAACCTTCGCTAATGCTGTGAGCGTGAATGAACAGAGCCCTTGCCGAGGCATCATCCCCATGGGCAAGAGCGACGAGCGCTTGCCCAACCCAAGCCTGAGCCCAGTCGGGGTCGATGGTCTGAGCTCGGATGAAGCTCTCGTTGGCCAATCCTACGTCATCATACTGGAGATACAAGAAGCCAAGGTTGCTCCAGGGAATGACATCCTGTTTAATTACGTTACTCCGGAGTCAGCGCGCAGTAGGGGCGTGTCAGCGGACTCGGTGTCTGGCCACTCACCCTAGGATTGCATTCGGCGGCTTTGATGTAGCAGTGCTGAGCGAGTTGGACGCTGTGGCCAAAGCAGAGGTTGCCAAGCGTGCACCAGAATGCCTCGTTGCCTGGCTCGAGCTTCAGAGCCTCTTTTGCGCATGCAATGGCCTCACCGACACAAGTCGTGCTCCCTTGCTCGTCGCCAGCAGCCTTGAAGACCTGTGCGATCCGATGAAGTGAAGTTGCCAGATCCGTCCAAGCGGAGCCAGCAACCTCTTCGTCGCCAGCGTGCAAGAGCACGCGTAGCTTGTAGAGGTACACCGCAGAGGTGAGCATCTTGAGGGAGGACGATTCTTGCTCGTTGCCCAGCACCTCTGCCACGGTGTCCGACGTTACGGCAGTGATGGAAGGGAGACTTTTGTCAACGCCAAGCTCGTCGGCTAAGGTGACGAGCGGAATAACATAGTCGTCCACCATGGTGTCATCGATGTCGATCTGAAATTGCGCGAGGTGAAAGAGAGCATCCCCGGCCACCTTCCAGGCAGACCGGAGTAGCTTCTCTTTCTCCAGCGTCACTAGACTAGCTTCTAGCGCTTCACCGAGAGAAGCTGCCGCCCTTAGGACGTAGCCCGATTGGGCCTCGGCGAGGCCGAGGAGCAGCCTCGTCTCTGCTCCTACAGCTCGAATGCCTGGCTCCTCGGGTCTTTCCTCGGTCAGCTGTTCGAGGATCTCGAGGGCAGCTTCGAAGTTGCCAAGCGACCTTTCGACGTCGGCAATGCAGTACCTCGCTGTCCACTGATCAGGGTCCAGCTCGAGGACCTTTGCGAATGTCTTGAGTGCTGCGCTCTGTCGGCCACTGGCAGCATAAGCCTCGCCAAGCCTTTGCCAAGCCCTTGCGTCCTCTGGTTCGCTCCTTATAGCAATCTGAAGCGCGCTGATGGCCTTCTCGTACTGGAGCCGATGTATCTCAACGGCTCCGATGGCTTTCCAGGCCCATGCATTACGCGTGATGTGGCGCCTCTGACTGCTCAAAGCGCCGCCGAGCGCCTCTTTGCCCCCTTCGCCCTCAATCGTCCTCCTGGCCACCACATCGACGAGGTCCCACTCGCGGTCCTCGGCGAAACCCTCGGCGAGCTTTCGTGCCGCTTCGTTCTCCCTCGCGTCCAACTCAAAGGCCTTTTGGAAGCACTTCGACGCCCTTTGTCCGTCGACGGGCTCGGCGACGGACAAATAATAGAAGCCCAGCGAGGTGAAGGCAGGGGCATAGGTCGAGTTGCGCTTGAGCGAAGTGACAAAGCATGTAAATGCCTGTGACGGGTCTCTTTGTGCTTCGCCCCCCATGTCCCAGAGGCATCGCCCCAAGCGCCACCAGGCCTTGGCCTTTTCGGAGGCCGCCTCATCGCCTTTTGATTCGAGCTTGTCAATGACATAGTCCAGCTCACCCTTTGCGTTTTCGAGATGGCCCAAGTTGATGTCACACCACGCAACCTCGTGCCGGGCTTCGAGATGGGGATCCGAGAAGATGGACAAGGCGCACTCGTCTTGTCGGAACGGCAGCTCAGCCACCACGGTGAGGAGATTGCGAGCGTCCTGCCAGCGATTCGCGCTCTGGTAGATGAACGACTTGCAGCTGAGTGCGTCAATGTTGTCTTCATACGTCGAGAGGACGCTGTCCAGCAGGCGCAGGGCACGCGCATGGTGTTGAGGTGGATGTAGGTAGGCCAGAGCGGTCGCCAGATTGAGCTCAAAAGCAAGTTTGACTTGCGACAGATCGATGCCAAAGTCGGCCTCGGCCCTTCTGCAAAGAGCAAGTCCCTGGCTCGCAACATCAGACGCTGAGAGATAGTCACGATCGAGCAGGTAGAGGGTCGATGCGATGCCGTGTGCCAGCGTGGAGCCAGGGCAGGCTTCGAGTCCGTCCTTTATGCCGTGGTTCCGTCAGCGCTTGTTGTTCCTGCTGTAATCCTTCCCTTTACGATTCGTCTCTTTGCAACTCACCAGGGCGAGAGAGAGCGGATCCGGCTCCTTTTGCTCGATGTCCTGTTCCTTCATGATCTCCTCCTGTTCCTTTGCAAATTGCTCATCCTTCAAGACGTGCAGCAGGGCCTTTGACGATGAGGCGAGTCCGTGGCTCGGAAAGTGTGTAACAAATGCACGAAGCCGTTGGCGATCGAGATGGGCTGTTGTTGAGAGATTGAGTCAGTATCGGACATTTGCCAAAACACCAAGAAATACGTACCAAGGGAGAAGACATTGTCCCATTCGAGCACCGTCGTCCAGGCAAGCTCATCGGAGACATTGATGGCGACGATGCCTTTGGCGAGGTCTGTGAAGCTGTCTCTTGCCTCTGTCTTTCTGGCCCATTCTGCTGCTTCCTTTTCGCCTTCGGTCTGCCCGCTCTCGTCATTCATGGTAGCCGCCGTGGCGCCGGGCCCGGCAAGCTTGGCTCTAGGGTTCGGCAAGGCCTTGAGGAGAGTGTGACGGAACAAGAGAAGCTTGTGCTCTGCCTCTCTGCGGTCTTGATCTGATGCAAGGACGTGGGCGAGGACCTGATCGTAGAGCAGTGGAAGCCTCGACTGTGTCCACACCGACAGGCCTGCCTCGTTGCGAAGCTGCTCTCTCGACTTGCCCGCTGCGTTCATTCGCATTCTACTCTTTTCGTATTCTTTGTCCACCGAGTCTCCTTCGAAACCCTCGAAGAGCGAAATGACCTCGAGAAGGACCTTGAGGGCGTCCGAATGCATCGCCATTTGCGCCTCGAAGGTCGAGGTCGACTTGGGCGCCGTTTGGTCCGGCGCGGGCAAGGTACTGAGCAGAGCAAAATAGGGCGAGTCTGGCAGGTAGAGAGAGAGAGCTGCTGCCAGCTTCGACCGCCCTCCCTCTTCCCTCTGCAACTGAACGAGTTTCTGGAGCGCCTCTGCACATTTCGTCACATCCTGCCCCTCGACGGCAAGATCCATCTCCCTTTGCAGGACACCAGCAGCCTTGTCCCATTGCTTTTGCTGCATGTAGAACTTCTCGAGGCCTTGCCATGCCAAAAGTTGCCCTGGCTGTAGCTTGATGGCCTTCTGGTACGCCTTTTCGCTCTCGTCGTACTTCTCGAGGTTGAGCAGGGCCAAGGCCCGAAAGACGTGGCCATTGTAGTTGTCGCCCTCATGCTCGACGACCTGGTCGGCCGCTTCGACAGCCCCTTGCCAATCCTTGGCCTGTATCGCCTCCCTCGAGGCCTTGAGCTTGGCCTTGACGAAGCTGGAGGACATTGGCCTGCGTCGTCACGGGTCGGTCGCAGCAAAAAGGACGCTCGAGTGGCCTTTCTTCTTCTTGCTCCACCTCTGTCAAGCCGTCGAACAGACGTCACTTGCCTGCGCTCAGTTCTTCGCAATACAAAAATCTTCAGCCTTCCACCACAGTGGGCAATATTGAAATGGAGCGCTAGGGTTTTGTAATGATTCGCAATCCCATAGAATAGAATACGCTCGTGTGGTCCGTCTTCAACCCTCTGCGTCGTTTGTGTGTGGGAGACGCCTTCTTCTCTTCCTTTAAGTCCAGTCAATCACACCGACCCACTCAACTTTTCCCATCTCCTTCCAGTCCTTCAAGAGTCCGATCACGGCTCACCCTGTCCATTCCACCTGTCAACAAAGAGGTCCCGCAAGTTCATCTCCAACATGACCGACGCTGCCGTTGCTACGAACGAGGTCAAGATGAACCAGGAAGGTAACGTCGCCACTGCCCCTGCCCCCGGGCCTGGTGGTGCCGAGGCCCAGGCTAGTGCCACTGCTGCCGTCGACGACGCCATGAAGGTGAGAATGACTTGTTCAAACTGCTGTTTATAATCCACAGGCTGACCCCACCACTATCGTTTCAGGTCTTTGCTGGTGAGCGCACCGACGTCGCCTCTCTCGTCTTAATGTGTCCTTTTCATGCTGATCCAAGCTATGCACAGGCAACCTGGCCTTTGCCACGACGGAAGACGAGCTCAAATCGATCTTCTCCGAGGCTGGCGCTGTGTGAGTAGTTCCCACTTCTCCCACTCGAGGGTGTGATGAGGGTTTTGATTTATCGCGAGTGCGTGCGGCCGGGCTAAACATGCGTAATCACACAGCACTCAGGTCCAGATCATCAAGCGTGGCACTCGCTCCCTCGGCTACGGTTTCGTGACCTACGCCACCGAGGCTGAGGCGCAGAAGGCTGTGACGCTCCTCAACAAGAAGGAAATCGCTGGTCGCGAGATCAACGTCGAAGGTGCCAAGCCCCAGACGGAGGCCCAGGCGGCCGGTGCCGCCACCCGAGGAGCAAAGCGTACTCGTGGCCGCGGTCGTGGACGAGGAGTGAGTTGTGGAAGACAAAGAGCTAATGAGAAACAAAGGAGGAAAGGCTGATCTTCTTGCTGGATGTCTCAAGGGCGCTTCTTCCAGGCGACCTCGCAACGACGAAGGTGAAGAGGATCTCGAGGACCCCTTGGCGGAGAAGGCCGACGGCGAGGCGGCTGGCGTCAATGGCGAGGGCAAGGCGGCTCGCGCTCGCCGTGCTCGAGGCAAGAAGGAGGCCAACGGAGCCGCAGAGACGGAGGAGGGTGCTGCTGCTGCCGACAAGCCTGCACGCCAGCCTCGCAAGCCCAAGGGTGCTCCCCAGGGCGAGCCGAGCAAGACGCTCCTCTTTGTCTCGAACCTGTCCTTCAACGTCGACGATGACGCCCTCAAGGCGGCCTTTGATGGCTTCCAGGTCACGAGCGCAAAGGTTGTCAAGAGGCGCTTCGGAGGCCCTGGAGGCAGGACCGGAAGGAGCAAGGGCTTCGGCTTTGTCGACTTTGCCAGCGAGGCCGAGCAGCAGAGGGCCCTCAAGGAGGCTCACAACAAGACTGTCGACGGCCGCGAAATGTCGCTGAAGGTGGCCATCCAGGGCGACGACAAGAAGGATGACGAGACCGAGGAAAAAGTGGCCAAGGCCGAAGCTGCTGCCGATGCTGACCCTGCTCCTGCTGCCTGAGGCATTGCACACTTGCTGTCTCCTGCCTTTTCTTGTGCCCCACCTAAAGTGCTCTTGTATCCACACATCAAAAAAGAAAGGAGGGGAGGTTCTTTGGACTTGTTCATAGGCCCGACCTGTCCATTCTCATTCTGCTCAACCTCCTCCTCCCACCACCACCACCACCCTAAATAACAACTTAGCCTTTTCTCAACTGAATTGCCATGAAAGGGTCACCATTACAGAGTATGTGTATGTGTGCGTGTGTCTTGTGTAGAGTTCATCTCAGCCGTCAGCGGCGGCGTTGTAACCATCTCTCTCTTCGAGCTGCTCGAGGTATGCGAGGGCAAGGGCGATCCAGAAGCCAAGGTCGATGCCAAGGCACTGGACAGCGTGGGCCTGGATGGTGAGTCTGCCCTTTTGCTTAGCCTTCCAGAACCACCAGCCGGAGCGGTCCTCGAAGCGGAGCACCTCGATGCCCGGGCCTGATGCCTCTGCGCCTTGGCCGGAGCCTGTTCCAGGACCGCCTTCGCGTCCATGCATGCGTTCGTGCATAGGCGGCGGGTCGAGCCAACGCAAGGAAAACGTCTTGGAGGTGTCGATGGCCAGGGGAGGTCGGATGGGCTGGGGCATCAGCGACCAGGCCCACCGTGCCCACCCGAGCCGGTGGCCGCCCTCTGCGACGCGTCCGGGGGCCATCTGCGACTCGACGAGCCACGAGGCATTGGAGGCGCCCGAGCCGTCAGTGAGGAGAAAGTTGCAGGCGCGCGGCCGTTCCTTTCTCGAGCGCGGCGAAGACATCGATGGGGAGGGAGAAGGGGTGGAAGACGTGGAAGAAGGGGAGGGAGATGGGGAAGGAGAGGAGCCAGGGACGCGGCTGGATCGAACGGGGCTGCGGCCAGAGGGCGAGAGATTCTTGCGCGTCTTTGAAGCCTGCGACGAGCCGCGCGAGCCAAGCGCATGCGGGCTAGGTGGCTTGTGGTACGGCTGGTCGGCGTCCTCGAGTGGATGCCGAACCCCTCCGTGTCCCTCCTTATCTTTCTTCTCCTCGTCGCCTTCCTCCTCTTCCTCAACTACAATCGTAGGTGGCGCTATGCCATCCAATTGTGAGGACCTCGACACATGACGAGAGCCAGATGCTGAACCTGAAGCAGGGCCAGAGCCTGATATCGAGATGCCGGCGCTTCGTCGCCGAGCATGGCTGCTTCCTCGACCAGATGACCCTTCGACGTGAATCTCTCGTGCCGTCGAGCGGGCGGCTGGTGTGTCAGTATGCTCATGTTTAGGTGAAGATGCGCGCTCTTGTGCCTTTGTGGACGAGGTGACGGCCTCTTGCGGTTGATCAAGCGCAACAGTGGTGAATGCACCGCTCACCCTCGGCTCGTGACTGGTGCGTTGCGGCGGCTGCAGCGCACCTGAAGAAGACGGCATTCGGTCGCTCTCGATGAAGGTCCGTACATGCTTCAGCGCTCGGAGATCGATAGAGGTGCCAATCGTGAAAGTCAGAGGCGTGCTGCTTGGGTCAGCCGCTGCTGTTCTCGATGGTCGCAAGGGGATGGCTGAGCCAGGCGGCAGGAGTGGAGATCGTAAGTGCAGATACCATCTGGTGAGTAGCGATAGAAGGCGCGTCAGAAGTCATAAGATTGGTCAATGACAAAGGGGCAGCTTTCTTGATTCAGGAACACCCACCCTCGCACTGGCCGATGCGTTGTCCATGTGACGTGGGCGGTATTGGCATCGACAAGGCGGTCGACGATCTCGTCCTGGGGCGTCAAGGTCCTCTCGCGAAACCACCGCGGGCGTCTTGGCCCCTTTGCTTCTTGCTGCTGCGAGTCGCCTGCACCGACCTCGACGACCTGCAGCCTCAGGTCAGAGATCGACTCGGTGGCCGTCTCGACGTCGAAGCGCATCGTCTCCATAGTATCGATCTTTGTGATCACTTGCCCATCGCCATCATCGTCTCCTCTGACAGTGGAGATTGTCTGTTGCTTTTGCCTGTCGCGAAATAGAGTTGTCGGCGGAAAAACAAGAAGGGTCTCCGTTTTGTCACTGGGTTGTCTGGTGACGAACTTGCGAAAGTGCAATTCTGTCACTTTTATGCTTCTCCTTATTCAGCAGGGGTAATCCAAGTCAATCGCCCAGCCAAGCAGCTAGTGTCCTAGCTTGGGTTCTGCGCCTTGCTATACATGCGAATTGGTCATCATTTGCGGGGAAGGGGGGCTCAAGAATACACAAATTGGACAAAAGGAAAGAAAAGAAGGCAGATTTTTCCTCTTTGTTATTGGCCAGATAGCTCGGGGACTGAGATGGGATGCCTGGAGAAAAAAGACACGGCCCTGTCGACCGTAGCTCCGAGGGACGTGTTGAAAGCGAGCCTCTGCATTTATGCCCCTGCCCCGCGGCGCGGCCTTGCATTCTTATTCGCTGCCGCTCCAGCTTTTTCACCTTTCATGTAAAGGGCGACCCTAGGCCTGCCTACCTAGCTCACTGGCTCTATTTCAAAGCAAGCGCTATCCCCTCACTCCTCATCTCCTCACCATCACCTACTGCCTTTCTCCCTTCCCGTCCGTCTCCTTTGTTTCTTGCTCCCCTACACACAATCACAGCTCTTGTCAAGATGTCTGCCCAGACAGCCAACGGAAAGGAGGTTCAGTTCTACTCACGCGACGACGTTGCCAAGGTGAGCAGCGCCTTATCTCCTCTTACGATGCAGTCTGCTTTCGCATTGCATTACATCTGCTGAACATCGCCACACCTTTGGCTACATTACAGCACAACAAGCAGGGCGATGTCTGGATCGTCATTGATGCTACCATCTACAATGTGTCCAAGTTCGCTGAGCTTGTGAGTCGCGCTGCACCTTTCTCACCTCCTAAATAAGCCACAGAACCGCTCACTCTTCTCGACTTTTATTCGTCTTAAAGCACCCTGGCGGTGAATCGGTCTTCTACGACGAGGAGGTCGCTGGTCAGGAGTGCACGGAGACGTTCTTGTGAGTAGAGAGGCGCCTGATTTAACAGCTTAGAAGTGAATGCGTTTGCTGACGTAGTGAGCATCACCCAGCGGCCTTCACCGCCATGAGGTCCTGCTCAAGCCCGCGTACCAGCGGTTGATTGTTGGCAAGATCAAGGGCGAGGAGTCTGTCATCAAGGTGCCCGAGCCTGGCGCAGCGTCCAAGGTCCCCTACGCCGAGCCCATGTGGCTCACGCCCAACTACCACTCGCCCTACTACACCGACTCGCACCGTCGGTTGCAGAAGGCCATGCGTGCCTTTGTCGACGACCGCATTCACGAGGTGGCGCAGCGGTGCGAGGACAACGGCAAGCGACCCGACGTGGACCTCGTCCAGGAGATGGGTGCAAACGGCCTCAACGCCATGCGCATGGGCCCCGGAAAGCACCTCCAGGGACGAAAGCTGTTTGCCGACGTCAAGGCCGAGGAATTCAACTACTTCCACGAGCTCGTTATTACCCAGGAGCTTGTCCGCATGGGTGCTCGTGGTTTCGGTGACGCGCTCCAGGGCGGCATGGTCATTGGCCTTCCCCCTATCATGAACTTCGGTTCCGACGACTTGAAGAAGGAGATTGTCGAGCCCGTCCTGGCCGGCAACAAGTTCATCTGCCTTGCCATTTCGGAGGCCTTTGCCGGTTCCGATGTCATGGGCATCCGCACCACCGCCACCCTCACCGAGGATGGTGAGCACTACATCGTCAACGGCACAAAGAAGTGGATCACCAACGGTGTCGTGAGTGCATCTAGCCGGCTCTTGTTGACAACCACGATGTTCCGTAGCTGATCCCCATTATCCCTTTTAAGTTTGCCGACTACTTCACCACGGCTGTCAAGACTGACATGGGTTTCGCCGTCATCTGTGTGCCCCGCTCTTGCGGTGGCGTCGAGACCAAGCAGATCAAGACATCGTACAGCACCACGGCCGGCACGGCCTACGTCACCTACGACAACGTCAAGGTGCCCAAGAGGTACCTCGTCGGCGAAGACGGTCTTGGTATCCAGATTATTCTCTCCAACTTCAACCACGAGCGTTGGGTCATGTGCTGCTCGACGATTCGGGCGGCACGCGCCATGTGCGAGCAGGACATGCTCTGGGCCAACCAGCGAAAGGCCTTTGGCAAGCCCCTCAACGGACAGGCCGCTGTGCGCCAGAAGCTGGCCCAGTGCATCTCGCTTGCAGAGGCAGCTCAGAACTGGCTCGAGAGCGTCACGTACCAGATGTGCAACATGTCGTACAAGCAGCAGTCGCTCTTCCTCGCAGGACAGGTCGCTCTGCTCAAGTCATGGAGCACTCGCGTGAGCCACGAGGTGGCCGACGCCAGTGTCCAGCTGTTTGGTGGCCGAGGCCTCACAAAGTCGGGCATGGGTCGCTTCGCAGAGGAGTTCCACCGCACCTACAAGTTCGACGCCGTGTTGGGAGGCTCCGAGGAGATCTTGGCCGACCTGGGTATTCGCCAGGCGCTCCGTTTCATGCCCCAGGACCAAAAGCTCTGAGCAAATTTTCCTTTTATGTAGACTTTACCGCTCCTCTCCAACCCTCGTGGGGGTAATGACATCTTCTGCTCCGTCTGTCTGTCTTGTCGATATCAGATTGCCGGGTCTCCACCCCGCCGCTGGTTGAGTCTGACTCCACACTATTACCACTACTGCTATTGCTGTCCTGCTCCAGACGACTGGGAGATTCCATTTCGGTGCTATCTGATTATCGGAGACACACGCCATCACCCGCCATCAGTGTTGGTCACGTGTCCCGGCGCTCCGCCGGCCTGATGCTATTTTGCGAGACGGGTCTAAGTCAACCTAACCTAATCGGAGCCCCCTCTCTCTTTTCCTCTTCTCTCTCTCTCCCCGTCTGAAGCTAACTCAGCAAACTGGGGCACGGTCGCGTAATCGAGCAGTGCACCTGAAAGCAGGGCTGTGTGGGCAAAGTAGAGACGCAAGGCCCCCTGCCCAACCTGTCGATTCCACTCATCGACGTCCTCTCTGGCACGACTGCGACGCCCCCTGACGAGCGATATGAACTTGTAGCCTCACGCCTCCACGACTTTTCGCCAACACGACACGAGCAACAACATAGACGGCAGCAACAGCAGCAGCAGCAGCAGCAGTGGGAAACGGAGGAGGAAGACGAAGGGACGGATAGAGGGATGACGGCAAAAGGCCATCTGGAGTCGGCGCCCTTGCTCCAGGATCGCCAGGGCGAGGCGCCGGTGGGGGCAGCGGAGTCCCTCACCACGGCCACGGGGTCCAGACAGAGCAGGATCTCCTCGCCTGTGCTCAGCAGAAGGGAGCTGGCCGCGTCGGGCGACAACAAGGACGCGGCATTGGAGGCGTGGAAGAGGCGACGGCGGTGCGTCTTCTGATCTGCTTCTTCCTTCAACAGCAATGCTGACAAGCTCTGAACCACCTAATAGGTCCTACATCATCGTGTATTCTGCCATCTTTTGCGTCGCCTACGTCACCTCGCTCGATGCCAACACCGGCTTCCTGTACCTCAACTTTGCCTGCAGCGAGTTTGGCGCCCTGTCCTCGTTCAGCACCATTGCCATTGTCCAGCAGCTCTGTTTCGCAATTGCCAAGCCGCCCGTCGCCAAGGTCTCCGACGTCTTTGGCAGAGCAGAAGCATACCTCGTCTCCCTCTTCGTCTACGTCCTGGGCTACATCATCATCAGCACGGCACCCTCGCTGTCCAGGCTCATGTTTGGCATCGTGCTCCAGGCCACGGGTAACACGGGTCTGCAGGTGCTCCAGTCGATCATCATTGCAGACAGCACCACGGCCAAATGGAGGGGCCTTATCATCGGCATCGTCAACCTGCCTTACCTCGTCAATTTTGCTGTCGCAGGCCCGCTCGTCGAACTCGTCATGCGCACCCAAGGCTGGCGATTCGGCTTTGGCATGTGGACTGTCATCCTGCCCATTGCTGCTCTGCCGCTCCTCGCCACCCTCTTCGTCGGACAGAAGCGAGCGCGGCGTGCAGGATTGCTTACCACCAATCCTATTCGCGCTAGGAGCTTTGGGGCCGCCATCATCGAGTTGGCCCGTCAGATCGACGCCGTTGGATTGGCCCTCTTTTCGCTCGGCTTCTGCTTCATCCTCATACCCCTCAGCGAGGCTGGCCATGGGGCAAAAGCCATCGCTTCGCCTGCCGGTCTCCTCGGTACAGGTCTAGCGTTTCTGGTGCTCTTCATGCTCTGGGAATCGCGGGCTTCCGCTCCGATCCTACCATACCGATTCTTTACCAACACGGCCGTCGTCTGCGTCTGCCTTGTCGGTGTACTCGACTTTTGCAGCTTCTACATCAGCTGGACCTTCCTCAGCGCCTTTATTCAGATTCTCAAGGGCTGGGATCAGACAAAGACGGGCTACTTTGCCAGCACACAGAACGTCACCAGCACGTTGACGGGCATCCTCGTCGGGTGGAGCATGGCTGCCACGCGCAAGTACAAATTCCTCCTCGTCGCTGGAATCATCGTCAGGCTGCTCGGTGTGGCCATGATGGTCCGCTACCGCTCCTCGGGCTCGCCTACCTTTCTCCTCGTCCTCTGTCAGCTCTTGCAAGGCATCGGTGGAGGATCGGCCGCCATCACGATGCAGGTCGCCGTGCAGTGTGTCGTGCGCCACTCGGACGTTGCCATTGTCACGGCCATAGAGCTGCTCATGACCGAGTGCGGCGCCGCCATTGGCTCGGCTGTCGCTGGCATGGTCTTTTCTCAGGAGCTGCCAACCGCGCTGGCCATCCGCTTGCCAGATTTCTCGCCAGAAGAAATCGAAGTCGTCTTTGGAAGCCTTTCGGCCGCCCTTTCGTATCCATTGGGCAGCGAGACGAGGCAAGCCATCATCGAGGCCTGGGTCGCCGTCATGCATCGGCTCTGCATCATGGCATCCCTCATCCTTGTACCTGCCGTTTTCCTGGCGCTGGCGATTCCCGATGGGACCCTGCCCGACGTCCACCACCATTCGGCAGCCTCGCACCATCACTCCGGCAGCTCTCGACGCCACAACTCTTCGACGATTCGGCGATCGAGGAGCGCAACAAGACCGATCTCGGGCCCGCCGAGCAACCCCTACTCTGGAACATCATCCAATCACCGAAAGGCAGGCGGTGGCACTATGCCAAGGGGCGAGCACGAACGTCAGCCGCGAGCCTTGACGGTGCATGCCACCGAGGGCAGACATGTCTCGTCGCTCTTTCTGGTTCCTCCGCCGAGTGGAGACTCGTCTGAAGGAATCAGGCATGTTTCTGATCCGATTCCCTCTTCAAGAAGCGAGAGCGATCGAGACATAGAAGACTTGTGATCATGTAGTACTATTAGCATTCGCATCAATAACCCTTACTCATGATTCTTCTCTTCATCACGAAGAGAAAAAACAAAAGTCAGTGGGAGGCAGTGAAAGAGTGCGGTGTGCTCGGCGCAAAAGCTAAAGGCCCGAGAAAAGACGAAGCAAAGATGCAATTTTCATAGCGCGCGCGTGTGTTTCTCGTCTCCAAATTTGCCCTTCATCTGGGTTGTGCGCGGACGCAGCGAGCCCCGTCATCGCCGTCGCTCCTCACCACCATCGACGCCATCGCCGCCTTCGCTTCGGAATCAAAAGGAAGCTCCTTCTCAGGCTAGAACCATCCCATTCTCAACGCCTCGTCTGGTGCGGGCTGCACGTAGGCATGAGTGAGTGCCCCCCCTCCCCCTTGCCCCGTCTGTCTAAAAAAATCGTACCATGACTCCTACTGACTGCGGTGCCCATGGCTCATTTGATGGCAGTGGACGACCTGAGCAGTAACTCGTCCGACTATGCCGCCAACAGCTGGGTGACATGGTTCCTCAGCACAAAGGGCAACGAGTACTTTTGCGAAGTCGATGAGGACTACATCCTCGATCGGTTCAACCTCACCGGCCTCAATGGCGAGGTGCAGCACTACCCGCAGGCCCTCGACCTCGTCACGGACGCCCTTGGTGAGTCGTGAAGCCCGGATAGCTCCTTGCCATGAAACAGTGCTGAGCATGTGTGTGAGCAGAAGACGATCTGGACGATGAGGCGAGAGACTACATCGAGGCGCAAGCTCGGCTGCTGTACGGTCTCGTCCATGCCCGGTACATCATCACAACACGCGGACTCGCAAAGATGGTAGGTGCTACACCCCTTCTTCTGACCTCCTCCGCCCACCTGTTGACCTGGTCTCGCTTTGACAACAGCTCGAAAAGTACAAGCGTGCCGATTTTGGTCGCTGCCCGCGGGTCCTGTGCTACCAACAGGCGCTTCTTCCCGTCGGCTTGTCCGACCAACCGTTCCAAAAGGCCGTCAAGCTCTTTTGCCCGCGCTGCGAGGACATCTACAGCCCAAAGTCGAGTCGGCACGGCACAATCGACGGCGCCTTCTTCGGCAGCACCTTCCCACATATGCTCGTGAGTCCTTCGCACCTCGCACGTTCCTTCGAAAGTGAGCTGACTGGAGATTGGGCTGGCCCCATCCTGGTCAATGAAGTTTATGGTGTATCCGCACATGCTGCCGAGCAAGTCGCAGACGTCGCAGTCGCCCTTCTTGCTGTCCCAAGGTGCTGGCTCTTCGAATCGGACGAGCCACGATGGGGGAGTACCAGGCGGTGGGGTTGGTGGGACAGGCGGCCCAGGTGGGAAATTCATGCAGGATGGAACTGGGGCCGGAGGACAGCAAGGGGATGGCGACTCGCCCACCTCTAGCTTCTCGCCGTTGGCAGCTGGCCCGGGCGGCTCGGCGCAACAGGGTGGGGCAGGGACAGGAAGCGGCAACGGGCTGATCCCGGGAGCAGGCGCAGGCGCAGGAACGGCGGGCGGAGGTGGATCGGGCCCAGCAGGGGCGCCGGGCGGATCGACGGCGAATGCAGCGCTGAAGGTGGAACGCTATCGACCGAGAATCTTTGGCTTTCCCACTCATGAGACGGCAAAGCTTCATCGATGGCAGGAGAGGCAGCGGGATATCCAGATTGAGCGGCTCGAGAGGGCAGAGGCGGGCGTCGTCATCAGTGCCGCGCCCGACGCGGGTGTGGGCCCAGAAGCAAGGACGGGGACTGGGGGTCTGGATTAGACCAGCGCAAAGGGACCATGAAACCAGATACTATGTCATCTATCCATCACACTAGGCTCAAAAGACACGATAAAGGAGGCATGGCTCTCTCTCTATATCTCTGTCATCTGCCACAATTAAACATGTATTGACAAGTGGGATCAGTGTGCCGCAGGATCCAAGGCAGTGTCTGCGCTGATTGTAGTGGTTGATCCACCAAAGCTGTTCGTCTCGCCTGTCAGCTCTATTGCCAGCGACGGGCTTCTTCGCAAGACGACTCACTTGAATTCCAGCTCAAAGAGCATGGCAAAGACGAGAATGTGCAAGCAGACGGCGTAGGCGATGAAGAGGAGTCTCATCCTTCGGTGGCCAAGCACGACTCTTGTCAGCATGTGCAGGACCCGCTCGAGTGGATTGAGCGAGTTGAGCGCACGATTTTGCTCCTGTGTGTATGAAAGAGTGAGGTGCGGTGTTAGTGAGATGATCCTTCATTTGGGCCCGAGAGTGTTCATTCCACTCACATTGCCCCTGAAACGTTCAAAGGGGTTCATGGCGGCTTCGTACTTGTCTCGGTACTTTTCCTCACCCCTGCCTAGCCCCGTCCTCGGTGCAGGTGCTGCGGGCGGGTAGGCTCCAACGTCGTTTCGTGCAGACACATTGACGATCCTCGCGTCGGGATAATGATTTCGTACCGAAGAAGATGAGGCCCCTGCGTCGTTTGACGTCGAGCTGTACGCTTGCAGATATCTGACTTTCTCATAGAGACTCAAGTTGTCCGCCTGGAGTGTCTTGACCTCATTGCGAAGCTCCGTAATTGTCTCAAATTGACGTCGAAGCTCTTCCTCCAGCTCAGCGTTTCTCGCGCGGAATCGGTCACGCTGACCGGTAATGATGGGTAAAATGCTCGAGTCTGAGGAGCCTGCATTCGTGCTAGAGGAAGCTGCTGGTGTAGGCTTTGTCTCGAAAGGAATCGGGTCGTTCTTGACTTCCCTCTGCTTGCTTGAAGATGAGGAAGAAGAAGCCTCACCACCAATGCGATCCATCTCTGCCAGGGCCTCCTCAGCGCTCATCGACGACGTCTTCTTAGACTTCCCATCGCCAGGTTTCATGTTGACAAGGTCATCCTCGAGGCGTTCATTGAGACTCTTAAGCCTCTTTACCTCGCTTCTCAGGCCTTCGAGCTCCTTCGTGGTCGAGGCCGACGCATTGCTGAGCTCGCCCTGCGATACACGCATCGTCGCCAGCTCGTCCTGCAGCTGCTTGTTCTTCTCGATCAACAAAGCCTCGAGCGGCTTTGCGGTGGCCTTTTCCTTTCGCTGCTGCGCATCATCGCCGTTTTCTCCGCCTCCTCGGCTGAGCACGTCGTCATCGTCCTCTTCCTCTGCACCGGCCGAGAACTCGACATATTTGAAGATATCGAGCTCCCTCTTGACCTCGTCGTAGTCTGCCATCTGCCTGACCTTCTCCCTCAGACCCTCGTTCTCCCGTTCCCGCTCCTTGGCCACCCTCTCTGCCTCTCTCGCTCTCCTCTCGAGCTCTTCTTGGCCTTGTTTAGCTCGCACGCTCTCGTCTTCAAACAGCTTTGTTAGCCTCCTCGCCTCCTCCTCGCTCTCGATCCGCTTCGCCTCAGCCTCTTGCAGCTTGGCTTCGTCGGCCGACCCGCTCTTGACCTTCTCCATCTCCTCTCTCAGCTGCTCATTCCTCCTCTCGACGCTCTGCAGCCTTTCGGTCGTCCTTCTCAGCTCCTCGCTGACCATGTCGAGCTCCTCGAGCCTGCCGCCCGTCTCGCCTCTCTCGACATCTTCTCCATGCTCCAGCAGTCTCTCCGTTGCCCGGGCATGGCTCTGTCTAAGATCCCGCAGCTGCGTCTGAGCCACGTTCAATGCCCTCGTCAGGTCCTCTTCCCGCGCCACCTGGTTCCTCCATCTCTCGTCCCACTTTGCGCTCAGCTCGGCCTCAATCGCGCCACGCTGCTCCGTCGCGCGCGACTCCATCCCCGACTCGAGCCGGGCGATGCGCTCCTGCAACCGAGACCGTTCTGCCTCGATGGCCGGCAGCTGCGTCTGCAACGAGGCATTGTCGAGCGAGAGCTGCGTCACCTGCCCACGCAGCGTCTCGAGGTCTGCGAGTGTCGCCGTTTGTTCCTGAGAGACTCGCTTTGTCAGCTTTTGTGCCTACTTGATGTGCAGCCGAGTGCAAGAGCCACAGGTCGCGACTCACCACGACGGCCTCGAGGATCGGGTATGGATCCGAGGCGTCCTTCAGCCGGTCCCGGACACCTAGAACGGCATTCTCGGCACTCTTTGCCCGCTTCGTCAGCTCGTCAATCTCGGACTGGTAGGCCTTGAGCAGCGCCTTGAGCTTCGCCTCGCGCTGCTCGTCCTCTTCGCTGGCCATGGCCACCGCCGTGTCGGCGTCGCCCGGCACGGCCCGCTTGGCCTTTTTGAATTCGCGCGTCTGCTCCGCGAGGCGCTTGCGGCTGACGAGGGCCTCGCGCTGGCCTTCAACAAGCTTCGGGCAGAGCGTCTCAAAGTACGTCTGAATCGACGGCAAATTGATCTCGCGCCACGTCGTCAGACTCGTCGAGAAGTCGACTTCAGCCCCCGCGGACGCCGCCGTAGCCGTGGCATCTGCGTTGGTCGTCGTCGCCGCTGCAGTGCCATTCGCCTGGCCTTCCGCTCGGCCCGCGTCCGAGTCTGGTTGTCTGCCGCTGATGAGCGCTGCTTCGACAAGGTGATCGGCCATCGTACAAAGGACCAAGCCTCCTCAGATCCAGACCAGATTGCTGAATGTTCTTGATGTGTCGGTCGTTTAGCAGCAAGACAAACAGGAACGAAAAAGCCCGTGCGGACTCCACACGTGTCTGAGAAACAGATGGAGACCACTACCGTACCGGTACCCAGCGTTTTCACAAGGCATGGCAAGAATGACATTGAAGCAGAGAAGAAGCTTTTGTGTGTGTGTGTTTGCGTTCGAGAGTGAGTGAGTGAGTCTGTCTTGTCTTATCTTGTCTGTTCGTGCTGTTATGATGAAGCTATGCAAAGAATGAATACCGCAAAAGGCCGGACTGTTTGTTGATGTAGAGATAATTTACGCATGTGTCTCCATTCAGTTACCGGAGCGCTGCCTTTTCCCACATTGTCCGGACCTGATCAACCTGGATGGGGGCGTCGTCGACGCCGTCGCCCGTGCTGTCACCGTGCCTCTCCCCACTTTCAGCAGCTCGTTGATGCGATGGTAATGGCTTGGCTGACTGCGGCTGTTTTACGAGATCTTCCGCTAGGGAGCTCTGACTGGCATTGTTGGACCTGAGCCGATGGCCGCTGCCGCTGCTCCCACCGCTCACGCTGGTCTTGAGTCCGTCTCCCCGACTGGACCAGAACCTGCCTGAGCCAGACGTTGGCGGCCGTGGTCGGTCCAAGGCCCCAACGCCACCGCCACTGCCTGCCCTGCTCCGGATTGAATCACCGCTCGTCGAGGCTGCAATGCTCGGCGTCGCATGGCTCCCGCTCGAGCCTGCGCCACTGCCCGTGTTGGCACCAAGTGACGTCGTCCAGCTGTCTTCGAGCGTAGCTCGACTGTTGATGGAGTCACGATCAGAGTCGAAATCGCGCAGCCTCGGTGAGCTGGCACCGTGAAAGGCGCTGTCGTGATGACGCAGGTACGAGGAAGCCAGTGATGCCTGCGACGGTGGCTTGCTCATCACGCCGCTTCCTCCGCTCGCCAACGTTCTCGAAGCAGAGGGAGAGTTGGACGAGGGGGAGAGGCCAATGATGGAGTTCTGCCTCGAGCGAATGAAGCGGGACGCAATCGGTGGCGCCCTCTCGTCTTCGAGGTCGCTGTCCCATGAGAACGATGTCGCTGGGCTATTTGTAGCGGAGCCAAAGGCTAGTCCACCAAATTCTGATGCTGGTCGCACGGAGTTGTTGTGCGAGACGCCAGCCGCATTGATCGTTGGCGAGCCGTGCTGAGGCCGTCGGAGTGTCATGACGCTGCTCGATGATTTGCGCTTGTTCAGGTCCGTGATCGTGGCAATGCTCAATCTCTTCGAAGGGTCTCCACCGTCGTCGTCACCATCTGGTCCAGGTACAATCCGTGCACTTGAGCCAAGTAGAGGGCTCGTAGAAGGTCTCTGTGATGGTTTTCGAGCGATTCGCGAAGCCCGCCTGGTCTGTCCCCTTTCGAAGGGCAATGTGGCGTCGAGCGCATCGTCTGGACCAGGGCAGCTAGTGTTGAAGAGGATTGCACGACATTCGACCAGTGCTCGAAGCATGATGACCGACAACGACAGCGTTGGTGCCAGAACCAGGCAGAGATTCGTCAAGGGCTGTTCGTCGCACCATCATCAGCGAAATTTGCTCAAGATTTTAATGCACTTCTGCCACTCACCATCCTCGTCTTTTGCACGACATCGGGCTGGACCAGATCAGAAAGATGCATCGCAAGCTCACGGAGCAGATACCAGTTGGCCGCCGGGAGTCTGTCCATGAGGGGTGCGATTGCCCTTGCGACTTTGACATGGAGAGGCTCGCCGTCGTCCGAGAGGGACGTGCGCAAGGTTTTGTCTCGACTGTGATCAGTCGATGCGCTGGGGTCGCCGACGAGGGCCAAACCGCTCACGTCCTTGGAAGCACGATTGAACTCATCAGCCAACCCAGGCGGTAAAAGATTCTCGGGAAGGTCTCGCAGGTACGACTTGAGCAGGCTGCAGACGCTGTTGAGGTCCAAGTCGGCCGGTCCAACGTCGGCGAGCTCGAGGTCAGGCACAGCATTGCTGCTCGCACCGGGCGCCATGGTGGGCCCATCAAAGATCATGCGGAGCTTGGCCGTGTGGGAGCTGCGTCCAGACAGGCGATAGATGCCCTCTTCGTCCATGCCCCATCTCTCCACAGCCTCGATGCAGCGCACGACGACAGCGGGCAGGTACTTTGACCGGGCCACCTCCCTGGACACGGCCTTGCGCTGCATGTGCAGTGACTGCCGAAGCGACGAAGCGGTGGAAGATCTGGGCGAGGCGAGTGGCGACAAGACCGGCAGGTCTACCTTGAATTCGGAGCCGAGATCGAGGGCAGAGAGCTCAGCTGAGATTTGCTCGCTGGACATTGAGCTTCTCGAAGAAGAAGAAGAAGAGGAAGTCGGACCGTCTTTGGTGGGCACACGTCCCAGTCGGCTTCTGAGCACTGCCTCTCGGAGTGGCATGCCAAACACACCAGGGTTGTTCGGTCCAGCACTGGCAGAGCCCGATATGCCCTGCTCCATGGCGCGCTGCGCGCCTGACGCCCTCGACTGTGAGCTGGGTGCATCGGGAAGCGAGAGCCAGAGTTTGGTGGCGTCGTTGCACTGTGCCAAGCTAGCCATCCCACCTCCATGCACCCTCCGACCACCGGCGGTTAATGACGTAGGAGAGGGAATCGACGAGGACCGGTCTGCGCTCCAGTTCTTCATGAAGCCCCACCCTCGTTTCCCAACGGCGACACCCATACCCCCTAGTTGCTGACCGAGGGACTGAAGCGCACCACCACCAACACCTGTGCCTCCTCCTGATCCACCTCCTCCCGCTGCGACTCCTGCCCCAGTGCTGTAGTTGCCGCTGCTGTTGGCTGTCAGCCCCTGGCCACTCGAGGAGCCGTCGAGCATGTCCCGCTTCACTTGTCGCTGAGGGGGCGGCACGAAGGTAAAAGCCTGGTTGGGCGAGGCCAACGGGCTAGACTGGGCCTTTTCCAGAGTGGGACTCTGTCGCGAGCCAAGTAGGGACGGAGGGCGTCGAAGGACGCTTTGGGATGCCGAGCGGTTCCTGACCTCGTATAGTAACGGGGAGTGTTGTTGTTGATACTGTTGCTGTTGCTGTTGTTGTTGTTGTTGTCTCAGTGGAGAGGACGGTTGCTCAGCCGATGTTGCCGAGGCAGGCGGCCTCGTGTCCCAGGCCGAGCGCATCAGGCCCTGGTCCGGTCCCGGTGCCGACCTCGGTCCTGCAGCGTGGGCCTGGAAGGGCGTGGCGCTCAGTGGTGGAGGCAGAGGCCGTCGCTTGGGCGGAGCACGAGCTGAGATGGAAGACGAGGCCGTGGCGGAAATTGTGTTGAGGAACGGTGAGGCGGCCGATGATGAAGGGCTAAAAGGGCTTCCACTCGTTGGGTGCGGCGGGTGCGACGACGACGACGGCGGCGGCGGCGGCGGCGGCGGCGGCCCCTGCGCGTCTTCTCTGCTGCTGCTACCGCTGCTGCCGTGCCCTAGAAATTCCGACGCTGGGTCTCGCCGGTACCGCTCGACCTTGGTCAGAAAATCGTCCTGGCCGGCGCCCGGCAGGCGAGCGGGCACACTTGGCCGGTCGTGCTGGACGAGTGGCGATGAAGCGCTCAGCACGGCAGGCTCCTTGCCAATGACATAGACGGGGTCGGTGGGGAGAGGCGCGCCTGGCCTCTGTGCATGCGGCGCGCCGTCGCTGCCCTTGAGCTTCTTCGTCATTGCTCCGCGGAAATGCCCTCGCGAAAAGGGAGGTGGACGGCCCTCAGCATTGCTACTCAAAAAGTCCTCGTTGCCGCCACCACCAATTCCACCGCCGCCCCCGCTGCTGCTGCTGCTGCTGCTGCTGCTTCTCTCGCTCTCGTTTTCGGTGTTTTGAGAGTCATAGAAGCCCAGGGCTGATCGGGACCGGGCCCTTGTCTCGAGGACCTCGATGCCCTCAGCCGTGTCGAACAGCTGCGTGCTCCGATTCCGGCTGAGATCCAGGCTGGGCCTCGCTTCCCTGCTCTGCTGCGAGGACGCGGTGCGATACTGCAACGGCGAAGTGACCTTGCCGAGGCCGTATCCAAATCGGTTCACGCTGCGTTCACCGAGCCAGCTGCTGCTGCTGCTGCTGCTATTAGTACTGCTCGTCGCTGCACCGGCATCGGTGCCGAGAATGGACGCAGAGGTGTCACTGCTGCTATTGCTGCTGTTGTTGTTGTTGTTGTTGTTACCGGTGAGCAGCGATATGCTGAGCGACTTTGGCTTCTTGACCCTCAGTGCCGCCGGCTTCGGCGGCTTCGAGGGCACCGGCGACTTTGAAATTGAAGCCGCTTGCGCCGCAGACGAAGACGATGACGATGACGACGAGCCACCCTCGCCTCTGCCTCCTTCACCAGTACGGCCAGCGGCGGCAGAGGAAGACGAGGAGCCAAAAGTCGAGCTGAAGAGGGGTGTCGTCGGGCGGCGGAAAGGCCCAAAGCCAGGCGACTTGGGCGGTGGTGGCTGCGAGGGCCCCGACGGGTAGAGCCTCTGGTTCGACGACATTGCAACTGCCTTTGGCGGGGGGTCCCCCTTCTATTGGCGCCTGTTCCCCCCCTTGTCAGATACAGAAAAGAAAGGGGGGAAAGAAAAAGCTAGCCTGACGAAGCGAGAGGCCGGTGGGGTCGCCAGTTGTCACTAGATCATCTGTCTCAAGGCTTCCGCGCGACGCACAGAGAGGTGGTGTCTGATAAGCTCTGAGTCCGCAACGCTAGCGTGGACGAGCCTCTTGTCAGCCCAGCCGAGTCAGGGAGAGAGGCGGGGCGAGAAGAGGGGTCCTGTGGGCGGGGTGAAAAGGAGTGTCGTGGGAGGAAAGGGAGAATGAAAACGCTCGAACGCGGGCCCACTGGCATGCGACACAACTTATGAACGGGCCCTTTTCCTTCTTTGTCGTCGGCGTCCTCTCCCCTCTCTGTGTCTGTCGGCAACCTTTCCCAAACGGGTTGCCTGGATAGACAATGACCAAAAGAGACGGAAAATGAGCGCCGAGAGCCGACCTGGGCGACTAGTGCTGCAGTGGGGATCGACGAGGGAGTGATGGGAAGAAAAAGGCTAAAAGAAAGCCAAATTTCAATTGTCCAATCTCGCCTCTCCCGGGGAAATCAAACAAATAATCGCTGCCGTGTGCCTTGCCAAGGGAGAGCCAGAGGTGACAAATCGAGACAGTACTACACTACTGTACAGTACAGTACTTATTGACCGCATGGTGAATGGAATGAAAATTCGAGATAAAGCGGCCCAGGCGGGAGCTAGCGAGATGGCTACATGCATACATTGAGTGTACAGAGACAAGGAGGCTGATGTTGTCAGAAACGTCATGGTAGAGTCGAAATAGGTGTCCAATCCCATCTAGGCGAGGAAAAGTGCCTGTGCCCGTAGCGCAATCGCATTAGTCTGACTGGTCCATGACGGCCCGCACTGCGCTCGTGTTGAGGAAGCGGGCCATCCTCGGCTCGACAAACAGGGCTTTGCTCTCGACGAGCGTGTTGCCCTGGAGGTCCTTCATCGTGCCCTGCACCCACGCCTTTCTCCCCTCGGCCTCGACGAGGCGCGTCTCGACGACGACAAACTGGTCGGCCCGGACCGGCTTGCGGTAGTCGATTTCGAGGTGCGCCGTGACACCGATCTTGTTGGGGAGCGAGTAAAAAGCTGTGCGGGCCAGTGTCTCGTCGAGCACCGTGGCGAGGAGGCCGCCGTGGATGAGACCGTCGTGTCCGCAGACGCTTCTGCCCAGGTGCAAAAAGGCAAACGCATCGCCCTTGGTCCCACCCAGCGTTCTCGCGCCGTGGGCCGTGAGGGAGAGCACCAGGGGCGGTACCGCAATCATTCCTGGGCCCCGAAGGCTGCCGGCCGTGAGCGAGTGCTGGGCCTTGTTGGCGGGGAATTTTGCATAGGGCCTCGAGATATAGTAGTGTGCCACTTGCTCGTTCCTGTCCGTGTTCCTGTCGTCGGGCAGCTCCGTCGCGGGGCTGGTCCCCTTCTTGGCCGCCGAGGGAGCAAGGTCAGGCTTTGATGCGCGACTCGCGCTCGCTGCCAGCTTCTTGACCAGGGGCAGCTCCGTGATGGCCTTCTCCACCTTGGCCGTGTACGCTCGCCCTTCGTCCGAGTCCCGCGCCGGCGCCGGGCCCACGGGGCGCGGATAGGCCATCGTGACCATTGCCGGCGGGTACAGCGACCCGACAAAGTAGCTCGCTGTCCCGACGAGGCCGATGGAGAGCAGCCATCTCACCGCTCCACCGCCAGAAGATTTCGGAGACGGGGAAGGGGGAGGAGGAGTAGAAGGGGACGCCGTCGATGCTAGCCGCCTTTGCGCATCCCTGGACGGACACTGCCGGCACGACGCTCCAAGACGCGCGCCGAGGCCAACACTGCGGCGCAATGACATGACTGCTGCACTCCTTCGACAGCGTCGTGTTCGTGTTCGCGATCGTGTTCGTAGTGCTGGCCTGTAGCTCTGCGATTTGAGGCAAGAAGCCACACCAAAAAAATAAAGACCAACAACAGGCACGAGGAAAGAGAGAGCGTGCCAGGCCACACAAAATTCCCCAAACCCTAATCCAATTTCGGTCCGGCTGTGGTGCCGGAGGCCGCCGAGAATGGGTGCGACCGTCATTGTCGAACTAAGACTCATTTGCAGTCGCACTGTCATTCAGAGCACGTGCATTGCTGATAGCAGCGTCGTTACGGCGCTGTGAGGTGCTTCCTCACACTCTGTGCAGCAATCTGTTCCGAGTGTCGAATGGCTAGAGTGACCCGCCGTCGGCGGCGACCTTCATTCAGCCTGATTTTTGTGGTGTGATTTTTTATTTTATTTTTTATTTTTTATTTCTACCCTCGCTCCCATCTCCACTTGCGCGAGAATTGCTTGGAAGAGAAGCAAGCGCATTGGGCTGGCGACGCGGCCGCCATGTCGTCGTCGTGGGCCTCATTCGCGAGCCAGGTCAAACAGGCAAAGGGCAAGGATGTTGAGCCATCCGCGTCCGCGCAAAAGGGCCAAGGTCAGAGCCAGGTCAGCGCCTCGTCGTTCCTCAACCTCAAGGCGGACCTGGCCGCTTCTTCGTCTTCTTCTTCATCGTCGTCTTCGTCATCAAGAAAGAGGAAACAGGATGAGGGGGTCGACTTTCTCTCGAGGCCAGACCGGAAGCTGCCCGCCTTTCTGCGCCCCTCTCCCGGCGTAGTAGCCCGGGCAGCCAGGGACGCCAAGCCATCGTCGTCGTCGTCGTCGTCGTCGTCGTCGTCCAGACGAACAGCGACGTCGTCGTGGGCGAGCACGCCCTCTGCGCAGCTCGATGCAGCCAGGGCAGCACTGGAGCGAAAGGCAAAGATCTACGACAAGCTAAAGAGGGGCAAGACGGCGGGCTGGGACAAGAACAAGCTCAGCGAGTCGGTCATTGACTGGGACCGCAAGGGCTGGCAAGACGGCGACGAGGACGAGGAGGACGAGGGGCACTACGGGGGAAGCAGAGGTGGCGTCGGCGGGGAGGAGAATGACGACGAGCCGATGGTCGAGTACGAAGACGAATTTGGGAGGCTGAGGAGGGTGCCCAGGAGCGAGGTGCCGAGAGACGTGCTTCGACGACAGGAGATGGAGGAAGAGATGCGAGATCAGGGGTGAGTACAATTTTTGCTATCCACGTACCAATGGGCGAATTGCTCATACGGAAGCTATCTTGACAAAGACCGGCCCTGTATGGTCCGCAGTCGTCATTCCCCGTCTATCAACCACCGTCGCTGAACAGCCGGGGCACTGGTGCTGGTGCTGCTACTGCAGCCGGCAAGGCAGGTGAATACCAGCGAGAGGCACCCTCCCACTTTGACGCCTCGTTCGAGAAGCGACATCGGGGCGCAGGCTTCTACCAATTCAGCCAGGACGAGGAAACAAGGAGCAGGGAGATGGACGCCCTCAGAGAGGCCCGTGATGAGACGCAGAGAGCAAGGGCGGACATGTCCGCCGAGAGGAGCGCGTCGATCGGAGAGCAGAGACGGGAGCAGAGGCTCGAGCTTGTCCGAGCCCGGCAGAGAGAGATGGAGGCCAAGAGGGCCGCATACATGCATCAATGAGCGCCCATTCACTGTACTGTTGTATTATTACTACATCCACACCACATGTGCTCGTCCACAATACAAATACAAAGCAGGCGGCTTGTCGCAAGTCTGCTATACGACGACGCAGCACTGCCGGTCCTTTGCCGTGTCTTCGCCGGTCGGCGTCACGAGACCCACGCCCGGGCGACTGTGCCCCTGCTGATGGGCGCCAGCTCCCCGGTCGTGCGCGTTGTTGCCCTTGGCCGCGGCTGCCGCCACAAATTTCGAGTGGATGTCCCTCGCTGCCTGCTGAAAGGCCTCGGTGACATTGAGGCCCGTCTTTGCACTCGTCTCCACAAACATGATTCCTTCCCGTTCTGCAAACGTGCGCGCCTCCTCGGTTGTCACCTCTCGCCGTCGTTGTGCCCCCTTCTTGCTGGTCCGCTGGGCTGGTGTGGAGCCCTCGGACGAGGTCGATGTGTCTGCCTGTTCAGGCCCCTCGCTTGACCCTCCATCCTCGTCCCCGCAGAGGTCCTGCATGTTGCCCACGAGGATGATGCTGCAGCTCTCCTCGGCATGCTGCCTCACGTCCCTGAGCCAATCGGCGACGTGCAAGAACGAGGGCCGGTGGCATATGGAGTAGACGATGAGGGCGCCCGCCGCACCGCGGTAGTAGCTCCTCGTGATGCTCCGAAAGGCCTCGGAGCCAGCCGTGTCCCAGCACTGGCACTTGATTCGCTCGCCCGTCTCGGGGATCTCGACGACGTGCGAGCCAAACTCGACACCCACCGTCGGGTCCGGGTCCGTCAGGAAACGATCATCGGTGAGCCGGACCAGGATCGAGGACTTCCCCACGGAGCTGTCGCCGATAAGGATGAACTTCGAAAGGTAGTCCCAGTTGCTCATGACGACTGCTCAATCGATCAGTGTTCGAAGGGGTGGCCTTCGATTCCGCGTCGTGTGCCTTGCGAGATTGCGTTGATTGGCGGTGGTCTCGGCCTGTGGAGCAAGCCCGCATGGGTGCTGCCTGCCTTGCCTCGCTCGCTCGAGATAAGTCACGTGCCCTCGACGCGCTCAGGGGCTATGACACCAACACCTTTCAAAAGTGAGTCCCCCCCTCTTTGGAGGAGTCTCCTACGAGCCAGAGCCGAGTGGCTCTTCCTGAATAAGTCATGGCGGTGAAGCAGTATGTCAGCTGCTGTCATGGTGGTGCACAGGACACACGGACAGGTCCGCACTTGATATTGCTGAACCATGCAGGCCTTGATTGAGATTGGAGAAAGGGGCTTCATTTGCTCAAGAGGACAGGAGGATTTGACCAAAATAAGGCTGACGCGCTTTGTTTTCTCTGCAAAAGTGCCTGGAGGGGAAAATTGACCTGCCTTGACCTGCAGGGTTAGCCTTCCGACTACAACCTCGACCCCATTTAGTCGCCCGGCGTCCTTGCGCTCCAGCCCTTTTCTCATCGTCGTTCTTCGCCACCTCGAGCGAGCACAAAGGGACGAGCCGCGACGGCTGCTGAACATCCAACAGCCATCTTGGGCCCCCTTCGACGTTGGTTGGGCCAGAGGAAGCGACTGTCGCTTTCGAGCCCCTATCTTTTCTTTTTCCTTTCCTTCTTGGCACTCTGCCTTGCCTCCTGTCACGTCCACGAGCTACCAAACCGACGTAGACGCAGCTCGTCTTCGTCGTAGCAAGCCATCGGCCACATGATGGAGCAGGCCAAGTCGACGCCTCCTCCGGCGGCGAGTGCGAATGCGCGCAGCTCGCCATTCGCCTACCAGCAGAAGCTCCTCGAGCGGTCAGCGTCGAGGAGCAGCACCAGCTCCTTCTCGCTCACCAACGCCGGGGATAAAGGCACGGGTGCGATTGCAGACCCCAGCACACCGACAGGGGCCACGCGCCTGCACCACTCTGGCTCGATCAGGACGAGGTTCCCGATGCCTCACCGGCACACGGCTTCGCTTGACCCGCAGAGGGCGTCGGAGCTGCAGAGGTCACCGGGCGTTGGATCTACAACGACATCTCCGCGAGCGGCAGCGGCAGATGGCCAGTTTGGATCCACCAACAGCCTCGCCTCGTCCTCCTCGGCCGCCTCGTCGTCGTCCACCAACGCCGCTCGCTCCCCCAGCTTCTCTTCATCTACGCCCGGCCTCACCTCTCGACAGGGTAAAGGCCTATCGATGCCGCCCGCGCCGCGGAACGACGATCGTCCTTCGTCGCCTACTAAGTTTGCAGGCAGCCCGTTTGCGCGGTCAACGTCGCCCTCCAAGTTCACCAGCTCCTATGACCGGCCGCCATTGTCACCCACCAGGAGCCCCACCTCGCCGACGATGAGGGACGACGCTTCGTGGATTGGCAGCAACGGCAACTCATCCCCTCGCAGCGGCGGCGGAGGTCCCAATGGCAGCTTCTGGAGTTCATCGTCAAACTCGCACCATCACACCCCCTCGGCCGTCCATTTGGGAGGCGTCAGTGATCTGAAGCGCTCCAGCGTCGGTGCGCTCAAGATCATGAGAGACTTCACCACCAAGACCGATGGCTCTGCTTCCAGCTCGGTCGATGCTGGCCACACGCGCATGACTGTCGGCCGTGGAAAGTCGCACCGCACTGCCCTCGACGGACAGGACCTCAACGCCGGCCTTGGTCTCGTCGAAAAAAACGAAGGCAAGCCGAGCCGACCCGGCCGCATGGAGAGCGAGGACCAGGAGGGCGAGATTGTCTTGCCGGGCATCACAACGGGTGCCGAGGATGTCGCCGGCCTCTCGGGTCGCATCCGCTTGGCGCGACAGAACGGGCCAGGGACAATGGCGCTGGGCCGGTCAAGTGCGATCTCGAGCCTGCCGTACAGCAGCAAATGGATGGACACGCAGAGACATCTCCTCCAGGCCTACGAGTACCTCTGCCACTGCGGAGAGGCAAAGGAGTGGATGGAGCACAACGTCGGCGAGGAGCTGGGCGCCGTCGTCGACATGGAAAACGAGATGCGCGACGGCATCTTTCTCGCCAAGCTCGCTCGCAAGTTTGAGCCAGAATGTGTGCCTCGCATCTTCACCCACCCCAAGCTCCAGTACCGACACACGGACAACACAAACTACTTTTTCCGCTGCCTCGAAAGGGTCGGCTTGCCGCCCTCGTTCAACTTTGAGCTGACGGACCTCTACGAGAAGAAGAATTTCCCCAAGGTTGTCTACTGCATCCACGCCCTCAGCCACATCCTGGCCAGGCAGGGACGCGCCATCAAGGTGGGCAACCTCGTCGGCAAGCTTGAATTCTCCGACGATCAGCTCCAAAAGACACAGAGGGGTCTCGATGCCGCAGGCGTGGCCATGCCGAGCTTCGGCGCCGTTGGCAAGACGCTTGCCAAGGAGATGAACGTCGAGCCCGAACCTGAGCCTGAAACGGAGCAGGAGCGTGAGTGTTGATTTAGCGCTCAAGCATGGCGCGAGTGATCGACAGGGAATTTGCTTGATAAGCTGACACTGACATTATTGTACAGGCATCGACCGGGAGCTGCGAGAAAACGAGGGCTCCGTCATTGCGCTGCAGAGCATCGTCCGAGGCTTCCTCGCCCGGCGGAAATTCGAGCGCATGTATGCCGAGGAGATGCAGAGACGACGCGAACAGGAGGAGAGGCGGCGACGGATGGAAGAAGAGAGAAGGCGGCGCGAGGAAGAGGAGGCGCGACTCGCTCTCCTTGCTGAACAAGAGCGCCAGGCGCAGCAGAAGGCCGATGATGAGCGCATGCTCGCTGCCATGGCGCCCAAACTGCAAGCCCGCGTCAGAGGAGCCATGCTTCGAAAGCGCTTCTACAACGACATCAGCTCCCTTGACCAGCATGAATCGAGCGTCGTCGGCGTCCAGGCTCATGTCCGAGGTCTGCTCGCCAGACGCGCTCACGAGGAGCGCATCTTCGCCTTGGCCGACGCCATCGAGGACATTATCAAAATGCAGAGTGCATGTCGGGCCGTTCTGGCCAGACGCGCTCTCCTCTCCACAATTCGTGCTATGCGAAGCTCGACGGACAGCATTGTCGGCGTCCAGGCCCAGATCAGAGGTTTCCTCGCACGGAGGACGCGGCAACAGATGAGCGCCGCTCTCCAGAGAGTAGAGGTCACACGGTCTGTCGGTGGTCTCCAGAGCTTTGCTAGGGCGGCCCTCGCGCGCAAGAGGCACCAAGAGCAGAGGAAGCAGCTCGACTTCATCACGCCCGACGTCGTACCCGTCCAGGCACAGATTCGAGGCGTGTTGCAGCGAATGGAGTTCCAGTGGTGGCGATCCTACATCCACGACAGTGAGCCCGTCGCCATCCACCTCCAGTCGCTCATTCGGGGTCTTCTGGCCCGGCGTACCTTCAACAACCGCATGAGACACTACCGCGAGCACATGGACAAGGTCGTCAAGATCCAGAGCCTGTTCCGCGGGAAGCAGCAGGGCGAGCAGTACCGCAGCCTGACTGTGGGCAAGAACGTGCCCGTGGCCACGATCAAGAACTTTGGTCACCTGCTCAACGACAGTGACCATGACTTTGAGGACGAGATCGAGGTTGAGCGGCTCCGGAAGCTCGTGGTGAAGAGCATCCGTGAGAATCAGACGTTGGACAATGACGTATCGGAGCTCGACACCAAAATCTCACTCTTGGTTAAGAACAAGATTGGCATCGAGGAGCTCATCAAGGCCAAGAATGAGCGAGGTCTGCTCCGACACGCCGAGGCTACTGCTGCGGCCACGCTGGCTCGACGCAACTCACTCCTCTCGGCCGCCAGCGACCCGTTCGCCGACGTCAGCCTCGATCGCCAGACAAAGCGCAAGCTGGAACTGTACCAGGAGCTCTTCTACACGCTCCAGACGAGGCCAGAGTACCTCGCCCGCCTCTTTGCTCGCGTCGGCCGGATGGAGATGTCGGACAAGCAGAAGAAGCAGGTCGAGAAAATTGTTCTGACGCTCTACGGCTATGCTCAAAAGGCTCGTGAGGAGTATCTCCTCCTCAAGCTCTTCCAGCGTTGCGTCGCAGAGGAGCTGAGCCTGATTACCTCGGTGCAAGAATTCATGCGAGGAAACGCCCAATTCATCAAGCTGGTCCTGCAGTACAACCGTGGAGCCAAGGAGCGAAAGTACCTGCGCGACCTCCTCGCCCCGCTGGTCCATGGGATCATGGAAGACGATGGCCTAGACCTCGAGACGGACCCCTGTGCAATCTATCGTGCGACGATCAACCAGGAGGAGATGGAGACTGGCCAGCGAAGCCAGCGACCAATGGAAGTGAGCTTCCATGAGGCCCTTGCCGACCCAATGGCAAGGACAATCTTCATTAGACACCTGCAATCCCTTCGAGGCACCACAGATGCGTTCCTTTTGCATATCACCGGCTCCACGGCCAAGATGCCTTATGGCATCCGGTATATTGCCCGCGAGGTCTTCCGAGCTCTGCAAGAGAAGTTCCCCAGCGAGCCCGAGAGCTCGCTTCTCAAGGTCGTTGGCCACCTCGTCTACTATCGCTACCTCAACCCGGCCATTGTGGCGCCAGAGGGCTTCGATGTCATTGAGAAGCTCGTTGGACCGCTGCAGCGCAAGAATCTGGCTGAAGTGTCCAAGATGCTCACCCAGATTGCCGCCGGCCGACTGTTCAACGACGACAACCCGTACCTGCAACCGCTCAACGACTATGTCAGGCAGGCCAGCGACCGTTTCCAGAAGTGGTTGCTCAACGTCATTGAGGTGCCCGACGCCGAGCTGCAATTTTCAGCAGACGAATTCCTCGACCACACGGTGCAGCAGCGGCCCGTCATTTACATTTCGCCCAATGAAATCTACTCGATGCACCTTCTCGTCGCGGATCAGATCGACGCCATGGCTCCCCTGGCCGAGGACCCACTGCGGACAGTCTTGACCGAGCTCGGGCCGCCACCGGTGTCGCAGACGCAGGAGCTCAACACGGCCCGAGACAGCGAGATCACGTTTGAGCTCGTCTCGCGAAGAACCTCGCTCAAGGATCCAGAGGCAGAGACAAAAGCGCTCTTTGTCGAGACGAAGAGATTTGTCCTGTCGCTGCTCAAGGTCCAGTCTGGCAAGACGCTCGTCGATGTCTTTGTTGCACCCGTGACGGAGCAAGACGAGATGGCGTGGGAGGAGATTGTCTCGCTCGAGGTGGCAGCCGACCGGCAACGGCAACGAGGCCAGCGCCCGCCGGCGCCACCGGGGATGCCACGCCTCGAAGACGTGCGCCGTATGTCGTTTGGCGAGCTCAAGGCAAGGACGCTGGAGAACATGCTGCAGCTCGAGCAGCTCGGCAAGGTCTCGCGCCACAACCAGTACCAAGAAATGCTCAACGCCATCGCCATTGACATTCGCAACAAGCACCGCAAGCGCATCCAGCGCCACAACGAAAAGGTAGCCATGCACACGACCCTCGCCAACCTCAAGGAGAAGAAGAGCTACCTTGAAGAGCAGATCAACAGCTATCACAGCTACATTGACGCCTCGATGCAGACGATGCAAAAGAAGGGCAAAAAGAAGTTTGTGCTGCCCTTCAGTCAGCAGTACTTTCACCTGCGCAACCTCAAGGCCAGCGGCAAGGTGCCTAAATTTGGCTCGTACAAATACACGGCTGCCAGGCTCTTTGAGAAGGGCGTGCTCCTCTCCATCGACCAATTCAACGAGAAGCAGTACGACCAGATCTCGCTTACGATCAGCTCCGACGAGCCGGGCCTCTTTACGATTGACGCCAGCGTCTTGGGCGTGTCGGCTGGCACGTGCGACCTGCGAATCGAGGATCTGCTCGAGGCGCAGTTCAGTGGCCAGAGCAGCCTCTCGCTCATGGACCGGCAGTGCGTCGTGAACCTGAATCTCTTGATCCACCTCATCAACAAGAGTGAGTCCATCGTCTTTGAATCTGCTTTGTCTTGCCTACTCATCGCTGACTCTCGTCGCTCAGAATTCTACGCCTGAAACGACCTTTTCTCCCTCTCTTCTTTGCCTTGCATCGTCGTTCTGGATCTTTTTCTCCCTCTTTCTTCACTGTCCATAAATTTATGAGCCGCCGTGTCTTTCTCTCTTCTTACGCGCTCTGTACGACCTTTGTAATGGAACGAAATGAACAGTCTTGTTTGCTCCTCTCGAGAGGTGGATGATAGCAGTGCAAAATGTTCCACATTCAGATGAGATATGGAAAGCGGTTCTAGTATTGATACAGTACGATAGGCCGGTGCATATGGGAGTAAGATCTCCTTTTACGGAGGCAGCTCCGTCTCCTCAAGGTTCATGTCGAGGTGTCTATAGTAAGCCAGACGGCCTTCCTGTCGCCGCTTTGCTTCGTGGTCGATGCCATTCGTCGTCCCATTGGCTGGTCTCGGCGATGATGACGACGTCGAAAAGAGCGACGGACGCAAGTCGAGTTCGCAGAGACGGCTGTCAGTGACGCCAAACAGGCGGTCGTGCTGCGCAACGAGGCTATAGACCGGCGAATTGCCTCCTCGTGGTCCGCTCGCGTAGAGGGACCACCCTCCTGCTTCGCAGTCCTCCTCGTCGCCTTGCTCCTCCACTTTGGTGCCGCAACGCGGCGGCCGAGACGGTGGTTCCTCGCAATCGCCGCTGTTCTCTGTTCCGTTTAAAGCAATTTCCCCGAGGGCGCCCTCGCCAATGACAATCTGCCGCTTGGCCGTGGCATTGAGATGGCGGTGTCGCCGTGCCCAGGCCGAGCAGAGGGGCACATCAAAGAACTTTACGACACCGTGCGTGGCGACGCCGGCCGCCACACTCCTACCTCCCTTGCCCACGCCCAACGCCAGACTGAAGATTGCGCTCGGCCCAAACCGATCCTGGAACTCATACACGGGACTGCGACCCTCGTCGGCGCCAGACGAGAGGATGCGCGGGACGTCGTACACGCGCAGAATGCCATCGTAGCAGCCTGCAAAGAGCAGTTTGGGATCGATGGGTGTCATGCCAGAGCCCGTGGGAGCAGCACAGGGCGAAGACGAGGCAAGGGCGTGGACAGCGACCTTGCGTCCCGGCGCGCATGTCAGGCCAATTGGCCGACCGGGTCGGTGGGTCTTGCTGTCCAGGGGAAACACCACCAGAGGTTCGGATCCCATCGTCCCGACTGCAAGCCATGTTGCTGGTGAGGAACCGGCTGCACCTCCCAGCCACATGCTCCAGGGCCGCTTGCCGATACTCCAGCGATCGACGAGCAAGAGACGGACTGCCCTTCTTGTCCTATTAGCGGCGCCGTCTTCGAACGAGACCTTGTATAGTTCAATGACTCCGTTCTTGGCGCCAAAGGCTACAAGGCCCCTTTGATCCGAATGGACACTCTGAATGGGGGAACCCGTACTGTGGGCATGATCCGAGAGCCATGCAAGGTTGACAAAGTTGAGTGGTGTATTCTTTGCAGAGCGGCTCTTCCTCGTCGCTGCCCTTGTCGCAGTAGTAAGCTCCGCGTCGATGTGAATCACTTCCATGAGACCGTTGGCGCGCCCTATGGCGATCCACTCGCCCTTGCGATCGAGCTGTGCGCACGCACTGATGTCCCAATAGGCTGTCGAGCCACCTCCCGCACCGTCGAGACCGTTTGGGTTGATGAGCAAGCTGAGTCGGCCGCCTTGCAGGTCGATTGGGCCAGACGTCGAGAGGGCAGAGGCGGGCCAGCACCGCAGCTCACTGCGCGTGAAGAGGAGCAGCGAGGAAGGCGTGAGGAGAAGCAGAGGCATTGGCCGTGCCGACGGGTGCTGAGGCGCCAAAGTAAGCCCTGCTCCCCCTTTGCGAGGCGACTGAGACGCAGGTGGGGGAGGCAAGCCATTCTGCGAGGCGATCAATCGACGTTTTTGCCAGTTGCAATCGACGCATACAGTATGCTTGGCAGGCGAGAAGCTCTTGTTGCTGCTCTTCGAATCGGGGGCCGCGACGACGGATAGCCGACGAGTTCCGCCGCGAATGAGAGTGGACCAGCCGTGCTGCTCTACGACGCGATGCAATGCCCTGCAGGTACGCGACAGACTTGCGAGTGACGAGGCATCGAGATGCGAAAAGATAAGGAGCAAGACGTCGAGGTCGACGTCCTCCAGCGCCATGTCGATATTGTCTCAAATCCCCTTTCAGCTTCTGGGCGATGTAGAGGCTCCAAGGTGGAGAGCCCACTCTGCCTTCGGTGCTAAATAATGTAGCCGTGTCCCTCCCCTCCCCTCCCCACTCCCTCATCCACCGTCTCCACCTGCCGACCTTCCTGGTACGCCCCTACCCAGACTTCTACGAGAGTCTTTCCCAGTGACTTTTCGCTAGGGCGACAAAGGATCCTGTCAGATAAAGGGTAAAAAGGAATGAGTTGGTGGTGGGCGAAAAAGAGGTGGAGGGGTCCTCAGTGCACGTCAGTTTCAATTCATCTTGCATTTGGACACGATCGCTCTTTTTCCCCCAGCGCTGCCCGCATCTTCGAAGACGCCATGGCGACAGCCGCGATGACGCCGTCAGCATCGGCCTCGTCATCTTCAGCGTCGTCATTGCCACGAACGACGACGAGGCTCAAAGTTCTCTCCCTCAACGTATGGGGCCTCGCATTCTTCTCCAAGAAGCGAGACGTCCGTATCCCTGCCATCGCTCAGCAGCTCGCCGCATCAGACTACGACATTGTTGCGCTGCAGGAGATGTGGTGCGAGAGCACCGACTGGAGAGACTTGCGGACCCGATGTTCCGGCCGCTTTCCCTACAGCAAATTCTTCTATGGGTGAGGGACACATAATGAGCCTTGACCAGGTCAAGTCTTCTTACCAAACTCCCTCTCTTCACTCTTCCTCCAGCGGCGCCTTCGGGTCAGGCCTCGCCTTCCTCTCGAGACAGCCCATCGTAGCGACGCAGACACACCCGTATAGCCTCAATGGGCACCCGATCTTTGTGCACCATGGCGACTGGATCGCCGCAAAGGCGGCTGGTTGCGTCACCCTCTCTGTCGAGGGTTTAGGGCTCGTCGATGTCTGGAACACGCACACGGTCGCAGCGGGGGGCGAAGATGGCCCAGAGAGCAGGAGAGCCCACCGAGTGTCTCAGGCTTATGAGCTCGCCTCGTTTGCCAGGCTGAGTGCCGAGAGAGGCCACCATGTCATCTGCGTGAGTATAGGTCGTTCTTCCTTTGTGCGAGGCATTCAAGGTCGATACTAAGAAGACGAAACCATCCTCAGTGCGGCGACTTCAACAGCACTCCACCATCCCTCTCCATTGCTGTACTCCAGGACGTTGCTGGCCTGACTGATGCCTACAGCGCCGCCAACCCGGAGCGTTCGGCCCATGCGACGTCGCTTCCCAACCAGCGCAGCTTGAGGCGGCCCGATCCCCGTCGGTGTATCCACGAGCTAGGGGTGACATGCGACTCGCCCATCAACACCTGGACCGCCGGCAAGAAGCTCGACGAGCGGGCACTCAAGGGTGCAGGCAAGCGTCTCGACTACATCTTCTTCCGTGGGCCTGCCAAGGGCACAGCAGCCACGGGCCCAGAGTCAAAAGTCAAGCTGCAGTGTACCCAGGCTAGAGTCTGTTTCACCGAGCTCGTCCCTGGACATGAGGTCTCGTACAGCGATCACTTTGGTCTCGAGGCCTCGTTTGATATCGTCCAGGATCAGGCGCAAGAGTCTCAAGACGCTTTCACACTCTCGCCCAAGATGGCTCAGACGCTCACGGCTTCGCTCTCTGCTTTTTCCTCTGGTCTCGTCATCGCCCGTCGTTCGCAGCACGTTCATTTTCTGGGCTTTGTCGCCGCTGTCGCGCTCGCTATTTTCTTTGTTGGCTTCTCCGCCAGCAAGACCCTCGGTCGTGGTGGGCTCGCAGCCGTGTGGACATTCTTGGCCATCGCCTGCGGCTGGGCAGGCACAACGCTGCTTTACAGTGCCGTGGTGTGGGGCGAATGGGAGAAACGCACCTACCGAACGTTCCTGGAAGCTATGGAGCTCGAACTGAACATCTATCGTCGTCAAGAGGAGGAGTGGTCGGCCAGCAGGCAATCGCCCAGCACGAGAAAGGCTGAGCTGGCCGCGTCAGCATCCTCGGCCAACGGCAGCACCGCGTCTGCCCACGAGGCTGGCCCAGCCTCGTCTAAAGAAGAGAGCCTCGTCAGCATCGACCCCGAAGACGGCGGGGCTGGGAGCACATCGAACGGAGCCTCTTCGGAAACCAATCTCATTTGAGAGAATGTCATCTGATAGTCGGTCGACGTGTCATGCTTGTCTTCTGCTTTCATTTTCTTCCATCATTAATTTACAGTGACGTAGTGATCGGTCAAGCTGTCCTGATGATGAGATGGTGCCCACTGTCGCTCTTGACGACATCGCTGAGCTTTCCGACGGGCAGGCTGAATGCTGCGTCCTCAAAAGCCTTTTGCATCTGACCCTTTGCAAAGAAGCCGAGGTCGCCACCCTTTTGCGCAGACGAGCAGTCCCTTTTGAATCCAGCCGTCAGTCTATCGATGCATTGGTACAGAGGTTTTGGGTTGAGAGGACTCACGAGTGCACCTTTGCGAGCGCTGCAAAGTCTTGAGCCGAAGGATTCGGTCCCAGCGTCTTTGCGTGCTCGAGTAGGATCGCTTCGGCCTCCTCTGGCGAGCGGGTGATGTTGCTCTGGTGCATCTCGAGTCAGCGAGATTGACGATTGAATTAGGCAAGGGGGCAGCAGAGTTGGACGTACCTCTTTCCAGCTACTGGGCCTCCGGCTGTTACGGTGCTTCACGAGCAAATGGCTTGCTCGGACCTGCGCGGGCTCGGCCGCCTGCCCGGTGGCGCCTCCCAGGTAGTTGGCGCCGGGCAGCGACGCGACTTCTTCCTCGCTGATCGAGTCCGGCTTCTCCCACACCGACGTGTTGGTGGCACGGTCGTAAAAGTAGGGCAGCTGGCGCGAGTTGGAGAAGCGCACTTCCCAATCCTGAGACGACGACATGGCTTGGTTGTCTGGCTTGGACGAGGGCGAGTGAGCGACGCTCGGACGTGTTCGCGGTGGAGCAGCATCTGAGCCACGTGTTCCTCGAACTTCGAAAACAGGTGGTGTGAGATAAAAATATAAAAGACGGTCGCGCACTGTGGCTTGTGACAGGCTTGTGACCGTTGCTCGATCTGTCAAGATCGTTCTTCTGATGCATCCTTTCTGGCGAGACAGCCAGCCCAGGCAGCGCAAGTTTGGTGGGCTTTTCGTTGCTTCCTCAGGCAACTGAAGTCCAGTAGCTCGCCTTAAGTCTAGGCAGCCACTTTCTCACCTTTTTCACCTTTGCCTTCCGTGCCTCCCAAGCCTTGAGAGTGAAACAAGGCCTCGAACGGTGGCGCAAGCTTTCCCCAGCGTATTCTCTTGCCCGAACGGTCATTGCTTGTCAAGGTCATCACATTGAGCGACCTCCTGATATGCCATTGCTTTTTCGACTCCGCTAAAGTCTCGCTCTTTGTCCTCATCGCTAGCCTGAAGGATAAAGGGACCTCGGCCCAAGAAATAGCGCCGGCGAGCGCGGACTGACGGTTTGAGTGGGAAAGGCGACGGTCGGAAACCCGTCGCACGCAGTTAGTACGCTTTTTGGCTCGTTGTGAAAAAAACCGTCACACGTCAAACAGGGACAGGCGAAAGGACTCATCTCGCACTATTGAGCCTAAATCGAGGCTTGGCACGGGACTGTTTTTCACCCCGATTTCAAAGCGTGAACAAGCACTACCCGATCTCAGACTACAGCCAAGCTCTCCCCATTGTCAAAAAAAAAGGTACGGGCAACTTTTCCCCGTTGTCAAAGCACGAGCCAGCTCTCCCCGAACTTAAACTCCGAGAGAGCCCTCAAAAAGGAAAGAGAGGTGTCGACAGACGTAGGTGGCACGTGAAAGCTGTCAAGTTGAGGTCACAAGTCGACCTATGCCTCTCAAAGACATAAAAGGGAGACGTACGAAAAACAATTGGTTTGCTTGTAAGATCACATGTGCATCCTCGACAAACGAAACAGGAAGTGCCACGTCTAACTTGAAAAGAAACTTGCTCTCATCACAAAAATGTCTACCATAACCGCAACGGTGACTGCGACCATGACAGCATCGACGATGCCCCAGGCTATCAAGATTGCTCGGCCCCCAAAGGATGCCGACGTCTATCGGAAAGTTCAATACATCATGTATTCTGCCCACGAGATCTTCCGTGAAGGGTACAACAGTATTGTCAAGCTGCTCAGACAGGATCTCCAGGACGATCTGCTCAAGAACGACGCCGTCAACTTCATGGACTACGTCCATTCGTGGTTCTACGTCATCGATCACCACCATCATTCAGAGGAAAGAATCCTTTTTGACGTCTTCAGAAAGAACGGCGTCTCTATCGATGTATGTTGACAATGCACTCTAGCCGTGGGCACAGATGCATGCTCAAAAGATCCTCTTTAGTTGGAGCTGTCGCAGCACAAGCAAATCGACGAAGACCTCCAGAAAGTGCACAAATATGTTGAGGAGTGGACCTCGTCACCTGAAAAATTCGACAGCGCCGAGCTCCTCGTTCACTTCGAAAAGCTGGGTCCCAACCTGTTTGAGCACCTCAACAACGAAGTTGTCACGCTTCTCGATCCCGAGACAGTGGCGAAGGAAATCGGGGCAGAGGACCTTCAGCATCATCAGGACGCCTTCTCAAGAGCTGCACAGAAAGAGAGCGATCCGACGGTTACTTTTCCCTACGCCTTGACACACACGAGCCCAGGTGAGTGCCGCTTGACTCCTGCTTTTGATTACCGGGAGACTGAAGAAGTGTTCGATCCTGAAGAGCAAAAGGACTGGCATGAGGCGCCCTGGTTCGTCGTCCGTATCTTCGCTCCAATCTGGTACATCAAACACCGGGCCGCCTGGAAATATTCCCCGTACACACTATCTTCTAGCATTCCTCAACGCTGAGATATGGAGGCTATAACGAATCGGAACGAATGTGACACCTGAACGCTACAGTCATTCACTCTCGCACCACAGGGTGCGATCGCGATTTCTTTTGATCGCCTCTCATTCGTTGTGTCTAATTGGTGCGATGCGGTCTTCCAGAGGTTTCACTTTCAGAATTCGGTAGGGATTGTTCACCAGAGTCAAGGGCGCAATTTAACAAAGTTCCGAGGACGATGTGAAGAGATTTTATCATACAGAGAAGTGAGAAAAGATTTACGTGGCGGCTGCGCTGCCTTGTGCGAAGGGCTCGGAGTGATTGTGTAGCAGAGCGTAGCTGCCCTTACATGAGAGGACGCATGGGAGGGCGCACGGTGCTGTAGCGAGAGCCTCCTCCAGATGGAGGCTTGGGCGGACGATGTACGGGGCGAAGGCTTGCATTGCGTGGTTCCTGACAGCGACCAACGCGGTCTTTGTGCTTGGAGCTCTTTTGACAGAGTCGTTCCAAATCTAGCGCCGCCTGTAGAACATGTTCAAGAACTTTGGGCTTACTGTCCTTGTAAACCATGTAGAAGTTCGTGTACTTGTCCTTTGGGAGACTGGTCAAGAATTTATCGATGAGTATTTCCTGCGACAAGTTGGCGATGGATGACTGCATGTCCAACTTCCTCATCTCGCCCACCATTTGCTCCATGTTGACAAAGCGCAAGTTACGAAAAGCACACAGAACCTTGGTGACCCTGTCACCGGTGAGATGTGCTTGAAGGAAGGCTTCCTTGAACTGAGGCCAGGTGAGCTTGCCACCGCGGGCCTTACGCTCATAACGGTACCACGTGAGCGACCGGCCCTGCAGGGCACGAGAGACGACCACCGGCCACCTAGCCTTGGCGACGCGACTGTCCGTCAGCTGCTCGACACAATCTTGTAGCCAGTGGCGGGGGTCATCCATGTCGTCGATGAAGTCGCGCAGAACAGGTGGCTCGGCGTCCTCATGAGCATTATGCAGCTCCTCGTAATCCACAGATTTGAGGTACTTGGAGCCAGGGTCGTCCCCTCGACGTTCGGCTTCGTTGACGTTCATGGCTGCGCCGTTCATTGTTTTGGTGGGCTGGTTGGCATAAAGTGTTGCAACAGGCTTGTCCAAGCGTCCAACACCGACATTTGGGCTGTATTCCCGCTCCTGGAAGCGCAAGCTGGGGCTCTGCTCAGTCTTTTTGAAGCACCTGTCCTTTGTGTCATTGTCGCTGCTGAGTTGGGCGAGAATGGTCTCGAGCTGAATCTTCATCAGCTCAAGAGTCGAATTAGCAGCCACAGAAGTCTCAGTGAGCCTCTCGATAGCCGCACGATGGGCCTCGAGGACAGCCGTCACTGCTCCTAGCTGCTGGCCGAGCTGGTCGACCTTGATACCGAGCCGGCCATGGGCCTCAGCCAGGTCAAAGAGACTATCCTTGATTTGGTTGATCATGCTGGCTTGACCAGCCAGGCTCATGGGTACGGAGGTGAGACTGGGCTCATGTGGAAGCAGGACCGAGGCTGGCGCTACCATTTTCGAATCCTTTTTCACCCGACGATAAATTGACTTATTGTTTGATTGGTGACTGGTTTGACGTTGCTCACCGAATAATTACTCGAGCTGATTGTTAGACTGATTCCGGATGTTGATGTTGACAGCAAAGACCGTTTTGTCGTTGTGCGCGTGTCGTTCTTTAAAGAGCACAGAAGCACTCTGAGACCCAACAGAGGAATCGATTGAGGAGTTACGGAAAGAAAAAGAGTGTCTCCTTATGAATGATTTCTATGGTGAGCAGGGGCCCACAAAAGGCTGATGAGACGACGACACCATTTATACTGTATGTCTCTAAATTCTCAATAGAAGAATCAATTGAGGAGCACAAAAAGAAAGAGTGCCTGTTAATAGTCCATTGCGCCGAACACAGCGATGGCATGGACAAAGGGGTGCCGCAGTCAAAAACCACCACCCTCTCCGAACCCTAAGGCGACGTCCTCGTCGCCGTTGGTTGCCTTTGCCCGGGACCTTGGCGTCATCAGTTGGAGTTCTGGGAGCTCGGCGTACCCGCAGTCGTTGACGGAGTTGAAGAAGTACTCTGGCCGAGCTGATTGACTCCTTCGGAGAAGTCGGGCGTTAGCGAAGACCTCGACCGGGAACGATGCAGCTCGCCCAGGCTGTCCCTGAATACTAAGGTTATTCCGACACCCGCGTGCTGCGGCGACGCCGAAGCCATCAGGGCTCCCGATCGTTCAGACGACGAGAATAGAGCAAGAGATGTAAAAGAGAAAAAAGAGCGTGTGCAAAGGAAGTGATACATCAGGCGTCGTGGAGATGCTCGCGATCGCGCTCGGAGCACCTAGACGCGTGGTCGAAAAAGTGGAAGCCGTCGGAAACGTCGAATCTCAACCCGGCATTCATCGCGCAGCCATCGGCGCCATTGTCGGCAATCGCCGCGCACGGCGACCGGTGCCCTCATCAGACGAAACCGAATTCTAGGGCGATGCCAACGAGTGATTAAAAAACAGTTCAAGGAGAAAAAAGTACATTCCGGACATTGAGAACGAGCCTAAAGCTCGTCCGGAGAAGTAGACACGTGAAGCGCCGGACGGACCGCGTGCCGATAAGGACGTGGTTGAAGATCGCTCCGACGATGACAATCCTCCAACTCAGTTCCCAGAGCTGGGCAGAGGTTGCGGCGTCCCTGCTCGCAAAATCTGCCGCCGTTTCCTCCACACGGCGAGACAGCTGCTCGAGGATATGTTGAAGCTGGCTCTTCAACTTCCCAATGGTGTCCAATTGGGTGGCTAACTGAGTTGAAGCACGCTTTAGGGCCTGACTAAGATTATCAACCTTGCTGTCATGACTGTTGAACGCCTCCCGTAGACGTCCGACGTCTTCGGCGACCCTAGCAACATCACGAGCTAGGTCGTCGACGTTGGGTGGAGGCGGAGGGAGTAGAAGTGGCGTTTCCTCTCCCGCTGACATTTTCTATTGCTGAATAGAAATTGATAATACGCGTTTGTTGTAATAATTTGCTTGCTTGCTGATAGCTACTGCTGATCCTTCCGGACGATATCGATGACGATGATGATGATGACGAAGACTGTCTTGGCGATGTGTGTGTCGATGCAACCAGTACAAGGGACCCACACTTTACGTAAAGTGTGTCTCTGAGATCTCAACAGAGGAATCGATTGGAGAGCAGTTTAAAGAGAAA